TCTTCAAATGAACCTGTCACGCCGGAGCGCGTTGAGGAGGCGGAGAGGTACAATGTGCATGAGGTCGTTGACATTGGTGAGTCAAAATCGATGAAGTATAATTGTCGTCATCATTTGTATCTGACATCTTGTGGGCTGTTGTATTATTGGACGACGTAGCGCACCCCGGCAGCGTTTATGCAAGCACTACATGCCATGTGAATGAAAGCGGCTCAAGTTTGACAGACGTGAGTTACAAGAACGTCTATCATGATACGTTCTGCAGTTTCATATGAGTAAATGATCGTCAAACTGATACTTAGACTTGAAACATACAGCAGTGTCATATCGACGGTGGCGCGTACCACTCAATTAACGTTCCTCACGATGATATTGCGAGCAAATTCCCCTCCATGATACCACGGATGACGCATTCTGTGTTTTCGCTGGAACGCGCGACTTCTCATGAGCGCGTGCCAACAATTCCAATTCCGCAGTCCGAAGATAATGCAAAGCCTCTATATCCAGAGCAATCTTTTGAACCGGTAATGGTGCGTTGAGACAGAGGCGGCTGCTTTACTCAACAAGCAGTGTGATATTGACATGAAACACGCATTTGATTGATAGACTGCAATCTCAACGTTGGAGGATATTGATAGATCACAACCGTTACCGCCGACGGAACGTGAGTAAATATGTTTATGTCATACGCTGCAGTTGACTTGATGTTACACTGCGTTCCAGTCGCTTTCCAGCAGGAGTGTGATGCGTCGTTGTCCGCGCAATGCCGTTCCCCTGTCAGCAACCCATGCAGCTATTCACTCGCTGGAGCGCTTGATCTTGCTCTATGCACCCCCGCCTCTAACGCAGACGTCATCGGCGCCGATACCACACCACAAACGAATGATCAGGCGACGCTTGATGGTCACCACGACGGCCAAGAGGCGCTACTTCTGCCGGCCTCTTCTCTTTCTGAGTCGCTTCAAGGTCACAACTCGGACTCCGGCACGATCACCGAACACGTTACACAACTTGTCGACGGCGAAGTGTCGAAGAATAGTTTCGAGCCTTGTTCCGAGCGGTGGGGGTGGTCGGACCCTGTGACATCCTCGCTCTTTGACTACTACGCTGGATGGGTACCTCGGCCCGGAGCTCGGTCTAGCGGTATGGCAGCTGTTTCAGGTACCAGTGTCGCATCGACTACGGTAGCGAAGTCGACGCGTAATACCCCATATCCAAAAGGTATGTAAACAGTGGGAAATGATCGATCCATGTTGACTGTAAATATCAGCTGGCGACCTGACTCGTCGGTCTCTTGCTAAAAACGTCATGACCCGCAAAGGAAATCCGAACAATAGGCGCGACCCCTCGTTTGGTGTATCGTCTTGTTGTACGAATTGTCTCATGAAGAATGTCAGGTGCGTACAGAGACAGGACGATGGGAAGTGCATGTAAGTGATTTTTCACAATAATATGATAGAATGTGGATATTGATACATGTCTCTACAGGCGGTGCTTCGTAGACGGACAAGACTGTCTCTATCGTACGAGATCTACGGCTGTCGGTGACGGACGTTCGCATAGCAGCTTTACATTAGGTATTCTCGACATGGGCTTGGGAGCTCGCTCAAAAAAGGAAGAGGAGATGGTCGCAGAATCAAGCGGAATCGCCATGAAATGGAGGTTTACAAAGTAGATGATGTGATGTATTATCGGAATTGTATTATATTCCGTTACGAGTATAATGGTATGTCGGGGACAGTACACGATAGGTAGTAAGAGTAAGTATGTTCAATCGCACTGTGTGGTATATACATGAACAGATTGTGTTTCGTATTATGACACTGACATTCGTGTACTAATAAGTGATGTGGAGACCAGTGTGTATTACATATTAGTATGCTATTACCGTATCCACTTCAACACTGTAAGTAACGATATGCGTTGAAAAGATGACAAATAAACAGAATAAGCTCCGTCTCAGTACACCACGACGACATTGGAAAACATTTAGTGTATAGAGGATGCGCAACAGTCATGCAACGAGAGCAGTCGAATTGTAAATATATTAGAACGTCCTATTCAAACAGGTCGCGTGCATTACTAATAAGCACGGAAATGATATAATAGTGCGTTGATTATGTGACCAGAAGCCAGGTAGGTTCTATAATATAAAATGACGAAGTTGCATCAGTAATTAGGGTTCGTGAGGTGCAGCGTGCTGCGACGTACACATCATAATGTAGTGTTGTTAGCATATCGCTAAGTATTGCGAAACACCATTAGACTCTACTAGAGTTCCGACATGCGCGCGAGCATTTTATAAGACACCATGCGGATAGCTCTAGCAGTATACAACATCCCACGCGACGTGTTACAGCGTTTTACAAGCGTTGGCGTGACTGGTATTAGCTAATTAGGGTTTAGAGTGATTTGATATGCTGTTACGATGTATCTGTAATGCATCTGCTCATTTCACTGTGCACTACGGATATGGAGTGAATTATCAGAACACGCCAAAGAGAACATATGATGGGAGCAGTATAGCGGGAAGCGTTACGAACGATTGTATCGACTGACCCAGATATGCATGTGTCCGTCGAATGTGTATAAGCGCCGCAGCGTATTGCGAAGTGTTGCAATACCACGTCGTAATCAACGGGCGCTTCCTTCGTTATACCGTCTCCGTACAGGTCTGTCTCACGCTGCGTCAAATCTCCCGTTTTGCTGATGTGTGAGTTCGCACGATTACATGCGCTTCTCTGCTCCGTCTTTTACTCTCTTCCTAAGCTTGCAGCGTTTCTGGCTCAGTTTCTTTCTGTTTCCCAATATCGTACCTCTTGCAGCTCTTCAGACGGACACAATCGCGTATTCCGAAAGCCGCACATCTCCTTGATATCTGTATGTCGTCCTTGCCGCATCCACACTCATTCAGCTCAGACGCATGTGCTCATTTACTTGTTCTTCCATGTCAGCTTGAACTCCACAGCCAGTCAGCCCGCGCTCAGAGCGCGTGACATCCAAAGCAACATCAAAACCCGCTTTATAGTTGAAGACACCTCTGGCGTGTCCACCTCTACGCGTCGTTCACCCGTCACCGTCACCATACCAATCTCAGCATGGCTGACCAAATCGTGGCCCCCAACATTTCCGATTGGCAACGCGAACTCGAGACGAAAACGCAGCTGCTGGAGTATCTCGTGTGCGAGGCCCACAAATGTTCTTGTAGAGATGACCATGACCACGTCGGGCCGCATTCGGAGAAATTGGCATACCTCAACAATGACACAGACCAAGGGATACTGGCAGAACGCAACTGGGAAGTACAAGAAACCGACGATGTTGTTATAGGCAACTCGAACAGCTTCGACGGTAAGTGCATCATTGTTGTTTGTCCTGAAAGAATTTCTAATTTACTGTGCACGCAGTTGAAGAAGAATACATAGATGCGTGTCTGCCACACGCGTATGACCCGACATTTTTTGCCGCTCCTTCTTCCGTGCTACCGAACCCTCGCATGTGTACGCAAAGTCCGACAGTGCCAATGCACGGTGATCATCACAAAGTAAGTAGACATTGTACGATTTCCGTCGTAATATATCGCGAATATGTTTTCGCCCATGGCATATAAGGGAACAGCGCATCACATTTATGTTTTATCATCTCGATATATCGTTTAGAGTGATGTTCGTAGCGAGAGATTGAGTACCAACTATCAGCGCATGTTTCGCTACAGGCTCTCATCATCTCGAGTTGCGGTCCGTAAAATCGGTCTAACATGATTGAGTGTGCTCACGGCATATTTACAGCTTTTACGTGTCTTATCACAGAAATCACATACGCAGCTCAGCCTGCCTCTGGTATCACTACCGACACCGGTGCATTGCCCCGACCATTCTGTGTCTCCAATATCGTCTTCGTCGTCCGGTATCGTCTCCGAGAGCAAGGGAAAAGCACTTTTCTCCAGCCCGTCAATGTCTCAAATGTCTCACCTCTTTGCGCGGTTGGATACGGTGTCACCGTCACATTCGCAGCCGGAGTGTCTCAATACCCGACGTCGTGCAACGCTCCACTCGATCTCGTCCACGCTTTCGATGCTGGAAGAGCGGGAGACGGAGATAGGGAAGAGGTGCGCGGTTTACGTTGCAGATGAAGGTCTTCATCCTTGGACATGGTCCGACTACACTGAACGTCGCCGAAGCCGCAGCGCCGTGCTCCCACGGATGGCCGATGAATTCGGAATCACATCTCCTGCAATCGACTTCAATCCGCCGGAGAAACAGAGACCTACACTGCGATCGATCACAACAACACACTCAGCACCCCACTTGCGCAATCTAGCTGAGCTTGCGACCGAACCATCTCCATCGCTGACTCCGACCCCAGGACCGGTCTCCTCGCCGATCAGCGACACGATACCGAGCACCGAATACGGAGTTTTCTGCCTTGGAAAAGGCGTGTCTTGTTCGCCATTAGAACATGCCGCAGAAGAAGAAACCGAAGCAGGCCTGCAGTCTCCGTGGTTTCTCGACTCCCTGGCGTCACATTCCCGAAACGGACACGCGTCTGCTTATGCTTCCTCAGCATCGCTATCTACCGAGGCCGCCAAGCGAGTCGCCCTGCCGAGCCGGAGCTTGGACCGTCCGCGTGCGGACTGTGATAGATCACCTTTGTTTATGGTGAATGTACCTGGCAGATCATCAGACGACATACACACGGCGCAATCTCCTTCTCGGCGGGTCATCCCAGCGTTCCCGCAGGGTGCACTCATTCATACCGTGTCATCATCAAGTAGCGCCGGCGCCTCGGTGAACTCGACGTTCGCCAGCCCGATCGATTGGATTTCGCGCTTCCCCCTGCCGGACATGGACTCCTTGTCCACGGATTCACGATTGTACAGTTTCGAAGAGAAGCTCGTGATCGCCGCGAATCCAACGTTTTCAGAGGACTCTATCCTGCCATCCCCCCAACCTGCGACACTCATTCTCCAGACTCCACCGCTCCCGAGGTCGCCAAACTTCATGCCGCTGCAGCCAACATTGCCACCTCCCTCTCCAGATGCACCGTCACCGAGCATTCTCGTGCCAACACAGCACTCGCAGTCATTCTTCGCGTTGATTAAACGTCGCGGGAGGCAGCGGCACAAGAAGCTCGTGATCAGTGGTCCGACGCTGGAGCTAAATGAACCCGCAGCGCACCGTACAGCCGAGCGCGAACTGCGTGTGAAGAACATCATCAGGTGGTGCGAAAGCTTCGGGCAAATACAGAAGGTGGACGAGAAGGAAAATGGAAGTCTGCATATCCATTGGAAGAAACGGCAAGTGGCTGATACGGTGAGTCGATAATCTGGCATGTGAGTACTGGGCGTAGTGCTGATGAGGGCTCTAGGTATGCTGCATACATGCGCAAGTGTTCATCAAGGAAGTCGGTCGGGTCAATCTGGCGTGGTCCTACATCTGATGACCACCACCCGACTGTTGAACTGGTGATACTTTCGTTCAGTTATCGTGACAGTTCCGCTCCGGCTGCTCGCCATGCTTGGTCGATGTCCTTTGCAACGATGGCTGTATGGTACTCCCTTATCTGAGCCTGATGTCAACCTCACCATTTTTCACATCCGGGTGCGTTTTACGTTTTGTCTGTCTTATTGTTCCTCGTTGGACCGTCTTGTCGTTGCGTATTCTCATTACGCGTCGCTGCGCCTCATGTAGATGTAGCTTGTGACATGTTATCATATCAAAGACTGAACACCGTGCATACATTTGGTCCTCGGCTTTGAGTGTACGAGACACCAGGAAGGGTTCAGGGTACCATATATTACTGTAGCATCGTATTGTACATACTCGTATTCGAATTATCTCGAGATATACATTTTATTATCGTCATGTTCCAAGACATCTTAGAGTGCCGTGGGGGAGAGGCTTTCTCTTGTTCTGCTCAGACGAAGATGTGCTGTTCGAGGTGTGTTAGTTGTACAGCCTTTTATCCTATGCAATACGTTAGAACTTCTTGGGATGCAATATCAGCATTATGGCAGTTCTGACATACGAAGATCGTTATAGCATGACGATAATAAGTCGTTCACAATTACAACACGATTTGATGAGTTATTCCACGTATATTAACGTGTCATTAAAACTAGAGATATACACGTATTAAAAACAAAGCCAGTCCGAATTACCAATACAAATGAGATTATATACCAACAGCTGAGGGATATATCAAGTCTGGTGGATCGTGATAGTACTTATGAGCACAGCAAATGATACTGTCACTGGTCCACAACGCTGTTGAAATTGCGATGGCGCACTAGAGATTTGGTTTGTAATGTGACAGGCAGTGCGATGAGATAATAAGTAACACTCATTCTTGTTTTTTATTAACCATCTGCGAATGAACTGATAACCGCATGCTCGAATCCGCACAATATCTAAGCAATATAGAACGATTGAAACATATAGAACAATGCGCAAAATAGAATAGCAGGGTAAACGATGGTATGGGACACAACCATAGTTAATGCGAGGCTTCGTATAAAATGGATCATAAATCACGTGGACAGCAGAGCGCAGCACTCCCGGTCAATCTAATCAGATATTTGTCCTGACGTTGCCGCATTAGCGCCAGTCAGCTAATCAAGCGAGGTCGGTTTTTATCTCGCGTGATCCATTTTGGTGTTTGACATCCACCACTCAGTATTCCTCTTTCAACGTTAACTCTAGGACACTCTGCATCCTATGGCTCCACGCGGTCGTTCATCTTCCACCGCTGATGAAGTGGTGCCTAAGAAGCGCGGTGCAAAGTCGAAATCGAGAGTCGACACTAACGATGACAGTAAAACACCAAGCAGTGTACCTTCTTCGTCTGTAGGCCTTTCAAAGGGTTCTACGCGTAAAGTAGAGGCGAAACCTGAAAGCAAGTCTGCAAAGGCTTCCGGTGAGCAGTCAATTACAACAACAATATCTCATTTCATTACTGATTTTGTAGACAAAGCGACCTCTTCAAAGCAATCCCCGAAGCCAGTCGCTAAAGCACGTCGCGGAATCTCCAAGTCCATCTCTATGTCGAAGTCCAAGTCCAGGTTGACTGCGACTTCGCGAAAGGGTAAGGAGCGCGCGAAACGAATCGAATGGAGAAACCCTGGGTACGACAAGCCTCGGCAGCTCTTGCAATACCGCGACACTGGCTATAAGGCGTTACCGGAGGGCAGGGAACGTGCCAAGTACGCTAAGCGCGTCTCCCGCCGGATCCTGGAACTGTTCGACTTCGAAGATCGCACGGACGAGGAAGTGCAGCAGGTAAGCGTATTAACTAATGGATCAGGATGTATTGCACATGCTAATATGTCATCGCAGGCTGTTGCGAATTGGTTTCATAACCGCAAGAATGAAGTATTCGACGGCGTACACAGACTCAGTATCGACAAAGAGGAGCTGCCGGACTCCGGACAGGACGACGACGACGACGAAGACGACGACGACGACGACGATGACGATGACGACGACGACGACGACGAGGAGCAGGAGGAGCACTCTTTGGACAAAGAGGCGAAACACGACAACAACGGCGAGGGGAACAGCGACAATGAGGACGATGACCAAGTCGACATCGTACGCACCGACCACCACACCAACCGCGAGAACGTCAGCGACAACGCACCCACCCAGAACTACGACAAATGGGAGAACGTCAGTGTTGAGAAGCGTAAAGAGCTCAACACCGTTGTACACGCCGATGACGACGTCGTCGTCGAGGTAGGCGAGGGCGACAACATGGATCTCGACGTTAGCCAGAACGGAAACGACTTGTCATCGCATCAAGAGGTAATTTCATAGACTTTTGGCGATAAATTATGGTATGCATATTACTAACACGTTGATATAGATCAACGACGACGTGGACCAACCGAATGCCCAATGTTTTGAGTAACTGAAACCTGCGCATTCGAGAGCGTAGCAAATATTGACATGCTTCTACAGGAATCAATCCCGAATTGACGATCTGATCTACGAGCGGCTCTCCCGTCTTTGCGGTTTCAAATCCGACGGCGTCGGCAAGATCCTCATGTATGTCAAGTATGCATACCGCGACAAGTCGGGCGAAGTCGTTTCGAAAGAGTACGAATCGTGTTTTCAAGTCCAATGTTTCGATCACTGATCACTTGTTATCTTCGACAGACAGTGCATAGGTCAGACCAGAAAAGCGGACCAATCGTACATGCATTTCGGAGGTGGCAGCTCCGATGAGGAGCGCCTTCGATGGCGCCAGTTTGTGTATGAAGCATTACGTGAGTGTAACATACGCACCGCTTCAATAGCTGCTGATCACCACGGATAGCGCTCAACCCAATAAAGCGATATGACCGATTGTTGTATACCGAGGACAACTGTCCAGTTTTGCCGGAGTGGGAGGATGACTGGACCAGGGTCACCGGTGCGAACGTGTTAGAGGCCTTCATGAGGGCGTTGTGGGGTACGTCTATTATAATACGGTTGCGACTTTGCGTACTAACTGAACGGGACAGACTTCTACCATCTTGGTTACCCCCCCTGCGAGCTGGATTTCGAAGCCGTGGCAGCAGCACCTGCGCGTTTTCTTCCACCTTCGTGGCGTTCGAAGGGCATTCGCGATCCGACAAGAATGAACATGTCGGAAGTCGTTTCCCTCCACCGCGCGATGTACGACGCTCAGTACACCAACAACCCCTTTCATTTCATGGAAAGCGATGATGAAGATCAAGAGGACGATACAGCCAGTGAAGTCAGCAACTCCTCCGTCCTCGAACGACCGACAAAGCCATCTGGCGCTACGCTTCGCGAAGGATCTGTGCGCGACGACTCCCCACCAAATGATCAGCAAAGCGACTCTGTCCCACACGGCCTTCCGCAACAGGAAACTGCAATGCGTTACCAACGTGGGGGTGAGGTTGTTGCGCCGGTGGAGCCACAGAGCCATATCCCTTCAGGACTCCCCGATGTCACCGATTCGAACGACTATCCGAGCAATGTTCAACTCCGGGCGCAATTCGCATACAAGGACACTCCCAGCGATGCTGCACCATCTGACATTTCCAGACACGATGCAGAGGTAGTGGATCGACGCTCACAGCACGACATCTTTGCCGAAGAGAAGTCATACGACGGTTCAAAGCAGCAGGGAAATCGCGTGTTCGACCAACGGCATGAAGGTTTCGGCTCGGTTATGGATCGCGAACTTTTTGACCCGCACACGCGTTCACTGCAGGGCGATTATACGTTTGTGAAGTCATCCAATATTCTTCCGTACCATATTGACGTTCTGCAACACTACAGAAGTGCATCGCCACAGCCAAATGTTGATCGTGCAAGGCCCTACTCGCGCAGCGATGAAGACGTTCGCATCGACGCACGCGACAATGTCAAGGACGGTAAGGATGGCAAAGATCATGATCTATCGAAACTTACACCGCATTTTATAGGTGCAGATGAAGGTCGCGTGCAAGACGCTCGGCCGGTTGATGACCATTTGTTCGAACTGTCTCCTGGCAACGCTATACAGCAAGAATTCTTTGCGCAAGATGGCCCGTCTCACGGTTCTCGCCGCAGTCGCAGTGCTGTACCGGAAGAACTGCTGATTTCTCTCACTACTCGTCCATCAACTTCACTGAATGTGTCTGGTATCGCCGGCGACTATAGAGTGTAAGTGTAATCACTTGATCAATGAACATTCAAATCTTATTTACATTCAATTAGCGCAACGGAGACTGTAGGCTCTTACGACACCGCTGGCGGCGGATCTTCGAGGATACTATGCGGCGCGTCTGATAAGCAGTCTCAGGTAATAACGGTCTATGAACTGTTTTTACGTTGTCGACTAATACGTGAGTTATAGATCAACGCCAGTTCTCCCGCAGTGAACGACAAAGCAAATGAGGGGACGTTGTTCGCAGGCACGGCGTCTGGTGGGAAGCGCAAGGAAGCTGCTGAAGACGATGAAGATCGCGTTGTCAAGAAGAAGCGTGTAAGGAAGACAGACAGTTCTTATATCCCGCCGTCTCAAGACGCCACTTTCGCAGAGCATCTCATTGGTAGGGACGAACACCTTGATAATGGGAGCGTTGCTAATGATAATCGGCCAGACGCTGCATCTCCCGCTATAGGAGATCTGAATGCCAACGCTGCGGATAAGACGCCAGACATCTAAATGGGAACTACAGCGTCACCAGAGAGGTTAGATCGATTGGCACAGGCGAAGGACGATGCTGCGCGAAAGTAAATCTCGCCGTCGTGATGAAGGGCGTAGGTTATGGAATCGCCATCATTCATATCGGACTTTCCAAAGTTGAATTTTTCTTGTTGCGTCGAAAGTACATGTCGTCGTTACGTATAGTCTAGTTGCCACTATCAATCGATTCATCGTATTCGTAGTCTCGACTTAATATGTCGTGTCATACGACTGCGTTAGCTGTGTGATACGTGTGTGATATAATAAGAGTCCTTTTAATATGCTATGAAAGAGACAGTGTACAAACCTGTACTTTTTCTCGTAAAGTACCGTTGTATTGTACGTGGAGGATCTTGCGTCGTATTGTAGATGCGACTGTATCAAATTACCATTGCCAGTCCAAAGATATTAGGTGTTGATATGTTATTATGTTATTATATGGACGGTAATATGTAGTGCAACGTATCATTTTAGACAAAACGAAGCAAACAGTTATCTTGAAAGAATGGGTTCCATGGATGTTCCTCATAAGAGATAACACGAACATGCTAGTATAATATCGTCATATAATGGATGCAGCTGCATGTAACAGGCAATATATCACGTGCGTTACAGAGATTACGATTGCGCTCGTTCAATCTAATCTTGTAAGGCTGTAATTACGTCATCGGACACGTTTAATAAGCACAACGGCAGTGTCGTCTCATTTTCTCTTCCTCTCTGATTCTCGTCTTCACCGGTATTAGCGCAACTCCGTAAATCTTGTCCTCTGAAGTCATGGCATCTGCATCAGGCGTCGAACAGGTCAGTAAACAAGTTGCATGCGCTTCGAAAGCTGATCGAGTGTGTTAGGATGGTAAGGTCAATTTGATAGAGAACGCTTCTCCTTCCACCACGATCCGTATTGGTCCCCCTGGACGAGGTACGAAACGGTTGAAAATCAAAACGGAGGGCACGAAGAGTAAAGCCGATAACTCAAGTAAGGAAGTATCAAAATATGTTTGCTATCTCATTTGATGTCGACAAACAGGCGAAGCGGCAGGCACAAAACGCTCGACGAAATCGCCAGCAAAGACAGCGCGGGGCAAGAGCAAGTCTAACTCCGTCGCACGTAAAGACAGACATCGCGCCAAACGTGTGGAATGGACGTCTGCGGCTTACAAGAAGCCTTTGCAGTTCTTACAATATCGGCATGCCGGTTACAAGGCTCTTCCCGAGGGTACTCTTCGTGTTCAGTATGCGAGGACTGCAGGCAAGAGATTGCTGGAACTTTTTTCATTCGACACTCACGATGATCAGCAAATCGTGAACGTGAGTGAACTAATGCTATTATAACGTATGTTTCTATAACCGCACTATCACAGGCCGTCGTCAACTGGTTTCAAAACCATAGGGATCAAGATTTCCCTGGCGTCGAACTGTTGAGCGACGATGAAGTTGATCTATCTGATGGTGGACTCGACAGTGACGTGGATGAAAATGTAGACCAGCTCGAGCACGATGATGCGGCCAACGACGACGCGGACGCAAACGGTGACGAGGACGCGAACATGGATTCTGGCCGACGCGACGTGCAAAGCCATCGTCAACGGAAGGTAGAGCGCCACCGGTATGTCGACAAGGACGGCGTCACGACGCGCGAAGCCCAGCAGCAGAGCGACGTCCAAGACGACAGCGTCCCTCACAACGTTATCGCTGAAAATAGCGACGACGTCCGCCGCAATGACATGCAACGTAGTGTCAACCTGCAGAGCGACGGCGACGTTTGCAAGGATGGCACGTTGCCCATGGAAGATGATCGCGGCAGCGTCGTCGAACGAAACGAAGTTAACGCTTCCGTGAATGACGACTTCAACGATACTCAGGTATTGTCAAATTTAGTATGGTTTGTTCATATTTAGAACACCGCTAACATTACAACGTAGGATCAGAGCGCGATGCATGCTGGTGACCCTACCGAGGTGGATAGTCGGTGCTTCAGGTACATTTCCCGTTATGCATCCTGTTTGAGAGTGAAACCTTACCAATGTCTTCAGCCAGCAGCCAAAGCTTAGTAGAATTGTGCGGAACGCGCTTGTCAATATACCAGGCATCAAGTCCAACAACACAGGGATGACCATCATGCACGTGAAGTACGCTTACCGTGACCAACTCGGCAACATCCATTTCGACGAGTATGACGTTTAAAATATAATTTGGAGATGAGTTTTGATACTTATAACTTCTTGATGTTGTTATATAGGCTCTCTGTCGGCAGCAGCGTGAACGACGCGTCATATGAAGTTTTTGAAGGAGGGACGGGTCGTGAAGAACGATCTCGATGGGAGCGGTTCGTACAAATGGAGCTTCGTAAGTTTTAAAACTCGCTGCTTTATCATCTTACCTATTATAGACCGTAGCAAATTACCCTCGGAAGCGAGACGAACGTCTCGAATACGATAACGGAGGGCGTCCCATACTTCCGGAGTGGAAAGACGACTGGACAAGAACAAGCAGCGCGGCGGTGTTGTTGGCATACTTGAAGGAGATGTGGCGTACGTCGTTATTGAGGTTGCTACGTGGATGTCGCTAATGTGACATAACAGAATACGCCTACAACGGTTATGCTCCCTCGGAGCTCGACATGCAGTTGTTGAAAAGTGCACCGCAGACACTCCTTCCCCGTTCCTGGTGCAGTAAGAACATCGAAGATCCAACACAAATGCAGATTGTCGATCTCGTTGAGCTCCACACGAACATCGTCCGCGCTCAGTTCACCGATGATGCGTTCATGTTTACCCCAAACAGACAGGACGACAACATCGTGAGTATTGCGATCGCGCTTATAGATGTTCCAATTATGCTTACGTATTTCATCATTTGGCGCAGAAGCATCAGGGACGTCACCGACTACCAGAAGATCCTCGACAGGGAGGAAGTCACCGCGACGACGTCTCTAGAGATCCATCCGTTGAGCATGGCACGCAGGGCAACAACGCAGCTCGAAGAGGTCATTCCGGAGACGTCGTCTCTGAAGATGTCGGTCCGCACCACAGACTCTCGCAGGATAACTACTCGTATGGTATGTCACGCAGCCACACCCAGCACCACAGCGGCTTTGTATACGACAACCCTGCACGACACGGACATGCCAACCACGGTCAGCATTGGGGATATCACACGCAGGACGGTCGCGGTCCTTCTCAACGTGGTCCAGAGCGAGACGCGTATAACGGTGAGCATCGCTATTACGATATTCAGATTGTAGTTACTTACGGTTGCAATGTTCTCTCTCTCGAAGCGTCTCAGTGGACCCCTTTCCCCGGTCGCGGTTATTCAGATGACGCGCGTCACGAAAACACCTACACTGGCAACAACTACGGATGGGATGACCAGGTCGGCAATAGCTATCAACATGACGATCAAGCTCAACGCAGGTACGTTCAATATCTTAGCACGCGTGAGTATATCATTTATGAAGTAATTCCCAGGTACGAGCGCGAGTCGGAGAGATTCGGTCGCAACCACGTCTACCAGGACTCTCGCCAGCGTGACTCTTATAACCGCGAAATGTCATATTACGGTGGTCCAGAAGGAGTGACTAGTTCTTCTGAGGGTACGTTTGTCTAGACAAACACAAATAGATGACATATATTGATAACGTACAGCCCTTCAAGATCGATCGACAACTACGTCAAACGTGTACACGGACGAGCGACGTTACGGCAGTTCCTTCATGGGCATGGCCATCAACGAGACAGGCGACGGAGCGCATGTTCCTCAGCCGGAAGAGGAGTACAACGTTAACAACGTCAACGCGACTAGGTATGTCGAACATAAGGAGTTGATGATGTGATCGAATTAATATCCTTCAGAGAGCCCACAGATGCTGGAAGCCAAACGCACAACACAACGACTCTATTCAGCTCCGAATCAACGACGTCGAGTACCCAGGTAAGTTTAGTTTAACACAGAGTCTATATTATATTTCGCTAATATCGTACATTCAGAAGCCATCCCCGGACAACGCCGCGGTTATCTCCAGAGGCATACCGCAGGTCACCAATGCCATTGACACTGACGAATCGGTGACAAAGCGCAAGAACGCGGAGGACGACGAAGATCAGCACTCTGCCAAGAGACAACGTCTGCGACTTAGCAGTGTGTCTAGGACGGACACGCCGCAGCCGTCGGTGCATGACGCGCAACAGCGAGTAGAAGTCCGAGACGAGCCCTTCATCGAGAGTAGCGTGACTTCGCGAGTGGTGTCTCCGAAAAGCTCTGATGCAAAGCGCGTAGACGGCACAGGTGTGGATGATGGAGCTGTCGCCAACACGGACAAGATATGACGGAGTGAGTACTGAAGCCATCCGTTTCATAGCATATTTGACTGATGTTTTCACAATAACTGCAGCTAGTGTTTCCGGGTCATGACAGCGCGATAACTCTTCTACTGCTTGTGAGCGTGCACTTAGCTGCTGTTGGTTACGATCTAGGGTCAATTGCGAATATTCAGTTTTAGTATATCACACCACGTTTTGTTACACCGCGTTTTTACGTCACCTCGTGTTCAGATATTATGGCGATTGTGTATTCCCTCGTCAATGATTATCAACGTTTTCCAGCTATACATCTGTGTGATTTTTGATGGAGAATCACCTCATGTATTAGTGCTTCTCGCAATAGATGTATGATGTTCAATTTGCACGTTCGTTATTATACGTACCATATAATAGTCCACTACCCGCTGAGTAATAATCTCATACAGCGTACTAATATTTATTATACCGCGCGTATTAAGAATCTCCGCACACTTAAGAACGTGCCTTGCGCACGAAAGACACTAATCTGCTATACTTAAGTCTCGAATAACAAATGGACATAGCTGACGCGAATGTTCATGGCTGTTCATTTTTTACATAATAATACGTCTGTCCGGTGCAGACTAAACCGCGATGTGGCAACGACACCAACCTCCTTACGGAAGCAGTATCGCCTAGCGATTGTCGACCACTTCTCGATCCTGCGATGGACCACGTTCTTTATGCGACCCTATCCTGCCCGAAGATTTTCTGACAGTTCCGTTAATCATACCGGGACAAGACTTTCAGTTCCGCGCCATGTATTAGTAGCAGTATTACCCACAACGCTATGCCAAATAATTCCAGTGCCTTCGCTAGCACCCACGATCCCTGAGACTCTCCTTTGTTTAGTTAGACGATACTCGCAAGTTGTCTGCGCGGTGATCATGACATGCGTTTTAAATTATCCGTCATCCATTGCCCAATAACCGGCAGACGCCTTCATTGCAGTCTCGATTACAAACAAATGAACAAGGTGCATCAAAACCTGTTAACCAGTCCAACTTTGAAAGTACCGATCAACGCTACATGTAATGTAACAGGTCTCTAGAACGTATCTGAACGTATTGGAGCGTGTCCTCGCTGTATTATATGTCTACTGCGAAGGGAATTCGATCGATCAGTCGGTCCTACCTTCTTATCTGATATCAAAGATGTTATTAGTGCATGCCAGTGGGTGAAGAACACATCATACGTAGCTACGTTAAGACACAGCTTCTGATAGATTTTATTAGATTGTACTTTTTAAAACCAGATATCCTGAATTCTACCGACACACTCATTTGTTCGCCGACCATAGTATGCATAATATGTTGTACTGGTATTCTTCAACTCCAAACCTGCACATAATTTCTTTCTGAACGGTTTATGTGCTGATATTTGTAGTGGTGTGCTCCCAGCGACTGCGAGCAATTTTATTGAACCCCACTAAGTCTCACACTTATAAACGATAGCACATGACGGAAAGATATAACTTCATTTGCGATACAACCAGACAAAGACATTACTGAGCAATACATCCGCATATGAAACACGCGTATACAGAAACAATCTGCAGTTTATCATATCTGAGCGTTCGTCGACGACAACAGAGAATTGAACGCACCTTAGTTAATACGCTCAGTGCGGTAATGACGCTGCACCTCCGCTGCCTCCGACATCATGTTTCTGACCATGATCTCCATCTGGCGTGTGAGAGCGTCTTGAATGTTTGCGAGGTACGTGTCCCACGTCGCTCGAATGTCTTCTTCCCCGCGTACGTACCGCCGTTGCTGTGTGGCGGTAACCGTGACAGCGGGCAAAGGGATGTCGCCAATGTTGATTGTGATCTGCAATGTGAGCTATATAACATGTTGTTAGCGTATGACGGCAATACGGAAGAGGACATAAGTTGCTCATACTCACGGGTCGTGCACGAAGTTCCAATATATCACCGTCAAGTGCAGACTGGGATGAAGCAGTGCCGGGATGATCAACCCCGTGCTCTTCGGTAGCGGGGGCCTCGGGTCTGCTGAAGATAGCCATGGAAAGATACGAGCGTGGTGCAATGTGGATGAAGGCCTGAGTCGAACAAGTTTATGGGGGGCGATTGATGGAGCGTACGGATGAGATGAGATGGCAAATTGATCACGGTTGAAGTTTTTTTTTGTATGATGCAAGGCAAGGGACAAATAATACACATCATGCCACTACAGAATCAAAGTAGACTGATTATGAAAAAGTCTAATGTGCAAAATGATGCGCGTGAGAACACAATACTCCACTTATAAAGCACCAAAATAGGTCCAAGATTATCATGTGGTCTGCGTATTAGCGCTGTGAACCTACAACTTGATCATGGGTTGAAGATATAGAGCGTGAATGTTACTTTCTTAATCCAGGAGCGTTGAATCTGTACGGAAATAAATGTTCCCATGTGTTATCATAACGTCTGCGCTCGATGATACTATTTATGTTCGCCGTTTCAATAATGATCTAACTTTGATGTCGATATTTGACTTTGCTCAGCTGTCCTGTGTTGCTTTTGTAAGTGGTGCGAATGTACCAATCGTCATTTCCATTGTTAACCAACGGCTGCCTGTCGCCTATTTGGTGATAATATGATAAACACCTTCTGCTGCGTGTAGTACAAGCTACATAACGTTCGTAATTTGTTAAAAGTCGGCAGAAGCAGACCCAAGGTGTGCAAACGACTTCACCAATAATGTATGAATCGTTTAGAGCAAGGATTACTATTTAATAAGTACGACGTCTCGAGCACCTCCCACCGCACTACTCTCACTAGTACGTACTATCTGACATAGGGCGTCGCCCTCCAGCGGATAATAAACTCGGATTATAATTATAATGATAATAAGTACGACATTCAGTTCTGTGTAACCTCATTATTATATGCCGACAGTTCATCGTGATATCAGTGATGAAAAGTGATGCAATATATCACAGGGTATCATATAATAAGAAATGACTTCAAGTTCGCATGATATGCATCAATGGCAGATACCCTTCATAATCGCGCTACACACTTTATATCGATGTCAATCCTTAACATTCGCAACTATTCATCTGAGTCATGCTATTCATGCGATTATGATTTCAAGTGGTACATGGCACACTGCATATGAGATGGATACGATGCGAATAACTAGAACAATAAAATGCATCAGTATCTTTCTAAATGTAAAGAAAAATGCGTATTATACATACAGACATGGAGGCGATGATTCAGAATTGCTCTTGCGATGGGCTTTCTTCATCAGAATGTGTCGGCTCTTCCTCGGGGTAGATAGCGAGAGCCGGCAACGAATGATTGTGTCGCATAGGCTTTATTGACACCTCCGAAGCAACGACGACCGTGTTGCAGTTGTCCCAGAGACATATGGAAAGAGCGATGTATACCTATTGAAAAGTAACATTATATAATGCCGCATTTGATTGTAATGTGTGCCAACATACCACGCTGGTAGAAGTAGGTGGTTTGTAAGTATAGAATATGAAGGAAGGCTTCGCGAACGGATCGGACGGAATGTACGTCTCCGTATTCGGCCGCAGAGGAACGTCCGCTGCACAATACTGGTGCTCTGGTAGGCATGGTACAACCGTCTTCATTTGGTGCCAGTTGAAGTGAACGAAAACGAAGCTGCCATCATGGACCTTCATGGTGATGCACAACAACATGTATCGCTATGCGGATACAGCTTATCAGTAACATACGCAACGTAATTGAGTGCAACATACCATATGCAATGGATCGGTCGGCTCCGCCAGCCGTTGAATATAAATAGGAAGATCAAGTAATGTTTGTATATCTGACATAAGTATGAAGAGGTGATAAAGCTAGTGAATGGATGTAGAGAAGAGGAGATCACGGTTCGGCGTGCCCACAGTGGCGAGAAGGCTTATTATATACTCGGACGACAAGATTATGCAATGTATGGCCATGCTTTACCGGTCACCGGCACATTAAGGGGTCAAGTGAACGCTAATGGCGAACTTTCTCTCGTTAATGTACATAAAGGTGCTTCACATATTACAAAGGATAAAAAAGTCATGTACCCTGCTGATAGTGTGTCAAAATTGAGTGCAGTGAGGATAACGCGCTATTGGGAACAATTACCGGCTCAATCTTCATGCCACTCTTTGTCGGATTGCCGTTTCAGTTTCCGAATGACGCTATTCATTGTAATTTGTGTCAGGCTTAGCGCACGAATATAAGGGTGAAGGCTTACTAAAATGCTGCTTTGACTGCGCGCTTATCATCGCCACGACGGAAGTTGACAAACGCTTGCTTATACTTTGCTCGGCGAATTACTACAATCTCTCCACGCCAGCTCGGACCCCCTTCCAATGAGCGTAGACCAAAATTGGCGCCGCTGCTGTAGCATGCCGTTGTGCTGAATACGTGGAATCGGATTCGAGTACCGCGTCGAGAGATTTCGATCTCATCACGCCTAACCCGCGATGTAACTTCGAATACGCCATTTAGGATTGGAAATTCAAACCCGGCGTCGATGTAGAAGTGTTGGATAGGAATTGAGAAACGTTGCGGTCTTCCCTCCATTGGGAAACGATAGCCGATGACGGATCGTGTCTGATATCAATAGCATGAGTAGGCTTATAAGGAGGTTCGACGCAAAAAAAAACTTACGTTCGCAGTCATTAGCTGAGCATCACAAGAGAGTATAAAAACGGAGGTGTGGTGACAACTCTACAGGTGAGTTGCTCACATATATGTATATGTGCTGCCACGCACTCGCCATGCATCCATGATATAATGTGACATACAAACGGAGATACTAATGGACCGGAGCTGGATAAAACATTACTCAAATCTTCCATGACGATAGAATGGACTGCCTGAAAATGATGAGCGTAGACTGGGCTCGCGTTCGAAGATGGAATCTGTACCAACAATTGAGAGCCGGATTGAATTACTTGTCAGAGAAAGAGTAATTAATAGTAGAGTCCATTGACAAAGTATAAACGCCGTGAGAGCATCACACCGCATACATGCTGAAGATGTGGATCGTATGCTGCACCGGAAATTGAAAGAAGATGAGGCTTCGTGTTCCATGTATTCCACCTGCACGGTGTCGTGAGGTAATGGCGTCTACAGTGAATAGATTCATTCTAGACTGCAATAAAACCCGGAAAGGCAGGTTGTTCTGGACAGATTGTCTGAATTGGCAAGTCCAATGGAATTTGCCAGCTGTTGTCGACACGATTAATATGTGTGAAAGCGGTAACGATACCTATGGACATAATCAGTGGACGGATACGAATAAAAAGATGCGCCGATATTACTGACGACGATACACAATGTTTGTCACCGCCTCATTTACATGAATAATTATCTGCAGCCAGCAAGCATAGCATACCAAACGAACAGTCATCGGAATGAAACACAAACCACATCAAACATGCTATGATAATTAACAACTTCTCGTATGCAACAACACGTTTGTCCGCGAGAGATGGAGAGTTTGAATCCATATCTCCGTAAGATGACACACCTCTTAAAACTGTAGAACGCCAGTTAACAGTCACGTAGAAGTACATCACTTCAATTATACATAAAAACGGGGTAGCACGGCACGAGCGTAGATATCATGAGTACGAATAACGCGACGACCACATCCACCATTAGTAGGCAAGTTATCAGATAATGCAACGAAGTAGCGTTGGCACATACGTCTTACTCACAGAGCGTAGTCAGAGATCCAAAAGCAAGAGCCTGTTGTCAAAATTCACGCAACATTTAGCGTAAGGAAAAAGCTCGCCAACATAGTAACGCCAAAGCTTTTCCGCTATATATCGTGCATTTTGCCGCGATGTATGGCATATTTTATATATGAACGTAATGACTTTGTTGGTTGTCATGTACAATGCTGCACTACATGATTAAATCCAAGCGCAGAAGCGAACCACAGAATTTGTCCTGTACTGATTTGCATTTAATTTACTAAATAGCAACGTAGATTGCGCTCCTTAGAATTACCATCGATATGCACTTCGATACGCATCGCAGAATGAACCCTACTCGCAATTCAATCACAGAACCGGACTACGTCCACATGAAAAGCTGAAATTACGGGAATGAAGCGTGTGCTAGACAGCTGAGAAGCACGCGGCGAGTAAGGGAAGCGGTACCGAATAGAAAGAGCCTATTTGACTGACATTATCAATTCGCATCTGGGCCGACGCCGACAGACGCCAGTACGTGAGCGGACCAGCTGACGTCGACAGAAGGCGGCTGTTCTCCCAGGGTTAAGGACACTCTAGCGCGGAGTGAGTACTGACGTTCGAAATCAGCGCCGAGGACGAGAAGACCATGCGGATATCGCGCATACCCCATGTCCATCACCGCTGTCCAGTACTTGAATTTTGACCTTGACAGTTTGTCTTCCGGCTTTGGTATCCACTCGGCGATGATAACCGACTCGTACTGCGCATGCCCGATATATGACGATGTCTGACGGCGAAGGGACCGTGATATATTCGCTTGTCAGAGATATGTTGTCGAAGTCGGTTTCGTCTATGCAGAGCAGCACAATATGCGACATTGTTGAAGGTGCCTTCATCGGTCATCAGCAAAGATGTCGTACTATTTATCGAAGACGCACCGTGCCCGCGACATTGGAGGGAACGTCAAAGGGAACCCGCACCGGCACCACGAATGCCACCGCTGGCGCAGACATAGTAAGCTGAGAAACATTCATGGGAGGATGACCCTGAGAAGGTATGAAGCACTCTCTTTTATGCTCTACCAGCAATGTGATGATCAGAAAGCGTGCGTAAACATAATATATGCGTAATGAACATCAATTTGAACACATATACTGTCGTTCTGATATTTTGTAATGAACATATCAATGCCAGCCGTGGATATGACCCTGACAGCGGAACCGCGTTTTATTTGACTATAAAGAGAAACAACGTACGAAATAATCAGAGTCAGAAAGGTTAGATGAAAACGATAGCATGGGGAAATACGCGAACGGTAATGAGAGATAATATCACGGAGTATACGTACAACGATAACCGAGACGATTGCTCTCAACTATAATAAGAGGTAAAGATATTAGTCCTTCCGGTATTAAGTCATCATACATTGAGCAATGCGCCGTGCAAGGTCTCCAAGAAGAGGCAAGACGCCACACCACGCCAATAGCGTACGGGTGCCGGTGGTTTCGCTTCAGCTCCTGGTGATCGGTATGTATAAGGTCGAAGACGGTGACCATGGACCCGACATCGCCGAAGAATCGGCCTTGGCCGGGACAGACGTAGTGGTGTCGTAGGCAAGTGTGATGGAAGTAGATGGGTTGCGTCGTCACGAAAGCAGCATACTCGGGCCAAGCACTAGGCTCAGAAGCGATTTGGAACCCCATGAGGTACAGTTGGTGATACAGAGTATAGACGCGTACGTCCGCTTGTTGAGGCGCTCCGCCTAGCGAGAGACGTCGAAGCGTGAGCATGGGGTAGCCACACGCGAAAGCGAAGGGGGATACCCAATTGATGAGAGCGCTGATACCCGTCATTGCAATGGGATCCACGGAGGAAATGGATAAGGAGGTGTGAACGTTGATGACGCCGCCGGACGGCGAGGCGAACGTAGTAGTGCGAGCGACACCACGGTCCAGGATTACCGCGTCGTCTTTGTGGTCTCGGACCGCCTGCACATCGTAATCCAGTGTTTCATCCTCCTCCAAGATCTGGACCAGACGAGCGCCTTCCATCCGAGAAACGTAGATGTCCAAAGGATCGGAATGCACGTGGGGGATGCGCAGCATGAACCGAAGGGCAGCAAAGCCGCCTACTACTGCTCTTGTCTCATCGAGGTGTCCCCACAGTCGGTCAGGATTGTTTGTGTAACGCAGAAGGAGTTTTCGGCGGTCGACCATAAAGATCGCGGTGGCATGGTGGTGAAGGGCAGCACTCGTGCGCCGCAAGGACAGAATAGACGTGATGTCGCACTCATCCATGATGGCACGGACGAACTCAGGTGCAAGTCTAGGGGACAATAATCAGAACTCGGTATAACACAGCAAAACATGGTTGACGGCCACTAACCGTAGGAGCATTGAATATGCAGCAGGGGTTGAAAACAGCCGCTAGGGATGTCAGTGGACACGACCACCATGCTATTTGAGAGCTGCCGGACATAAAAGCTCAGGATGAACGTGTGAGCATAAAATAATGCACCGCAGTATTCGATACGCGCCATGAGTATGTAAAGATGAATAGTCTTCTGAATGGATATGTCATCATGTTATTGAGGGCTGACAGCTCTGCCAATACATGCTGGGTAGTCGTATACACAACAAGTGCGTGCAGCTCTACAATGAATTATCGTGCAGGCTGAATATATACGTCAAGAAAGGAAAGGATAGAAAAGGGTTCGAGATCAAATGTCCGGGATGAGTTCTCTGATTGATATATCATATCTGAATCAACATAACGGGTTCAAATTGTGGATAATGGGAGCACAGAGATTCGCCAATATATGACAACTTTTAAGCGCAACAAATGTCGGACGTGATAACATAATCAACAGCGCAATCTATATCATACGAGTTTCCCTGCCTGTACTATGAAGTAATAATCATCCTGTTCAAATTCGAGTGAAGATGATAGATAGAATAAATGGAGTGCATCTATACGTCACAGCGACTGAACAAATGGAGACGATTAGCCATTATGGCATAATATAAACCGAGAAGTAGAGGCCGTCAACGCTACATTGTCCCAGAACCTCGTATAACTAATACATACAGCAAGATGCTGTAACGGTTATTTTTGGCAGACATTGAGTCATGGGTCACCTGAGACTTTACGCGTGCGACAGAGCAACACAAAGTGATCCATATGGAATGATCGATTGAGCACGCAATCTCAGAGGAAGTCATCATACGTTGTGCTAGCATGCGGCAGACCCGCAATATGTCCGAACATCGTTACAGATCACGCTTCCCAGATTCGATGAATAGACTCATTCTCGCTGCGTTCTATTTCAGCTCCACACATAACAACTTGTATATCCGAAGCATAATCATAACGTTGAGCGTTGAGAGATAAGAAGCACACTTGCGCTTCTAAGAAGGCGTCATCGGTCCTTCCAAAGCTTATCATACATCACCATTTAAATTGGAGACGACACGACAAAGCATAGAGGGAAATTTTCATCGGAGTAAGAGCGAAGTCTAAACGACCTCCGAACCCCGTCGTTCAAGATTACAGACACTCATCAGCGCATTATGACCTGTTGAACCAAATCTAAGGTTGACGATCATCTAACTCTATCGGGCTTCTTTCCGTTTTGTAACCCGATTTATACACCATGTACATCAATTCATATCGCAAACATATCAGATATCGGCCTCCCAAATTAATTAATAAGAGGTACGTGAGAAATCAGCTTATCATAACAGCAACAATATGGGTTTTGTACGTTAATGGTTGCATACATCACGTCTGAAGGGTTATGAAAGTAAGGCGTAGCGACATGAAGGAAGCCTGAATAAGTAGCAAGCATCTTTGTTTAAAAACAAACAAGTCACACGACCGCGCTTATGAACCGGACAAAGCGGTAGAAGATAGATAGATATATTCAAAAATTATCGTGGCAGAAAGCGGCAGAAGAACAACACACCGTCAGTAGAAAGGGGTGCGCTGTTGACAAACTATAATGATGGTGTGAATAGCTGACATACGCAGACTTGATATAAAGTTGATGCGAATAAAATTGATACATACGTGCGGCACATTGTTTTGAAAGGAAGTACAATAAGAGTATCATCCGGTATGTAGCTAATGAAACACAAGTACATAGACGAAATGATATGTAATACCGATAGCGTGCACTTCGTCTATTTAGATACCACGAAGACATAAATTGTTGTCCAGTTATGATGACTTCATATAACCACTGTACTCTTGCTAATAACTGAACAAAACGCATGAATGTGTTTAATACGTTGGCATCTCCTAAATCATATATGAATTCAGTGCTAATATGATACTGCTATACATGGCATCGTACTAGTTCGAGGATGTATAATTGGGCATACAGAAATCGTGTGAACATCGTATGACTTAATCTACCACTTTCAGTCGCACGGAGAGCGTAATGTGAATGCTTTTAACGAGTGTGTTAAAATAAAAACACAGCGAGCAGATAATTCAAACCAATCAAACTATTATGGTCATATGTTGCTGGATAGCTGTTCCATTTATATCAGCCTATACTATGGAACATAAATTGATGGAGAGGAATTCATGTATAAAATGCAGAAGATACTAATACCTCAAAATTGTATAACAATATATGCATAACATAGGTTACCACTGAAGGAATCATCAAGTGAATTGGAGGGATAATGATTCGCAAGAGAGAGTCCGAGAACAAGGCATTGCTACATAACCAGGCTTGAATGTCACGAAGGATGCGTAGTTCACGGAAGTAGTATATTATGACCATTGCATTATGCTTTACGTGTGGGGTAAAAACCTGTCGCATAACATCGTCTATACAGAATTCATATTGTAGAGTACCGTATTGTAATTAACTGGTTTGAGATATGGCAGAGATTCACGTTTACCAGCAAAGTTGACTGTCCGATAATATCCGTCACAGATAACAACATATTACTGTAAGCATGTCCCAATTGACTGTGATATATCACTACCTTTCAAATTCAGTTACTAATAAGCGAGACTGGATCATATTTCCATACTATGTCTCTTGAACTTCACCGTTAAGATGTTCACCACATGTTATACAGCTAGAACGCACTATAATACGATCTTGAGTGTATTATCTCTAAGCCGTTGAATCACGTGCGATACCGGTATCTTCCGGCCGGTTCCGAACACTTTTCTCTCCTGAGCTGCAATCCTCCTCTCCGCTTGTTGGCAAATATCATCTTGCTTGTCCTACCACGTCATTATCGTGTCTTCTCAAGGAAAAACATCTCTCTCAAGGGTGAAAGTCAGCAATACAAACCCTCCCGCCTCCAAATCGAATTTCAACCACGGCCACAACGCAGTTGAAATGAGCGTAACACCGATCGGTACTCCGCTAAACGGGTCCCAGACGACCATTCGCGCTCTTGAAAGCGACAGAATGCAGAGCACAAACACAGGACAAGACGCGAATAGTAAGTAATAATTCATAAAATCCGATATATATCTTACATCACACCTTAGCACCAAGGACAGCTGCGCGGCAAGACAGCAATTTGATAAGAAATGCGTCTCCGAAAAGAGTACGATTCAAGCTGCCGTCTAGAACAGAAAACGAACGACATGAAACACTTGATTGTAATGCCGATCTTGATGTAAACGCAGCATACCCTGAAGCTCCCACCACGCCGAACTAATCACATATTTACGTAGCTCCACTCCGACGCGGCCTTATCCGACGACATCGATATACAGTGTTTCAGGTGCAATTTATAAAGACAAACATACAACGCTATATTGACAGACATGATCAGAAACCAAAGAAAGATCCACAGGTATTTGGAGGAGAGACTAGGCGGCCTCGCTGGATTTTCCTCCAAGAACACTGGGATGACTGTGATGCACGTCAAGTATGCGTACCGAGACAAACGCGGTGTCATACATTTCAAAGAGTATATTCCACACGTGTTCAAATACGTGTCGATCATTGATATACAAATCTTTACTCGTCAAGGTTGTTTGCTGGGAAGACGGTAGCCGACGCGAAGTACATTTCGGATCAAGATGAACAGGCGCAGTGGAAACGATTTGTTAACGGTGCTCTTCGTAAGATTTCACACCAACATGCGCTCTCCGTCACGCTGAACATGAATTGTAGCCGTCAACCCGCTCAAGAGTGATGCACGGCTGCACTACGATACGGACGGACGTCCTATTCTCCCGAAATGGGAAGACGATTGGAACAGAGTAAATGGCTCAGAAGTACTTTTAGCATTTCTGCACAACATGTGGGGTACGTACTTTACATCGTCAGCAACACAAATATGCTTATTGGAGAACACAGCCTTCGCGTATAACGGGTACCCTCCCGTACATCTAGACTTCAACGCGGTAGCGATCGCACCGCATCTGTTCTTTCGAAGCGAATGGTGCAAAAAGGTCACCGATCCAACGAACATGAAGATGATAGACCTCGTGCGACTTTACCAAGACATTCGCGACGCTCAATTCACTTCGGAAGCATTCATCTTTGCCGCAAGTAACCTTCCTAAACCACGGTCGAACATGGAGCCTTCCGAAATGCTTGATCCATCTCATTCCATTGCACCAAACACTGAACAGCATTTCCCCTCAACCAACCTCGCATCGCCCGACACTGTTGACATGCAGCGTATGGCGGCGACTCATTCAGAACCTCAACTTCCTGATCGATACCAACCCCATCACCACGCTCCCATATGTGACTCTTCAGTGTGGAGAACGCCGCCACAAGCATACTTCTCGCGCAACTCTCCAGAGCGCGACACTCGTGTGCACGACACTGCCTCCGAGGATATTCTTCGCTGCTATGATTATCCACACAACGTTTTGCCGTGCGATGCTCCTCTCCGCAACTATCTGCATCGCATCGCTCCACCACCTAGCTCTCTGCCGGCGATCCCGCCCCCGTACAACTCTCCGCAGTGCGACTCGCTTCCAAGCGACTACTCTCGAACGCGCTCCTCCATGAACTACCCTCCTCACCCTGACGAAGTTGGCCAAATCGTTCTTACGGACAACGATGGTCCGCGACACTCCCCCGCATCTCAGACATTCGCCTCCTACACGGCACAACGGAACACTTACCGATCACACATGCATTCCGACCATGTCTCCACGCGTAAAACAATGCATTACGGCACTCAGCACGCGGATGGACCTCTCAAAGTAGATATTCAACACGATGGATACAGGCAGCACTTTCATCTCGCATATCCCCGCTCGCACAACTCTCACTGGCAAGATCGCTTTGTTCAGAACGACAACTCACTCCCCATGTTAAGCCGTAACATCAACTGGGAAAAGGCTCCTGTAACGGAATCACAATGGACAACACGCGAGAACATCAGCGACGATGATACCTACGGGTCCCCGTCCCGCAAAGGCACTCAACAAACCAAGCACAACCCACCAGATATTATCTGCTGTGACAACGCCGTTGAGAATACTCTTCGACCAGACTGTTCTCCTGAACATGTGGTCGCTCGCGAAGGTATGCCGCACGAAACTCACCCGCTTACGCTGCCTTCTGTGAATGCTAACCAACGAGAAATTATCTTTAAGCGATTTCGAGAAGCAATGCTTGCACTATAGACGAACATGTTCATATTCGCAATACACCTTCGCCACCGAAACGGTCTGTGGACGGGAATGTGGTTCTGACAACAGACAGGCGAGATGCGAATGTCGAAGGACGTATTACTGATAATCGCGACGGGTAAATTTCACATTTATCGATCTAAACACGTGTGACCAACTTATGGTTCAGCAGATATTCAAATATTATCCAGTACAACACTGTCCAGGGTGGAGTTGCTGCGGTGCATTCTGGGAAATCTGATACGCAGCTTCAGGTAAGAATACGCACACGATTACTGGACTAAATATGAAACCTGACTGAAGAACCAGGCGGACGTTAACATCGCGGATTGTACAATAACAGCCAAAGCCGGTCACGAAATTCTACTCGAGGGAGCAGCTGTTCCGCGAAAACGGAAAGAAGGGCATAGAACAAACGACAACGACGGCCACGCCGACAAGAAAATACGCCTTCAAGCTACAGATGGATCTTCTCCCAAGCCCCTTCAATACACAGCCTTCATCGAGGACCACGCCGGTAACGAAGAAGACCATCAGCAGGGCAGGATTCCTCCACAGTCTTACGTAGGCGCACAATTTAGTAATAGTTGAATTAATAGGACGTAGCAATTTCTACTATTCTCAACGATATCTGTCACTGCTGGAGACGAAAGACGGTGCACACATATTACCACTATAATTGTGATTCTGCGCATGACGTTGTAACAGATCATTTGCCGCATACTGTGATACACATTATGATATCGCTCCTCAAAAGTATCGCTGCACTCCATCGATTTGTCATGTACAAATGTACAACTATATCACATACATCATACGAACAATTGCTGAGCGGTTGGTTAGTTAATTTTATGTAAGAATATAATAAAAGACATCTATCAAAAAGTACTTCTTATCATACTACGGTAATAAGCTGCGATAGAAGATGAAAAACTGGTATTACTATGATCAAACACTAATAAGACGGATCGGAATAGTTGACAAATTAGCATGTGAACAAGGTATTCCCACTGTCAATCATCTTCATCATAGAATACAAACAAAAACCGCTTCTCCACACTTCGTTCTGACTCATGGGTTTTAAAGTTACGTTACGCTCCTTGAGCAGACACGGTATATAAAACCATCGCACACTAACGTTGCAACGACGCCACATCGCTTTCTTCGTCTTCGCACCGTCATGGCTATGGGAGAGGATATGCAGATGTGAGAAGTATAGTCCATAACTAATCGAAACGCACCTCATCATTACATCCCAGTCCACGCATCGTTTCCGTCAACGAGCAGGTATCAATTGCTGCCGACACTACGCCCATGTTAGTCGCCTCATTATAATCGTCTTTGCCGCACACAGACATTGACAAGCTTAAAGTGGCACATTGATTTCTTCCATGGAGAAGATGGATTTCCTGACGCCGCAACAGGCGCATTCCAGCTCTTCACCTTCTCCCAATGCGACATCTGTTGCTCTACGTTTGCGATACACGACTACGCTGGAAAGATTTGTCGGTGACTCTGTCCAATTCCGAGACATGCTCCGTCTCACCGCTGCTGTCATTTCGGGCTCCACGGCGCTCCACGTTCTCGATATCGATCGAGCTCACACCTGGATCCCCAACGACCTCGATATCTATACACCTGCCCACACATACCAGCACGTGGTGGAGTACCTTGTCGACCACGAACACTACAAGGTGTTGAAGACTGACCGCGCCAAACCGTATTCACATACAAATCCTGCGATCAACCGCGTCGTGCACCTCGAGCGAGACGATCTCGACATCGATGTTATCCAATCCTGCAACGCCTCTGCTCTCTATCCTATTCCCCACTTCTGGTCATCCCATCTCATGAACTACTTGTCCGCGGATGGATTCTGTATCGCGTACCCGGACTACACCCTTACCGGACGCGGCATCCTCACCCCCAACCAGATGATTGGCTTTCAGCTCCCCACTTTCCGCACGCTTTCTACGATCACCAAGTATGTCGAGCGGGGGTACGAAATACGCACACAGCCTTCTGGATGGAACGCGAACACCACCATGGAGTGCGACGACGCTGTTACATGCCCCCGTATGGTTCGCTTCTTTGGCGACGAAATGTGCGTTAGCGGAGTATTCACACCACTCCCCAACACGCTGTCCGATGTCACAACATCCCCTGACCCTTTGCTGACTGTTCGTTGGGTGCGGGGAGGTGTTACCTGCGGAGACAGTTGCCAAGCTTCCGTACGCGACGATAATGTGACCCCTGTCGGTTCGTTTATTATTCCTTTCGTTGTCCTGAATTAAATGTTCGGTATGATATTTCAGCGTACTTATAAAGATGAACAAAAATATGTTGTAGCGTTGGTGGTGTTGAAAAGGTCTCCCCTCGCAATTCATCCCTTTCCCTGTTTCCATACATATTACCTCCATCATCTTCACCGTATATGAACTGAACTGTTTTATCTTCCGTTTGCCCTATTTGTATGCACTACTCATATTGTATAACACGATTTACTGCCTGTAAATTCACAATGCCTGGTAAAGGAGTACATATGGCGGTTGTAACAAGGTACGACACTTAAATACAGCACACAATAGAAAATAGCATGACACATTGTTCTACTACAACGTACCCGTAAACAAATCGACGGGAGATACCAATAAAGGACGTGGCGCGTATGCGAGAGCACTGATAGATATAAGTCTGAACTGAGCCACCCATGCGTCGGGCACCGAGAACCTCTGTATGCAATAGTTTTTCCACCGAACACAATGCGCCTCCACCAACACCAGATCTCCGACACAAAGTTGCGATAGCGACAGCTTGTGCATGTTCTGCTTCGATGTGAACACGCGAGTGGCATCGTAGACGGAAGAAAATATCTGCAGCACCGGTAAGCACAACAAAGACTGTTGACAGGAAGATAACTTCTTGTATACTAACCGGCACAGCCGACGATGGTGTGAAACAACCACTCGCACATGCTTCAAAATCTCCGTCATTTGGTTCCGCTTTAAATGAATTATAAGTTATGAAGTAATACCTTCAGCAATGATGAAAGACTAACAAGAATACACCCCGCCAAGGTTCTTCAGTTTGATAACAGAGGTATAGTCAACGGGGCGTACTGGCCGCACACGTACCACGGTGCTTGTATAAGCTTGCGTGTCGGTAACAGTCGTCCTAATCGAACATAGAACGCCTATGACCCACAATACAACCGGTTGCCCTGAATAGCGGTGGCAGAGATATTGTTGCTTATGAAGCAAGCCCCACATCGCGTGTTGGAAGACTTCTGAAATGTAAAAGATCGCATGATCTTGCGTAGCGTACTCCATGAAACCACGAAGACGCCTAATATACATGAGCACATTAAAACGCATGTCAGTTGGACCACTGACCGACGAATATACGCGTCTACCCAACGAGGTAGGATCAACCTGAACTGGTAGCTTTCGACGTGTGGATTGAACGAGTCCATCATGTGAGAATCACAAAAATGAACACGACGTCTATATTTGCAAGGTCAACGTCCTTGGGAATCACCACCGAGATCAACATACGTACCGATGTAAAGACATTCGTGCGGTTTGAGTACCAAAATGCATCATCGCTAGCGTCATATATGTATAACATCTACTTCTCTTCACCGCATACATGACAGGAAAAGCACACAATACGCAAGCACCGAAATAAGAGGTAGGTAACACATATACTACTGAGTGTATATGATTAGACACCTACCACCGCAACACATTGAAACGCAGGTCACACCGATACATGTAACCACCATTCAATGATGAATCAATGCCAATCAATTCAGTTCTAGGTCTTTCGGGAGAAGGCACCAAGCAATTCAATTACAGAAGTAAAAAACTTCACGTGTTCAGAATGATCACATGACAATGAGAGCCGGAGAGATTCTATCACAATACATTAGAACAATTAAAAAGACGTCATACATAGAGAAAGCTTATCTGATGAGCATATTGAACATGAGATGAACTTTACACATATTAGCAAACGAGCCGAACAGCTCACGTATGTGCATCACGATCTATCTACCCGCCTCGCATCAGCCGCCCCTTTACACAGAACAAATACTAATTTCGCGATTTTTGAACAACATATATAAATGAATTATGATTCTAATTGGCTTATAAGACATCATCATGGCACATAAGGAGTTTACAAGAGCTGAATGAGCGACTTTTTTTGATGGGGGATGAAAGATGTAATACGCTAGCAACGGAAACATTACTTTATAACCTACGACTGAGCAAACATTGAAATCTACGACACCGGTGCTAATTCAATCACACTACTTCCCGCTCATACAATCATTCTATATGATTTTGCCGTGTTTCAAACCAGGACAAGTGTAGTCAGTTGTCGAACATACCGCGTCCACTTGAGTGTCTTCCATTTTTTTTTCCAGAGACATGACGAACGAAATATGTTAAACTCTCTGAATTGACAAGTGGGTTTGTTCCTCGCGCACTCTGTAGATCAATGGTGAAACGCACCAGACAATACAGGCAAAATTAACTTGGACGAAACTTATATCGCATGCATGGAGTATTATCAGTCGAGTAGACATCATGGAACACTACTTATACATAGCAATTATTACAATCACATAGAGGTCGTACACTGTCTGTTTTCATGATCCGACGAATGAGGGATATGATCAATATTAAGTAACAATGAACCATGATAGTTTAATAATAGCGGACTACTGTCACCACCCACACACTTACTTCACGTAACATTAGAGTCACAACCTATCGCAGCATCGCCGTTGGTATCAAAGTGACATACTCAAGCTTGCAAGTTGTCGGTAACAAAACGTACCCATAACTAGTCCGGTATAACTCGGATCACACGACATAATCTGAGCATACAGGATCTCCACGCGAACTCGTCTCCTTCGACACGCCAACCGCATGAAGTTCTTCACATAATGCGCCGTACTCAAGTTTAATAGACAATTTGTGGGTGGAATCAAACACAGTTTGAACAATAACAGCGACTGTACAAGGAAATACGCGTACTAATACAAAATTCGATATCTTCTCTTCTAGCAGATGACGCAAATTAAGTCAGCGTTAAAACACAATGACGCAAGGAATAATACATCACCTCATAATCAACCCTACACCACTTGTACATCCTCATCCGGTAGCGGCTCCTGATCGACGTACTCGTCTGATTCCTTCAAACGACATATGCTCACGAGTTCGAAACGGCAGCGCCAGGTCTTCCACTCGTTCGCGTAAGTGGCTTTCCCAGTCTCCTGATCCACCCGAAAGCGTGCGAAGTTTGTCTCCAACAATACGAGGTCCCGGAATCCGATACGGTCAACCTTAATTTGCGGCATGGCGGACTTCTTGTCGTACTTGATAGACGCATCGTAACAGTACTTGAACTCCACCGCCTGCGCAAATAACAACCAACATTAACAGTATACATGCACTCCGCAAGATTAAAACGAACCTCGGAACCCTTTTCGTACTTAAGACGACGTGCAGAGCGACAGCCAACGTCAATTTGATCAAAGTGTAAATCCTTATCGGCTAATAGATGGCAAATCAGCGATAAATCATGGCTCTAGTACTAAATAAATGAGTATGAGACTGCTAACCTTTTTCATAATTCGATAACTGCAAGACCATCTTGTTTGCAATGGTAACAAGGCCGGAAAAAAGGGGTTTCACGCTGATCCATACATACTTCTGGAGTGCTTTGGTCTCCGGGTTGTAGAAGGACGTAGATTCGACTTCGCCAACGAGGAAAACGGTAATCGGTTTCTTATCGACTACCATCACGTTGTCCAACTTGAATTCGGCGGGACCCCATTGCGCCTGTTTTGGTATGACCGAAACTCCATAACGCAAGGTGGAGTCGTCTTTCATGAACGACATAGTGCGCACACGACTGCAAGATTGATTTAATACAACGTCACAAACTATTCCTAAATGCGCACAATCTCAACACGTACCCGATAAGATCGTCTGGATAAGCAATGCCGTTGGGACTAAAAGGCCAATCTGGAGAAGGTGAGCGCCGACGCTTGCTCGCCGACTGCACAACATTGGTGACCGAAACTGAGAAGTATTAAATAAATGCCAAACAAACAGGACCCAGTAATGTGGCATACCTTTGGCGACTGAGTTAGTCGTGCTGTTTGTGGCTGTGCCTGATTCGGAAGTGGTAGACTTTTGTTGGTCCCCCGTCTTTGCAGCCGATACAGACGATACACTGGTATGACGGATAAGCGCTAATAACATCGTTTTTAAATACGAAACGACGCACCGTGATTGATCACTATGACATTGATGAACAAATATTGTTTAGATAGCTCTGATATATATGTAATGGTGAACACATACACATCCATGCTGACAACAGTACTTGACGGCGTAGTTGTGCCATCGGCACCGCTGCTACTTATACTCAACTTGCCACCTATACATAATTCCGTTAAATGCTGGCTCAACCAATGAAAAACGTAGGACGTACCGTGTGATGTCGACTGTGGATTATTTCCCAAACTAGCAGCACCTGCCTTTCGGCTCGAAGACTCAACGTGCGGCCTTTTCTTTGGAGGCTGCGCGGCAGCCGAACGATCGGGGGATGAGTTATCCGAAATACCAGTCATTGTTGGTGAGGCGATGCAGCTCCTTGAGAATTTGCAGAACAGCTTCACGAATACAGCCATGCTTTATACTGCGGGGACTGGCCAACAGCTCATACAATGAGAACGTCACTTCCGCCAGCGCCCTTTGGCAGAGACAGGCAATTTTACCAGATGTTAATGCAATCGATGTATTGTATTGAAGTCAAAATATCTCCACATCCGGATAAATGAAGTATATATAGTCGTATAAGAATAGAGATAATGTGCAAGAGCTGAATACTACATTTATTACTCATTTATCTATACATTGCCTTTATTGAACACGCCGTTGTATGTATGCAACCAATGTGGTCACCTGCGCCTATATAATACGAACAACATTAACAACCAGTGCACAGCACTTAAACAGCACATCATCTGACCACATACAGTATGCAAAAATTAAATGCCTACATAATTTATATGAATGATACAGACTCCAAATTACACGCACACTTTCATCATCTCTATTACCAACTAAACCCAAACATACACATGCTCCCATTTGCAATAATCCTCTCATTCTTCTAGTATATAACGCTGCTCACAGATCACGATGTTTTTCAACGACCGAACACTCGCCCGCTTTTGGATATAGCAGATGTCGCACTTACAGGGTGATTATCACATATTCATATGTTTGCAATGCAGAGCTCATTTACTCTCTTCCATTAGCACGACCCGGCGTACTGATCAGAGACGTCTGGAACAGTGACCTTACGACACTACTACCGAAGAGCGAGTCTTATCCAAACCTTGCTCAATGGCAGGTGGTCCCTCAGGTTTACGACGACTTATGTGCGTGGGCTCTGGTGGAACGATCAGATGAAGAAACAGGCACCTTCCGCCCTTTCATGCTTCTCTATCATCCCGACATCTATCCGTCGTCTTCGGCTCCTACCATTGTCTCTATGCGATTCCATGGCGTTGTGGAATCACTCAACATATTACCAGTCGGCAATTACACTGGGTGAGTACTTTACCTATATAACATTATTTGATATGCAAATAATTAATTGTGAGCACGCATACATAATACAGCAACAAGGAGAAGGCCGCTCGTTCGATTCAATACATATCAATCGACTCTGGTGGATGTGACGATGCGTTCAACCTCCAACTTGCTATCATAGATAACATAAAGGCCTATCTACTCTCCACTCTCAAAGGCAACAACATCGAGTCACACAACAACAAACCAGGAACGATATTTTTCCATCGACCAGTGTTCACCAAGGTCAGTAATAGACTTTCCATATCATCAACTTTGAGGGTTACTTATACAGTATCAGGTCCATCAAGACCCCAGCAAGGTGCTCAGGTCTGCACTTGTTCTCGGCGATGATCCACACCAATACGCTCTCAACATACGGAGGGAATGGCTGGTAACCCATCGCATTGTAACCGGGCTCTACAACAACGATCATAGCGTATGCAAAAGACCGTACAATGTCATTCAGAAAGGCGACTTCGTAGAGGTGAAATGTCACGTCGAGGTGATGAGGTTTCGGAAGAAGACCAACTGGGTAACGGAAGTCCGTTTCGTACCTGAAGCGGTTATTCGCGTTTGCGATAAAACGACAGTAAGGGTAAGTGATTTAAGTATAAGGATTGGACATATGATAACTGAACATCTCTCTTAACAATCGTTGTAAAGAAAATAACAATCCGATCCAAGTCTTTCCGATCACCAGAGACGGGTAAAGCACTGAATACAGTCTCTGCGTACGACTTCGAAGACAACAACCACGCATCCGGTAGCGGCGAGCAACAAGAGATGGAGCAGTAGATCAAAATATAATATTTGCCCTTATATCGTACGTATCACCAAACGTACGACTATGTCAAATACTAATGAAAGCAGATGATAGCATCACAAACAAAGTGTACTATAATGTGCGCATTTTTTATGTTGCTCCATTATGATTTCAGACACCTAACGACGCAGTCACAATCGGAAGCGCGAGTTATGTCCATATGATGTTTATACACGATGTTGTATCTTGATGAACTACATTGTTGCCGACGCGCACGTTTCCGGAGGGCAATATATTACAAAAATCATTTAATATCAGACCTCGTCGCCGGTCGACACTGGATTCAGCCATGCAATGCTTCGACTACGCAACTCGCTCTCTCTTACGTGATTCATGACCCCCCATACAGCAAATTGACCTATGCATAGTAATCATGGCACAAAACATAGATTACTTCGTATCGACAGCTCTGTACAATTAATAGAACAACTCAGCTGCAAAACGGGAACAACAAATTAGAATCTGTGCAATTATTGCTCAGCATGACACAGAGCATACACGGCGAGCATACATGGAGATAATACCCTAAGTACAAAACAACCCTTACGGATTTTCAGCAGTACTGAACTTCAAAAGCCATTCACGCACAACGAGAAAGTGCACGCAGTAGCTAACCGCCCAAAAATACCACACCACAAACAGCGCACTTTAGATTTCAACATAATTAAACGCTCGCCGCCAATAGTTAGCTGCAAGCTGTTAGTGTTGATAACGGTCATAACAGTAATAAGCACTGTCTGATTATATTAAGTGTCATCAACCGCATTTCAATAACATAATACGCACACCGCCCTAATTAATTAACTGGCTATTTCACTCTTCACTGTATAATACAGCACCTATATTCCGCCTTTTCATATACAACACACACAAGAGCGCTGGACTAATATCAAGACGACATTGCTGACATGGTATCGTACACCGAACGAGACAAACGTTTATCGCCACATAAGCACTAACAAACTATACCGCAGAAGGATTCTAGCAAACACATATCGCATGTCAGCTTCATACGACCCCTGCGAGGTAATAGCAACGTACGGATCAAGCCCCCATCTTTGCAGCAACACGAGCCTTCTTCATCCGCTCCAACACATCCGAGACGCGTTTCTTCGAGGCGGACGGGGGAGCAGGAGGAGGTGCATGTAGAACCCGAATGTCGCGAATCTCGGCATAGTAATTATCGAGCTTGGTCGTCTTGCTCTCAAACGGCTGATACGTGATGGCCGTACGGATGAGGACCAGAGCGCCACGAAGGGTGCGTTCGTAGTCCCCCGGAAGGACAAGAACATCACCTGCGACGTCGGTGAAAGCGGGTAACACGTTTCCAGTATACTCGCCGGACTTGACGAGTTCGTTGAGCTCCGTGCGAGCTGCGACGGATGAGCACTTCCAATTCCGCATATCGAAGGGATCTAAATGGATATTTAATAAAACCATACGAAATATGACAAAACAACGCACCATCATTATCGGCATCAGCATCAGAGTTATCGCGGACCTCATTGCCAACGTTGCCGACCGACTGCATGACGAATACAACTCGAATGAGAATGGAAAATCCGTAAGGAATTTCGAAGCGTACCTCGAAAATTATATGCCGAACTTTGATCTTGTTCCCCAACTCCACTATCGTGTTCTGCTTCGTAGCGCCCGCCTGCGCGCGGCTGGACTCGATATTGTTAAATCCAGCGAGTATGTCAGGCCACAGACCGGCTGCCGTGGACCATACGTTACGCGAGGGCTTCATCAGAAGCGCACGAGCCTTTGAAGCGAAGAGCGGCGATCCAGCAGCGAATTCCACCCTCCACCCGCCGTCAACGTACAGGTGGTACGCTATACCGCGAGGGTCGATTTCTCCCACCCATTCAACCTCGGCTTCCTCCTCGGTGTCCGTGCGAACGAGCACCGAACAAGTAGGAAGCACAACCCACTTGACATGGTCTTGTAAGGAAGGGTTGCCGACGTAGTACGGAGATTTGACCAGTTCCGACAGCGCTCCTCGGAGTTGCTCTACGATCAGACACAAGCATATTAGTGTCGTCATCAAATTTTCTCGAAGCGCATCTGTTGACTCACCGAAGTCATCGGATACACCGGTAGCAGAACCGGTGGCGACAGCAGAGGCATCATCCATCGTCGGCGTAGTAACCATATCCTTCGTGATACGGAACAGGGCGGGGACTGAGAGAGAGAGGGAGAGAGGACGCCGGTTTATAATGTACCACAAATTTACCAAAAACAGCGGTCCCAAATCCATCTATACTCTGACTGACTGTGCTATGAAGTTCGCACGTCAACAGTGGTACATCAACATAATAAACGAATTGCCACTTTAAAACGGAACACTGTCAGTTACTATACGCCCAGGCTATCACACACTTACACCAATTGCACTGTTCTCACACAAGCGGTCATACCAGTCCAACAACAACCCAGATAAATACACCACGTTTGCGATGCAACAACACAAACACCACTAATACAATATTCTCAGCCCGATCCAAACGCAGAACTACCGGCATAACACTGCATCGTAATATGTACAGACCACCGCACTCCGACCGCAGCCAAACGCGCGGCCCACGTATATTTATAAGACTGAATGGCCATGAACTGAATGGGATGGTCACAGGGAACACGCCAATCTCACACGTTCAGAAAACTGAATGGGAAAGACTTCGCCGGAACCTATAGAGCATCCACAGAGACAGTTTCGTATATGACAGGTGCAGCGTCAAGAAAGCTCCATTGACAGAAGCTCTCATTTACATCTAATAATAAACCATGAACGGTGTATCAAACACCAATCACAACCGAGCTATTCGATACACAGCACACGATACATATAAGGTGATATTCTTCGGATCAAGACCAAAGTCTAAATGACTACCGAATTCCGCTAAAGAAGACTGTAAAGTTTGCTACGTAGCGCCTCAGACGACGTAAACCTAATCTAAGATTGATTTTATGTGATCGTTATCTACAGTAGATCTTATACAATCAAGCTTCACCCGCAAATTGGCATACACAAAGCAGCGTACGCTCTATCACGTCGTCGTCATCACGAGACATTTTTATACGTACACCGAATGAATTCCACTGCCACAACAAAAGCGCACAAGAATATAATCGCGTCCTCCGCTATCAGCATCAAGAATTGAATAGCTTTGAGAAATGGCGACAATTACATGCACGAGTGATCAACGCGAACCCCCCTCACTTTCCAAGACCGCTACAAAAAGCTCGCCCCCTACGAAGAGCGATCCCGACGTCGCAGACACCGGCGGCGGCATGAAGCTAATACCAGCCTCCAACCCAAAAACGGAGGGATGTCCCGGAAGCCACTCGACAAACGTCACAGTGATTTTGATGCGTTGCTAGCAAACGAGCAGTAAGCATAAACACGCGTAAGATACAACGACGACCACTCACACGAAGCCGAATACCTTGAATTTTCTCCACTATCACGTACAACGGTGCCGTGAAGACGTTGCCAGGGATGTGGACACTGACGTTCGGGAGATACAACGTCTGCATCGCCGGAACATCCCTCGCCATCTCCGAGGCGACTTCGTCGCAGGTTACGCTTGCATGAACCCGACCGCTGTCGGAAAGATGAAGCATAACCCGTACCAGAAGATGCGTACGGAATGACCCAGAGTACCGCATATGAACATATAGCGGCAGATCCAGCACGCACTGAAGACCGCTGTTGCGGGATGAAGGAGAGGAGGGGCCCCGAAGCGCAAAGCGGCGTCCATCACCGACTCCATGATTTCCTCCATCACCACCACTGGTCTGCGCATCATCGGTGGAGGGCGTGCTAGCTCATAAGTGTTAATCAAACGGACAAAATGATGAAAAGAGGATGCACGTACCCAGGCATGGTAACAAAATGTCGTGTGGAGAGAAGGTAGCAGCGTACAGCACGCTGACATTATAAACCCCCTCACAGTTAAGGTTTCGCCACTTTTGTGCATTATCAAAACCACCGCGCAAACAAAGTCAAACTCCAGAGCTAACCAATCCGCTAATAACCATACGCCAAGACGTTATTAAGGAACGTATCCATCTCCCAAACATCCTAACATCTCCAAACTCTGTATATGATAGGAGAGGTAATACATGTAACAGCGGACAGCATTGTTATAACCTCATCGATACATGCAAGTCATATAATAACACCGTTTTATAAAAGATGACGACTGTTGTTAGTGCTTATAACAGACTCGATACAGCACCAAACAACGCGCAGATGGAAATCAGGCAGAATAATAATCGGCGGAGCCCAAGGGCACGTCATCTAAACTGCGACGACCAAGAAGAAGCCTGAAATTCAGAGACACGCTTACTGGCAATCACAATCAGGGCCCGGGAGGATGGCTAAAGAGTTCCGATCCATAATTAGTATCTTCAGCAATACCAGCAGCTAGTACGCCGGCCGAGCCCTCGTGACCAAGCGCCTGAGGATGTTACTGGTTCCTGTGTCTTCTTTCGCTTCAGCACGACAACACGGCCATTAACTACAAGGAAGTTATACAATAGTAGACAGAAGTGAGAGAATTACATGATGTCGTACCTACTTGATAATGAGGACCCGTCGAAATACATACACCGACCCCAATGGCGACATGATGTTATCACAGTCCAAATACAATTTTCGAGGCAATCGCACGGATTTTGATCTACACCGTCGGAGGAAGGGAATAGACACTCACCTATCCCGATGGTTAACGGCCACGGGCACCTCATCACCGAAACCAAGCACGGCTGTTCGAGACATCGTCAACACCTCGAGACAAGCTGTTCATGAGATACTCACGGGTAATAGTAAAATAGCATCTCAGCCAACGAGGATGTTGCAGCTGCAGGTAGGCTGGTCGAATAACGTGACACGCCACCAGCAAGATCCGATAGCATGTATTGATGGCACAAGAAGAGAGACACCCTGTACTTCGCACCCGCTCTCACAACACACGATGCATCGATTGGCGTGAAATGCGCAAGAAAGGCTGCCACAACAGTGTACCTTGCATTGCGGACAGTAATCCACCGCCAGTGACACTCCTACTGGATTGCAAATAGCGTGATATTGAATTATGGCAATCTCGCACTGAAGCTGATTGCGACCAAAGATCCGCATTTCTACCTCCTCACCTTTCAAGCTCTATCACGGCCGCATGAATCTTGCCCGCGTCCTATTCAGCCGTGTAGTTATGTACATATAACAAATGAGTAACGACTGAGGTACCATGGTATCCAATATGTATATTTTGTAACAGGCCTTCATCTACACATACACGACCAGTGAGTATACCGTCATGATACCATGATCTGCCATCGACATCAACATATCTGGAAGTGAAGTGATTATTACCCAGGTATACTGCTCCGCACAGCCTCCAGCTACTATGATCAAGGCCCACACGCAAACGTAACTCACCCGCAACTTTGATATTAACGCAGAGATCATAAGTTAAATGGACTTCGACACATATTATCGGCACATTGAAACACAACACTCTCCGAACAGCCATCATATTATTACATGATGAACATAATGCATGTCTGGGTGCCTCAAATACATCTCGCACAACAGTCTCTACAACAGCATTGGTATCAACCTCATACGCCCTTAATAAACTTTCCTGAGTGAGATAATAAATAGGACATGATCGCGCGATTGACGGCTCGACACCGCCCTGTATCAGCATGCCACAATTCATACAATCGCTTTGAGTACACGTATTTGACATAGGCACGGTAAATAACACCTCGAATATATCCGACACTGCTGCAAACGTTTGACCATATCTAGGAAACATAACTGCATTGATATTAGAAAGATAATCACGAATCAAGTTTCGTCTCAGATCATATTCCGCTTGCCTGTCAACAATAAATGTGAGATGGCCCACAACAGTCCAAATCAAGCCTGCCTGATTATTCCGGATAACATCGAAACGCCACCTGTTGTCCTGCACCAAGTTCAATAGTATCATTAACAACGAATCGTACGCACAGCTGTAATTAATACTATCCCATTTGAAACCAAACCGATGAGATATTGTCAGTGCCTTCGGTTCACTATCATCCATTTTATCTAATCTCCTCTTCTTTTGTTTGCTCATACTCCGTACTTCTACAAAACGATCTTCATTTCTTTTCCTTTTCACATCGCGTTCATTAACCGACTTTACTTTGCTACCGCTAGACGAATCTGGAAATGAGACAGCGCTGCCTTCGCTCTGAATCAAACCAGTAGATGACCAATCCAAGGCACGATGTACACCTTCAGGTACGTGTCGAGCTCCAAAATTCGAAACATATGTTTTAATAGTCTCCGCTCTATATGAGAGCGATACAGAAAGCGGTAAAGTATTATTGAAAGACAACATTGTCACGAAATTCAAAATTTCCAGTTCGCGAAATTCTTGTCTCAGAGAATTGGGTAAACCACCCCTACATTTAGACTCGTCGAATCCTTCGATGATAAATGTCCCCTCTAAAGACGAGCTGCGAGATAAGCAAGTGTACAAAGCTTGTGAAGTACGACAGTATTTCAAATGACAAAAGTTCATATTTCTCGTCCGGCCTTGGGATGCAAAATCAGTCATCGCAAAATTCGGCAATATCATCACCTGACTCCGATATATATTTACCGATTTGCTTCCTATTGGAATTATACACTTCACTCTCATCTTGCACGGCACAATGGGTACAACATTGACAGGTAATCCTTGAATAAATACATCTTTAGGAGGTTTCACCAACTGTACAAAAAGAACATCAAGAACATTTTTACCACCAGAACCACGATGTGAATGCCAATCATACACTTTCGCCTCAGCACCATTAGTTGCGCACAACTCAGTCGCTTCATTGTTTTTCAGCAAAACCGGCAGACCTTTACATAGGTATAAGATACCGGCATGATGATCAGTAAGACATGGAGGAAGCTCCCACAACATATTTTGTATTTCTCTATTGATGTGAGTGGTATCTCGTAATGGGTCAAAAGAAGCAACACTATCCTTCTGCTGATCTCGCAAACTTTCTTTTCGTTCAGCTCCAGCCCAACTGTCTTCCGAATAAAACGCTTGCAAAGGAACACCGTGACGTTGGGCGAATAATGTACAGCCCACTTCATTGATAGCGTCTCTGTGAGAATTCAACGCAGTGATAATAGACAGATCTCTAGATAATTCCAAGTCCTGATCTGATAGCTGCACAACCCGACCAACTACACGACTTCTAAACAGAGCGATATCTGCCTCTGTACATGCCTTCATTCTAAGGTTATCCAGCGCAACCCTATACAAATCGTCCAAGTGAGAAGCCCCGATTTGCCGCATGTTGCTTTTTAATAATACAACACATGTAAACTGTCGCCAAAGTGCTAGGCCCAAAGCGTTAACCTGTGCCTTACCCGACAACGAGTCACTCCACTTCTCCACACGATCACTGTATAGTGGAAATTCACCTGACCCAGGAGGAGGCAATTGACCAAAATCACCGGCAACTATCATATGCTTTCCACCAAAGCTCGCAGTAGAAGTACCGAACGCAGCTGATAAATATGCACTAATGTAATACAATGAGGAGCAAGACACCATTGAAATCTCATCCAAAAAAATTAAATCGACCTTCTCAAAAGTATCTCGCAACTTAGAAAGCTTATTAGCATCCAATATCACCGACGTTCCCTTACGTCGTCCCAAACCAAGAGCAGAATGATATGTGCTCCCGTCAATAATACAGGCTGATGATCCTGTAGGTGCCATTAGAAACAACCTGTATGCCTCACCACGCAAACGCATGAGCGATGTTAAAGCACGCAGAACCTGAGATTTTCCGGTACCAGCCATGCCGCCTACGTACATTTTCAGCTGCGATCTATCACGATGCTGAACCACACCTGCAATAATCATAAAAGCCCTAATCTGCTCTTGGTTGAGAGAAAACTGAACAATCGTATCACTCACCATCAATATTGCGCTGTCTTGAATCGGCTTATCTACGACCAATTTTGTTTGTAGATCCTTCTTAGTCAACACATAGACGTTGTCAACATATGAATTATCACGCGACTCGTGCATACGAATCTCCCCAGCACGACCTGCATGTTTACAAACATCCGGAACATCATTATTACGCTTGCTAACAACTAGTTGTTTAGCTTCCGCTACCCGAAGCGACCAAACATTTACATTTTCCAACGGAACATTGTAATCATTTAATACCTCTCCAGTTTCTGGACCACTTTTTGCACAATCGCCATATCCATACGAATTAAGAACCCTCTTCATGTAATTTATCTCGCGCATCTTTCGCACATGCTCAGGATTATTATATTCCAAACCGTCTCCCATTAATTCTCTCATGTCATCCATCATATTATCTACATCAACGTCTCCAAGCAACGAATCATCGATACCGTATCCTTTACCGTCTACATTCATTCCTCCATTAAACTGTTCCGACCTTCTTAAAGCAGAATAATCATCACGAGCATCCAAACATTCATATAATACATTCATGTTATTCATAATACGCAGATGGTCATCGGAAAATACAGTGCTATCAAATATCACAGACCAACTATTATCGTTGCACACCAGATCTTCGCCGCTTCGCCATCCTCCAGGACAGAAAAATGTCAACATCGTCGCACAGTACATCTCTCTGTCTCCGCTATCCCTTCGAGGGAGCACTGGTCCACAGAAATTCAAAACAAATTTATGAGCGTCCGGCAACATGCAAACGTAATGAGACCGTGAAAGAGGGTGATCACTCAAAAACTCATACCTGGATAAATTCTGCATTCCATTATCTATACTATCATCCCCGACATTGCTATCATCCATATCGTCTTCATCATCTACATCATGCATATCACTCCGTTTGGTCACAACCTTCCCTCGCTGCACGCGAGTAAGACACATATAATCATATAATGTCCAACTGTCAAATTCTTTGGGCCTGAATATATAATCATTTACTTTATTTAATCCTACTACTTTATAATCATTCACTGCAACCATCACCTTCTCTGAACTATCCTGCACATATTCACTTCCGACCAACCTGTCCGTATCTGATAAAACTCGCCTCACATATCCGTACCAATAGAACACTTTGAACATGTCATTAGTGTAGTGATCAGGAATTCCTAAAAGATAACTACACGCAGCAGGGCCACCTATGTGCCGCATAACACTCAATGCATTAACAACTTTTGTCATCACTCTCCTAGCCGCCTCAGCCCGGGTCGACGATGTTCTCTCTATCTCGCTCTGCTTATCCAACACAGTTTTAATTGCTTCCAAAATCGAATACATATTAAGAGGACTCTTTGTAACATAGTCTGTGACGTAAGCAATAATTGCTCTTACTTGCGTACCAGACAACAAACAAGTTACATCTGTATTAAAACGAAGCACGTACGATAAAACTACGTTATAAGTATTAATCCATGCTTCCATTTTTTTAAACCTCAATGCACCCGTTTCCGGATCCACACCAGTTTCTTTCCGTATCTCCCTCGGAAAGCGAGCTTTACAATACTGGGGAAATCCCCGCATACATCCATGCCGATGATGTCGGTCGTGCCGATTGGACATGTAGACTATCTCATCTGTATCATACATGACGTTAAATATCCAATCTTGAACAGTGGCCTCATCCCTTGCAGTTGGAGGTTTGGCAACAAGGCACGTACAAGGATCACGGAATGCACCTTTACGTGCTTCGTCATCTTCCACACCGCCCATATCATCCTCATTAATATTATCGGAAGCGACATTGGGCACCGCTGTTTTATCATTACGTTTTCGCTGTTTTATTCTTTCTCTAATCTCAGCCTCATTAGATAGCGAGAATTGTCCCTGATGACAACTGTCTAACCAAAGTAATAAATCATCTCGAAACTGCTCATCTCCCAATACACGGTCACGAATATCCTGAGGACTTAGACTGCTACGCAACCACAACAACAAATGCAAATGCAACGCCAGCCTTCCCTGCTCTTCCACTGTACCGTAATACGCCAAAGTTTGACCAAACAGGCCATCTCTACCTTGCTTATCCTCCCATCGCAAGATACACTTTATAAAAGTCTTCACCAGTAGGTCAAAAAACCGAGCGCATGCAACAGGATTCTCAGCAACTGCATTCATACGCTCTATATAAGAAGGGATATCGGGTATATTACTCAGAAGATCGATGTCCAAACCACAATAATACAAACATAAAGGATTCTTATGATCTGCTGGTGCGAAAGTTATAAAGAACATAGGCACGTTGTACGCAATAATCATAGACTTGATTTCATTTCGTTGAAAACGACGTTGAGAAATCGAGCCAGGAACCTTACAGGAAACATGATCTAACAGAGATATAACCTCCATACAATTTTTCTCGCTCTCACTACTCAATTCGCTTCTACGACCAATCTTTGCATCACTCATTAATTTATCAAGTACGTTTCTATCAACTCCTAATATCTTTTCTGAAACTCTAGCAAAGTTACTCCTCTCAGTCAAAAGATACCCTCCCGTGGCACTCTCCCGTATCTGTTCATGATTAAAACAAATGTAAGGAAAATAATTATCAGTTTGAAATCTCATATCATACCTCAACAACAAACTGCGTATATGCTGCTTACGACCCAACACTTTACGCACCTTGTCATTTGACACGCCACCTAATCCATATGGGAAAAGCCATGGAAACATCCTAGGATATAATGCCGGATCATTGAATAACGATGTCGGCTTCTCAGCATGCCCGAAACCAAGTGCTCCTCCACCATCATTAAAGTGACGAATAGCCGCCGCAATCTTTTCATTGCGTCCCATCAACACATAATCCTCTTCAGAAAGCCCGTGAACGGTAAATGTACATTCCTTTTCTCTATGTTCGTTATCAACTCCTTCTTCGTCTATGACAGGACCACTATCATCTTCCGACTTGTGAGGCTCATGTCGGTACACCACGGTAACGGGAGGACATGCGTCCTCATAAGACTCCAAATTCTGTTCACAAATAGCCACATGTTCATAATCAGGATGATTCAAGATCAACCACTCTAATGCTCGAACTAATACTCGTCGCCGGATCACAAAAGGCGTGCGCTTCAAATCTTTCTCGGTAGGCTTACATGGGCCAATGAATAAAATAGCAAGGCATTCATCCATATCCTCACGTGGAGGAGGCAGCTTACTATAAGCTTTACCTATTGGCTGAGCGAACATCACAGCATTCGCCGACATTTTATACTTTCCCAAATCGGATACCTTTACCGTACACACATTATGACGCTCCAAAGCGATGACCAATCGTTCCGCAAAATTCAAATCCTTCAGCTCTCGAGGAACATCACCCACCCACAACCCATTCGCCAATGCTCGCTTTGGTAGCTGTCCTCGAGCCACACTAGACAAACAATCATCACATATACTTAACAGATGTTTGTCAGTCATGCCAGCCGGGCATATAATAGGTCCAGGAATTTCGAGCACAAGCTCACTTTCCGACCGTCTTTCTTGCCGCGTAACCCCTTCACCATCACGACATAAACAGGATAAATCAATACTGCCATTTTCTATGCTAGACAGCTGTATAAGAGGAACACTAAAAGCACAAACAGCACAAACACCCTCTAATAACTGTCGAGCACTTAACGCATCTGTCCAGTCATCTACAAACGACATCAAAGAACGAACATCGTGAACACTAGGAGGGAAATGAGCCTGATTCGGGTGTGTTCTATCACAACCATCAGGCGATTTTTTGCCAACATCGACTGCAAAAAGTAACGAGCCGCATCCATCTTCCACACATTTATGTAACAACGTGGCGGTAACAACATCTTTACGTTGAGTACTGTTATCTACATCTACACCATGTATTTTCAAAAGCGACACAAAGTCACCTTCCGTCAACTCTATAATCAAGTCCCGCAACGGAATCTTAAACCCTAAAACAATACTCCCACTTGCGCAAAGAACGCTCATCTCCGCAACATTACATAAACCTAACCCAACACAGCTTTCGCTGCTGCCCATAACATTGACATCTCCGAAAACGCATGGATAGTGTTTAAGCCACCTCGCAGAAACATTTATGATGACAGCACCGGACTGAGGCGTAGTCGCCTTATCAGCAACCACCACACTGAACACTGCAACAACATTCATACATACTTCCGTACAATTATGCGACTCAAACAACTCTTCCAATCCTTTCAATGATCTTCGGTTCCGAGGGACATGAATACGATGTTCAGCCGCCAATTTTAGAATATGTGTGAAGGGCAACAACTGTAATAGATGCAAAAGAGGAATACGAAAAGCCAAATCATCATCTGAACGCTGTGAAACCGCACATTCAAAATTAACGAACGAACGGAAAGTAAGCATACTGTCTTCATGTAAGCTCTTCAACGAACCATACACAAGCGGATACCCCCTAACGGACCGCAAACAAACAGACGCAACACGCGGCCCACCTCCACAGACCCGAGCCTTTTGATTAGATGGTTTATTCGGATGGACATTGCATTGCCCATAACCGACATCATATGACATGCACAAAAAGCACGCAAATACACAGAACAAACGCAACAAATGCGTCGCACACATGTATGGCATACTAATACTAGCACGCAACAAACGCGGAGATCCGCACAACACCGAAGCAAACGATAAGCAGTGGCAACGCATCGAGGAATACAAGATCGAGAGCTGAGAAGCGCGACTCCCAAACGCACGCCGGCTAATGTGATATATAGATACGCCATGCGGTCATAAAACTCTGCTTGTATTAACTGTACAGCATATAACAAGCATCACCCACGAGCATACTTGTTCTAAAAAGGAAATGCCATCACGCCGTCCAGCACGGATCTCACGTAAGCCCACCAACGCTCCCCCATATGTTAACCGATTCCCTATCGTGGAATCGGAACATGAAAACGGAACGTTCTGACTGCCCGATAGTTCATGCACTCAGACGATTGGAGTGAGGATATCCGTCTATTGATACAATGGTATTATAGTAGAGTAGTGGTGGGGATCTATGCGATGTCCGTGACGCGACCGTACGGCCGAGTACACGCCAGACTCTAATCCGCCCTCGCCGCCTTGTGCACCTTCTTCGACACCTTCGCCATCTTCGTCTTGGACGTATGCTTCTTCGACGTGTCCAGCGTGGGCTTGGCGCCCGCCACCTTGGTCGTAGCCGCGCTCGGGAGGACCGGCGGCGTCACAGTGGGGGGTGGGCGGACGGTGACGGCAGGAGGCGGAACGGGCGCAGGCGGGGCGGGGGGAACGAACGGCTTCGGAGCCGAGTAGGTGCCGACGTTCGAGAGGTAGTTCACGTTCTCGTCCGCGTCGTCCGACCGCCGTTCGCGCATGCGGAGCCAGGGTTCGTCCGAGCGGTCTGCGAGGAACTTCGCGTACGGCACCATGCGACGGGCCGTGTTGGCGGAGGACGTGTCCGGACGCGTTGCTGTTAGAAGGTCGGGCGAGAGATCTTGGCGGCGGTCCTGGACTGAGTAGTGCCGCCCGAGGAGAAGGTTAGGCCCAATTTCGTTGGTGGAGGGCACCATGTCTTCCAGCAGTTCAGCGGGGCGAGCTAACACTGCTGGGGTGAACGAGGCGGTGAGCGCGAGGATTATGTAGGAGAGTAACATTATAAGATTAGTGATGTGGGTCGTAAAGTCGTCAAGACGGAGTGTGGGAGGACCAGCCTAGCGCAGGGAGACGTGATGGCGAAGCTGAGCGGGAAGGGAGGCAGAGGGCAAGCGTGTGGTTGGAAGGAGGACGGCTGCCCGCCGATCGCGAGTACTTGAACTTGGTTCGACAGCCGACCAAAGAAGGGCAAATATGGCCACACGTGACTCTCTCTCCCTCTCGTACTCGTTCGAGCGAGACTGAGACTCGGAGCAATCACCGCACGACGATGTTCTGCCATAGCCCTGGAAAACAAAATTCAGAGATTGGGAGAGGAAGAGTGTGTGAGCTGAACTTACCATCGACATTGAGCAACTTTTCGTGCCTCCGGGACTCCCTTTTAGTGGCAATTTCGTCCCCTGTGGTCGAGCGGCGCTCAAGCACGCTCTTCCGCGCCGCTACAGCAGGGTTCGGCGCATTGATCCTCATCTGGTGGAGGACCTCTAAGCACCAGTCCATCGCCAGCTCCGTGAGGCGGCGGAGCTCGAACGCCATCGCCTGGTCGGGGAACGCGACCGAGAAGCGGTAGCTGTACCACAAGTACAGCACGATAACCTTGTGCACGGTCTCCAGCTTCGCCAGCGCGGCCACGATCTGCTTCGAGTCGCACTTGAGCGAGTCGTTTTCCATCATCACCAGGGCGTTATTGATGTTTTTGAGGATTCCGGCACGTTGCAGTGCACCCTCGAGGGACACTCTGAAGTGCTCGCGGTGCAGCTCCATGATCGCTTGCGCTCCACGGACGGCATTGTCGTCGCGCCACGGGCAGGGGGCGTTCTGAGCCAACAGACGGTTCTCGAGCGTGAGGCAGTCGATGAACTGGTCGATGAACTTGAAGCACGTCTCCAGCTCGTTCACGGCGTGGTACTCCATCCGCGGGTGCAGTTTTGAGACGTACACGAACACGTCGGCCACGGTCATCTGGGAGAAGCCTGGAGGGAGGGCGCGGACGACCCGCAAGAAATCCGGGAGACCCATGCTAATACGCGCGTAGCGGATGGGTTCGTAGGGGGCAGCGAGGGCCTTGCGGACGATCTCAAGGTCTCCAGCGTGAAGGGTGGTGACAACGCCGCCTGGGGTATCGTCGCCGTGCATGCCAAAGCGTCCGGCGCGACCTGCTATCTGTTTGATCTGAGAGCTGGACATGACGCGAGAACGGCCACCGTCGAATTTGGCGACAGCCTCGAAGATGACGCGTTTGATTTTGCTGTCGGAAAGTCAGCTAAGCACCGCATGCTGGCAGAGCGTAACACCCACAGGTTGAGACCCATTCCAATTGCGTCGCTGCCGACCAGCACGTCGTAGTCACTTTTTGGGTCGTTGAAGAGAGCGGCTTGTTCAGCACGGATTTCCGGAGGCAGACGTCCATACGCAAGCGCACAACGCATCTTGTTCTCCTCCTCGATACGACTCTTCATTCCGAAGATGCCGGTCCGCGAAAACGCAACGGCGCAGTCTCCCTTCTGGACTTTGCTGAGGTCTCCGCCCAAACTCTCCTCCGCGACGACGAGAGGTGTCAAGCGCTCGTACCGGTTGATCTCAAGCGTGTCGCCGAGGTCGCGAATTATGGCCTCGATGACTGGGATAGCAGACTCCTCGCCGCACAGATGAATCTCTGCCGCGTTGATGCCGAGCACCGCCGACGTCCATGCGCCTCCGCGATTCTTGTCCGCAATGAGCTGAATCTCGTCGATGACGGCCACGTCCCAGGTGTCGAGATGAGGCGTCATCTCGACGGTGCAGCTGAGTAGCGGCGCATTGTCGCTGACAATCTTCTGCTCCTCGCCCGTGACCATGTTGCACGGCCGCGCGTACTTGGGGTTCCCCGACTTCGTCACGATGACGCTCTGCCCAGTGACGGCGGCCTCCCCGAGATCGATGTTGCTCTGCGAGTCGGGCTCGTCTTCGGGATCCGGCTCCATGCCCAGGGGAACGATCTGGCCCTTGTTGAGGCGGTCGAAGATCTCGTACGCCAGAAGACGCAGGGGGCCCGCGTAGATGCCCCGCTTCGCCGCCGCGAGAGCGCGAAGCGCATTGTGGGTCTTCCCGCTGTTCGTTGGCCCGACGTGCATGATGAACTTCCGCGGACGAGACCGTCGCGTCAATGGGTATTCCCAGGTGTTGTGCGACAGGTCGGCGGCACGGAAGAGGGCCTGCATACGCGAGACGATCTCTTGTGGGATGACCTTTAACAATGCCGCTTGACCCTCGGGATGGTTGGCCCACTCGAAGAGGATCTTCGTGTAGTGCTGGTCCATGGGCCGCAAAGAACCCGTGGAGACGTCGTACGCGACACGCTCGAGCTGCTCCTCACCATAGTTCAGGTCGCTGAAGACCACACCATCCTCTAAAGCATCGGTATATGCTTTGAGCAGGGGCCGTGTGAGCTTCTTCGGGATGCCAAACCGCACGAGACGGTCTACGAGGCGGTCGCGAAACGCGAACACCCAGTTGTCGGCGTTGTCGGCGAAGTAATCTGGGACGTCGGCAGTGGTGATCTTCTTCCTACGGGGATCGACCACGTCTTCCGGCGGCGTTTTGTGAGGTGGCTTGCTCTTCTGCGCGTATTTCCGTGGAGGAGGCGCAGCTTTCCCTGTGCGTGACCGAGAGAGTAGCTGAGGGACAGAGGCAAGGGGTCTTTGGAGTTTATGTCGGCATTGCGTTCGAATAAGCTGCGGTACGCGAATCATAAGCGCAGACGGTCGACCTTTGCACAGCACAAATGAATTCCTCCAGCGCGATATATGCAGACGGGTAAACGCACCAGAAGCTTTCGTCAGCACTGAACCCCCTGCTCCTTCTCAGCCTCCTGTGAGATTTTAGTTTTAAGGCTCCGTGCTGGGGAAGAGGAAGAGACAGAGGCAAGCGAGGAGGTGAGTGAGCCTTGATCAGTACTGCGTCAATGTATTTGTGGCGTTGTTGACACTTATTAGGATCGAAAGCCTTTGCCTTCCGTATTCGGACACTCGGACCAAACTCGGACACAACCTCAGCAGAAATCAGCGTGCTACTCACCTCTTTGCCCACCTCCCTCATACTCGGCGTCCAGCACTTCGCGCCGGGTGGACTCATAACAACAATGGCCGCCGTCGTTCCCTCGCGCTTGGCAGCGCTCAACCGCCTACGCTGCGAGATCTTCCAGACTTCGTATAACCCTACGTCCGTCCGTACGGGAGCAAAGTACCTGCGCGCACGTCTGCGCGGTCCGTCCATGGTCCAGTACTACCCCGAGGAGCTCACGGTCGCGAAGTTCAACCGCATGCCTGGAGCATTCAAAATCCAGGACTGGGCGGAGTACCAGCGCCTTGCGGACGTGGAGGAGAAGAAGCGGAGAGGAAAGGGTGCGCCGAAGAAGGCGAAGACGCAAGGTTCGTGCTATGTTGTGTTTCGCGCTACTCCCTCGTGCTCATTGTGTTTCAGCCGACAGTCGGAGGATGTCTCGCAAGCGGTAGTCTGCACTCTTCGCGCACCACCGTCTACCAGCTACATACATTTCGTCTTAATGCTGCATCACCGTGTTCCGCTCTGCCTGAAATCTGCACACTGCCATCTGGATTCTATGGCGACCCTCTTGTCTGAGGAACCCCAATCTTTTGCACCACGTCACACCCTTGCAATGTATGCCATCGCACAAGCCACCAGTGGGCGCTTACACAGGACGGCCTATAGCCTGATATGCCAACCTGCTGAGATTTTCGGTTGAGGCATTCTGGCACGTCACTGCGAACACATAGCGGTACGGTACCCGTCGCGACCCTTTCCACGAGCATACCGTGCGGCGCACGGCGAAGATTATGGGTAAGTCAGGTTGAAGATTAAAGGTCCTCAGGTCTTCATCTCGTCGTCCTTGTGCCAGAGTAGATCCTCCGTTGTCGCTCAGCTTACTATCGTAGCGGCAGTTTTAGGCCTTGGGCTTCGAATCTTGCGACGGGGCTCTGCGAGATACTGGCCTCCCTCTGGTATTCGTCAAGTCTGCTCTTCGAGACGTGTGATCATACACCGCAGTGGTCATAGTTCAAAGGTCCTTAACAGCGGCTTATGCTGTTAAACAAATACATACCACCACACCCACTGCACAAATAGAAGAGAACGAGCGAGTTGAGGTGTTATGTATACTTACAGTGAGACTTGAGCTTAGGCTGGAAGCTTGCGAGATCTGGCAATTGCGAGGCGTTAGCCGGCGCTAACCCGCGATCCTTACAAGAGCGCCTATTATCTCCACGTGGCTGGACGCGGAACTACAAAAACGCATCTGCATTTTCATCTCTCTCGCGCTCTTCTTCCTCGACGTCCCGGATGCCTTTATGGTGAGCGTCCCTTCCTTATTTCTTTCCTGATGAGAACGATGCCGCCCCAGTCGTAGCCTATGGCGTTGACGAGAAGGCAAAGCATTAGCCAAACATTTGCACCTCTGATACTTTTTTCATCAATCCGTGCTTCGAGCAACACAGTTGCTAATGGATTATCTTCACAGGCCTTTGTCACGTATAGCAGGTGACCCCAGTTGTTGATGTCGAAGCAGAGAACGTGTGTGCTGTGGTTCCAAGGCACTTGATGTCGAGGGAAGCTGGTGCATCGCACCACGATAATACTGGTGAGTCTCATCTTGCCTTTCCTTCTCATCAGGCTTGCATCGGCCTGTTCCTACGGATGATCCTCAACCGAAAGCAATTAGGAAGTGCCGTCTGAAGTCACCTCCTTTGGAGGTTGACCACTGTCGAGACGCGGTTCTCTGATTTTTATATCTTGTTCAATTTACGGGTTCAATTGCTCACACACTCTTATGGTTCAGACCGCCATGAACGCGTAGTCGGCTAGCGTTGTCCGCACGGATACCGGGAGTATCGCGTCAACATCGTGTACTCGTGGTGACGTTGATTAGTACCGTCTATAGAATGTTGTATCGCATGTTGTAGTAACTCGTAGACTTGCCGTTAATGCCATTGTCTTATCGCCTTCAAGTCTTCATGTATTCTGCATGGTTCTCATCAAAATAATCAAGAACTTGGAGAATGCGCGTCGTCGACGTCGCAGAATCTTCCTGCGCTGACGAAGGGCCGAAATTAGGCCAAGATACTGCGTAATGGGCGCTTCATCACCTTTACCCTCGACCACGACCACGACGACAGCGGTGACTGCAGCGCTATCCGCGACCACGACCTCCCCAGATGGCACAATGGGGACAGGGGTACCAGTATCCCATGCAGACGGGGTTTAATCCACAGCAACAGCAGCAGCAGCAGTTCCAGCAACTCGCCCCACAACCCACCGGCTTTCCAGGCCAGCGTCCAGGATTTCAGCAACCTCAGCAGACTGGTTTCCCCGGTCAGCAAGGTTTCCAGCAGCCCCAACAAACGGGCTTCCCTGGACAACAAGGCTTTCAGCAGCCGCAACAGACAGGCTTTCCGGGACAGCAGCTACAGCCTCAGCAGACCGGCTTTCCAGGGAACAGCTTCCAGCAGCGCGCTCCTCCCCCTCCCGTCCCGCCTCTTCCATCGCAGTATCAGCAACAGCAGCCCCAACTCCAGCAGAATGTTCAGAACAGCGGTTTCCTCAGCGCACAGCAGCCCAATCGCTTCCTGAATAGCTCCCCAGGTTTGTCACCCCTAGCTGCGCAACAGACAGGCTTTCCCGGGGGAGGCGGCATGCGCCCTCTCGTGCCCCAAGCGACTGGCTTCGTCGACCCGAGGTTGCAGATGATGTCGAGCACGTTCCTTCCCGCCAACACATCCGCGCCATATAACGCTGCGGGTCTACCACAATTCCAGCAGCAGCAGAGCGGTTTCTCGCTTCAGCAGTCCTTCCAAGAACACAATCAAGCGCAGCGGGGGAACACTGCCCCCAAGATTCCCTGGGCACTCTCTAATGCCGAGAAGAAGAACTACAACCAGATCTTCCGCGCATGGGACGCCAGTAACACCGGATTCATCGGAGGGCAGACGGCTTTGGAAGTCTTTGGACAGAGCGGACTGGATAGGAATGATCTCGCGAAGATATGGTGAGCACCCAGCACGAGTCTATGCGAATGTCGCTCATAGAAGTTGCAGGGCGCTGGCCGACGTCGAGAACCGCGGCAAGCTCAACCTCGCTGAGTTTCACGTCGCCATGGGTCTGATCTATCGCAGTATGTGCCTCTATCCGATGTATGCGACGCGACGCTAACACTCCTCTAGGGTTGAACGGCAACGATGTTCCTGATGTACTACCTCCGGAGCTCGTACCTCCTTCGGCGAGGGACCTGGAGGATTCCGTCAATGTGCTTCGGGATATTCTGAAAAACGATACTCGCGCTCGCTCCCCGGGTGGTCTTGACTCTCTCCCAGAGTCGCGCATGCGGGAACGATCATTCTACTCCAACACTGCGGGCGCAGGTGGACGTCAAGATGCCACCGTGTACAAGTACAAGGACGAGACTCCCGCCGGTGGCTTCTATCAGCCCCGTTCGCGGCATGTCGACCGCAGCGCGATCAGGACGACAAGCGAGAACGCCAGTCCTGCGGCGGATCTCGATGACATGAAGCGTCAGCTGGAGAACACTGCGAAGATGCTCGACAGAGTAGCTGACGAAACCGCGTCGAAGACTGCAGAGGACGACGCGCTCGAGCGGGAGATGTCGGATCTCAAGTACCGGGTCAAGCGGGTGCAAGAGGACCTCGAGTACGTCTCGCGCGGGCCTCGTTCGGTGGCCAAAGACGAGGAGCGCCGGAAGCTCGAACGCGAGCTCTTGGAGCTCATGCACGAGAAGCTTCCCGACCTCGAGCGGAGAATTCGGGACCGCGAGGAGCGCAGAGAGCGGGAAAAGCGCGAGTGGGCTCGCGAACGCGACCGCCGCAATGACCGTTTCGGACGCTATGACAACAGGGACGAGCGTCCGCCCTCGCGCTACGAGCGCGAGCGCGACACTTACGACAGGCCTCGCAGCGCGTACGACCGGGACGATAGGGACCGGGATAGAGATCGCAGCGACTCATACCGGGACAGGGACAGGGACAGGGACAGGGACTACGACCGCGACAGGCCATACTCAAGGAATCGCGACCGTGACCGTGACTATGACCGGCCACGCAGTCCTCCCGCTACGCGCTCGCCGCCGCCGCCACCGCCCGCGGCACCTGCCACTACGAGTCGTGCACCCCCGCCTGCCCCGACGCCATCTACAACGGCCGCAGCCAAGAAGGCATTGACGTCTGAGGAACGCTCGGCCCTGGCACGCCAACGCATACAAGAACGCATGGCAGCTCTCGGAGTCGTCGCGCCGTCGCCCTCGCCGAAGATCGACACCAGTGTCGAAGACCGTCTTGCGCAGGAGAAGAAGGAAGCTGAGGAAAAGGCCAAGGCTGCTGAGCACGAGGCAGAACAGCGCGAGCGTGTACGTAGAGAGCGCTTGGAGGGAGAGAAGGCTTTGAAGGAAGGCAGGAGCCCTACCTCCCCCGCCCCGCCGTCGTCCATTCCCACCGCTGCCTCGCAAGTGCCTACGCCCAAGCCTACGCCACCTCCTGCTCCGGCCGCGAAGGCGCAGCCTCCGCCTCCTCCAGCGCCCAGGATGAAGCCTGCCGTTCCTCAGAAGAGGGGTCCCGCCCCGCCCCCGCCGGCCTCCCGCGGCTCGTTTGGTGTTCGTGCGCCGCCTGCGCCCGCTCCTGCACCTCCCCCAGCGCCCCCACCCGCTCCCGTCGTCGATCCCGAGGAAGAGGCGCTGCGTGCGCGCGAAGAAGCGTTGCGTAAACAGCGGGAAGAGCGCCTCGCTCGCCTGAGAGCGATGGAAGAGGAGGAGGCGGAGGAAGCGCGTCGCATGGAGGAGGCACGTCGCAGGCGGCAACAGCAACAGCAGCAGGTCCCAATCATCTCTCCTCCTGTGCCCCCGCCTGCTCCTCCCGCGCCTGCGCCCCCACCTGCTCAGGAGGCATTCCAAGCCCCCGCACCTCCCCCACCGCCCCCGCCAGCACCTCCTGCGCCTCCTGCTCCCCCGGCGCCGAGCAGTCACGCGTCCACGCCGTCTGTGGACAAGTCTACCACTAACCCGTTCAGTCGGCTCATGAAAGAGAGTCCCGCTGCTTCCCCTGGCACTCCCGGAGGCGGCAGCAGCACGAATCCGTTCTTCAAGCCCCAAGTCGCTTCGCCGCCGGCTCCGGCTCCTCCCGTTGCCCCTCCCGCGCCTCCCGCACCGTCCAAGAGTCCTGCGCCCAAGTCCTCGTACCATACCGCTCCCGGCGACGAGGAGGACGATTGGGAAGATGTTCAAGAGAAGGACAACGATGACAGCAGCGACGATGAGCTCGACTCGTCCCGGGATAATCGTAGCAAGCTCGCGGCTCAGCTCTTTGGAAATATCCTGCCCCCGTCGAGGCCGCAGTCCGCTGCTCCAGCGACCATGGCCAAGTCGGCAGCAAACTCGGAGCCGGCTAGTCCCGCACCGCCCGCACCTCCGCCGCCGCCTCCGTCTGCACCTCCCATGTCGAACGATATCCCGGCAGGCATTCCGCCTCCACCCCCGCCTCCCCCTGGAGCTCCGCCCGCTCCAGCGGCTCCAGTAGCTGCCGTCGCGATCCCGGCCCCCACTGGAGATCGTTCTTCATTGCTGAGTGCGATCCAGTCCGGCGCGCGACTAAGGAAGGTGGCACAAATCAACGATCGCAGTGCTGCACCCGTCTCCGGGAAGGTCATTGGAGACGCTGCCCCTCCCCCACATGTCTCTGCTGCTCCTCGCGTGCCGTCGCCTGAGTTCTATACCCCCGTGGAGACTGAGGCGCCGCAACCCCCTCCAATGGAGAGCATCAGGTCGTCTAACCGCGAGTCGGTCGACTGGTATGCTGGCCTTGCTGCTGAGGGCTCGATGGCTCAGCGCGGGCCCTCGGAGCCTCTTCCCGCTACGGTGGAGGAGGAAGAGGAGCCGGCGACGCCCGTTCCTGAGATCCAGCTGAACTCTGCCGACGAGTCTAACGCGCTTGCCGACGTAGATATGGGTACTGGTGAGTGTACTATGCTGAGGTTGTCTCCCAACAGTAAACTGATGATTGCGTTGCAGAGTTCCGCGTGCGCTCGCTATACGCGTACCAGGCTCAGAGACCCGAGGAACTGAGTGCGTTCTCTCTGTCTCGTTGCATACGAACGTATTGCTAACTATAGTATTAGCTTTCGGCGAGAACCTCATCTTGACTGCTCACCCATCCAAGTCGGGTGCTGACTGGTGGTACGGCACTGTCGTGCGCGATGGAAAGTCGGGCTTCTTCCCCAAGACCTATGTCGACCACGTTAGCTCTGGTGAGTGCAACGGCAATATCCAACAATTCTGTGCTAATGTGGGCTTCTCTTAGTCATCGCCCACGCTCTTTATGACTACAACGGCACCAATGCCGACGAACTCCCGTTCTCAGAAGGCGACGCGCTGACGATCGTCGATAAATTGGATGCGGACTGGTGGAAGGCGGAACAAGGCGGGGTAGTTTTCATCGTGCCCGCGGCATACCTCGCGCTCGCAGATGGTTAGTGAAACATTCTACTGTCCCCGGCCTTGTGTTTACGTCGTCAGCAGGCTGAGGATTCTCATATTTTCTCTTTGCATGTATCTCGATTGAATCTCGGACTATTGCACAAACTTGCCGGCACTACCAAAGCAGCATTACCCACTCAGACCTCGCGTTCTGCAGATCCTCCCGCGGCGGAAGACGTCGCGGGCCCAAGCAAGTCGCCCACGATTGAGTTCGACAAGCAGATAGAGCGAGACGAGTCTGATGAGGATAGCAGCGTGGACTCTGACTACGTGACTGCTAGCGACTCCGATGAGGATACTGACGGCAGCGAGGACGAGGAAGATCAGAGCGAAGAGGCACGACGACAAGACCGCCAGGCTCGTGCCGCAGAACGCCAACGGGTGCTGGAGGCGGCTGGCCTCGTTATCAATACCGAGTCTCAGCCTCCCCCGCCACCGCCGCGCACAAAACGAGAGCGTCGCAGGCGACCTGCTCCAGCTGTGCCCGAGCGGTCCCCGCAAATCCCTTCGCCAAGGAAGGAGCTGCCGCCCGTGCCCGAATCCGAGTCCGCAAACACTTCGTTGCGCTTGGATGATGCGTTCGAACGCTACGAATCGTATCGCCAGAACCACCTCGCACTGAACCGCCTGTCGGTGGCGTCCTTTGAGAGCAGCATGTCTAATACCAGTCCCCAGGCAGCCTCGTTTACCTTGACACCGTCGGTTTCGACTTCAGAGGAGTCGCGTTCGCATTCAAGTTCGTTATTGCACTTCTTTGGCAGGAGTCGGACGCCTGCGAACGATGGCGAGACTCGGACGATGCCCGTTATCTCTGCACCGATTTTGCTGAGGGAGCCCTCGCCTGGGCCAGGGGAGGGGGATACAGCGTTTGGCATGGTGTGTTTACTCGTTTATGTATGCCGGCAGCCAACTCATTTCCCCGTAGTCGTGGGCCAGCCTTGTAGACAAATCTGCTCTGGAAGAAATTCCTACACCAGAACGTCGGCGACAGGAGGTAGCCCATGTCTTTCATATCGACCGTGGATCTTGCTGATGTGGTCCCCAGGCAATCTTCGAGCTCATTGCGACTGAGGCGGCCTACGTGCGGGATCTGCAACTTATCGTCGAGGTATGAATTGTTGTACAAAGGCCACCGCTGCGCGCTGATGCCCCCGAAAGCATTTCTATACCAACGTCTATTCCCTGCTGGACGAAAAAGCACGCACAGTCATCTTTGCAAATGTCGAAGATATCTTGCTTATGAACACGGTAAATGACCTGCCTTTACACTGCTATCTGTCGCTCGTCTGACGCTTTCCCCATCGCCTCTAGACCTTCCTCAGCTCCCTGGAGGAGCGGCAGAAGGACTGCCGGCTGTACATAGACAAGATCGGTGACATCCTCAAGACCAACATGGCCAACCTCAGCGTTTACATGGTGAGTCGCAACCCCGAGACATCACAACAACAACTAATGCCTCAATGGCGTAGGACTATTGCGTGAACCAAGCCACCGCTATCAAGGTCCTTCAGTCTCTCCGCCAGACAAATCCAGAACTGGCGGCGTCTCTCCAGGCATGTTGTTGGTACAATGTGCGGTGCTCTTGTACCTAACGGGTCTGAACAGCGATTGCGTGATGACCCTACTGCGAGGAACCTCGACCTATCTAGCTATCTACTTGTTCCGAGTAGGTTATGCGCCCTCGTGCCCTCGTCCGATGCTGAAGTCACCCCTGCAGTGCAACGAATCACCCGATACCCCTTGTTGTTTAAGCAAGTGCGTTCTAGATCGTAGCCAAACACGTTAGTTCTGGAGTGCTGAGTGTCCCACAGATCATTCATTACACCGAAGCTGGGGACGACCGCACCCAAATCGAGCACTCGCAGCAAATGGCAGAGAATGTGCTGGCTCACATTAACGAGACCATCCGCGACCAGGAGGGGAGGGAGCGGCTGAAGGAGGTCTCCAAGGACCTCTGGGTCGGCCAAGGGTAAGCCCTACGCATGCCCGTGTGTGCTCCACACCTGATGCTAACGCACCTTTCAGACGCCTCGATCTAACCGCCCCGACTCGTTACATGGGCCCAAGGAAGCTGCTCAAAGAGGGCGTGTTGCTGAAGGCGAAAAGCGGGCGGAAGCTGCGCGCGTTCCTGTGCAGCGACATCCTTGTGCTCACAGAGGAAGCGACGAAGTCGCTATATCGCATGGTAAGATTTTGTCTGGCTTTTGGGAGCGCGTGTTTCCGCAGACTGATTTGTCATTCCAGCCACTTTCTCTCTCAGAAGTTGAGGTCCGCGAATCGACCGGGGCAAAAGGTAAGTCGCACATATGGTGCAAGATAAGTAATGCTGGTTCTAACTTTTGGCGCCGCAGACGATGCCACTTTCCAGCTCGCGGTTGCGTATCCTCGCGGAGGCGATGCGGTCACTTTGCGTGCGTTGTCTCAGCGCGAAAGTCAGATGTGGATGCACGCCATCCATGGCGCCGCTAAGCGGTGTCGCGACGCCCAACGGCGTGCGGCGAGGAAGTCCCGCGGATGACCGCCGATACGATATCCTGTTTTTTTATCGACCAGATTTCCCTGGACTCCAACCCCTCGCTGTGTGGTTCTCGCAGTGTACACTAATCGATCCTATAGTTGTAGTCGTATTTATCTGTCTATAGTTGGACAGGCATGGTTATCTACTCATGACACAGTCGCACTCTTCTCCGCGCACGCGTCTGAGCGATGCCGGAACCAAAAGCAGGCACTTACCGAGTCAGAATTGGCGCCGATACCTTGTTCAAGATCACCACCAAGTACAACCGTTGAACGACTCCGTGTTCGACACACTGTAGTTAACACCCCCGAGTACGTTTCGATCTGGCCGAACGCATGAGCAAATGCACTAAGGATGGTCCGACAGCTAACATACTTATCTGGTGCTGGACTCGCGAGGTTGCAAGCCGCATGACCTTAAAGGAATCCGCAACCGCAATCTACCCTTGATCCTCCCCCCGATGTCCTTGCAAGCAGCGGCCCACAATGCGGGTTTACCCATCAATTGTCTTCCGCCAGAACTTCTCATGATTATCCTCTACGATGCTCGGCGGTGCCTTGAGGACATCCGCCTCGCCCACGTCTGCCATCAATGGCGCACACTCTTACTCGCCATGCCCGAGTTCTGGGCCTCCATGTTCAAGCATCTCCAGGTCTCATTCTACCTCGGAGACGGCGAGCGAGTGCGATATTTCCTCGGGCTATCATCGCCGCACACTCTCAAAATGGATGTGTACATGGGGCAGTTCGCGGTCGAACTTCTCGCCCCCCACGCGTCGCGTATAGTGCAACTCTCGGTTCGGCTCATATCCGCAGACTCTATACACTATTTCGATACGGTCCTCAGCGCGGGTCTACCCAACCTCACCAAATTCCGTTACCACTCAGAGAGCATTATCTATGGCGCCTGGCGGCCGTCGCGTCCTTTCACTGACTGCTCGCTCCCAGCACTCCGCCAAGTGCACATCCCGGCCATATTCCCTCTTGCTAATTGGGTGACGCCAACGGTGGAGGAAATCACCTTGCAGGGTTACTCGAGCGACATGCGGGACCTCATCAAAGCGCTCGAGCTCTACCCGTCTGTGAAGTCCCTGACATTTTTGCCCGACACCCATACTTCGCAACACATACCTCCTTTTGCACCAGTGGCCGGGTACACCGAGCGTCCGCTCGGGGGAGAACTGCGCAGCCTCCACCGCTTATATCTGGCTGGTTCCGTGCCCAGCATAATAGACTTGCTGGCGCAGCTCAACGTACCCCCGTCGGTGCACCTTCAGCTGCGGTGCGACGACGTCGGTGCCGTCATTGCTGCTCCCGGGACTGTCCTCTCGCGGCACATCTTCCCGGCGCTCGCGCGCCTGTACCTTGGGCGCACCCACCGAAGTGGCGTCGTGCGGCTGCTTGGGTACGCGCGCTCGGATGGGCAAGACGAGTTCACCGAACGCCTCAACGTCGCGATTCCGCGCGACTGGACGGCGGAGAACGCACTCGCGGAGCTCCTGCGCCCGTTTGCAGCCTCGGGGGCGACCGCGCTCGCGATCGATCTCCCGCGTCTTCCGCCCCTCCTGGAGGCGAGCGTGTGGGGCCAGCCTTCTGGGGTGGGCGCGGACTCGGACAACGTGTTCTTGTTGCCTCGCGCTTTGAACCGGATGGAGTTGCTTGGGGGCACCCCCGGCGCGGTGAAGGTGCGCTTCGCGCGGGGGTTTATTCGGAACACATCCTTGGGAGCATCTGCGGCGCTTACACTCTGTTGGGTGCTCGACGTCGCGCGCGAACGGGCGTTGGAGGAGCGGGCGCGAGAGGAGCTGGAGAGGCTGCAACAGCTACTCGAGGAAATCGACGCGGTGGGGCGACGGCTGGGTCGGCTGGAGCTGTACGGCACGCTGCAAAGCTGGGTCGTTGCTACTCGAGCTAGCGAGGTGAGCACATATGCTCGGCGCTGTACGGAGGTTGCTGGGTCTTTCCTACCCCGTTTTGAAGAGTTGGTCGATACGGTGGTGCTGGTGTAGGGATAAATATTGACCTTTGAATCCAAGTTCAATGATACGCTCCTAATGCATGTATATGAAGGATCCGTCCTCGCGTGGCTTTTGAAGTCAGACTTTTAGCGCTTCACGACTGCATGTAGCTGGCAGCAGGCTGCAGTGCAGCTTGTCCTCTCACCTCGATCAACGACCCTAAGACTAGTACTCAAGTAGATTGCCGTGTATTGTTCAATTGCGGATGAAAACGCTCTCGGTGAGCTTTAGTAGCTATATTTTGCATGGACTCAGCCTGATTGCAGCCTGAGCCCATAGTACGACCCGTAGCCAATACAGCTAACGCCGCATATCCTCAATGTCTACACGGGTGGTCTCGCGCAACAATATCTCTCCACACATCCATCGCCTTCCACCAGAACTACTCATGCCAATCTTCTACGATGCTCAGCGGCGCCTTCGCGACATCCGATTCGCCCATGTCTGTCGTTATTGGCGTGCAGTTCTGCTGTCCATGTTCGAATTCTGGGTCTCCACGCTGACGCACCTCAAGATCTCGTCCCGCGGTGTGGCCCACGAGCTGCTCACACACTGCCTCTCCTTGTCCTCGCCCCACCCTATCAAAGTGCGCGTGGAATTCACGGGACAGTCGGAGTACGAGCTTCTCGCCCCGCACGCGCCTCGTATCGTGAAGCTGTCCGTTCGGTTGGAGGACCATGATGCCGTGCGGGCCTTCGAAGAACTACTTACGAATGGTCTACCGCACCTCGAAAATCTTCGTTACGAGTGCCCACTCGTCCTCGGGCGCCTCCAACCCTGGAAACCCGTAGCACGTCTGCTCTCAGACTTCTCGCTCCCGGCACTGCGCCGACTGGAAATTCATGGCGCCTTCCCTCTGTTTATGTGCGTAAAAGACACTCTAGAACATCTCGTCTTGTATGGCCGACCACACAGAATAACGCACTGCCGGTACGCGCTGGCCCGTTGCCGATCCCTGCAATCCTTGACGCTGCGAGCCTACGAAATGGACACTCCCTGGTCATCGCCATATCATAGTGTTATAATGCCGATCAACCCCGATGAGCTTCCGCCCACGTACGACGTTCCCCACCTCCGCCGCGTCTCCGTCGACTTCATGGCGATCGACATACTGGATACTCTCACGGGACAGCTCAACATGCCCCAGCCCGAATCTCTTCACCTGAGTTACAGCACCATAATCGGATTTATCCCCGATATTCTGGAATCCGTATCTGTCCTCATGCTATTGCCGACACTCACGCGACTCTACCTCGGGCGCTCTTATCGTGCACGGCGCGTGGACCTGCTTGGGTACTTGGACACTCACCTGGAGCGCCTCCATATCTCTCTCTGGCGCGACTGGGCTGAGGGCGATGCGCTCGTACGGCTCCTCGACGGGTTCAGGGCCTCCAAGGTGACGGCGCTCGCAGTCGACCTACCGCGCCTCTCGTCCGTGTTGGAGCAGAGCGCTTGGGGGCAACCGTGGGCGAGCGAAGACACCATCTACGATGTGTGCGCGCACGCGCTGACCCGCACGCTCCGTCGGATGGAGTTGCTCGGGGGTATGCCGGCCTCGGCGAAGGTGCGCTTCGCGCGATGGTTCGTGCGCGCCGGGGGAGAGGATAGGCTGCCCCCGAGCGTACTTACGCTCTGCTGGGTGCTCGACGTCGCGCGTGGGCAGGCGCGTGAGCAAATGGCACGCGAGGAGCTGGAGATGCTGAGGAAGCTGCTCGAGGAGTTTCATATTGAGGGGTGTCGGCTAGGCCGGCTGGAGCTATATGGTACTCTGCAGAGCGAGATCATCTCCACTCGTGTGGAGGAGGTGAGTACGAACGTCCAGCGTTGTACGGAGGTCGCGGGGGCGTTCGTCCCGCACTTTGAAAAGCTAGTAGACGTAGTTACTCTCGTATAAAACGCACCGCAAACGAAGCAGACTAAACGGAAGATGCACATATATAATCGTATATTATGTCTGCATGTATTATATCTTGTAAACTCGGACATTGCTTGTACAACTAGAATCCGCGCATCTAGACCGATGGCGCATCAAGCCGGGTGACACGGAGCGGCATCTCTGGCTTAAAGCTGTCCCCAATAGACGGATACGTGACCCCTGCGGCGTTCCACTCGATGGGCTTGTCCGTAAGATCGAAGCTGAAAGCAGGAATGAGAGTCGCGAGGACGACCTCTGTAAAGGGAACGGGTCAGCGGGAGTTCATATCATTCACAGTATGAGGCTGAGGCCGGGGTACGCACTCATCTCCAGTTGCGAGAACTTGAAGCCGCTATTATGTTCATGTCAGAGAGATCTTATGGAAGAGGGATGGACATTACTCACATGCATGCGCGCGCACCTCCAATGAACGTCATCCTGTTGTAGAATCATAAGTCTCTCTCGCCTTTGTGGTACAAAAAGAGTGTGGCACTCACAGATGTGAATAGACCCCGGGTATGTGCGCCTCCTCGAGCGCACGGGGCAGCGGGTTCATCCACCGCTCCGGCTTCCACTCGTCCGCGTCCGGGCCCCAAAGCTCGGGATTGTTGTTGCTGGCCTGGATGTTCGTGATGACGTTCATGCCCTTCTTAACGGGGATTGCGTCAATCATCGTGCCATCGAGTCCGCGAATGGGGGCAGAGAGCGGCAGAACCGAGTCCTTGCGTACTCTGTAAGATAGGTCAGCGGGTGGGGAGGATGGGCGGGAGACGAGACGGCGTACACTCGGAAGAGGCCGACGACAGGCGGGAACCTACAGGACAATGCAACTTTGTTAGGTCATATGGACCAAGCAAACACTCTCAATGAGCTTACCGTCGCAGAGTCTCGCGGCATACTGCGTCGAGGTAGGGGAGCTCCATCACCTCGTCATAGTCAAGGTCACGCAGCTTTCCGGTGCCGTCGTCGCGTGCCTGGATGATCTCCTCGCGCAGCTTCTGCTGGACATCCGGGTGCTCACACAGCAGGTAGAATATCCGAGCGAGCGCGTTGGACGTCGTGTCCATCGCAGCTAGCACGAGTGTACTGAGCACGACATGACTTCAGTGTTTTGCTGCGAAAATGGAAGGTAGAGTTCCACGTACGAAACCTGGGCAACGACTTCTTCGTCTGAAAGCCGGTCCTCTTCCGCGGCCCGCATGTTCTCTCGCACTGAACACGACGGGAGAGTCAGCATCTTTGCGATCACGTTAGCGTGCCCCAGGCGAACTCACGCAGCACACTCATGATGTCCTTGCCCTCGCCGACCTGCTGCTTCAGCGCCGCATCGCCCTGCTGCAGCGCCCGCTTCTTCTCGTTCACGATCTTGAGCGACCGCGCAGTGAGCGCGTCGCTGATGCGCATCATATGCTGCGACGCGCCCTCGCGCGGGAGCATCTCCACGACCTTTCGGCGGAACGCAGCCGGCCCAATGCGCACGAGGATATGCAGGGTTTGCCGCACGATGATGTTAATCTGGGACTGCACCGGGCTACGGAAGGACACAGGTCAACACGATGCGTTGCATTCAGCTGAAAGAGAAAGGAAGGCTCACAAGTATGCCTTGACGGAATCCGCGAACTCGTCCGCGACGTCCTCGGTGAGCGGGTCGAACGAGTGCCCCAGGCCACCCTGCCCGATGAGCTCGAGCGCGGTCCGCCCCATCCAGTTGAGCACGTCGATCTCCTGCACGCCGTTCTTGACTCGCGCGGTGATCGCGTCCTCGAGCTGCGCAGGCCGGGTGTGTGAGCAATGGTACAGATCAAGCGCAGCCTGGTGATCGCACCTTGTGGATGATCCCCGTGAAGATCGGCGTCATCTCGCGCAGGTGCTTCGCCGAGAACAACGGGTTTAGCATTTTGCGCTGCCGACGATGCTGGTCCCCTGTAGCGGTTGTCAACGTTGTTTCCTCTGCGCATCGTGACAGCAGAGTGTGGACTCACCCACTGTGGCGAGCAGCCCGGGACCAAGGTACAGTCCGAAGCTCCTACGGGCAGGTCAGCGCTGGTTTGCAGAAGTAGATATCAGTGTCGTACGAGAGCAGGATGTCGCTCTCCTCGTATACATCTTGCTCCTTCACGTATATGGCGTGCAGAGCGCGCGGGTCGTATGTGAATAATAGCTTGGTCTGTGATTGGATTCTGGTCAGAAGACAGCAGTATGTGCACCTTTCTATTGGCTTACCCCGAATAACCCGTAGAGGGTGGACACCCGACCGAATTCCGCTTGCCGCTTCTGAAAGGCCCACCCTTTGCGTGGGTGGAATATAGATGAAATGTTACCTACAAGTGCTGTCAGTTGGACCCTTTATCATGATCAAAGCTCTGTGAGCTTACCCGAAAGGAAGGAGTCGTTGGCAACCCCAGGTATATTATCCAGGGGTGACTTGGAAATGAATGGACGGAGGAGCCGCCACCCTACGTACAGTACGAAGGCGTACCCGGCGAGCTGTATAGTGGATGTCATGGGGAGAAGTAGAGGATGATGCACTCTCTCTCAAAGAGTGAGCGGTTTTATCTGTCGCGACTCGACGGATTGGCGACGCTTGCGTGTTCGTGCGGCGGAGGCGGCGGACAGATAGAGTGTGTCGGCGGGGCTGCTAACGGCGCAGCACGACATTGCCCTCTGTCGCACTGAGACCACGCCCGGGTGCCGGGAGCTATCAGTGTGCTGACTGATTTGGTGCCTTCTGTGGGAACGCGACGCTCGAAATGAGCACAACACGGTGCAGAGTGTCCTGCCGCTTTCCGACTTTCTCGGAGTTACAGGTGTGAGGGTACGACCCACCGCTGTCTCCGAAGTTGGTCCTATTCAGCGACCCTCGAATAGTATATTCGTCTTGTGAGGCCTGACAAGTACCGCGAGTCTTGGCTTGCTGTCGTAATTTGGCATCGTCCGGCAAACAGGACAATTGAACTGCCAGCAGCGACTGAAGTCTGAGGATGCGCGATTTCCGAGACTTCCGGAAGTCACATCACCCCGTTTTCCGGCGAGGTATATCATTTTACTCATCTGTTGGACTGTAAGTAGCACAGTGCTGACCGCCGATAGTCAGTCTGAGGTTTCCGATGAGCGTGCTCACTTTAAACACCATCCGAGCGTCCAATCCAAGGCCATCAAATCGTGATCTTGACGATCGTTTGCCATCGGAAGTAAGCGCATGCTGCGCAAGCTGTGTTTCGTGGCAAATCAGTCATACCAAGGATTTGGCCCGCCGTAGGCGGGCGGTCCGGCGGCCCAGGACGTCCCGGAGGGGTTCCGAATGAGGCACCCAGGCTGTGGTTAGCCTGGCGTCATAGCACGGCGCTTAACGCTCTCCATTCTCTGTACACCGCCCATCCCCGACGTTGACATGAACGAAGCAACGCAGAGAGTATTGAAACAGTGCGCGCCCTGCCCGTATGTGCGTGCGCGAGCGTGAACGTTCTCAGCTCTTGAACCTACTTACCCTTTCCGGTAATGGTAAGAGCGCTTGTACGCCCGCGCGAGCTACTTGCCGACGTACACTGCGATACATACACAGCTACAACCCCCGCGCGCCCTCTCGGAGTGAGCGCGGAGTCCGCGAGCCTATGGACGCGGACGCAAAGGAGGTAAGGTCTTGTATTCCTGTTTGGGTCTTCCGCGAATGTAATGACGCACTGCGCAAGGTGGGCGCGTCGTTTAGTACTCATCCAGGCCCTTGTTTAGGGCTCCCTGTAAACTAGGGGCAAGTGCGTACGGTTTCGCCCCTCTCTCTTTTGCACACTCCCACATCCTCTCTCACAGCCGCCGTCATGAATCGCAGACACTACGCACGCGACGCCATCCAAAACCCCCACAATATACTCCATCAGAGGTGCACCTGGCCGTTTCAATGCGCTATGTGCAGCGGCCCCCACGCCTCGCGTCCGTTCGACTTCTTCTTTGTCCAGACGGTCGATTCGGACAACCATTACGTTCTGTGTATCCCCATGGACCCCCCGGAAGCCCATCCCGTGGACGACGACTCTGAAATTGATGTCCTGCCGGTCATCTTCACCATAATCGGGCAGATCGCGCCCGAGGAGTGCTTCCTCACCACGGCCGGAGATGAGCGGGAGGACCGTCCGGATCACGCTCGAGGTGGGCCCCTTGCTTCTTGCTGGATGGAGTCGCGCGCGGACCGCAGCTCCTGCTTGGAGTGGCGTCAACTTCCGTCGGCTATCGAGCACGTTGCATCGGCCGCTGTCGCCGGGGAGCCCCTTAACACCTCGCGTGTTCTCCGCTTTGCCCCAAACGATGGCGCGGTGCAATTGCGTGTGCGATTCGTTCCAAACAGTGGCGAGGTATGTACCCTTTTCTATAGCAGCGCGTGTGTTGCCGCAACCCGCTAAAACTCAAGTCTACATATCTAGCTGAAGGACACTCTGCCGGTTTTCGACAACGACGCTAACACCCGCTGTGCCCCTGACTCTGCCGATGAAATACCGTTCAACAAACCTTTCCGCGCCATGTTTACGCTGGAGTACGTTATTGAAGGGACTGAGAAGTATTTGTTTGCTGACTTGTTCTCCCTGGACTCGATCTAACGTCTTCGACGAGGCTCCCTATGTTACAGACCCATTTCCATATTCTGTACCACTATACTTCGATTATAGCTGTAGCGATGCGTTTCCGAATACGCCTACTTATTGTATGATAACCTCACGACCATGAGAACCTGCTCGATGATCCTGTATATTAGTGTCTATTCTTGATAAGCGTCTTGTGAGCCGTGGCAGACTATAGGCGTGCGGGTGTTACCCGAGAGCGTGAATGTGTTGTGAAACACCGGCTCGAACAGCCAAGGGCGATTCCCATTCTAAGCGTACAACATAGGGTCCCTACAAGACTCGGACTAGCGGCGAGAGGCCTAGCTCAACATCCACCACCATGTCTGTCTTCGAACCCGACCACATCATCGCCCTTGCGAAGCTCATGCACGAAGGAAAGAGAGAAGATAAGCGGGAATTTGAGAGAAAATGGCGGGAAAAGGTGCGCACTGAGATCTTAGTACCGCCGCGCGGTGGTCGCGCGGTCCGACTGACTTCACGCGGACACAGGCTGAGAAGCGTTGGAGGGGGTGGCACAAGCGGCGCCCCTCGCAGTCACAGTATACGCCCCAGCTTGAGTGGGAGGCGCACGTCGTCGAGTACGTCAACTGGGCGTACCAATTGACGAAGTCGAACAGCGGGCCGCCAAAACCACTGAAAGCGGAGGTACCACTCCTCGGCCCTCGCTTCCTTCCCCCGACCTACCTCCACTGCTCCCGACGCAATTCAATAGCGGATATACAGCCGGAGACGTCGTATATGAGGCCACTTACTATCATTCATCCGCTCTACTTTGAAGAATTAGCCAAGTGTCCCCGATGCGACGGCAGCGAGGTCTCGTGGAGTGGGTGGACAACGACGGGGCACTGCGAGGTACACGGCCTTGATCGCGAGGAGACCGCTCTGGGCTACCAGCTACGCTGCAAGAGCTGCAACCCGGAGATCAATCCGGAGACGAACGAGCCAGCGAAGACCGGAGATGGGACATATTGCTTTACAACGACCAACTACATGTTTTGGGAGCGGCGTGAGCACTGGCAAATACCTCGTAAGTACTCACATATTTCCCGAGTTGACAGAAACCTACTCACCGGCGACCCCTGCACCTATTCCACAGCTGGAATCCCGTACTTCACGAAGCGTTGCGCGCTGAGCCAAGACCTCTTCAATCTGATTGTTGAGTTCCGCCTTACCATGACGTCTGCGGGTTTAGCGGAGCACATCAGGCGTGAGTGGAGTTCAAGGGCGCGCGACCAAGGGACTCACTATGAAACCGCAACGCAGAGCTACACCTCCGCCGCTATCACCAGGAACGATTGGCGTACTTAGCCAACTATCAGAAGCAACTCGAGGCTGCCTCGCATAGCCTGTTCCCCATGCAAAGGGCCCCGCTTCGTTCCTTCTCAAAGCCGGACGACAGCGGAGGGTACTGCGATAAGTCTATTACTGATGACTTCATAACCGACATCTACTTGAAGTTCAGCAAGGCAACACGGGTTGAAGAATCTAACGAGCACCTCCGCACACTTACCGGTACGTTCAGCTCCTTCCAAGGCTCAAGTGCTGAGCGCGACGACGCAGCAAGCTGACTTGCGTCCCAGCCATATCTATATCCATAGATCAAACGTTCCGCGCGGCTGGAAAGGCGAAGTTGGTTAGCTCTACGCACAAGCACGAGAAGACGTGGGGAGGAGGCATACTGAACACGCTGAATGAGCGTGGGCAGACACTCGCGTGGGTGAGTGCTTCGCGAGCGCCTATGTCGTGCAAGCTGCTGAGCTTGAGCGGCCACGACCTCCAGCAATTCTGCCAGACCCAGGCCAACGCCGAGATCGAGGAGCTACTTCAAGGCATCAAGAAGCGTTTTTCTCTGCTCAAAGTCCCCGAACCGCAGATAGTAGTGGCCGACAACTGCTGTCATGTCCGCAAAGCGATCAAGAACGCTTTTCCCAACGCCCACATCGGGCTCGATGTTTGGCACATGCTCATGCGGTATGTAACATTACCCATTGTCCACATCCTCAGACGACACTAGCTGCTAGATACTGATTTAATTGCGCCCATATAGCTACAATGTCTGCCTAATGGGTGGATCCGGAAACCACGCGCGGTCTGAAGTCGCTGACGACATCGTTAGCGCGATCTTGAAGACTCGCGCTGACAAGTTTAATCCTGCGTCGTACTGGCCGCGCGAGGAGCAGGAGAGGCGACTCGACGCAGCGTTCAAGAAATGGGCTGCGCGAGGGGTATGGAATGTCGCTGCCGTGAAGGTGAGTAACTCCCTGAGGTCGCTACTTTGTTGAGCACCCTGTACTGATCCTCGTCAATACAAGACCCACAGCGAGCAGATGAAGCATGTCAAGAAGGGCTGTCTTACTCGCCCCAGGAACGATGTTCGCTCCGATGGCAGTCGGATCGAAGGAACCCACAAGGCGTGGAACGGTCTTCAGCGCTCCTACGCAAGCGGCCTCGAAATGCTCACCATGCTGTCGCACGACCTCGTACTGCGTCGAAATCATCGTATCGATCTCGAATCCGGATCCCCCACTCCCTTTTCTTTGACAACATACGGCTCGCACCATCTTCGGCTCGTCAACCACATCGGGAAACTGTGGAACTCCATTCTCCAGACACCAAATATGGCGCACCTATTCGCTGGTCTGGCCGCAGTACCCACCTTCCGTTCTGTCAACAGCGGCGAGACCTTCGGCATCGTGCAGTCGCAATTCGCTGCGGGCTACCATTACATGATCGACATCAAGCACGAGGAGATGGACGACCTCCTGGATCTATCCGCGCAGCCCCCCGATCATGCCCAACAAATCCTCCGAAGCATCAACATCGACCCCTCGCTCCTGCTGCAGCCTCTCCCCGCTTCTGCCGCCTCGATAGATGGCTCCTTATCAACATTCCCGAGTGCACGCCACGAGGCGACCCACAGCAATGCAGGCGCCGTGTCAGAACGCCAGGTCCCGGGAACGAAAACCTCGCAGGCTTCCCAGGCCGGTTCACGGCTTAAGGTATGTTCGCCAGACGCTATCCACAAGTCCGTGTGGGTGTATACATCGCTCATCTTGCTAATTGCTCACTGCAGGACAGCGTCTCGACGCCGAGGTCGAACGCTATACCAGCCTCCTCTGATGTGGCCGATACGCCCACCGAGGAAGTACGCATTGGTGATGCTGTGTCAGTCAAGATAGCTGGTGAGTCACGTCTTTCATCGGTGGAGGCGAGGCTTATTCAAACTCTTTCTGCACAGACTCATCGTCGGACATCGACGCTGATAAGGCTATGTCCTTGTCGTCGATGGGGACCCATAGCAAAGAGCCCGCAGGGATCCTACATCAGCCGCCCGCAAGTGAACTCGACGTACCACCGTCACGCCCTGCGTCCCGGCATCCAAGCGAATGTGCACGTTCGAAACGCCCTCGCCCATCGACGGACAGCCCTCCACTCACGCTTGGCCCCGAAGACAACGACCGCCGAGATCAGGTCGCGGCGAAGAAGCTCAAGATCTCCGCCCATCTGGCCGGGCATAGCAACAAGACAGCTGCCTCGCCCTCGAACTCTGCAAACCGGAGTGATGCAGCCACGTCCGAGCCACCCGCACAGGTGCGAGATATACCACTACCGCGCCGCCGTAACGAGAGCTCACATCTCTCGATATCTTTCTAGCGCTCGAAGGTACTAAGTTCCCAGCACACCGCCGTATCCTCTCCACGCGAAGCGGCTGCTCCTACGCAGCGTTGCGGTGATATACAAGCTTACTTCGACGCCGCTCACGGAGGCCCGAGCACCAAAGTGATACACACAGGGACCCCTACGTCGAGCCCGAAGCTGCCTAAGGTCCACATCGCCGGCCTCACGCCTTCGCAGCGTGTCTTTTCCATTTCCACCGGCTTGAACCCGCTTTCCATGGCAATCACCAGCGGCGACGAGTTCTTCTTATTCATGAACTTACGCGCAGAGCTCAAGTGGGCATCATACAGCATGTCGCCTTCGCGATGGGTGGAGGCCGCAAACGCCTACAACGTGGAGCTGGAGACGCTCAACCGCCGTCTTGGACACGCTAGTTGGACGACTTGCAAGACACCTCGAGCGCTCATGGATAAGCTGAATGAAGTCGAGTCTATGGTTGTGCGGCGTCTGGCGGCGGGTGACTACAAATGTGAGATCCTCCTGTTCGCCATACGCATATATCACTGACATAGCTTCATAGCAAAGGAGTCTGGGTCGGAAGAGTTCTGGCGTAAACATTGTCACGCAGTTCCGCTGTTCAAGGGCGGGAGCGGCGATCTGACTAAGGTACGGTTGCCCCGCAGTAGCTCGCGCATACTCGAACTCACTGCATGACAGCGCAAGCTTAATACCTGCACACGCTGCAAAGCGATCATGTGGCCTGGCCCAAAGGGCTCTCCCTTGAACCACAAGCGCGCCTTTTGCTCCGACGGCGTGCGCATGAAGTCCCAGGTCAATCAGAAGACACCGGACGGACGAACTGTGACCATTACCGAGGACCTACCGCCGTGGCCGCAACCTGCCGGAATCTTCGAAGACGGCACCACCTTCCACCCCACGGTATTCTTGCGCGCAGTTACGCGGCTTTACGACCAGATGATTACCCGCAACTCGATGGGCGGCGAGTACGCTATGGAGTATCTCGCGTTTGCTGAGATGCTCCACAAGCGAACCGTTGTTGTCCCGACCAATGACGTGCCCGCCGACGCGGCTGCAGGTGAGTATCTATGCTCATACCGTGTACAGGTTTGCTGAAATATGACAGGACCCACCGCAGGGGGCACTGGCAGCTCCGCGCACAACGGCGGATCATCGGTGGCTACTGCTGATGGTCAGCAGATCTTGTTCCGGCTCTTCGACAGCTTGCGGCTCGGTCCATGCCCATCCCCGTTGCTGGTTACCTACGAAGGCGCACGCTATCTTAGTGTGACACCGCTCCTGGAGACCAAGCTTCCGGCCGAGGAGGAAGAAGAGGGCGAGGAGGGCGAGGACTAGCAGGCTCTCCCGGTCCCCTGGGTCTCCCCTTGGTTTTTAATCTTTTACACTAGTAGCCTCAGTATTGATACTATACATTCGCTTTTTCCGATTCCAAGTAAATGCACGTCGCACTTGATAGAGCAACAGGCTGGCTGCGTCCGCCTCGAGCCTCGTATGTGTCTAGGGATACGGGCGCCTATGGAACCTCGACTTAGGGTTTCGCCTACACGTGACGGGCGCTTATTCAGTTCGCTGGCATTTCTAGGGTTAGGAGGGATTCAGTATACCGATCGAAAGACTCGTTCAGTCGACGAATCGGTCCTCCCTTGGTATCGCGCTGTAGCCAGCTGTGCCGGGTCTCGCCTCGCTTGATGCGTCTCGTGCTTCGGGTAAGCTTCGGGCAGGCTAGGACCCCGGATAATGCTAACATATGCCTTCCACCGGAAGGTCCCAATTTTGGCGGTCGTGGTCCGGGCCGATTTTTGGCCTCCGGAGGCTGCTCCGGTCCGTGCCGCGTGGAAGGCATCAGGCTGGGAGAGTCGTGGTCCGGGCCCGGTGGAAGGCCTATGTAGGCGGCGCCAATTATGGTAATCAGGCGCCGAAAAAATAAGCGCGCCGCGGAGCCGCCGGCTAGCGGGCGCCTTTGGGGCCGTTCCCCGGAGGCCCGCCTGCTGGTCCGCCATCGTGGAAGGCCTAACTTGCCGGACCCCGGCCTGGTCCGGCCAAAATGGAAGGCCTACCCGGCCGGGACCCCCCTGTTTTGGTCCGTCCGGTGGAAGGCCTCTGCCCCCTCCGAGCCCCATTTTGGTCCGTGGTCGGTGGAAGGCATATGGTAGTATTATCCGGGGTCCTGGCAGGCTCCGACGTGCCGTTGACCCCTTCTGCGCCGGCGTGAGACTCCAGCACAAGGAGTCAGCTAGATGTGTCGTTACAATTTCATTTTGAGCAGCGAATATTATTGGGTCATACGTAGTTTTAGATTGGGCGAAGGGGCAGCAGTGCTTGGCAGAGGAGACCTATCGAGAATCAAGAAGCATCAGTCTAGACTCTAGAGGCGATCAACCAATAATTCCGATACTTGTGGGGTTATACCGTTGTGGTATGAAGTCAAAAGGACGATCTGGAGGAGGACTCTAGCAAGAAACCGTATCAGCGTTATTAGTACTTCTCCGTACTGGTAGCGATGCAATGGTGGCTCAAATGCACGCGCTTGCGCGCGTTACGTGGAGTACTGCTTGACGAGCCCTTCCATGTCTTCGGGAACGCCAGGTAAAGAGAGCTCAGGGAAGAGGTCAAGTAACACAAAGCCCAGAGTCTACCATTATATAGAGGAAAGCGAAGGCGAATGGAGCGTGGAGAGAACGCAGGTTCTCGTTCGAATGATGTTGCTTCTGGAGCGCCCTGCGCCCTAGGGTTTTGACGCAACGCCATATCGTACGTGGCTGGATGAGGTCTATCTCCAAATAGAGGGTGGCCGCCGCCTCATTTGATAGTCTGTTAAGAAACGCCACCAAAGATATTTCATGAGTCCGAGGGAGAAGCATACGTCAAGGAGGAACCATCAGCTTGGAGGTGTGTCACAGCTGTCGAAGCGCCGGCCACGGTGTCTGCGCCTTCCGGACCGTGTCTCGAGCACAAACGATGCACAACATAATGAGGGAGAATGAGCGTAGATATATGCAGGTATTAAAGACGTACAGGTGGTGGACCGGTTCGATTTTTTGAGTCGGAGCACTTAGAGAATCGATCATCCGCCTGAATGTGGCAATTTCGATGGGGCTCCTGCATAACACGCACAAACAACCGCTTCCCTCTCTGAAGATGGTCCCGGCACCACCGTGGTGCCCCAGAATGCTACTGGAAAGTCCTGTACCTAATCTAGGGCGATGACCGCATTGAAAAACACTCAGAGTTGAATGGATGGAACCCCCCCTGTGTTTTGAGGCCGCCAAGGTTGAATCCGGAAGCAGCCACAGCTTAGAAACATGGACCTCGCTGCTCATGCGTATGCAAAAAAACCTCTCATTATCCTGTGTATAAATTATGCCCTAGAACACGCCAAGCTTCTTAATGCGTGTGGGCGGGAATTGTACTGATATGCAACTCGAACGAGCGTTACTCCAGAAACAAGGAACGGCGCGAGAGCTCGGCGGGTATCACACCTTCAGGCGAGTGACGCGAAGGGGCATCTCGGGCTTCCTGCTCTCCCCGACGGACGGGTACGCAACGCCAGCGGCGTTCCATTCGATGGGCTTGTCCGACAGCTCGTATTTGAACGCAGGGATGAGCGTGGCGAGGACGACCTCTGACAAGCAAATAGGTCAGGGAGGGCTTAGAGGCGGATGTGAGAGTGTAACGGGGTACGCACTCATCTCGAGTTGCGAGAATTTGAAACCACTAAATTGCTCCTATCAGAAAGTCATTCATAAGACGTACTATGCCATGGGTACTCACATGCATGCACGCGCGCCGCCGATGAACGTCATCCTGCCCGCAAATGAGCTACTGTAATCCCAGCACATCTAGGTAGTTACTCACAAGTGGGAGTACACCCCGGGTATGTGTGCCTCCTCGAGCGCGCGGGGAAGCGGCTCCATCCACCGTTCCGGCTTCCACTCGTACGCGTCCGGGCCCCAGAGCTCCACGTTCGTGTTGCTGCCGCGGATGTCGGTGATGATGCGCATGCCCTTCTTGACCGGGATCGACTCGATCATCGTGCCGTCCCTTCCGCGAATCGGCGACGAGAGCGGCATGACCGAGTCCTTGCGGACACTGGGTGCACGCATGCTATGTCAGCGCAAAGACAGAGGAGACAGAGAAGACGGGGAAGCGTACACGCGCATCAGCCCTCCGACGGGCGGGTACCTGGTAAGCGTCCGGAGTTAGCGTGGGGAGCAAGAAGGGAGCCATGGGAGTCTTACCGTCTCAAGGTTTCACGGCACACGGCGTCGAGGTAGGGGAGCTCCATTACTTCGTCGTACTCCAGATCGCGCAGTTTGCCTGTGCCATCGTCGCGGGCCTGGATGATCTCGTCGCGCAGCTTCTGCTGGACCTCCGGGTGAGTCGACAACAGGTGGAAGATCCGAGCAAGTGCGTTCGAGGTGGTGTCCATGGCAGCAAGAACTAGCGTCCTGCAGGACAGATTGTTGTTTAGGTCAATGTTGACTTCATAATCAGGGAAAGAATCGAACTTACGAGACTTGGGCCACGACCTCCTCATCCGAAAGGCGGTCCTCTGCCGAGGCCTTCATGTTCTCCCGAACTGCGTCAGGAATCCCACAACATGGTCAGCATCATGCTGGCACACCCCAGCGATTGTGCTTTGGCTCACGCAACACGCTCATGATATCCTTGCCCTCGCCAACCTGCTGCTTGAGCGCCTCGTCGCCCTGCTGCAACGCCCTCTTCTTCTCGTTCACAATCATGTGCGAACGCTCGGAGAGCGCGTCGCTAATGCGCATCATATGGTGCGAAGGGCCGCCCTTCGGGGCCATCTCGACGATCTTCCGGCGCAACGCGGCGGGGCCAATGCGCACAAGGTACGGCATCGTCTGCCGCAAAATCATGTTGAGCTGAGTTTGGACAGGGCTGGAGAGGGAATAGGTTAACAAAGTGTTGTAAATGAAGGTCGACGAAGAGAGCGTACAAGTACGCCTTGACGGAGTCTGCGAACTCGTCCGCGACATCCTCGGTGAGCGGGTCGAACGAGTGCCCGAGGCCGCCTTGTCCAATCAGTTCCAGCGCGGTGCGGCCCATCCAGTTGAGGATGTCGAGCTCCTGCGTGCCGTTGTCCACCCTCGATGAGATCGCGTGTTCGAGCTGCGAATCGCGCGTGAGCAGACGCGTACGACAGGGTGATGTATGTTGGGCACTCCCACCTTCTGGATGATGGTCGTGAATATGGGCGTCATCTCGCGCAGGTGCTTCGCCGAGAACAGTGGGTTCAGCATCTTGCGTTGACGGCGGTGCTGGTCCCCTGGAAATGATGTTAGCATTGACTTGGAGGGCTAGCACTGTCCTGCGCTCACCCAGCGTAGCGAGCAGACCAGGACCGAGGTAAAGCCCAAAGTTCCTATGTAAAGTCGTGTGAGTGAAGGGCGGGACTATGGCGCGAGATGCGTGAACGTACGTGAGGAGAATCTCGCTTTCCTCATAGACATCTTGCTCCTTCACGTAGATATTGTGCAGCGCGCGAGGGTCGATCGTGTACAGAATCTTTGACTGTGCGGGCCGTGTCAGTATCTTAGATTGTAGAAAGCCAATCATGTCTTACGCCGAACAAGCTATTGAGAACGGCCACACGCCCGTACTGCTCTACCACCTGCCTTTGGAAGTCCCATGCTGCGCGCGGGTCGAACATTTTCCTAATATTACCTGCAAAATGGTCAGCTCGCTCCCGCATGCCTGCGTATGAGGCCTGCTGCCTACCCTGCATCCAGTTATCGCACGGAGGACCGGGGATGTTGTCCAGAGGCGATGCCGGCTTGAGGATGGTCGCGCGGAGCAGCCGCCAGCCGAGATACAGCACGAATGCGTATCCGGCGAGCTGCGTTATGGAGGACATGGTCGGAGGAGAAGGGGGAGGTTGATGAGGTTCCTCGCGAATAGAATGTGCCTTTATGCTCCGCGGAAGTCGGGGCTCGGCCGCTCTGCTTGCGTGGGTGCTAGGACCTGTACGGCAGACAGATTGAACGCGATCACCGACAGCCTACGCAGCACAGGCGCCATCGCTCTTCTCCGCGCCCAATTTAAACTCTGTTCCCGGTCCCGGAAGCTATCAGTGGCCCGGTGCCCGAGTGCACGACCCAACATAGATCGCTCGGAAGAGCAATCGGTTATGCGTACGCACCCTGGATCATCCTCAGAGAGGCCGAGAGGCACGAAAACGGGTGTTTTCGGACCTCTTCAGTGCTCTGGTGGCCGGCTAAGATAGCAATTCATAGGCCACTTGTAGTAGCCTCGGCTTCGGCCTCGGGGGCATCGCTCGGCACACCTCCGAGTCCCCGACTTTTGCGGAGATGGTGGCGAGTACTGAGCCGCAGCGCCAACACAGCACCCACTGGGCCACTGCCACAGCCCGTCATTATACTGTTAGTAGATCAAGGAGCGTCTGCATGCTGCTAGCCTCTACGAAACTAGCAGAGACCCGTGTGCCTGTTCGGATACGACAATCTGTGGAAAGGTCGACGGTGGCCACGGCGGCACTTGCATGCACTAGTCCTGCGCACTGCGCGGCGGGTGTGCTGCGCCGGCGACTAGTGCACGTACATACGTATTCACTACAGAACACTGAGCCGCACCTAGTAAAGTGCAAGCAGATGAAGTCAGCAGAGCATGTAAGCGCGGACGTACTTCCGAGCATGCGTGAGATCATGAGAAACGACCCCACGTGGATTGCGGGTACATGCCACTTCCGGAGATAGCGATGGCTAGTTTGTGAGGCCTCGTCTTGGTTGCAGCGGGCTCAAGAAGAAGCATGAATGGCATACAACAGAAAGAATATCAAGCATAAGAATACAGCGCGAGCCAGACATATGGGCGGTCCCGGTGAGAGTCGGCGAGCGTGGACTTGAAACATGACAGGTTCCGGTCTAGCAACGTCCTGAGTGCCTTTTTGACCAGATCATGATTCTGAGTCTGAGGGATTCGAACTGCAGCTGAGAGCACGAGCATCGAGATGTGGTTCCGTCGAAAGCCTGCATCGCGAACTTTTCGGCGCCTGAGGCATATCGAGGTAAGTACTTTGCGGCGTGGGAATCACTTCGATACGACTCGGGAAACCCCGGGGGGCCGCTGTCACTGTACATGTACACCCACCCAACTTTACACCCAACTTCATACACTCTGTAGACAAGTTGCAGTACTGGCAATACCGCACGCAAATGTCGGTGCGGCTCGGATATCCTCAATGATATATATCCTTATTAATACCAATTCTCTCAGTGCAGCACTTTAGGCTCCTCGTAACTTCTGAGGGCGTCGCACTGCTAACAAACTGAGGGCCTACAGAGCGGCCATCTTTGTGCCGTGCACCGTCTTGAGATTACATCGTTATCTGCAGATACAGCGAACGATGCTCTCAGTGTCGCCCTTGTGATGGAACCGCCGAAGCTCGAGTGAACCTGCTACCGTTGCGTGCGGTGTGTGCGATGCGATCGGCGGAGTACAAAGTTAGTGACTTCTTTGTGGTACTGCTCAAGAATTCTCATAGATCGATTTAGGGCTGTGCGAGTGGCATCGTGATACCCCTAGAACACGTCGAGGATGAGGATATCAAGCTTGTTCGTGGGTGTCAGGCCGAAGTTTTTCAATCAACAGCTCAGGATAAATCTTTGAGGTAGGTTACACGAAGTACGGGGATGGAAATGCTAACGAACCCTGAGGTGAGATGGTTTGATAGTCTTCGGTAGCACCACACTCATCATCTGGCTGTCGCTAGCCGTCCGATGCGCTCCGAGCTAGGACCGCAGTCCGGAACTCTTGCCACAGTGGTCTCTTTCGAGGCATCGAATCTCATCTGAAGGCTCAGGAGAGCGACCGTGAGCAATAATCAGCTACCTTGGCGCGCTGGTTTATATACGCCTGGCTGGTTGGTGTAACTACAGCACGGGTCTCATATGCTAAACATCCCATCCATGCTGCTGAAGTCGCTCGGGGTCGCTCTGGCTGGCGTCATCTCAGTGCTGTACACCCCAGTCAGAGGGAATACGCTCTTCATCGACAACACGGATCCGCGCGTGGTGTACTCCGGTATCTGGAATCAGATTGCCTCCGCTACAGGCCCGGAGGCGAATAACTACAATGGCACCCTCGCGCATACGACCTCGAACGGCGCATCTGTAACCTTCAATTTCAATGGTGCGTGACGGCAACCGCTCTTCTTTCGCTATGACTCACTTTGACGGGCGCTGTACCGTCAACAGGAACGCGCGTTTTGGTCTTTGGCATGGTAGTCAACACCACGGAACACCCGACTAAAGCCCAATTCATTCTGGACCAGCAGTCACCAGAGGACTACGAGGGGCCAGACAACGTTTCCGGCCCGAAATACCACGTCAAGTTCTGGGAGTCGCCAAGCACTGACCTATTTGAGCACACCCTTCAAGTGGTGAACAACGGCGAACAGTTCTCGTTCGACTATTTTGAAATCGAGGGACCCAATGGGTTGGCTGAGAGCAACACCTCGTCCGCGTCCGATGCACCGACGTCCACCGACTCGTCCGTTGACTCGTCCACCGCTTCACCCACCGGCTCTTCCACCGGCATTGTGGCGCCTCCATCTCCGTTGTCATCCCGGACCTCTACATTCAACCCGAGTTCTTTCTCTTCACCATCACCGATAGCCCAGACCTTCTCATCAACGATATCCGGGCCCTCTTCCGGGCCCTCTTCGACTAGGCCCGTCCATGCCTCCACTCCCTCCAGCACAGAAACTGCCCCTCCATCGTCTACTTCGTCCTCCTATCAGGATAGTACGATGCGGCCGACTGCAGCGACATCAGCGCCCTCGGGAACCTCGGCCGCGCGGACGCCGAGAGCGTTCGCGAAAGAGCTTACGGGCGCCCAGATCGCAGGACTAGCCGTCGGGGCGTTAGCGGTCGGCCAGATCGTTGTTCTCGCCGCTCTGTGGCAGCGTCGCCGACGCCAGCGCTCGAACATGAAGAACGCGCCCAGGAGCAGTCCCGGTAGGTCCCTTACTAGGTCCTCGGAGATACGGCAACATGCTGACCGCCCTTCCTCCCTCCTGTCTAGATGACGGGAGTGTTTTGCAACAGAGCGTGCGGTCCTCGTCGTCCCCGCCGCCGGAGTATAGCAGTAGAGACGGCGTCTCGGACACCATAGACGTCCGCCGGCCGAACTCAGATGGTGTAGAGTGGCGCAGAACACGTCAATCGTCAACATTCACATTCGTTTCCGGGGCGGCAACTGCGAGCGCACCCCAGGGCGCTGCCGACGTCGTGCAGTTGACGGGGACGGACGGTGGGATTTGCCTGGCTGGCGGAAGGCCACGAGACGACGACACGGATAGGGTCGATCTAAGCGCCGTCTTGGATCCTCCATCTTACCGCAGCAGTTACGGCCCTAGGGATGTCTGCTTGGACCCGACCGGAGTTTATGTCAGACCTGAGATGGTCACGAAGTGGTAGTTTCAAGTTGTGGTTGTGCCTGTTTGCGCGATGCAATCAGGCGAAGAGGTCAGGCATGTTGTCTATGCAGCTTCACTTATGCAGGCTAATGTATTTCTGTAGGGGTGTGCACGTCGGCGTCGAGGTATCTGATATATCATATATCCGTGGTGAGCATTCCGTATCGATGGCAGGCTGGAGTTCCCCAGATTAACAGCTCGATCATTTGAAATAGGCCCCACCAAACGTCGAGATAGAAGCGCAAACACATCTCTGAGGCATGACAGTGGGCGGTAGTAGTAAGTTATGATCCTGATTGTCGTTAACGGTGCAAGAATATGGCAGCAATCATGATATAGCAGTATACGCTTAAGTACGTCTGGCCGCATTCATTCTACGCTGGTCATATTTGTCGAACATGCCGTCCGCGCCACTCATTACTTCCAAGACACTGGTGCATATTCTACTCGGGATCGTTCCGTTGTATACCTTAGTCAAAGGGGATACACTACTCATCGACAACACAGACCCTCGTGTCTTTTACTCCGGTACCTGGCACCACATTCCATCCTCCGCAGACCCGCAGGAAAACAATTACAACGGTACCCTCGCGTATACGACTGAGGACGGCGCGTTTGCCGCGATCACTTTCAATGGTGTGTGGCCACTACTGCTCCTCCCCGCTACTACTTACGAGCTCAAGGGCCCCACCACCAGCTACACGCGTCTCAGTGTTTGGCATGTTAGCCAACACCACAGGGCACCAGATGAAGGCACACTTCAGCCTCGACCAGCGGCTGCCAGAATACTACGAGCCGCCGGATAATATCTCCCGTCCACTATACCGCGTCAAGTTCTGGACGTCGGCAGCCACGGATCTTTCTCAGCATGCGCTCCGGGTGGAAAATAATGGCGACCAGTTTTGGCTCGATTACTTCGCCGTCGAGGTACCCAACTCCAAGGTCAAATCTAACACCTCGTCCACGTCCATGACCACGCCTGCGTCGTCGAGCTCCGGCTCATCCACCAGCATCACGTCGCTTTCTTCCCCTACATCGTCATCAAATTCCATAATCCTCTCAGCTTCTTCTCCATTACCGTCGCCGGCAAACCAGACCACTGCGTTAGCGACATCCCGGTCCTCTTCAACCGAACCCACCCATGCCCCCACCCTGTCCAGCGAAACAACGGCTTTTCAATCTCCCATGTCGTCCACCTCTCAGGATAGTGCAATACTGCCATCTCCAGTCACATCGACCACGCAGACCCAGAGAGCGCGCGCAGTAGAGCTCACAGGGGGCGAGATCGCTGGGCTGGTCGTCGGGGCCTTGGTGGCAGGCCAGATCGTGGTTCTCATCGCGGTATGGCGACATCGCGGGCGCGGGCGCGCGAAGAGCGGGCGTACGAGCAGCGCCGGTGGGTTCCTTGGGTGTCCTAGATATCTCCGACAAGATGCTGACCGCGTATTGTGTTTAGAAGACAGGCGGCATCCAGGGCGTATCATGGAACGACGCATGCCGTCCTCATTATCTCTGCTGCCAGAAGATCATAGGGATAGAGACAGCGTCTCACGCACGATGGACTCCCACCAACAGGGCTTAGACGAGATGGAAGGATGCAGGACGGGACGACCGCCGTCAACGATCACATATCTATCTCGGGCGGCGAGCACGCCCACGACTCAAGGTGCTGTCGACATCGTGCATTGGACAGAGACAGACGGTGGGGTCCGCATTGCCGGTGGAAGGCCCCGGGACAATAACGCAAGTACGACTGACCTGGCCGTTCTGTACCCCCCGCCATACTGCAGTACTTACGGCTCTAGGGCCGACTACGTACATACGGCCGAGGTTCCCGTTCATCCAGAGACAAAATAGCTTGGCTGTGTGTTGTCGTCGATACCCTCACCATTGGTACTGCGTGTCGCCCAGAGTAGTTGTTTTCGGCGTCTTGGGGGAATCAGAGGGGCATTTGATGTCTTGCACGCTCGTTGAGGGCTTTCTTGCATCGGTAAATGTTCCTGTGTTGAACTAACGGTTGTCAACTCGTCGTATATACTCGGCTCCCAAGCACACTCATCGATAGCTAGTGGCGCGCACTCATTCGCGGCCCATACGTGGATATATGCCTGACCGAGGTGAGCAATCGCCTGCTGGTGAATAGAGGGCGTCGACTGATGAAGTTGTCGTGACCTTGAGGAAGGCGGGAAATGATCAGTAGGGGCAGAGTGGAAGGGGAAGAGCCTCTTCCATTCGAGAGTAATACGACCCGACGAGGAGCGGGAATCGAGAGCAAGAGCGGAATAAGTGGACAAGCAGGGAGGATTGCGTTCGAACCGTGAGACAAGACGACTCTGCGCGCCGCAGGAACGAAACAAGAAGAGAGGGCGCGCAGGCACTGGAAGGCGCAGACGCTAGTCACAACGAAGCAGCGAATGTGACGGCGATCGAGTGCGTAAGGACCTGCAAGGACGATGCGAGAGGGATAGCATAGCAAGGGGGGAGCAGTGCAGGAGAGATGGGGTGGCGCAAGAAGTTTCCGATCCATGCGGGGCAGGAGAGCAAGAGCAGCATCACGGGGACATTTCGAGTCCAGCGAGCCAGACGCCACTTTTCTGCGCCTTCGCGAGGGACACCAGCCAAAGCCTATCAATGGTGATACCGCGTGGCCCGATCGCCCACTGCGCATGTTTCCGCTGCACGCGTGTCTTCTGCGTACCGAGAACAGGTCGTGAGTCTCGAAGTACGCGCACAAGGAGATGCGAGCGACTGACCGCCGCGCCGTTCATAAACGAGGAAATGTGTTTGCATATCGTCTTGGCGAGCTTCCCACGAGTGATCTTAACGCCGCTATTCTTCAAGGAGATGTAGTGTCCTTTGTGTTTATAGCCGGGCCACTGGAGAGGGAGGGAGGGGAGGTCAGTATGATGACGAGGATGCGCCTCCGCCCTGACAAAAATCCTCACCGCGATGACCAGATGTATGCTGCGGTCGACGCCTCCTGCAACCGTAGGCTCGTCGTGCCCATCCAGAGCGACGCGATCCTTGAGGACATCGCGTACGAGCACCCCCCGAACGCCGCCGCTCATAAAGACGTCCTCGTCTCCAGTCTCCTTGTGATGTGTGTACTGAATGGTCTGCTCGATGCAAATACGGGGGAGTGGAGTTGGCGTGGACGGCGTGTTGAAGGAAGGCACGCCCCAGCCCTCGCAAGGAATGTCAGGAAGCGTCGAGGGCCCCGCCTGCATCGGGGTATAGTACACTGTCGCAGGAGAAGGGGGGAGACTGTAGTAGACGGACGCCTGTCCGGGCGAGGTGGTCTGACCAAGGCTACGGTAGGAGGAGACCGACGCTCCACCAGGCGACCCTTCGTAACTCGGCAGATGCTGACTTGGCGGAGACGCGTAGAAGGTAGGGTGTTGACCATTGGGGACATTGTAATATGTCGGCATCGGAAAATAGGGGATCGAAGGTGAGGTAGGCGATATCGCTTGTGCAGGTGTTAAGGAGGAATAAGCGTAATTTGGTGAAGTGGTGGGGGGCAACGGGGATTTCGGTAAGGGAGGGGTAGGAGGGATAAGTGCGTTTCGAAACGGGAGGAGCTGCTGCATCCCGTGAAGTACCAACGGAGACAACATCTACAGCAGCCCAATACACGGTCAGCTATGAGTAGTAGACGTCAAAGGGGATGACCTACCTCATCTCGCGGGGGCGGTTTAGGGGCATCCTGTTGGCGGACGCCAACACAGTGTTGCCAGTATTCGTCAGGCGCACTGTGAGGATGTTGAAGGTCCATACTTGTTCGTCGATCGTCCCCACCCCGGGGCGAGATGTTATCCTGTAGAGTACAGTAAGAACACCACGTATGCAGGCCCGCAGACGAGGACTTACATGTTCGAGTGACTCGAACCACTGCGAGAGTAAGGAGTCGGAAGCGGACTCGGGAGTTGTGGCTGTGTCGGGCAAGGAGTCATGAAGGGGAATCCAAGAAGTGTTGTCGTTCATTAAGTGGATGACGCAGCCGATTGTGGCCGGGAGGCGGTCGGGATAGGGCCGAGCATCCTTGCCCTAAGATCGGACGTGGCTTATATCTTCGAAGGTGAGCGGAAACAACGTGTCAGAAGTCCCTTCCTCCTTCGCGCAAGGCGGTGAGAACAATCACAACTATCCACAGCTTCTGTCGTGTTGAAGAGCAGGCGAAACGGGACGCCTGTGAGCTGCAGCGGCCGGGACGCGGGGGAATTCTGGTCGGAGGAGCTGCCATGATGAAAACACGAGTGGGGGGCAGATCTGACAGTCGGAACGAGTTGGGCTTTCCAGAATGCACAGCACGGTACTCGGATGACCAGATTGAATGCTCACAAGAAGCAAACGGAGGAAAGATGACGTGAGGTCGGAGGGGGAATAGGTGGGCTGTGTGTAGCTGCCTCGTGGATCTGGAATGGGCTGTACAGGGCGTCAGCGACGAATCTCTGCATGTTTGGGAGGATATAAGTCAAAATGGACCGTGGGTGAACCAGGTCTGCAATTGAGCGAGATTGAGCGTCTTATCGCATTATGTCCGTCGGAAGTCCGGGCCTTCGAACGAGCATCAGAGGAATAAACGTCCCGGCCTGGCGGAGATTATCAACTTGGCTGTACACCACGTACCTTGCGTACTTACCGAATTCAAGTAAATGTAACCCACAGGCCCTTGATACCTCGAACGATTCTGTCGAGATGATTTCTTGTTGCACCCCGCGGGTCTTGACCATGACATCCTTGCAACACACGCTTCCAGTTCCTGGAGAACCACGAACTTCGGCCGCCAGAAGTCCGTACTGCGCGCCGCAAACGCAAGGCAAAAGCATGTTGCTTGATGGCAGCGTCGTTCTGACCTTAGACAGACGGGATGCCACACTGCTTGAGGGATGGCCAGGGCGGGGATGGGGGAGTACATCCCCGCCCTGGCTCATCCTACTCGCTCAAAGGCGCGCCGTTTTCCCGAGAGCATAGAAGTCTACCTCTGTAGAAAGCATTCATTCTTGTTCTCAGAACAGCTGTCCGCTCAATGTCGAGCTCGAGTGCTCAGCGTGGAAGTGAGCTTACCTGTGCAAATACTCTGCTCAGCACTCCCGTTTTATTAACTTTAGTGCACGCTTGTGATCCTCAAACCTAGAAAAGGTCGATATGGTACGAAACGTCGAGGATTGACTGGATAATAGTATCTGCATGCAAGTGGTGAGCGAGAAAGAGCTCGAGGTGTGCGCCGGAATCGCGCCAAACATGAGTTAGTACCACATACAAAATGTAATAAACTCCGGCAATTACCGGTCTTACAATCTTTGCAAGCATAGGTTAAGGCGGTCAATATTCGATGGTAAGACTAATCTGGCTCTATGTAGCGCACTGCGACTTCTTCGTGACCCCCATCACCTCTACCTAACCTCTGCCTCGACAACGGTGCCCAACACCTTCGGCACGACGTTGATCCTGCGCTCATAATGCCAAGGGTGCCAGCTATCTCCCCGGCGACGGGCCAACCGACTTCGCCTCACTTCATTCACACCACCGACGCCCATTTCGTCGACAACGCTGGTCGTACGATCCTCCTGCGCGGCGTCAACCTCTCTGGCGCGGACAAGGCTCCTGTCGACGCCCAATCACAGCAACTAGATGGTTTCTGGGAGGCAGGCGAAAGCGGGGAAGAGAGCTTTGTCGGGCGCCCGCTCAATCTCGACGACGGATCCGCCGATGTCCACCTCGCTCGTCTCAAGGGATGGGGTTACAACATGCTGAGATACGTCGTCACTTGGGAGGCGCTAGAACATGCAGGCCCGTGAGTACCCTAGCTTTAGCTTTGATTCCGCGTAGTCTCATCCCCCGTCCAGCGGCAAGTATGACTACGAGTTCATGGAATACACCGTCCGTGTCCTTCGAAAGTGCAAGGAATATGGCTTCAAGGTGTATCTGGATCCTCATCAGGACATAGTGAGTGTGCGCAGTGAACGTGACTCGTGGTTACTGACGTTGTGAACAGTGGTCGCGCTTCTCTGGAGGCTCTGGTGCTCCGTACTGGACCCTACCCGCCTGCGGTATCAACCCCCGCAACTTCACCGCGACGCAATCCGCTATTCTACACTCTGAATACCCCACTCCAGCGGATGCCAACCCCGCCGACCTGCCCGCCATGATCTGGAGCACAAACTATGGTCGTCTCGCTTCTCAAACCCTCTTCACCCTCTTCTTCGCCGGCCGTGAATTTGCCCCCAAGTGCATAATCGACGGACAGAACATCCAAGACTACCTCCAGTCGCACTTCATCGCCGCGTTCGCGCAGCTCGCGGACCGCATCCGTAACGCGGGCGACCTGCTAGAAGAGTGCGTCATTGGCTGGGACAGCATGAACGAGCCATACGAAGGCTTCTGCGGCTATGCGGACCTCAACACCGTACCGACGAAGCAGGGCTCGACGCTGAAGAAGGGCTCGTTCCCCACCCCCGCGCAGTCGCTGCGGCTCGGCGTCGGCCGTGCGCAGACTGTCGACAACTGGAAGTTCACGACGATGGGTCCGAAGCGCGACGGAACGGTGACCATCGACCCACAAGGGCAGAAGATGTGGGCGGACCCCGAGTCCGAAGTCGGCGGCGTCCACCCGAAGTGGGGCTGGCGGCGCGACCCTGGCTGGAAGCTTGGGACATGCATATGGGCGCTGCATGGGGTGTGGGATATTGAGAGTGGCGCTGTGCTCATCCCGGACTACTTCCGCTACCGCGCTGACGGCCAGGAGGTCGTGTTCATCGACGACTTCTGGCGGCCTCATTGGCAGGATTTCGCTATGCGCATGCGGGAGTCCCATCCCGAGGCGATCTTGTTCGTAGCCCCACCCGTATTCGTCCCTCCTCCGGAGATCAGCGAAGACTATCTCAAGGGCCGTTGCTGCCTGTCTACCCACTACTACGATGGCCTCACCCTCGTCACACGGCACTGGAACTGGTTCAACGCTGACGCACTGGGCATACTCCGCGGCAAGTATTCGTCAAATCTCCCCGCGGTGAAGATTGGAGAGCGCGCGATCCGCAAATCGCTACAAGAGCAGCTCGGCTATCTGAAGGCCGACGCGGAGATCCTCGGCGCGTATCCAACCATCATTGGCGAGATTGGCATTCCGTACGACATGGACGGCAAGAAAGCGTACGGCTACACGGACGGCGGGAAGTACAAGGGCGACTTTTCCAACCAGCAGAAGGCGCTTGACGCGAGCCTGAACGCCGCCGATGGCCCGAACGCGCTCAACTACACGATCTGGAACTACTGCCCGGATAACTCGCACGCATGGGGCGATGGCTGGAACATGGAGGACCTGAGCGTCTGGAGTCCGGACGACCTGCGCCCGACGACTCAGTATCGGATGCAGAAGGGTGACGCGTTCCCCAGCGCTGGACACAATAAACTTCGCCGCAGCGCTACACCGTCTACCGGGTCGAGCCTCTCCCTCTCCACGATCGTTCCGGAGAGCCCTGCGAGCGACGACACCGCTGTTTCGTCGCGTATGCCCGCTCCGAACCCGTTCGCACATTGGGACAGTGCATACGACTTCCTCACGGACGGGACGCGCGCTGCGAAAGCGTTCTGCAGACCCTTCCCTACCGCAGTCGTCGGCATCCCGTCCGACATTCAGTTCGACCTCTCCAAGGCGGAGTTCAAGCTCACCGTGCGTGTCCGCCCGGAAGATGCACCTCGGCGAGAAGGCCTCGGGCTCAGAACCTTCGTATCCTTGCGGCACGACGAAGCGGAGTTACCAACGGAGATATACGTGCCCCTGGTACACTACGCAAGCGGCAAGGCACTCTCAACCCCGCAACGTGAACAGTCACCTGCCTCCTCCCACCACGGTCCGCTCTCCAAGTCCTTCGATACTCTCACCGGCGTGAACTCCGGCCACGCTGTAGATCCGTTGAGGCTGCTCTCTGACGACCCCCATCTCCTTGCGCTCGACGTCGACATCTCGGCTGGACGCTGGACGCTCGAGGGCCAGACGCTCAAGTGGTGGTACCCCGTCCCTTCCTCTGGCCAGGCCCGCGAATATACGATCACCGTCCGCCGGGCTGGCGGAGCGATTAAGACCGCCGAGGAGCAGGCTAGCGCCTGCTCATTATGGGGCATGCTGTCCTCCTGCTTCGGCTGGTGCTGCACCGTCATGTAGGGAAGGCAAGCCTGCCCACTCCCGACTTATATTACTTTGCTTTCTTGCATTTTTGGATTGGATTGTACTATATTCGCATCGCATGCTCTGGACACGCTTACATGACACCTGTATCTATGCTCACGATACGTAGATGATATACATACGCATATTCACTATGACTGGCTCACGTCCATCGCGTTCCGTATACGCGTGCTGTAGCTAGCCGGGGTCTGTGCCATAGCCTTCTGGTTTTTACGGCACGCGCACTCTACTTTGGCGTCCACAGATGAGATCTTGGGAGCTCCTGGGTCCTCGGGACATTGGCAAACCATACATATATGGGTACTTCTCCAACTAACATACACTGTTACACAGCCCGACGTCTTCTCGTACGTATTCATGACGCTCCCCGTATACCACGTACAGCCCCTTCCTGTGGGACAGATCCGTGTAGCACGGCGAATAGCGTGTGAGAGACTACTCACCTCGAGCGACACCCGCGGGATATGGGGCAGGGTATCGGCGAGGTTCACAGCTCGTCTGCTCCCCGTTTCGGCCTCAGCTTCAGCCTCTCCTGCACGTCGACACGCAGCACGCCCGGGAGCGCGTTCAGCGCGTCGACGACCTCGCCCTCGACGCGCGGCCAGCTCTGGCGCGGCACGCTGAGCACCTGGACGTCCTGGAGCTCGCCGACGCGGCCTAGGCGTTTGATGAGCGGGTGCACCGCCAATCCGTCCGGGTTGGCGTGCAATGCGGATGTCGGTGACAGGGTGATCGTCAGAAGGACGCTCTCGTCGTGGCTTTGTGCGAGGGCGGTGGACATGGTGCAAGAACAGGTCGGTCAGAAAGAGAGCCTGCGGTGATGAGGGCAGTGGACAAGGTGTGGGCCGCTGGATTCGGTCTCGTACGCTCCTTGCACTCGTACTGCGACCATGATGCCAGTGCATATGCGCGCCGTTTTACATGCACCGCTGCCGGAACGCTACACCGGTCGTTCGAGGCTGTCTAGACCCCTGATTGACTTCTGCGTACGACAATAAGCTCAACGTACTCGGAATCCGACAAACGCCTACCAAGGAGTCGCCCCAGGCTTGGCTTGATACCATCACCACCCCCGCCATCGACCGACTCCCGTACTGAACAACGACATGCCCGACACGCTCGCCCCCACCGCTGCGTCTGGCGCACGGACACCCATGCCGCTATCGGGCGTGGTCACCCCGCTCGAGTCGCAGGTCGGCGGCCACCCCGGCGTGCTCGCGAGCGAGGACGGCTCGCTGCTCATCAAGCCCGCGCTCGAGCACGAAGTCGCGTTCTACCACTCGCTCTCGACAAACCCGGACTTTGCGCCCCTGCGCCCGTTCGTGCCGAAGTTCTACGGCACACTGCGTCTTGAAGGTCAAGTGGACAACAGCGCACCGGCGGGCGAACAGGGCGGGCCGCTTGTGGTCGTGGACACGGTGCCAGACGGCGAGAAAGATGAGTACAATTTACCTGATTGGGGTGCGCGAGAGCGGTGGGGCTTATTTGGTAGTTCGCGGATACACATTCCATCGTGCTGGAGAACCTTTCACACCGCTTCCTGAAGCCGAACATCCTCGATATCAAGCTCGGCACGGTGCTGTACGACGATGAAGCCACCCCGGAGAAACGCGCGCGCATGGAGAAGACTGCGCGCGACACGACGTCGTTCGAGACTGGGGTGCGCCTGACGGGTTTCCAAGTATGTGCGCGCTCCCGGTGTTTCGCCCTGTCTTACTAGGGTTTCAGGTGTACGATTTGGTCACTGGCAAGGTGGTGAACACCCCAAAGGCGTACGGGAAGTCAATAAAAGCTGCAGATCTCCCTGACGGGATCGCTCGGTTCTTTCCCATCGCACCTGAGGCTCCCCCACCTGAGACGAACGCGCCCGCCACCGTGACGATCGCCGTCCCGGGCAACGAACCCAGCCAAGGCACAGGCCTCCCCGCGGACATTCTCGAACCTATCCTGGAGTCCCTGCGGGAAGACATCGCCGAGATCCGCGACGCGCTCGCAGAAGTGCACATGCGCATGGTTGGCGGCAGCCTTCTTGTCATCTACGAAGCCGACTTGGAACGCGCACGCGAAGGCCTCCATTGGCTCGAGGAAGGCGGCGACGAGGAAGACGAGGATGAAGATGAGGACGAGGCGGACGAGAACGGGAGCAAGCAGCCCGTAGGACCGCCGTACATCGTCAAGTTGATCGACTTCGCGCATACGAAGATCGTGCCTGGGGCTGGGCCGGACGAGGGCGTGCTTAAGGGCGTGGACACTGTGCTCAGCCTACTTCACGGACGCATAGAGCAGGTCAAGGCCGCTGCTGCTTCGTCGAAAGAATAAGGTGCAGTCTGAGGGCAGTATACCTCCTAGGAGCCAAGTCGTGTAGAAGACGAAATGTGTTACAAACAATGTATTATACCCACCTTTTGCAAGACACAATGTTTTGAAAACGTGAGGAACCCAATTCATTGACGGTGCATAAGCGTTACTTCAGCACTCAAACATTCACGACATGCAAACTTGAAGGGTACGCTGTCTCTATTAGATCTAAGAATATATATACGATTATATGCGGCGGAAAGCATGTTGACGAGATCTCATTATGCAGGTGAGGGTTCACTAGAATCTGATGGGGTATCTGATGAGGTGCTTGTGGATGGAGAGTCGGAAGACGACGGCGACTTCCGAGCGAGCTCGATTCGGGGTAGCTGCAACGGGGTGCCCTCAAACTCGGCCCAGCCTCCTCTCAACCCAATCTCCACGACGCGGTGCAGTATTCGTGCAATCTCATCATGGCTGTGCAAGTCATGGGCTGAGCTTCACTTCATGATCCAAATATTGTAAGGAGCAACCAGACGTACCGCAGAGACTGCTCCGCAAGCCGCTCCTCGTAGGCCTTCTCGAGCGAGTCCATACGCTTCGAGAGTTCGCCCACGCACTCCTTGAGCTCGTCCAACGATTCGTCGACCGAGTCTCGTCGCTTCGTCTGATTCCGCGAGCTGCGCCATGTCTCCGCGATAATCAACCCCGCTGCGACTGTGAACAGGAACCCTTCTGCAAGCGCGTTCGCGCCGTTCTCGATGGCCCTAATCAGAGTGTCAGTGTTTAGGTTGCGTTCAGCGGATATTCGGGCGTACTTGGTTTCGGAGAGAGGTCGGACGTGCTTCGCAGGCTCCCCAAGGAGGTTCGTGCGCAGCCGCACTTCTGTCTGGTACATGCGCTGCGCAAGGGCAACACAGAACGTGCGGAACGTCTCATGCCTGAAGCATAGTTAGCATCTCCATCGCGGTTTGAAGAATGAAGGTCCACTCACTGCTTGGCTTGTATCTTGATTTGGTTGCTTATGGGTTTCGCTAGCGTCTTACGTGGTTCAGGACGTGAACTGCCCGTGTGCGGGGCAGACTCACTCGGATGATCAACTGCGCGAGCTTTGCGGAAGCCATGATGAGTAGGTTGCGAAGACGAGATCAGCTGGGGCACAACGAGGAAAACTGAAGAGCAACAAGCAAGCAGATGGGGAACGAGGTCGAGGATGTGAAGGAAGCCGTGCGGAACGCCGCGGACGTTGACCACGACGCGCCGAGCGTCCTCGTCAGTGCCGACGGCCCAACGGCCCGGGGATCCGAAATGGCAGCACAGCGTCATCGTCCATCCTGCTCACCTTCCGCGTTTGGGCGACCGTTTCTTGTCCCAAACCACCACCATCGTCGGGCAGCGTCGTCTTGATTGCACAGATGCTTGCTTCCCAGTCTTCTCTGTCCAAACGTACGCTCAATTTCTTGAACCCGGACAGCGTCGTTGTCGAGGATCACGCTGGAGGACTGAATATTGGAAACGCCGGAGAACAGGTATCTTCTCAACCTTTTACGCTTCAGCGATGATTTCAATAGTCACCAACCTTATCAGTACGACATGCATGCGGCGGAATACGAGATGAACATCAGACTAGAGCGCTTGCGTGTTTTAGAAGCCCTTTCGGCTCGCGACGTTGCTGTAGGACGCCTCGCAGAGGCCTGTTCGTCGGTTCGCGAAAAGGCAGAGAAGATTCAAGATCTCAGCAACGAAAAGGAGAACCTAGTCAAACAGCTAGAGGTCATGGCCAGTGATCATAGGCAGCCGGGAAACGACGGCCCTAGCAGCAAGAACGTAGCGGCGCCCACGGAAGTTCGCAAATTGGTTGAATGCATGCAGACATTGGAGAATAAGTTGGCATCTTTAAACATGACGGAGAATCGCCCTCCCAACGCGAGAGAAGACGTTCAAAATGAATATAAGGTATTTAACACAGTTTGCATGTTTTGCTCGCACTGACAAGCCTCTCGGCCACAAGCTACTGAAGCAGAATATCGAGACCACCGTGAACAACGTTATGAAGACCTTACGCCATGGCAGTCACGGGACGGACGTCCTGAGGGACGCCACAAACGGTAGCCCTGCAAGTGTATATGCTACGCCAAACCCGCTCAGGGACTGCGATAATCTTGAGTCCCCTTGGACGCCTGTTGAGGGGGAACGGGTGGTATGCGTTTAGCTACATTCTGTCAACGAGTCCTTATTTACCCTCATGTTGGCAGCCTACGCTCCCCACGGCCACGACTACCGAGAAGATTCAATCCCGATACGCTGTTCTGGCGTCTCTCGCTCTTCCCCGCGGCATCCCGAACGATGCGCTCACCCCCATCATCATCCCCTCGCCTTACTCTGTGCATGACTTCATCAGTACGACAGGCGGCGTAAGTTCGCTTGCGCTGTGTTCTATCGTATATCGACAACTGACTGAAAAACAAACAGCATCTGCGATCTCAGTGCGTACATTTCGACATCATACGCACGATAATAACGCGCATATATCTAGGATTGGAAATTATCGCATCTTTCAACAATCCACCACGACGTGGTGCCCAGAGCGTGAAGAGCATGGCTACTACCTCACACCCGCCTTCAAATGCAGCACGAACCCTCGCGTTACTACTGCACACCGATGGTCCGCAGTCGACCTCGCTGCAAAGCTAGACAAACCGACAGGTACGAGCTCTAGCGTAAATCTCGTGGTCGTCCTTACACGACTGTCGAACAGAATGCTTCTTCAACAAGGACGGCAATTGGTACTACGCTGGAATTTACCAGTCCTTTCGCCTTGAGGACCTCTGCTCGCAGGAGTGGGAGTGCCTGTCTCCCGAGGCAAGTCATGCTACCCTTCGCGCACTGAACCCTGATGTCATCGGTAACATACTACCAGACATCTCAAGCGTTGATCAGAGAGACGCTAGCTGGGCGCAAGAACACCTCTCCGCAGAACATCTACGAGACCGGGCAGCTCTATTCGGCTGGCGCGCTCAAGGCCGCCTGCATCGGCCTCCAGTGCATCGGCTTCAACGACGTCCTCTACCGTGGGCTACTCGAGCACGCCGCACACTGCACCCAAACTGGCAAGTGGCGGGTGGTCGGGTACGGCGGAACCGGCGGAACCGGCGCCGGAGGTACGGGCTTGGGCATCGGCACTGCATGGAACGTCAACCCCAACGCGAACGCCGGCGCACACTCTCCTGGCGGCATCGCAGCAGTCCCTAGTGGCCTCTCTGGTGGCGACGGTGTCTTGTCTGGAAGTCTGCTCTCTGCTCTCTGAAGTTCTGCGCATCACCCTCGGGCCTCTGCCTATGATCTTTGTCCTTTGTCCTATGAGCTGAGCAGGGTCTCTCCAACTCCCATCACGCGCTCTACATCCACTGTATATCTGCATCTTCACTTCTGGCTCGCCGGTGCGTTTTCGCCCTCAATACCTGGGGTTGCATCAGGACAGCTATCGACCTCCTGGATTGAAGACGTTCAGAGATTCTGTCATTGTATCGATGCCTTGTTTAACAAATGACTACTGTTTCACGAGTATGCCAGTGGCGTACGATGGTGCGAGGACTCTATCGGGGCTCACTTCGCAACCACAGGCCAAGTGTATATGACCGATGATCTCTTACAGTTCTATAACGTTGAGGACGCCGACGCCGACTTTTCTGAGTCCTCAAGATTATAAGCCGCTGCAAATCTCAGACAGACGTAGGATTGCCACATGTGTCAATTGGTCAGCGAGCTATTCGCTCCGCTCTCAGTGAAGAAGGGCAATTGCAACATTGGGATACTGCGCTGCTGGCACAATCGATGTTGCCAGCTCATCGCTTCTGCTTCCTGCTTCCAATGTCCTCCATACTACAGCTCGCCGGATATGCCCTCGCGCTCTATGTCGGTTGGCGACTTCTCCGTTGGAATTTATACAAGTCACCTCTCGACAACATACCTGGGGTTGCAAATCACTCTCTCATCGCAGGTAAGCCATCTGAACCCCATGACGAATTCCACTGACCGTCATTCTCCTAGGGAACATCGAAGCAATGTTTCACCCACGCGCCGGGTGGGCCTTCGTGGAAAAAGTCATCGAATACGGGCGAGTTTCCACCATTCACGGATCTTTCGGGGTAAGGGGAGGAAAACCCAAACCTACTACTCTTCACTAAACGCCGTTCCCACCTTCACGCAGACCAAGGTGCTGTTCACGTTCGACCCGCGAGCTTTCCACGCTATATACGTGAAGGATCAAGATGTATACGAGGAGAGCGATATATTCATTTCGTATGATCATGTTACATGTATGTGGCCTCGACTGTCACTGACATGTTTACAGGATCTTCGGGCTCTGCCTCGGTCCTGGGTTGCTTTCCACATTGGGTGAGCCTAAATTGTCAGAGTGGTCCTTTCGGTGTGCATCGGTACTAATAATGATTACTCCAGGGGAGCAGCACCGTCGGCAGCGCAAGATGTTGAACCCGTTATTCTCGGCCAAACACTTGCGTGACGCTGATCTTCACGAACATCGTTCACAAGGTCAGGGGATCTGCCCCACTTCTCGCGGTCACGTCTACTAGCATATGCTATGACTGACAACCCATCCAGCTTGAGAATGCAATCAGCTCTAGAGTGAAGGATGGTGCCCAGGAGCTCGACGTTCTCAACTGGATGGGCAGAGCCGCACTCGAAGTGATTGGGCAGGGCGGCCTGGGGTATTGTTTGACCCCTACCGAATGTCGCGAAGGCGTCGCTGAGCATCGTAGAGGATCGCCATGAGTAGTTCTGGTGGTAGCCGATGGACGGGTGCAGAGACATTGTGAGAGACCGCCCTTGAGAACATTCTGAGGTCGAGAGTGATTCGCGGTTAGTTTGCGTGCGATGACCCGGATCCGAGGTTGCGTGTGGCTTGACGTGGGCCTGTCGCAGATGGCTACTATGCACCGGCTATTATGAGCGCACTAGCGACATACTTTTCAGAGCTCACCTAAAGGGCTCTCGTCAGAACTAGGACGGTTATGGTTGTGAACGTCTTTCTCTAGGGCAGCCGTGTACGACTCCGACCTGCTTGTGTGAGAGTCTGAGGCAGGATGATCATGCTGTGGCTATAAAGCGCCAAAACTGTAACTTCGGGGTGGGAAACTGGTGCGAACTGCCGCGCGAGGCGACGTGCATTTCGTTGATCTTAACGTGAACGTTCAACTGCTAGTGAGAGGTCATTGATCGAGTAGTAGAGGCCTGCATATAAATTATGTCTGTACATTACCAGAGACATGATACAGCACAATAATCAGCAGCCTTTTCTTCTATACAAGGACCACCCTGTCGACCAACTCTTCAAAGCGGGAGAGGAAAGGTCCAGCAACCTCTGCACAACGCCGAGCGTCCGTACTCACCTCGCCAACCCGCGTAGCGATGACCCAGCTCTGCAGGGTACCATACAGCTCCAGCCGACCAAGCCGACATCCCTCACTGTCGAACTCCTCGAGCAGCCTCCCCAGTCTCCCCAGCTCATTCACCGCACGTTCCTCACACGCAAACCCACGCGCGACATCAAGCACCCAGCAGAGCGTGAGTTCGCGCGATGGCGGTCTATCCACCCCCTCCGAGGCGCGCACGAACCCCCGCGCAAAGCGCACCTTCACCGAGTCCGACATACCCCCAAGCAGCTCCAGCCGCCTGAGCGCACGCGGCAGCTCGAACGTGCCCGAGCCCACGTCCCCCGTCGAGCCCGCCCAGGGCCGGCCCCACGCGCTGCGCTCCAGCGAGGGCGGGAGACGCGGGAGGGCCACCGCGAGCGCCGCAACCTCCGATTCCGGGCCCGTGAACGCCCGCAGGACCTGCACGGGCGCGTCGTCCTCTGCCCAGTTGCTCCACAGCGCGATGTCGAGGCGCTCCCGCTCCCGTTCCCGGTGCTTGTCCGCCGTCTTGGGCGCGTGCGCGTACCCGATTATGTGTATGCGCCCGGTGTGGAACGTGCGCCCCACGTAGAGACGTGTGAGCGCGGGGACGATGTTCCACGCGGCGACGGTCGGGGACGCCAGGACAGCACGGAGGTCTACGCGCGGGAGGGTGGCGCGGAGGCGGAGGCTGTCGGGCGGGGGCATGTTGAGGTGCGCGAGCATGTCGGTCATGTACCCCGCGGAGCCGGCGACGGAGAGGCGGTGGAGGCGGGGCATCTTGTCCTGTGGCGGACGCTCGTTGAGCCCGGTGGGTGCAGAAATGGGCTCTTTGGGATCATCGGGCCGGAAAGCGAGGGTTTTCAGGAATCGGCAGCGGCTCAGTGTGTCGCGGAAGCGGTGCGCGTCGCACACTGGCCCTTCCACGTTCACAATCAGGTGCTTCAGTGTTGATGTTGCGCACATGTGAAGCGGGAATGAGGATAGGATTTCCAGGTGGCGGAGTGCCGGGAGCGGAAAGTCCGATAGCGGATGCACTACCGTCCGCGTTGCGGCGAGGAAGGGAACGTCGCAATCGTACCGAATATCTGAGAGGGCCGGCAGACCGTCATTGAGGAGGCCTTCGAAAGCCTGCACAGCAGCTTCGCCCACGAATCCGAGTATCGACAGCTGCACAATGCGTGACGCGTGAGGTGCAAGCAGTCTGCACTGGGTCTGCCCCATGAATATCACCTGCAGTTTGATTGGGCGGGGGGATGATAGGTTGAGACAGTGCATGACCAGGCCAACGGGCGTGTAAGGCGCGATCTGGAGTGTTTCCAGTGTAGACACCCAGTACTCGGGCGTGGCGAGCAGAAGCAGGCGCCAGTGACGGCAAACGTGGGCAAAGTAGATGTCCTGAAGGCGCTGCTGAGCATCGCAAAGGATAGGCCCGAGTAGTTCTGGTGGGAGTCGATGAATGGGTGAGGAGGCATTGTGTGCGGCCGCTCGTGAGGACATCCGATTCGGAGGGAAGGTCAAAAAGGTACGTGTCTGAAGTGATAGTTCGCAGATCGCTCGTAACTTGGCGTCGCTTGGCGGTACTAAGTATCTATACTTTGGCTGCTATCAGAGTTCGATGGCTGTGAGCAACAGCCAGCTAGAACTCACCTGGGGTTTGGAGTCAAAGTCGGTGTGCTGCTGCGGTAGTACGATACTTTTTCTCCTTCGAGTCACTGGAATTCCCACGCGAGGCACGGGCCATTTGCAGGCTGCACCCACAACCAAGCGAAAGCCTTGACCAGGAGTGGGTTTAGGCTGTGGGTTTTCAAGAACATCTCCCTCGCCCTCCTCCGGAATTCGAAGGGTTTCTCGAGAAGGCTTAGGAATGTCCTTGTAACTGTTGTAAAATCTAAATTGATCAGTGATGTGAAAGGGAGCGCCGCCGTGGGCACCATTTTTGAAGCTGACCGAGCAGAGTCAACGAACAAAACGCTCGAGAGCGTGCATAATAGTCTGCATACTGTTATATACATTAGGAAGCTATGATACAATCCAGAGGTTAGCAATGATCATCATGTGTCGTAAGTCTAATCGTTAGAAGCCCCCTCAGTGAGCGAGGCCGCGGGCCCCGCATCCCATCGCGGACGCGTTACGGTAGTTCCCAAATTCCCAGTTGAAGCAGTCCTGCGATACGGGCACCTTCAGCACCACACACTGATTGAACAAACGTGAGTCGCGCTTACCACACAATCCTCCTCGCTCGAAAACGCGGGCACGCTCCGCGGCGCGCCCTCCTCACCCCAGTCGAGGTCCTCTTTGGACAGGATGCCGTCGATGAGCGCCTGGATGCCGTGGTGCACGACGTTCGCGCTCCACCCCAGCTTCGAGACGGCGTCGTAGCGAATGACGCGCCCGAGGTGGCAACGTGTCTCCAGCGCAAGGCCGGCGATCGCGCAGGAGGAGCTGACTCCGGTGCAAGTGCCCATGGGGATGGGGTCACCCGTGTTGTAGACGTGCGTGACGTGCTGGGTGGAGGGCTGTGCGAGCACTACTTAGTCGTGGTAAGGGACGTAGAGAGGTGGGGAAGACGAACAGGAGATGGGAGGTGCAGGCGGGATGCGGCGAGACGTTCCGCGGGTGCTTCAAAGGCGACCACTGGGTTCCCGAAGGTCACTCCGACGAGAGAGGCTAGTGCGCCCCCAAGTGAATGGCCTTCATGCACTCGTCAGCAATTGTACAGCGCGATGTATAACAGCGGACTGACCGATAAACCAGATGTTAGAGTTAGGGTACATGTATGTGACGTTATTATACAGATTCTAGCGACATGGTAAGTCTCACCAGGATGCTCTCTGGCTGCGTGTGCTACTTACGACGCCGATGGAGTAAAACAAACTATCTTCCGCAAGGCTCTTCTCTAGACAGCCTTGGTCGCACTTATATCCGCCCTCATAGCAGTCGCAGACAGTACTCCACGTGGGGCCAACGCGGGCGCAGCAGCATGAGAACAAGAGGTTGTCGTTGTACTTGTCCTTGCGTTGCGTTGGTCCGCCGCCACCAATAGGCCACACTAGCGATGTCCCCTTGACGGCGATAATCACGGTAGAGTTGTCCGGAGTAGCAAAGATGTGTCCCCGGAACCCGTCGGCGTCAGGCTCCCATCCAAAGGGATAGCTCTAACGTGGTCGGCAACGTCAGCGTCGTTCATGAACACCCGTGAAACTCACGTGGGACTCACATTGTTCCAGTTGGGTCCGATGTCATACCAATCCTTCTGCTTAGGCTCCGTGTATGCGTTGTTCGCCATCTTGGCTAGGAGGAGCAAGACCTCTCTGTCCTGTACGTCGGGCCCATCTACCTCTACAGGGTCCCATGGCTCGCCGTGTCGAAACCGTGCGGCAGCAGCAGAGAGGGGCTTGTGTACCGTTGTGGGTGTTGTCTTGATTGAGAATGTTTCCGGGCGGAATCCAGAGGTCGGCTTGACGTCCGAGAACACAACTCTTTGATTATGGGCTGAGAGAGCATGTTCGTGCCGTAGCTCGAATTGTAAAGCAGTCTTATGGGGTATAAGCCAGGAAGCTAGCAGATACTGCAAGGCATTCGGCAGAATATTATAGAGCATAGTAGGGAGCTGCGGATGAGATGGTCGCCGTTCGAGCACAAGAGCCACGCGTGACGCCACCTTGCCCAAGCATGCCCCGCTTATGTCAGGCGTCACAGTAGCTCACGGTCATGTGACCGTGACCGAACTGGTCACTCTCCGCGCGTGGCACAGCCCAAGCCAGCGTGAGTGTCCTGCTGTCTTCTTGTCTTCTACCACCACCACCACCACCACCATTTCTAGTTATTCGACATACTCATTCCGAACAGCGTCTGATTGCATCAAATGTACGACTAATTTTATCGAAACATGCTCGTGCTTACTTTTTCTGAACAAGACTATTCCGATACAGAATTCATACCCGGCGGTTGCCCTCCAGTCATATATCATACTGGACACATACCGATACCCATGTACCAAGGTGGTAATACTAGCTCTCTTATCAGCAAGGGCAATAGAAGCACGTACTAACAGCGTACATATTGCTTCATAGGCTATTAGATCTATCTGAGTTGCTGCAGCCATGGCCACTTCTAAATCCTCCCTACTCTCGGCCACCCTTGCGTCTGGATCGAGTCTAGTTCTACTGCAGCTATTCTCCCGGATCATCACTTTTGTCCTGAATCAAGCTCTCGTTAGGCTCGTTTCTCCTCAAGTCTTCGGCACTACGTCTATCCAATTTGAGCTTCTACTCTCCACCATCCTGTTCCTATCTCGCGAGGGCGTTCGGAATGCTCTACTCCGCGCACAAACGAACACCCAACATTCACCAGATGAAGCTACAGCAAGGCGTCTCATCACCAACGTCTCCCTACTCCCAGTCTTGCTTGGCGTACCTACTGCGGCCTTCTCCGCGTTCGCATACCTGGTCATGAGCTCTTCGATAACTTCCTCGCAGCCCCATTTCCGCACCAGCGTCGTTCTCTATGCTCTCGCTGCCTTTTCCGAACTGCTATCTGAGCCCATGTACATTCGCACCCAGAACGAACTCAGATTTCAAGTGCGGGTACGAGCAGAAGGGACAGCCGTGGTACTGAAGACCGTCACCACCTTTCTGGTCCTAGTTCGCGCCCCCGAGGATTGGGCCTTGGTCGCATTTGCGCTCGGGCAGACTGCGTACGGTCTGACCATGCTCCTCTCCTTTACGGTAGCCTGTCGTGACAACCTTGACTTTCGTCCGAAACGAGTCACCGTTACGAAGGCGGATCGGTACGTCCCCTAGCTTGAGATCTAGCAACGGACTAACACCGTTCTCAACAGTACGGATTCCCTATTCTTCGAGCCTGCTCTCTTCAGACTTTCTGTCGCCATGACTGGACAGTCGGTTGTCAAGCATTTCCTGACCGAGGGCGACAAATTCTTGGTCTCCCGACTAAGTCCTTTGGCTGACCAAGGAGGATACGCCGTCGCAGCTAATTACGGCTCGCTCATCGCCCGGATTGTGTTCCAACCAATCGAAGAGACCGCACGCGTCTTCTTCTCGAAAACGCTGCCTTCTCCATCCTCCGACTCGAAGGCCAAGGAGCAGAAGGACGCTCTACGCACGGCGGCCACCGTCCTGCTCACCCTCCTCCTCGCTTTCACCCACCTCCTCCTTCTCGCAGTCACATTCGGCCCCCCATACCTCTCCCTCGCCATCTCTCTCGTCCTCCCGCGCAAGTATCTCGCGACCTCCGCCCCCGCGATCCTCCACGTCTACGTGTACTACATCCCGATGATGGCCTTTAATGGCGTCCTCGAGGCCTTCTTCGCCTCCGCCGCCTCTCCCGCCGACCTTCGCGCGCAGAGCCGCTGGATGCTCGTTTTCTCGGGGGTGTTCATCGCGGCCGCCGTCGGCCTCGCGCGCGGCCTGGGCATGGGCGACGCGGGCCTCGTATGGGCTAACGTCGCCAATCTGACGCTCCGGGCCGCATACGCGTGGGCCTTCGTGCGCAGGTTCTTCCGCGAGCGCGGGGCGGCGGATGCGGTGGGGTGGAGGCGTGCGGTTCCCCCGATGCCGGTCTTGGCGGTGTTTGCGGGTGCGGGCGCGCTGGTCCGAGGGAGCAGCGCGGCGTACGCTCACGTCCCGCTCAACTTGATCGCGCAGAAAGGTCACTTAGCGACGGGTGTTGCTTGTATATTGGGCTGCTTGCTGACGTGGTAAGCTACTCCGAGTTCACGCGATGTACAGTTGAGCCCTAACACGATCCACTAGCGTTGTGTTTGAGAGGAAAACGGTCATGCAACTAGTCGCGTCGTTGCGGAACGCTCGGTAATTCGTGTATTTACTTATTACTCCTAAGCAGCTCCCTGCGGACCGTATCCGCCGACCTGCGGCGCCATGTGATAAGTTGATCGGGCGTGTGCCACTGCCAGGAGTGGGTGAGGTACACGTACGTTACGAGGAACGCTCGCTCAATGAAACCACGCCCACTACGATTTCCACTTCCAGGTGAGACGTCCAACAATATCGTTCTAGCCGTATGGTCTGCTTATATGGCATAGCAGATGAGTCTCCCCGAAGGCGTTTCGGAGCTGCTAGCGAGCTTGCCAGAAGAGGATGCGGACGTGCTTCGCGTATCCCAGGACAAAGAACAGCTCCTGTCGCTAGCTACCGACAGGATCGAGCACTACGCAAGCCACATTCAGACCCTGAACGCACTCAGAAACCTTCTAGCACCCATTCATCGCCTCCCTGCCGAGATCCTCATGGCGATCTTCTACCGATGTCGCCGGACCGTCGCGGATATTCGTCTTGCTCACATCTGCAGGCACTGGCGCTCCCTGATCCTCGGGATGCCCCAGTTCTGGGCCGCCATGCTCGGACATTTGCAATTCCACCCACTTGGTGACCCCAAACTCGATCGCAGATATCGCAGGCACTACAAAGGGCTCCTGCAGCAGTGCCTCGAGCTTTCCGCGCCACGTTTGGTCAAATGCCGTGTCGTGCTGCTCAGCGGTCCAGAGTGTCGCACGCTCGCCCCCCATCTCGACAGGCTGACTGAGCTCTCGGTGACGTTTTTCTTCGGACACGCAGTGTACGACGTTGCCGCGATCCTCGTGCGGGGTCTACCCAACCTCGTGACTCTGCGCTTAGAAGAAAACGTTGCGATTGCAAGCTGGGAGGACCTTCCTTCTCTGGACAGCTGCCCCCTCCCAGTGCTCCGCCGACTGGATATTCCGGGCGATTGGCCGCTGTCTCGCTTTATCACGAGCTCACTTGAAAACCTCGTATTACGCCCCGGGGACGCGCGATATGACATCGATGTTGACGATGTCATTGACGCGCTGGAAAGCTCGTCCCTCGTGTCCTTGACGGTGCACTATGACGGTGCGATCGATCTCTGGGACCGCCTTCTCGTCCAGGAGAAGATTGTACGCCTTCCTCGCTTGCGCAAGCTCTCCCTCATCGGAGAGCTCGACCTAATCGAAACATACATATTACCGCGACTGGCCCTGTCTCCCTCCGTCCATATTTGCCTCTCTTTCCCTCAAGCGACTGAACGGTGGCTCGCTGCCAGTGACGTCGCTCGCCACGCCACCACTTTGCGCGTGCATCTGCCTGGCTTAGCATCAATCACGCGCCTCTACCTCGGGAACACGCGCTCGCAGGGAGGCCGCGTCAAGCTGCTCGGGTTCGCCGAGCAGGAGGACGGTACAGACGCTGCGCGGCTCGACATGGGCAAGTGGCACACCCGGCCGTCCGCCGTCCTGGAGATGCTCGACTTCGTCGCTTCTGCGCCGGTGACGGCCCTCGCGGTCAGCTTGTCCCGTCCGACGCTCGCCGAGCTGCAATCTCCGGGCTCAAGTGGCCGCACCGCCGTCCTGGCACTACCCCACCAGCTCCGGCGGCTCGAGCTGCTCGTGCGAACCCCGCTGGACACGAAGCTATGGTTTGCGAGGTCCTTCTTGAACTTGTGCGCGAGCGAGCAGGCAGGGCGGCCCTCCTCGGAAGAGTACGCGCTGTGCTGGGTGCTCCACATCGAGCGTGGCCGCGAGGCGTTGGTACAGGAGGAACTGCAGGCGTTGGAAGACCTCCTGATGGAGTCGCCAGGATACAGGCTGGGGCGCCTGGAGCTCTACGGGACGATGGCGCAGAGTGGGCAGATATATACGAAGGCTGCGGAGGTGCCCACGAATCGTGCGCGTTGTGCGGAGCTCGTTGGGCCGTTCACGGCGCGCCTTGGTGCGTTGGTTGGACAACTGGTCATCATATAGTTGCAGTTTGGAAACCAAGGATGTCGCCGTGGAGCGATCGAAGGCGGCGCGAAAGAGTTCGGTGGCAAGAGTTCGGAAGTGCGTTAGTTAGCTACAGTGACATCGGAAGCGATAGACATAGAAGCAGGCAGTGTGTAAATCTCGAGACAGGCAACATGAAGAGGACATAGTGCGGATACATACGTGCATGGAATCCAAGAGATACACCTTCGGTTGGATATCACAGCCTTTGTGCTAGTGCACTTCGTTCTGCTTTCCGACGAGTGCGCAGCAGTTTGAATATGCAGTAGCTGTATGTCTCTACTGATTATGAATGACGAGCTGACGATTCTGGCAGACTCCAGTTGCATCGCCTGTCAATCAATCTTCCTGCTCCCTGGCTACCTGCGAGTGCAGTGAAGCCAGCATCTCCGCGGAGACGGGTTCGCAGCGCGCAAGAGGGGAGCTGCAAGCCGGGGTCGATACTCCGACTTGGGATAAATGTCGCCCATCCGTGGAGTAGTGGCAGCTTCGCGCGCGCCGCCGACCGTTCTTTATCCCCAAAGAGGCCAGCTCTTCATCATCCCGCATACTCTGCTCGTGCTGCAGACGGGATCGGAGGGAGATCAACCGCGAGCGGAAGTCTGTGAGCGCATTGTACACCGACATGTCAGCTCCGTGCCCTGAAGGAACGAAGCTGGGAGGTGTTTGAGGGGGAGTGTGCAACTCGGCCACCGGAGCATATTGCATGCTGGACGAGGTGGCAGGAGGGACGAGGGCCGAGCACGTGGAGTCAACAGGGGTGTGTATGGAATATCCGCAGGTTTCCGTAGCGAGTCTAGCTGAGTCGCTGCTCGCGGGGATAATCTCGTCCGAGACCACTGGACCCTGCGATGACGGGGAAAAGACGGGCGCCGACGGGGTCACTGCGTCGCATGCCATGGCGTCCCCAAGTCCTCCCCCGTTCGCATCTGGCGGCATCTCCCGTAAAGCTGCTTCTGTTTTCCTAAGCATACTCCGGACAGCCCAATCTGGGTACAGGCCAGGCGGGTAGCCTGCCGCCTGCGCGACCCGTTGCATAGGAGATGAACCATCCGCAAAGGAGGGGGATACAAGTGGTGGAAAACATGGGATAAACGTGCTCACGAACTGTGTCCAACAGGAGGGCCCGCGCATAACGACGCAAGATCCAATCTAGTGTCGGCGCCGGTCGGTACCATTTGTAAACAGGGATGGGTTCCCGAGGGCGAATGACTAGCCCGATACCCATCGGCGTCGGTAGGGGCGAGCTCGAGAGCCAGTGGGGCGAAAGAAGGATCGGATCGGAGTTGTGCCCGAGGCTGTTGGGGAAGGTGCTCCGGAAATCAGACACGGTAGCGTCGAGTAGCAACTTCTGACGGGAGTGCTCCGAGCGATAGGAAGTGGGGTCGGATAAAACCGATACCTTGTCCGTCGGGAAAACGGGAGCAGCTTCTGCGGTTGAGAACGGTGGCTGATCCTCCTTCAGACCAGGATCGATACCGGGGCAGTATGTCCAACGCGCTGCAGCTATAATAAGCTCGAGGGCGGCCATGCACCTGGATCTGTTGTTTATTGTGGACAACGACCAGGAGACAGAGGACCCGTCGACGAAGATACACGTTATCGTCTGCTGTCTGACGTCGAAGACGACCTCAGCCATCAGCGCAAGCGGCCACGCTGCCTTGTCCAGAGCGTGAAGGTCCTTGGGGTACGGGAAATCAAACCCCTCCTCTTGCAAGGCCTTCAGCGTGTCGAGTTGTGCGCGGAAACAGGATGGGAGAAGCGGGGCATTGCTGCCTATGTGCGCCGGCATGGTGCAACCGAGCAGTATATCATGATGGTCGATCAGTGGAGGGATCACTCGAACGAGCATGTTGTTGGATGAGTGATGGTAAGTACTTGGTCAGATCCGCGGATCAAGGATGATGAGTATAGGCTCAAATGAGGAGTGGAAAAGAAAATCCCGCCGCACTTGTTTGTGCCTGTTATGCAGTACCCCCATCAAAATTGCCATACTTATCGATTACGACTCTCTTCTGCCGACCACATTCATACATCGCAGAACTATTCACCAATACATCCGCGGACTACGAGAACCTAGATCCACTCTCTCTCTCTCGGAGCTCCCAACTCACATAACACTGCCTCGCCTTGTTTCCTGTCAGTCGATCTCCTAGATATGGGTGAGATTCAACAAACACCTTTACCTCTTCAAGTTCCTCAATGGCCCGTGATTCCTTACGACGTCTTCATCGAGATATGCTCCTTCCTGACCATTCACGAAATCTCTGTGCTGGCGTTGATCAGCAGGATGTGGAACGAGGCAGCGACGATCGCGCTCTACGAGCACATAGACCTCTTCCAGCCGCGTGCAATATGGTGTTGCGTCAAAACCCTATCGCTACCTCCGGAAACGACGTCCTTCGCACGCGACCTTGCGGTCTTCCCCCGATCCATTCATATCCGACGCCCTCTATTCATCTCTGTCACCCTAGAAAGTGAGACGGCTCTGGGCGAGATGATGCAACAGTTGCTTCCTCGCTTGATCAACCTCCACTCGTTTTCCTGCGACCTCTCCTTACCAAATGTCCCGCGGATTCTCTTACGGACCACGGAGAGCCGCAGGGTGCCCCTTCGCACGTTAGACCTGCTCATAGCCGAGGACTACCGGCCATTTGATCAGGTCAGCGAAGACGATTTCGGCCTGAAGGACGTCCCTCTCGACCATTGGCCTGCTCTATCATCCCTCGGGGTTCACATCTACTCCAACAGCAACGCCCCCTATGACGAATTTTTCAAACATACGGTATTGCACTCTCAACACCACCTTCGAGCTCTATCGCTCTCCGTCAGACCTGAACTGTTGGTGACGGTTTGGGACGTTCTCAGCCGTATACCCGTGTTCAGGTGTCTAGAGAAACTTCAAACCTCGCTCCCCGTGAAGTTCCTGTTGCTCCCCTGCTTTACTCAGGCACCCCGCCTAAAGTCGCTTAACATTCACTACTTCGGCTCGACGACGGCGTGGCCCCCTTTTCAAGAAACCGACTATCGCGCTTTGGAGGTGCTGTCGTGTCCTGCCAGGGCCTCCAGGCACGAGACACATGCACTAGACGCATTCCTGCCGAATGTGTCCCAAGGGCACAGCTGACCGATTCACACTTTACGCTTGGGCGACTCCACATACGGACGATATCGTGGTACATTCTATCCGGCCGGCGGGCTGTGGGACAACGATGCGCCAACCGCTCTCGCGTACATCGCGCGTTCCGGAGCTCCTATACGTCACCTCGGCATCCACGTACCCGAAAACGCGATAGACAGTCTAACTGCACCCGATATCAAGCCGCAGCTAGCGTACCTCGAGAGCCTCGACCTGCTCATCGAATACTCGGGGCTCCCTGACGTACGTCCTCGCGGCATGTGGCAATGCCAATCGTTCCTTCTGACCTACTATGCCTACTGAACAGCTCGACCCGCTGAATCTCGGCACAAGGCTCATTGCACACCTTCCCCGCCTTCATACCTTCCTCCTTTCGGATGGCCCGCTGAAATTGTGCGGGGGGTTTCGACACGCGTTCCCGTGGGCCGGAGACGAAGCACTGCAGCGGCAGGTGCTCGCGGACTTCGACAGACGATCCTCGGTCCTGCGGCGCGTTGCGTTCACGACCGAGTTCGAGTGGGAGAAACGGGCCGACGGACAGTGGCACGCCTGGGGACATGTCGTCCCCGAACGTCCGTTATTACCGCTTGGCCGGTACAAGGAGAGGGTCGGGCTCGACGAGTAGGGCTCCACGTCAGACAAATTCCGGTTCGTTCTTTATAGCTGCAGGCGTTGACCAACGTATATGTGTAAGTTGTCGCTGCATGCTCCGTGATGCGCCAAGACGTGGCGCTCCGCTATCCTTGCCGTCCGTGTTTCATGGTATTGTCCATTCATGTACTCTATAGAATGATACAGCTCCCAGACTCTTATGGTCGTACTTTTTCTCGTAAACACATGGCATGACCCCAACCCAGGGAAGAGAACCGAGCGCGCAGGACGACTGCTGCTCATCGACATCAGTTGTCGCGGACCGTCGAGTACCCGACATCGACCCAAGCGCGCATACGATCGCCGTACTTGATCGTGAGAAGGAACATCCTAGAGGGAACGTCAGTGGGCCAGTAGGCAGTTAGTACGTAGGAATGCAACGTACCCGAATCCTAGCCAGGCAATGGCAGCGAATATGGCCCCAGTCGCGGCGACACCGACCGCGTTTATGAGCGGGAGGATGAATGCAGTGACACAAGCGATGATCATAGCACGGAATGAACTAGTATGTCTGTGTGAGCAACGGTGGCGAGAACGATTATGCAGCGAGACGCCGCTCACCCGCTTGCAGCCATGGTCTCCGCGCTGCGCGAGTGCAGGATGTCCACGTAGTATGCGGACGACGGGGACAGAACGATATCGACCTGTCATGCGCGAAGACGTGTCAATGAGACAGGTCTCTACAAATTTGATAGATGCAGACACATACCCCGATGCCATTCATGAACAGCCAGACGAGGTTGAGCACGATCCCGAGGGTCCCGGGGACGAACTGCGTCGTCAAACCAGAGAGGAGCACGGACATCGGGACGAACAGGCCCGCGCCCCAGAGACTGGCCCGGAGGCGGTCCTCTGGGATCCAGACGCCCCCACGCCGCTTCCGCCATGTGACGACTACCTTGTCGGAGAGACGGCCTGCGAGCGGCGCACCGACTGCAATATTGGCAGCCCGTTTGTCAGAAGAGGTCAAGAGGAGGGGAATGGAGAAGCCTTACTGATGTTGCCTAGGCCGGCGGGAAGGAAGAAGGCGCCAATGATCGCTTCGTTCGAGATGTTGTATTGCTTTCCCTGTCGGTTTGGGTTCAGCATGCGAAGCGTGAGAAGCGTGTCGGCACGAAACATGACGTACGATGGTATACGCGAGTGGTATCATGAGCACGAAGTCAGTGACGAGCGCCGCCGTCCCCGCCAACGTCTGTGCGAACATGATCAGCTATTGCGTTGCAGCGAAAAGGAAGCAGAACACCTTACGATGATGAGGATGTTCGGACTACGCAGCAGGGCCAAGCTCTTGAACGGATTCAGGAAGATGGGCTTCCTGTGTTCCTCAGTTGCTCCCCACTTGCGGATTTTCTCGGGGTCGAGTGTCTCCGGAAGCCAGAGGTACACAGGGACCAGAGCGAACAGGCCCATGATGAACAACCCCCACTGGCCATAGCGCCATGAGTAGTAGTGCGACGCAATGCCTCCGCATAATGGCGCAATTGCGGGCCCGAAAAGGGATGCCTGCGGAGCACGGGGTGAGTCCTAGTGAGTCAGTCGAGGGCTACGAGAGAGACAGACGTACTCCGAAGAAGATGCCCATGGCAGCACCTCGTTCTTCCAGCTTGTAGATGTCGCCGATAGCGCCGGCTCCGACCGACATCCCGCTGGACGCGCCGAAGGCTTGCACGACACGCCAGAACATGAGCGTGGGGACTGTTTGTGACAGGGCGACGCCCGCAGAACCGATACATAGACACGGCAGTGACATGAGGAATATCAAGCGGCGTCCATCTGTGCTCAATGTCAGCTCTGCGACCTGAGCGAGCAGGTCAAAGCGGATGCGTACATGAGCCGGAATATGTAGCCCATAGTAAACTGCCGGCCGACGCTGTAACCAGCGACAGGCTCACCGCCAAGCTAATTGTAAGAGTGCGAGTGAGCAATTTTATCTCTCCCAGGGTTTGCCTGAAGATGCGTACCTGACGACTTCGCCCGTGGTCCCGAGCTCACGAGCAATTTCTGGTATTGATGGAATGAAAGAGCCTGACGCCAAAACTGTGGGATGCGCGGTGAGCCTGTGCCATATCAAAAGCACGATCTACCGGGCAGGACCTACAAGGAATAACAGCGGCCCATGCGATCAGGGAGACGATGACCCTTTTTTGCGCCCGCGTGAAGCGTTGGTACATCTGTTCATGCTTCAAGATCTCCGGGTCGGTAGGTGCCGAAAGCGCCTCCGAGTCCAGCAAAGGACTCTGTTCGGTATGCATCCTTGCGCAGCTTTAGTCGTGTGAACCGTTAAACAACACGAACGACCAGGGCCAGGAGCGACGCTTTTGTGCGAAGTGCTGGCGACTCGCAAGAGGAGGGGGGCGAGAGTGTGGGGAAAGCCAGATAACGCCCTTAAGTATTGCGATCGAGTCAGAAGGGCGCCTCCGGGGCGGCTAAGCCACAAGATAGTATGTATGCTTTGCCCTTCGGGCCGCATCTCTATCTTCAACTTAGTAAAATTTCAATCGGCGCACTGTAAGTCCGTCTACAATCAAAGCAAGGTTGAGCTGCACGATGTAGACCATTGTATGACAAGGACTGCCTTCGTATTTTGAGCAGACTTTTCGCTCGGACGGTCTTCTGCAGTACGCACTTTTGCCGGCCGGTGGCAGGCTGATTTCAGCACAGCCTCCGATCCTTCAACCGTTTAGCAGCGTTTAGCGCGCCGACCTTATCTCGAGTCTAGAATTTACTATGGGTGAGCAGCGGCGGGCACCGAGTGTTCCTTGTTAGTATTTACGCTTTCTGCTCACCTTGGAGTGTCAAAACAGAAGGCGGTGGGTGGCCAGGTCAGGACTAGTGATCGCCGGCGCTTCCGTGCTGAGCCACTTGAGCAGACTCGTCCGGTCTAACCACATGGCGACGAGGTCATGAGTTATGGAAGGATAGCATACCTACCCCATGAAGCCGTTATCATTTGAGTATGTCGCTGCTGGATGGGAATGTGCTTACAAATATACAAGGTTCTTGGAGGCTCGTCGGACTGGCCATCGTGACAAATGCTCATCTCCGCTGCCGATGCCCAGGCTCCTCACTGCTCTGCAATGCAGCCTGTCAAGGAGTATGTGAACCAGCGACGAGCGAGCATAAGGGCCACGGAGATTTCCCGGGTGCGCTCTGTTTCCTGAAGGCACCGGATGTAGTATGTACGAGGCTAAGCGGCGACGAGGCGCAAGCTCGTGGGCGCGCGGGATTTGCCGAAGTGCCGAGAAAGGAGATCAGGGTATGTACTTCGTTTTTCCTGGGTTCCAACGTCGATGGAGTCCTGAAGGCGAAATCAGGCTGGCGACCCAACCACCAATGGCCGCGCGGGGGTCATAGGGCCTGGACCATTCGGTCTCCGACATGGTTCAGCAGGAGCGTGGCGACTCCACAGTTCCCACATGCTGTTACCGGCGAAGGTACAACATGCGACATCGTCATTGGTCTCGGCACACGGGCAAGCAGGAATGGCAGGGCCGCTTGTGTAAAACTGGTAAGTGCGTCATGATCTTCCGTGGAATGCGACAAATTGTACTCGCCAGGTCCCCGAGCGGCTGATAATCCAGATAAATCCGCCGAGGGGTCGTCCGCCCGCCGGCTGCCTCGGACTGCTCCGTGCCCTCTCTGCATGCGCCCCCGACTAGATGCTGTATCGCCTCCCGTACGACGTCCTCCTAGGGATTTTGCGGCAGCTCGGGGCAAGGGACGTGGTGAAGCTATGCGCGGTAAGCATGCCAACCGCAATATACGCACCGCATCCCACTTGACCGACTCTCGCAGACGTGCAGAGCCCTGTACAGCCTGATGAGCGACCGCTCGATATGGCACCACGCGCTCTCCCGCCTCCTCCTGCGCTACCCACAACCGCAAATAGCCCGACGGCTCGCAGTGCTCACGGCGGAAGAGCTGAAGGCGCAGGTGTTGCTCTCCGCACAGCTCGACAGGCTGTGGCACGGGTCCGACTACAAGCCGCGCCTTGTCCGGAACTTCCACTGCGACAGCGCCGTCGAGCACGTCAACCTCGTCGCGGGCGGGCACTGGGTCGTGGTGGTGCTCTACGACGGGTCGCTGCAGCTGCACCAGCTCGGCGCCGAGGTCCCCGCGGTAACCCTGTCCCACTCCTTGACGGAGGACGAGTCGGTCTTCTACCTGAGTTCCCGCCAATCGTTCACTGACGACCACGAGGACCTGATCATCCTACAGATGGGCGTCAGATACGAGTAAGTGCCCGTCCCGCGCGCCGTCGTGGAGGGTGCTGACCGCAGCGATCGGTGTCTGGCGCAGCCAGTGCAACATATACGTGTACCACATCGAGGTCGTCGGCCCGGCGCCGACGTTCGTCCTCGTCGGCAAGATATCCGTGAACGGGTCCGTCTGGTGCTGTGCGTCCGGGGGCGGATACCTGGTGTACGGCCTCGAATCCGGGGGCGGCGACATGGTCCTGCATTTCTGCCTCGTCGGTGCCGACGCGTCCGACGGCTCGGGCAGGATCTCGCAGGTGTCGATGAACATCGGTCCGTGGTCGGTAAGTCGTCATCTCCGCCTGGTGCCCCGATCCACTGAACGCTCGGCTCTGCAGGCAGACGAGGACTTCTCGATATCGGTCCTTTCCGACCGCCTTCTCATGCTCGCGTACCACGGCGGCCTCTCCGTCTACGAGATCCCCGCGCCCGCCGCCCCAGACATCGCCGCAGCGCGCCCCGTCCGCCCTGTCTGGAGCCGCAGATGCGACATCGGCGCGGGCATCTACCGCATCTCCCCCTTCTCGTGGGACGCGCACCGGCACCCCGTCATTGTCGCGGGCACGCGCGCGCTGCACGTCCTGCGCGTGCGCCCGCACCTTCCGCACCTCCCGTATGGGGCCGTCGACTACCGCGAGATCCCGTATCCGCTCGCGCCCGGGCCCACGGGAGAGCTGGGGCACGTCGGGCTCGGGGCGGTCGGCCTGCGGCGGGCGATCTGGGACTGCACGGAGGCGCGCAACGGCGCGCTGCACGTGCACTTCCGCACGTACTCGCTCCCGCGCTCGATCCTCGACCTCGCCGAGGACGATCCGGACTTCGAGGAGGGCGAGCTCGGCGTGCACGGCCGCCTTGGCTCGTTTACCGTGACGCTCGACCCTGAGGAGCACCTCGTGAACCTGTGTCTGGAGGAGGGGTCTGGGCGCGTGTGCCTGCTCTTGAACAACATCGTGACCGGCGCACGACGGATATGCGTCATCGATGTTGTGTGATGCCGACCCGGATGTATACCGACGATTTGTTAGGAGATAGAGCAGGCAGGGCCAGCTCCAGCTGTGAATATTCAGATGGCTCGTCATACCAATGTCTTCTTTGTATATCCCACGAGAATGGATGCAATTTGCTGTGATGGTATAGAAGTACAGAGCGAAGAATATAAGAGCACATACAGAGTAGACAAAGCGGTAGGCCAGCAAGGCCCTCAACTCTTCATGAGGGACGGCTTGTTGGTGCTCGTCCACTGGTCTAGAATGCGCCAGAAATGCGCCAGCACGGACTTGTCGATGTGCCGACGGCTCGGGTCGATCTACAAAGCGAGTTGGATCACTTCTAGAGGGTGCGCCATTCAGTGCGGCTCACCTTCAGCTCCGTCACATTCCAGTCCTTGATCTTCGGGTTCGGTGGGTCGTGTGTCCATGAGAAATAGATGCCCTTAACTGCCGTCGCGTAATTCATTGAGCTCCGTCGACGCTCCGGAACGGACCAGAACGCACCATGATGGAACAGCGTCTTGGGCTCCTGCCACTTGTACGGCCGGAACTGCCACGTCTGCCCGGTCGTCATCACACAGACCACCCGGTCCCATGCGTCTGCGCCGAACTTGGCCAGGGCCTCGGCGCTGTCAACGACGAAGTACCTGTGACGCACTTCTCAGCAGTTGCCTCAGCGTCGATTACGGGCATGTCAAACCTTGTCTGGGTCTCTGTTTCCCGGCCCGATGAGTCAATGGTCGTGCGCTTGCGGTATATCGGGATGACGTCCTCCGCGCGCGCGTTTCCTTCGGAGACCGCGCGAGCACGGGCCTCTTGCGAGGGCTCGAACACGGCGTCCTGCAGGAACCGCCGCACATTGTACATCGTGATCAAAGACGTCGGGGACGATGAGATCATAATGATCGGGTATTGGTTGCCTGAGAGTCCAAACGTTAGTACGGACCCAACACAGGTCTCATTGAGTACGTACGAGCTTTTCGGGCTTGCAATTTGGGATCTGTTCGGCGTGAGAACGAGCAGCGTGGCGCACAGCAGGTCCGTGCTTACCAGGAGTGGTGGGCTTCGAAGACCAACTCGAGCTGCTGTTATTTCTGGCATTCGCGGCCTCTTTCATCTTCTTGAGCTTGTCCGATATAGCCACCTTGACAGAATGGAAGTTCTGCAGGAACGCGTTATCGTCAGCTACAGCACTTGAGCGGAACGGCCAAGTGCACAAACGTTCGGCTTGATTCCCCGCAGCACAGTGTTCCTGTCTTGCAGTTCGATCTCGTTCGCTTTGATTTTCTTGACCACCGCTATGTCAGCGGTGTCTGCGACATATTTCCGCTTCAGCGGGCTCGAAGTTGCATCAGCCCCTTTGGAGAATGACGACGTCGATGGTAGGGAAGTTGTAGCTCGTGATAGCGGCGGCGTCCCCGGTGGCGTCGTAGATTCAGCTGTGAGTCGTGTGATATGTCAGTTGATTGAAGAGTATACGCATGTATGGCAGGCATAGAGTGAAATGGAGGGAACACCACGCGCATGGGCCCTGCGTCCCGCTCTAGGAGAGGCTTGGAGAAGTGCCTGAGCTGGACTTTGGTCGATGGCAGTAAGGCCGGCCCTCCAACGTAGATGCTCAAAGGAACACGTTCCAGGGGATGAGTAGAGGCCACCCGATCGCCAATTGGTAGCATACACATACACGACGCGTTTCGCGAAGCGTACACGCATCTCGTTCTACGAAACACACTTGGCAGGCGTCCATAAACCAAGAGTCCAGTCCAGGCTGCAGTCCAAGCTTGTTCCAGACCAGGCTCATGGGCAATAATAGTACGTCGTACAATGACGCGCAAGCAGGGCAGGTGGAAACAAGACTCACCTTCTGCAGTAACAAGTCCTGACAGACTCTGTGTCTTCTCTTCCAACCAGTCCGCCACAGCTTTCCGTTCCGTAACACTGACGAATCCCACCGTGTATCCGTTCTCGCGGACCTGCTTCATGTACTCCGCGCCCGACGCGTCGCGTAGAAGCCATGCGAGGTAAACAGCACCGAGAGTGAAGAAGTCCTGTGGGTTGCTCTGAGGGTCTGTCGCGCTGGTCCCTGGCTTTCGCAAGCGTGTTGGAGAGGTCTTTGGAAGGCTGACGCTTGGCGACAGCACTATACCCGTGGCGGCGGAGAGAGACGAGACAGGTCCGACATCGTTCGCAAAGGTCACCGTTGTTTTGGAGGTTATCGCCTTTCTCAGAGCAAGCAGCGAATCTGTCTCGGAGCTCATGGTGGTCCAATTGCGAGTTCGGAGGGCTGCAGGTGAACGAAGATGAGGACCAAGACCAAGACGAGGTCAAGGTCGGGGAGGACGTCGGGAACCAGCGCTAGCCACGCTGAGTGACGTGACGTGACCCCGTGTAACGGTATTCGCACAAGTTAACCCTAACCCCAAAGTGTCTTGAGCCTTAAGTCGTTTCAGAAATCATCGTTCAGCGAGGTCTGCACAGGCTGAAGGTGCAACTTCACAGAGAAATGCATTCAACGAAACGCATTCTACCATCGAGTGGGGGAGAGGAAGGCGTAAGGTATTAACGGCCGGCGCTCAACCAGGCATCCCCGTCGGCTTACGTCAGCCCCGCCACCATTTTTTGGCGATGCCAGGCTGATTGCGGGCAAGCCACGCTCACCTCCGCCCGCCACCCCGCTGAAGCATTAACTTGCTTCTCTCACCTCCTCTTGCGTCCAAAATGGCCTCTCAACCCTCCCAGCAGTACGCATGTTCGTTCTCCCCGCTAGTCTTAGCCCCGTTCTTTGTGTATTGACCGAGACATCCCCTGCAGACCGCGCACAGAAGAGCACCAGTCTCGTCGGTGGCACGCCCGACTACAAGTCCATCGATAGCTTCCAACCGCCAGACGTACCCGCTCGCACGTATAGGTACAGCTCCGATGGCCGCCTCTTCGCCTACGCCATCCCCACCGGCGTGCGCATCTACCAGGCGGAGAGCGCACAGCTCCTCCAGGAGCTCTCTCTCCCCAACATCGTCGAGATCAGCTTTTCGCCCCGCGGCACGTACCTTTCCACCTGGGAGCGGCCACTCAAGCTCGAGGACGGCGCCCAGCACAAGAACCTTCGCGTCTTCTCCTCGTCCACCGGCGAAGAGCTCGTCGCGTTCTCGCAAAAGTCGCAGGAGGGATGGGAACTGCAGTACACCATCTCTGAGTCACACGCCGTACGTTTAGTCGGCCCAGAGATCCAGGTGTACAGGCCGGTGGAATGGTCCAAGGGCATGGTGGACAAGCTCAAGGTTGAGGGAGCAACGTCTATCACGCTCAGCCCGGGTCTGAACCCGTCTCTGGCGGTGTTCGTCGCGGAGAAAAAGGTGTGTACCTCATTTCGTTTCGTCCCTTCTACCCCTGCCCCCTCCCGCCATCATCTTACAATGCGTGGCTATCTGGAGCGGAGCGGAAGCAGTCGCGGTGCCCGCTAAAGCGTGCGGGATAGCCAGCTGATCGGTTTTTCTGTAGGGTCAACCTGCCACTGTGAAGATTTACAGTCTCACAGCGCTCACAGGAGCGCCGACGTGTCAAAAGACATTCTTCAAGGCCCAGCGTTCGCAGATCAAGTGGAACACGCTCGGCACCCAGGTCCTCATCCTGACCCAGACGGACGTCGACCAGGCGAACAAGAGCTACTACGGCGAGACCGGCGGGCTGTACCTGCTGAGCGCGGCGGGCAACTTCGACTGTCGCGTGACCCTCGACAAGGAGGGACCCGTGCACGACATCGCGTGGAGCCCTAACTCCAAGGAGTTCGGTGTCATCTACGGATACATGCCGGCCAAGACGATGCTGTTCGACCAGCGTGGACGCAGCCTGCACGACTTCGGCCCCGCGTTCTGCAACTTCATCTCCTTCAACCCGCAGGGCCGGCTCATCGCCATCGCCGGGTTTGGTAACCTTGCGGGCAAGGTCGATATCTACGACCGGCGCACGCTCACAAAGGTCACGGTGATCGACGCGTCGAACACCTCCCACTGCGAGTGGTCGCCCGACGGCCGCTTCCTGCTCACCGCGACGCTCTCCCCGCGCCTGCGCGTCGACAACGGGATCAAGATCTGGCACTGCACCGGCCCACTCGTGCACGTCCAGCCCATCGAGGAGCTCTACCAGACGTCGTGGCGGCCGACGCCCGTCGACGCGCTGCCCGCGTTCCCGCAGGCCATCCCCCCAGCGCCCGCCCCCTCCGCGAGCGTCGAGCAGCACGCGGTCATCGCCAAGCCCGCGCCCAACAGGCTCGCCGGCGCGTACCGCCCCCCGGGCGCCCGCGGCCTGGAGGCGTCCACCGCCTACAAGCGCGAGGACGACGCGCCGAGCGGCGGGTCGACGCCCAACGGGCGGTTCAGCCGCAGCCCCGCCCCCGGGCGGTTCCAGAACGGGAGGAGACATGTGCCCGGGGCGCCGACGTCGCCGTCGCCGGTGCGGCATACGGGTGACCAGGACCGCCGTGGGCGGAAGAAGAAGGGCCCGAAGGAGAACAAGAAGGGCAACGACGCTGCCCCGCCTGCGGCCGCCGCCGCCGCGAACGGGAACGGGGAGGCGAGCGTGCGGCCGTCCATCGACATCCCGCCTAATGGCTCTGCGGAGGCTATACAGGCGGCAGCGACGAACGGGGAGGTGCCACCGACCCCCGGCGGGGACAACGGGCTCGACCCGACCGCGAAGAAGGTCCGGAACTTGAACAAGAAGGTGCGTAGGCATGTGCTTCGCAGAGTGCTGGACGTCGGTTGACGGTGCACGTGCAGCTCAAGGCCATCGAGGACTTGAAGGAGAAGCAGAAGAAGGGCGAGCGGCTGGAGGCGACGCAGCTCAAGAAGATCGACACCGAGGCGGAGATACGCAAGGAGCTCTCGACGCTCGGCATCTCATAGCGTCCTGCGACGTCGTCGCCCAGCCCCGCGCCCGCCTGCGGTCGCGCTCCTTTATAGAGTACGTGCGTGCGTGTATAGCCTGCTTTGTGTCTGTCCCGGTCGCCATGTCGTCGTGGACAGTCCAGTCGCTGTGTTTTGAGTAATGTTATATTGGAAGGTCTGGCATGTGTTGTACTAGGGTACGACTGGATGCACGTTCTTGGATATCAGGACTCCGCGTCGGTTGTCTTGTGCTGTGTTCGATGCTCACACCATCTTGCACAGCGATACAGGCGTGAGATGCAGCGGACTCGATCTCTACACAAGCGGTCCTGCCGCTACCGCTGTCGGTTCTGGACACCGATGATGCTGCCGCATGCTGTAGTACTTTCGCAGCTTGCAGTGGCGCCTGTGCACGTCATTGCGCCCGCCTTCGGCTGTTCAACGCCAACTCTGTTGGATGCCGTACAGTCTAGATCCGATGTCTACATGGGGATCCATGGGGGACACCTCCAGGCTAATTCTCGATGTCCGGCCAGGATAACACTGGAACGGCTCTAGAGGCCTAGACCAGCCAGTGACTTAAGCTTTAAACTAAGTTCTCTGGTGGTACCCCGATCTCTCCGGTAACTTACGCCGGCGTCCAAACTTGGACCACTCGCTCATCGACCTCGACTACACCCTACGACCTCGTTCGACAGTACGGAAGGAAGAGCACACCATTCTCCGGGTGGTGGAACACCGTGGCCCGTGTGCATGCTTGTGGCTTTGACCGAACTCCTTGACGGTTTCAAGGCATAAGCAGTGACATGGACATTTCGGCGGTCCGGCAACGGAGCTGAGGTCATTTGTCGCCCATTCCCTGTACTAAGTTATAATGGCAGGTGAGTTTGTCTCGCTTGACAAGCCAAGCACTAGAGCTTATCCCCACATACAGGCAGTGCATCAGCATATTACGACCGCTTCGCCTGTGGCATGCGGTTGTACAGCCAACACATAATGGGCACATGCACTCCGCCGCTTGAACGAATGACTCAAATTGACCCCTATGGCTAGGTACGGCGCGGCGCGGACAAGGACCACCGCCTCAACTGAAACACCCACTCTGACTGGGTGATCGCTTCCTGTATGTGTTTTATTCGTTGCCTGCTATGCAATGCCTTGCGTAATGGTCACTTGTCGACAAAACGAGGAGCTTCCTATACGGGCGCTCTCAATGCTCGGTTCCTCTCCTGCTCGCTTTGGAAGGCCCTTAACATTGGCTGGAGACGACGTCGTGACGAGCGGCATCACTTGTAGGCCTATCATCTCTCGGAACACCTTCCAAATTCCACCTCAGTATCAAGGGGCGCTGTATGCGCCCACTGACCTCGATCTGATCTTACGCCTCCCTGTATGTGACTGGCCGCCGTGCACTGCAGAGCTGTGCCATCCGGCTTTCGGCTCTGCACCGTGTGCAGCGGATAAAATTTAGTGCCTCCTCTAGCATCCGACGCCTCTTTCTTTCTATATTCTAGATACGTCAATACCGTTCCGCGTCATTCTGTCGCTATAGAGTGGATATCTGTAGATTAACTTGCAGAGCAACGCGCCATGTCATTGAAGGATAAAGCAGATCTCGACAAACCGATATCTCAGGAATTGTTAGCCATGCGTTTAGCGCGCGCGCCTGACCTTAAAGCATCTGACATGATGGAGCGTTCTCGCTAAACTTTCTCCCCACGTCTTCTACGTAGTACGTAGGGGCGCTCCGCTCGAGTCCTTCACCGCTTTCCACTACCACAGACTGTACAACTGAAGCTAGCGAGGATGGAACAGCACACAGAACACACCCCTCTGCTAGACTCCGAGGCGGCGATACCGCCCACCGACTCAGAAACCGCAAGTTTGAAATGCGGCCCGAACTACCAACGCTTTACACCAGCGCGAAAGCGGGTCATCGTCGCTCTATCCGCTTGGGCCGCTGTCATTCCAAGTCTGTACTTCCCGCCTCAGGCAGTGGTGTTCCAACATGGGCTAACGACGCATCCCACAGTGCTGGCGTCAAGTTCGTTCGTGCCATCAATACCTCAGATTGCCCGTGATCTCGGGACAACGGGCGAAGTCATCAGGTACGCCACCGTTGGAAGCGACGTTGGGGAGCACATAGCTTAGGCACTCATGTTCACTCAGCCTTGCAGTGAGCCTCGCATTGGTCTCAGGGTCGGCGGGCAGCCTTCTTTGGGCCACATACTCGGGTTCTTGTAGGTGCTCTCAGGCTGTTGTGCATGCCGCAATACTGACACGGTTTGCAGATGGACGACGTACAATATATCTCTTGTCGCTGCCGCTTCTCTGTCTTGGCTCCGCAGGCGTTGCCACATCAAAATCTGTCCCTACGCTCATGTTCTGGCGTGTCGTGCAATCACTCGGCGCGTCGAGCGGCATGGCAGTTGGGTGTGGCGCTATTGCCGACGTCTACAAGTCTGAAGAGCGCGGTACCGCGATGGGCATCTTCTTCGCAGTACGTCCGTCTATCTGGATATCTGCGTATGCGACAGCACTCACCCGCCACCCCTTCTCATAGGCATCGCTCTTTGGTCCTGCGATCGCGCCACTATGTGGCGGCGTGGCTACGCATTACTTCTCATGGCGCTATGGCCAATGGGGGCTGTTTGTCTTGGGTCTCCTTGTGCTTATCCCGGTGTACTTCTGCCTCCCGGAGACGCTAGACCCGGAAAAGCGTCGTAGGTGGGGCGCCACCGAGGAGTCCAAGAAGCCTATATTCTTGAACCCGTTCAAGAGCTTGGGTTTGCTTCGCAGTCCGAATATGGTTGTTGTTGTAAGTCATGCGTCTTTGGATGAACAGAGTGGAATTGCTGAGCTTAGCGCACAGGCGTTGGTGGGGACGACGGCGATGGTGACGAACTTCGTGCTCATGATACCGTTGGCGTATACCATCGTGCGTCACTCTTTGCGCCGCTCTACTCCCGATACATCCCGCGCTGACTCCGAGAACCACAGGGAAAGCAATACAACATCACGAATGAGGCGATAATCGGCGCCTTCTTCCTCCCATCTGGTCTGGGAAACATGGGTACGCAGCCCCAGTCATCTAAATCCGTCTTAGGCTGATAAACGGAATATCATCGCAGTTGGTGCATCGCTCGCCGGCCGTATGTCCGATCGAATGGTCGTTAAATGGCGGAAGCGGCGTGGGCCGGACGTCTGGGTTCCCGAGGACCGCCTGCGCGCGTGCCTCTGGGGCGCGGGCGTATTCGTACCGCTGTCTGTGCTTCTGTCTGGCTTGACGACCCAGTTCGTGCCTGGGACACTCGGAATCGTCCTCAACCTTGTCTGGCTGTTCATGAACAGTATCGGGGTGCGTGTCTGTGGCGATTCCGCAACGGGCCGATCCACTGACCTCTGAACTCACAGATCAACATCGTGCTTACCCCGTCCCAATCATACTATATCGACATATGGCACTCGCGCAGTGCGGAGACGACGGCTGCCAGCGGGTACGCACCATCTCACCTCGTTCTCGCCACCATTGCTTACGTCTCTGCATCCAGGACGTTCCGCGGCGTCATCATTGCGTCCGTCACTGCAGGCATCCTCCCGCTCATCAACGCGATCGGCGTCGCCGCGACCGGGGCCATTTTCGCGGGTGTTGCCTGGATCGGATTCGGGTGCGTCGCTTCCTCTCTATCGACTGCACTTACACTAACTCACCTCTCTTAGGTTGACTTTCTTCACGATCAAGTATGGCGACCGAATGCGCGCGTCCGTCGATGTCGGGTATTCGACGGCGCGCGATAACTGATGATATGCTGCCCGCGACTGAGGGCTTCGTTCTCTTCACTATAATTTATCATGGTTGTTTACGCACGCATAATCGGACACGAGCTATATAATCCAGGTACTGTATCATACTGTATTTTTTACAATTCCATAATATCATGACGCGTTTTTATGCGTGGTTTTTCTCCTAACATGCGCGACACGGAGAACGCTGAGGATCGCACTTTAGTGTGTAGTTAACGCGAAGCGACGACGACCTAGCGCGCTACTACGTAGACAGAGAACTCCTTGATCGCCGGCAATTTGACCGGCGCGCACGTCTTCTAAACCTTGAATACTGTCGATGTCTGGTGAGCCGGAAATGAAAAGAGTGGCAAGAGGAAAAGCTGGGTTTACGCACCTCACGCGCTATCCTGCTGCAACGAGTCAAGCTCGTCGTCGAGCAGACACGACTTCCTGCCATACGGCCGCAAAGGACCGTGACGATCAACATCGACATGCCCCCATGCGTGCCACCGTCCGTCAGCCCTCTTCTCCCACTCGAACTCATTGGTCAACGCGACGCGCCGCAGGGAAGGGGCGGCCCTGTCGAACTCCGCGAGGATCTCCCGCTGTCGCGATTCGTCTCTGGCCCACGGGAACGCATCCATCGGGGACCGCATGAATTTGGTAGGGGCGTCCGAAAGCAGAAGGGTATGCAGACGGGGCGTGTGCGGAAGCAGCGTCGTACTGAGGAGTAGTGGGTCATTCTGTCAAGCATGCGCATTAGTGACTGGGGAGCGCGCGAAGAGAACGGGGTGGACAATGTCGTACCTCGTACGTTTCGCGCATGCCCTGTCCATCAATAGTGAATAGGGGGATGATAACCAACACCAGGCTCTCTAATTGCCCTAGGAATGGTGCGATCGTTGGGTCCCCGAAACTGCCCAGGGCCGCATCTGGAATGCCGATGGCGAGATGTTGGACGGGAACTCCAGAATATGCTATGTGGGCGAGGACGGGCAGCGTGTCGGCTGCGGTTATGGGTGTCACAACAAAAAAATCGCTGTGCCGCTCGTAACAGGCGCGATCCAGGCGTAGGGTGTGAATCGGTCGACGGTGGGTTTGAACATTCGGCAAGAAGGCCTCCAATACACCTATGCTGGACGAGCACGCAAGCACCTCCAAGGTCGAATAATCAGTACTCCCCAGCAGATCTGCGTTGGCGTAATAGGTGAGCGACTTCAGCCGGGGTGCCTGGGCGAAGCAGGGGAAGTGCAAAAACGCCTCGGGGATCGAGAGCTCCTCTAGGTGTTGAAGAATGGGCAAACGGCTGATGGCGTCCACGATGGGCGAGCCGGCCGCCGTCATGCTGGAGCCAAAGTTCAGTGATAGAACACGAAGGGCGTGTGGAGAGTGACATATGGTGCGTTTGAAGAAGGAGGCGTACGCTGTGGTCGAGGTAGGGCCACCGATAGGAAGCGTCAGCTCGAAAGATGAGAATGTCAACACATCGAGCGCCAGGTCGATGTCGAAATTGACTTCCATGACCATTCGGCCGTCACCCTGCGACATTAGGTCCAGCGTACGAAGAAGCGAGGTGCGGCCTGCTGCGAAAGATAGCAGGATACGTGGGATGCTTGGCAAAGGAATGGCGCAAGAGAAGGATCGGATATTGATTAACCGGGGAAGCGTTGAAATCAAGATATTCGCCAGGGCTTGCCTGCTTTGATCAACGACATAGATGAGCATAGGATATCGAATGCGGATGGACTTTGGATAGATGGTGAGGTCGCGTCCGAACGATAGCGCTTCTGGAGGGCGCGACAGGGTCTTGATGCAACGCCATATCGCGCGCGGTCGGATGAGGTCTATGTGCTCGTAGAGCGTAATCGTCGCCGCCTGGTTCCACATTCTGTTCATGAGTGTTAACACATATAGTCCGTGAGTCTCCACAAAAGAACAGATGTTGATGCAGATCTCGAGAGGGAGCACGTTTTCTTGGAAAAGAGGGGCAAATGACATCCTGATCAACGTTAGCTCAGAGTGAGCAACATATATAACGAGAGGCAGTAGTTGACATGGCTACGTACAATCTAGCACTCCGTGGGGAGGCAATGTGTGATGATGGAGCTGTCGAGTTCGCAGAAGTGTGGATATGACTGTGATGGTCGCTGTCGGTGGTGGGCGCAAGCGACGATAATCGAGGTGCAACTCGAAGCAGCGCAGGCAACGCAACGGGCTATCGGATAACACGAAATCACGGGCTCAAACGGATCCTGAGGCCCAAGGCCTGAGAATCCGTCGACGTGCACAAGCTACGATGGCCTCTGTGTTTGATGCTACTTATCGTGAGTCTATGGAGCAGTCGACGAGGCTTGATGGCATGACTGTGGGGGGTCTCCACCGATATACTCCCTCGGGCGCGGCGACTCCGAATAAACTGAGCGAATCGTAGCTAAGCCGTGACGTACAGAATATTACCGGACGGTGCATATAACACCATTCCTAGTCCTCGAGCCTCACCTGCCATCCAAGCAGCATCGGAAGCTCGAGGAAGACGTGTCCCCACGCGTGCCACCGCCCGTCTGCGCGCTTCTCCCACTCGAACTCGGTCGTGAACGCCACGCGGCGCAGCGCGGGCGCATGGAATTCGTAGCCTGCAAGCACCGCGCTCTGCAGCGCCTCATCTCGTGCCCATAGGAACGCATTCCCTAGATCGTACCTCTTCAGGGACACGTCCGAGAGGAGGAACGTGTGTAGGCGTGGCATGCGCGCGAGGAGCAGAGGGCCGAGCGAGGCCAAGTCGAGCTGTCGGGCAGCACACATCAGCAGGCGAATGACGGGATGGGGGCACGCAGAGACGTACTGTGTGACCATAATTCATGTGGAGGGCTATTACAAGGCTCTTCAGGTGTGCGAGGTACCGCATAGTCTCCCAGTTGCACAGCTCGTGTAGCTCGGTGTCGGTGAAGGATATGCTGAGCGACTGCAGTGCGGCTCCGGAATATGCGATGGGCGCGAGCATGGACTCCCTAACAATCGTTCCGACACATGTGCCGCTGTGACGTCCGTAAGAGACGTGGCTCAGGCGCAAGGTACGGATTGGCCGACGTGGTGCTTGTACATCGGGCAGAAACTGGCCTAGCAGATCCGCATGCCAATATGTGTCGGTAGCGTATGAAAGCTCCTCCAACGCTGGGTATTCAGAGGGGCGGATGATTGGAAGCGATTCAACCAAGCCGAGAACATGGAGGGCCTTCAGCTCCGGTGCCTGCGCAAAGCAGGTAAAGGTTATCCATTCCGCTGGAATTGAGAGCTCCGTCAGACCAGCGAAGACGGGGAGACTGCATCTGAAGAGGTTCTCGATTGGCGCGCGCGTCACGACGTTTGCCGTGCCAACGTCCAAGGATAAAGACACGGAGATCGTCGGGAGAGCGAAATATGGTGCACTTTAAGAACGACAAGTAAGGGGCCGCCTGTTCCGTCTCCAAGGATCCGCCCGGCTTGAGCTTGAGCCCAGTGAGCTTGAGCTTGAGCGACGATAGTGTCAGCCAATTTCCGCGAGGTACAGCGCTCTCGAACTTATCGGTGTCCGATTCCGTCTCTCTCGCGTCGGATGTCAACTCCAGAGCGCGGAGTCCCGGATTATGGTTTGTCGAAAGACACTGGAAGACTCGCGGAACGTAGGGCCAAGGAATGCCGCAAGAGAAGGACAGGAGGTTGATCAAGCGAGGGAGCAGTTGCATCAAACTCTCTGCCAGGGCCTCCTTGCTTTCGGGATGGATTTGGATGAGGAGAGGATGACGAAGACGGATGGATTGTGGATATAGGCAATAGTCACGCCCGAAGGATAGCATTCCTGGGGGTAGGGAGAGGGTTTGTACGCACTTCCATATCGCGCGCGGTCGCTCGATGTCGATGTCCCGGTAGAGCGCGATCATCGCTGCTTCATTCCATGCTTTGTTCATGGAGCTCAGAAGCAAGAGCTCGCCGGTGCCTAGAGCGAAACATATCTCTGTGAGTAGCTCGACAGGTAACATAGGAGGATAGACGTGGAAGAGAAGATAAGTTGGTAGCGCCTACTTTCGTCGGCGCCGTCTCAGTGCCAAGTGGCACTATGCATGTCAGTAACAAAAAGCAATTCCGACACGGGGAATCGAACCCCGGGCTATCGCGTGAGAGGCGATAATGTTAGCCACTACACCATATCGGATTCTTAACATGCCTGACACTCACCTTCACCACCTCAATTAGTCTAGCCCTCGACCGTAGTACCACATTCGACACAGAGAAAGCCTGAAGGCCCTGAACGTGAACGACTTCCGCTGCTTATGGTCACTTTCAAGTCCGTAAGCACAGAGTTATCTGTTCCGGCCGTTGCACCTTTGGGCACACCGGAGGGGATGCGGGTTTGTACCCCACCGTCCCCGGTAAGACACCGTCGGAAGAGCCTGAATGATCGACGATCGCGGCCACTCGTCTGGGAAGGTTGCTGGGATGCAAGAGCTGGTACGTACACAACAGCACCTGTGTCATGACAGTGCACCGAATGCACAGCCAAACTCTTGGCTGACGTGTGCTCTTGTCAGGCCTATGCGTAGAGTCAGAGTATGTTGTCCACTAGTACTGGTAAGGCGACCGAGCATTACTACACCTTCAACAGAACCGGTCAACCTAGCAGGACCTCTTGCAGGACATCTAGCGCTCTGGAGTGCCATCCAAAATTGGGTAAGTATCGTCCGCGGCCAAGCATGCACGCACGCACCTCCTCGACTGCGCTTTGGACGCCCGTCGTCTTGCCCAATGTCTCGCAGCCACCGAGGCCGTCCTCCGCGCGGTGCCCGCACTCTCGCGTGCAGGTGAAGAGAGCGGAGGCATGCACGCTCGAGGGCGGTCGAAGTGATACGCGCTCCTACCCGACGCCCGAAGCATGAATCCTCAATCGGTTTCAGCGCGCCGCGTACGTACACGCCAAATGAACACACTCACCCGAGCCCACCCCGGCGCGGCAGGCAGGCTGAACGGACACGCTGGCGAGGACGCACGAACGTATAAAAGGACGCACCGCTCGCCCCAACTCCCCAGCAGTCAACGACTCGTCTCAGCTCTCTCTCCAGCTCTCACTCGCAGTCTTCACTCGCCAACTAATCCACCATACCCCTCACTCCCTCCTCCACGTCTTACCCTATCATACCCAAGATGTTCGCCCGTGTCGCCGCCCTCGCCCTCGCCCTCCCGATCCTTGCTGCCGCCCAGAGCTGCAACACCGGCCCCGTCCAGTGCTGCAACAGCCTCGAGAAGGTGCGTCCTATATCTGAGTCGTTTCTTCCAGATGACTGACGCACGCGCTCATAGTCTGACTCCGCCGCGGGTACCGCGATCCTGTCGACGCTCGGCCTCGGGCTGGGCGACGTGACTGGCCAGATCGGCCTCCAGTGCTCGCCGCTCTCTGCGGCCGGTGTCGGTTCGTCTTCGTGCAAGTCGAGCCCCGTGTGCTGCCAGAACAACAACGTCGTAAGTCCTTTCTGCACTCGAAGTTTTGGGATGGTCACTAATACAACGCGTTAAGGGCGGCGCCGTTTCGATCGGCTGTGTTCCCATCATCCTCTGAGCGGCGTCGCCGTCGGTAGTGGATGTTTAGGCTGGTGCGGGGAATGAGGGGGGGCGGAGTAGTCGTATAGCTTGGATAATGTCAGCGAATGGATTCGTGCTTGAGAGTTCCACATACCTGGTGTGAATCGTTCTTTGAGTGATGCTAGCCATCGGGATTTCTCCGCCTGTCCAGGACCACAGACAAGGACAGCAGATTTTGCCACTGATAAAGTATGGCGATTTCCTGCAGCGCAATGTCAGTGCGAGGGCGTACTGGCAGTATTCGGAGAAGCACTTACGCGGCGATATCCGACGTGGGTGATGGCCTTGTCAAGATAGCCTACGATGACCCATGGGCTTCTCGGACGGCACGCATGCGTTCAGGGTGGTCAGCGGAGATCCTGTCACATACAAGGGCGGTAGATGGAGTTTAGATATCAAACTCCGACATCTACGAAAGTGGACGTTACGAGTACACCTGTCCTCGGTTTCCAGAGCTCCCTCAAACCTGTGCCGAGGACAGTCATCCTTGGAAAGGCCGCCGCGTTCAGGGACGGCATGCGTGTCCAAAGCTATCCATTCGTAGCGACGGTGTTCGCGAGGTGTACATTTTCGCGAACTTGTATATTGGTGCTCCGCACGGCGATTGTCTTAACAGACCGAGTCGGCGTTCAGCCGTGTCGAGGAGCGCCAGCTGGAATGTATGCGCAGCCCAGCATCATCTTAGAGACAAGCATTAGCAAAATATAAGGGCGGGACAATGACAACGACGACGCTCACAAGCTGGACTTCGCGACAATACGCAACCGGTACCAAGTTGCAGCGCTTGCAACGCGTTTACATGTGGAACGCTAGACGACACAAGCAAACGGTTAAATCCAGTCCACAATGAAGGGTGGTGACTTCAATTGCAACTTGGACGCGCGCGGCTGTGCAAGTCGGACAATACGATCACTATGGAAGCCCTCCGCAGAATCTGCATACACAAGGATAAGCTCACAGCGGGGAACGTGTTTATACGGCATGCCTACGTATTAGCAAATTCATTTCTGGACGACACGTCCACCACGCAGCACGAGCTGTGCGCATGTCGTCGGTTACGAGCACACAGAGCTGGGCTCGAGCAGCCCGGATCCCAGAACGGCTGAGAAGCACAGATCTGCGCCATACAGACTCCGCGTCGCCCTAGATCCTCAAAACGCAGGCGACGCCGCAGCGCCCCTTCATTGTGAGCACTCCGCGACGCCCCAGCGCGCCCGCGACGGCCGACGGGAGCGACCACAAGGCATCCTACTCGGACAAAAACGCAGGCAATGGGGGGACAAGGAGCGCCGCAACCACCCGGGGAGCGCGGGGGCAGTACGCGGCGATAGTCGGCGGAAGGAGAAGAAGCATGTTCATTTTCATTGTAGCTGGCGGCGCCCGCCATGAAGGGTACGGCGAACATTGCACAACAGGCGGCGCATACGTACAACGAAGAAGAAGATTCGCACCAATGCGACTGTGGTTCGACTCGCCCGCCACCGCCGCGCACGGGTCTCTGCCGAATGCGCCGCATTCTCGAGCAAAAGCGAGTTGGCGCAGAAGATAGGATGCAGAATGCAGAGGGGACGGTCCGATGGCGCCAAGCGATGAGAGTCTGCGGTGGGGCTGGGGGAGCGGTCCAAATACGACGTGCTGGGCAGTCGTACCACTGTGCGCAGGTACAGCTTCACGAAGCGGCGGTAGTGCGAGAAAGGGCCCGAGCGGCGCGAAGCAGCTGAGCAGGTACACACGCCGCACAGGAAGGGCCCCCCAGCTGACCGCGGAGACCGGTCCTTGTACGGCGGATCAGCCCACGGGCGAGCACTGGGCGAGTTGTCGGAGCTGTCCGTGTTTGCGAGCCTCTGAAAGTGCAGGGTCTGGGGTGATAGCATTCGACGTGTCGGCGGGAGGGTTATTAGGGTTGGGAGGGTAGCGTTGAATGTGGCAGATAGCTGATCAGGAAGCCGGCCCATAGCAGACCGAGCTGAGCCGCCGAAGTAGTGGGGTCTAGTTGTGGTCGGTCCATCTCGCGAGAAGTCCCGATGCGAAGATGGACTCGGTGGACCGAACACGGAGCCGTGCAAGTGGCGGCGTGCTATCTGGGAGCGCGAGATAGGGCACCGCCTGCGCGAGGGACGAGAGCGAGAAGAGTGGAGCAGTTCGATGGCTCACTGGAAGCACCCCAAGTCTAGATGTAGCCTCGCCAGGTTCCTGGGGAGTGAGGCGGAGCAGTTGCCTTTGGCGTGGGTAGGGGGAGCGAGTTGGAGGAGTATTGTGCCGTGGCCGGCGCCCACAACGTTAACGTCCTATCTGGACGCCCACCACGACATCGAGCAGGGGCTGCGCCAGACCACAGAAGCTCGAGTGGGCGAGGAAGATACCATTCCAAGGAGACAATGGAGGAGTGTCGCGATTGCAGGCTGGAAGAGGAAGAGCGGGCGTTGTTCTCGCTGTCGGCAGCGGGTAGCGAGCGAGAGTTCTGTCCTCGGTCGCCCTGTCGATGGCACGCGCCTGGCGCCGCCTGCCTGGCGGGATCAGCCGGGACCCGAAAGCGGCATGGACGAGCACCGCCCGGCTGTCGCAGGGGACGGCGAGTGAAGCGATCTGAAGCGATCCCTCCCCGCCTTTTTGTTTTCCGTCCGACTCGCCGAGCGAATATAAGTATAGCCCCCGCCCAGGCCTCTCTCCCTCCTCAGCTCAGCTCGTCGTCCTCGTCCTCGCTCTCCCTCGCTGCTCTCGTCCACGCATACTCACCGAACGCAAGTACTTCACGTCAGCCCCACCCCTAATCTCGCATCCTGAGCTCTAGCACCATGGCCGTCTCCTCCCACCGCATCCACACCATCCACGGCGCGTTCGGCGCACCCTCCTGCTTCGCACCCTCCATGCCCCTCTCAATCAACTCAGCCCAGGCGTCCTCCTTCCACCGCCTCCCCAACGTCTGCGCCCCGCGCGCCCGCCCCTTCCGCGCAGTCCCGGGCGCAAGCAGCCCCGCCTCCGTCAGCCGTACCGCCCCCGCCTCGTCCGCCCCGAGCATGGGCTCGTCAGCCGCAGGCAGCCGCCCTAGGAGGACGTCCTTGTCCTTCTCGGCGCCCCCAACGCCCACCCGCCGCGCACCCCCTCCCCCACCGGCCCCAGCAGAACGCACCGCCTCCGCGCTCCGCACGACCACGGCCCCGCTCGTCGTCGAGATCCCGACCATCGAGGACCCGTTCGCCGACGCCCCCGAGGAGCCGCTCGACCGCTCCGCGCGCACGCAGGTGCACACGTACACCGTCCCCGCGCCGCCCGCACCGAAACCGAGAGCTAGCATGGAGGCGACGTCAGGCATCAGCGCCCCGCCGGGGCTTGCGCGCACCGCTGCGCCGAGCATTCCCAGCGCACGGGACATCCGCGGACGCCTGGTGGCGAGTGCGCTGCTGAACCGCGGCTCGGGGCGGCCCCTTGGGGTGTACCTCCGCAGACGACTGTCTGGGCAGGAGCACGTCTACATCAAGAGCGGCCTCTCGCAGCTCGTCGCGGTCGCTGCATGATCGTGGGCCCTGCAGATCATCCAAGGGCGCACAGGGGCGCAGGGGGGAGGGTGGTTGTTGTGGAGGGATACCCGGTCGGTCTCGCGTTGTTTCTCCGGGCTTGGACGACACACGCTCCTTATTCCTTGTCTTCTGGTCACTCGCATCTCGCTCGTCATCTCCTGTGCATCTTACCTGCCTCCGTACACTTGCTATCATCATCATCCGCCCACTCGTTCCCTTTCCCCCCACTCTTCTCCGCATTGCATCGTCCGCTCACGACCGCTACTGCACACACCCAGTAATCCGCACGCACCCCGCACGTCTACCCCTCACGATCGCTCGGACCCCGCGTCGCGCTCTCCTCTCTCACTCTCTTCTGCTGCACACATTGTAGAACACCGCACTGCACATCTCACATCACGAATTCCTGATTTATTCTTTCTTTTCCTCCATCTCTCTCTGCTCTCTCTATTTTCTTCCTCTCGAGGTCTCTCATCTTGTGTTGTTGTGACGCCGCCGTAACTAATCCTAGACCCCCGCACACGGACTCCCAGGCTGTACAAACCAAACGGTGTCAATAGCTGTATAATCGACTCCCTCTTGTCAACTTCCTGCATTCCACATTCTCAGTCGTCGGACCCGAGGGCGCCCCGACCGTGTGCCCGACCTGTCCATGTCGTCTTGCAAGTTGTGAGCATGCAGACACCCAGCCTGACGTCGCCCATCTATCAACCGGGGCGTCGGCGAGAACCACCCCAGCGTCATATTCAGTGATACAGTACCTCGCGACCCTCGACCCATGATGCATGATCCACGGACCGCGCGAGCTGTAGCGTACGGATCCTCTCAGGCTCCTCCTCGCCCCCGCCCCTCCCAGGCCTGAGCGAGTACAGCCCAGTACCGCCCCGTCGTTGTATGGCCCTTACCACCTGACCAGGGACGCTCGGCTCTCCATTGCTGCACTGTACACGCTTGCCGTCCGTCGGCGACCGACCGACGCAGCAATGGCCCGCAGCTGCTCACGCCATCGCCGACGGAAGGCGACTCGGAGCTGCTGCTGAGGGGGTGGCTGAAGCAGAGCGGACAGGGGCAGCTGGGCGCTCCGACGCGCAGTCCGGGCGCGATCGCGCCGCGGGCCCGACGTCCGCCAGGGACCGATCGTAGTTCGTGCAAGCTGAGATTGCAAAAAGCAGATGATGACCACTACGCCTGGGATACTAGGAATCCGATATGGTGTAGTGGCTAACATTATCGCCTCTCACGCGATAGCCCGGGGTTCGATTCCCCGTGTCGGAATAATCCAGTCCCCCACTCTTTTCGTTTTCGAGCCCTCGGTGGTGGCGGCAGCGGACATAGCGGCAGCGGCTGGGGCTGCTTGAATGTATGGCTTGCGAACATCTTTTGTTATTGCCACCGCATTCTCCTCTCATAAGTATTTCCTCGGGGAACTCTGTCTCTCTGTGCTCAGTGCAAAGCGAGTGGATGTCGTAGTGACGGGACTGACACTTGCGTTCTACCGGGACATCGACATCGAGCGACCACGCACCAAGCCTCCAAATCTTTCAACTGAGGACTCCCATGAACGTCGACGTCTATGCGCGACTACGTTGTCTTTACATGGCCCAGTCGACATGCATCCCGAAACCAAGCCTAGAGTGTTCAGTGGCTCACACGTCCTACTCGAGCTCACCTCTCTGCTCGTAGCTAAGTACGTGCGCACGGATCGCGCTGCGCGACGAGTATGTCGCACGACGCACGAAGAAAACATGTCATTACGTGAGTAAAAACAACACTGTCGCATCTTCAACTTGTGACCTTATCCTTATATTCGCAGGTTCTTCGCCGGTGCCCTAAGGTGATCGTAATTTACCTACCACACAGCCGCGCCCCCGTCATTGTGGGCTATATCTGTCCGTTTGCTTGTCCTGCCGGGAGTGCCGTATGGAAGGATTTTGCGGCGCGCTGGCTTAATGCCGGTTGCGTATGGTTGCGAAGACCAGCTGGTGAGCGTCGCTGTCGTTATTGTAATGCCCTTGTACTCTGGCTCATGCTTATCTTTCAGAGGACGATGCCGGACTATGCATGCATTCCAGTTGGCACTGCTCGGAGCGGCCGAGCGCTGGCTATGCTCACGCCTTCAATTGCTGTACGCCTTCCTAGTGCGCCGTATGCAAGTCTACAAGAGATCTCACGGATCACTCGCCGCGTCGACCGGTACGGCGAGCTACTTGTGTATTTTTATGTGCCGTTCTTGACTTCTCGCAGGACAGTTGTACTTGGCTTGGATCTGAGGAAACCAAGGACAGGCATACCCGTAAGGTGCTACTCGTGCGGATGCGTGAAACTAATGATCAAACACCGCCTTCTGCAAATCTTCCTCTCGTGCATCTCCAGGACGCCTCTCCAGTATTCAATACGGACTGAATTCACTCAGGTAATGCGACACGCCCGGTATGTGGAACTCTCAAGCACGAATCCATTCACCGACATTATCCAAGCTATACGACTACTATCCCTCCTGCTGCCTCACCTCCCGCACACGCCTAACCATCCACTACCAACAACGCCGCCGCTCAGAGGATGATGGGAACACAGCCGATAGAGACCGCGCCGCCCTGCATTCGCGGTATTAGTGACATCCTAACAGCACAAGGCCGAAGACAACACCCACGACGTTGTTGTTCTGGCAGCACACAGGGCTCGACTTGCACGAAGACGAACCGACACCGGCCGCAGAGAGCGGCGAGCACTGCAGGCCGATCTGGCCCGTCACGTCGCCCAGCCCGAGGCCGAGCGTCGACAGGATCGCGCTGCCCGCGGCGGAGTCAGACTGCGAGCGCATGCGTCAGTCATCGCGAAGAAACAACGAAGATAGAGAGCGCGAGGGAGAACCCACCTTCTCGAGGCTGTTGCAGCACTGGACGGGGCCGGTGTTGCAGCTCTGGGCGGCAGCAAGGATCGGGAGGGCGAGGGCGAGGGCGGCGACACGGGCGAACATCTTGGGTTTGGTAGGGTAAGACGGGGAAGAGGGAGTGAAGGGTATGGTGGATTAGTGGGCGAGTGAAGACTGCGAGTGAGAGCTGGAGAGAGCTGAGACGAGTCGGTGACTGCTGAGGAGTCGGGGCGAGCGGTGCGTCCTTTTATATGTTCGTGCGTACTCGCCAGCGTGTCCGTTCAGCCTGCCTGCCGGGCTGTGGGTGGGCTCGGGTGAGTCTGCTCAATTATCGTGTACGTACGCGGCGCGTTGGAGCCCATTTAGGCTCCATGCTTCGGGCGTCGGGTAGCCGCGCGTATCACTTCGACCGCGCTCGAGCATGCCCGCCTCCGCTCTCTTCACCTGCATGCGAGATGGGTGCGGGGACAAGGCGGAGGGCGGCCGTGAACGTTGGGAATTGCTCGCCGATGATTGGTGGCGACGAGACTCTAGACGAGGCGGCAAGCGGGGCGCCCATATACGGTGCAGTCGACTCGGATGCTTAATTTTGAACAGTCCCCGATGAGGACCGGAAATCTGCCGGTCAGGAAAACGTCCTGGCCGATATTCTGGCCGACGAGGATATCGCGGTGGCCAGCGCCCGGTATGTTTTCTTGTTTTCGGATAACATGCTCTCATTTGAAGTATGACAGGTTGGGGGGAGGCTTTCGCCCACACTTCTTCGCGGACCTGCAGTATCATGACACAAACGCCGCTGTGTACGTATCGGCAGTTCGCGCACAGTGGTAGCGTCTTGTCAGGACGAATGATCGCCGATCATTTATACTGTTTCCACGGGACGGAGGGGACCATGCCCCTTGGGCGAATGCGAACGGCGTACGGCATGACTCAAGAGTCAAAGTGCTTAGATCGGCCCATGGTGAGCACACTCGCGGAGTCTCTGGCCAGGAGGCTCGTGGTACAGCCACATGACGATATGGAGTGCTTCAACGCATCACCACCGCTACAGTTCGCTACTCCACAACGGATTGACTCGGGCGCGACGGCAAGGAGGACGTGGTCTTTGCTTGCTACTAGTGCGTATCTTCCATTCTTGCACTGAGAACTTGCCAGCATTTTTTGACCAGACGGACTTGATGCACAGTGTTCCGAGCAGTGGGTGAGTAGTTTACACTGTACAATGCGATTACAAAAACTAGGAAAGTGGTATGTACGCTACATGGGTACGTAGCCACGCCGTATGTGTATGGCGATGCCGGAGGACCTGTGATGATGTACTAGACAAGCCGAGAGTCCCTCACATCATCGTCCAATGCGTCCTCAAATCGTGAATCATAGGCGCTACCCAGCACGACGAATCCATCCCACGAGCAGAGGGACAGCAGCACGACGAATCCATCCCACGAGCAGAGGGACAGCAGCACGGCAGCAAGTTTCTAGAGCGCCGTACGCCGCATGTCAGCTCGTCTTCCCGGCGCACGCGGCCGAACGCGCAGGATCCGTCGGCGTATCCACGGAGTCGTCCCCCTGGGTCTGCCCCGTCGACACTCCACGCTCCATGTCGGTGGGAATCTGCGACACGCAAGCAGACACGTGTGAGCGTGGCCAGCGGTACACGGGGCCGGCGCGCATTAAACTGTGGTACGCACGTCCACGCGGATCGGCGTGTTCAGGCTCCAGGGGGGCCCGAAGTTCGAGATCCGGTTTGTCGAGAAGCCTGGCACAGGCCCGTCTTGGAGGTCGGCACGGCCGTTGCTGGAATACGTAAAATAGAATCGCGGGATGGTCAGCGTTAGACTCGCGAGGGTGAGAAGGCACCGCGTACAGGGTCACGAAGAGTGAGATCACGTATAGCTTGCCCAGAATGGCCTGGAATGTCAGGTCCCAGTAGTTCTTGTCGACCTAGGCACGTCCATACATGTCAGAGGGAGCGAGGACGGCAACGGCGTGTCGGAGCTTAGACATACCAGAGTGAGATATGTGAGCACCGTCAGGACAGCGCATATGCAGGGTGGGAGGGCGGCTTCCCAAATCATCACCGTGAGCCGCTTGAGAATCTACCGTGTTTTGTGAGACATCTCGGCGGAGTGAAAGAATCTACAGGCACCATACCCTGCGGAATCTTGATGAGGTGACATGTTGTTTTGAGCGCGCAAGGAATGCAAGCACTGCATCGGTGTTTAATCAACCAGACCTTGATATGATATATGGCACGGTGCTCACGAATCCCAGTGACTAGAATGTCGAGTACTGCGTATGGGCGGTCGTAAATTCTCGGCAACCCCTTGCATGAAAGATGCAAAAAGACCAACCCGCTGAACACGCCAAACTGAGCACGACTAAATCCATATAGTGCGTTAGCAGTATCTTATAACGTAGCGCGTGTGACGTTGCGTACATGTTGGGCTGATCTGAACGAAGGGAAGCGGAGTCAGTCGCGGCGTCCGGGTGATGAGAACAAGGATAGACGCACTGGGACTTTGGGTAGTGGACCGGCATCGACCTCCGCTTGAGGGACCACGCCGAAATGTACGTGGAATGTTTGCACTGTGACAATGGTGCTCGCGATGACCTGCGCCAGGAGCAATGCCAATAGTACGATCTAAAAGGTGATTGGCATTTCCTCGCGTAACCGTCCCTCAGAAGGGAAACGTACGAGTACAGCAAGGTTCTTGTTGAAGAGCTAGGATGATTAGAATGTAACAGTCATGAGCAAGAATTTCTCCCAGACTAGAACACGGACACATACCGTCCAACACCGCCAGATGAGAAAGCTTTGCACGGGGGCGGCCATCATGACTGTCTTCATTCCAATCAGCAAAGCGACGAGACGCCCTCTATTGTTGGATCATACTGTGGTCGATTGCATCTTATCTGTCCATATGAAGAGCACACTAGCAATCTAGCTCAACGTTAGTAAGCCATCCAGCCGTACGGTGAACCTCACGAACCCAGTTCCCGAAGTCCTCTACGAACACATGCCATGCCGCGTAGAAACGCAAGCTCGTCTGAAAGCTGTGCGACACGGGTAGTAGAGTACAGTCAGACACAGACGGCATAGCGCGCAGTGGAATAATATCGGGAGAGATCACTCACAACGCGACGATGGTCACGAGGGATACGAGCAGGCGGACCACATTCCGTTCGCGCTCTGCTCGTTCCCAGAACGTGAGCGACTGATTGATGATGATACCCGTCTGGAGCGCCTCTAGGGAGAGGCTGACGAGCATGGGTCCGAGGTACCGCCCCGGATGCGCCTCCAGGCCAGCCAGCGAGAGCGGCATCGTGTGTGGCAGCGTCCGCCGCGGGGCCGTGCAGAGCCACCTAGTCTGTACAGTACTGCCGCAGTGGGCGCGCGCGTCCAGGGCGCGAAGGCGAGGGGGACCGGTCCGTTGCGGGGAAGGACTGATGCACAACGGAATGCAAGAAGAAGAGCGCGCACCGTCGCGCGCGGGCGGCACTATATGTGCACGGCCGCGGGAATGGCGGAGCTAAAATTGCACTCGCACAGCGGGCCTGAAGTGCATGTGCGGGCGGAGTTCGTGCGCGCGCGAATATCCGGGGCGTCGCGTCGTGGTAGCCGTTACGGACGCACGGGCGGCGGGGTGCATTCATTTGCGAGAAGATGGCAATGGGGGACAGAGCCCTTGGCTCGGCAAACGGGCGGTACCTGTAAGGCTGATTTACCCGGCAGGTTCCTTTAAGCTTCTCAATGCTCCTGGGCCGCGCGTTCCTGGAGGGCCGTGCATGATTCCGGACCGGGGAAGTGGCGAATCTAGAGACGTGTATGCGCTAGTACTTATTATGTCTGAAGTCTTCTGGTTATGACGGCAGGAGAGGCACAAGTGGCTCTGCTCCAAGTAGTCGGTGTGTGTAGAGTAGATGAGATGGCGCACTGCGAGCTCAGCACTTGGCTTGTGGTACTGCAACTTCGCATGGGAATAAAACGGTCAGCAGTCCCGCTTCTAGATCAGGCGCTGGGGAAGTTCGTCATATTGAACACGCCAGTTACGTGAGCTGCATATATCTTAACCTGGAAGAAAACGCGACCACCTTGCGACGGCAAAGGTGGCAACGGCTGTTTACCGGCCTGTGTGCTCAATCCGGGAGTCGCCGCGCGTAAGAGCATATCAACGTTTTGTGCCTGAAGCGCCTTCACGTACAGTACTCACAGCAGCAGGCTTATTTGGATCCCGACAGGGGCTTCTAGATTTCGGCTAGCTAGTGCTCGCGCTAGAGAGATGTAAGGGCATCAGGATGCTACATGACGGCATTGCATGTTGGAACGGCTACTCACCGCCAGCGGTCATGCACGAGACGGTGACCGTCGGTCCTGAGAGCCCCATTAAATCGGCAGATAGGGTGACGCATAGGCAATATAACCCGACAGCCGCCGTAACACCGACTAGTCATCGGTGAATACGACCACCGTGAGGGTAACTCTTCATGTCGGCCTACCAAGTTGGGGAGGAACATTGCACAGGGCTGCGCAAATCACTCATTCGTCCCTTGGAATTGCACAATTGACTGCTCCCGCGTGAGACTCGTCGTCGGGCACGACATAGCATTTCTGGAACAAGGCGCGATATGTCAGTGTCGAGCACGCAGACTGTGCACATGGGACTCACCAACACGCATCGATTGCCCCTGGAGAGCAATGTCATCGGCACACGGGGTATGGGTCGAGGCAGGCACCAAACGCACACCGTCAGAGGAACGACAGCGGGTCCACCCACGACCATGCCAACCCCAGAGAGACGGTACTCTGGGCGGGTGAGGCGGCCGACATACGCAGACCGCAGAAAGCACGAAACGCCCACCTGACTTCCCCGAAGCTCTATCCATTCAATACGGAGAAGCTCCCCGGTGGAAATCGCCACAAGGCGGAGTGTCACGGCGCCCCTTCTGGAATATAGAGCATCCTGCCGTCGGTTCGCCCCCGCCCAATCTGGCGGGTCGCTCCCAGGACGCATAGACGAAGAAAGGCGGAGCAGCGGAGCCCACATTGTCGGCGTGATATGCGCATAAGGTCGCAGAAGGCCAGCGCGGGTCGCGGGTTGCGATTATACCGGCGGAAATACGCGGTGAGGTGCTGTGCCGGTACTTGGCGAGACGGACTAGGTGTCCAGGCATGGGGAGCTGTTCGCACTGCGTGTCTAGTATGCGACTGTTTGCGAGACCGCGGCCCGCCAGTCCACGCTGCTGCTGCGGAAGCGCGGCATGCAGTCATATGAGCTGTACGATCGGGGCCCGAGGACAACGAATGGCATGTCAATCGCAGGGAAGGCATAAGTAGACTGGAGGCTTACCTATGTTAGCAATCCCCAAGGATCAGCCTGAGAGCGGTAGTCACTCAGTCTACAGCAGGCGGAGTTCCGCCCACGTTGCGCCCCCAATCAGTCCTGATTGCGACAACAAAGTTCACTCACACCACCAGCGCCGCGGTACCGATGGACACAGTACGCACCCGCACTGTCTGTTCTGATTGCCATGGCTGGCTCGCACGCGCTGTGTGGACACGCACGAGTCCAGGCTTGAACCTGCTGACCCTGACGAGAAGCCTGCTAAAAACTCCGTGGAAGTCTTTCTCATGTTCGTGGAACACCCCATGGTGGGCAAGCCGGGCACCCCAGCGGCTCTCTGAAGTGCCGAAGCTCGCTGAAAAAGAACACCATCACCTCCGCACGGTAATGACCGAGGCGGATACAATAAACAAACATATGTCGGCTATTGCAGCGGCATCGATAGAAAGGTTGTGACCTGTCCATGGTGCCCTCTCCGCCTCCGGACAAGGTAGGAGCCAGCCCTCGAAGGTTCTCAATACATGGAAGACTCAAGGCGGAATGTCGAACACGTACCGATGTGTACCCCCTTCCTCGATCTACCCGGCCGCCTGAACCCTTCAACTCCGCCATTTCTCAAGCGGGCGTCCGACGATCATCTTCAGCAAAGAAGACTACTGTGATCGTAATATCATCCCTGTGATATATTTAGACCCATTGCTGCTGTCGACGTCCCGGGGAGGTAATATACGCACCTGTAAACCCTCGAGCGAGGTGCTCTCATGCTCAAAAGCGCCGCGGTGAGGTCGACGTCGGCTCCCCCGAGCGCGTTCCTCAATAGATGCGTTGCCGCGTTCTCGTCGCCGCTGACAAAGCGTTTCTCCGCACCCCATTGGCGGTAGCGCACAGTCTCAGTGTGGTCCTGCACTTGTACAGGCAGTTCGGCCGACTCCAACATAACCCCGCTGCTGGCTCCGTGGCTGCGCGCGCTGCGCATGTCCTTCCATAGCCCGACAAGCCCGACAGCCTCCTCGTTGGTCAGGGCCTCCCACAATCCGTCCGAGGCCATGATGAGGAAGTCGCCCGGACGGACGGCGATGGAGGTCACGACGGGTTCGGCAGTCAGATATGGAGGTGTCTTCACATCCGGCAGGGGCGTCCTGCCCAGGTACTCGCGCTTGAGTCGGTGCTGTACCTCGCGCGACCATTTGTATCGTGCGTCCCCGAACGCGCGCGACATCCCCATTCCCATAACGCGTCCGTTGCGCACCGTGTCTTCGCCCGGGTGTTCCGCCGCCATGCGTTCTTGCTCAAGGGGGTTCCAGCCATTCTGGTCGGCCGTAAGCACGTGGACAGAGTACGTGCCAGTGGGTCTCCCAGACTCGTCGAGATCCTGGCGGCCGAGGACCGCACGTGAATCCCCCGTCACAGCAGTGTGAAGCAACCGGGAGTGAGAGTCGTAGAACGAGAGCAGAGCGCAGGAGCCGGACCAAGCGGGGGCAAGAAGGGTGGCAGCAGCGTGTCGAGAGTTTGACGAGAAGATAGTATCCAGAGGGACGTTTACAATATCATCGTCAAGTCTGTTGAAAGTGTCCTTCAACGTATGCTCGACATCCGCCTCAGAGGGGGCAGGGGGAGACGCTGGGTTTGCACTTCCGTTCGCCACTCTTGAGTACAGATCGGCGAGAGCCCCAGTGACGGCAGGGACGAGGTTGTCTGCGAGCCAGACGCTAGTGTCTCTGCCGCTGTGTCCATCAAAGAGGCCGAAGAATGCCCAGTACCCAGACGGAACGGGCAGAACGGCTTCGGCGTGCTCATCTTCTACTGGTTCGTTACTGTGCATGAATGGGCACTCATTTCCTATCAAATTCAAACCGAAGATCTCACCTTGCTAGTCGTACGATATCGTAGCGAGAAATGTCAGAGTTCAGAGGTGGGATGTATGTCTTCTCATACCGACGTAGTTCCTGATCGGTATATGCTGCAAGCGCCTCCGATCCACCAACGCTACTAGAGTTAGACGTTCGACCTTGAGATAGATCTGACGCGTGTTCTGTGTCGTCATTGTCGAGATGCACAGGAGAATTCGTCATATAAACGAACCCCGTCGCCGACCATAGGCCGACCAAGGCGCATCCTGCGACAACCAGCGAGCGAGAGTACAGAAGTGCCTTCGATGTACTGGAGATAGTATGCTGTGAATCCGTTGAAAACTGATACGAAGTGGGATTGCGAGAACGCAGAAGAGAAGCGGTGGCTCGGGAGAAGGCCCGTGGATTGGCCTTTGTGCTTGATAGTCGAATGCTGGGTGCCAACAGACGCATCGCCATATCTGTGTCAGCTCAGAACGCTGCGCTCTCGCCCAAAGTGTTGTGTCCCGATGGGAATGAGCAGAAACGAGGGTAGGATTGTGGTGGTAGAGACGAGAGATGTAAGTATACAATAGACGCCTGCCCATCATCATGCTACTTACTTGTATAACTCTTACTAATGAATAAACTGATCGTGTTTGATTGCATTTTAAAGTCAGCTTATAACCGTCAAACAGACGATTATAGCAGTAGTACTAACAAGTAGTACATAATAGTAATGGAGCTCGTAGGCTTCCTGGGTATATGTACGTACCCTAGAGCATGCTAAACAGCTAGGCATCGCCAATTTTCCATGAGACGTCTCCGACTCAGTTGGTCTCCGCCGTCGAGTACCCTACATCCACCCACGCGCGCATCCGATCCCCATAGCGGATCGTAAGCACAATGAGCCTGGATACAGAAACCAGAATGAGCGAGCTGTCAAATGCAAAGCGCATGTATGCACGTACAGGAACCCAAACCAGGCGACAACAGCGAAGATGGCATCCGCGGCGGCGACGCCGACGGCGTTGATGAGCGGGAGGATGCCGGCAGTCGCGAGCGCGACGGAGAACTGGCGCACGGCACTGAGAAGGGGGAGACGTGAGCAGGGTGCACTGAGGGGAAAAGAACTGGGCTTACGAGCTTGCAGCCCACACCTCTGCGCTGCGCGAGTGCAGGATGTCGACATAATATGACGAGGAGGGCGTGAGCACCAGGTCAACCTGCGCATAGCATCAGTATCGGCACCCAAGTCATAGCTGTTGCAGAACAACGGGGGAAGGCGAACGTACAGCAACACCATTAGCAAACAGACACGCGACGTTAATCGTAATCCCAAGTGCCCCAGGGATGAATTGCGTCGCCAGTCCCGAGATGAGCACGGAGAACGGGACAAGCACGAGTGCGCCGAATAGCGTTGCGCGCAGCCGGTCCTCGGGCACCCATTGGCCTGCGTGTCGTGCACGCCCTTTGATCACAGCTTGGTCGGCGTAGTATCCGGCGATGGGGGCACCGACTGGGCAAGAGAGGTTAGGCTGAGCGATCGTTTCAATAGCAAACGGGAGTGGGCGTACCTATATTGCCGACTCCGGACGCGAGGAAGAACATCCCGATGATAGCTGCATTTGTGATGTTGTACGCTTTGCCCTAAAGGAAGCATAACATATCAGACCCATAGGTCGAGTCGCGTCGCCATATCGACGTTATACGCACAATGGTGAACGAGAGGGGAATGAGCAACGCTGCAATCGATGGTCAGCCTGATTCCATGACGGAAGGGCGCATCGAGCCGGCCTCACCATAGTCCGTCAGGAACGTTGTCGACCCAGCGAGAGTCTCCCCAGTCATGAGCACTTCAAGATACACCAAAACAACCTCGCAGCACCACTTACGACTATCAAGATGTTTGGACTCCGGAGCAGCGCGAGGCTCTTGACCGGGTTCAGCCACACGAACCGCCTCCCCTCGACGCCCCCGGCCGCTCGGAACTTCTCCTTCGCCACCTCCGGGTCCAGCGTCTCCGGGAACCAGAATAGGACCAAGATGTACGCGGCGAGGCCCATGAGGAAGAGAGCCCACTGCATGAGGCGCCAGGAGGCGTAGTGCGCTGCTAGCCCGCCCGCCACCGGGGCGATGGCTGGTCCGAAGAGGGATGCCTAATGCTTCCTAGTCAGTGTTTGGAGTATACGATACGGGACACGGTCGAGGCCGAGCACACACCCCGAAGAAAATGCCCATGGCCTGGCCGCGCTCCTCCAGGCGGTACATGTCGGAGATCGCGCCAGCGCCGACGGAGAGCCCGCTGGAGGCACCGAAAGCCTGGATGACGCGCCAGAACATGAGCGAGGGCACGTTGTATGCGAGTGCGACTCCGATCGAGCCGACACAGAGGCATGGGAGGGAGCACAAATAAATTGGCCTGCGTCCATCTGGTCGATTCAAGGGTCAGCGGCGGCAGGAGGTGTGGAATAGACGCGAAGCCCTCGTACAGGTTCCGGAGTATGTGGCCCAAACGAGACCGCCCAGTGCAGCACAGATGATAGAGAGGGTTATAGCTAAACTGTTAAGCGGAGTCAGAGGGTTGGTAGGCTGCACATCTGGTCTGACTCTACGTACTTAATGACTGGACCTGTCGAGTTGAGCTCTCGTGCTATTTCGGGCACGGAAGGTACGAATGACCCGGATGCGAGAACTATTACGAATGATTATACGTTGGTACTCCGGATATAAGTAGAACAGCTGAGTGACTTACACGGTAGCAGACCGACCCATGACAACAAACCAACGATCGCCCGCTTCTGCGAGGGCGAGAAGCGATTGTACTGCTTGTCATGCTTCGACAGGCCTGCGCTCGAAGGCCCCGACTCCAAAGCTTCTGCCTGAGCGAGAAGCGGAGTCTCTTCGTGCAAAGCGTCTTCTTCCGTTAACATCTTACAACTGCAGCGTTTCTACGAACGAACGAAAGTGAGCTGAATTCATCGAGTCGGGAAGAGGTGGCTTCGCACCCCGCAGTACCAAGGCCCACACTTTGACCTCTGTGGTGGTGGGATACAAGCTGACGCGTCTAGGTATGAAATGACCTGTAGGATATATAGCCGGTGTGAGTCACGCAATTGCGCCGGTCCTAGTCAGCCATCAGTATTGCGACGCGTCGCTCCATCCCATGCAGTCACAACCGTTGAACCAATGATGTACGCGTACTCGGACCGCGCTGAATTTTGAGGCCCAAATGTTTGAGGAATTTCAATTATGAACGTAGGGATGGGAATCGACAACGCAGGTTTACGAATACGGGTGCGATAGTAGATGGCTAAGAGTCCAATGCTCTACGGTAGAGTCCATCAATTCTGCGACACCTCCGATCGGTGTGGATGGCCCCGGTCGGGAGAGAGGGCCCGCTCGCAAAGTGCGAGGCTTACGGCGAAGCGACGGCATAAGCTCGTCGAGTGTGTTCGCGCGGAGCGAAGGTTGGGCAGAGGATGTCTCGTGCTTGAGTGCGTGTGATGCGGCGCGCGTAGCCAGGAGAGGCAGCGGCACGGCGGAGGCACGGAGAGATCATGCCGATGAAGGCGGCGGGCGACGTCGTATGAGACGAGCCGGCGCGAGGGTGGTGGTGATAGCTCGGGACACGGTCCACGAGTGATCGGTGTTCGCTCACAGCCTGAGGATCTTCTTCAGGCTGGAGGTCTTCGTCTTCCTGACGGCGGTCCGCCCGTTGGAGGGACGCAGCACCTGGCGTGCGTCCTCGTACATGTGGTAGGTATCGCGGGGGGATTGCGCAGACGAGAAGAGCGAGAAGGCGTTGGGAGATGCGAGGCCGGTGTAGGTGTAGGAAGGGGTGGCAGCAGTGTAAGACATCTTTGGCGGTGATGCTTGAGTGAATAGGGCAAGAGAGCGAGGTGGTGTAGAGAGCGAGTGCTGAAGAAGGCTCTGGATGCCGAGGGGATGTCGAGAGACTTAGCTGATGGTGAGGACTTCATGTTGATGAGGCTCAGGCTATATACTAGCAGCTTCAGAGTGGATTGCGTTCTAGGATTGCTAGGAGGAGCGGCTGATTGCCAATCGAGCAGGTATCGCGTCTTCCGAGTGTTCGCTTGCCATTCTGGGCAAATGTCCAAGCAGCGACAAGCATATACCTACAGCACCAAGTAGATACGGGTTGGTTTCTAGGATACCGGTCGCCTAGAGGCCCATGCAAGAGCAAAAGAGGCAAGAACGAGCAAGCGAGTGAGGGGACAATGGAGGGAGACGAGAGAGGACGAGGCGCCGGAGCAGTGTGTTTGGTCGCTCATGCTGGACAAACATCGCCATGTGGGGCGGTTGGCGTCACCTTAATTAACATGACGCGTTCCGTCTTCGTCATTCTGAATATCTGGGCGTGTTGATGAACATGGCAGCACCCGCTAGTCGTGAGATAGCGTCGCTCGTTGTTCTCAGCCTCCTCGACGATGCAGAAACGAGCTTGGAGAACGTTTACGACTCCGTTCAGTCGAGTTGGCGCTTGTCTGCCAGGGCACCAGGCGTCGGCATCGTGCGGCAGGGGCGGCGTCCGAGAATAGCGAGCGCGGGGATCAGCATGACGCGCCGAGCATTCTCTTCCCTCGACCACGACGACCGCTGCGGCCCACGACCCCGCCCGTGCTCGAGTCTCCTTGTCGAGCGTAGGCTGACAAGATTGTAGTATCCAGTCCGAAAGATAGGCACAGGTGCGTTTGCTTCACGCTCCAGCATGACAAGACGCTCACTCTCATCGAATTTATTCATCCAGTTTGCTGTCTGTCCACGACATTCACTGCCGTGTATTCTCTTGTGAGGGGAAACGGGACGAACTTTCGCCCCTTCTATCGTTTCCTGGCGTGCCATATTTCTCAGAGACATCATTCTTTGGACTTGGGCACGTACATTACAAGACATGTCGCCCACGATGGCCTCTGAACGGGACCCCCTCATCACCCGGACGTCCTCGCCGAAGCCGATGGACCGGAAGAGATTAGGCAGGGTTGGCCCCATGGAAATATCGAGGCGCACACGATACGGTATCCTTGCCGGAATCTGGGCTGCTACCTTCTTGTCCGTATGTAGTGGTCTCTCCACAACCGCAATGCATCTGATGCTCAAATATATGTTATGCGCTTCAGTCGTTAAACAGTACGTCAGGGATCCGCCTTGGCATGTGCTTCCCACTGACATAGGCGATTTAGCAACTTTGGTTGCTACTTGTGAGCTTGGCAAGCGATCTTCACGTCTTACATTGGCTGAGACGGCTTGTTTGAGTGCTACCCTCTATCTCATCTGAGTTCAACAAGGCACATCAAGCCAGTTGGCTTGGTACTGCGTGCGTAACTCTTAGAGAAGAGATCGCTTATGATGAGACGGTTCTGACTTTTTCCACGTTTATTACTGCCTAGCTACTTGCTGGCTACCTGCACCTTTACCCCGCTTTACGGAAGGTTGTGTAACGTCATGGGCCGCCGTGGCGCAAATCAGCTTGCGGTGTTCTTTGCAGGCCTCGGAACCGTGGCATGCGGCTTTGCTCCTAACATGGAGCTGCTCATTGCCGCCAGATTTGTGAGTCCTCCTGTGGTGTACCCTTTATTCATCTAAATCGATCCCCTTAGCTTGGCGGCATAGGTGGGGGAGGAACTTTTACGACTGCAACGTGAGTGCAGACCACCTTTGGCATACGGCCTTGCATGACGAAACTGGTATTCCAGGATCATTACGAGCGATATGTATAGCTTGCGGGTAAGATCTCTGTCACTTCACGCTGAGCATCTGTACTCATCCATACTCTCAGAACCGTGGATTGACTCAAGGAGTCGCTGCGGTATTCAGCAGCGTGCGTTTCCGTGCCACTAACATCCTGATGGTCCGCTCTAATGCACCGTTTATCTAGCTTGGAATGGGTCTTGGAGGCCCTCTTGGAGGATTCATAGCTGACCGGTTCGCAGTTTCGTTATCGCCTCTCGCAAAGCTCATTCACACATTCCCATAATCTAGACTAGGATGGCGTTGGGCTTTCCTCATTCAGCTTCCCCTCTTCCTCGTTTCGTTCCTGCTGACGTCTATCAACCTGCATTACGTGACACCGGTGCGTAACACCGTACATATGGTTTGGGGCGTCCTACTCATCCTTGAATGTAGGGTCGAAGCAAGAGCACCAAGGAAGTCCTCAAGCGTATCGACTACGGTGGAAGCGCGGCACTTCTTGTTTCTGTACGTGTTCCTATCCCAAAACTTGTCTCCGCTGGCTCACAGTTAAACCATAGGTGCTCTCCATCCTCCTCTGGCTGAGCATGCGCTTCAGCGAGGAACACCCGGTACGTCATATCCATACTGCACCCGCGACGCGACGCTCATACAGACGCTCTCGCACTATCAGTGGGCATCCCCGACCGTCTACGTCCCCTTCACGCTCGCGATCGTCTTCGCGGCCGTGTTCGTGTACGTCGAGCTGCGCATCGCCCCGGAGCCGATTCTCGCGCCCTTCCTGTTGGCGGAGAAGATCCCGGTGCTGGTCGGGGTCAGCAACTTCCTCGTCGCGACGTGCAACTTCACCGTCATGTACAACTTCCCGATGTGGTTCCAGACTGTTGCGCTTACGAGCGCGAGCGAGGCCGGTGAGATAAATGCCAAGTATTGTAGGTTAGAGGACTTAAGCTGACGTTGCGCGTTTGCGTCCAGGTGCGCATCTGATTCCGAACGGTGTCTCTGTGTCCTGTGGTTCGCTCTTTGCGGGGTAAGCAGAATCTCAGACAATTGAAAACATGGTGCTAATCTCGCTCGTTTATACCTAGGTGGATGATGCATCGCACCGGGAGATACAAGACGCTCAATCTGATCTTCGGCATATTCCCCTTCGTCTCCGCTATTCTGCTCGCTTTCATGCGCGAGGACTCGCCGCCAATCCAGCAGTGGCTCAGTATCGTATGTTCATTTATCAAGTGGATGTGCTAGAATCACAGCGGCTGACTGGATTCAAACAGCTCCCTTTGGGTTTCGGCAACGCTGTCGTGCTGCAGACGATGCTGAGTACGTTTGACTTCTTTGATGTACACGAGTGTGTTGTTGACCTAGACTCTGTCGTGTCACAGTTGCGCTGCTCGCTCACCTACCCGGTAAGTGCTGCCACATAAAGTCGCTCAGATTCTCGGAGTAACACACGTACTAATACTCTTCATAAGCCGACGCCATGGCTGTTGGCACTGGGTTCGGGCAGCTTTTCCGTGGTATCGGTGCGTACCGCGACCAGTTACCGCCGAGTCAATACTGAAAAATCAACTCATATGCAGGCCAGGTCGGGGGTGTTGCGATTTCTTCCGCGCTCTTCCAGTCCGTCCTCACATCGGAGCTGCGCAAACGCATTCATACGCCCGACGCCGAGAGCGTACGTCTGCACTATACCCTGTTCTCCCCTTCGCAAACGCTTACTCTGTACTACACGCAGATGATCAGCAAGATCCGGCGCTCCTCTACGCTGGTCGCGCGCCTCCCGCCCGACCTGCAGCGCGCTGCACGCGATTCGTACGCGCGCAGCCTCCGCGCCGTGTTCATCTTCGCCGCCGTCGCAACTTTCCTCGCATACCTCGTCCGGCTTCCGGTGCGTACTGCTACCTGCCCACCGCGCGCGTGTAGTCCATCTAACGCTGCCGTTGTACAGATTCCCGACCAGGTTCTAGACCAGCCACGTCCGCGTCCACGCTCGATTAACGAACTGCCTAACCCGCACCCCGCGAACCCCGCGGAGCTCGCAGAGGAGCTCGCGGAGGGTGCGGACAGCTCGGCGGACGCGACGGAGCTGAGCGACGAGGACATCGAGGCGCGTGTCCCGCGCCGGCCCCGCATCGACGGCCGTGAGGACAATAGGGAGGACGGCGAAGATGAGGAGGACGGGGTCGGGGGAATACCAGTGCGCAGGCCGAGGCGCAGACGGCTGTCGACGTTCGAGAGCTCGGATGGGATCATGAACTTGGAGGACGATTTCATTGGGGGGTCTGCGAGGCGTTGAAGAGTGGGCTGTGGAACGTGGAGTGTCGATGCGCTCCCGTGTTGGGTTAGAAAATGAACGTTGAACGTGTCGCTCTTGCATTTCTGCTCTTGTAGATACATACCCAGTCCCGGTTGACTTGCTGTCCGATCAATCAAAACTTTCTCGTTTAAACCAGTGCCAGAGAAACTCGACGTCGACGCGACTAGTATACAGATGATAATCATACAGTTGAGGTCACAAGAAAGCCTTCCGGCGCGCGTACGCGTTAGAAGTAAGCCTGAGATTCATCAGATATCGCGTGTTAGGCTCAACCGTTGTATGGACACTCACTGCAGCATTGGGTGGGCTCGCGACGCCCCCAAGTCTGAGTGCGCCACCGTAATTAGCACGTAGGTTCGCAACAGAATGCATGCGATATGCGACTCACACATTGAGCGGCCAGGACGAGAAGAAGAACGTGTAGCGGCCCGTCTCCGCGCACTGCTTCGAGAGCGCCTCGAGGTCGAAGAACTCGCCGATAGGCATTCCCCACAGCCTATCGCAGGAGCACCCAAGTATCAGCGTGCGGCCATGGCGACAAGGAAGAGAGGGGCACGAACCCGAGCAGGGTCTGGTGGAGATGCGGGACCCCTTCAGGGACAGGCCAACGCTGCATAGGTTACGCCGGTCTCAGATATGAATGCCGACAGCATACCGACGTCGCGCGACGTACCTCGAGGGCGGGCTGGTCGGATGCGATCGCCGCGAAGTGGTTGTTCCTGTCGCGCATCCGATCAGCATTGGACATGCGCACGACGCACGACGCGATCTATCATCCAGGGTGCCTACCAGAGGAACCGTTTCATGTCGTCGCTCTGCTCGATGCCCGCGCTGCATTGAGTCCTTGTCAGCCCGGTCCTTACGCTTCCTTGCTGTCACTTACAAGTGCTCAGCCTTGTCCCGCTCCGAGAGCCCGTCGCGCTCCTCCTGCGTGCCGCCGTGGTACCGCTGGATGAAGCCGACGCGGAGGAGCAGGATGTCGCCGCGGCGGAACGTGATGCCCTCCTTCTGCGCGCACGCGATGAGGTCTGCGGCGGGGACGGCATGCGTGGTCATCGGGTCGTACGGGAGGCGGCCGCCGTTTGCGTCGGAGTAGAACTTGACCATGTCGAGCAGCACGCCGCGGCCGCAGATGCCGTGCTGGGCCCAGTCTGGTATATGGTGAGGCTTTCGGTGGAGTCAATGTATAGGGTGGAGAGGAACTCACTGTGAATGCCGAACTTGATCAGTTCGGGGTCGATGTTGGTCGGGTCTGGGATTGTGATGTGTCCATTCTGGAAGGAACTTGCTGGAGTGCTAAGGCGCCGTTTGAGTACTTGAGTACATTCTGAGGTGTTCATGGCTGTGCTCACCCTTGGTAGAACAGGCCGTGCTTCAACAGCCCGAAGTGCTTCAGGCCGTCCCATTGACTACCTGACTGGGTGTTCTAGAATAATGCGCCAATATCAGTCCCAGTGCAGTACAGTGTAAACCAGGAGATGCTTTACAATGTGCAGGACGTCGTCATGGACTGCACCGCGGTCGGCTTTGAATATGATCTCATGGTGCGGTGGAACACGACCGAACGCGGGCTGATACACGCCGATGGGTCAGTACTATGGCGCGTAAGTAAACTTAGTTCCATTACTTTGTTCGGGAACTGGATGGGCCTATAGCGCTTTCGTGTGAGTAAAGCCCGCACTGATGACATCACCATAGTGCCTCACCAGTTCAAGCAGACAGCTTTGCCCGTCCTAGCACAATAGTCAAGTCAATTAAAGCTGCGCCGAAAGCGACGGTAAGGGACGCACTTGACTTCCTTCACGGCTTCCTTCATCACCTCGTCGGTCAAGAGGTTGATGGTACCCAGCTGGTCGTCCTTGCCCCAGACCTCCCAGGCGCACCCAGAGAAGTCCTTGAACGTCGGGAGCTCGTCGTACGTGGGCAGCTGTCTCTCGGTCGCCATGGTCGTTGCAGCTAGATGAGTGCGGGAATGCAGGCTCTGAGGTCAACGAGCGGAGCTCCGCGTGGTTTAAGTAGGTTGCAGGGCTGAGTGCTGCTGCTTCCTATCGTGCTTCCCTCCCCATGTCCCTGGCCGCTTTGGGTTGGAACACGGGCCGGGTGTGTGCGTGACCGTTCGCAGCCGGATCCGCAAACGCGTGGTGTTATCTGACGAGAGGATGTGCGCGTGAGCCGCCACCCAAACTCTCATGCTTAAGATGGGCAAGGAAACAGGATTGCTGTCGCGACTCACCTGATCGATGATCACTGCAAAGTAGACTGTCCTGCAACATTTCGGTCTGTTCCGCGGCGGTGAGAACAGGTTGCACGAACGTTGACGTCGACGCGCAGTCGCAGTCAGACGGTACGGCGTGCACCCACGCACGACTAAGAATACTTGTGTCTCGTATACTAAGCACCAAGCGTCCAATAGCACTTCCTGGACGGGTGCGCTTCTGCGTCCTCGGGGTTCACATACCTGACGACAGCGTCATTGAGTTGAGTTTAATATGGAAAAAGGTCGGGTCTTCCATTAATGTCGTTCACTCAGAGAAAGATCTCACGAGTTCAGATAGACTCTTCAGCTTCCAGCGACACCTATCGTACATTACGGGCTTCATTATCGACACGCGTCCAGAGCCAGGACATGGGAGACCGGGGTGCCGGGCTTTCAGAAGTAGGCCTGTCCGAATCGCACGTCAGTTACGGTATCCTATGCACGTCCGAGGGTGCACTTACGGCTGCGTTAGGCGGGCTCGCGACGCCGCCGAGGCTATCGGTGGTCAAGTTTAGCAACGAATGTGACATACGTGTGCGCGCGACTTACACGTTCAGGGGCCAAGATGAGAAGAAGAAGGTGTAGCGACCGGACTCTGCGCTGTGCTTCGAGAGCGCCTCGAGGTCGAAGAATTCGCCGATGGGCATGCCCCATAATCTGTAAACGTAAATTGTCAATGCTTAGACAAATAAGGCGCAAGCAACCGGTGCGCGCGCGTACCCTAGCAGGGTCTGATGGAGGTGCTGGACGCCCTCCTCAGGAGGCCAGCGCTGTGCCAAATTCAGAAGGCTTCTCTATTCCTCAAGCCAAGGCTGTACTTACCTCGAGCGCGGGCTGGTCGGACGCGATAGCGGCGAAGTGGTTATCCCTGTGGAATTCCATCAGCCTCGAATCTTCTTGCGAACGTAGCGACTAAATGGCTACTCACCACAGGAAGCGCTTCATGTCCTCCGACTGTTCGATGCCCGCACTAACAAACGCCCAGTGAGTAAGTCTGGTCGCGAATCAGCGCACGAACGCAGCCAGCACGCACAAGGTCTCCGGCTTCGATCCGAGCGCGGTGCGCTCGTCCTGAGTCGCCGCGTTGAAGCGTTGCATGAACCCGACGCGCAAGATGAGGATATCCCCGCGGCGGAACGTCACGCCCTGCTGCTTCGCGCACGCGAGGATGTCTGCGAGGGGGATCGGGTGCGACGTGAACGGGTCGTACGGGAGCCTTCCTCCGTTCGCAGTCTCGTAGAAGCGCACGAGGTCCAGGAAGACGCCGCGCCCGCAGATGCCATGCTGCGCCCAGTCTGCAGGATGCGATTAGAGTAAGTGTGTGACGCACTGCGCGAAGGGGAGGCGGGGAAGCACGTACTGTGAATGCCGTACTTGATGAGCTCCGGGTCGATATCGGTGGGGTTGGTGATGTTAAGGTTGCCGTCCTTGAAGAAGTCTGCCGGAGTGCTGCAAGTACCCGGTCAGTGCAAGCGCTCGCACTTCGCGGAAGAGTACCTGCCCCTGGTAGAAGAGGCCGTGGTGAACGAGGCCGAAATGCTTCAGCCCGTCCCACTGCGTGCCCGACTGGGTGTTCTGGAAGCGGATGAGTGTTCGGTTGCGCACGCGAGCCTAAGGAGTGGATCCACTTACGATGTGGAGGTGGTCGTCCATCACGGCGCCAAACATCTTATGGATGATGATCTTATGCTCTGGTTCCTTACGGGTAAACGCAGGCTAGAATGGCGGCAGGTCAGCCAGATTCAAGTCGCCTTGTCGCTGCGGGGCGCCTGCCAGTGCGTAGGAACGGAGCGCGCGTGGCTGCATACCTTCGCGGGAAAGTTGATCGGCCTGTGCGTTGAAATGGGGTGAGCACTGCGGACATACGCGGAGATAGGGTACATGGGTATGATACTGACCAGTTCAAGCCAATTGCTTTGCCAGTCCTGCACGTATGGCGGTGAGCCCGGAAAGCCCGATAATCGCCCAGAACTAGGGAACGCACTTAATCTCTTTGGACGCCTCCTTCACGAGGTCGTCCGTCAGAAGGTTCACCGTGCCGAGCTGGTCGTCCTTGCCCCAGACCTCCCAGGCACAGCCCGAGAAGTCCTTAAACGGGGGCAGGTCATCAAAAGCGGGCAGCGGGCGTTCAGCAGACATAGCGCTGGATGATAGTGAGGACGATATGTGGGCGGATACGCTTTGGAGCCTCGCAGTGGGGTTGTTATATGGGGGCGCCATACCCCAGTGGCTGGCAGTGATAGACGATCGCTGTCGTACGGGTATTCGGAACGAGACCGACCGAGCTGCGAGGGCGACAGAGCCAAGACCCGCGAGAGCGCAGGCGTCGTCGCAAGGGCGCGGACCCAGCCCCTTAACTTCCTGAGCAGGGCATCGTGACCCAGGGAAAGAGTCGATCTCGCCGGCGCTCATGCCGTACACTCAGCTGACGAGCCCTAATGTCATCATCTGTTCCTCTCACAGCTGTGGCGGAATCCGCGTGCACTCACTAAACCATGTTCAGGGCAGCTGCTCGTCGTCTTCGGCGCCCGAGGAATGTAATCCCTATGTTGTGGCATCCGACGCCGACTGAGCTGCATCGGGGGTTCAAGGGGTCGATGGGATCGTGCGCATCGTTGAAATTCAGATATTATGTTCTGCCTTTGATGTCTACTAATGTCCGCGTACTATATAGCCTCGAGGTTCTGTCGACGGGCCCGAACGTAAACACGGCACCTGATGGGCGACGTTCACAAGGAGATCAGATAAAATGTACAAATTCTGGAAGGAACACCGACAGCCGCGTCTCCGCGAACAAACCGCTAGATGCATTCGCATAGATCGCACGATCATCCACGAATGAAGGGGTGCACGAGCGCTTCCTTGGGCGTGATCCGCTTTGAAGGGTCCAGGGCGAGGCACTTGTCGAGGAGGTCGACGAACGCCAGCAGTAGCTTGCTCTCCTCATCCTTGAGCTTCACGGAGCTAGGGGGGAGCACGCGTTGCCGAAGTTCCCTGGTCGGCTGCGTCAGATGAACCTTGCGTACGACATCCTGTGGGAGAAGGCACACGGTTAGTCCTCATAACTTCCGCGGAGCTCCGTGCATGACACATACCGAACCCGTAACACGGTCCTGTTCAACGCTGAGAAAGGCACCGAGGTCATCAAAGTACTGTTCTCCGAATTTGGCGCGTTTGATCATCTTGGAATTGAAGCGGCCCTTCAGCTCCTGCATGAGCAGAAGCATGTGGTTGTTCGTTCGTCCAGGAAATAGGATCTTTCCCGTGTACAGCTCGTACAATGTGCAGCCAACGGACCAGATATCGATTGCAGGATCGTACGGGTGACCCATGACTGTCGGAGACAGAGTCAGTATCGTACAATTTCGGGGACGGGGCTCGGTCACTTACTGATCTCAGGTGCACGATAGAATCTGGACACCAGATAGGGCGTTATGTCGTTCTCGGACGCATCTGAGGCGGAGCCCAGATCGCAGAGCTTGAGCACAGTCTTCTGTTCGTTCACCTGTACAACACGATCGTGATCGCCGTCAGCTAAGCGAATGATGAGGCCGTTGCATGAACACTCGCCAAGATGTTATCGGGCTTGATATCTGCGTGCATGATGTTGCATTTGCGTAACAAGCTTAAGGCAAGGAAGAGCTGGTGGGCGTACGCGCGTACCGCGCGAATATTCAAGCCCACGTCTTTGCCGAAGCGTTTTACAACTTCGCGAAGGTTCATGCTGTAGGGTCAAAGCATATCAGCCCATCTGGAATGCCTACGTAGCATATGCAGGCTGGTGATACACACCTCATGTTCTCGAACACAAGGCACAGGTGTCCACGATGCTCGAAGGTGCGTTCTAACCGAACGATATGCTTCTTGTCATCGGGGTCTGCTAGCTTGATCTTGTTCAGAATCTGCGCTTCCTTGAGCCCAGCCTTGTACCTGGACCATCGTCAATAACGGTCAAGCAAAGGACACACGAGATGGACATACATAGACTCCTGGCATCGAACGATCTTAACGGCGACCTCCTTGCCCACCTCGCTAGATTCGCCCTGTAGAACACGAGCTCTGACGACATTGGCGAACATGCCTTTACCGAGCGATGAGAAAACTTGATACCGCCCGCTGTCGAGTTGCTCGCCCAATATGATCTGGTAGTAGCCTTCGGAGTCGGCGGCAGAATCGAGTGTCGCAGTGACGATAGCCATAGCAGGCTTCTGCGCGAACTCGTTATGAGCAACGCCACACATCATATGCAGAATTCAGAGTGACTTACCGCTACTCGCTTGACCTTCTTGACCTTCTTGTCCGAGGTGGCGACCGCGAACATGTCGTCGACGTCTTCCTCTTCCTCTTCTTCCTCCTCGATCACCTCTACGTCCGCGTGTTGGTCCTTCGTGCCCCACACACGTTTATGCTCATCCTCGCGCCGATCCAAGCTAGGGTCGTAGTCGGCTGCAGACACCTGCTCACCTGCCCCATTCTGCACCTTGGTCTGTACCTGCTCTTCGTCGTCGCCCTTGGCGAGATCGAAGGTGCCAGGGGTTGGCGACGCCGATGCTGTTTGACGTGCCTCGGGTCCTGCGTAGCAGGAGAGGTGATTATATGCGCTTCACGCAGACGTATCATGACTTACTGGAGCTGTCCGCACGTGCAGACTCCGCACGACCGGGGGTGCCTACGGCGCTCTGAGCCTGAGATGGGAAATTAGATACATCAGGCGTCGCGGGAGGCGGCTCAACCGCACTGCTAGGTCCAGGGCTCGGTGTAGGCCCTTGGCTAACATTCGAGCTTGCGATGCCAGCATACTTGGCGAGGATAGCTTGCCGTTTAGCACGACGCGCAGCAAGGGTGTCTTCTATTGGAGGGGGAGACGGCGGAAGGTCAAGGTCCATCTCAGGCTGTGGTTCCGGTTGGGGCGGCGGGAGCGGTTGAGCTTGAGGTGGAGGCGTTCTCGGACGAATGGGACGGGACCGTGATGGGGAAGCAGCTCTGACCGGCCTTGGAGAGATCCTAACAGTATGCATAAGACGACGTGTGGCGAGTAAGGTCAGAAGAACGACACTCACTCGCCTTCCTCTTTCTCATCTTCGACTTTTGGCGGAGGGGGGTATGGAGCTGAGACGCCGTTCGTACGGCGGTCCCTTGGTGGCGAAGGACGTCTACGCTCATCTCGACGCCGGTCGTCCGCGCGGCTGCCATCGCGCCGTGCGCCGCTCTCCCGGGGAGCGTGACTCTTATCCCGACCGTGGTCCCTCTCTCGGTCTCTGTCGTCGCGCCGAACCCTGTCGCGGCTGTGGTCGGGCGAGCGACGCCTGCCATAATCACGGTCCCTGCTGCGACGCCTGTGCTCTCCGCCTCCGCGGGATCGCCTGTCGCTACTAGAGCGTCTATCGTCTGAGTCCCTCCTCCCTGGGGGCGGCTTTCTCCTCGGCGAGCCTATTGGTGCATCCCGCCGGTCGCGTCCATCCTCTCGAGGTCTTTTGTGCGATTCAGCATCGTTTGGGCCATCCCACGCACGCTTAGACCCTGATGAGACGTTAGCCATGTCGAACAACGATTGATTGTGGTTTACGGGGGACCGCACGATGACAAGAAAGAGTTCGTTGTCGCTGAGGACGGCGGTGAGGGGGTAATGGTGGTGGTCGTAAGCGAACAAGCTTTGAGTCACGCACAGGTCCTCGGAGTGACGCAAGACGCTAGTTCGGCTCAAAATGGCGAGCCGAACCAAGGCGCGCCTAGAAGCGCGCCGAACTGCACCGCGTCGCGTGGTCGAGAAGTCCAACAACGACCGAGCCACATCCCGCGCGCAACATCGACCACGACGACCCCGACCCCGACTCCGCGACGCCCTCGACAATCTGCTCGCCGCCGGAAGCGATGAGCAGGCGACAATCGCGCGTATCTATTGACACCAGGCAGAATGACACACTCCTGGAGTTCGAGAACTGTGAGCTCTGACCTCTCCGTCTCTATGCTCTCACACTCATTTGGCCGACACCCACTCCGTAGTCAAGAAGAAGTTTCTCCTCGCAAACAAGCATATTACAAAGTACGTTCGCCCGCGGATGTTTCTCACCGGCGACTAACGCGTGGACGTGCTAGGTTGAACTCCACGCTGAGCGCACGGATTGAAGAACTCAATGCTCAGATATCTACACTCTATGTCGAGAACCTCCGTCTGCGGGCCTCCGAGATCGCCCTCTGCTCTCAACTGAAGAAGGAGAAGGAGAAATCACGAAAGATCTTGTCAGATACGGAAACTGCGGTGCGTCCGTATATCCTCGCACGGTGCTCGCAACGTCTGACGTCGAGCAGACACATACTCTCATGAAGCAACTTGGCCTCATACGCAAATCATGGGGAGTCTCACACTCACGCTCCTCCACCCCGGAAACCAACCCACCACTTCCCCGCGCACGCCGACCGATCCCGGACCCGAATGTCTCCCCACCACCCAACCGACTCGCCAAAGCCCCAACGTTCCCTGGTATCATCGAAGATGACGAGGGCAACGCCTCCTCTCCTGAAGATCCCGAACCTGACGCGGAGATCGATTCAAGTCCTCCTATACCGCGGAAGCGCAAGTCGAAACCTAGGACATCGAGCTCCAGTTCGAGCCGACTACCGATCCCCTCGCTCAAGGCGGCCTCCCCTCCAACCGTAGAAACAGTACACATCGAGTTCGAGGAAGCATTGGGCAAGAGCGGCAAGCGGAGACCCACGCGGAGGCAGAGTGGTTTGCTTACCAGCGTGTCTATCACGGCAGTCACTACAGACAGTCTGGACCCACCACATAGCCCCGTCCCCGAATCGCCTCCACGCGACGCGTTTGACGAGGAGGATGCTGCAGGGGAGCCTGACGAGGACGAGGTAGAGGCAATCTTGCAGGCAGTCACGAAACGACGAGAGAAGAGGGAGAAAGATAGCGAGCGAGGACGTGAATTGGACACCGATTCCGCGGTGGAGAGCGTTCGACCACGCGAGCGGAGGAAGCCTCGAGCGGTCGAAGATCCGGCGGATGCCCCGGAAGGGAGCAAGTACAAGTTCAAGGATGTGACAAATGCGCAAGCGAGTCGCGCGGCTCTACCCGCTCTTGATACCACATCCAGTACGTATCAAAGTCTCCACATTCACGCCCATGTTCTGATACACGATTTAGACCATGACCGACGACGTACACCGGACGTCGACATGCCTTCCTCAGCCACATCCACAAGCGTCGCAAGCACCTCCACGCGCAACTTCCTCTCCACTCCTGCTACGACACCCGCGCCTTCTTCGAAACCCATGTCTCACCTCCCTACGCCGCGATCATCAAGCCCTCTCGCGGAGCCACCGCAAACCGACTCGGAGGCTGCGGTTGGCGGCCGCGAACGCCGAGTGCGGAAGAGTGTCAACTACGCTGAGCCGAAGCTGAACACGTACGTACATATCATCTGACAATGCGTGCACCCTGACACTGAACGCATGTGCAGTAAGATGCGTAAGCCGGACCCAGCACCTCCGCCCCCGGGCTCGAAGCGCAGTTCAGCCGCATACGAGGACGCCCCGCCGATTTCCTCCCGGTCTTCATCGTCGCACTCTGGTGACGCAGACGCCGAGGCACCTGCACCAGGCACCATACGGCGGAAGAAATCCCGGGCGCATGCTGCACCGGAGGACGAGGAGAGCGAAGGCGCACAGGCGGACGCAGAGTACGGCGGTCTCCGTACCGGGTCTTGGGCGAACGTGGACGGACGACGACGAAGCGTGCACGTATCCAGCTCGCGCAGGCTAGAGGGCGATGACGCCCGGCGTCACAGCATGGCTGTATAGGGCTGGGACCCTGGATGCGACGCGCTGGTGATCGTCGTGTTCGCGACGAGGTTACGATTATGGTGATGACTTCTATGATACGCATGATGATCCGCGAGACCTCCACTTGACTTATGGCGTCTTGTTTCTAATATCCGGCCTTGACCTCGCACTAGCAGAACGCAATAGCCACTGTATTATATGTATCATACAAGTACCTTCACTCCACGTTCTATCCTTCTGGGTATGCTCTATCACTGGTTATTCGAGCACGACTTATACGCGGTATATATGCACTGGTGTAGCGTTTCTAAACGTACATCGCTTGCCGTGAGCCTTTCATGGTAGGGACCGCAAATTTGCCGCGAGGGTAGCACTCGTCCTGTCCTCGAGCTCAGCCTCCTTCAGCCTGAATTTCAAACCTCGCGACTCCCGCGGATGTGTTGACAGTAATGCCCCCGATTACGTAAATAATCGAAAACATACCCGTTCGGGCCTAGCGGCGCTTCGGCCTCAGTTGTGGCTGCTTGAACTTGTCTCGAACGGCCATACACCTTCCTGGCTCTCGGCTCTTTCTTGAACTTCTCTTGGCTGGCAAACAAACGCCTCTTGGTTAACGAAACTCTGGAGTCAGGCTGTGGCTAGACATCGATATCGGGAGGTCGCAAACACACAATCCATCATGGAAGTTTCATCTTCCGCAAGTTCATCGTTTGAGTCGGACACTCCACCACTCTGTGAACTGATTGACCGCATGCATGCAAGCCTCATCTCATTACCGGAGGAACTATGTGCTGCCTCACGCCCGTCATCCCCGACATCAGAAGCGCGTACGGCAGCGTGGAAGAGCGAAGTCGCACACGCCGTGCAAGTCGCGGCAGGGGACACGACGCACCCCAAGTGGGGTTACGTATCGCGGATCACCAAACTAGCATGCACGAGTCGTGGCTATATCGGCATAGCGCCCGGGATCAGGATTGGAGACGGGAGGAAGGTCGATGTCGGCCAGAAGTTCGAATGGGCTTTGCCAGAGGCGGAGAAGGACTGGACACGCTGCGAGAAGAGGTGGGAGGCGGCTGCCGATGCGGAGAAGATGAAAGCGAAGACCAAACCCACGTCCAAGGCGACTCGCACCTCGAAGTACTGGGCGGAGCCTGTGCGGGACCAGCCAGAGGCATCGTCGTCTCGGTCAGCCATCGCCCCTGCGCCCAGGAAAGTGGACATCGTCCGAGAGAAGGTCGAAAGGTGGCAAGCTACAGTGGCTACAGTGCCCGAAGACCCGCCGGCCTCGCAGATGACAATCGACCTCTCTCAGTCTTCGAAGACCGATAAGACGAAGGGAAAAGCGAAAGCGAATGAGGCGCATACGCCCAGTGAGAAAGTGCAAGGGTCGCTAGGATTTCCGGTTGTGAAACGTTCGAGCGTCATAGATGCGAAAGGAGGCCGCGGCGCGGCTTCCAAACCCAAAGCTACACCACCAGCGCGTCCTCCAACACCTCCAAATCACAGCCACATGCCGCTAGGGGCCTCGAGACCGCTATCTTCGCCCGACGGCCAAAAACTACCGGTAGACCAACAACATCAGGATGTTCCTCATATTGCGGAAATGTCAGAGCTTGTCAGTCGTCCCTCGTTTATGCGACGTAATTGTGATTCACTCATGTTATACCCGCAGTCCTTCTTTCCCCCGTCCTTCCCATCGCAGTTGAAGACCTCGACGCCTCCCCTGAATACCAAGCGCCGAAAGCCCGCGCCCATTGCGCCTTGCTCGCCTCCACCATCTTCCCCTCAATCGTTTGCATCTTCGAAATCATTCGACCCATCTCGCCCGCAGCGCCGAGAGCATCGATTGACATCCTCGAGCGCCCCCGCTACTTCGCCAGCGCAGAGACCATTGAAGCGTGCACGAACTCCAAACTCAACTGTCGATGACCGCATGGAGGTCTCACAGGCGTCACCGCTCGCTAAGGCCCCGCCCCCGAAGAAAGCGCGCACTGCGCCGGTTTTGGATCAGGAACCACCGATTTCGAGCGGTCCGCAGTCTGTACCGCCCTCTACGCCCCCGCCCACCACTTCTCCATCCAGGGCCCCTGTAACTCCCGTCTCAAGGGCGAAAGGGCTGGGTAACGCGAAGGGTCTTCCAGTGCCGACTACCCCAGATAGTCACCCGCTGCCCACCCTGACTGAGCTCCTGGCGTCGTCCCGCCGCTCGAAACCGCGCCCACGGCCGCCTTCGCGCAAACACACCCCGCAGAGCCACACAGGCTCCCAAGCTAAGCCACCCGCGCAGGCGCAGCACGACGCCGAGTCCGAGTCCGAGCTGCCCGTGGTGGCTGAGGATGACCCGGAAGACGACCCGGAACCGTCCCCGACGAAGACATACTTCTCCTCTCCTGCCTCCGGTTCGTCGGACTCGGGCTCGGTCGTGAACCGCTCGCCTATCTCGCCCCTGTTTTCGCAGCTTCCTGGCGGGTTCAAGCCGCGGTTCGTGTCCTCGCAGCGCCCGAGCGCGAACGAAGATGACCCGTTCGTAGGCGCGCAGAGCCAGAGCCAAAGCCAGGGTCAGGGCCTTGTGCGCGGCAGTAGCGGCTTCTTCGGCATGGGCTACAATTCTCAGTTTGATGTCGAGGGACAGGTGGACCGCGTCAGCGAATTACTGGAGAGGGATGTCGATTACAGCGGTTGGCTACGTGATCTGGATGACGAGGACGAGCCAGAGGCGCAGACGCAGTCTCAGGCGCAGACCCAGAGCCAGGGTGCGGTTGGGGTGGGATACTGATGTAGAAGAGGGTGCTTTCTTCCTTTTTCGCCGGTACTGTCGGATGTATGTTTCTCAGCACGCTTAGATATTGTTCGCTCATGCTAGTTTAGTGTATACACCGCTATCGCAGAACGACGATGTGCCGCAAGACTTCGACATTGACGGCGTTCATTTACAACAACTTCGAACGACTGCATGGTCACACACGCAGTCTCGTGAGCCATGTGTCGCCGATTCTTCGCCAACATGGAAGTAGGTGGGCGGACACAGCATGCGTCTACTATCTGAGGAAGCACACCGCTCTCTCAGCCCAAAGTCAGCCCACTGCCAGGGTCATCGACGAAGCTCCAAAGATTTGGGAGGCCTCATCTGCAATTCCAACAAAGTATCAGTGCGAAGTCACCACGGAGTGTTGGGAGCAGAGACGTCCTTGAGTTCGTTCGTATGAGGCTTGTTGGATGCCGCTCATATCACGGTTCCCAACATACCCCGGCACACCTGGTGAACTTTGACGTCAATCTCAGGTACTAATACCTCTATTATGGTACCGCAGCAAGCCGCTCCAGATGTTTCGATGTATACCGAAGAGTCTGTAAACGTCGATTTATGGCTTGCATCACCTCGGGCGTGCTCCTCCGACCGGGATCCATGAGCATCGCGCACGCGATCATCACCCGTCGGGCGCAGTTACCGAACACTCTGCATATACCACCTACGTACGACGGCGCGCCCTCATTCCCTTGTGATTTTGAAGGTTCGACGCCCTGTTCTGCTCAGTTGCGAAACCGCCGCACCCAGGGTGCGGCGCTCGATCGCCCACAATTATTGGGCCTGGACGACCACACCGTCACGGCGCAGCACAGCGTGCCTCATGAACGCCAGCGCTATGTACTGCCACCGCGGTCGGGCGTGCGTTCTTAGTTCGATGCGGCAAGAAGTTTACTCGCCGGAGAAACCGCCAATCTACGGCGGTTCGTGCCGGATACGGACAGGGAACATGCACCCACACCGCCGTTCTAACGGGCCGCCGTAAGTGCCAGTGTGCATGTGCCATGTGGGCTGTCGCTCCGGGCATTCGCCCTACGCGAGTCATTCCCTGTGGCACATCGTAAGTAGTCAGGGAAGTCAATCAGCGCGTCGTAGCATCATGGCGGCTCCTCCCGCCGGCGGATCAGCCAACTGATGGTGCCCACAAAACCCATCTATTCCTAGTCCGAGCTCGGAGAGTGCTTCACGGCAGCGCCGCGAACGCGACATACCATGGGTACATGATCGCACGGTGTCATTACGAAGGGAACGTTGCTACCTCCAGTACGTGGCCGTAATTCATGCCGGGAAGGCCCGCAACAGAGCCAGAGCTCGCGGACCGCTCGAGGCGGTGTCGGGAGCAGCGGCGCCGGACAGTGATTGTGCACGTCGTGGCGACCAACGAAGGGTGAACAGACCGCGATGACGACAGTTGAGTGTGTGTCCAACGGGTAGACGTGAGGCCGCTCGGGGCATCGAAGGTATCACTTCATGAACTGGACCGGGGCGGGCTCATCCGAAGGTGACACGCTTCCTGGTGGACGTTCCACTCGGTTTCGCAGGTGTTTCTCCGGCCCCACTGTGTGCGCCAGCGGCGTTTCCGCCAGGAACGGAGACACGGGCTTTCTTCCGGATTTTAGCCTTCTCTCGTTTGGCGTGCGCGGCCTGCGCAGCTACGGCGGCCTTCGCACGATCCTGAGTCAAGAGTTCAGCATCACAGTCATTCACCATGCGGGATCAATCGCTTACCAGTCTCTCTTTGGACGACGTGGTGTGTTTTTCAGTAGGCTTTTTTGGAGCTACTACTGCCTGTCATTCTCCGTGTGAGTCGGGGTGTCGTGTATCCGCTGTTGCCTGCACCGGCAGGGTTGCACACTCACTTTACTCTTACGGACTTCCACCCTTGCTCGTGTTTTCTTTTCCTGGACATCTGCCACACTCTTCGCGAGTTCTACGGCGGCATCCTAGAGGTTGAGAATGCATTCTCAGTACCGCGTCCGAGAGCAATGCTTTTTGAGTCGGACTTGCCTTGTTGTCTACGTAAACCTTGGATTTGCGGTTTTTACCCATGAGAAAAAAATTGTTCCTGGTTCACCTAGCAGTCATTACCGAGATTTTAGCCGCACGCTTACCTCCGAGGAGGTCACTGTACTCACGGAGGTTCAGGCGGGTGTCTCACAGTGCCGTGACGGCAGCCCGACAGTGCGCGAATCGAACTGGAAATTCGTCGTCGCCCTGGGACGAGCACAGCTTTCGGGCACATGGCAGTGCCAAATCGGGCGATAGGGACGCCCTCCTCCGAGCGCCCAAACACTTCGAGTCGCTGCTCGGTGCGTGTTGTTCCTCCTCCCCCGCCCGCTCACTCTGTTCCGTCCATGGTGCGCCCTTCGCAGAGCCTAACCCACGCGCGCCGGAGTTAACGCTCGCGGCTCGCACTTCTCGACATCCAATCTGCTGGTCGCGAATGCTCCGCCCGCCTCACCAGCGCACGCCGCTGTGCTGCCCCCGGGGCACCGGAGGACTACCTCGACAGATCTTGGACGCCAGCACCTGAGACACCCATGTGCTTACCACAACTCGAGGTATCAAGTCTTGGAACGCGCAGACGCGTCGAGTGGCCCTGATGATGTTCGAACCGTTCCGTCTCCTGAGCACGCGCGCTGCTTAACCCTTCTGTGTCTTTGTCACGCTTATCCTAAACCATGTCTAAACCATCTGTACCGCCCCTATCGACTGTCGGTAATCTGCGCTCCAATAATTGCTTCTCACACGTATGATCTCGCGCTTGGATGTGGAAGCCCGGTTGCGTGCAGCTAGCGAAGTCTGAACATCATCGCACTTCTCAGGTGTGCCCGGTGCTTCTTCGCCCCTTTAGCATAGGTGAGGTGCGATCTTGCTTTGCGGTATATAAAGGCTGCTCTTTGCAGAGATGAACCGTCAGTGCACCTACATACACTCTCAAGCACCTACAGCCCTCTCAAAATCCCTTACAGCACCCTACTCTCCACAATGTGCTACATTCGCCAGTGCGTACAGACTTCGACCTCCAAAGAGCTCAACGCTGACATCGACGTAGGGTTTGCTACGTCTACACTAAGTGTGGGCACGCGCAACCCATGGTGAGTTTTCTCGACCTCGCGCGTGGGTTATAAACTTACTTGGTGCTCGCAGCCCGACGAGCAGGTATGCTCATAGCCATATACCACCCGGACTAGTCTGACACGCCGCGGTGGAACATAGGTCCCTTGCAACAGCCCCCGCTGCAAATTTAGCCCCGCGCACCCGAAGAGCTGCGGTGGCGCATCCTGCAAACAAACCTGCAAGCAAATGTGAGTCTGTCTTCGGTTCCGCAAGGCGCTGCAATGCTCACCACCGCGGTCTTGACACAGACGTCAATATCCACAGCAGATGTGTAAGTACCGAATCAGTGACTGTGCCTCCACTGTTCTCACCCACGTCGCCTTGTAGCACCGCAAATTGCTGGCTGCTGTCCCGGGTGTGGCGGCCGCCGTTAAACGCGGTTAGCCCCTTAAAGGAGCATCCATCTAGTCATCCCGCCCTTTCTTGGACTTCTTGCATGCGGACCTCTTGACTCATTGCATACCTAACGTATTGCTACACTAATCCTTAATACTGGTATTGTGCTCTGGACATGTACACGCTACACGCTCTCCAGTATCTATGATCGCTTTCTTGCGTCAATGACATGATCACGTTGCTATTTACAGGTCGGCCGAGTTACCCCTCCGTCAACTTCTCGTATGATATCTTCAACACTTGACGACAAGCCTACAATCAGCGTTAGCGATTCTTCCCTCGGACTCGTACCACCGTCGCTTCCCCTGAGCGGCGGGCGAACGTTAGCCTCCCTAGTACATCGGAACTCTCGGCCTGTCAGTGAGCACCACCACAGTGCCGCCGCATACCTCCTATGTACCGCTTTGGCGTGCTTTAGGCGGCTGCGCGTCGGGTGGGGATCTCGGTCAGAGCAATAGTGGCCTCGATGCGATGCCGGCCCTCCCCCCTCTGACCAGCCCATACGAAGGGGCTCGTAGCCGCGTGTGCGGGCGTCGATCTGGCCATCAAAGAATGTGTACCTTCGTCGTGCCTGAAAGCCAAAAGCGGCAGGCGTGGTACTTCCCTGCCGCGATCCTCGAACTTCTGAGCACCGTAGCCTGTGCGCATATGTCCCACTTGTGATACCCGCGCCGCACTCGACTGCGCATCCGTCATGGGCGCATCGCATTGAGTGTCAATGCAGCTAAGAGTCATCTCATGTTTCCGAACAACCGTCACAATTAGCCTCAGGCTGCCAGGCGCAGCTATTTCCTGTCGATGCTTCAGTCCGGCTGCTCAAAATGAGGGGTACATAGCGCTCGCACGTGAAAAATACTAGACATTATGTCTGCCGGGCGACGGTACTTGAAAGCACTGCTTCCAGGACAGGCCGATAGAACCCGCCGCACCGCCGCATACGGGATCGTCGGCGAGGCCATTTCGGCCTCCTAGAGTCGTGTGCTCTCAGGTACTATGTAGGATGTCGGCGATGACGACACCGTGAGGATGGAGTTTATTGAAAACTCCCGAGGCAGCGCAGTAACTCACCCTGAAACATTGCTCCCTATGTTTGATAGCGACGCGTGGGCGTGCTGTCAAACGTTCGCTTCCGTGCTGTGCTATGGTAGCTAACTCCGTAGCGCGACACACACGAGCTGTCGTGTGCAGCCCGACACATGGCATACGTTGACAACGGCCCAAACTGCGACCTGCCGAGACGTGCCTCAGACTTCAGTGCGTGCCACTGGACGTCCCCATCTGTCACGCAGCGAGCGCCAAGAGTGTTGAGTCAAAAAGTTAAATCCGCACCTGGACGTAGATGCCGAGAGCGGGGCGCCATATGGAACTCCCGATCGTTCGCACCGCTGCGACGCAGGTAAGGCTTCTTGTGTCCGAAGATGGATGTGTCTGCAGAGTAGATGCAGCGGCATGGTCTATGATTGCGCACTCGTGCCAATGTCAGCACGCTCGTCAACTGTCCGGGCTTAACTTACCGCGGGCTCCGATGTCCACCTGCGTACTAGAAGATGTGCTTTACGCTTTCTCAGATTGCTGCCAACAGTGGAGAGGCCGCGCAGATCGGGCAGCACTGGATATCGAAGGCAGAACGCACAGAGTTCCCCGAAAAGCGCTTCGGGTGGAAGCCAGACCGCAGGATGGAAGCAGCGTCCGTTTGGTTCGTTGAATACCGCGCGCAGTGCGCAGGGGGTATGTATCACGTCGTCGTGGGTACTAGGAGGCCCGCACGAGATATGCCGACGTCCGGGCGGCCGGTATGCTCGGAAGTGCACTAGTGGCACGATAGATGAGGTTAAGAAGCGGGTATGCGGTAGCGGCGCCCAGACTGCGGACCTGCGGGAGACGTATGTGCGCTGTCGAATTAGACCCTTGGCCTATCATTTTGCGGCCTGCTGCTGTGTACAGGTCATTGTTGCGACAGCTCAACTTCCAGTGTACCACATGGGACGTGCGTCCCCCGACTGCGCACACATTGAAGATGGAAAACGATGCGAACGATCTGGATGGATGGCGGCGCCAAAAGAAGGAAGGAGGGGCCGGTCCTGAATTCTCGTGATTATCAACATTGTCGCACTCACTACGACTTACGTAGTTTCATCCCAGCTTCCAGAACAGAAGGGAGCCGTTGAAGGGATCGTATCCTGCTGACGGCCTCAGTACATTGCACTAGACCATGCTAGGTGGATGGATAGGTGATCTGTTTGAATTTTGGAGTCAGAAACTGCGGTTCAAGCTCATCGAAAAGAATAGCAGAAACATACCACCATCTTTCGAAGGCGATTGAGACTCTTGGAGAGCTGGTATTTTGGGAAAGCGGGGCCGAGTGTAGCCCATGCCGGCGAGCGGAGGTGCGGCAAGAGCAGCACGAGCGCCCATGGCATTCCTGAGATGTCGCCGCACCTTGAACCACGGTGAAGCGACTATCACATAGCAATGCTACGTCAAAGCGGCTTTGATGCATGAGTGGCGTTGCAAGTTCATGGCCACAAGCGTTTGGCGGATGGTCAGCGGCCTTGGGCCTCCGTCGCTGCCTTCCATCCAGATTTCACAACGTAAGAGAAGCCGAATTGCCCGAATCAATTCCAACTCAGATGTAGCGCACACATGTCATCGCGAGCCCGCTGGCAGTGCCGTACTGTACGAGCTGGTCAGTGGCACGACGTAGGCCGGGCGCTGCTAGATGTCTGAGCTTCTTCTGGCCAATGTTGCAGCGGCCAGACACACCTTTCCACACCGAAGCAGCGTAGAATTACGCTCTAAATGATCCACGGACGAGCTTTGTATGAGAGAGGGGCAGAAGTGCAGTCTGTGGGATCCGAACTCATAGGGATGATGGTGGTTGATGCCAAAGCACGAGTCGGGCGCCTGATGCCGCCCACTCTTGAACTTGAACTTCATGGAACTGACATGACAGCAAATCCCCATTCCCCCTGTTCCGACATCTGTGGCTCTTGATTGATGCAGTACGTTCCGTGCGGAGTGCATACGATGTTACGCTTGTATGATTTGCAGCTCAGGCACATGCATGCTTAGGTGCAACGTCAACCAGTGGCCAGCGGACATGACTCAGGCATTGCAACAATCGCCATTCGATTCGGAGCAAGCCTAGTGCTCTCACAAACCTTGCTCATCAGATAAGTGATTTTCAATTTCAAACTGTAGACGCAAAATGTAAGGTGAGCAATCGTTTCTCGTCTAAAACCTTCACGCTCGCACTCACGCCAAGCCAACGTTGATGAGCAAAAATCCACCCCAGCAGACGCACTTCGAGTAACGGAATCCCAAATACGCACCATGACACTACAAGCGACACCATCCGTAGAATAGCCTATTTCCCGCACCATCAGCCGCAGGAACTGCGCCATACCTTGGATCTCCGCTGCATACGTGTCCCGAATCCTGTCGGCAGGCCCGATCCGTTTAGCCCCCGTGCGGTATTTCTGCTCGACGATGAGCAGCGACGCCAGGACGTGATCTTGCACACTCTCGACCGCTGACTGGAGAGATAGCGAGGGCAGCTTGACGATGTCCCCGCATACGACTTGGGAGCGCTTCGCCGACCAGTACCACGCAATATGTAGATACGAACGAGTTCTCCTCAGCGTGGAGGTGTGTATAGTGTATTCAGCTATTGACCTTTCTTATATAGAGAATTAGGTCCACGTTCAGTGGGCCCTGGCCAGGGAGATACTCACCGCAAGCTCGTGCATGCTGGTGGGCTTCCGAATGTAGCGAACCTCGCCAGACCCCGGGAAGCTACAACGAAGTTCAACGCATGGTCAGCCCGACGCTGGTGAAATACCGTGTTTACAACGCAGGTGAGACCCACTTTGCGCTGAACGTGTTGCCTTGCAGCCACTTCTTCGTCATTATCTCCTGCATACCGGCGAACGTCACGGCATCCGGGAGGATCTCGTTCCTGTCGATGCGTGCGGCTCGTACTAGGTTGGTCGGCGCACCACCGTTCGGCTGTAAAGGCTCATCGATGGGTCCTGCCTGAAATAGCTCTGTGCGCGACATGGAGCGGCCTGTTCTGATGCAGCATATGACCATCGTGCCGCCTTTGACCAAGAGGTTCGCATTGGTCAAGCTGTCGTGATCGAAGACGAGCTCGATATGGGCTCGCCGGTCAGGCCACTCGGACGAATTGACGTGGGTGAGCTGTGAGTCCATGGCGGTATTGAATGGAGGTATAGATGTTGAAATACTATGTCCAGGAGGCCCCTTGGGTGCTAAATGTTGATTAAGAAGTCGTGGGGGTATGTCTTGCACAGTCAAACCATGCTTATGACATTATCTTTGATTGAAGAGACGCTAGACATGGCGGCCTCCTACAACCTGCTTACATGCAGGAAGGTTATCCACGTTACCTGAGCCTGCGAAGGTTAATTCTGCGGCCTGAAATTCGCGGGCGCCAAACCTACCGGCAAATGCTGAAACTGCTGAAATATCGAGAATATTCGGGTTCTCCGAGTCTCAACGGTCACGCACCCGATTGTGAGTAGCGCGTAACTAGATCCAAATAAACTTGCGCCCTATATGAGTGGGCAATGGACGGTCAATTTGTTGCTCGGGATATTCTAGAAATTGTGTAGCGCAGCTGTTCGGGTACAAGCGCCCGCACCCGCCGACGCGACGTCGCGCGCCCGCGCAGCTCAGAGTTCACAAATAAGTATACGCAAAAAAGCGGTAGAGGGAACTGCAAGCTCGGATAGCACTCTGAGATTGTAAGTAGCGAGGACAGAAAATATGCGATGCTGAAAACAGGTGTACAATCAGGCTCAGGTCAGTGCCGACATAAGTCGGCACTTCTGGTATGTTCTATTTCCTGAAGTCGATCGAACATTCGATAGTCGTCTAATGCACGTCCAGAGATGGGGGCAAGTAGCAAAACTCTTCTCGTGGAAAAACTCAGGTACTACCAGGGTTCGAACCTGGGTTCCGGGAATATGTTGAAATCAAAATCCCGAGTGATAACCACTACACTATAGTACCGTATGGGCCTTTTAGTTGTACGTGATTATGATGGCAACATAAATTCAACGTAGCTAGGTTCGCTACCGAAAGTCTTTTCTGTCGAGTCGACCATCTTGACATGACCCCCTCTTGTTTCCCGACCACCATCGACCAGGCCAAGATGCCGCAGCATACGAGTCTCACCGCCATCATAACGATAGCCAAGCTTAACCGGTCGACATATAATGCGACTCACTGCACGGAAGCTGACTGAAGCCGGTGCCTTGAACGTTCGACTCCTTGCGAGCATCGGCCCCTGCAACTACATACGATATCGAACGCTTTGAATCGACCAGTCAGCAAACCGGACCGATGAGGCACCCAGCAAAATGACACCGCCTGCGATGAAACAGCGGTCGACGTTGAGCCCAGGGGATGGAATAAATCACATGAATTGGCTACCCCGCCCCCGCCAAGCCCCGCCCCCGAACCCCGGACGAGCGGGGGGCGCCCCGCACCAGATATGGACTGTTGCCTGGGGCGGCATCGATGGACGAGACCTTATCCGACAATCCCCGCAAGGTCCGCGTGGCCGACGCGCCTCGGCATCCTGCTCGATGATCGAATGAGTCTCCGGGTCTTGCCAAAACATGGTCGACTCTCGGAGCAGCGGCCGTCGTTCTCCCACCTCTGATAGGGTAGAGCGCGTCGGCCTCAGGTACACCAGGCTCATCGCGCCCCCGCCGTCATCATTATTCCTCAGAGTCCCTGCGCCTCTTGGGCGGCCATCAGAAGCGAGCATGCGCTCGCTCGCGCTCACCCGCGTCACATGGACCCCCTCTTCGGTCAAGTGAGCCCAGCACAAGCAGAGCGACGTCGGACGATGCGAATAGGGAAGCCAAGAGGCCTGCCGCGATGCCCGACGTCAGCGTCCTGCGACGCGTTATAAACGACGGTGTCACCGCTCGGGTTCTCTCGTACGAACGTGCACCTTCCCCACCATGTTCCTCCGTACACTTCGCGCTGCGCTCCCCTACGCGGTGCTCGGCCAGTTGGCACTTCTGTCGAGCGCGACAGTCACTGACCCCGCCGCCCTCGACGCGTGTCCTGGGTACAAAGCGAAGAACGTGTTCACGTTTGGTCCCAAGCTCACAGCGGACCTCGTCCTCGCCGGGAAGGCTTGCAATGTCTTCGGAAACGATATCGAGAAGCTCAAGCTCGAGGTCACTTACGAGAACAGTAAGCTTTTACCTGTCTCTGATTCTATTACGCGTTCTGACAGTGCTACAGAGGAGCGGATTCATGTCAAGATCACGAATCCGGCGGATGCACGCTATGAAGTGCCCGAAGCTGTCTTCCCCCGGCCACACGCCGACGTCTTCGCGTCGCCGCACAGCGCCGCGATCCGCTTCAACTACACGGCATCCCCGTTCTCATTCTCCATCTACCGTGCGTCGACGCATGAAGTTCTCTTCTCGACCGCGTCGCACCCCATCATCTTCGAGCCGCAATACCTGCGCGTGAAGACGAACCTCCCCACGGAAGCGAACATCTACGGTCTCGGCGAGCACACCGATAGCTTCCGCCTTCCGACGCACAACTACACGCGCACCATGTGGTCGCGCGACGCGTACGGGGTACCCCAGGGATCTAACCTTTACGGCAACCACCCGATCTACTACGAGCACAGGACCACCGGTACTCATGGTGTCTTCCTCCTGAACTCGAACGGTATGGACATCAAGATCAACGACACCGAAGGTCTCGGAACGACTCTGGAGTACAACGTCATCGGAGGTGTTCTCGACTTTTACTTCCTGGCGGGAAGCGAGAGCGATCCCACCGAGGTGGCGCGTCAATACGCGGACGTTGCTGGTACGCCCGCGGAGGTGCCGTATTGGTCCTTCGGCTTCCATCAGTGCCGGTTTGGGTACCAAAGTACGTGGTTATGAGCTTTGGAGTACTGACCACGTCGCTAACGACTTTGTGCAGACTTCGTGGACGTCGCGGGTGTCATCGCGAACTACTCGGCGGCCGGCATCCCTCTTGAGACGATGTGGACTGACATCGGTACGTTGTCTCATAACTACTTCCTGTGTTTGCAGCTAATTGTTTTGTCAGACTACATGTACAAGCGCCGCGTCTTCACTCTCGATCCGGACTACTTCCCACTGGACAGGATGCGCGAGATCGTCGACTACCTTCACAAGCATGACCAACACTTCAGTACGTTCGCACAACTCAGTTTCGTTGCCAATAGTTAACATGCCATACAGTTCTCATGACTGACCCGGCTGTTGCGTATGTGAACGATGGGACTTACGGGCCCTTCGATCGTGGTACCAAGGACGATATCTTCTTGAAGGCCGCGAACGGCAGCAGTCCGTTCTTGGGCGCAGTTTGGCCCGGTAAGCTCAATCATCACGTACATTTGCATGAGCTAATCATTGAGCGACACGATAGGTGTGACGGTCTTTCCCGGTAAGTGACTGCTGATAGCGAACTAGAATCGTCGGGCTGATTACAACTTGAATTTGTAGATTGGTTCAACAAGAAAACTCAGGAGTGCGTTGAATTATATTCGTATGCATGTGCAAAGCTGATATGAACCTTGATACAGTTACTGGAACAACGAGTTCAAGCTGTTCTATAACCCGGAGACTGGTCTCGACATTGACGGCGTGTGGATCGATATGAACGAACCTGCCAGCGTGCGTTCACATGCGTCGTTATGCACAACTTCCACTAACCTTCCCGATGTAGTTCTGCAATTACCCTTGTACCGACCCCTTCGCGCAGGCTGAGGAGCAGATCCTCCCTCCTCCGCGTACTACTCTGCCCCCGGCGCACGATTCTCCCATCTTCGGCGGTTCCGCGCTTCAGAAGCGCGTAGACCACAGCCACGATGACGTTCAGAACCCGCCCTACGCCATCGCGAACTCTGCGGGCACTGGTGCGCTCTCAGACAAGACCGCCTACGTGAGTGGGTTTGAGCTAAGTTCGGAAATCTGCTTACTGACCTGTTCTCGTAGACCGATGCTGTCCACGCGAACGGGCTCATCGAGTACGACACGCACAACTTGTACGGCACTATGATGTCGACGGCGACCCGCGACGCGATGGTGTCGCGCCGCCCTGGCGAGCGCCCGCTCATCATCACGCGCTCGACATTCGCGGGCGCGGGCTCGCGCGTCGGAAAGTGGCTCGGCGACAACTTGAGCGAGTGGGCTCAGCTGCGACAGTCGCTTTCCGGTATTCTTGGCATGGCCGGTGTATACCACATCCCTATGGTCGGCGCCGATATCTGCGGTTTCGGTATGTCGATCCAAGCTCAACTGGTATGGATCTCGCGCTGACGGGCGTAAAACGCAGGCGCAAACACCACTGAGACCCTCTGCGCTCGCTGGGCGATGGTCGGCGCGTTCTACCCCTTCATGCGCAACGTGAGCATCTACGTACCAATGCGATGCTGCTTCATACTGATATCCAGATCCACAGCACAACGGCGATACCTCCATTTCCCAAGAGTTCTACCGCTGGCCCACAGTCGCCCAGGCCGCGCGCAATGCGCTCGACGTCCGCTACCGCCTGCTCGACTACATCTACACCGCCTTCCACACGGCGCACACGAGCGGCACGCCCGTGCTGCACCCGCTCTGGTACCAGTTCCCGAAGGACGCGAACACGTTCGCGATCGACACGCAGTTCCTCTTTGGGGACTCTATCCTCGTCTCGCCCGTGCTCGAGGAGAACGCGACGAGCGTGCGCGCGTACTACCCCGACGCGCCCTTTTACGACTTCCACACGCTCGCGAAGACACACGTGCAGGGCGGCGGCTTCGTCGAGCACACGGACGTGAACTTCACCTCGATCCCGGTCTCGATCCGCGGCGGCGTCGTGCTGCCTCTGCGCGAGACGGGCGCGCTGACTACTACGGAGCTGCGCAAGACGGACTTTGAGCTTGTCGTCGCGCCCGCGGTGGACGGGACCGCGGCGGGTTCGCTTTACCTCGATGATGGCATTTCAATCACGCCGAAGACGCAGACGAACGTCGCGTTCGCGTACAAGAAGCAGAAGCTCACCGTGAAGGGCACGTTCGGGCACGCGACGGGGGTCAACGTCGCGCGCGTGCGCTTCCTCGATGTCGCAAGCGCACCGAAGAGCGTGAAGCTCAACGGGAAGACGGTCGCGAAGAATGCGATCGCGTTTGACGCGGCGTCGGGCGTTCTGGACGTCGCGCTGAAGACGCCCTTCAAGAGCGGCTTCACCGTCGAGTTCTCGTAATCATCTTGACATTTTCTGGGTGGAGAGCCTCTGGACTCATGTATAAAGTACTTAAACACGCACGCGATGCTTATATCCGCGTAATGACATCTGTAGCATACCAATGGGAAGCTGCGATTTTCTATACCTTGTCATGGTGTCGTCGGTGACCTTGTAAAGATGGCGCAAGAACCAAGAACAGGAAAGTTTTGCAAATTGCCAGGGAGGCGGAGACCTTGAAAAACAAGCTCTTCCAGCTCATGGGGGCGAGGGGGCCTGCTGCAGTATCTTCATTGCCAGACCCGTAGGGCCAAAGCACTAGCTATGTAAGTAAGTGGTACAAGTGTTCAATGAACGTAGAGTCCGACATCGTCCGTAGATACAGATTCAACTACAAAGCGTTACAGAGCATGTACAGTAAATCATTGCTGGAGGAACTTGGCCAGAGATTGTCCAGCGATCATCTTCGCAGCCCCTTTCCCGAGGTTCTCCTCCAGCTTCTGCCAATCATCACTCTTCAGACGCGCGAGGGTTCCAAACTCAACGCCGCCCCCGAACCCGTTGCTCAATTGCGATACGATAGGGGATGCCACAGGCGCACTCTCCCGACGCGACTGCCCCAAGCTCTCGCGCTCACGCTTGAGGTGCTTCGCAGCCCTCGTGTTCTTCGGCGGCGAGTACTGCGTGTCGACGCTCGAGTTCCGCTTGTCCACCACCGGCTGGATGAACAGGCGATGCCGCTTGCGCGAGTCGCGCGCCGGAACGTGCGACGCGTCGATGCGGCTGCTCTCCGCGAGCGGCGCCTCGTCCGCCAGGTCGAAGCTCGCCCCGTCCTGGGGCCACTCTGGCGGATGCGTGAGCTCGCGCTCGACCTCCGCCTCTTCCTCCGCAGGTGCGCCCTCTTCCTCCTCTTCCTCGTCGTGCTCCTCATCGTGCTCCTCGTCGGACATGAGCTCGGAGAGCGCCTCGCTCGCGCGGTCGTTCGCGCCCTCGCGCATCTCGCGCAGCACGTTGTCCGCGAGCTGCAGCGAGCCCGTCTCGAGGTACACCGCGCGCACGGTGTCCTCGTTGAAGCCGTGGTTGCGCGCCATGATGTGCAACGCGGCGTTCATCCCGAGCTCCTTCACCATCTCGAGCTCGCTCTCGGGGAGCGTGTCCGCGAGGGACGCGTTCGCGGACCGTGCGGACTTCGCGGGCGAGACGGAGCGCGAGAGCGCTTTGGTGTAGGGGATGGACGGGGTGCGCGCGTGGCCGAAGGGGAGGGCGCCGAAGGCGAGGCTGAGCGCGGAGTAGTTCGCTAGGTGGCTGTTGTCGCCGAGGTGGAACCGTGACGGGAGAGAGCGGCGTTTGGGCTGCTTGGAGGTGGACGAGTCCACGTGCTGCTCTGGCTGCCAGAAGACGTCCTGGGCAGTGGTGTACCTTCGATGGGCGTCAGCAGGAGGTCGGTCGGCCCGTCCCTTGCCCTTGTCAACTCGAGGTGCCGGATCGCGCGACCCAGAGGCAACCGCGGGGAAGAGCTGACCTCGTTGTACGGCGACACCAGATTGTGAATCGCCCTTGTCGGCGAGGGGCGAGCTGTCTGGATGGTCGGATGGAGAGGCTGAGATGATCGAGTCTGGGGAGGGTTTGCTAGGTTCGGGGAAGGGGTGTCTTCCCTCTGCGCGCAGCAATTCCTCTAACCTCGCGCTATCGATCTCCCCCAGAGGAGCACGCTTGGGTCGCGGAACTTGAGCTTGAGGCTTAGATGCCGACCTCGTTCCGCTAGGCCCAGCGACTGGATGTCCGGGATCCAGGAGGCTCCGGAAGCGCGATACGTCCGCCTTGGGCAGTGGGTTGACGTGAGTACCAATTGGACGGCGCACTGGCGACGGCGCGACGTGCTGGCTAAACGGATGGGGGACTTGGCTGAAAGGGTGATGCTGCGACTGCGCGAGCCAGGTGTTATCGTCTGCATCGTCGCCATCGTCGACCTCCATATCGTCGTCGCTGGTGGGAGAACGGTCGTCTTGCGCCACACTCTGTGACTGCGATGCCGGTGGGCCAGGCTCGGTCGCCTGGTCTTCGTCCTTGTCTTCGTCCTCATCCTCATCTGCCGCTGCGGCTGCCAGGAGCTTTCCGCGGGGGAACGGGGTGCCCTTCGGACGACGATCAACCCTGCGTTCGACCGTGTGCACTGTTCGGACGCTCACGGTCTTAGTCGTCACTGTCCGCTCGCGCTGCTTGCCTTCAGACACGCCCATCGGGCTCGGAGTCGCCGGGGGCGGAGGACGCTGCTTCGCCTTCCCGCTGCTCTTCCGGCGAACGGGCGGCCACTGCGCGAGTTCCGATTCGTGCTCCTCGTCGTGCTCGTCTGCTTCAGGGACGTATGCGGGAGTGTCTTGCACACCGATCACGTCGGCCTCGTCGTCAAAGTTGACGCCGGATCGCCTGGGGCCCTTGCCGGTAGGGCTGGTGCGGGGTCGCCCGCGAGAGTCCGAGAAAGCCTTGTTGAATGGCCCTTCGACGAGACGTGGGGGCTGGCGTGGCCCCGTCCGATCGTGCGCGTGGTGACGAGCTTCCGCTTCGGCTGTCGGGGAGCTTGGGTTCCTGCCTTTGGTCCCTTGCGCGGGTGGTGGTGTCCCGAAGAAGTCGTCTGCTGCTGCTCTCTTGATGCGCTTTGCGTGCTGCCGAGGGCCAGGGCGTGGATCTTGATGTCGCGCTGCGGCCTCCTGCGTGGGTGACAGTTCTGGAGTGACCAGCGGGTCATCAATATGGCGGATACGAGTGTTAGGTTTACGGGCAGGCGGACCATGAGACTCGGTGTAGCGATTAGCAGACGAAGAGGCAGCGTTTACGCCAGATGGGCCCGCGACAGGAGCTTCTTCTTGAGGACGGTCGGTAGCCTCGAACGTTTCCTGGTCCATCTCCACTCTGCGAACAAACACGTCAGTCAAAGGGTTACGCAACATTGGCTCCACGCTGGGCGGCACATACCCCTGATCTTCGTTTTCCGACTCCGGGACTGCCAGCGGGTCGTCCCTTTGATCTACCTCCATCGTATCCTGCGGGCGAGCCACGCCCTCGGCAGGTTTGCCATCGTCCTCCAGCAATTCATCGAGCTCGTCCTGTTCCTTCTCGGAGTCGCTAAACGTAGACTCCTGCTCCCCTGCTGGGGCGGGTTCGTCGTCGTCGGCAGCCGACGCGACCGGAGGCGAGTCGAAAATCTCGTTGCGGTAGTCATCGGAGCCCACAGGGCCGTCAGGCTCCTCCGCGCTTTCGTCCTCTTCGTCGGATCCGACCACCTCATCCTCATCTTCATGCGCGTCATCTTCTTGGAGCGGGCCATCCGCATCCGCGGCCTTATCTGCAACCTCGTCCTCTACGTCGTCGGCTACTGCTGTCTGCGAGCGGGTGGAGGGACCAGGATCCTCTTCTCGGTCAACAGCCACTCGGGTTTCTTCCACGCGCTTCTTCTTCACCGGTCGCCCTTCCTCATTCTTCGCTTCACTCGCACGCGCTCGCTTGCGCGTCTGTTCGGGGACAGGAGGGGGTACTGGCTTACGCTGTCCAGTCTGCGCTTGTGCTTTGCTCTGCTTGCCGACTTGGCTGCGCACCTGCGCGGAGACCCGCGGCCCCGTCGATAGCCCCGGAACGCCCTGATTCTCGACTGTTTTCGGTCTTGGCACCTCGTCCTCATCGAAGTCATCTCCGGCGTGGTAACGTCGGACGGCCCAGTCGAAGTACTTAGGGTTCTTCTTATACCGTTCACGCCAGGACTGCCACGAATGTCTCTCTATCCATGGAAGATCGTCCTGTTGAAGAAGTATGGATGTGTGAGCGCTTCATATCAAGGGATGACTTCCAGGTTACAGCAAATGCCTGGATGCTGCACCAACTCACCTGTTCGAGCGCCTGCCAGAACTTCTGCCCATTGAGACTGCCTATCTGAGGGCGTGTGGCGAGATACTCGACTAGATTGTCATCGTCTTCCTGTGAGAATGGGACGCGAGCACGGCCGGGTGATTTCTGTGGGGAAGGGGCCGACGGAGCAGGTATTTGTGAAGGACCATCTCCACCAGACTGGATGTATTTTTTGATCATCGCGTCCATCCTCTTCTGGTTCTTCTGATAGTGTTCTCTCCAGGATTGCCATGGATGGCGTTTGGCCCAGGGCCACTTTCCCTCCTTCTTAATAATTACTGAGATGTCATGGTCACAGTTAACATATATGATAGAGAGCACGTACGTTCGCATAGAGCCTCTGATATAGTGCATTCCCTTGACGCCCCGCCTGCTGGGGATTGTACTTGGCAATGTACTTGGCCAGAAATTCCTCGTGCTTGTGTGTGAATTCCTGACGGCTGCATGTACATGAGCATTGCACGCGGATGGTTCCTAATCCAACTCACACTGGCATGGTGGGACGATTGCCGAGCACCAAAGGTTATGCAAGGATGGCTGGCGTCGGTGACCACGGCGAGTCGTAAAGCAAAGAAAGAAGCAAAGTTACGAGTACAACAGAGAGCAGTGCCAAAGAGGAGAGAGAGAGCAAGGACGGATGGTCATGGAGGTACGAGGTCAAGATGCAGCGCGCGTCAAGCCCGACGCGTCTAGCCACGAGCTCCGCGTCACGTGTCTGTCGCATAAGATCGCGGTCACGTGTACATGCGCGCGACCGGATTTCCGCGTCCGATCCGCCTACCGCGAGTAGACTACATGGAAGGAGTCGAGCTTAAAGAGCCTAAGTGTATTGTAAATGCAGATTATGACCTTAATTGATAGTGTTTTAGTGAGAATCACTCGGGTAACACATCTCATCCACGTTATTCAGATTCCACAGAGCACTGCTTCGCATATATCTTCGTACATCATACAGAAACACTCGAGCACGTTGCATAGAAACGATCCCTCCTACAACTTCCACGCCATCAATGGAGCCCGCGCTCAGAGGCTCACGGGGACGCAGCCGATGGAAATGAGACCACCCTGAGTACGCAGTTAATACATGAAGATTAGGTGGTAGACAGACTACACGTACGTGGCTGTTGTCCTCGCAGCAGACAGTGCTGGAAGAGCACGAGCTGCCGGAGCCGACACCGATGACGGTGATCGGGGAGCAGGTAAGGCCGACGAGAACGTCAACGTCCTGGACGACAACACCGAGGAGGCCCAGGATCTTGGCAGCCGACGGGGAGTCCGCCTATTCTCGTGTCGTTAGTCCACTACCCGCTCGCCAAGTCAAGCAGACACGCTTACCTTGGCGGTGCTCTCGCAGCACTGGATGGCGCCGGTGCTGCAAGATGCAGGAGGGGCGTTACGAGCCTCGAGGGGAGTGGCGGCCGCAAGAAGGGGGAGAGCAGAAATGGCGAGAGCGACGGCGCGAGAGAACATCATCTTGCTTGAGAGAGCTGAGTACTGGAGAGTGTAGGGCGGTTGGATTGTTCGACCTGAGGGCTGTAGCGTATTGTCGACGCCCTTTTATACCTGGTTCGAGGACTGAAACCCCTGCGGTGAGTCGATTCTATGTCATTTTTCGTCCAATCGACGTCGACTGCATCTGCAAGGCCTCCCATGTCGCGAACTCCGTCATTCGAGCCTATCTCTCCCCCAAACGTCACAGGGGTACCAGACTAAATGCACCGCTCACCATACGGGGCTACGAGACGCGTCGACCACGCAGCACACCGCCGTCGACGCGCTGCAAACCCGCACATCGACCGGACGGTGCGCGCCATGCGTCTATCGCATCTGCTTCGCCCAAGGTACACGAACTTCGCTGCTGGCAGATGCTCCACACTCACGGCAGGTATTCATTCGCTGTGCGTATCTGCAGCCTATGAGCGGGAGCGGCGGTCCACACGAGGTCTCCCCCGGTGCCGGTGCTCCATGGCCAGCAGACTCGGATCTGGGGTGTGCGCCTTCTATCGTTCTTGACAGCTGCGCGAACGATCGCGCATGCGGTAAGCTCGGATCCGCGGCGGAAAAGAGGTGGGCGTAGCTACTGGCAGATTGGTGCGTCATGAGAAACATGGGCGTGGAGGTTAATCTTGGCTTGTCAAGTGAGGTGGGACGGCGTCTAGCGGTTTCGACATCTCATCTCCGGGGATGGGCGGCTGATTCTTGGGAGCCGAAGCGAGCGTCCCTTCCGGCGGTGGAGATCCTCGGAGCCTGTCCAGTCTGTAGCTTAAACAGCAGCTTGGCTCTTCGATGACTGGATAAGGAAGGTGTGTAGGATGGCGTACCGTACACCAAGGATGCACTCGTCTGCGGGTGCGCTTGCGAATCCCACTAAACCCTCCGTGATCCCGCGGCCGTCGAAACGAGGTGGACGCGCACCAGCGCCCCGGGCGTTGACAGACGTCGTCAACACAGTTCCTCCCGCACAATCAGCGGGGGGCGTCCAATCGAGCCTCGTGTTTCAGTTCATTAATTATACGCCTACGATCCTCTCAATGTCCGCCCGCGGCGATGAGGTCACGCGTGTTCTGTGCTTCCAGACGTGGATAGACTCGACGACCTGGAAACGTCCGCGACGTGAGACTCCGCCGCCGCCGGGTCCCGGGATCGCGCGTGGAACTCGCTGTTGTTCGTCCAGAAGGTCGGGCGGGCGATACGAGGGGCTGAGCAGGCCGCTATGGGATATGTTGTACTCGCCCCTGTGACGTTTGGGGAGGTCGCACACCGGCGGGCATCCGCTGTATTCGTGTCTGAGTCTGTGCAGAGCGAACGACAGATGTGAGATGCCATCCATCTCTGACGAACAAGACCAGAGGCCGTACCTTCTGCGTCATACTTCGAGAAAATTTATCGTATGCTGTGGGTCGCCTATAAAAGACACTGGAAGGCAAGTTGACTTCTCAGGTCGAACAAGCCCACTCGTCCACCAGCACCCTTCGAGCCAGTCAGCCAGTCAGCACCATGTTCTCTCGCGCCATCGCTCTCACCTTCGCGGCTCTGCCCCTCCTTGCGGTCGCCACTCCCCTTGAGGCCCGCAATGATGCCCCTGCGTCCTCCTGCAGCACCGGTGCACTCCAGTGCTGCGAGTCGACCACCACGGTGAGGCTTCACTCGAATCATACACCGACAACAATGGGCAGAGCTGACAACCGTAATCGATATATAGGCGGGCTCCAAGTCGGCCGCCGCGATCCTGGGCCTCCTCGGCGTCGTCGTCCAGGACGTCACCGCTATCGTCGGCCTGAGCTGCTCCCCGATCACCGTCGTCGGCGTCGGCGCGGGTAGCTCGTGCAGCGCCGACACCGTCTGCTGCGAGGACAACAGCTTCGTACGTTCTCTTCTTCATTTCGCGATTGATTGATGATTGAGGCGATTTCATGCACAGGGCGGTCTCATCTCCATCGGCTGTCTTCCCGTTAGCCTTTGAGCAGACGACGTCAGACAGGAGGGGTCTCGAGAGGTGGGAGACAAGCGTACCCCTTTGATTGCCGGGGCTTGAATGTTTGTATACAGCTATGTGTCTCGAGGATGGATTTGTAGGAGGTGATTAGTATCGAAGTTGACCGTGACTTGACCGGCGAATTGCGATGGTACAATTATGCATCTCTTCGGCGTAAATGGCGTTTCCATCGGCCTCTACCTCATAGAATTCGCACCTGCAGCCGTATAAGCCTCAGGGGAATATGTCCAGACCGAAAATTTACTAATAACGGGGGCAAAGATCACGGCGTAAAGAAAGAGCGCTTCAGTGATGGAAGCGCTCGCGATTTGAACATTCGAACATTTTAGCGCTGGCTGTCTCGACTCTTGCTCCGAATCTCGATCGTTGCTGGCAGTGGTCCATGTCTGCATCCTATTGCGCAAGATGCTCCATACATGATTAGCTCCGGTGAGTAGGGTCGTTCATATAGTGTTATGCAATGCTGTAGAAAAATAGGGGTATCATGGTACGCAAGGTCCGCAAACCGAGGTGACGGGGCCCAAATCCTCGACAACTCTATTTGCTCGATCCTGTGCACTAGGGTGGCCATAGCCAGCCAGGTCAATACCTCTCAACAGGCAGTTTCGCGTCGTTGATTCTTGTTGATAAGACTCCAAAGACGAGCGAATAGGAAAGACAATGGATTACATGAACACCCTCAGGCTCAAGCAGACCATCTGTCAGACGCCCGTCTTGCTCGTGCTCTCTCCGCTCCATGATTTTAAAGCGGCAGAGACTCTGCTCGACGTATACAATTTCGAGTATCTCAAGAGCTATGGCCAGCGTGGGTGAGGGTAGAGCTTAAGTGACACAGCGTCGGACGTCGGTACAGGTGCCCACACCGGGTGGCACCTCCGCATGCCCCGGCGGGAATCGTGCTTTGACCGCCCTCGGGCCTCCGCACGTACCTGACGCGTTCACCTAGATTTCGTACGCGTTGCCCTACCCTGGGTATGCCGCTTGGTACATCTCCTCGTGGTGGCGGCTGTGCTCGATGCGCGGCGGCCACACGTGGCCCCCCGACGCATTGCTCTCGCAGGTCAAAGCGGCAGCGCGCCACTCGCCGCTTGGACTGTGGCCTAGGAGGATATATATCCGAGCATAATGTCCCCCATCCTTCACCAACGCACTCCCCGTTCATCTCTCGCAACGGTGTGCGATGTCTATCTTCCGCCAAGTTTTCTCCTGCCTCCTGGGAGGCTCGCCGGCCTCGTCGCCGGCCTCCACCCCCAAACCATCTCTCATCCCCGGCTTCGGCGCCTTCAAGGCCAACCACATCGCTCCCACTCTGTCTCCCATCGCCGGTACTCTCTCTTCACCGCGGGTATCCTCACACGTCGGCTCTCCGGACACTCGCGATGACGCACCGGAGTTCGTAGACCGGCAACTCGGACTTGGCGTTCTCATTGCAAAGGCCATCGGTCTGCGTGTGCAACTCGGCCTGGTATCGCGTTGCCTCAAGTTTCCTTCTGAGGCGTCCTCCAATGGGTGCGTTCATCTCTTTACTGCCATACCACACCGCATACTTATGAATATCTTTCCAAGTAGCTCGGACAACATTCGCGGCTCTCGGTCTCCTTCTCCGTTGGTGCTCGACGCGCCTGTGACCCCGGAGAAGTACGAATCACGTCGCAACCTCCCTCCTACCTTCGCCCGCTCGACACCGCCTACGGTCTACTGGAACCCTGCCCCTCCTACGCCTCCCGGTGACGAAAAGTCTTTCGGCAATGTTCCCGTCGCTCGCCGCCGGGTTCCGCATCGTAGCAAGGCCAGAAAGGAAATCAAGAACCTGACGGCCAGGTACATCCGGGCCTTGGCTCCGACCTTTGGAATGCCGCTGCCCTACGTCGAACCACTTCCCGCTCTTCCGGTCAACGGTCCTGGCAGTCAGGCTATTCTCGACACGGCGCCTTTCCGTATCTCTAGCGCCGACACCGAGCCCGCTTGGTCCCCGCGGCAGAGCGCGGCCGCGGCACCCGCCCCGGACGTGCCTCAGGATGTGATGGAGTGCGAAGACACGCAGGTACAACCCGACGACGACTTTGAGCTTGAGGACTTCGAAGACTTCGAGGACTACAAGCCTTCCGCGCCCAGTGTGCCCCAACACCCGGACGGCACCAAGTATCACATCCTCGGCAAACTCGGGGAGGGTTCATTCGGGCGCGTCATGTTGGCAGGCACCAACACCGGAGAACTCGTCGCGCTCAAGGTCATCTACAAGCCCATGGCTTGCGAGCATCTGGACGCGGAGGACCTGTACAACGAGCGTGACCTGCTCGCACTGGCCGCGGAACAGGGCGCACAGTTCGTGGTGCACCTCAAGGCTGCTTGGGAAGAGGGGGACAACGTGTATTACGCCATGGTACGTCTGCGTGTATTACAGTCTTCTCTCGCGACGTGGTGTTAACGACATCCTGTTTAGCCCCTCTGCACCGGAGACCTGCGGTCGCGCATGCTGGACGCCGTCGATGCTCGCAAGGCGATCCCGGAACGCGAGGTCAAGCTTCTCTGCGCGGAAATGGTGCGTTCCTCTTGCCGGTGTTTGTTCTCAGATGCACTAATCGACGCCCACAACAGATTCTAGCACTCGAGGAACTCGAACGCCTACGGATCGTACACGGGGACATCAAGCCGGAAAACGTCCTCATCACCAGTACCGGCCGCGCCGTCCTCACCGACCTCGGACTCTCGCAGCGCCAGCCCGCACCACAGCCGGGCTTCCGCGACGGGCCGTTCTCGGAGTGGCGCGCGCCGAAGATGTGCGGCACCCCAGGATACTTCGCACCGGAGGTACTGCGCATGCACGCCGGAAAGCGCGGGCCCTTCACGAGCAAGGCGGACGTCTTCAGCCTTGCAGTCGTCCTCATCGAGCTCCTGTCCGGAAACCCCGAGCTTATATGGGACACACTTCCGCGCGCTAGCAAGGTCGGCATCGCGGTTCAGCACTGGCCGGAGGACGATCACTTCACGCGCCAGGCGATGCGGATGTTGCGGGACGGGCTACACGGTGTGCTGGATGGGATTGCGGATCTGGACGCACGGGACATGCTCTCACAGGTACGTGCTCATGTCTGTTCGCGACGCTGGACGATGAGCTGACACGCGCTGTAGATGCTAGAGGCGCGTCCTGAGGATAGGCCGGCCCCGGCGGAGCTCCTGCGGCACCCGTACTTCCGGGGCCTGAACATCGACGACGTGCGTGCTGGGCGTGTACCTCGTAAGTCAGCGTTCCTCTGTTGTTTGCGATGCATGTGCTCACGATGCGACTTTGCGTTCAGACGACTACCAGCCACAGTTCTTCGGCAACCTGAACAAGATTGAACAGGATGTCAGCTTCCTGACTTGGCAACACCTGCGCTCAAAAGAGCATGCACCCCCGCCTAGTGCGCCGATTGGGCCACTGACGGGGTTCACCTGGCCGCCTGCCGCACCCAAAATGGCGACCTGGGATCTGCCGAGTCCAGAGGAGATCGAGAATTGGTGATGGTCGTGTGTCGACCCATAGACAAACAACAGAAGTTGTTATATTATTGTATAAGTTAATGTGTAGTCTTCCTGCCGTTGTATTTCGCCTTCTGTAGGGTGTATAGTTTGTAGTTCATTTAAAAGGAGAACTACTGGTTGATTTGTTTTTCCAACAACGTATGGATGCGAAATCGATCAGAAAGATGGCTGCTCTCATGGTACGTTAGAGATCGAGTCGACCCACCCAACGTAGATGATCATTTACCTGAGCGTTTACGATGTCAGCGCTTCGAGTACCGTTCAAGCATCTCTTCCTCCTCCTACCGTCGCGATCTCCCCATCTGCCTTCTTCGGCTGCCTGATACAAGCAGTATCTTTTGGCACGGTATACAGGCGGGGCACACGGCGACGAGGTGACGACACCAGCCTGCCTATACGCGAAGAAATATGATCAATCCGTGGATTCCATGCATTATGGGCGGCTCTGCGGGGTCGTAACTATATGACTGTCGTTGCAGATTGCCCTCCCTGGCAATCGTCGATGGATGCCCTGCATGGCAAGCCAGCCAGCTCTGACAATTGCAACATGCCTACCCATCTGCGTTCTAGCCATAGAAGCAGGCTGTTGCTAGGTAAGTTTTGGTGGCCTTTTATTCCTTGTCGCGCACGACTCCCAGCATCCCGCGCGCGCCGTTGTCGTTCTTCTTTTTCGCATTCCAGCGACTCCTTTTGTTCACGCAGCCTACATCCTGAGGTATGCGTTATAGTGGGATACTGCAGGCGGATTGCAATCGAGCGCCGCGAGTATCACATCATGATGCCCTTGTACAAGTCGACGAATCGACGATGGTGCGGGCGTCACTTATAGCAGAGCGCTCGCTATCCAAGTTGTCGCCGTCCCTTGTGCTCGCCATCTCCACCTTCTCCCTTACCTCTTCTCCATGTCTCCCGAAGAAGTCACCCTGGCTCGACTGCCTCATGTTCTGACTCTCATGTTCTCTCGATATTTGCAGAAAGCGCGCGCGCGCTGCCTTGCCGTCGCGTCAAGGATCGCCTGCCACGAGCCAGCTGCCGCACGCAAGAGCAAGTTACGCCACAGTCCTCTTTGCCGACCCGCCCCCGAAGATGCCGTCGACTGGTGCTCCACGAGGCTTTGGTTAGACCTAGACGGTGATCTCCCGTACTCTCTAGAGCCCACACGGGCGCCACTTCCGCTCGGCGCGACCGTAGCCACCGTCCTGGGTTTAGCCATTCACCGCCACCTGTCCCCCAAACCCTTCCGCCGCCTCCCCCTTCCTCTGATCCCACAAGTTCTCATTGCAAGTCATCCGTCTTTTCCGACCGCAGTTGCCTCAAATTCCGCCATGACATCCCAACACGTTCTTGTGGCGAAGTCGTTCGAAGCCAACACGCACCTTGCTCCACTCGCGCCTTCTTCCCGGAGACCACGTCGGCGCGCGGCGGAATCCACCACCCCCGCTATCCAACTGCCACGGTTACACACGGACACTGCTCCATCCCCAAGCGCGCCGCCTCGCGAGACCACAGACGCGTCACCTTCAAGGATGGAGATCAGTTGGCATGATAAACGGAACCAATCCCTACCTCGGAAGGACGCCCAGTTCTTTCCAAACATCGGTAACACGCTCTCAGAGAGGCAACCGGTCATGCCCGGGACTCTGCAGCTGTCGCCTATGCAAGACCTCATCGAGAGGCGACTGCGTAGCCACGGGTAAGCGTTCGAGTTGTTAGCCACGCACCAGACATTGACGCCAGTTATAGCGCTTCACCACGGCTACCTTCCGGCTGCAGTCTCCCTCTTTTTCCGTCACCGCCGCCTTCGCTTCCGCTGGTAGTTGCTCTCGACATGCAAGTTACACGGAATGATGAATTTGCGGCCGGAGCCCCTTCCTACTCACCCCACCCTCGTCGTGGTATACACCAGGACCAACGATCCGGGCTTGAACTAGTGGCTGCGACTTCTCAGCCGTGTTACGAATATCAACCCTCTAATTACGGTCTTCCGTCAGGCCTGTTGTCATTTGACACGTCCACTCACCTCTTCGCCCAGAGTTCGAAGGCGCGTCCAATTTCCAATCAACATGCTCTCTCTAGCGATGATCGTGCTGGGATGCTTCCAGACATGTCTGCTCGGTTCCCTGGACATCTTATGCACGTTGACGGGAATATGCACACATATTCTCCGTATCCCGTTTACCTATCTCCGGGGGCTGGGCTGTCTGCAAGTCCGGTTTCTTGGTCTCCCGAAGTGGACACTCGCGGAATACCCGATGCCAGATGGCCCGCGCCCGACATGGTTTTTCAACAGACGCCGTCACCACATAAACATCATTATCCTCCGACCAGCGTGTGGCAAGATACCAGCAACCTTCTCGGTCTTCATCTCGGGCCGGCCGTTCCTCCCGAGCGAGACAATGGGTGGGACGCAGTATATCGTACCCCTTCGCCCATATATCTCCCGTCTCCATATCTCTCGCCGCCGCCTAGTTTTCCAGCACCTATACCGCCTCCGCCTGGTCTTGCAGTATCTTTCCCGCCTCCGCCTGGCCTTCCGGTGCCTCGCGGAGCCACTGCTCTGCCACGCCCGCCATGCATGCCGGTACCCCCTCGGCTAGGACTCTATCACTCGCGCGAACATGGATATGCACCTTGGACCATCCGTCAAATCGAGCCACGTGGGCATTGCCACCCTCAACTTGGAAATTCCCGCGACGAACCGCTTGGCCCACCTCCAGGGCTGGATTCCCCACAGTGGAATGCCGATAACGCCCTTCGAAGATCATTCCTTCCAGCTCGCACATCGCCGCCCCCAGCAATCAGGGCCCAGTTCGACCTGCGCAGCGACGATGACGAGGTGGTCGTTCCGAACCGCAACGGGCAACAAACGCGGCAGCCAGGAGCAATAGGTGGCGATCGCAGGCCCCTCGCCGAACCCGTACAGCACACGTTCGAGCTGCCTGTGGTTCCCACCTCCGTCGAGGCAGGCAATTGCTCGGTCTGGCCTGGGAGAGAGAAGCACCCATGGCAGGTTGACTCTCTTGCTTACAGCGGACCTAACAAGACACAGCCAATCCTATCGCACAACGGCTATACTTTCAACATCATTGCCAGTGTCGCACGCGGAAGCGTAGGGCACGTCGTCGCCGCACAACGCACCGGCAGCTGGGAATTATACGCTGTGAAGATATCGCACAAGTGGCGTGCACAGAAAGTGCATTGGCAGAAGCGATCCATGACAATCGAGGAGAAGAACGCGATGGCGCACATTGCCAACGCGAAGCTGCCCTATTTGGCACCGCTTTTGATGTCTTGGGAAGATCAGTACAGTGTATACTTTTTTATGGTGCGTAGCGTTGTGCACTTGTCTAGATCGAAACATTACCTAACACGTCCATACACTGTGCAGCCCTTCTACTCGATGAACTTGGATGAACGATTGTACCTAGAGTCCGACCCGATCTCCAAGCATGACAAACTACTGTATTCTGCTGAACTTGTACGTCTCATACCTTCATCCAGAAGCATATTTTCCTGATGCAGTGACCATCGCAGATTGCTGGGCTGGGGAACCTCTGCCAGCTGAATATTGTACATCGGGACATCAAGCCGTCGAATATTCTCATCGACGCCCAAGGGCGCGCCGTCATCTCCGACTTTGGTCTTTGTGCGGCCCTCCCCCCAGGATTGTACGACACATGGCGGGGACACGACTTTGTCGGAACACCTGAGTACATGGCACCCGAGATCCGCGATGGGGGTACCATGCCCGATTACGGGGCAAGCGTCGATGTTTACAGCCTCGGCGTCGTATTGCAGAAACTCTTCGCGGCCGGGGAACGGTCGTCCTCGCCAGATCCACGTGATGCTCATCTCGCGATGCATCGGCTCGCATTGCCAACGGATCAAGAGCTACCGAAAGGCAACGGACCGGATTCAGGCAACCTACTAGCTGCCCTACTCCCATTGGTATGTTTTCATCGCAAGTACCGAGAGAAGAGCCAATTCAAACGCTGAGCTATTTATCATCATCCCCAGATGCTTCAGGTAGATCCGAGAGAGCGCATTCCAGTGGTCGAACTGCACCGTTATCTCCCGCAAGACGTCTACGCAGACGTCTTTGCAGAGCAACAGACACGTGAGTCGGGCCCCTCCGTTCCCTAATTCATCTGACAACGCTGACACACCGTCGGTTCGCAGATGACTGGACCCCTGGTCCCTGGCGCGCGTCCGAGGAACCCGTCAGCCGCTGCGTAGAGTTCCTATCGTTTCAGGAGGATCCAGTTCACCACAATGTGCAAGACGAGGAGTGGATCAGCGCTGCGCTGCGCTTCCGGCATGAAGAGGCCAGCGCGAAGCCTACGGATCTCGAGTATCGTGCCCCTGGTGCGTTCGAGGACTAGGGCTCCTCGCCTTCCAGTCCTGGATCTCCGTCGAGGTTCAAACAACGTCTGTCCCGCTGCTGCATATTGGTTATCTATTTCTCGGTGAATTGTGCGTGAGAACGTTGTAGTCTGCTTTGCTGTATCATAACTGGATGTAGAATCAGTGCTCACGGTCGATCGGGGCTCTTCCAGTACAACAACTTATCTGTGCCTTGTCACTCTTATCGTGTGACGGTCTCTGCGCAATGCGACAGTGTATCCTCGCTGTCTACCTGATTTATTCCGTTTGATAGTTGCATGCATATGGCGGTGTTATTAACGGGATTTGTACTGTTACCAAAAGAGTGGGCTCGTGGCGACGACGCAAGGAACGTGTGAGATCTAAAAGCTAAACAACGGTACCAGGCCTAGCCTCAAGTCTACGCGATCTTGGTCACCTTCAGGAACATCTCGGGATGAGTGTTTACATCGCCTGTCGTCGGGTATACCACGATAGAGGAGTTCCAAGTGATCGGCTTGTCGGACATCTCGAACTTGAATTCCGAAAGCAGTACCGAAAGGACGATCTCTAAAGAGTTTCTGTGAGCAGAGGGATTTTTCCAGAGGATCACAGAAAACGCACTCATCTCGACCTGGGACAACTTGAAACCACTGGAAAGCGCGACATCAACTACCGTCATTCGCATTGCGAAAGAAGAGAACTTACATGCACGATCTACCACCGCCGGAGAATGTCATCCTAAAGAACGATTGAGGTTAGCGCAGCTCGACGCGTCTCAGGTATGACGCACAGGTTCGAGTACACGCCCGGCACACGCGCCTCGTCGAGGGCCTTGGGCAGCTCGCCCAGCCAGCGCTCGGGCTTGAATTTGTACGCATCGTCGCCCCAGACAGCCTTGTTCGTGTTGCACCCCCATAGGTGCCCCAAGATCATGGTGTCTTTGGGCACCGGCACCTCGGTCATGAGCGAGCCGTCGCGAGCCCGGACCGGCTCGAACAGAGGAATCGTCGTATCATTCCTCGCTCTAGTAAACATAAGACACGATGGTTATCGGATCAGCGACGGAGTATACAACGTGAATGCGGAAACGAGGCTTACGTGCGAACTATGAACTCCGCAGGTGGGTAGAGGCGCATTGTCTCGCGGCACACGGCCTCCAGGTACGAGAGCTTGACGATGTCGTCGTACGCGAGGTTGTCGTCGGCGCGCGCCTCGATTATCTCTGCGCGGAGCCGTTCCTGGACATCGGGCTTCTGGGATAAAATATGCAGGATACGGGAGAGAGCGTTGGCGGTCGTGTCCATTCCACCGAGGAGCATGGTGCTATAGCACAAGTAAGGTCCAAGAAGATCAACTAAGCTCGGGGAAGTACCCACGACATCTGCGCGACAAGTTCTGCATCAGTGTGCCTCTCTGCCTCTGACGTAGTCATGTTGGCCTTCACTGCAAGACATTCTTTAAGTGCCCGATCGTCTGACACGGCCCACCGTCTGGAGGGCACTTACGCAGGAGGCTCATGATGTCTTTCCCCGCACCGATCTGCTTTGCTAGTGCTTCGTCGCCCTGAAGCAGTGCAGTCTTCCTGTCATTGATGAGCTCGAACGAGCGCTGTGTCATGGCATCTGAAATCTCCAACATGCGCCTGATGTCATGGCCAGGCATCAGACGGAGCATCTTGTTAATGAGCCAGTCCGGAAAGACGTAGGACAGCTTAGGAACGAAGACCGTCAGGAGCGGAAGGCGTGCCAGGACAGGACTGCGTAGCGTCGGTGAAGTTGACGTTAGCATCGATATCGACAAACGAACGCAAATTGACGCACAAGAACATCTTGAGTGCTTCGCCGTATGAATCGATCGAGTCCTCAGTGAAGTCGTCGAAGGAGTGCCCGAGGCCTGCCTGTCCGAGCATCTCCAGTGTGGCGCGTGCCATCCACCCGTTGATGTCGATAACGCTACCATCCTTGGTGCTGACGCGGGTCTCGAGCACCTCCTGAAGCTGAACGGGGACGCATTAGCGATAGACATCCCGGCCCAGCAGATGGGTGAACCTTATGGGTGACACCATAGATGATGTGCGTCATGTTGCGAAGGTGTCCGACGGAGAACACGGGAGTGACCAGCTTGCGCTGCTTCCTGTGTTGGTGACCGTCTGTCGCCATCAGCCCCGGGCCAATGAGCACCTGGGTGTCCCTGGTTGATGAACATACAGTGAGTTCTGTATCGATAGGAGACGACGTTGGATGGAAACTCACGTCGCGGGCTCCACCTTCTTGGGAAAGTGCTCTGCGTCCTTGATAAGAACGCTATGCAGCGCCTTGGGATCAGCGATGTGAAGGACGCGCAGCTACATAAGGGCTCGTATCAGAGGGTATGGCGATACGAAACAAAACTCACCCCAAGGAGTCCCTGAAGCTTCGTAACAGGCCCATATGCATCGACAATAAACTCCCACTCCCTCCAGCTTTGTCGGTGGCTGATATCGGGCAAATTTCCTGACGTTTGCGAATAAGTAGGCAGATCCCTCAAGTAGCGAGAAGTACTTACCGAATAGGAAGGAAGTCGGCGGAGGCCCGGGGAGATTGTCCAACGGGGACTTGGTCAGATACCTCTTGAATATCAGCCACAGAGAGAACGCAGAGGCTGCGAGCGCGATGGGCACGTAGAGTGGCGCATCCATGTCTTGGGCAGACGCACCGAAGAGGAGCAGCGGGCGTTCTGAGCGGAGAGCTTGTCAGTTACCGCAACGTTATATAGTACGCAACGCGCCAAGTAGAAGGGTCTTTAAAATCTATCCAATCGTGTACTCGGTCTGTAAGCATACCGGTTATATCATTGATGGAAGGTGGTGACATTGCCGGAATTTGACCGTGAGCACAGGTCCTCGCAGTCTGCATGACCAGACTGGCAGATCATTCCGCAACCTGTGGCAGTGGTCAAGTAACGTCTATGACAGTGTAGTGCCCCGGAGGCAGTCATCTCTAAGTGAAACCGTGTGAGAATACGATGTTTCAATTGAGTACTAACCGATACTACGATGAACAGATTACGCACAGCGTTATCACGAAGCTGAGCATTCTTCGCAATGACGGCCGATGCGGTCGGATGACTGCGGAAGAAGCTTGTAGATTCCGAGGCCGACGGTCTCGTACAGGTTGCACCGTGTCATGGCTGTGTGTAGGAGCAGTAGCCGTGGCCCTTCCAAGTCGGCGCTGCTTGAGATGCCGCTGCGTGTCTCAAGAGACGAATGTCTCCTACTCGGGTTACGCCGCGGTGTGCTTGCATGCTCAGCGTTGAGCATACCATGCGGATTATGAGCAGCAGAATGACGTAACGCCTTCCCTACATTCAAGTTGGATGAGTGAGGCGGGAGAGGCGTATCTGGGCCTAATTTGTCGCTGTGAAACCACTTGAACGTCAATGACTGGCAATGCGCGCGAGAGGAAAATCGGGCTTCGGTATGTGTACGCATGTCCCTGCCGAACTATGTCCGTCCCATAGGGACCCTATGATGCGTACACGGCTTTGTTTGCCATGCAAGCTCGAGTAGTCGTGGTCTCGCATGGCGATACCAGTGTCGTACACCGACAGAGGTCCAATATCCTACTACAACGAGATGCACATGTAATTAGTCAGTGCTCCTTTAGGCGTATGGTTGAAACATACGGTCTACCAGCGTTGTTAGGACGTATGTAGTAGCGAGCTGAGGCTGCGACCCGGCGACAAACAATGTCGAACCAAACCAGGACGACGCATGGTCGCCGGCGTCGTCGTGGGAGTTCGTTCTCGGCATCGGTGTCGTCGTCGACGTTCGAACCCATCGACATGGCTGGCGCAGACTTAGTCGTACCCAGTGCTCGCAGATGCGTTAACCACAACCTGGCAGCTGTGGCAGCCTCAGAGTCAAGAGCGCTACGGCCTGTCCTGGGAGGACCTCTGGCACCCTGATCAACTTCGTCTTTTGCCGGGAAGACGCCTGAAGACGCCCAACATACATGCCGGCTGCTGAGGCTCTTCCCCAAGTTCCTCTCCCTCACTCACACTCACTCTTCGCGCATGCGCATACGTCGGGATCTCTTTACGTGTGAAATCTCAGCATTCTCAGATGATTCTCTCTGGTACTCTCGGCGTATTCTCTAACATTCACAGCCGTCGTGCAGAATGACGAACTAGGCCCACACTCGGATCCAAATGACAACCGTCGACGTACTGCATGAGTCTGGCAGACTGCAGTGGACATCCGGAACAGTATGTCTAGCTCGCACATTCGCATCTTTATCAGCTTATTTCTCAGGCCCAGTGACCCACATGGACGCTAGGGCGGGACGCACTCTGTGCCAAAATACATCGATCAGGGCGCATTTGGCATGAGGGCGCGGGAGTGAAGCGGACGGTCTATGCGTGGCTCGCTTGCGACGGACGACAAGGTCAGGCCCGAAGAGAAGTCTAGTGTCGTCGAGCGTGATCGCGCCCGTCATGCGGCATGCGGGAACTCCCCAACGTCAACGAGGCCAACCCCCACACTCACATGCCTGCCAATACACTCCTCAATGGCAGGAGTCAGCATCAACGACCCACATGGACGCCAGGAAATCGGAGCGGCATCGTACACCGTCATGCGAGAACTAACCCACGTCCACCGGGAGCTTGCTAGTCTCGACAATGACGAATAGTGGCGATATTTCAATTTACCGTTGACAGTTTCCAGTATGCGTCGCGAGGGGACACCTCAGAGCAACAAGTGTAGGTAAGTAGCACAGCGCGTTTTTACATTTCGCAGTACTGATCAACTCGTTGTCGAAGCATACACAAAGGATCAGACATAGCGCACAGAGCACGCGTTATCTAAGGCTTAGCCGCGATGGTGGGTGTGAAGTCGTGGCTCAACTGCTGCATACTGGGCATGGCGCACTTGTAGGCTTAATTGGAATGCTTATGCAAGTATGTCGTACGAATAGGGGTCATCCTGTACCGTTGTCACCGCGCTGCGCTCCCACGACTGCAGCTGACTTTGAAGTACCACCCGCGGATCTTCGACCGAGCCTTTGCGACAGACCGGCGGAACATCGACGCAGCTTCTTTTTGGCCCCTTTAGTTCTTCCTGCCCCGAGTTGTTGCCGTCCATATGGACTTGCGATGCAGTCCGCTTCTCGCACACAAGGTGAGCCCGCTACTTATCAAACAAGCGCGAGCTAAAATTAGACTGCAGCCATCGCAATGGCGTCGAGCCGGCGGGCAGCATGGATCTCACCCATCGCAGGCCGACGCCGTGCACATGGCGATCAATAACGATCAAGAACTTCCAGTCCCGTCCGGGCGCTTTCTTTCCCCAGATTCCCCACGGCTTCGAAAGGCGACCGTCGAGAGGTTCTCCGACCGCAGGACTGTCAGCGCCATAGCCTCTATGGATCGCGCTGGCACGCCGCGACCGATAGCACCATGTGCTCTGGCGTCGGTCCTCTGAACATGCCTTCGTGTGCATCGTGCTCTCGCCTCGTGATCCCAGCGAGGACTATCTGCGCTAGCGCTGCGTAAAGCGTATAAAGCCAGACATGAAGCGCAGGCTGAACAGCAAGGGACCACTCCTCTTCCTCAGCATCGCCTCTCGAACACGATGGTCGCCACCAGCTTGCTCGTTGCCTCCCTGTTCACGCTTGTCCTCGGCACCCCGACGGCTCGCAACCTCAAGCTGCATGAGTCTCGCGAGGAGATCCCCGCCGGCTTCTCGCTGAGCGGCGCCGCCTCGCCCGACACGACGCTGAAGCTCCGCCTCGCGCTCGTTCAGAGCAACTTCGCCGAGCTTGAGGACAGGCTCTACGACGTCAGCACCCCGTCGAGCGCGAACTACGGCCAGCACCTCTCCAAGGAGGAGGTATGCCTTGTCTCCCGTGTCGCTTTGCGCAGTCCACTCACGACCGTGTGCAGGTTGAGCAACTCGTCGCTCCCAGTGCCGCGTCTGTCGCCGCTGTCAACGCCTGGCTCACCGAGAACGGTCTCACTGCGCAGACCATCTCGCCCGCCGGCGACTGGTTGGCGTTCGAGGTGCCCGTCAGCCAGGCCAACGAGCTCTTCGACGCCGACTTCTCCGTGTTCACCCACGACGAGTCCGGTCTCCAGGCTGTCCGGACTCTCGCGTACTCCATCCCCGCTGAGCTGCAGGGTCACCTGGACCTCGTCCACCCCACGATCACGTCAGTTTCGCTGTTCCAGTCCGATTATAGCGGGTCCTGACCACTTGCTCCAATAGGTTCCCGAACCCTAGCTCGCACCTTCCCGTCGTGCGCTCGCCCGTGAAGCCCATCCAGAACCTCACCTCGCGTGCCGTCCCGGCTTCGTGCGCTAGCACCATCACCCCTGCGTGCCTGCAGGCGCTCTACGGCATCCCCACCACCAAGGCCACCCAGTCCTCGAACAAGCTCGCCGTCAGCGGCTTCATCGACCAGTTCGCCAACTCCGCCGACTTGAAGGTGAGTATTCTAGCGCCCTAGAGACCATCTTCGGTGCTGACGATCATGATGAACCATCCAGACCTTCCTCGGCAAGTTCCGCACCGACATCTCGTCGTCGACGACCTTCACCCTCCAGACCCTCGACGGTGGATCCAACAGCCAGTCCAGCAGCCAGGCTGGTGTTGAGGCTGTAAGTGGCAGGCGATGCTGTTACATGGAGACTGAGTACTGACAGCTTGACGTAGAACTTGGACGTCCAGTACGCTATCGGCATCGCCACGGGCGTCCCTACCACCTTCATCTCCGTCGGTGACGACTTCCAGGACGGTGACCTCGAGGGCTTCCTCGACATCATCAACTTCCTCCTCAACGAAAGCGCGCCCCCGCAGGTGCTCACGACCAGCTACGGCCAGAACGAGAACACCATCTCCGCCAAGCTTGCCAAGTACGTGTGAGCGCGCTACTGGGAATACTGTACACTGACCTTCGTCTTTACAGCCAACTCTGCAACGCATACGCTCAGCTCGGCGCGCGTGGCACCTCCATCCTCTTCGCGTCCGGCGACGGTGGTGTTGCCGGCTCGCAGACCTCCAGCTGCACCAAGTTCCTGCCGACCTTCCCCTCGGGCTGCCCCTTGTACGTCATTACGTTCAACCCTCTCCGTTCGAAACGCTAACACAGTACCCGCTTATCGCAGCATGACCTCCGTCGGCGCGACGCAGGGCATCAACCCGGAGACCGCCGCCGACTTCTCCTCCGGCGGCTTCTCAAACGTCTTCGCCCGCCCCTCGTACCAGTCTACCGCCGTCAGCAGCTACCTGACCGCGCTCGGCAGCACCAACTCGGGCAAGTTCAACACCTCCGGCCGCGCGTTCCCCGACATCGCGACCCAGGGTGTCGACTTTGAGATCGTCGTTGGCGGCCGCACTGAGGGCGTCGACGGCACTAGCTGCGCCAGCCCGACGCTTGCCGCGATCATCTCACTCCTGAACGACCGCCTCATCGCGGCCGGCAAGAGCCCCCTTGGCTTCCTCAACCCCTTCCTGTACTCGGCGGCGGGCGCCGCGGCGCTCACCGACATCACGTCTGGCTCGAACCCCGGCTGCGGCACCAACGGCTTCCCCGCGAAGGCTGGCTGGGACCCGGTGCGTGCTCTCCCCGAGCGTGGCGCGCAACTTGTACTGACTGACCGCTTTGCAGGTCACCGGTCTTGGCACGCCCAACTTCGCCAAGCTCCTCACCGCCGTTGGCCTGTAAAAAAACCTGATATGAGTGCGATTTGTATGTGGAGAATGAATTGCGGCGGAAGCTGTGCGCAGTAGTGTACGGTATTTCAAGTTGTACCCTCGCCGGTAGTACATACGCTCCTGTAGCTTTACCAGCAATACTTTTTGGCTACACTCTGTCCAAGCCTGCGATAGTCCGCCACAAGATATAAGCTTCCCTAGAATGCCTTACACAAATCTGACAAGCGAAGTACAACATTCATATCCGAATACATTGTCAGACGTCGGTCGAAAGCAACGAAAAAGTGGCTCGCCGCATCCAGGCACATGCACGATATGGGTTGCACAGCCACCGCCAAGACATCGTACTGGAATGGCCGCTACCAACTTGCGGCCTACTCCGCTGCTGCTTCAAACCTTTGAGGACAGCATATGAGTGGATCAGCACAACTCATCCGCACGCAAATATGAGAAGAAGAGGTTAAGGATACGGAGGAAGACGAACTGCTGCAAACTTATCAGTCGGGATGGCGTCAGTGATCCGTTGCCCGGGAAAAGGTTGCGGCCACGCTAGCGATCAAAAGCGCCGTTTTGAGGTCCGAGGCTCCGGTGGGCCTCCGGCGAGGCACTGGGGCAGCGTACAGGAGCCTGAGGCTGTTCCGCTGCGCTTCTTGACTCCAACGTTAACGTTCGGAGACCGGCAAGGCTATAAGGGGCGGCCCACGCAAGAATCTCGTAAGCTATACCGCTCTCGCCCCACCATCCACCACAACCGACCCGTGACTTATCAGGAAACATGCCAGGCGGTCGCAAGAACCCTATACAGATGTCGAACATCGTCGGCGCGGTGCATAACGTGGTCAATCGCGCCAAGGTGGAGGCCAAGGATGCCGCGGCGGCCCTCGAGGCGCACCACGGGGATCGGCACTTTGTCGATCTCACGATACAGTTTATCGGCGCGTCGAACCTGCCCAAGATGGACGTCGTCGGGACGGCAGACCCCTATTTTATCGCCAAACTTGACGAGCGGCTCTCCTTTGTGTGAGTGTGTGGGTCCCCGATTCGGGGCCGAACGCGGCTGATGGAGAGCATCGGTGCGCAGATCTACGGTGAAGCCCAATACGCTGTCGCCTGTCTGGAATGAACTGTGGAAGATCAAGAACGTGCCGAATACCGCGACGCTTGTCGTCGAGGTTCTCGATAAAGACAACGGGACGATCACCGACGACCACATCGGCAAGTTCTCGACACCCGTTACCGATGGCGCGAAGGAGTTCACCATCGAGAGCCTTTCTCTGCGCCGCAATAGGGGCAACTTTTGGCTGAAGGTGAGGTTGTGTGGTATATATAGCACGATTCTCGATCTTACCATTATACCCATCCGCTCAGATCGAATCTACACCGTCTGCCGATGAGAAGGCGGAACGAAGACAGTACATCTTCGACGGCCCGATTCGCTACTCGCGCCATTTCTCTCCCACCATCGGTCGCTTGACGAACCTGAACGACGCCCGCCTGTACTCGACGTGGAAGATGTACATCAAGGGCGTGCGCATGTTCTTCGGCGACACCGTCCAGCCGTGGAACAGGAACTACAAGGCCGCGCAGACGATCTTCCAGGGCCCGACCTCCATCGCCCTACGCTCAACCATCCAGGCGGGCCACCGCATGCTGTACGCCCGGTCGACCACGAACGGGTTCGGGATTATCAACGGGCCCGACGATGTCTTCCGCCTCCTCTTCCACAGCAACCCCGGCGTGACCGAGGGCCTCCCGAACACGAGCGCGGGCACATGCCCTCCCCCAAGCCCCACGCCATACGCGCAGCGCGTGAAGCCCGCCGTGTACACGTACATTATCGCGGTCGAGGACGACTCCTTCCGGTTCTCGGAGACGGGTGCCGCGTTCTTCGTCGACTTCGCGTCCAAGCACGCGTTGCACGCGAACTGCGCGCAGGCCGTACGTTATTCGGGCGAGTTCCATCCGCGCCCCGAGGGTGGCTGGGAGAACTTCGCGGACGACACGCCGGACGACGCCGTCCGCTGGGAGCTCGTGATCGACAACAACAGCGGCACGTACAGCCCGGACCCGATGATGCTGCCCAACCTCAAGGAGCTGCTCCAGTACAACTTCCCTGGGTTCACCGTGCACGCGCTCGACCGCCAGGACCCGCGGCTTGCGCAGAGCCGGGAGGCGTGTCGGGCGTACGCCTTGGCGAAGCGCGGCGTGAAGCAGGAGGACCTGCAGCCACATGCGCGAGCGGGCGAGGAGACGTTGTCGCATACCGCGCAGACTCAAGGAGATGCACCTATGGAGGGCGGGCCTGGCGACGGCGCTGCGGCGGGAACAGTAGTGGGCGAGTCCGTCGAGTCTGAGTCGCTCGACCAGCCCGCGGTCGAACATCCTGTGGTGGACAAGCGGAGCAGCTCCTTCTCCGACGGACGAGACTATCTGAATTCGATCTGAAATGCTTGCTTAAACTTATTGACTTACGATGTATCGCGAATCCTGTACGCTGTATAACATACCCCGATCCCCTCGCCTTCGTCCGAGCCCTCTTCTGCCTCTGCACACGCGCAACTCCACGATCAAGGGAAATGACGGCGCCGCTAGCGGCGCCGGGGATAGAAGTCCAGTCGGCATTTACAGCGCGGAAAACATACGGATGGAATAGGTGAAAGCAAGGGTATGAGCGGAACGGATGACTATGACAACATGTAGTGCTACAGAACGTGCAGGCATGGGGGGTGTTAGTATAGTACACTGTTGCCTTCCAGCCTATTAAACAACACAATTAATGTACACCTACGGTTAGCAGAACACACACGCATCTAGGGGCCAGGACGACTGACCATTTTGCTCTCGACGAACAGGGCTGTCACTCCTCCATGTCACAATCCATGTCGACGCCCAGACCCTCGTCGTCGGTACCCAGAGCCAGAAGATCATCAGCGGAGACAGAGAACTGCAAAGACGACTTTCTCCGTAGGGAGGAGTCGGGTGGGGGTCGATTCTCGAGGGGGCGCGCGCGGTCGTGTCTGCGCAGGACCATGTGCGCGATGAGATGCGCGATGCTCCGCGTCCACGCCTTGCCGCCGCCAACGAGCGGGGGCATGCCCTCCATCGGCGAGATCGGCGTTTGCATCTTGAGGTCGAGCAGCGCACCGATCTCCTTGCTCCGCTGCTTCTGCAGTTTGCGTACACGCCGCGCCTCTGCGCGCATGTCCATCGCGACGTGCAGCTCGCGCTTGCGCGCGCGCTTCTCCGCCACATCGAGGTCCGTCGGCGAAACACCGCAGGATCCCTCGGCGGGCGGTAGCAGCGCGCTTGCGGCGACCGTGACGCGTTCGCTGAGCTCCGATTCGGCTCGGCGCGCCTCGCGCTCCTGCTGGAGCGCGTTCTTCCGGAGCGCCCGGAGCTGGAGAAACTCATCGTTGGGCAGATCGGTCGACGCGGGGTCGAGCTGGACTTCGATAAACTGCAGTTCGTCTTCTGTTGGAGAGGGCGAACGCGCGAGAGGGGGGTCGATGGAGAATGACTGAAGAAAGAGACCGAGTCCTTCTCGTTCGGGCGGGGGAGAGCCCCCGAGCAGGGACGGAGAAATGGTAGCCACCAAAGGAGCGTGCGACTCCGGCGAAGGTGGCTGCATATCTTCATCCTCGAGCTCGGGAAGAGCGGGGTGCGGCGAATGAGGGGATCCGGGGTCTTCCATGTCGAAGTCATCGAGCGAAAGCAGTGCACTATGGGGAGAGTGCGGGGCGGGGGTGGGGCATAGGTCTCCGTGCGGAGGTGTCGCATCGTAAAGGTCATTGAGAGGTCGTCGACGTGGAGACGACGGGGGCAGCGTCGCGCTGTCCTCGTCATCCGAAGGCATTACAGTGTCCGAGTACTCCGACTCGAGGTCCACATCGATATCGACCGGAGGAGGATGCAGAGGGAAGGGATTGAAAGGTTGAAGGAAAGAGGGGTGCTCCGACGCTACATCCGTAGTGTGGAAGCCGGATGGCTCACCATAACTCCCACCACCAAACCAATGGCGGTCTTCGTGTTGAAAGGGAATCTCGAGCGGAGAGATGGGCGAGTGTTGCTGCTGAAGATGGCTGTGGTGGTCGAACCCAAGCGAGGCACCGAAGTCCGGAAAATCCAGAGACAGCGCACCAGGTTTGGGGGAAGGAGGTAGCTCGTCGAAGACTGTGCTGCTAGGACTAGCAGTCCAGTTCATCTCGGAGTCGACTACCCACGTCAGCGGCGGTCCAGACGCGACAGCGAAAGGCACTGGGTCGAAGGGCGAACCAGATGATCCGCTACTTGACTCGCCACCAAAAGGCGGAAGTTCAGGCAACGACAAGTCCTCATGAAGGCTGATCGGCGACTGGGGGCTCCAAACAGGCATCGGCTCAATCATGACCTGATCGTCATGAGAGCCTTCGCATTGCCGTTCGCCCTCGCACCCCCCGGGTGTCCCAAACTCTTCGAACCCAGAGTCATCACGTACCGGAGGGAACGGTGGCGCGGGCGCGCCTCCGTCCTCTGAATTAACTCCGTACCGCCAGCATTCGATCCCGTGCCCTCCTCCCTGATTCCAACCATCGATGGGTAGCTCCTTGGGGCCTACGTAGTCCGTCGGCGGCGGTGAGAGCGGCGCGATATGTCGAGCGCCATCGTGTGACATGTTCTCATCGACGATCTCTTCGCGATCGGGCCTGCCAACGCGTGCTTCTGACGGCTCTACGGGGAGGTCTGGGAGTGGGACGGTCGACGCAAGTGCCGCGTCGGTGAGCGGGGGCGATGGGTAAACTTGGTGAATTGGTCGGGGATGGTCGCACGGTGGCGTTGACTTCGCACGAGCGTCGGGAGTGAACGCTGGATCTTGACAGTAGCTTGAGGAGATATAGGTGCCCGTTCCGGCCGCGAGGTCGTATGAGTGTGGTGGGGGGCGCCACAGTCGAAGAATAGGGTCGGTGGTAGGAGGTGGGGATTGGTCGGGATGGGCGTTGGGAAGACAAAACCGGTCTGAAGAGAATTCGGACGGTGTCCTGCACGTATTCATGATATTGGCGTCGAGTTGGGCCGTCGCTGTGAATGAGAAGGAAGATAATTAGCATGCTTTGTCACAACAGTCGCTGCATCGCAGTTGTCAACTGGCGTGAGCGGCTGGCAGCGGAGGCCATACGGCAAAAGAGGGCAAGGCAAAACTCGACTCACTGAGGTCGCATACGGCAGTTCAACAGTCCATGATAGAGCACGATGAGCGACGACGTTGGGAGCCAGCACACGGAGGAAGTTGTAGGAGCAAACGAGAGCTCGCCCACCGCTGCATGGCGCGCTCCGCATGTTCAGGCAGATGGGCGCTGCTCGACAGGGACCCCAGACACTGCAATTTTGTGGCATCACCGCGCGGCGCCATTTATCGTTCGGAGGCTGTTCGATATGGTATAACCCCGTAAAACGTAAGCAGACGCTGCCGTATCCACATAAAGTGTGCCGTAGTTAATATAAAGCATGTTTAGAGATAGCAGTTGGGCATCTGTACTACGATACAACTGGCAGACCCCGGAGGCACAAAAGTAGCAAAAGTACTTCGTACGATCCAGATCTGGCGGGAAATCGCTTTCCCACGGTCAGGGAGAGTTGCGTTGATGGCCTCGATTCTCTTGACCACAAACCACACTCTCGAGTCGGCTGCGATGTCTATACTTCCTTGGAAATTGCTAAAATGCTGACAAGGATAGTAGGGGCTAACGCGACACCCAGAGATTTGTAACTCCCAAAACCCAGCCTCTGCTCTCGGCGTCCTGAGGTGTGTCCTCTTTTCTTGATATCAAGATCAAGAGGCATGCCATGAGCATATAGCCAGCTTACGGCACATCTATTACTTACCCGCATCTACAAGGAAAGATTAAAGTAGAGCAGAGATCGAACCGACAAGGCTCACTTACTGTGCTGCTACTTTGCCGTTAGTCATCCCTAAGTCATTTCGCCTCAAGCGAGAATGCACTCTCTTTTACGGTCAGGAACCCATCAAGTTCATTGTATGCACTCACTTGCAGCAGGAATTCGAATTCTGCTCGCAATTCCTACCACCGGCGGTAGCGCATGCACCTGAAGAGTACGTGCGCGCGGTCCCGCAACACCACGCACCCCGGAGAATCCATAGGCTCGTGCTCGAAAAAGCGCTGCCGGAACGATCCCAGCTGCGCGGAATCAAGGACGGCGCGACAGCAGCGCGTTATGGTCGTTTGGAGTGTCCGTGCATTCGTCACCATGACGCTCCAGTGGTAAGTCCGCCGCATTCTTCGCGTCCTCGTCTACAAGCTCATTCCATTTCACTCCTTCGTGTGATGGCGTCATTGAAAGATCATGCGCCTCTACTCGTCCTTCGCCAACCATTCCCCTACACTGCGGCACGCAACCACCGACACCGATTATTGCCCCTGCACCTTTAGGGAAAGCTAGGTTCTCAGTGCCAAATCGTTGTCGGCTAACACATGTACGGTTTCACAGCCAGCCATCATCTTCGCGTCGTAGGAAGTTTCGCGCCCGTCAGCGACGCTGCGTTTGACGAGCAGCTTCACATTGCAGTACACCTAAAACGCCGCGCCTGTCCAGCACTGCGGCTTCAGATTCAAGGAGCCGTCGCCGAAGATGACGACTGCGCGTCGGTCTGCTATCGTCTTCTACCTCTCCGCAGGAATACTGCGATTTGACTACAGGTCCACTGGGCTATAGATCTGACGTTTTACTTCCTGTTGTTTGTCGGTACACAATTACGCATACTCAGAAAGTCAGTCGTCGCAACACGCGTACACAATCGATGGTATCAACGCTACCCCCAATTGTCCACCCATTCGGCCCGATGGAAGCAAATTCCTGGTGCAGTGTCTGGGGTCGCCCGTTCCTCTGCGCCTATCATACTGGATCATCTGTGCACAACGGGGCTACTTTCGCCTTGTTCGATGCTGTACACTCTCAAGCCGTGCCCCACACCCTCCGGCCTACCCCCTGCGGAGACCCTAGACCCCTTCTCTTCCGAGCACGCCGATGCACACGGGGCTACCCTGCACTGCGCCACAAAGACTCTTCCTCACCGCCGTACGCGCTTCCTGCACCGCCCGACAATCCCTGGGTTCGCTGCAGAGTCGTCCTCTGGAGCCCGTCTTGTCTGCGTTTCACTGTCAGCGGGAGGGCTTGTCCGGACGACATCTATCACTCGAGGTTCTGACGGACGTGTGCCTAGGCGGGCAGCTCCTTCGCACATCTGCGATCGCATCCATCGAAGCGGACGAGATGCATCCGCGAGCGGGTCATGACCACCTGTCCAGCGACAAACCCCCCCACGCCCGGGGCACGAGGCCTCGCGTATCCTCCCTGCCTATCTCGCCGCATCGATGTGTACTCGGGACTAGCTGGATGCCTCTTCTCGCTCTCGCGATTCGCTGCCTCCTGGGGGTCTCATACGGGGTGCTCGCGGGCATATCCGCCTCGAGCGCGACGCAGGCCTCGCCCGGGGCTGCGTGTTCGCCATGCATATCTCGGACTGGGAGCTCGCTGCCGGGATATAGCAAGGCGTGTCCGGTTCCCAGCGCTGCTGCCGCCACACGTCCGCCGACCTCTGCCGGGGGTGTCGTAATAACCGTAAGTTCCCTTCCTCGATGCTACTTCTCCCCACGCGCGCGGTGCGCAAATAGGCGCAAGATCGCGGTGTGGTCGAGTCTCGACTGCACCGTGCCACTAAGCTCACCTTTTATGACTTACAGGAGCGACACGGAGTGCCTTCCTATGTGGCTGCGTAGGTCCGCCCCCTGTCGCTCACACAAACTTACCCCACGGCGACTAGTGACAGTGACGACTCTCGCTGTGCGAAGCCGGGCTGCGCACCCAGGCGCTGCACCGTCTCCCCCACACCTGTTGCTGTCCGGAGTTCGGAGCACGACTCGAAGTTCTCGAACCTAGCCCACGCTCTCGGGGAGGGCTGTGCAGCCTCTTCCTCCGCAGTCCTCGGTCCCCAGGGGCTCGTCAGGCCCGTGCGGAGTCGGGAGCCGCTACTGCCATAGGCTGCTACGGCATTGGGAGAATGCTTCTCACCGCAGGATCCTCGGAGACCGGTTTTCGTCCGCCGGCTGCAACATCACACCGTGGGCGGGAGACGGGGAACTGCAGTCTGTGGCTGCCTGCGCCCGCACCTGTGGCTGCGTGTGGTTATGTGGCACGGAGCGCGCTGCACAGGGAATGAAATAGACGTGGACGGTCGCCGTTCTCGTTGGAGAGCGGTGGCGCGCATCAGGGGTGTTAGGGAGGCCTCGAGGCGCGAGGGAAGACATGAGAACGCCACGCTATATACGGGTCCGGCCGTCCGTGCATCTTCGGGTTCGACGTACTAGGAATCTCCAAGGGGCGTGCGCGCTATCCCATGTGCGTGTGATCGAGGGGGCTATCTCGGTGAGCGATTTTGCGGACTATATATACTGGTCAGTCATAGATATTGGGATGCCCGAGCGAACCAGTCGCAAAATACCCTGCAGTGCGCATGCGTCGCGGAACCTATCTTCTACTACTGCTGTTGAACGTAGCCCGCCCATGTACGGCTAGAGGACGATCACGCGTCTGTCTAGGCAGCCTCGCACCAGAAAAGGCTCGACGAAACCCGGCCCCCCTCGTTCCCTCGTTCAATAGGTCGTACGTACATTGCGACAAGATAATGATCCAGTTCCCCGAGAGCACGCGACTGCAGAGCTGGACCGAGGAGGCCCAAATCAGACGGACAGAGGGCAGGTACTGCCGGGCCGAGGTCTCACCGGCGTCCTTAAACACTTCCATGGATGCAGCGTCACTTTGCCGATACAAGAACAACAGAAAGACGGGAAGTAGAAGGTCGATACGACAGTTGACGCAGCAGCCTGCGAATGCCGTAGTGCCGTAGTGCCATAGTGCCGCAGCTGTTCTGCACCGAAGGAAAGTACAACGCCCGAGTATGCCAAAAAGGTAGCAGAATGGTCGTGCGTGCAGATGGTGTTGCATTGGCAACTTGACTCTGGACGGATGGCATCATACACGCCGGGCGCACGTTCCAAAACATGATGGTGGTGGTCCTTCTGTCCTCTGCCCCATATCAGGGTTCTCGTTGGAATCGTTCTGCGCGCGCGCGAGTGTGGAAGCAAATAGACATGCTTGACCCACTCACAGCGGCGATATGTACTGGCTCTGATGTGCACTGACCACCACGTTTGTTCCCGACACGACTTCCACGCTTCGACACCGATTTTACTATAGTATCCGCTCCATGCATCAATGATTCGCACCCAGCCTAGTACGATAACATACCACAGCACGCCGTAAGCGGATGCCAATGACTCGAGCGGCGGCTTCTACGGCGCCCCAGTCCTACGCGAGGACGCCGAGGATGACAGCAGTGACGATAGAAGAGATGAGATTGACCTGCGTGCGAGAGACGTCAGTGCTCAACGTTCACCAGTACAGCCATTCAATTGTCGGCGTTGCGGTCCGCGCACTGACCTGGTTGTTCGTCAGGAGGTTATACCCGCTGACGACCTTCACGTCCGCATCCTTGGCAGGCTCCGGCGCCTCATCCGTCAGGATGCGCTTCGTAGAGTTGAGGAAGCGCGTCTGCTGCAGCGTCGCGCCGAGCAGGGAGTCCACCTTACGTTCGCGTGCGTTACTACTGGGGGCTTATATCGCTGCTGCGGCTGATCACGTACCATGGAACCCAGGCCTCCTGCGAAGGTGCCCCAGAGCAGCAGAGGAGGCACGACGCTCGTCCACGCGGTCCGACATGCCGTGCTCTGTACAACGAGTGACGCCGCTATGGTGATGCCCATGATGAGGCCGCCCATAAGTGACGCCAAGGTTCCGGTCTTGGAGAGACCGCCGTTGGTGCCGGGCGGCACAACTTTGAGGGTGGTGATAAGGATGGGCGGCGAGCGCGACAGAATGCCGAGCTCAGACGCCAGAGTGTCGCCTAGACAGCATGCGAAGTGCCTAGAGACGTAGGAAGGTCAGGGAACATGCATTTGACAATCAATGGCCCCAACTGTGGATGAAACGGATGATGTGGAATGTCGCGCAGGGTTCACCGGAAAACGTCCTAGGGGCTGCAGATTGTGTTCGGGGGAACATAAGCATACAAATCGAGGGACTCTGGGATAAGGTGCCTTCGTACGTCGCTGAAGTACATTTGAGGTGCACCCTGAAACCTTGGTATCCATCGTTACGTCCACAACCTGTTTCTTGGAGGACACATAGAAGTGTAACGTGTATGATGTGCTCGGGGCTGGCGGCCGCGACAACGACCACATATTGTGGCAAGCCTTCAAGGTCAAGGAGCGAGGCGCGAGCCCGCTCACGTTGGAGCGGGCATCACGCCACACACCGAGCCACTACTAGCGGTCACCTATGTTATTCGGCCGAGTCACTAGAACGGAAAGCGTCCTGTCTCTCGAACGCCATATTATCCACCACAAATCCCTCGGAACATAGGAACCCGTATGGGGGGCTGGGATCAGCGACTGGGCCACAGCAGCCACTATCTGAGTACGCCGTTCGCGCGACATTCTTAATAGCCTGTTTCGCTGCCCTGTTATCGTGCGGCGTCGAAACATATGCCGGGACGTGTTCTGCGGGGCGAGATCTCCCCGCTGCCTGGACTTTCTGGTTCACTGCGGAAGTAGGATACAGAACCTACTGGCTTGCCTGTCCGCACACAAACAAAACAGGGTGGGGCTTTCTTAAGGTGGAAACGCGTCCAATCATATCACGGATCGTAAGAACTCACCCTAAAGTCACGAAGAGCAACGGACGGCTCCAGTTGGCAGAGGGTGGAGGCGTTAGCGGGCACCACTGACTGAAGTCATACGGAAGCCTGGAAGGGGCCGCGACCTCTGTTAGGTTCGCAGCCTCGTACAGTTTCGAGGGCCAGGAGTTCGCTTCGTAGAGCGCGCTCCAGAGCAGTGCAGCGATGGCAGCCGAGAGGGAGTTGCATAACACCTGCGCAGCGTTTCTGTAGCCGGCATCTTGATGTCCCTCCTCCAGTTTCGTCTTCAGAGCCTTGCCGACCTTCGTCGCACGCGATCCGGCCAGGTAAAAGATGATGAGCGCGACGCCGAACGTGCGAAGAGGTACTGCGAGCATGGTATAGCCGACGAAGAAGGCAGCGGCTGCACCGGAAGGCGACAAGGAACGCTTGCGCAGGCCATGGAGTGAGAGAGCACAAGCTAGGATGAGCGGCGTGTTGAACGGAATCGAGGCCATCTCGACGAGCTTGCGATGCTGCTGGTTGTGGACACCGATGAAGGTGTGGTGGACCTCGCCGCCATGCTCGGCGTCAGCGCAAGGCGCGCAAGCGGGAGTACGCGACGCGCGCGTCGGAGTGAAAGCGGAGTACAGCGGAGTTCACACCTATACCGGCACCAGTCCGAATTCGACCGACTCGGGCCCTGCCTTGGACTCAACGGTCGGCAACCGGGCCCGGTGCACGAACAAGTTGCTGGTGAGGTGAGCGAAACAATTGCTGTGGGCAGCGGCACCATGACTATACTCAAAACGCTAACATAGGATCCATCCGTCTAGAAACTCGAATTCTTATATTGGTCCTCGCAATATGCCCGCGGTCTCACCGAGGTTCTGAAGTCTATGTTTACATGTCGGACCAACCACCCAGGTGATAGATCATGAAGAACAGAACATTATATCATGATCTGCTTGCCAACGTGCGTGTCTTGCCGTTGCAGACGCTTTGCCGCCATCCTTGGCCAGAAGTCGTTCCGCAGCCAGCGGTCAACGCATTTGACAGGGTCATGGTAAGCAGAAATCGTTGACGGTCATAGTCGAGCGCTCCTTGAAGCATTCTGCGTTGACGGCCATGTGAAATACACGAAGTGAAGGTATAGCGCGGGGAGCTGCGGCGATGATCATTAAAGTCCTCCGCCGCACATCGCTTGTCGGCTGCTCCGCAATAGCTACATGAGGACGGAAATACGACATCGGTGAGCAGAATCTCCTTTCTGATATATGTGCCTCTGACGCTCTCCGGTCTCACGGGATGCCCCAGAATATCTGTCGGTCTCCAAAGGGATTCCTCCCAGTCGATGCGGCCATGCTTGACACAGAAGCTTCCAGGAAATTGAAGCGCAAAAACACACGTTTGGTAAGGTGAGCTCGAGATTGTACCAAAGCAGTATCAGTGCAGATGTACCAAGCATACCGCTGCAGCGCCCACCGGGCGAGGGCGCTGATGTAGCCCCCCACCGCCCATGCACACACTATTGTGCGCATTTTAGTATCATCCCTCAGGGCCGCGAATTTGACGAGTCGTCACTACCTCGTCAATTACCTAGGTACATGGGCGAAAGCCTTGCCTGCCGCTGGAGCACAAGACACCGGCTGACTGCGGCCCAGCTGCGCCGGACATACAACAGTCGCACGCTCGTCGTCCCCTTGTGGCGCCGCCGCCTCGGCATGGCACCTCTCTTCGAAGGTGTCTTCCAAGAACAAGGAACTGCGGAGTTCATGCGTCCTCTGGCAGCTTCCCTATACATACGCCCGGAAGCTACTTCCGTCAACGCATCCGGTCACCCAGCGTAATCCTGCATGATTCACCTGCCGCCTTTCGCAACCCATTGACTTAGGTTGCCGACGTGGTGGAAATATGGTGACGATTTCTCGTCATATGTTTGATGCACGAGCCGATGGGTAGTTGAGTAATACATTTATAAGGCCGCAAGGACTTCCTCTCGACTTCGACATCAACACATTCCTCCCCCGATCTACGCAATTCACCATGCCAGTCAGTTTACCCGTTCTTGGGGCGATCGGTGTTCTCCTCTACGGCCTCTGGCATTTTCTACAGGATTACTTCCTCAGCTCTCCGCTCGACAATCTTCCGGGACCCGCGTCCAGTTCATTGCTTCAAGGTACATTTTCTTTTAGCTTCAACAGCCGCAGACTAACCCCGAAAGTGTAGGACACATTCAGGAGATCTTTGCACGGAGAGGGTGGAAATTCCTCAAAGACCTGTCAGAGCGGTATGGACCTGTGACGAGGCTGCGAGGCCTTCTAGGGGTACGTGAACTACTTCCACAGCATGCGCACACATTGATCTTCCACTTTCCCTCTAGGCCCGGATGCTGATTGTGTACGACCCCAAAGCCCTCCATAGTCTTCTGATCAAGGACGCGGACTCATACCCGAAATGCTCCGCCCCGTTCGAGTGCGTTTGACGTTCCACCTATCTGAGTCTGCACTCCCTTCATTGCACCACAGGATGCTGACACACGCACATACAGCGAATTCATGCTCTTCCTCGGCCCCAGCGTGCTCACGACCGACGGGGGCCAGCACCGCCGCCAGCGCAAACAGCTCAACCCCGTCTTCTCCGCCGCACATCTGCGCAACATGATGCACCTGTTTTACGACATCGCACACCGGGTGCGTCTCATTCATTTCCGACCCTCCGCTCGGTCAGACACGGCGTTCTGACCGCTCTCTAGGTCCGCAAGGCTCTAGAGCACCGCGTCGCGAGCGCCCCAAGGGGCGATGTCGTCGACGTCAACGGCTGGATGGCGCGCACGACGCTGGAGATGCTCGGTCAGGCGACGCTCGGGTACTCGTTCGACAACTTCGTGGACGACTCGACGGACGCCTTTGGCGAGTCGCTCAAGGGCTTCTTGTACGCGCCACGCCGACTCACTGCATGAGCTTACGCTGACTGCGCCTGTGTTCGCGCCGCTAGCCCCACGTATGCCCGCATTGCGCTCGTCGGCTTTCTCATCCCCCCGTTCTCGTATTTTCTGCCGCAGAGGGTCTGCCGCGCGGTACTCCGCGCTATCCCGCACGCGGATATCCGGAAAATGATGCACATTTCGGATACAATGGCGCAGCGTTCGTTGGAGATCATCAACGAGAAGAAAATGGCGCTGCTGAAAGGTGACGATGTGATGCGGGAGAAAGTTGGAGAGGGCAAGGACCTCATGAGCATTCTATGTGCGTGAAATCAAAGACTGCATCAGCGGTTGTGCTGACTACGCGTACGCTATGCAGTGAAGGCCAATATGCTTGCTTCCGAGGCAGATAGGCTGTCCGACGAGGAGCTCATCGCGCAGATGTCGTGAGTAATGGCTAAGCGTCTCACCTTCGAGGTCACTCTAAATAAATTACAGAACCTTCATCCTCGCGGGAATGGACACCACCGCGAACTCGCTCACGCGAATCCTGCATGTACTCGCGGAGCACCCGGCCGAGCAGGAGAAGCTGCGCGCGGAGGTCAGCGAGGCACGCCTCGGGAACGACATCACATACGAGGCACTGGAGAAGCTCCCGTACCTGGACGCCGTCTGCCGAGAAACCTTGCGTTTATACTCCCCCGTCAACGTGATCGGCCGCACGTGCGTTCATTTTCCCGAATTTGTTGCTGCACACTTACGTCTCTCTGCAGATCTGCCAAGGATATGACCCTCCCGCTGCTCACTCCCGTGATGAGGAAGAACGGTTCGCTGGTCAGTGAGGTGGCGGTCCCGGAGCGGACTTGGATCCTGGCGAACATCCAGGCCAGCAATTACAACCGCGCGCTGTGGGGTGAGGATGCGTACGAGTGGAAGCCTGAGCGCTGGCTGAAGCCGTTCCCGGCCTCGCTTGAGGATGCGCGCATCCCTGGCGTGTACTCGAATCTGTGAGTAACGTGTTGATCAGCTCGTAGATAACACTGAACGAAGACTTCAAATAGGCTGTCATTTTCCGGTGGAAGCCGCTCGTGCATGTATGCTTTCGTTCATATGTAATGCGGCGAACGACTTCACTAACTCTGCTTGCATTACAGTGGTTTCAAGTTCTCACAGCTCGAAATGAGTACGTCTACCCCAGTGCCTATTCTGTTCGACTTGTTCTGACGAGTATCACAGAGATCCTCCTCTCGATTCTCCTCTCGACCTTCAAATTCGAGACGACAGGAAGGACGGTTACATGGAACACCTCGGGAGTCAGCTATCCTACAATGGGCGAGAGCAGCGACAAGCCCGAGCTGCTCCTCAAGGTTATCAAAGTCGGATGAATGTCCCGCCATCCCGATTGTGGCCGCATCGTATGTTTTAGTATGTATCATATCAAAGGGTGTTATCGACCTTGTCAAACATCCCCATGCCCACCAATATGCACGGCAAGTGCGAGTTCTTCGTAATTACTTTCTGCAACTTTCAATTCGCAGAGCCGCGCAGCGTTCTTCGCCCAGCGAATATCACGTCGGACGATCGAGACAAGCTGTCTGCCGCCTCATCGGCCCGGAAACCGATCATTGAGGCTGGACGTGCGCCTGCTTGAAATTCTTGGAGGCTTGTGCTGGCAGCTGCTGGCAGGCTCTCCTTCACTCTCCAACTCGCTCAAGCCCCATCATCTCGGCGTCCCTGTCTGGTCAACAACCATCGTCTGCGGCTGAGTCTGACTTTTTGCTGTTGCAGCAATCGCTATCGTGTACATCTTAAAGGTAAACCACCGCACAATGAACGGTCGCATAGATGACTCGCTGATTCACCGACCCCTAGCAGTTCTGTACAGTGCGTGATTGCACGAATGTGCGGCATTTATCATTCAGCCTTGGATTGTTGCGGCTTTCCTTTTCTGGGCAAAAACAACCACCCGATATGAAATACGCCCAATTGAAGTACGGCCAGTAAGAAGCACGGTCGGTGATACAGTAGTCTTGTGCGGGATATCGTCACTTGTCGGCATGCTATTCAGAATCTCTAGTCTGACATAGTCAGCCTTACTACTGAACGGGTGCCGCGCTGTAAGTGTATATCTCTATGTGTTGAACAAGCGCTAAGAATCACGCAGCCGTAATACGTCTTCCGCAAAAGGCTCGGGCTTCGGGGACGGATATGCTTCTTCTGCGGCCGCCTATCCGTACCGGCCGCCGAAGTGGTCTTCGGTAGAGCAGTACGACCATTTTGTGCGTATTCCACGCCTCACAATCTCTCTCAGGGTACATCTGACGTATGAGTTTGTGCAGCTCTTCAGCTGCGGCTGTCGCGCTGTCATAGCTATAATACACCTCTATTCGCCTGCTGAAGGCAATACGACTTTGGCATGCAAATATTGAGCACGCAGACGAACGGCCAACAGCGGGCGCCGTGTGCTTCATATACCAGCAATTGGGAGGTCTGCCGACCCTGGATGTGATTCGGTATACCTCATCAGCGCTTTCCCCGGCACGTCAGGCACTATATAACATCGCGATTGTCCATAGGGATTACTACAACCTCGCAGACGACCTCCATACTCGCCTCCATCGCTATTCTTCTTCTCAGCGTGGGAAGTGTAAGACATGGACGCGTCTTTCTATGCGCCCATCGCTCTTGCGGCTTTCTCCCTTTCCTTAGCATTCATCTTCCGCAGGTACTTGACCCAATCTCCCCTGGACAACTTGCCTGGTCCCCCTCCGACTTCCTTTCTTTTCGGTAAGTAGTGAACCTCCTACCCTCGTCTGAATCCCCCTCCCGCTCATTCACTTACGCCAGGGAATATTCCTGATATCACACACCGACAAAGCTGGAAAAGATGGAAGGTCATGGTGGATACCTATGGGACTGTTTCGAGGCTTCAGGGAGTACTTGGGGTGTGTGATCCTCCCGCAGCCGCTCGCCATGATCTTCGACGTCAACTGTGCTGCAGATGCGCGTCCTGCATGTCGCGGATCCCAAGGCGCTGCATAGCATTCTCATCAAAGACTCGGAGCATTACCCCAAGAAGGTAGAACCGTCGACGTAAGTGCTTCTGCTACCATATTACTCCCTGGCAGGATGGAACTCATTGCTTCATAATGCACTAGGGAGATGCAGGTGCTCATCGGCCCGGGGCTGCTGACGACAGAAGGGCACCAGAACAGGAAGCAGCGCAAGCTACTGAACCCCGTCTTCTCCGTCGCACACCTCCGCAACATGACACACATCTTCTATGGTATCACGCATCGGGTATGCACACCGCTGTCATTGACAGACGACTCCTGACGCAGCTCGTTTTCAGCTCCAGAAAGCGATCGAGACCCGCGTGGGCAAAGACGGTGGAGTGATCGATGTCAACGGATGGATGGCGCGCACCACGCTCGAGATGCTCGGACAGGCGGGCCTTGGGTACTCCTTCGATAACTTCATCGACGACTCAACAGACGCATACGGAGAGTCGCTCAAGTTATTCTTGTGCGTTCCGCCACACATACTCTCCGTCTTTCCCGATGCTGACTGAATCGCATCACCGGTCTTGTTACAGTCCTATCATGAGCCGCATCCCGCTTCTGTCGATCGCCGTCCCCAAGCTATCCTACGTTCTTCCGGACTGGCTTATACACAAGCTGCTCCATCTGGTGCCGCATCGCGACTTCAAGCGTATGATGGAGATTTCGGACACGATGGCGCGTCGCTCGCTCGAGATCATCAACGAGAAGAAGAGCGCGCTTCTCAAGGGCGACGACGCGCTCGTGCATCAGGTCGGGGAGGGAAAGGACATCATGAGTCTCCTACGTGAGTGTCCATCGTTGTAGCAGTTACTAACAAAGGGCTTCTTCTAACTTCGAACACCGCGCAGTGAAAGCGAACATGATCGCGTCTGAGGGAGAGAAGCATACCGACGAGGAGCTTGTTGCTCAGATGTCGTGAGTACCACCCGCACGTTGCTTGACACTCGTAATTCTCATCGCAGCGCCTGTTAGCACCTTTATCCTCGGCGGCATGGATACCACGTCCAACGCGCTCTCTCGGATTCTGCACTTGCTCGCTCAGAAGCCTGAGGTGCAGGAGCGGCTCCGGCAGGAAATACTCGAGGCGCGCGGTGGCGACGACATCGCGTACGACGATCTCGTGAAGCTCCCATACTTGGAGGCCGTGTGCCGCGAGACGATGCGTCTCTACCCGCCCGTGCAGTTTGTCATACGCGCGTAAGCCCGTTTCCACTCCTCTAAGTGCGTATACTCGTGCCGTCCTAACGACCGTCGCTTGCGCTCTTCCTTGAATAGAGCCGCAAAGGACATGACCCTCCCTCTCTTCAAACCGATCCAAGCCCGCGACGGCTCTCCCATGAGCGAGGTGGCGGTCCCCAAAGACACCATGATCGTTCTGCACTCGTGGGGATGCAACACAAACAAGGCCGTCTGGGGCGACGACGCATACGAGTGGAAGCCGGAGCGCTGGCTGGGCGAGCTGCCGAAGGTGCTCGATGAGGCCCGCATCCCAGGGGTGTATTCGAACCTGTGCGTTGCCCACGGAAAGAACCACGTAGCATTTCGCTGACGTTGCTATTCGGTCACTACAGCATGACGTTTTCCGGCGGTGGAAGAGCATGCATGTGAGTTACTTGTCTCTCGCCTCCGCATGAATGGCATCGTAGCTGAACATCCACTCAGCGGTTTCAAGTTCTCCCAGCTGGAGATGAGTAAGTGACTAATGTTCATGTGGAGAACGACTACTGCTCACAAAGATTTCGCAGAGGTCGTCCTCTCGGTCCTGCTTTCAGCGTTCAGGTTCGAGACGTCTGAAAGACCAATCACTTGGAACTCCTCCGCGGTGATATACCCAACGACGGGCGACATGAACACCCAGCCTCAGATGTTCCTGAAGTTAAGCAAGATCGCCTAGGCATGCCCTCAGATTCATTGCGGTGTTGAGAACCCAGCTTGTCGCTGTCAGATATTCGAATTTCGTCGCCCGTTAATCATATTTTTGATCAGTGATGTGTGGGTACTGAAATACCCACTCTGATAGAATTTCGTCATCATGAGCACATTGACCTGCACGAGCACTCGAAGCTGGAGGACCAATGACTCTTGCGACTATGTCCCCGCAAATCTACATAGCGTCATACATCCAGCAGTATTCTTAGCCTCGTGTTCTCTCACATTCCCTCGGCTTATGCCGCTGGTATATAAGAGCCTCTAACTATCGGAACAGACTCCAAAGGCTTGACGCTGCACTACCATGTCTATTACCACCGCAGGCGCGACATACCCTCTCCTGGGCAAACTTGCCCTGATCACCGGTTGCACGTAGGCGCACCAGCCTAGTATCCGTATGACCACATCACGGAAGCTGACTTGAATACCCGTGCAGCGGCGGAATTGGCCAAGCGACCGCACGCCTCTTTGCTCAGAACGGGTGCTCCATCGCGGTGCACCACTCTTCAGCGCACTCGAAAGCCAAGGCGGACGCCCTTGTAGCGGAGCTGGTGAAGCTTGCGCCTGGGGTCAAAGCCGCAGCGTTCCAGGCAGACCTGTCCACGTATGAGGCCGCGCGCAGGCTGCACGACGAGGTCGTGAACGTCCTCGGACACCCAGACATTCTCTTCGTCAACCACGGCGTAACAGGTCCGAGGATCGGCCCGCAGGGAGATATCCAAGACGTCAGTCCGGAAGTATTTGAAGAAATTTGGCGCACCAATAACGGGACAGGGTACATTGTATGTCCGAACGCTGATAGCAAGGGGCTGCGAGAGCTGATGTTGCCTCGTGTTCTTAGCTGACCCAGAAGTGTCTGCCGCACATGCAGGAGAAGAATTGGGGCCGGATCATCTTCACGTCGAGGTGAAGCACGATGTCCTCGAGTGTGAGACCGATCCACCCCACTGATACCTCATGTACTATCCACAGCGTCGCGGCGGGCACTGGAGGCGTCATTGGTCCACAATACGCGTCTTCAAAGTCGGCGATGCACGGGTTGATCCACTGGCTGTCGCAGCGCTACTGCAAAGAAGGCATCGTGAGCGATATCCAGTTACCAGTACCTTGTGCTGGACTGTTTACCTGAACGTATCTTTGCAGCTGACGAATGGTGTTGCCCCCGCACTGATTGAAGGCGAGTACGTTCCACGATATGGGCCACCGAATGAGATTTTGCTTACTATGGGAAACAGATACGGAGATGATGAAGAACCCTCCCGACGCAGTTCGCGTAAGTCCCAGCAACTGTGCCGAATGGACCCCCACTGAGATGGGAGATACGATGTCCTCAGAACTTGATCCCCATCGGAAGGCTGGGAAAGCCCGACGAGATCGCATCCATCGTCCTCATGCTAGCTATCAACGCATACATGACCAACAAGGTCAGCAGTACGGAGCACACTCTTCAACGAAGGTGTAACATCCACTTACTTGTGGATTGTCATCCGCAGATACTCGTTGCCGACGGCGGTTATACGAATGGCGGGGGCTTCTGAGGGAAGGCACGAGCCAAGCCTGTCAAGTGGCTATTACATTATGCAGGGTAAGCAGTAGTGGATACAGTGGTCATAGTGTGAGTGCGGTGGTATATGCAATAGTTGTACAGTACCTAGAGAACGTGAGATATCCCAAACCACCAACAAGCGACAAACGAAAGCAGGCGGACAGCGACGAGCGGGATACGAATGGGACGCTCCGAACGGCGGAGCGGCGATCACCTCCCCGCTGGAGATCCTTTGCCGGGTACGGGAGAGCCTTTGGTCGGTAAGCCGGCGGTCTCGATGATCTCGTTTAGCGTCTGGATACGCTTCTGCGCCAGGTCGATCTGTCGCTGGTATGCTCTGAAAAGTGGAGGGTTTGTGCATGTTTGCCAAAAGAATTTGTAAATGAACACGTACTTCGCCTGGGTTTCCAGCTCGAGCGCGCGCTCCTTCCCGCCTTGCTTCTCTCGCTTAACCTTCTCCTGCGCCTCCCTGAGACGCTTCTCGTATTCCGCAACACGCGCTTCCCATTTGCTGTCGGAGGTGGCCGTCTTCTGGTTGATGGTAGTGACTTTCTCCTCTGCAGCGACAAGTTGATTCTGGAGGTTGATAGCGCGGCGCTCCGCGGTCTGTACACGGGCGGTGAGTGAGCGGACTTCCATGGATTCCCCTTGTTGGCCCTTGCGGGAGACCACATGGGATTGTAACGCAGCGTTGGTGGCCTGTCGTATCACTGTTAGCATGGCGTAGATAAAGAAATGAGGTGAGAAACGTACCTGCAGCGCCTCGATCTCGCCCTCCTTTGCACTCAGCTTCTTCCGCCACAACGCCTTCGCCTCCGCGAGCGTCTTCACGCTAGCCTCGAACTTGTCGATCTGCTTCCAACGGAGATCGAGCTGCTTGCGCATGTCGTTCAGCTTGTCTGCATAGCGCTGCTCGGCCTCCTTCGTGCGCTTCTCGAAGTCGGTCTGGATCTGGCTGAGAGCCTTTAACCTCGTGATGAGGTTATCGTGGAAGACGCTGAAGTTCGTGAAGGGCTTCGTCTCCGCCTGCCCGTGTTTCTTCTGTAGCGACCGGTCAGCACAAGTCTACTTGAGCGCGAAGCAAACTGTACTTACCGGGGTCTTATCAACGCCGACGATCTTATCCATGTACTGATAGATCGTCAGGAGCAGCGTGTTACGCTCCGTCAACTGATCCCGATACTGTGCCTCAGCGGAAAGCAGAGCGCGTTGATCCTTCGACAGCCGCTGCTCCAGCTCGGAAATACGCGTGCGAAGCGTCGCGGTTTCGCTTTCCGCCGCACGCAAGCTCGCCTGCGCGTCATCCAGCTTCTCGGACACGTTGAGTCGCGCCTGAGTCTGTGCTGCAAGCTGTGCCGCGAGGTCGCGGTTCTCCGCGTGCAACTTGTCAATGACGCCGTTTCGGTCGCGGCCCTTGCCTTCCCTGTCGTCGAGCTCCTTGCGCGCACGCGTGAGCTCGTCCTCGAGTCGCTCCACGTCGCGACGGAGACGGTCGACCTCGAGCTGGAGGGAGAAGCGTGCGGTCGTGTGTGACTCGCCAAGCTTCTTGTTGTCCGCTTCCAAGGTCTGGAGAGCAGTCTGCACGGCGATGAGGTCGGCCTCGCGTTGGGTGAGCAGAGACTGTGTGCGCGCAAGGTCGTTCAGCGCGGATTGCAGTGCTGAGTCTTTCGCTTCGAGAGCACGCTGTTCCTGCCTCATCGCATCGTCGTGGTCCTTCTCGGCCTTGTCGAGGTCCTCTTCGAGACGTTCGCGAATACTGCGCTCGCGCTGGAGCTCCTGCACGACCTTCTCGATGTGTTGCGCAAGCTCCTCCTTACGCACGCGGTGCTCCTGTGCTTCAGCGTCGCGCGTGTTGTACAAGTCGGTAAGCTCCTCCAAGTCGGCTTTGAGAGAGGCAACTTTCTGTGAGAACATAACATCAGAATAAGCGCAACGAAGTAACCGCAACAACCTACCTGCTTAAGTGCAGACGCCAATTGCTCCAGGCGTTCACGTTCGACAGCCTCGTCCTCGCGAAGATGATCCATATCCTCCTTCAGGCGCTCATTCTCCTCTTCGAGCGCATATATCTGGTTGCTCATCTTCTCGAGGTCACGGTTGGCAGCCTCGATCTCGTTATCCTTCTCCTCGGCTTCGCGTTCGAGGTGGGCGAGCGTTGCCTCGAACTTGTTGTGAACGTCCTCGGTGTTGGCTTCGTACTCGTCGATGTGAAGCCGGAGCTCCTTGCACTCCGTGTCGCGCTGTTCGAGGGCCTGCATTGTAGGGTGACATTCAGAAGGAGTTAGAGTGAAAGATAACAGGGCGAAACTTACGTCGCGCAGCTCCTCTATCTGACCCTTGGCCTCCTCGATCTCGCCGCGCCACTCCTCGTCTACGGTCTCGATAATCCGCTGGTGCTCGGCGATGAGCTCCTCGATCTCGCGGTTCTTCATGTCAATCTCATCCTCCTTCTGCTGTGCCTCGATTTGCGCGGCGGCAAGCTTGTCCCGCACCGCGTTGAGACCTTCCTCCACAGCTTCCCGCTCCTCCCGCTCCTCGAGGATCTGCGCGCGACTTTCGCTGCGCTCAACCGACTCGGCTTCACGCCGCCTCTGGAGGTCCTCCAACTCGAGCTTCACTGCCTCGAGCTCGTCCGCCAGGTCCTCCTTCTCGTCGTTCCGCTGCGTCAAGAGCTCCTCCAGCTCGTCAATGCGCGCCCGTAGATCCTCGCCCTCGCCTTCCAGCTCCTCCGCCTGTCGCCGCCATCGCTCATCTCCACGCGACGAGTGATCTCCGCGCTGTTCCGCGAGGTCGCGAAGCCGCTCCAGCTCCTCCGTGTTCTCCTCTAGCAGCGCCCGCACGTTCTCGAGTTCCTCTTCCAGCTCCATGTTCCGGGATTCCAGTTCACGCAGCGCGCCGTCGTCGGGGCCAACCGCGCGTCGCCGTCTCAGCTCCCTCAACTCCCGTTCTCTCTCCTCCAGCCTCTCTTCTAGCTCTCGCGCACGCGCATTACCCCCGCCCGCCCCACGCTGCAGCCGGTCGAGCTCGCGCTCAAGCTCCAAGACTAGCTTCTTCAGCTTCTTCATCTCCATGCCGCGCTGCTGGACCTCTATCTTCAGGTTGATGTTCTGCTTGAGCGCAGCGTCGATTTGGTCTGGAGCGAGCTGCGCGAGCCGTTCCTCGAGGAAGTGGACCTTCAGCTTGATGTTGAAGTTCTCTTTCTTGAGCGCGTCGATATGCTACCGGGAACATATATGTTCACTCATTCCTGAACTCCGGAGCACAACGTGAGGCGTACCTTCTCCTGGTCGCGTAAAGTTAGATTCTGACCACCCTTTCCCAGCTTCCCTGAACTCCGTGTACGCGTATGCCGACCGCCAGTGGCTGCGGAGACGTCCCCCCACCGCTTCTCGCGCCCGTCCGGCGTGTCCAACACGTCCCCATCGTGTTCTTCACGAGTCTCACCTTCGTCCTCGTGGTTGCCGAACCGCTTCGCCACAGGAGTCGCCTCCTCCGCGCGTCGCTTCGCAAATGTCAGTCCATTGGGAGGGGATGGTGTTGAGAGTGGTCCTGCAGATACTGCGGTAGTTCCGGTCGAGTTTGAGGGTATGCGCAGACTTCGTGCGGGCGTTGAGAATGTTGAGGTGAATGAGCCGAGCGAGATGTCCGGCACTGTTCCTATAGATTGCGTTGATGTGTCGGCGCGAGCATTGAGAGCCGCTGACATGGCTAGTCGCAATCGCCGTCGGTGTCGACGGCGATGATAGTGGTAGGAGAAGATATATGGGGGAGGAACGGGTTGGCTCTCCCGCTCTGGAGCACCGTCTCACGTTCTGGCCCAACAAGTCCCAATTAGGCCAGGTTTCGGGCACATAGTAGGTTCTCACGGTTTGATCAAGCGATTTAGGCGGAAAGCGCTGCTCCGGGCGCTCGTCATTTTTGTCCTCTAATGCTCTGCAGTCCTCACTGAAGTGGCTCGGGTTGTTGAGCTTTCAAATTCTCACCGGTGTAAGAGATTTAACGTAGTCAGCGACTGGCTTCGCTCCCGGTTTGAATCGCGAAACTTGCGCTTTGGGCAAAAGCGAGGCGCAAATGAGTCGGCCACGGCGCTTCAATATAATCTTCCTTCTACTACCTGCATGTGTATCTTCGACCTAGGTATTGACGAGACATAGTAAGCCATCCAGTTACAGTCTGTGGAAATTGAAAAAAGGGAAGCTAAGACCAGCTTATAGATCGCCTTGGCGTATAGCTTATCTGCAGTGCTACCATGCCACCGGTGGCAAGCTTCGCGGACCCACAAGCCGGCAGTGACTATAAGGGCCGTGCCGTGAGATACAGCAACGTGAAATCTCGCCCCTTCTGCCGCAAAGAAGGAAAGGCTTGCTGTTTGCCTCGCGGGTAAGCCCTAAGTCTTGTTTGCCCGCGGTCGAGCTTGTAGATATTCCGGCTTCCCAATGGTCAACGGTGCGGACAGGGCCGTACCATGTCCCTCCATGGGATCTCAGCAGGAATGTACGGGCACGATTTGTTAGCTGTGTCGTCGGCGGACATAGTTAAGCGGTCCGTCGCAGTCCGTGCCGCCTTTCCAAAGTTCATGAGCAGTGCTGACGGCACGCGCCACAGGAGTGCTGAATTCGTCGAGCTATGTCATGCCCTACAAATGCTCGAACACCATGAAGGAGTTATACTCGAAGAACTCGGAACAGCTGAAGTGTGCCTTTCCTACGTGTATTCGGGGTGCAACCCCGACGTCCGCCATTTCACCCATCAACTTCTACCGAAGGTATCAGTACCAGGACACCAAAACTATGCCGTCCGCTTTGCCTGACCATTGACACGTGGTGCATAGCTCTCGACACGCTCCCCGTTTAGCTCCCCCCCGGGCTTTGACTCCTCCGGCGTCCGTCAATGAAGGCGAGACCGTGTCTGGTTCTTGCTCTCGCCACCCTCAATTTTCATCAGACCCCCTCTGAACTAAATCGTTATGGCTATTGAATCCTGAGAGCCAACCAAGACAGCGACGCTCGGAAAGTACGTTCATATCCACTGTTTCCCGGCTTCTCGGCGTCCTGCAATATACCCATTTCGCCTCGTGTTGGTGCGTCATCTATTTCATATTGTCCTCATCATCCGCTGAATCTCCCTCGTTCTGTGCTGCATGACGTCCATTTCTGCGCATTGGACGGTAAAACAGTCCACGGGGTTCTTCCCGCATTCATTGGCTTTTACAATCAAAGCCGCAGCAGGATCGCCCATCGCCTTTCGTTCCGTTCGATTTCTCTTCGCTACGGCATCACTTCCCGAACCTCCTCCACTGTGCCCCATTCCTATGTTCATCTTCTGCCTATTCATGGTCTGCGGGGACATTCGCCGTGCACGAGAAAGGGCGCGGATGATCGTACGAGTACTCGGTGGGGGGTCATTATTAGACGACCCGTGAGTGTCCCGTCCACTCTACAATTCACTATGACAACATACTGGAACATCTTTCCAGCGCGAGGTCGGCATGAGGCTGACCATGGGACTTCGTCGCGGATTGTGCGGACTTGGCGCACACATATTCCCGAGACCGTGTCCGCCCCCCGACGTATGCTCCTTACGGATATACAGCGCTCTTTGCACCCGCATACACTTGTAACTGCCCACAAGGTCTTGCGCCGAGGTCATCATGTCGGTCGTGCGGAGACCAAACATGTCAGGTCTCTTGGGACACTTGGCCGCGCTATCCCCACACGGCCTGACGCACCTGCGGAAATTAAACGTCCCAACCATGGAGACGAACGCCTCCCAGCCGCGTTCTCCCACCGAAGGCGGTATGTCATGGCCCTCTTTCGCCGCGGACCCGCGCTCTTTGTCCTTGTACGGACACTTGGCAAAGACTCCGAGCCTGCTCAACATGGAGCATCACAGAGCCTCGCGCGTTCGCGCGCCCGAGAACAGGCCCCGCTGAATGCATGCCACGCGACCACGACCGCGGCTGCGAGCATCACTGCGCGGGTGTGCGTGGGGCGCTCCAAGGTACACCGGTGTGTTGCGGCACGTTCGTATGTTTTCTACGCTGATGTGACGTATAGGGCTCCCGGGCGTTGAAGCGTCGTCAAGTGCGAGCAGACATGTTGCTCGTTATTGGGTCCACCTTGGGCCAAACGCAGCGAGGTCAAAAACGTATATAAGGGGCGGGTAGTCGACCAGGGTTCTGCAGGTCGAACAATCCACTCGCCCTTCCAAGCAGCTCTCCAGCCTCAGGTCTCCAACACCCAATCACCTCTCTCAACATGTCTTTCTCCCGCGCCATCGCTTTCGCCATCGTTGCCACCCCCCTCCTTGCGGTCGCCACCCCCCTCGAGGCTCGCCAGACCTGCTCCACCGGAGCCATCCAGTGTTGCCAGCAGACCACCACTGTAAGCTCCTCGCTCCCGTCGCTTCCTGCTCGAGCACAGACGCTGACGGCTATCCATAGGCCAACTCTGCTTCGGCCGCCGCCATCCTGGGCCTGCTCGGCATTGTTCTGCAGGACTTGAACGTCCCCGTCGGTCTCACCTGCTCCCCCATCAGCGTTGTTGGCGTTGGAAGCGGCAACGGCTGCTCCGCCAACGCGGTCTGCTGCGAGGACAACAGCCACGTACGTCCCCGCTTGCCTTTCAGATTATTACGCGGGTAGCTTACACGCATCTACATTTTCTAGGGCGGCCTCATCTCCATCGGCTGCCTTCCGGTCAGCCTTTGAGCGCACTCGCCTCGAGCGCCATCCATCGCACGACGACGAGAACGACGATGAGAACGTGTAGTAGGAGTGTGTGCGCCGAGTGTTTCTGAATGTGGACGTTTGAAGTAGTCGAGCCCGAGCGACTTGTTGTACGAATGTGATCATTACTATGCCCCATACGTCGAGTGTGATATTTGAGCCTGAGCTTCGACTAAATAGCTTGGTCTGCCAGTGGACCATAGCGAAATCTGCAGAGCGCGACTTGGAATAACATAGGCTGACCCGCAATGCACAGTTAAACCGCGACTTCATCCTAGCGTCGTCGTTTGAATAAAGAGTTTGTAGGCAACATGACAGGATTTAATTCCATGTTATCCCGCACGCGTAAGGCGATTCAATGTCAGCACACTGAAAATCAAGAGGTATTGCATAACTCCGCGCTATCTAGGTACAGGCATACTGCGGCGCTCGTGCACCTAGCGCAATTCTAAAGCAGAACGCTGAAGCGCTGAGCGCTGCCAGCCTGTAAGCCTTGAGCGAGTCCCGGCATCTCTCAGTACCAGACGAGAGACGCGCCCACGGCACGTAATGGTGGGCCGAGAGGATAGAGGCGGGTGGGGGACGGTGGGTAGGGATACAAAGTATGTACTAGGGGATGTGATGTGTGTATGAGAGTTTGCAAAGCGATATGCGAGGGACAACAATGAGAGTAGTTTGATTGGGAGATGATAGGGATGGTTGAGGTTGATGCTGGGATGCGGGGACTGAGACCGAAAATGCGTAGATGGCGTGAGATGGGGATTAACGATTACGCATGGTAATGAGTGTAGGTCATCTGAAAGCGGAGGGCAGTGAGCTTCGCGGACGCGGATCGATTGAATGAGGAGAGCTTCACTCACATCGTCATAAGGCGGCGCTTCAACGTCTACGCACCATGTCATGAACGAAGGGCATATCAGACTCAACCGATATATTCACAAGGGGTTGTCATCCTGATGACGGAGGGACGTAATTGTCGAGGGAGACGGGGAACGAAGTGGTGGAAAGAGGGGAGCGCGACGGAGATGCGTCCGCGCGTTTCTTGCCGGCGGCTCGCGGACGGGTCGTTGAACGGTCGCGGTGGCGCATAGTCAAGACTGCGACTAGTTGGGGCACAGCGAGCTCTCCGGCAGGCATGATAGAAACAGCTTGGGCACGGTCCAGCGATATCGGCGTCGACGAGGCAGTCATGGTCCGACGCGCCGCGCGCTCCGCGGCCTCGCGCGCAGGATCGGGAGCGGCGGGAGGGGAAGAAGAGGCAGATGGCGCCGCAGAGCTTGTCTCGATAGGAATTGGGCGATACCCCATGTCGACCAGAGTGTTCCAAATCCGCTCGACAAGGAGCGCATCCTGCGCCGTGCATTCGTCGCGGACACCGTCGGCGTTCATGCGCGTCTGGACAAGCGACGCGAGGGTACCGTGCACAGACGCGAGGAGCTGCGCGTCCGCGAGGGCACGCTTCGCCTTGCGGGTACTCTTCCCCGTCGGGGTGCCTGCGCTCATGCTCTCCCGCCGGGTGGCTGCACGTTTGGCCGGCTGCGCGGGAGTCGCAGCTTTGTCGGTTTGTGCCGGCGTCTTGCGCGCGAGGTTCGCGTCTCGATGGAAGAAGGATGCGGCAAGGCAAGACTTGGACCGGTTGCGGATGATGTCAGTGTGGGAGACGGCGCGGGCGGACTGTGGTTCCATCGAGTCCTTCCCTGGGAAGGCCAGTAGTTGGGGCTCTTCGCCGCTGGAGTAGAAGCCATTCTCGCTGGTAGACCTCTTGCGCGGTGAGGGACAGGGGATGGGGGAAGAAGGAAACGGAACAGAGCTCGGTGAAGCAGCAGGAACCTCAGCTAGAGGGATCACGGACAGAGGGCTGGAGGTGTTTGTTCGTGCGACGTTCGCGTTAGTGACCGAGACCGTCGGCGCGCTCTTCTTCAGGACCGGTAGCTTGAAGTTGACCTTTGGGAAGCGGGGCGTGTTGGTCCTGGCGAACAAAGGAGTCCGGGCCGGTCGGGTGGGTGTCGGTGCGTGAACGAGGCTCATGTCGGGCGAGACGAGAGGGAAAGGCGAGTGGAGAACTTGAAGGGGAACACAAGTAGAAGAGAGACGTTGAGCAAGTCGTGAAGAACGACGACCAGCGCAGCTCGTCGTACAAGAACAAGCCAGGCAGCGCGGATGCTATTAAATATGGAATCAACCTGGTGACGACGTTAGCAGTGTGAAGAGTTCACCCCAACCGTTTCATCTCGGCCTCATGATCGCGCCTGCCTATCTTAGGCTTTTAGATCTAAGCGAGTTATCTAAGGTTTCTTAAAGGGTTGTGTCCCCTGTAGAGCTCAACCTAGCGCAACTAATCCCGGCCTGTTACGAAGTCTATAGGATGAGCACACTGAATCCGTTGCAACAACATAAACTGGTACAACATCAATGGACAACATACATTGTACTCAGTAATGCAGCCGATCGTGGCGTTGCCGTTGACAACTGAATAGAGCGGGTGATTTGCGCTGCATTAGGAAGGTGTTTATGAACATGCCGGGGCACCGGGACGGCCGCCGGGACTTGCGAGCATGGTGGTAACCGATGGCAGTCCTCGCTCAAAAACATCACAAGACGTCGGATATATTCTACCTGGGGACACACAAGGCCGTCCACGAATCGGAAGAGATTTTACATATACCCGACCCCATCATTCACGCGCAGCTCGTTACTCACGCGGCGCCGTCAGATTAAGAGCAGGTAAACGCCCCTGGCGCGAGGTACTCGAAGTCGGATATCTTCGCCTGCCGTTGTTCCTCCTTGAACTGACAACGCATATCAGCATCGGCGTCCGTTGGAAGCTTGAGCCGCTCGAAGTGCCCTTCGTTCGCCTGGAACGTCGCAAAGTCGAGATACTGTCCGGGAGGCGTCTGAGAGACGCACGGAGAGTCCGGCCGCCAGTTGTCTACAGGTTGACGAGATTAGACAATGGTCACTTCGAATACAGATCGGTTTCGACTCACGAGACTGAGTACCCGTTATAACCTCGTCCCACATGCGCGGAGGAACATGCGCATGGAGCCCGCTGACTGGGATACGCTCAGCGGGATCCGTCTTCAACATCTATTGGGGCCATATCATTCAATGGGCGCAGCAGCATTAGTGAGGCCGAATACGTACCCGAGGAAGTAGTTCCGTAGGTATCTCGCCAGCATTCGGGGGGATGTCAAGTCGGATGGGAAGGGCGCGCTCATGCAGCTTCCGAGCCGCCTCGCAGTTCGGCACCAAGAAGTACCACCGGTCTGTGAGTCCAAGTATCTCTAGGAACACAATCCCGAGGCTCCAAACGTCCACTTCTGCGCCGTGGCCGCGCGAGGCATGGTCGGAAGCAACGATCTCGGGCGCCATGTACGCAGGCGTGCCACACTCATCGTAGTCCCGCCAAGTGTGGTACTGCCCTTCGCCGACGAGTTCGGCAAGCCCGAAATCGGAGAGGACAGCCCGCCCGTTCTGGTCAATCAGGATGTTCTGAGGTTTGATATCCTGGTGGACGATACCCAACTTCCACAAGGCTTGAAGAGCGGCGACCTGATTGGGGTCATCAAGACGATGGCATGGACTGATTGGTAGCGGAAAACGTACGAGCTCGGCACAATATAGAAGTCTATCCTGCAAACGGATGTGTTCTTCGTCTAGAACGTTACGCATGTTTGCAGGGTATCGAGGCTGAAACGTACATAAGATTGTCAGTATGCCTGCAACGCCTCACATACAGAGAGAGACGTACCATGACCAAGTACATGACCTCGGGCTCCTCCCACGCCATCAACAGCTGCGCGAGGTACTGTGTCTTCTTCGACGCGCTGACACGCACCATCACGTCGCGCTCCCGCACGAACATCGCACGCGTGTAGTAAAGCGTCTTGAACGCCCGCCATTTGTGCACGGCCTTGACCGCATACGACTTTCCGTCGTGTTCCGCCGCGACGACGCGCCCGACTCCGCCATCCGCAATCTTGGCAGTAAGCGTAAGGGCGATCCCTCTGTGGGAGATCGTTGTGGACTGATTGTCAAGCTTGACGCCGCGCTTCGTAGGCATGTGCGACACGCTGCTCTGAATGCTATTCGCGTCGCGCCTCGGGGGCGTGGGCTCGACTGTCGCGAGAGTGCGGAGACGGCAGCCTATGGGGGTAGGCACGCGGGCGCCTCGCGTGCAGGTTGGAAATACGACTTCATCGTTGTCGTCGCGCAGCGCACCACTTGAATGGTTAGTCGATGCTGGCGAATATTGACCCATGGGCGTGCAAACAGCATACGGGTCCGGTAACTCCAGCGATGGAAGCCGCACTGTGCAGTGACCAGGTTCCAGTTGCTGGACAGGGAACCACGGAGAAGGGAGGCGCGGCACAAAGCTCCAGGGAGTAGCATATTGACGTTCCGCGCTAGGGATTGGGTCCGTGGCTACGGCACGTCGAGACCGGCTTACGGGAAGGACCGGATCGCGCTCGTCCCGGAGACCTCGAGTGTGGATGATTTGTTCAAGGTCAGTAGCGAACTGAACGTGCTTCACGAGCTGCTGAGGCCACAGATTTGCACGTGATGAATACCAGGGCGCAGTGCCGCTGTGATGGCTAATGAGCATCGTGTATACGTACTCTGTTCAAATCCAACGACTTACTAGTGGCTGTACTCCATGCGGCTCCAGCTAGCGTCGGGGTCGCAGAAGTCTCGAACATGCGGCCAAATTTCGAGTGAGGATCGCGTAGCTTCTTTGCGCCCAGCAGTTGCGGGAGTGTTTTGCCACACCGACGACGGCATGAGTGGTGATAGTGGCCGCGAGTGAGCCGAGTTAGACGGTAGCTGGAGGAGATCCAAGGATATGAGAGGGGTGCGGCAAGAGGAGAGCCTATTCAACTCTTCGTCGTAGCCACTGTTGACTGCGGCAGAGGCCTGGAACGTCTTGCATGGATCTCTGGTCAAGTGCGTCCGGGGGCGGGATTGCGTTGAGTTCATTGTCGAGGGAATAGAGGTCGAGAGGATGGCAGAACGGGAAGGACTTGTGTTATTGAAGGTGCGAGGCGGTTACTGAGACGTGAGTGGGGGAAACGAAGCACAGTTCAAGACGAGATGGGTGACTTATATATGGCGTTGAGCTCCGTATTGTGCTTTGCGGCAATTACGGCTATGGCTAATTCGCCTTTGCGGAGTTGAAAATGGGTGGCACGGTGGCACAAGTTCCCATTGTTGATTATTGCTGCCCAGCGGGCGGAAGTCCGGGCGCACCCTGGAGAGCCCGGCAACGCAAGCAATTGACGGATCTGCAGGTGATAGAAGAGAATTAAAAAATATCAGAACAGAACGACGAAGTTATAAACCTCAGATGCGACTGGTGGAAGAAAGCGGAGTAACTTCGTCGTCCTGTTCTCGGGCGCTTGAAGACACTTTGAGGTACTTATACGCTATGGGCAAGAGCATGCCCTTGCGTCGATGGTCGTTTTTCAAGGCTGACGTTTGGCTGACGTGCTGATATATCTGAGGGGATACGAGTTCAAAGGCGTTATCTGGTGGTGATGGAACCATTGTCTGAAGAGACGATATCGCCTGCAATGTGATAAGGCGTCAGCGACACAAGCATCTCTACCAAAAAGTGTGTCAAAGTGATGTTGCTTACTTGCATGTGACCCTTTTCTTGTATATAACCAAAATACGAGCGTAGAATAAAATAACTCACATAGCAGCACTACGTACGCATGTTTGAAAATGTACACCGCACCTTGTTCGGATGAGGGCCTTCCACTTTCCGGTGTATCTGCTGGTACGTGCTTATGCAGAGTACTTAACAGCGATACTCTTTGTTAGCACACCGTCGTCGCTGGTGCTGACTCCCTTTGGCCAGTCCATTTGAGTAGTTTGAGCTGGAGCAGCCCCGAAGGCTGGCCTCTCGTCGAAGGTGTATCCTCACGTATGAGCACAATATTTCAGAGCGAGTGTGTTAAATTCCTCTCTTCGCCTCTCTTCGAGTACACAGCGACGCTAGCGAGGTTGAATAACAAGAGAGCAGAGAGGCCGCCGTGAGTGAAGTCGACATGGAAGTTTTGCTCTCTCCAAGGGATCAGGCGCCGGTGCTGAGCGCCCTGTACCACGTGGCTCTGTTTGGCCAGCATAACTGACCAAGTAAACGTGGGCGCACCTCTTGTCCGCTCCCTCATTGTCCGCTCGCCGACTGGCTGAAACCTGCCTCTTTTGCTATCTGTGTGTATCTGTGGACATGGTAACCTGGCAACTGTTGCATCTCTAGGCGTTGCTGTTGACTCGTGCTTGCCCCGCCTCGAGACTTGCCTCACAAGGTAAGTTGGCCCCTGGACGACACGAAGTGCACTCGATTGGCAATCTGCTACTCCTCCTCGCAACCTGTGGACGCAATTCTGTCTAATGCTGCTGGTATATAACGTGGTTGTGAGAGACATGGAGTCCGCATCATCAGCTAAGTCTCCCGACATCTGCTCAACGCACCGAGTCCTCTCCAGCTCTCCACACCCACCACCTCGATCTCATCCTACCTCCTCACCCGAGTACTATCACCAAAGATGTCTTACACCGCCTTTGCACGCTCCTACACCTACGCGAGCCCCGCGTCCCCCAGCGCCTTCTCCCTCTTCGCGTCCGCCCAGTCGCCGCGCGACACCTACCACACCTACGAGGACGCACATCAGGTGCTGCGTCTCTCCCACGGGCAGACCTCTGTCAGGAAGACGAAGACTTCCGGCCTGAAGAAGATCTTCGGGCTGTGAGCACACCACCATACGCTCGTCGAGTTCGCTCCGAGCTCTTTTTACTACCACCCGCTGGCCAGCTTCGGTTGTGTACCGACGCCGCCTTCAGCACCCACCAGCGCAGTCGCTTTGCGTCCGCTACCCACTGGCACCACGCCTAGTAGACGCCCTTCACCCTGCACCTCGCCTCGCGCGAGCACTGCCGACACTCTGTCGCTATCGCCATAAACCTCGCTCTATGCGAGTAGGCCTCCCCTCCCGAGGACATTCCCCCCAGAGAAATCACAACCGACGATCATGGACGCATGGACTTTACAGTAGAGCATTGGACTCTTAGCCATAGCACATCACCAACTTGTTTTCGAGCTCTCGAGTACGCACACCCCACTCGTGCATAAATCAACTCCTGTCTCTCGAGAACTTGCGTTTTAAGCTGGAGGGATCTGTCGGGCGTCAAATGTGCTGCAACTCTTGCCCGTACTACGGCCACGCCCATCCCCTCGGATACGCCTGCAACGTCGACACCGCAGCAGATGTCCGGAGGAGCGATCGCCGTTCTAGAGGGTCAATGGTGCCAGTGTCGTATTCCTGACGTACACCTGCGCTCGACAGGCGGCTCCTCCCGGCATGGCTCCCGGACACGTTCTCGTATGCCCTCAGCGCCCTTACGTCGCACATGGAGATACAGCCGAAACCGCCGATTATTCACGCAGCGCCTTGTCGTCTATCGGCCGGACAGCAAGGGGCGTATGTGCGGATACTTTGTGCAATGGATGACGGCCTAGGAGCGCTTGTTCAGCGCGGTAATGGGCGTCCTGCGCTGATTACGCGGACGGAGATGACGACAACTGTCGTGCAACGCGCGGTATGACATGGAGCATGCACGCGAGAGCGGGGTCTGCCATTGGAGAGCCGTGGTCGAGTTTGTGGGCGAGAACGAGCTAGACGTGAGGTGAGCTCACTTCAGGTACCCGCTCGGGCCCGAACTATCGCTTACCTGCCTTCGTAGCCACAGAATTCGACCATCTCCGTGCGCGTCCTTGGAGCACAAGTTCGTTGTCCCCTTAGGTAGCCGCTCATCTTCGACGATGAACTGTCAAAATCAAGGCACCACTCACACCGACTGCAGCCTGCTTCTGAGAAGGCCCGTTTACGCACTTGTGCCGAAGCAGTGAAACAAGCGTGGCAGGTGGAAGGTTTGCGCTTTGCGACCTCAGCGTCCAACATTCGAAGCTTCAGACATGGAGCATCAGTCAGCGTTTTGCATTCCTATCTTTCCAGATGCGCTACAGCTGAATACGTATTGACAGGGAGAACGTCAGCGTGCGGAGTTACCGTCAGTGCGGGGCTCTGTGTTCCTTGGAGCGAATGCGAACGTGGTCCGTATGCGGCCGTGCCCGGGGGAACGGCTGCGCCGCGACGTGCATCTTACGTTGCGCGCGCATAGGCCCTTCGGCGCTGCTAGATATGAACGCGTTCCTGCGGCTTTGGAGGGGAGGCAGAGATGACGAAAGAATCAACAACGGGTGAGATGCGTTTTTGACGCAAACAATTCGTGACGCCGGTGGAAGACCCTACGACTGACGATGTATAAAGGGACAGAGGAGGGCGTGGTCACTCTCCAGCCACACAATCCATTCGGCCTTCGCACTCCAGCCCTCTCAGTCTCTACATACTCTCGCAACATGATGTTCTCTCGCGCCGTCGCCCTCACCATTTCTGCCCTGCCCCTTCTTGCGGCCGCCACACCCCTCGAAGCCCGTAACTCAGGATCTTGCTCAACTGGCCCAGTCCAGTGCTGCCAGAGCACCGAGACGGTATGCGACCACCATTGTCGTGGCCGTTCGACCAACGCTGACTACATTTCATGCACAGGCCGGCTCTACCGCTGGTTCCGCGCTTCTTGGGTCCCTCGGGATCGTCGTACAGGATGTGAACGTCCTGGTCGGAGTCACTTGCTCCCCGATCACCGTCGTGGGCGTTGGTAGCGGCGGTTCGTGCAGTGCTCAAACCGTCTGCTGCAGCGACAACAGCCACGTACGTATCGAACATTATGCCTCCTCATCCGCATGTCTAACCTGCCTTTGGATACAGGGCGGTCTTGTCTCTATTGGCTGCGCCCCCGTCACAGTCTGATTGCCAATCCAGAGTGTCGGGCGTCGGAGAGGACTGGTTCGAACTTTATGGACTTAGTGCATTGATTTGGACCGAACGTATGCGTGTTATATTGCAATCGATTGATGTTTAACGAGTTCGACGAAAACAAGGGCGCGACAAGAGTAACTCGAAGGCGGGATTGCAGCTACTCGGTGCTCTGGAAATGTAAGTCAAGTACTGTTAGGCTATATTTGCATCGGCCAAGGCAAGCATCGAGTGGCTGCTGCTGGACTACTGCGACCGAGCCCATTTTTGACCACTTCTTCGTGTCTCAGTACGTGCTAAAGGGCGTTTGTAACTAGCATATATCACAAATTGTAGTAAATATACCGTCTTCACTTAATAATCGACTCGCCCTCCCCTAGAAACACCCGCATAGTCTTCTCCGGCATATCCCAGTGCGCCTGGATTCCTCACTATCAGTCAGCGTTGACCCACTACGGTAGCTAGAGCACCCACGAAATGGTTCGCGCCCTTCAGGCGGACGAGGTTAATGTTCCGTAACGGCTTCCCCGCCCCTCGTGCCTCCTTAAGCTCCTCATCGAGCAGATATGCACCCCACGCCATCTCCCACGGCGAGCGGTCACACCACACCACGCGCACCTCGACAGCGGACCACGCGTCCGCATCCCCTTGTGAGTCCTGCAGGTACATTGATCCATCTTTCAGCGCGCCATACGTCCCATGCTCGACACACGCCCCGATCAAGTGGTAATCGCTCCCGCCGACCTGCGCGGGCCGCGGGTGTGCGCACGCCGCGAGTTCGGTAACGGACATGCGTACCGTCGTGCTCACGATGTCTGGAGCTTGGGATCAATGCTCGAGCGCAGCGCCGCCGTGCGTCCATGGGTCACTGCGGGTGAAGTAATTCCCGATAGATTGGTCGAATGCGGCGGGGTGTTCGACGGGTTGGATGGTGGGGTCACTGGAGGGGTGGTACCAGTCTATGGGGCGGGGGTCGAATATCAGGCATGATGTGTCTGAGTGTGTGCGCATCAGTGTACTGCAAGATTAGAGTCGCAAGAGGAGAACCGGTAGGCAACACATACCGTATATGAGGACGCGCCGGACGTACTTGCTGAGCTGTACGCCCTCGACCGGGAACGTGCCGGCATGGGCGAGGACCGCCTCCATCGACGCACCGCCCAGCGACCACCCTACAAGGACAATCCCGCCCGCACTCGTCTCCCGATTTGCAGTGGGGATGCGCTCACTGCGGACGAGATATTTGAGGAACGCGCAGACGTCGTGCGTGTGTCCGGTCATGAGTTCTGATGTTTCGGTCGCGGGTGCATGAGCGAGGCGGGTACAATGGGCACACTCTCCCGGGGCGCAGGGAAGAGACTCGGGATAGCCGCTTCTGTTTACGACGGCGATGCAGGCTTTGAACTGGGCCGTAAACGTGAGGAGCTTTTCGAAGACGGCTAATAAAGAACTCTCGTTAGATCATTGAGCTTCTACATAGGTAGGGATACATACGGGCATGCTATCCCAGGGCATGGATAATGACTAGGATTGTATAGTCCGCCATTCCGTTGGGAGCTCCAGAGTCGGAAAATGCTCGCAGTGCAAGCTGGCTGGTGGTTTTTTCTTTACTTCATCGTATCGGGGTCTGGTGTGAGGCCATGGCAGCTCGGTGCGTGCGACGCCCCAGCGAACTGTCCCTTAATCCCCTCCTTGTGCGACCCTGTTCCGTTGCGGGGTGTTCCACTGCGGATGAAAACGAGAACCTGGGGAATAATCTAAGGGGATTCTGGGGCATGTATCCCTATGAATCAGAAGGCTATGGCCACCGTGGACCCGAAGAGGTGTAGCCTTGGAGCCTTCTTGCGCGCGCCTGCGGTGCAGTGATCGAAAGCAAAAGTGTCGATGGGAGCACTATAGATGTAAAATGACGTGTAGATGCGAATGTGTTAGCTGCATCTGCATTTCTGGCACTGATAGGCTCCCGGAGGCCGCTGATGGTGGAGGTGTGGATATAAGTAGAATGGCTGGGGCATGTGCGGGCTGCACTACAATTCGAGATTCGCGACAAGGCGAAGCATCGTTGATCATGAACGGAGGACTCGCGTCGGAATGGTAGGCAAGATGTCTCATTCTGATATACCGCAAAGTCAGACTCCGAAGGCGCTGCAGGATGGCCGCCCGTGAATTTAGCGTGTGGATTATTCACTCCGAAAGATGCATATCTAACGTATACGCACCTATACGTCCATTCCGCGGACATCATGTCCATCAATGTCGGCACATAGCTCCCCGAGAGCACGCACCGCGCCTCCTGCACCGGGCTCACCGCGACCACGGCCAACGAGAGGTCCTCGAGGAGCGGGAGCGTCCTGTCACGGTATCGCGCAGCCTTTTGTGCGCGCCAGTTGCGCGGGCTCTCGAAGAGCATGGCGTGCAGCATGGTCATGAGCGGTTCGCGTGTGCTTGCGGTGTCTTCGGACCAGTCTAGCACCCTGATGGTGACCTTGAAGGAGAGGCGCGTCAGACGCGGGGCGTGCATTGATATGACCTCCAGGAGCGGCGTTTCGTAGCGCTCGTCGCGTGAGTGGGAGAGTGTATCGAATCCAGCATGGAACGAGAGGGTGAGGTCTTCCAGTGTCGGAATGGCGTTGAGGAGGCGGCCGAGGTCATCTGTAGGTCAGATATATAGCCTGAACTCAGGCCATCGGTCGAGGTAATGATGTGTATGCGTACCCGGTGATGTAGTCCACTGGTGGAATTGAACAGCGCCGCTTCCTAGATGCATTTTCCGTACAAACACTCCATATGCGCCCACGGGAATGCAAGATAGATAGTCGTGCTCTGTATCGAATGTACACTGCAGAGCCATCAATATCAGTGAGTATCGTGCGTACGCTTTTTGGGACAAAAAGGTGTGCCCAGGCGTACCAGAATGTCCAAGAAGCGGAGTTTGGGGCACAGAAACGGATAACGAGCAGCGCAGAACTCTTCCAGGGCAAGTTTGTATCTGGTCGTTCTTTGATCTTGGATTTGCAGCCCGGAGGATAGTTGTAGGTACTCAAGAGCGCGGAACGCCCAGACCAGCCGGAGGAGGTCTCGTATGGTTTGAAACGTGACCCAGGATATCTCCAGATGTGTCACCGAGTGAAAGCTCGTGAAACACTTGTAGTAAGAGGGCGGGTAGACACGAAAGTCGAGGTGGCAAAGGCGGAGAGTGCGGAGGGAGGTGAACTGCGGCTGTCGCAGCACCAATTCCCCCCAACCAACGAATGTCGACCATCGTGGCGCGATCCGGGGATCGAATAGGGTGGCCGAAGAGATGTCGAGTTCAACGACTAGATGAGCTAGGGAAGGATATTCGCCAAATACCCTCACCAGGCGTTGCACGTCAGAGTGCTTGGATACGGCGACGTGCATCCACAAGCAACGGCGGCCGTAGAGATACCAGGATTTGCAAACAAGAGTGCAGACGCGTAGCCTCCGAAGGTCGTCTGCCAAATTCCAGGGCTCGGTAAGGCAAGAACGGATGATGTGCTCGCAGATATCGAGAGGTAAGCGAGCAGACTGCATGCCGCGCGCGTAGAGGTAGACCTGTCGAGGGGGTGTCGGTGAGTGACCAACGTGGACGGGTTCGACGGGGTGGATTAACCAGTACAGTGACCGGCGATCGCTACCGCCGGCACCCTAGTATGACGTTTCAGCACAGACATGATTCCCTCTGCTCTGGCAATCTTCCAAACCAGTCCTCGTATTCCGATGATGCCGTTCTGTGTATTCTTGTGTATGGCAGTTACGTCGACGCCCGTACTTGGGAGTGTTGGCTATGTGGGTATCACCGGGCGTGCCCCTCCGGCAGCTTCCGAGACCGAATCCGGACGCGCGACGCGATCACGGGACCGTGATTTGTCTAAATCATGACCGTGGCTGCTGCGTTAGCGAAAGTGTCGGGACTCGATCCGCTTAACCTTATCTCCTGCGCACGTACTGGCTCATATATCGACCTCATCAAACTCAGGGGAACATCTACGTTCTATCCTCGGAAACCGCATTACTACTAATCAACAAGACCAGGATACAAACTTAGCGCGACGCCTGAGAACGCGGTATCGACGGTCCGAGCGACCACAGTCATGTGTCTAACAGACGGTTGGCTCAGCTTAGGTGCTATCCGCGGCCTTGAGTATGTCGCGTTGATACACTTGGATGGTGAGAACGTACGGCAAACTTACCAGTGGCACGGACTTCATGCCGTACAGCTCCGCAGAGATTACTCATCAACACGGCGTCATCGACATCCTGCACCCATAAAGTCGCGCTAGGACAGAAGGATGAACCCTATCCTCCAGTCTCTTGCGCCATCTCATATCATACACCATGTCCACAGGAAAGATGCAGTATGGTGAGGTGCATGCTCACAATTTTGACCGCGCGATGCTCAATACCGAGCCTGCACAGTCCGCCTGGGCAACTCGGGTCTGAAGGTCTCCAAGATCATCCTCGGGACGATGCAGTATGGACACAAGGGCTGGCAGGACTGGGTCCTCGGCGAGGAAGAGGCCACCGAGCACATCAAATTCGCGTGCGTACTCTTGCTTTCTACTGCTCAGGCTGTCCTCGAGGGTCGATGTCTCACGCCCCTTATTTTTAGTTACGAGCACGGCATCCAGACGTTCGATACCGCCAATGTATGTTGGCATGACTTCCTCTGCCCGCGTCAGGTGTGCTGATGTTGTATTGCGGTGTAGGTGTACTCGAACGGGCTGTCAGAGGTCATACTCGGAAACGTCATCAAGAAGCTCAACCTTCCCCGTGAGGAGCTCGTAATCATGACAAAGGTATGGTCTTCGCATATGTTCGCCTGTACTCGTGAAGGTCTGAACTGGACCGTTTTGCGGCTTGCAGTTGACGGGTGCGGTAGCACCCGAATACGGCATGAACCTCATGCGTAGCGGAGTGAAGCCGGACGATATCGGGCTGGTGAACCAGTATGGTCAGAGTCGCAAGGTAAGCCTTCATTTAATACTGGATCCTCTTCGCATCGCTGAAATGCACGTTCCTCGCTAGCACATTTTCGCATCTGTCCAGGCTAGCCTGAAGCGCCTTCAACTTGACTACATCGACCTTCTCCAATGTGAGTCCCACACCAAATCACGACTACGCGGCTGTGCCTAGCTTAGTATTCGACCCCGGAATGTAGGCCACCGTTTCGACTACAACACGCCTATCGAAGAAGTCGTACGTATCCAGAGAACCTACGAGAGGATTCACGAAGACTGACATCACTATGTCCAGATGCAAGCGCTGCACGACGTTGTGAAGGCCGGATACGTCCGCTACATCGGCATGAGCTCCTGCTGGGCATACCAATGTGAGTACTCTGGTACCTATCTTGAGGACGCAGCTTACTCACCGCCCTTGTCAGTTCACGCTATGCAGAGTGCGTTCAGACCCGCTTGCGTGAGGGGCCTGTATAATTGACACGGGCGTCCCCGCAGACTACGCCATCAAGAACAACCTCACGCCGTTCATATCGATGCAGAACCATTACTCGCTCGTCTACCGCGAGGAGGAGCGCGAGATGTTCCCCACCCTCAAGGTACCATATACCACACCCCAGCCTGCATCTTCCTACAACCATCTAACACCATTCACCATTTCCAGCTCTTCGGCGTCGGCTCGATTCCGTGGTCGCCCCTCGCCCGCGGGCTCCTCACGCGCCCGCTGAGCGCGCTGAGCGACACGAAGCGCGGCACCAGCGACATGTACGTCCGCCTTGCCACGTCCCTTACATGCTCGGCGGGAGCGCTGATACGTTCGGGAACTGGTGCAGGTGGGTCGGAGGGTACAATAAGGAGGGCAGCGGTACGGCCGAGATCATCAAGCGGTGAGTTGTGCTACTCATGTGGGGGGTTCGAAGAGGGGACTGACAAGTGTCCGGGGGTAGTGTGGAGGAGCTCGCGAGGAAGAAGGGCGTGACGATGGCGCAGATCGCGATCGCGTGGATCCTCACCAAGGACGGTCAGTCCCGTTTACCCCGTACTCACTCTCTTGCGCAAGACTGACCCTTGCTGTATGTATGCGTCGGTCTCCGCAGGTGTGACCGCGCCCATCGTAGGCACGACGAGCCTCGACAACCTCAAGGACATCCTCGGTGCGTGCCGTGTTGACTCCATTTAATGCATATACTGACCGTGATCAACGTTTGCAGCGGGCGTGAGCGTCAAGCTGAGCGACGAGGAGATCAAGTATCTCGAGGAGCCGTACAGCCCGCTCCAGATCATTGGGCATACTTGAGCTCCTGCTCGAACGCCAGGAAGGTGAGGGCGTTGTTCCGTGTTGAAGGTTCAGGGTGTTAAGACGCTTGCGGGATATGTTATAAAGCGATGAAAAGCAGGAGTCTATATCATGGAAGCTCTACTGCTACAAAGATCTAAGTTACAATCATTAGCAGAACAGGCTACAATACTTTTGTGCGTGCACGACACCGAGCGGCCCTAACGGGGAACACTGTAGTGAATGAAGCATCGTCTCAAGCCCAGTAATACCAGAACAGCGCTAGGCTTCGAGAAATTTAGGGGCACGGTACTCGAGGTCCGTAGGCTGCGCCCCCTCCTCGTCCCTCCGGAAGCGCCGTACCGACGAGGAGGTTTCCGCGTCGTGAGCCGAGTCTTCCTGGAATGTCAGGAATTCTAGGCAGCGTCCGACAGGTTTATCAGACGAGCTCCAGGATCCGGGGGTCCAGTCATCTACGAGCACCAATGACGGATAAGTAATGGCAAACGAAGGGGAGTAGAATTTCGACTTACGCGTCTGTGCTTCCGCACACACCTCCGTGTAGACATCTTCAGGGACATAGTCCCACAAGTTATCTACGTGGATGCGCTCGATGGGTGACATCTCAAGCATCTGTCGGATGAACAGATCAGCATCAAAACGATCCTCCGGCTGCGAGCATCGAAGACGTACCACTGGGAGCAGCGAAGCGGCCGTGCTGCCCAACCCAGCCAGAAGCTGAGGCTCTATCGGCAACCACACCGGATGTATCAACGCCAGGTGGTCCCACCTAAGCTCCGGCGAGAAGTCCCAGCAATCCCCCAGCCCAAACAGCTGCAGAAACACGACGCCCATGCTGAACACATCGACGCCCGCCCCGTACCCGTCCAGCTTCCGGCGCACCCCGACCATCTCGGGCGCCATGTACGGGACCGTGCCGGCGAGCTCGTACCCGCGCCAGGTGTCGTACTCCCCGGGGGCGACCGTGGTGGAGAGGCCGAAGTCGGAGATGACGGCGCGCCCGCGACCGTCGATGAGGATGTTCGCGGGCTTGATGTCTCGGTGTACGATGTTCAGCTGGTGCAGGTGCTCCAGCCCGATGATCTGCGGGCGTCGTTGTATCAGTGAAGGACGACGAGAGGGAGGGCGTGAGACGTACGAGTTCGGTGCAGTACAGCAGCCTGTCGTGCTCGGACATCGGGAGGCGCAGACGTGCATCCATGTCCATCGAGTAGAACGGCTGCAGAGCGGATAAGCGTGTCAGTCAAACTCGGTCCGGATGAGCGCAAACACAACGCACCATAACGAAGTACACGCTGTGCTGATCTTCCCAAGACATCAGCAACGCCGCCAACGAGGGCATCCTCGCCTCCGTGATGCGCGCCATCACGTCCTTCTCCTCAATGAGCGCAGAGCGCCTGTACCCGCACACCTTATGCGCATGCCACTTGTGCATCGCCTTGACCGCGTACAGGCAGCCCTTGCGCTCGACAGCGACGACCCGACCCGCGCTTCCCTCTGCGATCTCGGCAACGACGTTGAACGCGTAGCCGTGGTGCGAAAGCACCGGCTGCGTGTTGTGGGGTCCGGCGTAGGTCAGACTCTCGGTCTGCCACGGGTGCTCTGCCGTCCAAACAGGATAGCCGCCGACGTCGATGGAGAGAGGAGCTGAGGGGAGCTCGACTGTGTGCCCCCGCCTGGGCCTGATGAACCTGCGCGAGCCGCTTGCTCCGAGCGCCTGTGCTCGTTGTGCATTGTGGTCCAAATCGACGATATCGTTGCCGTCGTCGTCGTTGTGCAGCGAGCTGATTGCTCGGTCAGTTTCTGGGGCGTTGTCAAAAGTTCCAACACTCACCCATCGCCGTGAGGTGGGTTTTCGACGTGTGCGCGCCAGGAACGATTAGCAGGGTACGGGTTCGACGACGTCTGCGGGGCCTGAGGTATAACTGGGTCTTCCCCAGAAGACATGTTACCGGGGGGCGGGAAGAGGTGAGCGCCCTGAGGTATAGGCTCAAGCCATGTCTCGTGAGGGCCGTCCGCCTTCCCGGAGGACGGTACGCTGACGTCCACATCAGGGGGGGCAACGAGTTGGAGAATGACCTCCACTCCGCGTTGTACCAGGTGCAGGCCGGAGAGGATACCGTCAATGTCGAGCTGGGTCGGGTCTGCGGACGTTTGGGACCGGGAGGAGCGCGAAGATCGAGATCGGAACGTCTTGGACTGGGTGGACGCCGCCGCAAGACCAGAGATGACCGTGATTGGGAAAGGTAGCCGTGGAGGGAAGAGGTGGTATCGAGAGTGTCCGGGTGAAAGGCGTCCGCAAATACCGAGCCCGAGGAAGGTGGCGACGGTCGTACCGAGCGGAAGTGCAGGGCGCGAGGACTCCGGGAAAGCGAGGGGGTACTGGATATCAGTATCCAGATCTTGCCTTAGCTTGCAGCTATCATCGACGGCGTCCTCGGGAGTAGGCTGGGATAGAGGACTATGGCCGATGATCCTCGACACGACGGCGAGGCAGCATGCGCGCGCTTTCTGCAAGAACTGGGAGAACATCAGAGCTAGACCATGAAGCGCACGAGCGGTTGAGATATCTGTGAGAGAGAGAGAGGTTGGAGGAGAATGCGGGGGCAAGGACGGAGGGGTTCATACTTTTAAAGAGTCGGAGGGCCACAATGTCGGGCGCTTGGTAAATGCCTGCACAATGCGGGGTGCATAGACGTGGCCCTTCGTGGTGCTTTGATGTGGCCCACCATCCTAGTTACCTTTTAGAGATAGCAGTGTCAACATATGGAGGCGAGCGATAACAGGACGATTGCTTGGACGTCAAAAGAGTGTATCAAAGTCCTTCGCGTGCGTTGCGTGAACAATGCGTGATAAGAAACGAGTGGCCACTGCACCTTACTCAGCGACAACCCGCTTCGGTGGCTCGCATGCCGATTTGTATACGTGCTGCAAGTTTCAGTCTAGGTCAGATTGCCATTCAGGAGATCCCATTGAGTGAGGAGGGCGTAGTGCTACTAAGTACAGCATCATCAGTTACCGCAGTCGACGCCCACCTGGCGATCCGTCGAGATCCTTCGCACTTGCAACACGGACGTCTGTGGATATAAATCCCGAGTGTATTGAGATGGTCGCAACGATGGTACGTCAATCAGTCTCCCAGCTAGTTGATAGTGTAGGAGAAGACGAGTCGAAGACGAAGCGCCCGCGGTACTGATCATAAGCGCCGAGGCGCCGAAGAGTAGTGAGTGAGCTCGTCAGTCGAATTCGGCAGCATCGCTCAAGAACGCTTCCAACATCTTCTCTGGAATATCCTAGTGGGCCTAAATTCACAAAACTCGTCAGTTCCTACAGCTATGAGACCGCAGTCGCAACGATCATGGCTCACGAAGTGGTTCGCGCCCTTGAAGCGCACGAGAACGATGTCCCGCACCCGCTTCCCAGTGGCATTCTTCGCCTGTGCTAGTTCCTCGTCAAGCAGTTTTGCAGCCCACGGCAGTTCCCATCGATTGCCCCACAGGTGGCGTACCGGCACGTTTCGCCAGTCACTGGCCCCTCTCATGGGCTCGCTCGGATACCGTAGCATCCCATCCTTGAGCTTCGCGAACGTTCCGTGTGCCATACACGCCTGGGCGAAGAGGCTTTCGCTTGCGCCTATCCTTTGTGGAGGTTCGTGGGTCACCTCCGCGAGTTCGGCGGGAGTGATGCGCGTCAGCGTCGGTGCGGGTCGGCGAGCGCGGTGCGGAACTCGAGCGCGGCGCCGCCATTGGTCCTGACGTCACCGTGAGTGTAGTGGTCTGTAACCCAGATGGAGAAACGAGGAATGCGTTCTTAGTCTGAGAGTGTGCTGTCAAACAGGGGCTGGTACCAGTCCGGCGGAGGAGCGTAGCCATAGCAGACGTAGGAAGGGTCTGGGAAATCAGATGATGGAGCCAATTATACCGTATGGTATGCTGAGAGCGTGAAGAGCGTAATCTCCAAGTCTCGATAGCTTGATTCTGATGATGTTTCTTCTTCAAAGGACGCTTGCTATGACCTCCCCAGGATACTCTTGCGTACCTATCCTTACGACCTGCGCACATTGAAACATAACATAAGAGATGAGTCACCATTGGCTCAGAGTAGGCGCAAGTTAGGCAAGAATGAGTGGAGGTTGAGTTTCCCGACGAGGCCGACCAGTAGCAGTAGAGCAATGAGAAGTTTTCAAGCCTGGCGGAGGTTGCAAAGTATCCCGGAACTGCAAGGAACCAAGCTACAGAGAGGTAACCTGTCATGTCTTGCAGTGATTCGCGTGAGCCACCATATCTCGACCGGCGGAGCGCAGTACAGACTCCAAGGAGGAGTCGTGCGAAGACAGTTGAGGATGTTCGACGTGAAGCTGGAGGCTCGAATCAAGCTCGAATGGACAACGTGTAGTGATAGCGCTCGTCACCATTTCCTTCCACGTGGCGCTATTTGGCTGACTTTGGTTGGCATAAGTGGCCAAACAATCGTCACCTCCTCATCCATATGTTTCTCTCTCTCCAAATCCTGTCCGACTCAATGCACATTCAGATTAAGTAACGTTGGTCAATAGCACACTGAAAGCGTTCAACGCTGTCTAGATAGGTATGTCTCGGTGATATTACGTGATGCCGGTGAGTTCTGTTATCCTACAACCGCGTCCATTTACAACCCGTTCCACTCCAGCCGCTTCGCCACCTTGAACTCGGCGGAAAGCGTAAGCGCCTTCGGCGCGCTGCTCCGGCCGACCCGCGCGACGTACACGCCAGGGTCGACGACCCAGCGCGAGATGCGGTCCTCCCAGTACGACACCGCGTACTTGTCGAGCGCCAGCTTCACGACCTCGCTCTTCCCCGGCGCAAGGTCGAACACCTTCGCGAACGCCTTAAGCATGAGTGGCGGGTGCGTGAGCTCGGACGTCGTCGGGTACGAGACGTAGAGCTGCACGACGTCCGTGCCGGCCACGGAGCCCGTGTTCGTGATCTTTACGGACGCAGTCAGGGCGATCTCGCCGTTCGATACCTCCGGTTCGGTGATAGACAGGTCGGAGTACTCGAAGGTTGTGTACGAGAGACCGTGCCTATGAGAAGAGTATCAGCGCTGATCATGGTGCTCTGGTCGGAGAACATACCCGAAGTGCCACTGGGGCTCAATGTTCCGGTGGTGGTAGTGCTTGTAGCCCTATATGATACAGTGAGCGACCAGTTTCCCGAATAGTAGCCAACCACACGAACTTACCACAAAGAGGTCCTCGCCATAGCGAACAGCACCATGTTCGGTGTGGAAGTGGCCGTGGCTCGGCACGTCCGCGAGCGCCTTCGGGAACGACAAGCTGAGCCTGCCGCTCGGGTTCACCCTCCCGGAAAGTACCTCTCCGATAGCGTCTCCAGTCGCATTTCCGAGGTACCACGCGTGCACGATCACCGGCACCTCATCCGCCCACGGCATCGTGATGCTCGACCCGCTCTGTGTCACGACGATCGTGCGCTTGTTCGCCGCGGCGACCTTGCGCACGAGCTCGTCCGTCCGCCCGGGCAGCGCGAGCGTCGTCCGGTCGTAGCCCTCCGTCTCCCAGTCCGCGTTAAGCCCGACGACGGCGATGACTGCGTCCGCCTCCTCCGCGAGCTTGACGGCGCTCGCCATGAGCTCGTCGGGGTGCTGCACCTCCGCGCCGCCAAGACGGACGCCGCCGTTGGCATCCATGATCGCCTCGTCGGGGTCGTTAGGCGCGGGTGCGCGGACGTTGGCGTACTCGACGTAGATGGAGTACGAGACGCCGGCCTTGACGTCGATGGTGCCGTACTCCTCGGTCGAGCCGCTGTTGAAGAAGGCCTCTCCACGCTCCTGCTTGGTCCAGTTGTCGATGACGAGTTTTCCATCAACGTATAGCTGCGTGGGGTACGTATGACGTTAGTATGGCACACATTACGCGCGACTCGCGAACACCGACTTTTGCGCGCCCGGCGGAGATGAGACCGAACTCAAACTTGCAGTCGTGGTCACGCGGCTTGAGCTGTCCGCGCAGACGCAACGAGAACCTCTTCGTGAGCTCCTTGGGGTAGTCCGTGCTATGGAAAGAGTCAGTAAGGCGATTCATGAAGGTTGACGGTGTGGGGTCACCTCAAGAAGACACGGGTCTCGTCGACGTATCGCGTTACGAGGGGCTTGTCGATGGCCACCATGCTGTCATCGCTCTCGTGCGAGTGGAAGGTGCCGATCCAGCCCTTCCGGCCGTCTTCGGTTACGATATCGTTCTCCAGCGTCGGCATCTGCATGTATGCTAATCGACGTGTGAGCAATGAAAGATGGCACAGAAGAAGAAAGCAGCGCACCCCGAGCACCCTCGGAGTAGGTGATCTCGACATCGGAGGCGACCTTCCCGAGAGCCTGGACGATACCATCGAAGGGGGTGGTGAAGAAGCTGGGCTTCAATGCAGCCGAGCCACCGCCGCTGAGGACGATGGCCTTCGCATTGCCACCGACGATCGCGATCTTTTTCAGACCTTGCTCCTGTAAACGAATGAGCGTTAGTTTATTGGACCTCCGCCACTCGCACTTATGTAGGACGTACCTTCGGCTTCAGCGGGAGAATGTCTCCCTCATTCTTGAGCAACACGATGGCCTGACTCGCGAATTTGGTCATAAGGTCACGGCCCTGCTCGATGTCGCCCGTGCGCTCTATCCCATCGCCGTCGAGAATCTGGTGCATGCCGGTCAGCATCGGAGGTCCAACCCGGGGAGACAGCGTTGAACATACCTCAGGTGCGCCCTTCGCGCATTTCTGGACGAGCTGAAGCACCTTGCGCGCGCGCTCCTTGACAGTGCGCTTGGTGATCTTCCGGCTCTGGATGGAGCGGTTCATGAGGTCGAGCGTCCGCCACTTGTTTGTGCCGGGCATCTCCAGGTCCAGGCCAGCGTTGATCGAGTGGTCAATCGAGTAGACGCCGAACCTACATACAAGTAATGTCAGAGCGTGTTTGCACGAACACGTCGCAGCAACACGTACCAGTCGCTCATGACGGTCGCGTCACTGGCCCACTCCTTTCGGAGGATGTCCTGAATGATATGCTTGTTTTCGGACACATGGGTTCCGTTTACCCGGTTGTACCTACACGCGGTTTAGTTGAGTTGTGAGCGAACCGCAACAGAGGGGCGACTTACGCAGTCATAAAGGACCACGGCTGCGCATACTTCTGCGCGAGCATGAACGGCATCGCGTAGATCTCGCGCAACGCACGCTCGGACATGATCGAGTCGTACCCGAACCGGTCGTTCTCCTTGTCGTTCCCGAGGAAGTGCTTGATGCACGCGCCGATCCCGCCCGACTGCAGGCCCTTAATGTACGCTGCCGCCATCATGCCCGCGAGGTGCGGGTCCTCGGAGAACGACTCGAACGAGCGCCCCCCGAGCGGGTTCCGCTGGGTGTTGCACGTTGGGCCGAGCAGAACGGGCGCCTGCATGAGCTTCGCCTCTTCTGCGAGCAGCTCGAGCCCGACGCGCTGCATGAGCGCGGTGTCGAACGTCGCAGCCATGCCGGTCGCGGACGGAAGACACTTCGCGGGCGTGCTCATGAAGAAGTGGTTGCCGCGAATACCTACGTCAAACGGATTCGTGTTCAGCAGACTGGTCGACGTGCGCTCAAACCCGCTCACTTACCGTTCGGGCCATCGCTGACCTTGACTGCGGGGATACCCAAGCGCGGTACAGCGTGCGTGTGCCAGAATCCGACACCAGCAGTAAGCAGGATCGCCTCGTCTGTGGTCAACTCCTCGACGACCTCGTCGAGGTCGCGTTCTGCGAAGTCAGAAGGCCGCATGATAGATATAATGGAGGGTATGTGAAGATGGGTGTCCCTGGCGTATTGCCTGGGAAATAGACAGGGGATGAGAAGTGCGTTTGCATGTGCTCGACGCAAGGGTTCTTATAGCACAGGAGGCGGGGTCGCCTCCAATCCAGTTATTCCGAGGTTTCCCCGGAGGCCGCCTTCTAGTTCTGGGGTAAGCGTTCGAGCCGGCGGGCGGCGCTTCCGATTGATCAGGATGTCACTCTCTCGCCTTAGGAGGCCTCAGCTGGTCATTGCATGTGCTCAAATTCAGCCCTGTATGTGTCCGGTGAGACGGAAAGTGCCTATTTGGCACATACGCGTTAGCTTGGCGCTTAAGCGCCCGGAGGAGGTGCACGAGCCGGAACTTACGCCTCAACATGCACACGGTCGTCGACCCATGCACGAAGATAGAGATAGAGCACTCACGGAGCTTAACGGCACGTCGTAAGAGAAGGTTGGAGCTCCTGCAAATGGGGTGCATTTCCTGGAATCAGCTACCGACGGACATCATGCGAACAAGCATGTGAACGAGGGTGTACCCACCTTCCACCTTCCTCGAGCCTGAACCGACCCCAGGCGGGTATACGTCGGATAGACCTCTACCGGTGACGTGCGTGCGGGCGCGCGCAGCCCGGGAGGCCGCCCTGAAGCTTAAGGTCGAACGCGCAGTGATCGAGTGTATCGCTGTATATCGGGCGCTTCCAGGGCGGAAGGCGGCAGATCAAGATAGCAGGCCGAGCCAGGAACGCTCCCCGCGGGGCCCCAGAAGGAGGTAATGAAGCCGTGAATCCAAGTCGCCGCCATCGTCGCGGTCGATGCCGCCGGAGGGAGCTTGCGATCGTGCGGGCCGAAAGCCCGACGTGTAAGTACATCCGACGTTCGCACTTGCCGCCGGCATACGATGCTCGGCGCACGAAATGGCCCAACGACTTGTGCATGGAATCGTCGTACATAGGTACGTAAGAGGGCGGTCTCATATATGTCGATACTATACACAGAAGGTAACTGTACGAAGGCTGAGAGACAAGACCGCGGAGATAAGTACGACACTCACCGTCAAAATCCTTCATTTTCAGTTGGCAGATTGTTTCTTCACGCCTCCTCTGGCCGCGTCACGGTCGACAGGAACTCCAGTAGCTCTTGTGCGATCACGCGATGGACTGCAGAAGTTGGGTGCAGGCCATCCTCGAAGATCGCTCCCTCTTCTTTGGCGGCGTCCTCCTGAGAGAAGCCATAAGCTGCAGGATTGGCGAGGATATCGCTGAACAGCCTCCACGAAGACCAGACCAGGACCGTGGCATCCGTATGTTCAGCGGCAAACTTTGCCGAAGCCCCACTGAGAGCGGAATTCCACTCCAAGACGCCGTCTTGGAGCTTTTGTGGCTTCGGTCCTGCTGTGAAGCGTGAATGGGGAACGTTAGAATGCCCGTATGCTGCATAAGGATAGAAGTGAGCACTTACGCCCAGAGAAGTCGTATGTAGGGGGAACATCGATGAAACAGAAGTTGCGCGCCCCGGCCTCGTAAAGTTCCTGTTGGATCGCAAAGAGCGCACGTATGCTTTCCTGCGAAGATGCAGTAGGATTGGGGGTATCCATATTCCAAGAGCAGTCGTTGATACCAACCCACGTCACGAACAGCGTGTCGTTCGCGGTCCATGGCGCCCAGTCTGGCTTCGTCGCCAGGTGAGGCAAGAAGTCTTTGTGGACTTGACGATGTACGCCATCCACACGATCCCCGCCTAGAGCGTAGTCATACACGAGCAGAGAAGGATGGGCTCTCTGATCCTGGATGAGCTGGAGGAGATGTCCGACCCAGTTAGGCTCGCAGGTAATTGTGTTTGTCGCCCCATCGTAATGGCCACACCAGGTTTCGCCAGGAAACTTTACTCCAAGCGGATTCTCTGCCGAAGGGCGGGGCGCCTTCGAGTTGTAGCCAACATCGCAGTACGAGGCTCCGCTGCCAGTCGCCACAGGAGTCAACATTTGAATATCGCGATACACGTAAGAGGTGGTCAATACGTACAATACGACGAGATATTGGAGATTTTGAACACCGGGCCACAAATCGCGAGCAGCAACGGCAGGCATTGACAAGTATGAGAGCTACTCAAAAATGCTGGCAGGACGTGGTGGTCAGACGGTCACGGAGACCGCAAAGCAAGTGTCGTGAGTAACCGGTGGGAGCTTTTCCCCCGCTGGCTAGAAGAAACGCTAGCTATCGTGGGAGAAAGCTGTGTTAGCTTTGACTGATGATCTTAGTATTGACGTAGCGCTACGATAAAGCCGGCCCTAATCCTCCCTAATCTGGCTTTCTAACGTAACACGTGGATCTCTGTATGCAACTCCCCGCCTGGCGCGAGGCGCTCGAGTCGCACTCTCCGGGCCACATTAACGTCTCACGTACGACCCATTCATCTTATCGTTTGTCGGAACTGTTGACCAGCATCGTGAGCAGTGAATTAGTACCAGCCACGTCACCGTGCGAGGCTCAACAGCCCATCATATCGCCGTGACAGATCATCATCGTATTGCCCACAAGCTGAACAACCGAGGAAAATCTCTCCCAAGGAGGCAACGCGGAGGCCTCAAGAGGCGTTTTCAAGCCGTCTACAGCTCCTCCGAAGTCACCTTAGCAGGCTTCCGGAGGGCGGTGCTGATGTCCGATATGTACAAACCTCAGCGCTCCGATGACATCGTTACACCGGGCCTTGTCAGTCGGTTGTGGCCCTTCTGTATCAGGAAAACTGCCACCCGTGCCAAGATGGTATGCTGAGAATGTTGAGCAACCGTGGTCCTTCGGATCCCGGTGTGAGAGCGAGATTCCTTGCTGGGTACGATGGCACCCTACTTGGGCGTAGACACGGCTGGAGTCTGGAGAAGCCGCCGTCATGCCGGGGTAGGTACCAATTGAATCCGCCAGGCGCCGTTGTCCACTATCTGACGCTGAAGCGACTTGACGTTTCCCGATGACGAAGAGGCTGTTCTGATATGTCCTGTTGAAGCCGCAAATTTCCTCCTCGTACGGCATAACACCAGTAAGTCATGGGCGCAGCGCCGACGCCTCGCTGTCTATATATACCGGCCGTAACATACTCATTCATTGCCCAGTTTGCATCTCCCGCGAATACAACTCAATCTCTCCATCACAGCAAAATGCACGCCCACAACATGTCTTACGGTGCGTGTACTAGTGTACTATCCACTGGGATGTTGTTGTGCCGGTACTCATAGTCCTGTTTGCAGTTCGCCTTGGCAACTCCGGGTTGAAGATCTCAAAGATCATACTCGGCTGCATGTCCTACGGCAGTTCCGAATGGCAAGATTGGGTCCTCGGTGAGGAGGAGGCCTTCAAGCACATCAAATTTGCGTGAGTAGCCGTGCAGCTGATTAGACAGAATGGAAGTTGACGTAACTTTGCAGATTCGACCACGGCATCACCACGTTCGATACCGCCGACGTGGGTGGTCTCGATGCTCTCGTGGTTCCTCACTTGCTAACGTGAACTTGCGTCAGGTTTACTCCAACGGTCTCTCAGAGGTCATTCTGGGCAAAGCAATCAAGGAACTCGAGCTTCCCCGCGACGAGCTCGTGATCATGACTAAGGTATGTAGTGTTGCCATTGTCCGGACCGAGACCCGCAGCTCACATATGGGCCTTGTAGCTGTTCCAACCTGTTGCGTCGGATGTCTCTCTGAACCTCGTTGTTCTGGGAAAGAAGCCGGAGGAAGTGGGGATCATCAATCAGCACGGCCTCAGCCGTAAGGTACGCCGCTTCCCCTCATGCCCCGGTGACAAGGCGCATGTTCATCCCGCACGCAGCACATTTTCGATTCCGTGAAGGCTAGTCTCCAGCGTCTGCAACTCGACCACATCGATGTGCTCCAGTGTGAGTCGCCAGTTCGTTGTTCAAGCGGCGAATCATTTAACGTTATGCTATAGGCCACCGCTTCGACTACAACACGCCCATTGAGGAGACTATGCAAGCTTTGCACGATGTCGTCAAAGCAGGATATGTCCGCTATATAGGCATGAGCTCGTGCTGGGCCTACCAATGTGGGTAGCATCTACCCATTCCACCTCGTCCACGCTCTAATGTACGCTTCAGTCCAACAGATGCAGAGTGAGCGGCGGCGTATGAAATCCGCTTTGGTCGCTCGTTTCTAACATCGTCACACAGACTACGCGATCACCCACCACCTGACGCCATTCATCTCGATGCAGAACCAGTATAGCCTCGTCTATCGCGAGGAAGAGCGCGAGATGTTCCCCACGCTCAAGCTCTTCGGCGTAGGCTCCATTCCGTGGTCTCCCCTTGCTCGCGGTCTCTTGACTCGCCCCCTCGACGCTGCGTCTAAGAGGGCGCAAAGCGACTGGTGCGCACACACCCGTCATTACGCGCTTCGCATCCATTGACTGTACTCCTTGCAGGATCATCGACAAGTACAAGAACGAGGCGACCGTTACTATCGTTTCCCGGTGCGTTTCACTTCTGGGCCTGGATAAGCACTGCCTGTTCTGATATACTGAAAACGTAGTGTCGAGGAGATCGCGAAGAAGCGTAAGATTAGCATGGCTCAGGTTGCGATTGCCTGGATACTCTCCAAGCCCGGCGTGTCCGCCCCGATCGTCGGCACGACCAGCCTCGCCAACCTCGAGGACATCCTCAGTCAGTCCCCCTCCCGCGTCGTCCCTCCCACGTCTTCCCTGACCGCGCTGCGCAGAGGGAGTCGACGTGAAGCTCACCGAAGAAGAGCTCAAGGCGCTCGAGGAGCCGTACCAGCCCGTTCCCGTCTTCGGCCACAACTAAAAATACCGCGAGAGCAGTTTCGTCCACAAACTCAATATCTTGTGTACACTAAGTGCCCGTGAAGCCCGGATATGGCATCATCGTACTATCGCCCAATTTCCGTGTGCTCGAAGCGCCAAGGCAGACAACATACCAGATCTGGAACCGCCCTCTCGCGCCGGATATGTTCGCGCCAGTATGTCCCTCTCGTTTCACCGCATTTCTCAGTGGACTTTGGGCCGGCGAACATATCATGGCCATATACTTGGGCATGCTAGTAGCGTCATGCAGGATCGTGAGTATGTTCGCTGCTGTTCGAGGGCTCTATGAGCTGTCCTTGAACTTGTTAGCTCTGTCAAGAGGGGGCGTTACTTGTGTCGAGTGACGCAGGAGAAGATAAGGGACGAGCGAGCGTCGAAAACGCCGCGCGGTAGCTGGGGAATAAAAGGTGGTTGAGCTCGAGCACAGGAGGTAGCATTCATCGCTGCAACCCTCCTCTCGCCGGTCCTCCTCTCTCAGTTGTTTCAGCTGCAATGCCTATGCAATACGGTGCGCCCGCTCATCACGCTGCTTCCACTTTCATGTCCGGATTTCTCATGCTCGCGCGTTAGTACCCCTCGGGAAGTCCGGCCTGAAGGTCTCTAAGCTTATACTCGGGATGTCTATGTTCGGCGACCCGCGCTTCATGCCCTTTGTCCTCGGCGAGAAGGAGGGCTATCAGCTCGTTCAGGCCGCGTGAGTACCTTTCCGCCTCAGCGTGCGTCTCATGATGACCAACTTCTTCGCCGCTGCAGATACGAGCACGGAATCCAGACGTTCGACACAGCCGATGTGCGGTTCGCTCTGGGATAGTGGCGCTGGATTCTGACTTAACTCCGAGGCGTAGGCATACTCCTCCGGCCTCTCCGAGCGGATTCTTGGTAACGCGATCAAGAAACTGAACCTTCCGCGCGGCGAACTCGTGCTCATGACAAAGGTGCGCTCTCCTCGCAACTTTCTGCATGCATCCTGCTGAAAGCCTTCGTCACCGACAATATAGCTAGGACTCCCTATGTTCCCTCTCGAAGATCCCGACGCCCAGAAGAAGCGCAATACACCCGAGAAATTCGGAATCATAAACCAGCATGGCACCAGCCGCAAAGTGCGCCGCATACCTGTTATCGTGACGGCCCGTTCTGTTCTGACTAACCGCGCCGAAAGCATATTTTCGACGCCGTCAAAGGGTCCCTGGAGTGGCTACAGGTCGATTACATTGACGTCCTTCACTGTGAGCGACAAACCTAGTACGACGTAGTATACGGGCGTAGTAAACCTTGCCGGCATTTGCAGGCCACCGGTTCGATGCAAACACTCCGATCGAAGAGACGGTAAGCCCGTCCCCGAGCGCCGCCGCAGCCGAATGCTAATCGGTGGGCACAGATGCATGCCTTGCATGACGTCGTTAAGGCGGGCTGGGTGCGCTACCTCGCCATGAGCTCCTGTTGGGCGTACCAGTGTACGTACCATGCCGTCCGCTTCCGTCGAACCGCCCGCTAATCGCCTTCCCGCGCCAGTCCACGCCATGCAAAGTTCGTACAGCGTTCCGCGGGCCGATCCCGCGAGCGCAGCGCTGATCTGGCGATACCGCAGATTACGCCCTAGCGAACGGTCTGACGCCGTTCATCTCCATGCAGAACCACTACAACCTCCTTTACCGCGAGGAGGAGCGCGAGATGCTCCCGACGCTCAGGGTATGTGGGCGTCGCGCCTCCCGATGGGGTATTCTGACGCGCTGGTAGCTGTTCGGCGCGGGCTCGACACCCTGGTCGCCGCTCGCGAAGGGTCTCCTCGCAAGGCCGTTTGACGCGGAAGCGGGGTCTCTCCGCTCACAGACGGACCCGTAAGTTATGGCCGAAGGAACCTCGTTTTACGACGCGCGCTGAACGTTCTTTACAGCGGCCTGCTTATGTATAAGAGCGACGCGACTCCCGTAATCGTCAGCCGGTAGGAAACGTGTTCATGACGCACGACATAGCCCGCGCTAACAACGCCGTTGCGAATAGCCTAGAGGAGATAGCGAAGCGCAGAGGAGCTAGCATGGCTCAGGTTTCTCTGGCATGGTTGATGTCAAGGGAAGGGGTTACCGCACCGATCATCGGGCCCAACAGTGTTGCGAAGCTGGAGGACCTCCTCGGTACGTGGTGCGGCCTCAATATTTCCGGGTCACATTTTCTGATCCGTGGCGTCGCTGTAGGGAGCTTGGATGTGATTCTCACGGAGGAAGAAGTAAGGTACCTGGAGGAGCCGTACGCCCCTATGGGCATCGCTGGACACATCTAGTTGCGCATACTGAGAAGCTCTATTAGCTGCATATGTGGTCGAGCAGAGAGAGAGTTGTACCACGTAGTGGTGAGAAACATGCAACACAAACTTACCTCATGTTTCTTGAATCTGCGATCACCACGGCGAAGAGGCAGTGCCACCCCAGTTGATACTCTTTCGAACATGACATGGACGGGCGATCTGGCCCTTACCATTCTCTAATGCAACAATCCTGCAATGCGTTTTATCGTACAATACAACGTTTTCCTTCAGCTACAGCGACTACGCCAAGTTCTAGCCGGCACCCTCAGGTGTGGCCAGTGACCTCCATCGGCTTGTACGGCTCCTCCAGGTACTTGATCTCATCCTCGGACAGCTTGATGTCGAGTGCGCCTGCAAGCTGGGTCAGTACTCTCCGTCGATGGCACAGCACAAATGCACGCGTACCAAGCAGCTCCTCGAGGTTCGAGAGGTTCGTCGTGCCGACGATGGGCGCGGTGACCTTCGCCATCGTCCACGCGAGCGCGATCTGCGCCATCTTTGCGTCCTTCTTCTTCGCGAGCTCCTCCACCCTATTCCACAACTCATGTCAGCATCAGAGACGCAATCGCGGGACGGGCGCACGCACCGGTTGACGATCTGGATGTTCGCCTCGCTCTTGTACTTGCCGATGAATCTGTGGAGATGCGAGTCAGGAGCTATGCTTGTGGATAGAGAGGGGTCCCGGGCACATACCGGTCGACGTCACCGCGCTTGGAAGACGAGTCGACGGGGCGAGTGAGCAGGCCGCGCGCGAGGGGGGACCACGGGATTGACCCGACGCCGAACATCTTCAGCGACGGGAACATCTCGCGCTCTTCCTCCCTGTACACGAGCGAGTAGTGGTTTTGCATCGAGATGAACGGCGTCAGGTTGTGCGTGATCGCGTAGTCTACAAAAGTGTCAGATCGGCGTGTTCAGGCGATAAGGCGTGAGCGAGCGTACTCTGCATCTGGATGACTATAGCACGGAACGGTGATCAGATTGTATTCAATAGGACAATCATATGCAGAGATGACGTACATTGGTAGGCGTGGCAGGAGCTCATGCCGATGTAGCGAACGTATCCTGCTTGGACGACGTCGTGCAGGGCTTGCATCTACGTAGAACGCGATCAGTCAACATTCTACTACACTATCGAGTGAATTGCTTACCGTCTCCTCGATCGGCGTCTCGTAGTCGAAGCGGTGGCACTGGAGGACGTCGATGTAGTCCAACTGCAGCCGCTTCAAGCTCGCCTTGACCCCGTCGAAGATGTGCTTGCGGTTGAGGCCTATTTGGTTGATGATGCCCATCTCGGCCGGGTCATTGATAATGGTGTTGGTGCCAAATTCTGGTGCAATCGCGAAGTGAATCTATCGCAAAGGACCATGACTATCAGAGGCCGAATCTGAGTGCCCGGACGAGTCTGCTGACCTTGGTCATGATGACGAGCTCCTCTCGAGGAAGGTTGAGCTGCTTGATGGCGTTTCCGAGAATGATCTCTGAGAGGCCGTTCGAGTACACCTGCAGCATCGCATAGTGTCAGTATAATGAGGCGGAACCAGCGGAGAGAGCGAACTCACATCTGCGGTATCGAAAGTGGTGATACCGTGCTCGTACCTGCAGGCCAAACATGAGTGTCCGACGACTGGGAACGCGGGCTGTTGGACATACGCAAACTTCACATGCTCAATACCCTCCTTCTCGCCGAGGACCCAGCTTTGCCAGCCGGGGTGACCGTATGACATGCACCCGAGGATGATCTTGGACACCTTTAAGCCCGAGTTGCCGAGACGAACTATGAACACGGTCAGAAGCGGTCTATCGGTGGGAATGTACATTTAGGAAGCACTTACCATACTGCATTTTAGGTGCCATTTCTACGGTGTTTCTGTGGTATTGCGACGGCGCGTGGAAGGTTCAAGGGAAGGCGGAAAGTTGGACTCGGTGTGTGCGAGGGTTTATATACCGAGTGCGGATGTGAAGTGGAGAGGGGAACATAGCTTCGGTGATAGCGCATAGCACATAAACCAACGACATGGACGACGTGCGTTCAGCTGCAGCGACGTCTTCTCGAACTCCCTCTCCCTCGGTCACCATGGGCGCCTACTCCTCCTCTGTCCCGATCGGGAAATGCTACCGACGTGCGGGTACGATCGAGTCTGCGACGTTCGCTCACTCTGCTCACTCCTCCACCTTATCCTTAACTCCGAAGAAAAGGCACTTGGCGGTACCACCGGCATCGCTACTCGCCGCTATGTTGAGTCGGATTCTCACAGGTCTTCCGGGAGCTGCAGGCAGATGAGCACGCCAAGTTCAACCGTCGCATGAGGCCGTCATGGACTTCATCTTGGCAATAATCTTGGGTACCCTGGAGGACAGTTTGGTCATCACCTCCTCGGACCGATATTTTTGACATCCTCTTAGAACTTACTTACGTCATCGGGCACCGTAGTAGTTGACAGTCTCGCACTGGGATCCGAAGGCTAGGGTCAAGTGTCTGTGGAGAAGGGGAGGGTTGATTGCGACAAAGCACGCTGAGCGTGGTGTGCAGCCTCCAGGACGATCTAGACGGAGTGAATCCTCAGACCTCAGACCTCATCAGACTCAGTTAACATTTGTCTCTCTTTGGCTGCAACACCATCAAAAAATCCTTGTCAGAGGTTCGGCGTGTATAAAAGCATCTGGGGAAGGGCTTACATATCACTACAGGGCGTATGTTATTTGTGGTAGGTTGTGTATCTAAGCACGCCTAACGGCATACGTCACGATGTCCACGTCGTCCGTGCGCCTGTGTCCGGGAAAGTGAGCTACGTTGAACGTGTGTCGTGGAGCAACGTACCGAATGGCATGCTTTCTTGCAGTAGTATCTCTGCCTACACCCCGTGCAAATCTTAAGGTCATGCGGGTTTCCACACCACGCACACGTCGTATTCTTGGGGTTGTCTACCCGCCTGTTCGCTACCCCTTCTTCGATGAATGCGCCCTTTGTGTTCGCTCTCGTGTGCCGGACCTTCGTGCCCTTCTTCAGGTCGTTGGGGTGTATCCCTAGACGCATCGCCTGATGCTCCTTGCGTACAAGGTCCCGGCCCTTGGTCTTACCAAGCGGATGCACGGCCGTCTTGCTTCCCCACGACAGACTAGCCTTACTATCGAGCGCCGCACGCACCGCCGCGCGAGTCCCCGGGAAGTCGAAATGGTCGAAGTCGTAATCTGCAGGGCGCGCTGGTCGAGGCTTGCCCGCGTGGTTCGTGGCCGTGAATATGCGGTTGACGGCTTTAATCTTTCCGCTCAAACACGCGGCCGCGGAGCGAAGGAAATGGGCCCAGCAGATGTTGCCGAAGTGCTCCGCGCCGTCCTCGGGCAGGGCACCGCCAGCGCCGCTGATCAGCTCGAACGCGTTGGTGCTGTCGACGGCGGGAATGACCTCTTCGAGCTGTACAAGATGCATGAGCGCATGTTAAGCCAGGCATTCAGGACCTGTCGTACCTTGATGTCCACCCACCAGTTGTCGCCAAGGTCATAGTGGTAGCCCATCACGTCTCCAGCGTGTTGGAGGATGTGCGAGATGCGGTACCTAGAACAAGATGCATAAGCACACAGCCCAGCAGTCGCCGGCAAGAATAAGACGCACTCCTCCTCGGGAATGAATGCCCGTCCGGATTTATTGAGGTGCGTCCGCATATCGACAGTGTTGCAGTTCTAAAATGAAAGATTAGGGCACGTCCAAAGGCAGCAGATGCTTGTCGCATTCGTACCCTTGGACCGAAGAGCGCACCATCCTTGAAGTCGGTGAAAAGGTGGGCGTGCGAGTTTCGGACCCTAGGTTCAAGGATGAGGGATCTGTCGCCTATACGGATGCGCGTGGGACGGCACTCACCAACCAAATAGGGGAGTTATGATCTTGTCGGCGAACACTGCTAGTGGAAGACCACCCGAGACTCGCACGCGGCGCCAGTAGCGGTCGCCACCGCGATTTCCCGGAACTGGAATGTACCTGAGTGTATTCAAGATAAGTAAGCAGAAGGATACCTGAGGAATATGCAGCGACGGTATGCAACGACTCACGGGAGTGACAGGTACATAATGTAGTCGCTTCGTGGAAGCGTGCCAAGGTCGAGCGCCTTCAGGGCTGCAACCTGTCGAGTGATTAGAACACAATGATCCACAGACAAAGCATTCGTCTACTACCTTACGCGCAATGAGGACGTCAATGAATTGTAGTTCCGGGAGCTTCAATTCGCCCCCGGCCTGGTCGTAGATGTCTGTCTCCATGAGCTGTGGCATCAGGAATGAGTTACAGCGCTCTGTGCGGAGTATAATCCCAGATTACCGTTCGTTTAGTCTCGCGCACTGGGTCAACAATCGGGTAGCCTTCTGCGTGCGGCCTTTGAGCTAACGTGAAGGCCTGCCAAGCATGACTGGTGAGCGCTCTGCAGATCATCATATCGCAAGATGCGATGCGAATTGGTTCGCGAAGACAGCCGCTCCATGAATGAAGGGCTACATACCTTGTATAGACCCCACGCTTCTACGTAGTTGTTGCGCCCGCGTCGTGCCGTAAACGTCCGAGGATCTGTCACGACACAGGAAGATCAGCCAAATCGTGATTTATTACCGCAGCGGATGCTCACCTTCCCAGAATATCTCATCTAAATCGTCTGCACCATCCAAGATGTGGAAGTGCACGAACTTGGGCATCTTGAGCTCTCCCGTTGGTGTTCTGCGACGGGGATCCCAGAGCTGGGCTTCGCTCATCTGCGCGCGCAGAAAGAGCGTAGCTTCGAATTCCTCCACTATCCTGGCTTGTTGTTCCATTGCGGAACGTTCAGTCGAGGCCCGTAGTCCCGACATATGTGGCAGCTGCAGAAAATGACTCGGACAACGAAGTCCCCGAGAGCGAGCACATATTTAAGTAGGCGCCCTCAATGATCCATATTCTCACGGTCCGTCGTCCACTTCCGGTCGAAACCTGTTTAACCACTATTTAACCTCAAGCGACCTCGAAGACGGGCTCCCCCATCATCTCCTAGTGCTCGCCTCTTCTCTAGAAATCCTAGATGAAACACTGAGGTATGTACGTATGGGAGCGGCTACCGTCTATTGGGCGACCGACGCGAATTGAGAACTTATCTTTTCTTGTGTGTGATAGTACCAGTCATTTCTAGCCTGCTCGATCCCAATTGTCGTCCAATGTCGGGAGAAAACAACACAATATCTTCTCTGGAATGCCTCCCTACCGAGCTCCTACTCCTTGTAGCGGAATACCTCGAGAATGTCGCCGATCTGGCATCTCTCCTGTTGGTCAACACATCCCTCAATATAGCACTCACACCACACCTCTACTCAGCGATAGAACTAAGACACCAGCGACCAACCATAAATTGCCTCGACACCCTATCTACTCAGGCTACATCGGCTACGTTTATGCCAGGACGAGACCTCGCAAGTCTTGTGCTGTCCCTTCATATCGCGGGGTTTGACATCCTCAACCTCAGAAGAAATGAGTTCGGAGAACTGCAAGACGGTCTGGAGCACGCCCTTCCACGTCTGGCCAACATCCGAAAGTTTACCTTCAAGGTCTTGGAGACGCTCAGATGTCGCGTCCTCGTCAATCTCTTGGCATCCTGGGAGTCGCTTTCCTCTGTCGACGTTGAAGTCACGGATGAAGACACAGTGCCGGACGCAAGTCCTCGCGCTCCCGCCGTACCCCACCTCACCAGTCTTAGCATTCGTAATCTCCCATCGACTTACGATGACTACCTGCAGCAGCTGGCGGCTTCCTGCTGCAATGGCCTTCTCAAAATGTCACTCGCCGAGTCGGATGCGGACACAGTGAGACACGTACTCGGATCCACCGTTTTTGCTTCCCTACAGGACCTCGAACTAGAGGCCGCCGCATTCTTCCACCCCGATTTCCCCCATGGCGCATTCCCCCGTTTGCGAGCCCTCATTTTATCCTACGACTCCGAATCACCGTGGGACGACGACTCGGCACTACCCTCGTGGAGAGAACCCATTCCCTACACCGCGTACCCCCAACTCGAGAGTCTGGCCTGCAATGTGGAAGACCTTCCCCTCATGATACCCAAACAAGCCGAGGTCGGCGATCGAATTCCGGTGCACACCATCCGACTCAACGGAGCGACATATGAACGGAACGGGGGCGCGTTCTCGCACATCTCGCCGGAGTGGGACGAGGTCGTCGAATCCTTATTTCATCTGCGCTACTCTGGGGTACCCATTCGGCATCTGAGCTTCCACGTCTACCGCATTACGGTTACGCAGCTTGAGGAGGTTCTGCCTTCCTTAAAGGACCTCGAGAGCCTCCTGATCTCAAGCGTCCACGACCCCAACCTGCAGGTGCGTCTGAGGCTGTCCGAACATCCCTATGGCGCTGAGAGCTCATATCAACACTTCCCAGGCTAGTTACCCGGTCGAGATCCTCTCCCGGATGCTCTCCAGAATGCCAAAATTGCACAGCTTTCTCCTCTCCGACGCGCCCTTGAAGCGCGAACACCATGCGTACAATTTCAACCTCGCACGGGCGCAGACGCGACAGCGGGAGATCGTGCATGAATGGGCCAAGTTTGCCGGCTCGCTTCGGAGGATAGCGTTTACGACGGAGATGGAATGGGTTCGCTGCGGAAGGGAATGGGTCCCAGTGTACGACTGATGACGTTCAGGTTAGCGGATTAGAGCCGGTTCGGACTTCGAAAGAAAATGAAGAGCGAACGAGAGGTGAGCGGGCGAGTGCATGGGACTGCATCTAGACGCATCTGATGTTCCCACGTTTGATTAGCCCATCCATTGTGAGAGAGCGTCCGGATGATCTTGTCCCTTCTTGTACTTGAACCGCCACGAACTCCATATATAAGTGCATCGCATTTCGTATATAGAGATCTCGTAAGTTGTGAGAGGTTACACACAATCCTGTACAACACAACTGATATTCACAAGCGACAGATCATCATGCCCCGGGATCTACCACCAGAACTTCTCCTCGCGATAGGCCGCGTCACAAGGACCGCCGATCTCCCGTCTTTACTCCGGATCAGCACTTTTTACAACCACTTCTTCACCGGCACGCTGCTCTACTCCTCGATCGAGCTGAGAGACTTCAGATCTACACGAAGATGTCTTCGCACCCTCTGCAAGGCTCCGGCAGACTGCGCTTTCGGGCGCGACCTCGCCGGCCTTGTTCGCTCGTTCCACACCGCCGAATTCCCATATAATCGCATCCGCATGACGTCGCTCCAGGCGCTGCAGGGCATGTTTTCCCGTGTCCTTCCGCGCCTTATTAACGTTCAGGTGTTCTCCACACAACTTGTTCGACTGCTACCGCTCTGCGCACTGATGGACTTGCTTCGTACGTGTCCAGGAACGCTAAAATCGCTGGATGTCAGCTGTTCGGGGACCCATTAGGCTCGTCCCCATCCGTTTCGGCGTCAACAAGTTGAGGGTACCGAAACGGCTGGGCTGACTGGTCGCCCTTTTGCCAGGGCAAACTGGCGCCCGCCGTGGGAACGAACACTTAGCCAAATCTCTCATGTCGCTCTCGCAGTATTCTCATGTCCTGGGCTCTTTGTCAGTGTTCCGCTCTCTGAATCGTGCCAGTAGGTGTCGAGCATGTCTGAATAGATCATATCTAACTTTCTGTCTCTCCAGGACGCCCGTATTGCGCCTAAAACACGGATATCAGCCCTTGTGAAGGACCTTTTGGCGTTCTTCCGCCCGCTCACAGAGGAATCGCCCCTACTGGGCCCGATTTAAGATATCATTGCTCCGAGGAGAGGTCATAGTACCTCTTGAATGCACGCATATCTTTCGTCAGCTTCTAGGTGAGTGCTGGTCGTGGTTTTTTGGGGCTTTTCACCGGCGAGACGGCGGTAAAGGTCTCGATACGGACCTAACTGCTGTCTCCACGGTAGAAAACACTCGTACTGATGATTTTACGAATACAGGTACCAGCACCAGCTGCTTTGGAGCGTGTATAAGCGGCTACTCGTATGCAATGGAGAGGTAAGCCCCGGCTTATGCCTATCATTCTGCGCTATATGCAGCTCACACGTCTAAACTCGAACACAGGACCGCTAAAAGCTGCACTAGGCGACTGATTGGCCAGTCTGCTCGACGCGGCTCTGCCCAAACCCATCTGGGGGCAGGTCATATCGCCCTTTTAGCGATTTATACCTCATCATGTTGTATGGAGCCCATTTTGAACCCATTTCCTGGCTCGCATGTGTATTTATTGTCGTTCAGTACAAATTTTATGAGCATTGCGTCGGAATTGACTTCTGCAAGACGGATTTTGGTGGGAACGAGTAGTCGATTTCTGCTAAGTATGCGTTCCCACGGTGGGCGCCAGTTTGCCCTGGCAAAAGGGCGACCAGTCAGCCCAGTCCGCTCGCAAGCTCGCGCCTCCTCCCTGCCCCCTTTTGGAAGGCGCGATCAGATGCTTGCGACCGGACTGGCTGGCGAGTCTAGGGACCCATGAGTATCGCCGCAGCGAAGATGACCTCCAGCTTATAAGCCAAGAGCTTCCCTTTTTCCCACAACTGACGTTGATCAAACTGGTTGGCGTCTACGAGAAACATCCACTCTACATCCAATTCCTCCAACGTCTCTCCCACACCGTCGCCAACCACATACAAACCCTGCACCTCGACATGATCAATAACGAACCCGAGCTGGCCATGCTCTCCGCCAGAGAAACCTTCCCAGCACTCCAAGAGCTCAAGGTCAACGGCAAGACGTTCTTCCTCCCCGAGTTCCCGCATGCAGCCTTTCCTCGGCTCCGTACGCTCATTCTTAGAGGCGAGCGCTTCTTCTGGCAGCTTCCGTCCCCTCTGGATCCAGGTCTGGGCGCGACGCGGTGCATTACACATTACCCGGAGCTCGAGATACTATGCTGTAGCGCGCGTGCAATCCCGTCGCTCTTTCCGCCAGACATCCCGTCCCGCGATCTCCCACATGCTCTGCATACTGTAGAGCTCGACAACCCGGCCTACGTCTTACCGAAACCGTATGAAGACTACGTTCCGGTCGGTGGGGGAGAGGTCAGAGCGGCGCTCACTCTCTTGCAGAGTTCGGCTCTTCCGATCCGCCACCTGCTCTTCTCTGTGGCTTCTCTCGGAAGCGATGTGGAAGAACAGGACTTCGAGGTGTTACCAACGTGCATGGAAAGACTCGAAACCCTTGTCGTCTTCATGGGAGCAGTTTGGTGTACGCAGGTATGCCCCTTTTGTACAATCCGCCTAACTCCTCTACGATGCACGGGGATGCCTGCTGAGCACACCTTATCTGGGCTCGGACTAGGACACGGCCATGCGCGTCATCTCACGCATGATCGCCCGCATGTCTCATTTGCACTCTCTCGCATTTGCAAACCTGCCGCCCAAGAATCGCATCCCGGTAGCTCGCCCCGACATCGCGCAAGTCCACACGAGCCAAAGCCGCCTTGTGCACGAATGGGGCCGATATGGATCTCCGCTGTGTAGCGTCTCCTTGACTGTAGGAACGGAGTGGGTGCGTCACGGTGCAGAGTGGGTCTTGCTGGAACACCCACAGGAGTGCACAATGCTTGGTAACGACAGAACTGTAGGCTATGAGGATGATTCGGAGGACGAGCCGGGAAATAATGAAGGCAGGGCATCGGCGCGGGATCGGCTATGAGTGAGTGCCCCCCATGCAGATCATGCGGATCCATAACTATGGCGAGCTGAATTTACTCCTACAGGTACGCATTCAAACGAGAGCGGATATACATAGCATGGACATAACAGTTATGGGGTGTCGGGATAATCCTTGACGTATCTCAGGTCTGCCGCGTACACGTCATTCTCCACGCGCTCAAGTTCAACTAGCCACACTCGGTGGAGCGCGTCTGGACGCAGAAGCCAGTCGTAGTCTGCGAGCCCGGCAAACTTTACTCTGTTCTTCTGCGAGTGTATAAGGTCAGCCAAATATCATAGTTCAAAGATGTACCGCGTACGTACCTCAAAGAACTTGCAGAACGACTGTGCAGCCAGCATCCCCATCCGGAGCCTCGTCGTCGATTCGTCTACCATCACAGACTCTTCGAACGTGAAGCGATCGAGCCTCCCATCGCGCGGGCACGGCCACTAGAAGGCAACAGTCAGAACATCACTCAGTACGAAGGTTCCCATGGACGATTCCTGGGGCGCTCACCTGGATGCGAATCCGTATGTTCCTCGTCCCGAGTAACGGCATGACCGTGTCGAGCGGCGACTGCATATGGTAGAGGAGCTCCGACTCGGACACCGTGGCGAGCGCGTACACCGGCATCCCATACCCCGCTATGTACGCCGCGGCGGCGCCTCCTTGAATTGTGAAGGTGATCCGTCGCCCGCGCGAGGCCATACCAGAACGCGTGCGAGCGACGTGCGCGTATGTGGGCCGGTCCTCTCTCGGGCCGTCGCGTGGTACGCTCTTGAGAGCTTGAAGCTGCTCGTTGGTTATGTTGAGGGCGCCGTAGATGGTTGAGAAGCGCATGATGCCGGTTGCCCAGGTCGGCGAGAAGGTGTCGGCCACCACTGGTCGCAGGACGGGTAGGCGAGTCTTCGAAGGCTGAGCGCGTTTCTTGCGCGATGTTGCATTTGGACGCTGCTGAACGGCTTTGGTCAAAGTTTGAGTGGTCATGGCTGACGGGAGGGGTAGGAGAGGTAAGGTGAAGGAACAAGGCGAGTAAGGAGATTCGGAGAGGGTGTTGATCTCTAAATGGACAAGGACGCGCTTTGATGTTGTTAGCGGCACGTTCCGTGACCTTGGACAATGGGCGGGCCACAGTGGCTAGTTGGTCCAAGCCACTCATGCACAATCAGCCTATCACAAGCGAGCGCTTCTTAACAAAGGAAACAAACTACACGTTGCGATGCGAGTCAACGTATGGTAGATCGCAATCTGCTAGAGCCATCGTATAGCCGTAGATAAATTATTGACTACTGTGTCAGGACAGGCCGCCGGGGTATGCCGCGCGGCGCTAGCTGGGGTCGCCTCGGCGGCGGCATGTATAGTAGATATTCGTACGGAGCGAGAGATCCAGCAGTGATACACGCGCGGTTGTACTTACTAAAATACCTGTTTGCGGAAATCGTGTAAGACGTCTGGAGGAGGACTGTTGAGCCGCACAGTCGATGCGATAGACGAGTAGAGACGAAGCGGAGAAGAGAATTCGGTAAGTGTACGTGAGTTGTACCAGTAGCTCAAAGAAGGAGGGAGGAACCTAGACCCATTCAAAGGCGGGATCTCTCCTCTAAGTACTAAAACTCATCACCAATGTCTTCGATGGAGGGGAGGACTCGAGCTGCGAGGACTCGGATGCTGAAGCTGCCAGGTCGAGAGGGATTTCTGCAGCCATTGAGCGGTAACCGCGTTTCCTGATGTCGCTACAGGTGGGTGGGGCGTTCTTCAACCAACCAGGATAGTAGTAACACCCTGCGTAAGCCTAACGGGCATTGTCGCAAGCCCGGGGATGGATGTCGTGGTGGTTGCTGGGAGGGTTCGGTGTTGAACGAACTTCGCGTGCCCAAAAAGGGCACTGCACCGATCGGGCCGACGCCCGATGGCCACCTGGGCTCAGGCCCTCCAGTCGACGGCGTCGCCGCGCCAGCGCTGCTCCCACTGTATTCCTCCTCCGACGTCGGTCGACCTACCAGTGCTGGCTTGCGATACATTTCAGCGCGCACTAGTACTAGTCATCTGCGAACATATCACAGATGCCCCTTCTCTGGCTGTCTCCGTCCAGTGCCTCAGCGCTTTATTCGGAAATTCGATACTTACGGAAGGTGCTGATATCGTCAGGGTCCTTTTCGGTTCAAGCCAGTGTGCATGTGCGCACCAGGCCGGATCAACCGCAGGCTCGATATTTTGCTTGAACGACTGACAAAACACACAAGCACAGTGAACCTCCGGAGCACGCGCACGCAATCAGAGCTATACATGGTGGCTCGCACCAGCGTGAGTGATTTCACACGCATGTCGTACGGTGTTAGCTCAAACGCTGATTCATAGCAGTAGCCTGGCCCAAATAAAGTTGCGGAGTAATGCAGATCTCAAACGTCTGCGTCGCTCTACCCAATGGTCTTCAGAGTCCACACCGACGGAGACGGTTGCGTATTGGTATGCAGCGTAAACCGCTTACGCTCTACCTTCTCGCTTATCCCTAGTTCTCAACTGCGCGAGAGCGACCCGGTGATACCTATGGGCTGTCAATTAACATGCGCGACCGCAGAGAGCTAGTAGGCGTCATGTGGATAGCGATGAAATCAAGTCATCGCATCGACATACCGCAAATCGAGGCCAGAGCGCATTCCCGAAACTACCCGGTTTGAAGTAAAGAACGATATTTTCGAATGGGGTGTGCTACTCTGCTTCTCTTCAAGAGGGTTTTGGAGAGGCTGACGTCATTCTAGCATGCTGCGACCTGTTGGTATACAGTACTGGCCATCGCCGAACCATACAGACTTCAGATAAGTCAGCGCTAAGTGAAATATCGACGTTTTCGCATCAGCGATATTCCTAATCTTATGGCCGCGCCGCTCGGAGGTGTGTAAGGTTCCATTAGGGATATTAGGTGGACATCGACGCTCTATCCACCTGACGCCTGGCGCCTTGTATGCTGCCAGTATAAGGACCTCGAGCTTCTCGTGACGGCTACGCAATCGTTTCCCCTCACAACTCCCAGCAGCGTTTCTAAACTATGCTGGGAACTATCGCTCAAGCTGTAGCGCTCTCCGGCGTGCTCTGGTTCTTGTGGAAGTATTGCAAGCAAGTCGTTCTCCCATCGCCTCTTGACAACATCCCTGGCCCTCCGCGCGATTCGTTCCTCTATGGTGAGTTTCTCTGTGGTATACTTGCGACGATGTTCATTTATGCTCCCAATCTATAGGCAACTTGAAGCAGATTCTTCATCGCCATGCCTGGCCAGTGTACGACGCTCTTACCGAGGCCTACCCTGGTGTGCTGCGGCTGGCGGGACCCCTCGGGGTAAGTCCCTCCCATTCTTGCAGGTCCATAAGCTGACTTTGCGTGTAGCATCGTATCCTCTACGTCTTCGACCCTATTGCGCTACACAGCGTGATCGTCAAAGACCAGTATGTTTTCGAAGAATCCCGGTTTTTCATCAAGTGCGTACTACAGCCTTTTTGAGTAGCAAAAGCCGACTCATAACACGGATCTAGAACAAGTGAGGTCACCCTTGGACCTGGGCTGCTTGCAACACTGGGTGAGTACCAGGGGCGCTCTACGTCCATTGGCATAACTATGGCTGACGTGACGCCGAAAATACCCAGGAGACCACCACAGGAAGCAGCGGAAGCTCCTGAACCCTATCTTCTCCATCGCCCATATGCGGCACATGCTTCCCACTTTCTACGACATTTCACACAAGGTGCGTTCTACCTCCGGCACACTCCTGACAGAATGCTGTATCTGACAGCGCTTCCATACGACGCGCAGCTCCAGCAAGGTATCGAAGGCCGAGTGTCCGGACGTAATGGCCCAGTCGAGGTCGACATTCTCTCTTGGATGGGCCGCGTCGCGCTGGAGCTCATCGGGCAGTCTGGACTTGGCTATTCGTTTGACCCGCTCGTCGCAGATTCCGCCGACGAGTTGGGTCTCGCGGTGAAGAGCTTTCAGTACATCATTCTCCGCCGTCTTGATATTCTAGTACTAACAGCAGCTTATACGCAGGCCTTTGATGATGCAGTTGAACATCCTCCGGCGCGTCTTACCTTACTTGCCGGATGTCGGGTCTCCCTGGCTGCGCCGGAAGATCGTCGAGATGATTCCGAACAGGAACATGCAGCAGCTGAAGAAGAACGTCGACCTCATGCACGAACGCGCGGTTGCCATTTGCGAAGAGAAGAAAGGGCTACTGGCACAGGGCGACGAAGCCTTCAAGGACAAGGTGGGAGAAGGAAAGGACCTGATGAGCATTTTGCGTAAGTGTCTGCCGTAGTTCCCGTGAATCGACTCGCTCAATGCTATTGCAACGTCCAGTGCGCGCAAATATGGCGGCTTCCGATGAGGACAAATTACCGGATGAAGAGATCGTCGGACAGGTTTCGTGCGTATTCATATCATCATCCCTGTCATCTGGATCTGAACATAGAGTTTCTCAGAACGTTTGTCGTCGCTGCCATGGATACGACATCCAACGCGCTATCCATGACATTCTCGCTTCTCGCGGAACATCCGGAGGTACAGGAAAAGCTTCGTAAAGAGATCATGGAGGCGTCGAACGGAGGGCTCGAAGACATCGACTACGATACTCTGGTGTCTCTGCCCTATCTGGATGCGGTCTGCCGCGAGACTTTGCGCATGTAAGTCTCTGCCCCTTCCACTATTCTGGACATTGACACCGACATATAATCTTAGGCATCCCCCGATAACATCCGTCTTTCGCGAGTACGCCTCCTGCTACCTCGGCGTCCCGTCTTGTTGTGCTGACAAAATGTAGGACTCGGAAGGATGCCGTACTCCCGCTGTCGCAACCCATCACTGGAGTCGACGGTTCGCAGGTCAGCGAGGTCCTCGTACCCAAGGACACCACCGTGATCGTCGGCATCTACTCGTCGAACCGCAACAAGGCTATCTGGGGCGAGGACGCGTTCGAGTGGAAGCCCGAGCGCTGGCTCAACGGCCTGCCCGACACAGTTGCCGATGCGAAGATCCCGGGGGTCTACTCTAACCTGTACGTATATCTTCGTACGTCGCTCATGAGCTTCCCTGTTGAACAGCCGTGTGCAGGATGACGTTCCTTGGCGGCGGCCGCGCGTGCATGTCAGTCCTTTTCCCCTCGTGCTTGAGAATATGCGGGTAGCTGATGCTGTCTGTCCCTGCAGCGGCTTCAAGTTCTCGCAGCTCGAGATGAGTAAGTCGATACGAGAGCTTTCGCGTACTTTTATTACTCACACTTGCATTCATCGTCACTTCAGAGGTTGTTCTGTGCTTGATGCTCCTCAAGTTCAGGTTCGAGCCCTCGGGAAAGCAGATCAAGTGGAATATCGCCGGGATCCGGTTTCCGAGTGTCGGAGATTCGACGAAGCCGTCGCTTCCGTTGAAGCTGAGCATGTACAAGGAGTGACCACATGCGATTGGAGATGTGCTGACCAAACTGATACGTTCCGATGGACTTCGATCGCGAGCTTCGAGTGCCTCCAAGTATGTAACCAGTTGTTTCCCATGAACATATCAAGCCGCTTCGAGCGGTCTCTATGTGAGAACCCACACCGCCTGCGAAATCACCTGCAACTCGCTCTGTTGACGTCGGCTCTGGTTTAAACCAAAAGGTGACATGGCGGCAGTCCGTTGCTACTGCTCTCGGCCGTGATTCTCTTCCCAGTCCCTCTCTACGCTAAGCAGTATACGGAGTCGCAATTGCTGGCGACGAGTCCGTAGCTCGAGTACTATGGTCCATCACTCTGGGTGTTGAACCGTTCAAACGTTCAAAGTACACACTCTCACTCAAGGCGAGGCACGTCGGAAGTCCGTGCCGACTTAGCGCCGACTCCGATTCGATTCTCGCGATAGGCCCCGCGCAACGCGTACGCTCTCTCTTTCCCAAACCACCGCCAGATCACTCAGCCAGTTCGACCCGTCATTTGGTGCGTTTATCTCATTCACGGCTACAAAACCCCAATTCATCCGTATACGTCTCTTAGCCCCATACACTGTTCAATATGATCGTCCCCCTCGATGTCATTTTGCATATTTTCGACTTGCTAAGCGGAGACGAATCATCCACTGGCACACTCTATAACTGTGCACTCACGGGACAGGAACTCCACATTTATGCTCGTGCAAGCTTGTACCGTTCGATCACTCTTGCAGAAGAAGTTCCCGCCCTTGCCAAGGCTCGAAAACTCTCCCGGACGCTCAATGCGAACCCCCCACTTGGAGCACTTGTCCGTACCCTGACGCTTTGTCACATTACCCTTGGCGAGGGCAATGCGCTCGGCAGCGGTCGCTCTTCTCGGCCTCGTCTCGCAGGTCTCTTGCCATGGCACCTCCTCTGCGAGCTTCGCGGACTCACCCTCGATTTGGTGCGGTTGAAAACCTGCGATAGCCTCGTCGCCGTAATCAGCATATGCATACTACCGCGCCTAAAGATGCTCAATGTCAGACATTGGTGGCATCGATCACGAATGCGATGGCCCCTCCCCCTTACCTTTACCGAGTCTCCCGACCCAGAACTCGATATCGACCCTCCAGACTCGGCCCGCTTTCCAACGATCAAAGCTATCGCAATCTACTACAAAGCCTGGACCCACCCCACCCTCGTAGAGAGGCTCTTGCAGGACGATGGATGGGCCGCCCGAGCCTTGCAAGTAATTGACCTGGCGTTTGCGTATGGATCGGCATGTACGCTTCTGTGGGTACCCGTCATTCACGCCGCGGCCGCGCAGCTGCGCTCGATAACCATACCGATGCCCGGCCGTGCCGTCACAAACCCGGGTGAACCGCAATGGGCCTTCGCGCTCGCAGAGCAGCATCGTACGTCCCGTCTTCTAGCCGCATCGGGCCATACTCACGGCGGAAACACCAGCGAATTTCCACGCGTACGTGCTCGAAAACGTTGCGCACTGCTCCGCCTTGAGGTTCCTGCACCTCAGGCACGAGCCTGATGAGAACGAGCGTACACCATCTTCGGACGGATTTTTCGAGCGCGTCTGCGAGCTCTTCGAGCTCGTCCCGGAGCCGTTCCCCGCATTCGAGCACCTCAAGCTTACGTTGGTCAACCGCGATCGGCAAATGTGTTCCGTCACGGATGCGCTTTGCACTCGCCTCGCGGGGAGCCTGCTTGACCGACGGCGGTACCCCACCTTCCGTATGTTGACGATTCGCGTGCAGCCACAGACTTGGAACGTCCACCTGGGACTCCCAAGTCGGTGGCAATCTCTATATTCGGATAGCAAAATCGACCTAGGTGACGGGCTGGTGGAAAGCTGTCGTGCTGCATTCTGCCACTTTGACTGGGACCGAGATGTAGTACTGTACCTCCAGGACCAAAGCGGCGGGGGGTTTGGGGTGTGACCGGCCGGACACGACCGTCCAAAGCGGCGCGACCGGCGGTGCCTGTGACCGCCCGGTAGGCAAAGCGGCGCGGGGCCCCGCAGGGCCGCCAAAAACGCCTTTTTGGAGTGTGACCGGCGTCGGCTCGCCGCCGCTGAAGCGGCGGGGGCGACTGTGACGTGGGACACACCCCCTAAAGCGGCGCGGCGGAGGTCGCTGTAACCTGTGACCCGCCGCTTTGGTCCTGGAGGTACAGTACTAGATGTCGACGAGATCAGACATGACTCATGATTTGCGGCGGGTTACTACTAGGATGGCGGCGAGGCGTTGACACTTGATACTTATTTCCGACGCCCCCTGCCGACTTTTCCGGATGATAAACTAAGTTGTATAATAGGAAGCTCTGCCGTCAATCGTTGGTGCGGGCCATCCTCGGCCTCGTGCACGCATAGCAATATTGCGGGCGGTGACTGGAGGCTACGAATAAGTAAAGGGCGGGAGGAAACCGGAAGAGAGGCACGGATGAACTCGGGCGAATCACGAGATCGCGCGTTGTTGTGGTCTATTTGCACTAATGAACCACGTCGCGACGCGTCTTGTCTCTCTCCCCCGCAGTGGCTGCAGCTTTACCGCACACGTATATCTTCTACTCCATCCACTGCCCTGTCCTGCCGTTGCGCCTGAGGACATACGTCCAGAAAGTCAAGACTTCGCCAAATGAGTCGTCGAAACAACAATGTTCGCGGCCCATCGTCCGCCTTGACTGAGTTTTTGCGTGTAAGTTTTCATACGGGCTACGCTTCATCTCATGCAATTGACGCAGGCTTCAGGAATCTGGGATTACACCCACCACAATAGCACGAAGAGCGCAGATACGTCAAGCTAACCAAGTGCAGGCAGCTGCTGGACCGAGCACACAGCCGCAAGAGGAGCAGCAAACGGAGGATGTGGAGATGGAGGACGCCCAGGAAGCGCGGGTACGTACCCTATCCTTTGTAAACGACGAGGTCTTCCGCACGTCCCCACGGCAAGAGAGCCATGTTGGGACTGCTTGTGAAGGCGGAGCAACATCTTCGACTCTAAATGACTATCTTCTGTGGCTGCGATGCGTTCTATGGAGTTCGAGCTCACGATCGTTTTCTTATCAGCCTGCCGAAGGGTATGAATCCGACAACCTTGATGAGCCCGAGGAAGCACCTGTGAAAACCCGGAAGCGCAAGCTCACGAAGGCGGCGGAAGCAAAACTCAAGGCGAAGGAGAAGGAGAAGGCCAAGAAGAAGGCCAAGAAGAACGATGATGACGACTACGAGGACGAAGATGAGGACCCGTATTCCGCTCTATCCAGGATGTGGAAGGACGATTTGCCCAAGCCCCCCGTCGGGAGCTTCGAGAACTGTGTTAGGTGCCAGAAGCAGTTCACCGTGGTACGCTCATATATCGTTCTTCTTTCCATTGCTGCGGCTCGAGCAGAAACATCCTGCAGACGAAGTATACGCTCCCTGCGAACCCTCCTCCAGGCTATCTCTGTCATCCATGCGCCAAGTCATCTGGCAGCGATCCGTTCAAGAAGCCCGCCGCGCCGAAGAAGCGCAAACCTGCGGGTGACAAACGGACTGTCACCAATTTCGACGAGCGTCGACTTCCCAGTCTAGCTGCAGTTTGCATCCAGGTTCGCTACAAGTCTGTTTCCACGTAACCTAATGCTAACGGAGGTATAGGTTATCAGTAAGCACATTGACGACGTCGAAGCCTTGGGCGACATCGGTTCCATGAACATGGACGAAATATCGAAGGCGTTGGCGAAGAATAGGAGCCTGTAAGTGGCGCTAGCGATTTGGATTTGGGTTTTTTCACTGACATCGAATCTCAGAAATGAAGAGAATGCGCCTCTGTTCTACAGCATCGAGAACGAACGGCTGATTATGTACGATGTTACCAGTATGTGTCATCGCTTTCATGTCTTAGTGGCCACCTAACATCTTAACAGAGCTCACACCACCCGCGCTGTGCACTCTTGCGTCCCTGAACCCGAGTTTGCGAAACTTGCGACTGGACTTCTGCGGCCATATGGACGATACCGTGGCCAGCGCGTGGGCTGCCGCCCTGCCAAACCTTAGGAGAGTCGAGCTTCTCGGTCCCTTCCTTGTTCGTGCAAACGGCTGGCAAACATTCTTCCGTGCCCACCCCGATCTTGAGGGCTTCCTCATCACCCAGAGCCCTCGCTTCGACATCGACTGCATGCGTGTCCTCGTGGAAAGCTGCCCGAAACTCCGTGAGCTGCGTCTCAAGGAAGTCGGGAAGCTTTCAGACGAGTTCCTTGTGGAGCTCAAGCCGCTCGGCGGCCAGCTCACGCACCTCGACCTCTCGTACCCCGGTCGCAGCGATGCGCTCAGTGAGTCCGCCCTCATCGAGCTCATGAGCCACGTCGGATCTGCACTGGAACATCTCGACCTCTCCGGACACGCCGCCGTTGGTGACGCTGTGCTGTTCCGCGGACTGAAGCCACATGCGCGCGCGCTTAAGGCTCTCACACTCGCGGACTGCCTCGAGGTTACCGACGCTGGTGTCGCCGAGTTCTTTGAGAGCTGGCAGGGCGGTACCCGGCTCTCGACCCTCAACCTCTCGCGTAACCCCGATCTGAAGGACGCTGCTCTGAAGGCGCTTCTTACGCACTCGGGCGAGGAACTCGTGGAGTTAAATATCAATGGGTGGAAGGATGTATCCGAAGACGCGCTGAAGGGTGTGTCGCAGAAGGCACCGAAGCTGCGCAAGCTGGACGTGGGGTTCTGCAGAGAGGTGGACGACTTCTTCGTCAAGGACGTGCTAGATCGGTGCCCCGACATCAAGGAGATCAAGGTCTGGGCGTGTCAGCGAGTAACGGAGGTCTGTAAGCGAAAGGTGAGTTTCACGTCGTCTATGTACGACCACAGTCTAGTTTATGATCCGTGCGCTGACCGCGCCTGCTTTCTTGCAGAGGGGGGTAAATATCTTGGGGATCGAGATGGCGCCGATTCACTAGCGCTGATGGAATCAACCTCGTGTTAATCGTATGTTTTCCTGCGTGCTCTGCTATCTCGCTTACTGCTTTGTTCTATGGAGTCATCACCGCGAATCTCTTATACTCTTTTTACATGATGGTCGAGTGACAGGATGATTGTTCCCTGCTTCCGGGCTAAGTGAAAGATGCATTGTTCTTGCCTTTATATATCCGCCACAGGGCGTGATCACGTTTAAACCCGTACTGACCATTTAGCTGCTGCTCTTTCTGTATGTGCCACATCTCATATCCCTCAGATATTCCTGCTGATAGTTGCATACTAGCTGCCATGTCATTCGGAAGCGTCGTAACGCTTGAAGAGCTGAAGATCTTACTCAGGGCAGCATCTACAGAGCTCAACGCCACCGGAAGAGACTCGCAACCGTACCGCCCCGATGACTTTACTGTGGCGCGCAGCGTCCGTCTCGTCGAGAAAAACGGATTGCCCCTGATCGTCAAGTATGGTACGCGCGTCAAACCGGTAGAGGCCGATACAACTCTCTTTGTCTCCCGCAACACGTCTGTTCGTGTGCCCGACATTTACGCTATCTTTACTGAGGTCGAGCAACACGAATATGAAGATGTCGAGGGCATCGACACCGCTGATATCGAAGGCCTAGGCTCCGTGGCCGACGAACCGCGGTCTATGACTTACATCGTCGAGGAACGCCTTCCTGGTCGAACACTCAAAGAGGCCTGGCCGGTCATGACCCACTCGGAACGCTTGGCGGTCGCAGTGGATCTCAAGAACATCTTCACGCAGCTCTCCGAGCTCGCTCCCAGGCGTATCTGTCTTGGCCCTCTCTGCGGTCCGTGGCAGAACGAGTTCTTCCGCCCGTTCGAGGACTGTTCTCCATGTGGCGACAACGACGCGCGCACGCTCCGCGACTTCCTCTCGTACTTCCACGGCATCGCCACCTCCGCCGGGTCGCGCGCACACAAATGGCGGTTGGACCACATCGATCTCGGGCGGCACGCGGTGTTCTCGCACGGGGATCTACAGCCCTGCAATATCCTGGTCTCCAGCGACAGGGGCGCGCGCGTGGTGGGCATAATCGACTGGGCCGCGGCAGGCTGGTGGCCGTATTTCTGGAACACGTTCGTGTTGCTGAGCAGCAAGGCGCGCTTCCGGAGCCTGGACGGGTGGGAGAAGATCATGCCGATACTGTGCGAGTGGCTTCCGGAGGAGGCGCGGGAGTTTCAGACGGTGCTGTCCGCGGCGATGGCGGCGCTCGGTGAGGTCGAAGATGAAATGCAGCATACGGAGTACTAAAGATACAGATATGGTTTCCAAGAAGACGTATAGGGAAACCCATTTGCGGCTGCGCTCATTGCAACGATCTCCCCCTCGCTACCCGGCCAGCCCTCCACCTCGATGTCGAATGTCTTCGGGAGGTTAACCCACTCTTCTATCCGCATCTGAGCGTCCGTATGCAACACTGTCGTGTCGCAAAACTCGCACAGGTTCTGCTCCCCGCCCTCCCTGCCCTCCCAGAGCCACCCATGCAGCGGCTCGTACCAGTGGCGCACGCGCGTCGCCTCGCGCAGGCTGCCCATGTCGATGTCCTGCAGAGTCCGTTGGATCGCGAGCGCACAGCGCTCCGGGTGGCGACAGACACGGCACGGCACAGCGCGGAGTACCCCCAGCGTGCGCGCCGCCCGCGCGGTCGTGAGCAGCGCGGTGCCCGCCATGACGCGCGCGCGCATGTCTGGGGGAAGCTCCTCGAGCTCGGGGCAGTGGATGGGGCCCTTGGCGTTCTTGTAGAACATGTCGGCTTGGGTGCGCGTCGCGAGCATGCAGCAGTCGAGCAGCGCGCCCGGAAGGAGGGTGGGGGTGTCGGTGAGTAGCGCGAGCGCGACGACGCGCGTGGCGGCAGTGGCGCAGGTTTCGAGGCATTTTTCGCGTGTCCGGATGTCTTCCCATTCCGTTGGGTTCGCGGGGTAGTACTTCTTGAGACGCGCGATGCCCTCGTCGACGAGGTCTTGTATTTCGTATTTGTGACCCATCCGGACGAGCGCGGAGAGGTAGACGAACCAAATCGCGGAGGGCTTGTCGGCGACATGGTAGTAGCTGTCGCGTGTGTCAGTCAGGAAGTGCGGAAACAGTGGATGAGTAAGACGTACTCCTTCCCTATGAACAAGGCGGAGAGCAGTGTTTGCAGTTCATGTGTGGTGTCTGGCATGCAGATGGCGGGACGGCCGTCTGCTGTCGTGGTGGCTGTAGGCAGCTGGCGCGCAATTTCGTCCTTGAGAACCCTCGACTCGCGCTCCAGGACCTCTCGGTATACACAGAACCCTATCGCTTCATTTCGAGGCAAAAGAATGATGTCGCCGTCCGGCAGCCACACGCATTCATCCTTCTCGATGTGGTGTGGGGAGGCATGAGCGCAATGGTCCTCCGAATCTGACGGGTCTGGCTTGTTATCAGGGAGCCTAGCGATTCGGTCAGCCCTGGGCAGTTTGACACACATAGCTCCGAAGGAGAACATGGCGGTAAGATGGCAGAGGAGGGGATGCGTTAAGGGACGACGACGCGGGATAAAGGCGACTCATGCGTGCCTCGACAAAGGTGTGCCACTGGGTGGCACAGCCGTATCTTTGTTCCCTCGGAGGCCAACACGTGCATCGTGCTTCTTGTCTTGCAGACGCAAAACGGTGCGAGTGGCTCACTTTGCTCGGTCCACCTACGTCCGAGTGGCCCAGTGCGTTAGCGCCGAATAGGCCTTTGTTCCCTTCAATTGTCGCCTCTCTTTGACTCTTACCTCCATACACCCCACAGTTCCAGCGATACGCCCTCCTTTAAACGCTTCAAGCATGTCCGACCAAAGACCCTGCAAGCGTCCTCGCAGAGAAGACGTACCTTCAGATGTCGCTATAGACTACCGCGCCGGGCCCATCACGGCCACCGATGCGCTCGCTAAACACGGGCCTACACGAGACGCAGACATCTGGTTCTCAACGGGGAACCTCATCATTGTCGCGAGCGGCCAGGTCGCGTTCCGCGTCTACCGAGGCCTTCTTGCAATCAAGTCGGAGGTATTCCGTGGGCTCTTCGAGCTGCCGCCTCCACCCGGCGACCACGAGAAGATGGACGATTGCCCGGTCGTCCAGCTCTCAGACTCGCCCGAAGATCTGAAGCCCCTTCTCCTGGTCATTTACTGCCGAAAAAAGTAAGCCGCGATCATCATGGTCCCCAATTATGTCACTCACCGCAACTTATGGCAGCTACTTCTACCGCAACGACGAGCCTATCCCGGTGCCATTCGACACCCTCGCAGCTCTGGTCCGCATGACGCACAAGTATGGGATCCATGATCTCTACGAGACTGCGCTCGGGCGCCTTCGAGCCTACTACCCCTCCGACCTTCGCTCCTGGGATGACATCTGTCGCCGCCAACGCTACGTGACAGCCCAGCCCTCCGACGCCCTCGTGTTGCTCAAGCTTGCACATCTGACGGAGACACAGTCCCTGCTCCCCACCGCCTACCTCATCTGCTGCTCGCTAGACGAAACAAGAAGGGTGCGCCCCCACACGGGCGAACAGAAGCCCCTCCTCGCCGAGCTCTCCGTCTGGGACCACAAGCGCGTGCTGAGCGGGAAGGCGCGGCTCGCACAGATGTGTGCGACGCGCGTCTTCCACATGCTGCGTCCGATTCCGTGCGAGACATGTATCCACCCGGAGGTCTGTATGGCGACGGTTCATAACGCGTTGAGGCAAATCAGCCTCGTGAAGCTCGAGAAGGCGACGAGCGACCTGTATGTTTTGGAGCCCCTCATCAACTGGTTCTGGGAGCAGGGGCCGGGGAAGCGGCCATGCGGCTACTGCTCGCAAGCGGCAGACGCAGCGCACAAAGAAATGCGGGAACAGGTGTGGGCCAAGCTTCCCTCTGTCTTCGGGGTCGAAGTAGAAGAGTGGGGGAAAGAGGTAGACGTAGAAGAAACAGACGTCGACGAAGATGAGGCAGAGGCGGAAGCGGAGGAAGAAGAAGCATAGTGGACCCGGGTTTGTGTGGCATACTTGATAATCTGCAATCGTTTACTGACAAGCCTTCAGAAGCGTTCAGAACCTCACACGGATTGTATGACTTACACATAGAGTATTCACCCTTGTACACCATATTCCTCCCTTGCAGTACTCTCTGTGTCGCTTGTGTATGAGAATGGAACCGCATAGCAGCACTAGATACGTGCATGTATATTTGACTTCCTGCATTCCGAGTACATTGTTGTGCGCCCATGATCCTACACGCCTTAGACGTGGCCGGCGATGCGCAGGGGCTGGTACGGCTCTTCGAGATACTTGATCTCATCATCGGTCAGCTTCACGGCGAGCGCGCCTACCCCGCTCCACACATTAGCGTCCGTTTCACCGCAGCGGTCACCTGGCAGCGAGGCGTACCAATGATATCCTCCAGGTTCTTCAAGTTCGTCGACCCGACGATGGGTGCGGAAACACCATCCTTGGAGAGCATCCAGGCGATCGAAACCTGGGCCATGCTTACGCTCTTCTTCTTCGCGAGCTCCTCCACCCTGAACAATCGTGAGTCAACGGCGTAGCAGAAAAGAGTCTGCGGTGGCTACATACCGCGAAACGATCGCCGTCGATGCCGGATTCTGGTACCATCCAAGGAGACTAGGAAGCAATGACCATATCAGCATCACTTATGCTGGGCCAAAATGTCTGCGAACAGGCGAAAGACGAAGTCGGCTTACTTATCAGACTCTGCCCGTTTAGAATCAGTGTTGAGCGGCCGGGTGAGCATTCCGCGCGCGAGCGGCGACCACGGTATGGACCCCACACCGAACATCTATAAAGTACGCTATGTTAAGCATCTAGTATATAAGGTGGAAGGCCACCTACCTTCAGCGTCGGGAACATCTCACGTTCTTCCTCGCGGTACAGCAGGCTGTAGTGGTTCTGCATCGATATGAACGGCGTGAGCTTGTGTGTGATCGCGTAGTCTGCCATGATGTCAGCTTGCACCAAACGGTATAGAAGGAATCCTATACAAACTTTGCATCTGGTGAACTGTATATCGCGTTAGCCAGAAGGGACATACACGATAATGTCTATGGGACTCACATTGGTACGCATAGCAGGAGCTCATGCCGATGTAGCGGACGTATCCGGCTTTGACGACATCGTGCAGGGCTTGCATCTATCGTGCACCAGTCAACCTTGAAATGGGCGCTTCAAATCTAGATGAGACAAACCGTCTCTTCGATGGGGGTGTTGTAGTCAAAGCGGTGACCTACGTGAAGTCAGCGTTGATGCTACCCTGAACGTACTCGGAGCACCTGATTCTTACATTGGAGCAGATCGATATGTTCCAGTTGGAGGCGTTTCAGGCTGGCCTTGACCGAGTCGAAGATATGCTGCCAACGCATACGTATGAGGCTTCATGGAGCCCGTAAAATTGACTCCAAGCACCGACCTTGCGACTGAGCCCGTATTGATTGATTATCCCGAGTTCTTCCGGCTTTTTACCCAGACCATAGAAGTATGTACCGTGGTCTGGCAAGACAGGTACGCAAAGCTGGCGTTGAAAAACCGGCCGCATGACTTAGATTAACCCTATGACACCCTCGTTGAGGACTGATACGCACCTTGGTCATGATGACGAGCTCCTCTCGCGGGAGTTGCAGCTCTTTGATCGCCTTTCCGAGGATTATCTCGGATAGGCCATTCGAGTATGACTTGGATAATCGAGTCAGTGCCTCCGTTGTTTTTGAACGTGAGACTTCAGACGGGACTCACGTTGGCGGTATCAAATGTCGTGATCCCATGTTCATATCTGAAGCACAGAAGGCGTAAGAAATATGCTCGAGATATAATACGCGCTGACGAAACGACGTACGCAAACTTGATATGTTTGATAGCTTCTTGCTCGGGGAGCACCCAGCTCTGCCACTCGGGGCTGCCGTATGACATGCATCCTAGGATGATACGCGACACCTTCAAGCCAGAGTTTCCGAGGCGAACTACAGAAACAGCGTTTCAGCAAACATCCTCCTGCAGTGAGCACATGATTAAACTTACCATACTGCATTGTTGTAGAGGGTTGAGCAACGTAGAACGAGACCGGTATATTGATTCGTGCAGGTAGAAGACGGTTTAGTGCGGGAAGGTATGCGATGTACCGAAGCTATATGTTAGAGGCAAATGTCCGACCGGCATACAGTCGCTCGTTCGGAACCCCATTTGCAAGACGTGTCGCGACACTTCGGTCGGGGTGAAGCCGCTATTTGCTACCTCCGCTCGAGTTTTGCGCACATGCGTCAGGTACTGTGACAACGTTCAGCAATGGCCTAACGTGATGCAGGCCGATGTATGGAGTTTCAGTTCACGGTGAGCACGGTTTGAAGCGGAACATCATTTCCAATGTCTTATGCTATGTCCGTCATACGTCGCCCTGGTAGAACCCGAGCAGCCTCGGAGAAGGGCACACCAGGAGCAAACGAATTTGGAATTCATATCCAGCGTTCCGAAACGTGAGCGGATGTGCAGGTGTAATCCTGATTGAGCAAGTGCTAGAGGGAGGGAAGTTTCTGTTGTTGTTGTCGAGTCGTTGAAAACGAGACAGAGTGTAAAAAGGCGCCCACTCCCCGCATCCTTCCCACGTGGCTTTGTTTGGCCAGCATAAGGGGCCAAACAAACATCAATCCCTCCTCGTCCTCTCCCTCATTGTCCGCTCGCCGACTCGCTGAAACCTGCCTCTTTTGCTGTCTGTGTGTATCTGTGGACATGGTAACCTGGCAACTGTCGCATATCTAGGCGTTGCTGTTGACTCGTGCTTGCCCTGCCTCGAGACCTTCCTCGCAAGGTAAGTTCGCCTCTGGACGACGCGAAGTGCACTCGATTGGCAATCTGCTACTCCTCCTCGCAACCTGTGGACGCAATCCTCTCTGATGCTAGTGGTATATAACGTGGATGTGAGAGGCATGGAGTCCGCATCATCAGCTAAGTCTCTCGACATCTGCTCGACGCACCAAGTCCTCTCCCGCTCGAGTCACTCCACACACACCACCATCCTTCTCACCCGAGTATCTTTCTCCAAGATGTCTTACACCGCCTTCGCGCCCTCCTACACCTACGCGAGCCCCGCGTCTCCCAACGCCTTCTCCCTCTTCGCGTCCGCCCAGTCGCCGCGCGACACCTACCACACCTACGAGGACGCACGCCAGGTGCTGCGTCTCTCCAACGGGCACTCCTCTGTCAAGAGGACGAAGACCTCCGGCCTGAAGAAGATCTTCGGGCTGTGAGCGGACACCCGCACGCTCGTTGACATCGATCCGAGCTCGCTTCCCTACCCCTCCAACGCGCTGGTCATGCACCTACGCCGCCATCCGGCCCTGTCGGCATGAGTCCTCCTCGCGCCCGCAGTCGCTCCACCGCCCACGCCGCACTTCCGACACTGCGTCACATCCCACCGTGGAGGACTCCTCTGCCGCGCCGCTCGTCTCACGGGCTCCCGACGTGGACATCCCGTCGCTCTCACCGTAAACCTCGCTCCCCGCGAGTCGGTCTCACTTCCTATGAAGTCCTAGCCTGGCTTAATGGGATATCTGGTTCACCGACGTATTCATGGACTATACTGTAGATCACCGGACTCTTAGCCATGGTCAATTGTCGCATCTGTAACCGCACACATGAGCCGCCTACAAATTGCATCCGATCGAGCAAATATCTAGCGTCATTGACTTGAGTATGTTTGGCAGGAAGAACGCAAACGACAGACACGGAACACCCCATGCTTTCTTCCGAATACATTCATGCTCTTTTAACACACCTCGTCGGTCTGCGCCCAGAGATCGCGAACGCATAAACGTTGAACCCCAGACGTCACAGGGGCAGCCGTAGTACGGCATGATTTCTGCGCTCGATTCGCTCCTCCCAGTACGTACGTCGGTTCCGGTTTCCGCCCCAGTTAACTCGTCTGCCGTTTGTAGGAGAAGCTCTTGCATACCCAGATGGTTGCGGAGAGTGTTCGCTGGAAAAAAGTTTGCAACCTCGGCACTCGACAACGCCGGCGGACATTAGAGGGTGTCAACGTCCTTGTCAGGGTCCTCGGAGCATACAGCGCAGCCCGGCGTCCCGCGCTGATTGCGCGGGGCCGACATGACGGCAAACGGCGTGCAGCATGCGTTGGAGCTCGCGGCGCGCTCCCGCAAAGGGAGACCGCTGTTGCCAGAGCATGGACAAAGCCCGCAACCGTGAATGAGCCGTGTACACGGTGAGCGTGCCATCTAACTTCTTGGATCGGGCTCGAAGGTCCAACTTGCCTCTTAGGCTTTGCGCTTCGTTCGTACCCGCCCTGGAGTCTAAAAGGCTTCCTTCGGCTCCGCGATGCAGTAGGCCACCTCCGACGACGTAACTTCTACGCATCAATCACTACCAAGGCCGGCCACGATTTTGCCTGACCAGAGGCTAAGATTAACAAGCGGTAACGTACCAGAATATAGTTCTGTCAGTCTATAACCATACCCACAGCCGCTCCATTCCACGGGGATATTCGCTGCCGCCCGAAACCTACGTATGCGCAGCTGAAACGATGCGGTGCCGCGCGAGGAACGTCAAACAGAAGCCTTTTGGAACTTGCGACGGAGTCGTCCGCGCCAGTAGCGGAGCATCAGTCAAGGGTCCGAGCTTCCATCTGTCCAGAACAACACGAACTGGATGGGCGTCGCGAGGTGGACGTCAGTATGCGGAGCATCTGCCAGTACGGAGCATTGCGGCCCTGGGGTATAAGCGGACGTGGTAGCCTCGTGGTAGAACGCCGTGAGGTCCGAATGCGGCCCTGCAAGGACAGACGGCGCTACGCTGCTATGTGCCCGTACGTTATGCGCGTCGGTCGCGAGGAGCTGCCAAGTTTATCGTACCTGTGACGTTTAACATGATGAGTAGAATGACGAAGGTGCAGGATGCGAGCGCTGCGACTGTCCACGGCGTCCGATGAGGCGAAAGAGAGAACCAGACTGACCGTCGCGGCTGTATAAAAAGGGATGGAGAGGAGGGATTTCTCTACAGGTCGAACAATCCACTCGCCCTTCGCTCTTCAACATCCACTCATCCTACTACTCTCTCAACCAACATGATGTTCTCCCGCACTCTCGCTCTCACCATCTCTGCCCTGCCCCTTCTTGCGGTCGCCACCCCCCTCGAAGCCCGTCAGGATTGCTCCACCGGGGCTCTCCAGTGCTGTGACAGCACTGAGACGGTATGTGATTCCGATTATGCTTTCCGTGTTCGACCGAGCTGATTTGGATGCGTGCTACATAGGCTGGCTCCGCCGCGGGCGCTGCCCTCCTCGGTCTTCTGGGCATCGTCGTCCAGGACGTGAATGTTCTCCTGGGAGTCAACTGCTCTCCGATCACCGTCATTGGCGTCGGCGCGGGTAGTTCGTGCAGCGCCCAAGCCGTATGCTGCGAGGACGACAGCCACGTACGTTCCCCGCCGAGCTCTATGAGGCTTCTGATGAGTAACTTGTATATCTAGGGAGGTCTCGTTTCCATCGGTTGCGTGCCCGTGACCCTTTAAGGACGAGTGGACGTGTTGTCTTGATGAAGGAGAAGCATACGGACACTAGACTATCGAGTACTATGATTGTTTCTTGAATGGACATATGCGAGAATGTTGAATATTCTATGTTCGACTCGTAAACGGAATCCGCACATGGTGCCCACTAGCAACAGACCCGCGACTCCAACTTGCGAGCACGTATACGCATGAAGGTCCAGCTTACGGAAATTACCCGTCGTGAACATCTGGAAAACTGACAGATAAACTACAACGGCAAACATGCACGGCCCCTTCACTGGGTACAGTACTCATCCACGTTGCTCAGCTCCAGAAACGCTGCCAGGACATGCTCAGGCATATCCCAGTGCGCCTCGTGAGGAGGATAAGCTTATGCACGCTACGGGGCAGACACATGACTCACAAAGTGGTTTGCACCTCTCAGGCGCACGAAGACAGCGTCCCTCACGGGCAACCCGGCCTCTCGGGACTCCTGCAGCTCCTTGTACAAGGAGTATGCACCCCACGGCATCTCCCACTCGGTGTGATCGCACCATACAACACGAACTTCAACATCGTGCCACTTATTGCCGACGTGCCCATCATCGTCGAGGTAGAACGCCCGCCTGTGCAGTGTTTGGTAGGTCCCGAGCTTCATGCATGCCTGCGTCAGGAGTCGATCGCATCCCCCCGGCCCACCAGCAGGAGGGTATGTAGACTCCTCGAGCTCTTCAGAACTCATGCGCGTCGTGGTGGGCGAGGGGTCGGCGAGCGCGGGTCCGAAGCTTAGCGCAGAGGCACCGCGCGACCATATGTCGCCGTGGGCGTGGTAGCCAGAGAGCCAAGCGTCGTAAGCATCGGAGGGTTCTGACGGGTATGCGACTGGGGGCGGGGGCTGGCCGAGGCCGACATAAGATCCGTCTGGATATCAAGAGAGTTGAGCACGACCGACCACAGGGCGGAGAAGGAAGCGGGATCCAGATAGGCTAGGCCTCGTGCTCACCGTAGTAGACGATGCGCTTGAAGTATGACCGGAGATCTACTTCCCTTGGCGGACAGTAGTCGATGTTGGCGAGCAATGCGTTCATCCAGACCGTCCCGAACGACCACCCAACGAGGATGATCCCTCCCGCAAGAGGTGTATGCTCGCTTGTGATGAAGCGCGTCAGGTAGTCGTGGATCTCCTGCGTACGATCGCGCATGAACGCGAGCATAGTCTCTGCATTGTTTGGCGTAGGCGGCGAGGTTACGAGGCTCTCAAGCAACGAGAGATCCACATTGTTGAATGGCGCAGACCCCGGGTATCCGTGCCTGTTCACAGCGACGACCCGCGCGCGGTGCTGATGTGCAAGCGGAATTAGTTTCCTGAAGTTTCCTACGACGAAGCATGAGAGTGGCGTGTGAGCTTGATGCAATGCAGTTTGATTGAGGGCAGACACACCGCCATGCCAGACGTAGCCGTGAATGATGACCACCGTCGTGTAGTTTGCAATCCCTGGCGGAGGGCCAGAGTCAAGATATGCATATAAGGCAGTGTCAGAGCTCTGAAGATGCGCTGTAGATGCTCTGTCCCGTGTTGCCCGCATCTGAGCGAGGGGACAGAGGCTGCAAAGTAAATGGCAAGAGCAGAGAGCGCGAGCGCCCTGATCTGACACTCGAGCTGGGCATATTCGGACATCCAAGCGCTGGTCGGTGCTCTGGATGACGTACAGGTTCGGAGTAACACAGTGAGATTTTTCAAGATGCAACAAACGAGAGAACACGTAGATTCTGCGTCTCATGAATCGCTATGCCATGTCGGAGCCTCGAACGCAGACCAACCAGTGTGCGCAGGCGCGTGGTATCTACGGCAAGTCGAGAGCGGCGGCGAGCAGCTTCGCGAAGTTAGGCGTCCCCAAGCCAGTAACCTGTCAAAGGATGACAGTGCAACCACGTATGTCTCAGCCTCAGCTAAGCTTAGGTCCTACACAAGGAAGACTTACCGGGTCCCATCCCTGTGCGGCAGGAAAGCCCTGCGAGCCGCAGCCAGGGTTCGAGCCCTCCGTGACGTCGTTCAACGCGCTCGCGCCAGCCTCCGAGTACAAGAACGGGTTCAAGAACCCAAGCGGCGGCTTCCCTTTAGATGCGAGACGGTCGTTGATGAGCGCGATAACGCTGGCGAACAGCGGGCTCGACGCGCTCGTGCCCGAGACGATGTCCGTGTCGCCGCTCACGACGATCAGGTAGTCGACGCCGGCCGCGGAGACGTCCGGGAACGCCCGCCCGCTGGCGTTGAAGAGGCCTTCATTGACTGTGCCGTTAGCGAGTGTCTTGTTGATGTATGTGTCGACGACGGCCTGCTGGTATGCGGGCGTCGGGAAGAAGTTGGAGAACCCGCCCGATGAGAACTCAGCGGCCGTTTCGATGGTGAGTCCGGAGGTGGTGGTTAGTTGGGTGGCGCCGACGGAGGTTAGGCTAGAAACGTAAGTGAGCGATTGGAATATGGGACGAGAGTGTGGACGGAAGACTTACAAGGGGCAGCCGGAGGGGAAGGTCGGGACGAACTGGACGCAGCCCTTTGCCTGCGAGCCGGAGACGCCACCGTCGCCCGAGGAAAAGAGGATAGACGTTCCTCTCGCACCGAGCTGAGCGTACGCTTGGCACAAATTCCTGCGTGAGGCAATGACTGTCGTCAGCGCATACAAGCTGGCACAAATTTTGAGACATACCGAACCAGGTTTTGGGATAGTGCGCCCTCATCGGCCCCGTAGCTGGTCGTCAGAACCTGGGGCGGAGCAGGCTCTGCTAAGAGAGAATTGATCAAGTCCAGGAAGCCGAAGATCCCGTCCTTTGTGCTGTCGCCGACGGAGAAGAAGGTAGTGTTGACCGCCGTAGCGATGCCGACGGTGTATTGAGTATCTAGATTCTGCCAGGTCCCTTCATTATAAGTCTCAGTAATACGCGAAGACGTAAATCTGTCACATACGGCTTCGATACCGGCGTCAGACGGATCCTGAGGGTTCTGGCCACCGTCAAGGGCTTTCAGGTTAAACGTCGTGCTGTTGGACACGTCTGGGCGGAATTTTGTCAAGAATGTCTGGGGAATCTGAGTAAGCTACTATGGATCCTGCAAGTTGCGTGGTAAACTCACCTCCAGATCCGCTTGGTTAGCAAACTGGTCAATGAAACCGCTAACACCGAGCTGGTTGCTCGACTGCGTCGCAGGCGTCGAAGGGATGCCATATAAGTCCTGCAAGCACGCCGGCGTGATATCCACATCACACGTTGTCGGGACAGCGTTCGCAACGAGAGCGGAGTCGACCGGCACACGGGCTTCGCGATGCGCAGAGACCACTGGTACAAGAGGCTTTATGTCTGCAAAGCTGTTGCAAATTTGGCAATGGGTCAGTAAGACGGCGATGCGTATGCGAGGCCAGCACTGACGTAATGGTAGGATGAACGAGGTCCAGGTGGTCCTTGAGCTCGGCGGGGATAGAGTACGACAACGTCCGGATAACTTGACGACCAGTGGCGTCGTCTTGGAAGACGGAGAATTGGGCGCCGAGAAGCTTATTCGCTTTGCTGACCGGCACCTGGACGGCGATCCAGTCCCCGGCGGGCGATATGGGCGTCCCGCTGAGGCCGTTGGCAGCGAGCCACGCGTTGACGGCAGTGACACTGTCCTGCTTGGGCGCGACGTACTGCTCGACCTACAACACGAATATCAGTAATCATAGTAGTAATCGTAGGCGACCACTACCAAAATGATATTGGCGTACCTCCGCTTTGGACAAGTGCTTGCCATAATTGGCACTCGACGGCGTGCTGACGTCGTAGAGCCGCTCCTCGAGCCCAGCAAAGTTGCTCTGGACGAGCGCCATACGAAGGTTCAGCACGGTGTCGGGCGCCGCCGCGCCGTGGATAGAGAATCCAGCAGGGATTCCCCTACGGGCTTCGTGCAGCTGGAGGGTCGATGCGACCGCCGAGCTGGCGACTCCGGCGCACGCGGACATGAGTGCGGCGAGCCTGAGGAAGTTGACGACGACCATGGCGTTGGCGGAGGTGGTGCAAGGAGGACTGAGGGGAGCCCTTGTGTCTGTAGTGGCATTTTGCTACCTCTTTTATAGGTGTGTGTCTATTGCGCCAGTGCCAGGTTCTCGTTGCGACGTCGAGCCCAGGCCGTCGCAGATCGTGGCTGAAGGGCTTCTACATCGCCCTTCATGGGTAGAGAAGGGGGAAGCCATGTGCCTACAGACCAGAGGCCGAGTCAGTTAGCGGAAGAAGACGCCAGTCTGGTCGTATATAAACCTGCTGCCTGTCCACGCCAGCGGCCGTACAGACCGTATGACCTTCCGGAGCGCTCAACGTGGTGCATCTGCGTCACGTAGGCTCAATTTGCTGAGACTTTTACCGGAGATTTGTGCTTCTTTGAGGTGATTCAGGACGACCGGTTTCCAGAGTGCTCTCCCCGTTGGAACGTGGTGGATGGTGGCGGTTCTTCTTGACGGAGCGTGGGTAACTCATACACGGAAGAACGAGTTTCGAGTCTTCGCGCCAAGGCAGGGCATACAGTGGATGATATGGCTGTCAGAAGTTAAGCTCGGTGCTTGCTATACCATACAGCATGGGGCACGCGGCACACACCTTCGGTTACCTAGAGCATCCCACATGCCAATCTCCATTGATCGTAAATCTACCAGGCACGGGGCTGGCTGGGATTACAAGCTTGTTAATTTGGGGTTCTGCAAATTTGAATACGATTTCTCCGCATTTCTTGTGCGCTGCATGCAGAGTCTCGATGGTGTGTGATGCATGATGGAGGAGAGGAGGAACCTACTTACGTCGGGCGTCTCCCAACCCGTGCCAATGAATCGCTGTGACCATACCACGTGAGCGTGATGCAACGCGTTTCAGGCCTGCAGCGCCCGAGCGCGTCATGAGCTCGCGCGGCGCGTCGTACATACCGAAGCGCCCAGCCGTCCTAAGGAGGGACGCAGAATGGCGACGGCCGACGCCGAAATCAGCCAAAGTCGGAGCAGGTTCAAGTCGGCCTCCACCCACGCTTCTACGTCATGCGTTTCGCTGTGCTAGCGTGCTATAATATATCTGATGTTCGCGTTCAACGTTCAACGTTCAACATTCATGAAATTCGTGCGACTAATTGTTATACAACGACTCGACCTTGCGGAATGTCTCTACGGTCTCTGCAGCGGAGACTCAGTAGTGGCCGATGATGTTCGTGGGCTGGTACGGCTCCTCGAGGTACTTGATCTCCTCCTCCGTCAGCTTCACCTCGAGCCCGCCTGCACCGTGTCAGCATATGCATTGCGAGTGAAGGATAGAAATAAAAGCGTACCGAGGGCGTCCTCGAGGTTCTTCAGGTTGGTGGTGCCGATGATGGGCGCGGACACGCCGGGCTTGGAGAGGACCCAGGCCATGGAGATCTTCGCCATGCTCACGCCCTTCTTCTTCGCGAGCTCCTCGACGCTGGTAGTAGCTGAGTCAGCTTCGCGGAGTAAGCGCAAGTTATTGCGTGTACACACCGGCCGACGATCTTGGGGATGCTCTGCTGCTGGAAGAAGTACATGAACCTGTATGACGCGGGCGCGGGAACGTCAGCATCATAAGACGTGTAGTATTAGTGTAGGATCACAAACCCGTCTGTCTTGCCACGCAAAGTCTCCTCAGTCATGGGGCGGGTGAGCAGACCACGGCCGAGGGGCGACCACGGAGTGGAGCCGACGCCAAAGAGCTACATGCCAAATCTATCAGGAGGCGTGTCGTGCCGGATATATGAGCGACTTACCTTGAGCGTCGGGTACATCTCGCGCTCCTCCTCGCGGTAGATCAGGCTGTAGTGGTTCTGCATGACGATGAACGGCGTGAGGTTGTTGTTGATCGCGTAGTCTAGCGGCGTAGGTGAGCGATATGTCACGCATCCGGAAGCCCTCGAAACGCACTCTGCATCTGATGGACTGTGAACGAAGATCAGCTGAATGTACAAGTACGTTCTGTGGTCGGACTCACACTGGTACGCGTAGCAGGAGCTCATGCCGATGTAGCGCACGTAGCCGGCCTTCACGACGTCATGGAGCGCTTGCATCTACCATGTCCTTCAGCCCGTGTACCACGCGCCTAAGTCACCGCTGATGAGGCACTTACCGTCTCCTCGATCGGCGTCTCCTTGTCAAAGCGGTGGCCTATCACAACCATTGTGAGTGAGCAGACATCGGACGATGATTCAAGGAGGCACGCACAAAACAGGACGTCAATGTAGTCAAGCTGAAGGCGCTTCAGCGACGCCTTCACGCCATCGAAGATGTGCTGCAAATCGCCAATCGATGGTGAGTCTCGGGGAACGGCATGTCTCGGGACGGCGAGGAGCGGGACGCACCTTGCGGTTCAGGCCCTGCTGGTTGATGATGCCCTGGGAGAGCGGGTCGAAGCCCGGGACCCAGACGTTCACGTTTGCGGCCTTCGGCACCGGGCTGAACAGCTAGAGGTGGCAAAGGATATCAGGGCGCGTTCTGAGGTGTAGCAGGTGGCTGTATGCGGACCTTGGTCATGATCACGAGCTCCTCGCGCGGGAGGTTCAGCTTCTTGATCGCGTTTCCGAGGGTGACCTCCGACAGGCCGTTCGAGTACACCTGCGCTTGACATGAGCTGCATTTCCGCGATCGCATCTACCAGCAATATGCACGTACGTCTGCGGTGTCGAACGTCGTGATGCCGTGGTCGTAGCTGAGCGAGAGTCAGCGGTCAGGACTGCGCGTACCTCGCGCCACGATGTGCACGACGTACGCAAACTTGATGTGCTTGATGCCCTCCTCCTCGGCGAGGACCCACTCCTGCCACTCGGGCGAGCCGTAGGACATGCAGCCCAGGATGATCTTGGAGACCTTCAGGCCGGAGTTGCCGAGGCGGACTGCGCGGCTCCTCGTCAGTTCCTTCGCTTCGACGCATGATAACTGGATCACCACCGACCGTATTCCATCTTCGTGTTGGCCATTGTGAGCTGTGGTTGGCTAGAGTGAGCTGGATGAGCGTCGATCTGAGAGAGCTTCGAGTTGGATGATGGAAGATCTCTGCGGCGAGAAGAGGCCTATATAAGCACCACGCAGCCTGGGCTGTACCGTAGCTCGCGGTGTAAGACAGATGTCAATCCCATGACAAGATTGTAGGGATCGTGGGTGCGAGAAGTGCGCTCGTGCTACTGTGATCGGCTGCGAGATGCCGCTGCGGGCTTCTGTAATAGGCAATCCAATTGCCATATACAGAAAAACCCACACAAAGCAGGGAATGGGTATCGCGAACGTGCCTTGTCTCTATACCTCTTGACCCACTGTCGTGACTGTTCTCTGACGTGCCGCAACGCCGCGTCAGTGTAAGAGCCTCCGAATCGGACTCGAGCAAAATCGACGGACAACCTACTTCAAGAAAACACTGAAACGCATTCGCCGACCGGAGGCATCGCCTACCACCACCGGCGCTCTGAGACAAGGGAACAACCTACCACACCTCCGAGCGGAACCTCGCATGCTCACACGCATACCGTCATACGGCGCACAAGTACGTCGCGTACATCGCTTCCTACATTCACTACCTTCTTTGGCGTTGTATTCGTACACGTACACGTTCAAGCCGCTGTGCACGGGGAGGAGCGGCTCGCCGATCGGAGGTAGCACACAGCACCCACCCCGGCCTAGGAGTGACCAACGATCGCGACCGGCGTGTACGGCTCCTCGAGGAACTGAATGTCCTCCTCCGTGAGCTTCACGTCCAACGCGCCTGAAAGTAGACCCCATCCCCGTCAGTCTGCGTGTCCCTCCACCTCGATGCGTGCCACTCACCGATGATGTCCTCCAGGTTCTTGAGATTCGTCGTCCCAATGATGGGCGCGGTCACGCCTGGCTTCGCGAGGATCCAGGCGGTCGCGATCTGCGCCATGCTTGCGCCCTTCTTCTTGGACAGTTCCTCGACTCTGTGAGTTCGTCAGCCTCGCGCACCTATGCGGTGTGAACATCACTGCGAGAAACGGAGACGTACCGGCCGACGATGGCGGGGATAGCAGGTATGTCGTAGATCTTCTGATACCTGCGATGTGTGTGAGCGACCAGGGGGCGGCGTGGCGGACGGGCATGACTTACGCGTCGGTCTTGGAGCGCAGCGTCTCGGTGTTAAGCGGGTGCGTGAGCATGCCGCGGCCGAGCGGGGACCACGGGATGGCACCCACGCCGAAGTTCTATCGTCACGGGCGTAAGACCCTGCGCAATTGATGTGCAGGCATGCGACGCTGGCGGCGCACCTTCAGCGTCGGGAACATCTCGCGCTCCTCCTCGCGGTAGATCAGGCTGTAGTGGTTCTGCATGGAGATGAACGGCGTGAGGTTGTTCGTGATCGCGTAGTCTGTCACAGTCGGTGAGTAATATATACGGTGACGACGCCCTGCAAACGTACTTTGCATTTGGGTGACTATCTCTCGTGGTTAGCGCCGCACAAACTGAACCAAGATAGTAGTCGCGGACTTACACTGGTACGCATAGCAGGAGCTCATCCCGATGTAGCGCGCGAGTCCCGCCTGGACGACATCGTGTAGAGCGTGCATCTGAATTCACGTAGCGCATCAGCGACACGATGGACCGATGCACTATGGTTTAGGCGCATACAGTCTCCTCGATGGGTGTCTCGTAGTCGAACCGATGGCCTGCCCAAGCGAGTCTTCAGTTTCCTGCTCTTCCGCGGCGCGCACGTACTCACATTGCAAAACATCGACGTAGTCCAGCTGCAGTCGCTGCAGGCTCTCCTTCACCGAGTCGAAGATGTGCTGCACGATGGAGTATGGTGAGCACACCCAGTCACACACACGCGACAAGCTACGGTGCCCCACCTTGCGGTTCAGCCCTTTCTGGTTGATGATCCCAGCGGATTCCGCCTCGGGTCCCGACCAGATAGCCTTGGTGAGGCCCTTCGGCTTCGCGAAGTACAGCTATGCACAGACGGAGTTAGCGAGGAATAAACACTCATCATCGGAAATGTAGGTGCGCACCTTGGTCATGATGACCAGCTCCTCGCGCGGCAGGTTGAACTGCTTGATCGCCTTCCCGAGGGCGACCTCGGAGAGTCCGTTTGAGTAGATCTGCCGTACAAATACTGTGAGCGTTATGGACATCAGACTGTGAGACACGCTTCTACGCACGTTGGCCGTGTCGAAGGTCGTGATTCCATGGTCATACCTAGCAGGCCGATATTACAGGTCATCACCCTTGTACCGAGATCTTAGACGCAACAGACTGGGACTTACGCGAACTTGATGTGCTTGATGCTCTCTTCTTCGCCCAGCACCCAATCCTGCCACTCGGGGCTGCCGTAGGACATACATCCGAGGATGATTCTGGACACTTTGAGCCCGGAGTTGCCGAGGCGGACTGTGCATAGTCACAGTGAGTGATGAGGCATAGAAGGGCATGCGCTCATATGACTTACCGTATTGCATCTTCTGTGTACTCATCTCCGGATCTAGAGGAGGGACGGTTACTATGTAGGGCGTCTGAAGGGGAATGCGGTCCTTGCAGTGCAGATCGTGAATGGATCGGTTATATATGCGCTGGGCTGGACTCCACCAAAGTACCGGATAGCGAGGGTGTTGGCTCTCTCCGGCCAACAAGGGCCCGCGATGAGAGATACCAGAGTGGCCGCGGAACGTTTATGACGTCTACAGCCGGGGATAAAAGTCGCGCCGAGCCTCTCGCCGCACCTTTCTTGACCTCGATGGGTGAATGTGGCGGACATAGCAGTATAGCTTATATACCGATCGGCATTCATAGTACTCAACGCTCGACGGTGCCAGCCGGCTGTGATAGAAGTTTGCATCGTCCGCGGAATCTGCATTGGTTCGCATGGTCTGCACATGACGTGCATCATGCCATGGCCGTGCAGAACAGAGGCCAGGTTTGTAGCCTTAGGGTCAAAGTCTAATCTCTGCACACTTATACGTGAGTGTGTAGGCACGCACAGATTCTTGTCAATGCAAAACCACATACTGTAGCACTCCCGAGCGCATCATGGTTAGATCACACTGGCACGCGCGCCACCCTAGCGTCGGACAGATGTCATTTCAAGTTCTTACTTACATTCCCCACCTTCTTCTGTGCTATATTCATACACGTACACGTTCCAGCTACTACACACGGGGAGTAGGGCGTCGTTCGGAGATAGCAAGTAGCACCCATTAGGAGTGACCAACGATCGCGACGGGCGCGTAGGGCTCCTCGAGGAACTTGATGTCCTCTTCGGTGAGCTTCACGTCGAGCGCGCCTGTCGCAGAAAGCCCTGTAGTCAGTATCTCTTTCCTCGATGCTCTGGAGGCGGGATACTGCCACTCACCGAGGATGTCCTCCAAGTTCTTGAGGTTCGTCGTCCCTATGATGGGTGCGGTCACACCTGGCTTCGCGAGGATCCAGGCGGTCGCGATCTGCGCCATGCTCGCGCCCTTCTTCTTGGACAATTCCTCGACGCTGCAGAATCGTCAGCCTCGGCATGCAGAAGTGGGAATGAGGGACAGCGACGCACCGGCTGACGATGGCAGGGATAGCAGGTATGTTGTAGATCTGCAGATACCTGGTAACAGTGTGAGCGCGGAGCGCACAATCGTGGTCAGTGGCGGCGGACGGCGTACCCGTCGGTCTTGGAGCGTAGCGTCTCCGTGTTAAGCGGGTGCGTGAGTATGCCTCGCCCGAGCGGCGACCACGGGATAGAGCCCACGCCGAAGTGCTATCGTCATACATGTCAGATTCTGCTGTGGAGATAAGGGGAGTGACGAGCGGCGCACCTTCAGCGTGGGGAACATCTCCCGTTCCTCCTCACGGTAGATGAGGCTGTAGTGGTTCTGCATGGAGATGAACGGCGTGAGCTTGTTCGTGATGGCATAGTCTGGCATAGTCGGTGAGTGGAATATAAGATGGGGATAAGTCTTGCGAACGCACTTTGCATCTGGCTGACTGTCTCTCGGGGTCAGCGTGGCGCGCGCACGCAAGTTGTATACGCGGGCTTACACTGATATGCAAAGCAGGAGCTCATGCCGATGTAGCGAACGTATCCCGCCTGAACGACGTCATGGAGAGCTTGCATCTGAGTTCACGCAACGCGTTAGCGACGAGATCGAGCGCTACAAGTCCGATGAGCATACCGTCTCCTCGATGGGGGTGTCGTAGTCGAAGCGGTGGCCTGTACAATTGCGCAGTCAATATCGGCTTCATAATACATCTCCTGCGTCTGCGCTTACATTGCAATACATCGATGTAATCAAGTTGCAGGCGCTGCAGGCTCTGCTTCACCGAGTCGAAGATGTGCTGTACAACAGATCCCGTCAGCATCCAGAGCTGCACGTTTGACACGCTTCACTTGCCTTGCGGTTCAGCCCCTTCTGGTTGATGATACCGGCCGCTTCCGCGTCGGCAGCCCCCCAAACAACTTTGGCGGGGTCGTCCGGCCTCGGGAAGTAAACCTATGCACGCAAATTATCAACAAGGGCTCATCGGTGCGTCTCATAAGCGTAGGTGCAGACCTTGGTCATGATGACGAGCTCTTCGCGCGGAAGGTTGAACTGCTTGATAGCCTTTCCGAGAATTACCTCGGAAAGTCCGTTCGAGTAGACCTGCAGGGGAAGGATTGTGAGCATTTAGAGTGTTCAGATGCACTAGACGATTCTCACGTTGGCGGTGTCGAAGGTCGTGATGCCGTTGTCGTAGCTAACAATCCGATGTTGTGCATTCAGCAGATCATCCCAAGACGTTATGTGCCACAGGAACTCGTACGTACGCAAACTTGATGTGCTTCAGGCCTTCTTCTTCGCCCAGAACCCAGCCCTGCCAGTCGGGAGAGCCATACGACATGCATCCGAGGATGATCTTCGACACCTTCAACCCGGAATTACCGAGGCGAACTGTGCGCACCCAACGTCAGCTATGCCCGACAAGGGGTATCTATGACAATTGACCGTATTGCATCTTCTTGCTGCTCATTTTCGGGGGAGGGGCTGTATCTGCGTAGGACGTTACGAGGGGAAGGGGTCCTGAACATCCACGCAGCTTAGCGATCGCTATATAAGCACCGCGCAGCGAGCCTAGGCGCCCCTTGGAGCTCCGAATGCGAGAACGATGCTGACACTGCGTAGCTAGCAAGGGCTGTCAAGAATCCCCGAGTAGCCGCGGATCTTCGACGACGCAAGTCTCCTGATAATCGATGACGTGCGGCAGGTGGTAAGGGCTGCGCCGAGGTCTGCTTCGTCTCTTCTGACCTCCTCGAGCCACGCGTGTAGGCCATGAATAGAGCAGTAAGGGTCCAGAGGGCTGATGGAATGGGCGTAGTAGCACAGAGGATATCCCGATCGGCGTTCATACCACTGCTAGAACCTACGGTCGCTGCTGAGAGGGCGACATTGCTGTGCTGCGTTAAGTTACGTGGGAGTGGCGAGAGGGCATATGACCCTCCATGAGAAAGGCACCGTTAGTTGCGCCTTCGCGGAGAACGCAGCTATGTTCGGAGTGGGAGGTGGAAGAGAGACGCAGTCGATAACTTGGGCCCCGACACGGCGGCAATACACACAATTTCTCACGGTCGACCAAGCCTAATGCGATTGGCTGCTTAGCCAGCTCAGGCTACAGTCTACATCGAAGGACAAGTACTCCGCTCTCAAGTGAGCCACGCTATCCATTTAAAGTCTGAGCGAATCACAGTATACAATTAGGGTACATTAGAAATGCCCGGAGATGGCCACCGGCTTGTACGGCTCCTCGAGGTACTTCACCTCCTCGTCGGTCAGTTTCACCTCCAGAGCGCCTGCGACACGATGGACGGACGTTAGCGTAATGCCTCAAGCTACATCACCGCGACATCCACTGACCGAGAATGTCCTCGAGGTTCGACAGATTCGTCGTGCCGATGATAGGTGCACTGACACCAGGCTTAGCCATGATCCACGCGAGTGAGATTTGCGCCATGCTAGCGCCCTTCTTCTTCGCCAGCTCCTCGACGCTAGGAATTGAACAATCAGCGATGATAAACTCATTCAAGAATGAAGTCGGCGTACCGGTTCACGATGTTCTCCGTGGCCGAATTGTCGTAGTTCTTCAGGAACCTGCATCCCCACAAACCGCTCAGTAACGTTTCGTCTCCCAGGTCAAAGGGCTACGCACCAATCGCTCTGCCCGCGCTTGGTTTCGGCGGCGAGAGGACGAGTCAGCCTTCCACGCCCGAGTGGGGACCAGGGGATGGAGCCGACGCCGAAGTGCTTGAGCGTGGGGAACATTTCCCGCTCCTCCTCCCTGTAGACGAGCGAGTAGTGGTTTTGCATCGAGATAAACGGCGTGAGGTTGTGCGTGATCGCGTAGTCTGGCGTGGAATATTAGCTGCGAAAGCGACGTGGGGTAGAACACGGTAACGTACTCTGCATCTGATGGACTGTAGTGTGCCGTCGACGTCAGACACATATAAAATCAGTGAAAGCTGCGAATTTACGCACACTGGTACGCATAGCACGAGCTCATTCCAATGTACCGGACGTAGCCCGCCTGTACGACATCGTGAAGTGCTTGCATCTATAGAATCAGATATTTCTTGTCAGACAGGAAGCGTGGATGCGAGACGTCATAGGCACTCACTGTCTCCTCGATGGGGGTGTTGTAGTCAAAGCGATGGCCTTTCATGGATGACGTCAGTTACAGGTATGCAGAATGTGAGGGACGGTACCTACACTGGAACAGGTCGATGTAGTCGACCTGAAGCCGCTTCAAGCTTGCCTTCACGCTGTCGAAGATGTGCTACAGGTCTCACATTGAGCAGCAAGCTTCTCGCGGACTGGCGTGTAAACGTACCTTCCTGTTCAGTCCACGCTGGTTGATAATGCCCAATTCCGCGAGTTGCTCGTCGCTCTTCGCAAAAGTGAAGACGGAAGGGTCAGGGTGCACAGCAGCGTAAAGCTAAGCGGGAGAGAAATAAGATAAATTTGAGAGTTATGAGTCCGACGCGTACGTACCTTGGTCATGATCACGAGCTCTTCGCGCGGGAGGTTAAGCTGTTTGATTGCCTTTCCGAGGATGATCTCGGATTGGCCGTTCGAATATACCTACCGCAGGTACATTGTGAGCGAGAGGACGAGTTTATCATAATGTTAATACTTACGTTGGCAGTGTCGAAGGTAGTGATGCCATGTTCATAACTATACCCCTTCACGTGAGTACTATGATCAAGGAGATCGTGCGACTAGGGAGACGTACGCGAACTTGATGTGCTTGATGCCCTCCTCCTCATTGAGGACCCACTGCTGCCACTCGGGAGAGCCGTAGGACATGCAGCCGAGGATGATCTTGGAGACCTTCAAGCCCGAGTTCCCGAGGCGAACTGTACGATGCGGTCAGTTCAAGAAGGAAACCAGCCCCCATGATAGAGGCAAGACATACCATATTCCATCTTCGGAGCCATGGTGTTTATGTTCGGTGTGTTAGGTCTGTATGAATGCGTGAGGAGGTGGATGAGTGGTGAGAAACATCCTGAGAACCTTGAGTGCTTTTATACGCCTGCGTCGGCCATAGCATTTCCACACTGCGAGCGTCATAAAGGCTCCTTACCAATCCTAACTTCTCCAAGGCGTTCACAGGGGATCCGGGGCTATACAGTGCTATTCATGCAGCATACGGAGATAGCATACTCGCATGTACATCATGCCACCGCTGGTAGAGCCCGCGGCCCTTGGAGCGACTGGACGCGCGTATTGAACTGTGGATGGCGCCGGCGTCTCATGCTGTAGCCGTTTTACAGGCCTGAAGGTCCGCGAGAAGCAAGGCTACTGGCCGCAGTTCGTTTTCTCCCCGACGTGTGTGAATGACGGGTACCAGAGCTGAAAATAGCGAAAGGGTGGCTGGGTACGTCGAGGCGAAGAAGGAAGGGGCAAACCTGGTTTCGGGCCGGGAGACGGAGAGAAAGCGCTGGCAGGGTGTTCTCGAGACGCCCACGACGGGCCCGTTGCGTCTTGCCCTCAGTCTCCTCGTTGATCTCGAGAAATGAGTGCCTTCCGAGGCCTCGCAAGTATGCGACAAAATACTTGCAGGAAGTTCCGATGCTCTTAATTGCCATATAAAAATGTAAGCTGGTAAGTAACATTAGCCGTTCGTACGCCGGCGCCAACGCGTGGATGTTCCTGCAACAGTCCAAATTCGTGTGGTGTATTGTGGGTGTATTCACATACAGTGTACATCGAGGACGGGCTTATACGACGCCTCCAGTACTAACACAGAGTAGTAGATTCATAATATACACTCGGCACCCCTCAGAAGTGACCGGAGATGGCTACCGGCTTGTACGGCTCCTCGAGATACTTCACTTCCTCCTCGGTCAGCTTGACCTCCAGAGCACCTGCCATACAATGGAAGTATGTCAGAATAAATCCAGAGCTATGTTATCGCGAGATATACTGACCGAGAATGTCTTCGAGATTCGACAAGTTCGTCGTCCCGATGATGGGCGCGCTCACGCCGGGCTTGGACATGATCCACGCCAGTGAGATCTGCGCCATGCTGGCACCCTTCTTCTTGGCTAGCTCCTCAACGCTACAAAAGCACACGATCAGCGGGGATACGCGCGTAAGCACCTGGCGTCAACGTACCGATTTACGATGCTGTCCGACGCAGAATTCTCGTAGTCCTTGAGATACCTGTATTCCCATACTTGTTCAGAACACTCCACTCGCTACACGCGTGAAGGGTACTCACGCGTCACTCTTCCCGCGCTTGGTATCCGCGCCGAGTGGCCGGGTGAGCTTGCCGCGGCCGAGCGGGGACCAGGGAATCGAGCCGACGCCGAAGAGCTTCAGCGTCGGGAACATCTCGCGCTCTTCCTCGCGATAGACGAGTGAGTAGTGGTTCTGCATCGAGATGAAGGGCGTGAGGTTGTGCGTGATAGCATAGTCTGGCGGGAGCATCAGTCATTGAGAGCGCTGTGGAATGGGAGCGGCGGATGTACTCTGCATCTGGTGGACTGATACGTAGCAAACGCGTTAACGCAATGGGACATCAGAAACAAGCTGGAATACACGCACACTGGTACGCGTAGCATGAACTCATCCCGGTGTACCGCACGTAACCGGCTTTTACAACGTCGTGGAGTGCTTGCATCTACGAAGTGAACCGGAATCAGACAGACAGAAGAGGCTTGTCGCACGCTCAAGAGAAACTTACCGTCTCCTCGATGGGGGTGTTGTAGTCGAACCGGTGGCCTGACGTTGATGGAATCAGTCATGAGTATGCTCACTACGTACCGACACCTACATTGGAAGAGGTCAATGTAGTCAACCTGGAGACGCTTCAGACTCGCCTTAACACTGTCAAAAATGTGCTAATCGTCCCGCATTAGGACCGTGAATCTCGCATAATCGAATGCGAGCGCACCTTCCTGCTGAGCCCATGCTGGTTGATGATGCCCATGTCCGCAAGCTCGGCGTTGCTTTTGGTTATGGTGAAAACTGCAGGATCGGGAGACACAGCAGCGCAGAGCTATGCAGAAGTGATCAGAGGTAAGCCTCAGGTCTACAAGGGCAACTAGAACTTACCTTGGTCATGATCACGAGCTCTTCGCGTGGGAGGTTGAGCTGCTTGATTGCCTTCCCGAGGATGATCTCCGACTGTCCATTTGAGTAGACCTACTCGCGCTCCCGTTACGACCAGCACGGCGCATGCTAAGGAGGGCGTTACTCACATTGGCGGTGTCAAAGGTAGTGATTCCGTGCTCATAACTGTATCACTCCACATCAATATTCCAACCGGGGAGATGGCGCGACCAGGCAGACGTACGCAAACCGGATTTGCTGGATGCCCTCCTCCTCTCCCAAAACCCACTCCTGCCAACGGGGGTCGCCGTAGGACATAGCCCCCAGGATGATTTTGGACACCTTTAGTCCAGAGTTACCGAGGCGAACTGTGCAATTTCGTCAGATTGGAAAGAACGACAAGCATCACGACAAGCGAGGACGTACCATATTCCATCTTTGGCGCCATGTCGTAGGTTGTGTTAAGTCTGGGGGAACGCGTCAGGAGGTTGTTGAGTGTGTAGTGAGAGAGAAGCGGGGAGAGAAGAGATTATATATACATCGGTAGAGCATGTTCGTCGGGACGTCATGGGAGGTCTTACCAATCTGGACTTCTCCATGGCATTCACCTAGTGGTGCCGAGGGAACACGTACCCACAACCTGCGGAGATAGCATATGTCAGAATATGCCGCGACCTTCCACGACGCGTTTCACCGACCGTGTCAGCATGAGCGTGCGGGTATGTACACATACAACCTACAATCTACATCGCCGATCATGGGTGACTCTCTGGCAGCGCAAGCCATCCGCGAGGCTAAGGGTTCACGAAGGGATTTTTAGAGGCCTATGCTCCAGCTTCCTCCTCGAGCGACTGGCATCGAAAGCGACGAATTGGCTGAGGTGCATGACGATCGGAGTAAAGGTGAAGGCGAAAAGGCTAGACGTTCCGATTCCGGGCCGCCCGCAGATGGTGAATAAGCGCCAGCAGGGTGCTCCCGAGGCGCCCACAATATTAGGCTTTTCCGTCTTACCCTCGTCCTCCGAGCTTTCGAGCCCTGAAAGATCTTCTCATACACTCAAAACTCTCCTCTGCTACATGAAATACACCACCGGATCATCTACACTCATTCGCGTCTTCTAACCCCCTTGCTCGCGACGGCCGGTGTTCCTAGTGGCAGATGTCGTTATTCACAGGACAAGGTGAGAACTCTCAGACGGTGTAACTTTTCTGGAGAGAGATGGATTCTTATTTGAGGACAACCTCAGCGTGGCTCAGCCCCCGCGTACCGACTGCTGTTCGAAAGGCATGGAATGAGTACTCGCTCACCGATCTAGATGGCTATTCGCAATAACCACACCCAAGCTGCTCACGGCGGACTCGTTGCCGCGGATAGTGGCGACAGAGTGCAAACTACGTACCCGTTTTGTGATGGGAACGAAGATCCATGGTTTTCCAAGTGAGTCAAGTCCGGCTGCGGCGCGAGGCTCCTTTGTATTGAACGCGCAAGCAGACTCTACCAACTCTCGATGGCGGTGAGTGAGCCTTCGGATGATGTCTGACTGCAGATAGCTAATTATATGCAGGTCTTCCACTGGCCGTGGGTCTCAGCTGTGGTCTACGCTCGCTTCCGAGTGTCCATCTCTGCATACGCCATCGACGGTACGCACACCGCCTCTTCACAGTAAGTTCTCATGCTCGCAGTCTGTTTGCAAAGCGCAGGGCACACGGTCTTGGACGTAGGCGGATATCCCGCCCTGCATATAGTCACCGTCCTGCCCGTCGCACCGACGTAGTACGCGTTCACCAAGCCCCGAGCGATTGTGGTCGCCAATCCGACAACTTGAACCCGAGCGCATCATGCACCAATATGTCTAGGAAGAGTGTCCGCATCGCGCGCGACATGAAAACCGTCACTATAGCTGATACGCACGCCGGCTCCTCTCGCTGCGCGCGAAAATCTGTACCATTTTTAGACCTGCGCTCTATGCAAGGGAACCGCAAGACGTCAGCGAATAAACACTCTCGATCTAACAGGGTCGCGCTATGCGCGTCCACAAAGCCGAACAGTCAATCTGTTCATCCTCGGTGAGTGATTGCTTTGGATCACGCTTTGAGTACGTATTGACATCTCGCAGGGCACATGAGGACTCGCAGAAGCCAATGGATATTTTTGCATCTGCGCTTATGTCCGGACCCTCCTCGCATGCTATCTCGGTCTCTGTTGTCCTAGAGTCTTTCAGCTACGTCTCCGCTCAGCGTGCAACACAGTTCATCCCTAGGGTGATCTACGAATACAAACCATTCCGGTGCTTCTACGTGCGATGGCTCTGGAGGCTGTCCTGTCGCTGTGTGGTCTCGATACGGCTCTCTCTGTGTCGCTTACACTGTCGTATCGTCCATGTGCATGTACTTGTATGCTGCTCGTCAGCGATGGTATATCTCATACGACGTGTGAAGCATAGGCGCACTGCGTCGCGCTTCTGTCTGCCGGCAGTCTATTGCTATCACGGATCTTGGCTGTTCGGGAGGGGACATTATCGCATAGATTGGACAGTGTATCAAAGTAATTATGAAGGCGAAGTCGGGAAAGGGTAAACTGCACATGCCAAGCCTGGGGTAGGGGAAGTGAGAAGGTATGTATGCTGAATCCTGTGTATGATCAGTCTTTGGTCACGAACGGCCATCATACTGTAGCTAGGGCCGTGGAGGAATGTTCGAGCTGGGCGGCTTCGACCATTCCGGGTTCAAGACAGGGCCGGATAGGTCGATCGCGAGCCACAGGTCACGGATCATGATTCTGTGCCAGTTCTCAGCGCGCTCGGAGCAGTATTCCACGGGGCATTCTACTGCAAGCCGTAAAATTCTACAGTACCGATCCTTGGAACGAACACCTTCTGCTGACTCCAGGGAGAGGGGTAGTAAGAGGTCGGCTTTCGCCACTACCCGCTCAGGCAACGGGATGAGCTCGGAGACAAATGAGGTCTGGTTGGTATGGCGGCCATGCTCCGTGAGACACTCCATGATTTGGCAACCTCGACTATTGCAGGTTCTGCAAAATGACAGGTCGTCATACTCGCTGTCTTGTCCCGAAGGTAGAAGGTCACGGTGTATGACGCGGACCCTGGAGATGGAGAAATGGATGCTGGTGCTCCGCCGTGGCTCTCGCTGCTGCGGGAGCGATAATCGGTGAGGCCAGACGAGACTGCTGCCGAGGTATGTGAGCGTGAGGGTAACCTGGATCTGTGTCGTGGCCAGTTTCCACTTGTGGGCGGTAGAAGAGCAAAGTGTGGTCCGTGCGACGATCTCCATTCCGGAGGCCGATCGCTGGCACTGCAGCGGAGAGACGCTGAATCCCAGTATACTCAGCTTCTCTTCGCAAGATGGGGCGAGGCTGATGGACGTGAAGTCGGTGGACGAGCCGAGATAGCCGAAGGAAGGCCAGAGGTTCATCAACGCATGGCGCCCTGTATCGAATTCCTCGTCGAGATTGCAAGCAGAGTGACGGAGGAGGGACAATTCGACGGGCGCCGGAGAGAGATATTTGCGCCTGAGGGTATCCAGCACCTCATGCTCCAGGCAAACGACACGGCATAGGGAGTTTCCCGGACAAAAACGCGTGCACTTCACGTGTGTGGCGATGGACGATCCCCTTTGGTCGTACTCGCCAGAAAGGGGATGGAAGAGCGCGAGTGTGACGAGGCTTCCGGGAGAGTACTGGTCGGTGCACCGCAGTACAAAAAGGGATAAGCTTCGCCCGAGTGATAGACAGTGCTCATAACTTTCCGCTGACAAACGATTTTCAGGGCTGTTCTCGATATTGGCAATAATTGCTGCGGCAATCTGTGGTAGCTCCGTCAGATCGATAGTCAAGGCCTTGAGGCGAACACCTTCGGGAGTTATGACGGAGTGGAGCGAGGGCACCTCGATGCTGGGAGACATGGATCTGGAACCTATGTCGCCCGAAACTAGCGACAGAAATTCCGAGGACGAGATCGGTTGAACACGTTCAGCCGAAGAAAACTGTCGTGGGGAGGACGCAAGAAGGCCGGTAGGAGTGTTATGGTTCAGAAAGTTGGAGTACGTTTCCGCCGCGTCGATGGATGACAGTACGCAGTGGGTGCCCCAGGCAAAGATAGACTGATCAGGGATGGTCTTGATGATCTCCTCCTGGAGGCGGAGGAACGCGTTGCGGCCTTCGCCATATATCGGCGACATATGGACACCGAAGATGCCAAGTAGCGAGTACGCCTCATCCTCGATGCGTGTGGTCTCCCGAGATGCTGCCCATGACATCCCTCGTGCAACGCTGGCGCTGGAGAGAGGAGCTCTGCCGAGGAGTATATTGCTGTCGATATTGGTAGCTAAAGTCAAAGCGTGTACCAGACTGCATTTTGTGCCCAGAAAGGTCCACGAAGCGGTCAAGAACACGACCTCTTTGGGTGCGAGGAGCTCCTGTAGCGTCCATCCGCGACCGTGCCATCGACTGTGCTGAAACATAGATGTGTGGTGCTCAGGGTCTTCTTTGCTGTCCGGCACATCGACAAGGTAGACATAACAGACGTCTGCGAGGCGATAGAGCTCGAACATGGAGTTGATCGCTTCCGCAAGCTCGGCACTGCTCGACTTGTCGATGCACGCGGAATCGATCCAGACGAGCTTGTAGCCGGCGTCGCGCGCGACTTTGCAGATGGCTTTGATTTTTTCCGAAAGGTCGGGATGGGAGAGGATCGACTCTTCGATTATCGTGGTACTGTCTGGAGTTTCGCCTGAAATAAAAGCAACAAGATCAATAGGTCGAACGAGTCATAACTAGGTGACACTGGACGAGCTCACCCGACGAAACGCGGTATTTCCGCATGCGTTTCCAGATCTTTCTGACTTGATCGTACGTCTGCTCTCCGCCTTCATCCTGCGACCTCCAGGTATGCGACAAGATTGCATATACAACTTTCGATGGATCCGCGATCCAGCGGAATTCGCCTGTAGTTGTGTCCAGGAAGCGTGGCATTCTACAGCACTGTCGATTCCCGGGACAATGATTAGCGTATCATACTCCAGTAGCTCATGGACTGAGCTTCTAACCTGACAATAGCCTCCACCAGCTTGGTACGGGATGAAGCTGTGACGAATCGGAAGCGCTGAGAGGATGGATGGATGTATACCCAACAATGAAGCAAATACACAGTAGCGCTGAGTCGTACTGCGACAGCGTGAATACATCTTTCGGTGATTGCCTTTCATAAAAGGTGTCTCAAGATGAATTAGATACCCACGGAGGCTTCGCTTCGTACGTCCGCGAAATAGCTAACTTGTCGCAAGCGCCAGCTCTTCCATCTGTTTCACGAGTTACATGTCTAGAATGACAACGGGACGCACTGCATTGTCATGCATGGGAAAGAGAGTGAAGCTGGCTGACTCCACGAAGAACCCAGTACGCGTCGCCGCCTCATGCGCAACTCCTCCCGACAAAGGTTCCAACAGAGCGCGCGTGAGAAAGTCTCGGGACGTAAACAGGAAACAGCTGTGTGTGGACACACAGCGCCACAGAAGGATTTGTGCATTTTCGCTCAGCATCGGATTCCAGATTTTAAAGGCGGTCTTCGTCCGATGCGTCTCGGGGCCTAGATCACTCGGAGTATACCTACCATAACATCACATCCTGGAAGCGCAAAATGATCGCGGCGACGTACTGCATACAGCTTCCCACACCCCTCACGCACCTCGGTCTCTTCAGATTGACGGGCTAGACCTTGGGCTCCTGCGGAATGGGCTCATCCTGCGTATCCCCCAGCTAGAGAGCCTCGAGTTTGTGATTATTGGCACGACCACACCGATTTTAGCAGTGAGTGGCCTGTGTACGCGCACTTGATGCGTTGCTGGCCGTGATGTACTTGACGTAGGAGGAAGGGCTCGAGCTCGGAGGTACCGTCTTCGCCCGTCTTGCACATTTTCACACACGGTGATCGCTCGACACGGACCGGGACGTGTCCAACGTCCACCAGATAAAGTCTGCCTTCATCGCGTACGGCGACGAGTGTTTGCTTGATTGCGGACGTTGGGCATGCGGGAACGCGCGACGAAGTCGACGTGAAAAGGTGGGCGGTGAAAAAGCCGCGCACAAAGTCGTGAACGGACTCGCTTTGTCTAAATGCTGTTGTGAGAGGGCCCGTATGACCCCCGGGCCAGTGGAGTGTTTGAACTTGAAGCTTACGCTCATGTATGTCACTGCGAGTCTGCAAGAGCCATCAACAGAAGTTTCAGTCGATGAATAGACACACACTCTCGGTTTTAGTTGCTGAATCACAAGCTCGAGCCTCGAGCCTCCCGCCGAGCAATCGCACGCCGCGATCGTGGAACGACCTTCAAGCGTTCGCGCGGCCTATCGACGTATCGTCCGTAGCGACTCAGGCCCGTACCGTATACCCGGCGGTCCGGCGGCGGAGCGAGAACGCCACGATCATGTTTGTCGATGCTTGGCAAGAGCCTCGTACCTGAACCCGATTAGGAATGTTATCACAGGCCTGCGAGCCTCCTACAGAACGCTGAGTGAGAGAGAGCGGACTCGGTGACAAGGGAAGAGTTACTTACGACGTCGTGTAGAGAGCATCGAGGCGGATGCGGCTGATTGTGCAGTGATGCCATGCGAGGGGGGCGTAGTTTTGGAACCGGCAGTTGACGAGCGGGACATGCACTGGGCCAGCCTGAGGACATTTCGCGCGAGTAACGTTACGTAGCGAATCAGTAGGGACAAAGGTGGGCATATTGCTAGGACTTGCGTAACTTCCTGGGTTACGCGAATCCTATAAATTTACCGACCTCGTCCTGATATATAGGATCATCGCCGGTTGTACGCAAGGGCCCTTGGCCTCCCGAGGTGCTGGGAAGTCTTGGTCGAGAGCGGGAACGCAGGCAAATGAAGCTATCGCGGCCCTGTGATCGTCAACAGGCTAAAGCACCGTTCGCGGAGATGCCAGAGTTTGCGGGTACAACGAAGATTAGAGGCTTACCGTAGTGAGCAGCACACCTGCCTGAGAGGAACGACAACCACGGCCATCGCTGAAGCATCACCTCGCGGCGCATACGCCTCTTGTCATCCTTAAAACTTCCCACTCAGCGAAGCAACTGGACGCGGGGCTGGAACGATACCTCTGGAACGGGCTGGACTGGAAACCGGGTGGTTTGCAAGGCCGCGTGCCCCTGCGCGTGCAATAAGCAAGCTTTAGAGCGAACTCTATGTATGAGCATGTACATACATTACCCCGTGGAGCACGCTGTTCGACGGCCGCTTCGTGCGTGCACCCACAACTTCGCGGAATGCTGATTGCCCGTGTTGGGCGTGCCGTCTACATATGAGCGCGGCGCGCCCAAAAAATTGCGGTACTTTGCGATATAGAAGGTTGCGCGCTCTGAAAGATGAAGGAACGTGTGTCGGGAGAGCGCTGCGCCGGGGGAATGTGGACGTGGGAGACAGACATTTGCCGTACGAGACCTTCGTCACACGGACAATGCGAACTCGTCGGCGGCCGTGTGGCTGTATTAACGCCACAGAGACATGCCAAGTCCAGTTCGTGGGCGCAACATAGGAGGGGCAGAGGTGGACGGAGGGTACGTACACACGCACGGCGCGGCGGCGCAGGTTTGGCGGGGCTGGTCGTGTGCTGCGTCGTCGAAGACGGGGAAGACGGGCTTATGATGTCTTGGCTCGATCATCTCCGCTCGGGCTCGAGGTGAGAGTGCTGAGAAGTGGGGGCCCGCAGACAATGTCGCTCACGAGGAGGCCCGGAGTAGGAAAAGCATGCGGTCGTGTGATGCTTCCATGCCGGGCGGGATCTTGAGAAAGTGCCGACTTGCGTAATGAGTACGCGCACCACGACACAGAGAACGTGCACGTCTTCGCCCTGCTATTGTACTGGAGGGCGGCGACTTGCACAGAGGAGCGAGTACAACAAGTTGCCAGAAGATGTTTGGCGGAGACGTTCTTAGGTTCTGCGCGATCGATCGTCCGATAACGTTGTGTAGCCGGTCACGTAGAAGATGTCCGCGGCACAAGATCCGAGTCCGAGGCAGAGGGGCAGCGCAGCCGGCGGCTGGAGGACGACGAGGGACGTGGTGAACGACGAGAAAGGGGCTTCGAGGGGGGCGCCACAGCGAGAGCACAATCTTGGCAAGCGAAAATTAAATGAGAGGATAGCCGGGCGAGGTGGCGGCTGGATGCGGGGCGAGCCAATCAGCGCGGACTCAATCCACGCCCTCCTGCCTTTTTGGGACATGTGTAGCTCACCGTCGCGCGCGCGTCTCGCGCCGCCTCCGTCCCCTTGCCCCTCACTCGCGCTCTGCTCGCCCGTCTGCCCGCCCCTGCCCACGCCGACGACGACGCCGAGCTCGCCACACGCCGCCGCACTGACCCGCACGCACACGGACCGAACGCAGGAGAGACAGAGACTGGGCAGGAAGCCGTAAGCGACCTTATCTCTGGAGGTGTGCTTATCTCTGGATCACCACCGTTGCAGGTTGTCGAGATAGCTATTGCCTGAAATATGTCACACGCGGGCTCCTACGACTCTTCTCACTCTCATTCTGTCATGACCGAGGACGAGGAGGACTGGGAGGACTATGTCAAGGGCGGGTACCACCCCGTACACATCGGCGACTCCTTCTCCGACGGCCGCTATGTCGTCGTCAGGAAGCTCGGCTGGGGCCACTTCTCCACCGTCTGGCTCGCAAACGATACAAAGTGAGCGCTCTCTCCCCCTCGCCTTTCCCCCGCACCCCCCTCTTTCTTCGCCCATGCGTCTCCCTACCCCCCTGCGCGCACAAGACGCCCTCGCGCGCGCCCCATTTGTCGCGCGACACCGCATCGCAGCCGTTCGCTGTGCTCGTGGGAGCTCTCCGCGCGTTTGCACGGAGCTTGACCGCTCCCTTGGCCGCTGCTTCCCCGGCCAGCGCGATCGGCTGCATCGTCCTCGCGCGGAAATTCCTCAAGCACGATTACGTCGTCTGGTAGCGTCCACGCGGCGTCAGGACGCGCCTGCAACTTCCTGCGCACAAACTCGCCGTGCCAGAAATCGGCCGCTTCGGACATCTCATGCTATCCGACTGGATACTCCGCGCTTCGCACCCGCCACTCGCGAAACGCCCTCGATCGATCCCATCGCGCCCCTCAGACCCGGTGGAAAGTAGGGCTACGCGCTGGCCAAGTCTCCGCGCAACTTGCGTGGTCTCTTGGTCTGCATGTAGCGTGCGAGGCGCATCTCACGCTTCCCCGTGCTACACCCCTCACCTCCAGGCGCGCGAGGAGTATCTTAGCCCTCCACAGCCTCACGAGCACAGTGCTTAGTCCGCTTGTTCTTGATTTGGCCGCTCGGCGTTGTCATCTGAACGGTTGCAAAGCCGGCGGCGCGGTCCGCTGATATCCCGATTCTCGTAACTCCCATTTTCGCCTTCAAGGCTCACCGCGCAGACCCAGGGGATAGCTCCGAACGGAGAATCAGCGGAACCTTCCGTTGTATACCTCGTCCGACAGCGAGCGCATTCCATACTCCACTTGCGCCCATTTTCCGCTCCTCGTGAGACATGCTGACAGAAATATCCGCCCAGGATGAACCGCCATGTAGCCCTGAAGATTGTCAAGTCTGCCCCTCGGTACACAGAAACTGCGTTAGACGAGATCAAGCTCCTGCAACGCCTAATCACATCCTCCACGCCACCACTACAGCCCACGACCGATAATCCAAACCCCTCCCCCTCCCCATCCGCCACACATCCCGGGCGCTCCCACGTCATCTCCTTCCTGGACCATTTCCGGCACAAGGGCCCTAATGGCACGCACGTCTGCATGGTCTTCGAGGTCCTGGGCGAGAACTTGCTCGGCCTCATCAAGCGGCACCAGAACAAGGGCGTGCCAATGCACCTTGTGAAGCAGATCGCAAAGCAGATTCTGCTCGGACTTGACTATATGCACCGCTGTTGTGGCGTCATCCACACTGGTGAGTCGCCCTCGCTCTGGCGTGGGCGCTCACAGCCGTCTAACGGGCGTGCTCAGACCTGAAGCCCGAGAACGTCCTGATCAGCATCGACGACGTCGAGGCGGTCATTCAAGCGGAACTCGCCGCGCAATCTGCTTCGCAAACGCCACCACCAACACGGCTGGTCGGCGTCCCGCCTTCTCGCGGGCGCGGCGGCAACCAGACACCGCGCTCAGAGTCTGTGTTTATCACGGGCTCGCAACCACTGCCGTCACCATCGTCTTCTTTCGGCTCAACCTCGCACCTTGACCGGTGGGCGTTCGGTATGAGCAAGATCGACGGAGCTCCCAGCGGGCCGGGTTCCGTAGGCAGTGCGAGCAAGGTGAAGTCAGGCAGCGACGACGGCACCGGCGCGAGCGACGGGAATGGAGGCAAAGAGAAGCGTGCAGACTCGACAGAACAGGCGGCGGAGCGCATATCCAACGTCACGCTAGAGTCGTCGCCATTCGGCGAGAAGGCGCGACCAGAAGGCAAGGGCGGTGGAAGGTCGATGGGCCCTTCACTACTGTCGCAGCAGGCGGCGGCGGCTACCGGACCACAGCCTGCGGCGTCGTCTAGCACGTCTGCCTCCGCGGCCCCTCCACCATACGACGACCCAATGAACGCTGGCGGCGCGGGTTTGTCAACAAGCGCGATGTCTGTGGACGGACTGCACCCAGTGTACGACGGCCCGGAGAAGATCACTGTCAAGATCGCGGACTTGGGCAACGGTGCGTGACCCACTCGTACGTACACACGGGACGCACGATCTCAATGCACGCACGTTTGCAGCGACCTGGGTGGAACATCATTTTACCGACGACATCCAGACGCGGCAATACCGCTGTCCGGAGGTGATCCTCGGCGCGAAGTGGGGTCCGAGCGCAGACATCTGGAGCGTGGCATGCATTGTGGGTGCTCGTTTGATCCTGTGGACACCGGGCGGTGGCGGCGTGTGCCTGTGTCGCGTACCCCGCACGCGCGCACGCGCACCCCGCCCCTGGTCGCGCAATCGTGCTCGTGTGGCTGATCATTATTCCCCCGGCGTCACCGCGTTAGATCTTCGAGCTCATCACGGGCGGCGACTACCTCTTCGACCCGGCGTCGGGCTCGCGGTACAGCAAGGACGACGACCACATCGCGCAGATCATCGAGCTCATGGGCGAATTCCCGAAGAGCCTCGCGTTCGCGGGCAAGTACAGCTCCGACTTCTTCAACCGGAGAGGTGCGTACCGCATCAGTCTACGCTTGCACTCCTCGCTAATGTCGCGTCTTCCTTTCCTTCTTGCTCGTGCTCACCTTCCCGCGGCATACGCCATCCTACAGGCGAATTGCGACATATCCAGAAGCTGCGGTTCTGGCCGCTCGACTGCGTCCTCCACGACAAGTACCTGCTCCCGAAGGAAGAAGCAGACATGATTGCGTCCTTCCTGAACCCGATGCTGCGCCTGCACCCCGACAAGCGCGCGAAGGCGTCCGAGCTCACGCACCACGCGTGGCTCGACGGCGTCGCCGTCCAGGGCGAGATCGACATCATCCGGCGCGCGGAGGACGAGGAGGCGCGGCGGAAACGGCAGGACGCGGAGACTGCGGGCAAGGAGAGCGCGGTGAAGCTCGCGGTCGAGGGCTCGGACGCAGACGCGATGAAGCCCGTGGACGACGTCGTCGTCGGGCTCGACGCGGACGCGGACGGCGCCGTTGCGGTGCCGACGATCTCTGCGCCCGTCCCCGGCGGGAAGCACGCGCACAAGGGCAGCGAGGGCGGGGTGCCGACGCTGCAGGGCGTGCCCCCGCACGGCAAGGGCGCGCGGCCATGACAGACACTGTCCCTATTGCTGCGGCTGTGGCGGCGGCTGCGGTGCCATGCAAGAGTTAGGAGAAGCGACTTGGGGCGTCCATTTGGTGTATAAAGACGACGGCGACGCGGGACGGAGCACCTGTATCCAGTGGTTGGGAACGTGTTGTAGAATTTTCTCCGTTGCGCGAGTAGTTAGCTGATGCCCGTTCACTTTCTGTATCCCTGAGTTTCCTTTGCTATCCTATACGACCGATCTCACTAGTCTCGCTGTGTAGGCGCAGGCGGGGGCTTGGGCGTGTAGGTGTAGGTGAGTGGTTATCATTACCTTTCCCGAGCAGGACTGACGCCTACAGCGTAGCCGGCCCGGGGAGGTTACGGCATTGATTAGGCATTGACGCAGCGTTGCCGCAGCGCACGAACCTGGGGCGTGTCTCTTCCGTCTGACCCTCCATCGTCTCTTCAGCTACCTTTCTGCTTGCACACGATGGCTATGAACTCATGCAAGGGGGCTGAAGATGGTACTGCAGAGCTGACGCGCTCCCCCGAGTACTGGTTTGACGATGGAAATATAGTGCTCGTAGCGGAAGGGGGGGTCGGATTTCGCGTTCACCGTGGCGTGCTCGTGCACCACTCTGCTTTCTTTCGCGACCTGTTCTCTTTACCTCAACCCTCTGATGACAAGGACATGATGGATGGCACCCCAGTGGTCCATGTCTCCGACACTCCAATCGATGTCGCGCATCTTCTACGCGCGTTATACAACGGTATCAGGTAAGCACGATCTCATAAATGTTGCAACGAGTTCTGACGTGCGCTATTCCAACCAGTTTGATCCGGCACGGGGGAGAGCGGCTGCCCTTCCCCTTCGTCGCGTCGTTGCTCGAGCTTTCCCACAAGTACGACATTGAGGCTTTACGCGCCGACATGCTGCTGCGTCTGCGCTCCTGTTTCTGTCACAAGTATTCCGCGTTCCTCGCGCAGACCAGCTTCCAGCCCGTCGCTGCGAACGACCCAGAGCAGCTTCTGCGCAGCGGCCTGCTCGAGATCATCCCGAGTCGCGACGCGATCCGGGCAGTCAACCTCGTCCGGCTCGTCGATGAGAGAACCATGCTCCCCGTCGCGCTCTATCTCTGCACGCTCCTCCCCGGCGCAAGACTCGTATCTGGCACAACACTCGAAAACGGGCGCGTCGCAACGCTCTCCCCCACCGACCTAGCGCTCTGCATCGACGCGCGCACAAACCTCGTCATGCGCCGCATCCGCGCGTTCAACACCGCGCCCGCGAGCGTGTGCCGCCAGCCGACGCTCTGCGCGGCCGTGCTGCAGCAGATGGCGCGCATGACGCACTACCAGCAGCCGAGCTTGCCGTGCCACGTCCTCGCGAACGTCGACCAGGCGCCGATGACGAGCCCGCCGGGGAACTTCCTGTGTGCGCAATGCAGCGCGCCGTTGGTGGCGGTCAGCGCGGAGTTTCGACGGAGCGCGTGGGCGCACCTTCCTGGAGATCTTGGTCTCGATGTTCCGGAATGGGATGCTGCGGCTGCATAGACTAGGGCCTCGTGCTGTTCTCAGTTGTCGCGCGAGCTAGACAGCGTACTTATGTGCGAACAGGCCTCGTTTTCAGAGATATCCAACGTGTTTCAACTCTGGCGAGCGACAGGGTTCGGTGGACAACTGATGAGACACCGTATACACAGCGCGTCAGTTATCTAAAATCGAAGGACTATTCGGACGAGGTCGAGATCATGCCAGACAGCAATGCGGATAGCGACGACTCAGAGGATAGTCACGACTCAAGGGAAAACTCGGAGAACTGCTTCGAGGACGATGGATCGGCGGACGACTCGGACTGGGAATATGAAGACTCGTGGGACGACTTGAATAACCACTGAGATGACGACTACTTCTGATATTGACACGGAGACAAACACCGAACCTTACGAGTACATGCATGAGGACAGACAAAATCATAGAAGCTCGTTTATTTACACCGCTGCCGTGATCTTGGTGCAGCGAGAAGCTATGTTGGGGTTGAAAGCAATTGAGATGACACCCGGCGGACCCGTTGACGGTCGTAGCTCAGGCGGCGACGGCGGGCTCCTTGTATAGCCCCACCATCATGGGCATCGACGGCTTCGTGGCCTCTGCAACCGTCGGGAAGCGCACCCCGGACAGGTTCCACACGACCGGCTTGGCCGAGGGCGCAAACGTGAACTTTGTGAGAAGCTGGCACAGGACGACCTCTGGGTGAATCGACATATGCGTGAGCGGAATGTATAGGCAGCGTAGAGATGGACTACTCACTCATCTCGAGCTGCGAGAACTTGAATCCGCTAAGAATTCAGAGTTAAAGCTGGGTAACGCGCGCGTAGTGGTGCGTGCAGGACTTACATGCACGCGCGACCTCCGCCGAGGAACGTCATCCTGCATGCGAAACGTCAGTGGTTGATCTTATGCGAAGACGCGGCACGTACAGGTTCGAATATATTCCAGGGATCTTGGCTTCCGTAACGCTCTCCGGAAGCTGGTCAAGCCAGCGCTCAGGCTTCCACTCGAGCGCGTCCTCGCCCCAGATGGCCTTGTTACGATTCGATGACAGGACCCCGACGACGACCGTTGTGTCCTTCGGGACGTGGATCTCGTTGATCTTCGAGCCATCTATGCCGGTGATGGGCTCGGACAGCGGGAGGACAGCATCGCTCCGGGTCCTATTGGGGTTGAGTACCACAACATAGCGCACGAAACGAAGAAGAAACGCACTCGCGGAAGACGGTCGTGACAGGGGAGTGCCTAGGATGGTAGAGTCAGATACTTGTCGCAGAAGAAGGAGGCAGTTAGGGCTCACAAACGCAAGGTTTCACGACAGACGGCGTCCAGGTAGGGCAGCGAGACAAGCGTGTCGTAGCCGAGGTCCTCACCATTCGACGCCTCGATTATTTCCTTCCGCAGCTTCTCCTGGACGTCGGGGTGCTCGGCGAGGAGGGATAGCGTGATAGAGAGCGCATTTGAAGTCGTATCCATGGCGGCGAAGATGAAGGTCCTAGAGTGTCGATCGGCATTGCATCAGAACAGAGGAAACCATACGGAAAGAACAATGCTCACGCTACTTGTCCAATGAGCTCCTCCTCAGGCAGCTTATCGTCGTCGGACGCGGCCATATTGGCTCGCACTGACGTCCAGTCAGCGTCCATCGCACGTGCAAATGACAGTCTGGGGGCGTACGCAAAATACTCATCAAATCCTTCCCTTCTCCGACCTTGTCCTTCAGCGCCTCATCGCCTTGCTCGAGCATCCTCTTCTTCTCCTGGTAAATCCCCACCGCGCGCTCGTGCATCGTGTCCACAATGTGACGTAGCTTCTGTACATTCTTGTTCGGAATAAGCTCGACCAGCTTACGGCGGAACCACGGAGGCCCAAACTCGGGCAGGTACGGCACGATACGGCGGAGCACGCTAAGCTGCATGATCGTAGGTCTAGTTAACGTGTATCAGCACAAATACAATCGAATACTAAAAAGGTGCAAGACATGAGAGAGACTTACTGGAACGCTTTGATCGCCGTCAAGAACTCATCAGAAGAGTCCGCAACGAGGGGGTCGAACGAGTACCCGAGGCCGGACTGGCCGATGAGCTCCAGTGCAGTACGGCCCATCCAGTTGAGCATGTCGAGCTCGACCGGTCCGTCTCTTCCGATGACGCGGCATTCGATGGCTTTCTGGAGCTGTAGGGGCGTCGGGAACACGGTAAGAGCCCGCGCGGCTCGTTAGTACGCAAGCTGACGCACCCTATGCGTAACCTCGTTGAAGATAGGAATCATACGCCGCATATGGGCGATCGAGAAGACGGGGTTCAGGAGCTTGCGTTGCTTCCGGTGGTGATCCCCTGAGCATGATTCAGAGCGGTATCTTGGTCAGTGTGGTCACGGTGAGACTACGAGGTGGATCAGGACGCACCAAGCGTCGCAAGCAGGCCAGGGCCAAAATTGAGCTTGTTCGACCTGAAACGACCGACAGACTCAGAATTGTGGGCACCCACGGGAGCGACTTCGTGCCACCTACTTGATGAACCACGCGGCCTCTTCGAAGACATATTGGTCCTTGACGATGATGTTGTGCATCGCAACAGGATCGAAAACGTACAACATGCGTGTCTGCGAGCGGAGTAGTAAGCTTCGCATGATATCAGCGTGGACTTGGAGACGCACCCCGAGCGGACCCGCTAGCTTCGCGATCCCGGGGTATGCCTCAGTAAGATGCTCATACACAGGCCAAGCATGGCGATCGAGTATCTGCCGTAGATTCCCTGGAAACCTGTCAGCATAGGAGCGTCCATTCCATATGTTTCGATCGGACTTGCCGTAGAGGAACGACTCGCGCGGAGGACCAGGAATATTGTCCAAGGGGGACTTCACGACGACTTGTCTGAAGAACTTCCAAAAGATCCAGCAGAGACTGCATATGACAGTAGCTTGTGCCAATAATGCCAACATGGCTGCTGGACTTGGAGACGGCGTAGTGGGGCGGTGGTGACGTGGAGCTGAAGTGCCACTGCAGGCTGGCACTTTATATGGGGCGGGCTGGAATCATTATGCTGCCGCCCGTGGTGGAATAGAAGGCGGTATCGCTAATTGGCCCAGACAAACGTCCGCGAGACTCGGGTCATGCGGGAGGTTTACAACTCGTGGGGACGTCAATTCACTCCCTAAGCGTCAATTCGAAGATATGGGTGAGAACGAACCAGGCGGAATTAGCTACGCCTTGAAGCCACGGTTGGCCTGATACGTATACGTCGCTTGGCGAGCTGGAAGCGCTGAGAGATTCACAGAAAGTGCTCGTTGTCCTGCAAGTCTCGAAGGAACAGCTGTTAACCTGCCACCGGAAGAGCCTCAGGCTCGCGACACTGAGGAGTCGGCGGTTGCCAGCGACCCGCGTATGCAATGTTAAGAGACATGTTAAACACCAGTCATCGTCCGAGATTTGATTGTCCGACGAGTTTGAGCGCGTGCAGAAAGTAAACAGAGCTGGCGCATCGGTCAGAGGCAGGCGAGTTTGAGAACAAGGAGGCGCGAGGCGCCGGCGATCCGTCGCGGTTCACGATGTGGCTGTGAACGTCTAGCGCCCGCTGTCGTAGCGGCCGCGGTGCTGCCCCTCGCGTTTCTGTCTACTGCTATGACTAAAAACTCCTTTCCACATCTCTTACCTTCCTTACCTCCTAGCCTAAGGGGAGGCTCGTGTCAGAGTATGATGTCTCTAACATTCCGATCAAGCACCTCAACAGGCGTGCGTGAACACACAGCAGTTACTCCAGAATGGTCGGCGACACTGCTCTCCAGATGAGCAACTTGAATGGCAGTTGGCGTTCGACCCAGTCACTCTGACATTTTGTCGTCTTGTACGTTACCTCTTATGCTTCTTTATTGTCGTATGTGCTAACACCGGTCCAGTTATGACTCTTTCTCATCTGTGGGCTACTCCGCAGACTCTCCGAACCGCTCGGCCGACGGGCCTCACGGCATCGTAATCCCAAAGCAGTTCTTAGCCCGCGTCAGCTTCCATGACCCCGCATTTATGCCAACGACGGCACATGGAACCTGCGCCTCCACGTATCATCCGTGCATGTCGGCTTCGACGACTATCTCACCGCGCAGGAGAAGCGGTACCAGTCAGGCGCGCGAAACCTTCCATTTTGTCGACATCCTTCCGGCGCATACATTGCAGCTTGGTGAGTCAGTTCTTCCGGCTGCGTCGGTGCCGTTTTCTGACTGGTTATCGTGCGGCGGCGGTCTAGGTCTCAAGACGCCTCGGGCGAAGATCGCCTATGGAAGCGAGAACCTAAAGCTTCCGCGAGGTCGCGGAAGCCTTCAGCGCATTGCTCATGCAGACATTACTGTTTTGTCGTTCTCATCCCGGTCTTTTCTCGCGCGTTTTTCGGACCCTTTGTTCGCCGGAGTCGCGTACAAACCGGCCACGGCACGGTGACACGTACTGCGCTCAGGCTCCTTCGTAAACGGTCGTCGGGAGGAATATTCTTGCTTTCTTGGAAAGTCAGTTGCAATACTGTCCTCATTCTCACCCCTGTACGTGTCAACCTAATCAATCCCGTCGCGGTGTAACTTGTGGAACAGATCTAAAAACTGCGGCTAGCAACAAGTCAATTCACGGACGCACGTAGTAAAGCCCCCCGTATGAGTCCAATTTCTATCTCGAGACGTCTTGCACAACAGGCAATTGCCGAAGATGCGTCCACGCTATCGCGGTACTACGACGGAAATATAGTGCTCGTAGCGGAAGGCTTTCGCGTTCACCGTGGCATCCCCGCGCACCACTCTGCTTCGTATCTTGAAACCTCGAATGACAAGGACACGACTCATGGACGGCAACCCGATGGTCCATTTCTCCCGCACTCCAATAGATGATAGATATCGCGCACCTTTTACGCGCGGTGTACAACGGTATCAGGTAAGCACGATCTCAGTCTGATCCGACACGCTGGAGAGCGACTGCCCTTCCCCTTCGTCGCGTCGCTGCTCGAGCTCGCCTACAAGTACGACATTGAAGTCTTGCGTGCCGACATGCTCCTACGCTCCTCAGGCAGACAAGCTTCCAGCTCGTCGCCGCGAACGACCCTGAACAGTTTCTGCGCAGTGACTTGCTCGAAGTTATCCCGAGCCGCGACGCGATCCGGGCAGTCAACGTTGTCCATCTCGTCGACGAGAGAACCATGCTCCCCGTCGCGCTATATTCACGCTCCTCTTCGGCATGAAGCCCATATCCGGCACAACACTCGATAACGGGTGCTTCGCATAGCTGTTCCCTCGCCGACCTGGTGCTGCGCATCAACGCGCGCACTGGCATATGTAGGTTCGTAAAGCAGCACTCCAGTGTCGCGGAAGTGCGATGAAAGGTCTTTCCACGATCACGGCGTGCAAGACTGGAGTGCTCGGGACCTTGTGGTTCAGCAACGAGATGATTCGAAAGCCGTCAGAGATTCATGCAAATGTAGATCAGTTTTTTCCCGTGATCGTGCAAAGAGCAGGCGACATACATGTATGAGATATTTTGAATACACACGGGAGAAGATACATGTAACTCCAGTGGCATACACCAAGACGGACATTGGGCTAGTTTATCACAGGCTTTGCTCGACGACATTCAGTACAAGTTCAAATCCGTATACGACTACGAGTTTTGCTTCGTCGCCGCCCATCTTTTCACATCCACCTGATCGCGCGTTCCCGCAGGCCCGACGTCCACGATGAGGCATATTCTCATGTAGACCAAATTGAGGCCCGCTTCGTTGCCGTACGCGATGAAGGCAGACTTGATGCTATTGATGCTCGTCACGTCCGTCAGCATATGCACCGTCGCGCTCTTGCGAGGCCGATAACGCTCCTCGTCGGCCTGCGTGACGTATCTGCGCTGGCGCGCCTGGCGACCAGTCGCAGGCGGGTCCTGTGCCGGCTTCGCGAAGAGGTCGACACGGTACATCCGCGTCGCGTGGAACTCGTGCAGCATCAAGTAGTCGACCTGTTCCTCCGCGGCCCAGTCGACGACTGGGATGTGGTCGAGCAACGTCGGGAGGATGTAATCCTGGTACCCGTCCTTATCCTCATACAAGATGCGCAGGACGGGGCACAGTCCGTGGGAGCGTAGTGCATTCAGTAGTGCAGCATCGCCGCCCTTCATCCAGCCTTCCAGGGCAAGGAGAGGGTTTGGGTCGCCCCACATCCACGTCTTCGGGAGCGGGTACTCGTGGCGGAGCCCGAACCCGAGCGTCCCGCCGTTCGGGAGGAATGTAGGGTCAACAAGGAGCGCGTTGAGCGCGTCGGAGATCGCACATGAGTTCGCTGCACTGGGCTGGTGGAGGCGCAGCGCAGTGGTGGTGGGGACGCTCGCCTGGGGCTCTGGTGCAGGTCGGAAGTAGAGGTTGTAGGTGATGGTGACGCGGTGTCCGGACACGACGGGTGTCACCTCGTGGTCAACGTCGCTGAAGAAGGCGACGAACGCGACACTAGGGGGGACACCGGGATCAAGGAGCATCTTGCCGGAGTCGAAGGTCCACTCGTGCTCGTTGTGTCGCATGACGAGTGCACCGCCCTCGTGGGGAGTTGGGAAGACAACGACGAGAGAGCCAAACATGTGTTCAGCGCGCGGGGTGTCCTTGTGCGACTTGAAGAACGAGCCCTTTCCTGTGTGCATATAGTGAGCAAGAAGCTCGTCAAGGTATTCATGGCGATGATAAACGCACCGTAGACGTTAAGCTTGTACAGCTCCGCCTGTATCTCCCTGTTCTCTCCCGAACCGGAGAACAGCCCGGAGCGAAGAACCTCGACCAGACCAGCGGTGTCGGGATTGAACCCGAGCGAGAAGGAGTCGACATCGAGCTTGCCAGCTTTGCGATAGGACTCGTCGAGGACGTCCTCTTGGTTCACGCCGAACGTTGCGGGTTTGCATGCACTCTCGAGCTGGTCCAGCTCGGTGATGGTCGCACTAGAAAGATCCACCCGACTACGAGGGCTTCGTCAGAATGCAGGGGGGATCATGGAATCGACGGACTCACCCGGGCTGGTCTTTCCCGTAATACAGGATGAAGTCTCGAGGCTGCGGCGCGAGGGTCCCACTGCAGTGTGGTACATTGTCGGTGAGGATAGCATGGAGATGGCGAGCAGAGTCAGGAATAGGAGTGGCAGAGATGGAGGTGGGAGTGGGAGCGGGAGCGGGGGTTTCAGCCATGTCGATGCGCAGGAGCTTCGGAGTCCTGAGAACTGGGGCATCGATGGGACACTGTGGCCCTTTTTAACGAGTTGGTGGAGTCGAACCTCGGCTCTCTCTGGCATGGGTTACGTCAAATTGCACAACCAATAAGCCCATATCCAATGTTAACGGGGGCACAAACCTGTATCCAGCGCCGCGATGGCAAGACTGGGTGATCATCTGACAGACAGCGAACACTCGTTTACAACGCATGGAGGGTCTAGAGTTCTACACGTCACTTACTGTCGTCTTTTTCGTGGGCTAAAATGAGTAGCGCCTGACTCGAGAGTACGCATATTCCCAGGTGCGCCATAACGGTGTTGAATGACTCTGTCAGAGCCTGCCAAAAAGGGAGAGCGAAGCATAGACGGGAGCCGAGTGTCACGAGTTCGGGTCTCAGATTGGCCATGAGTCAAGAAAGCCCCTTTGACACAAGGCAAGTACGTTTCGAGAGGCGTGCAATGCATATCGGCGGCGGCAGCCAAGTGAGTCATGAGTCCGAGCAAGCTGTGGCGGTATGCTCGGTTGCAAAGCTGGGTATTTGGCTCTGCTTGGCAGCAGCCCCATCAAAATTGCCGCTTATGGTCTGATGTGACAAGTTCGCCACTGCCGTGGCGGCGTGGCCGTTGCCTCTTTCTCTGACACCACTCTCTGTGCGACGCTAGACGAAATCCTTCGCGCGTCGGATCGCGTTACCCAAAGACTCAACATCAAGGCATAACATTCCCATTCACCCCCGGAGGCAAAGAACAATCTTGGAACGTCACTTAGTAGGCCCACACTCAAACACGGTAGGTGAGGCGTATATAGCTAGTGTAGCCATCCCCACTCACTCTGGGAAATTTTCAGACTTGCTATGTCACATATTCGGGCTCTATGCCCACCCCCAGAAATCTTGCTCGAAATCGGCAGGTTTACTGGGCCTCCTGGTCTCGCCGTTTTGCTTCTAGCCAACAAGTGGCTCAATGAGTTTCTCTCACCGCTTCTGTACTCTGCGGTTGTACTGAAAGAACCTCGGTCGACACACATGTGGCTCAGGACGCTGTTGACTTCTCAAAACGAACTATTCGGCGCCAGGGATCTCGTGGGTCTTGTTCGAAGCCTCCACGTCAGCGATGTTTTGTCGAAGTTCTCGATCGCGCACTTCTTCGAGGACAAGATCAAGGCCGGTATCTCGCAAGTGCTCCCACGGCTCACTTCTCTACGCGAACTCTGCTTCAGAAGTCCTCGGGTGCTGACGATCGACGTCCTCGTTGACTTTCTGCATATGTCACGAGGCAACATATCTTCGATCGATGTGGTTCTTGCCGAAAACGAGCAGGGCCGCATACCCTTCGAGGAAGAGCGACGCTTCAAGCGTACCCTCCAACCCCTCGGCAACCTCACCCTCCTCCGAATCAACCACTTCCATCACTTTCCACTCGCATGCACCGACTTTCTCCAGCGACTCCTCACAGCTCATTCCAACCAGATCTGCACTCTCTCGTTGTCGGACTCAGACGAGCGTATCTCCAGACGTATCATTGGCACTGCTCCTAGATTCCCCATGCTTATAGACCTGGATCTCGACGTCACTGTCTTCTTCCTCCGCAAGTTCCCTCACAAGGCCTTCCCTCGCGTTCAGACGCTGACATTGCGTGGCGGCGAAGACGTGCTCAACTTCGATATCCGGGAAAAAGGAAGACTCCCGCCCTCCGCGTATCCGCTCCTGGGGAAGATCTCTTGTGAAGATCCGTTTCTACACGTCTTCCTTCCCGCAGGTGCCGGCCCCCACGGGCGGCGCCCCATCCACACGATCCAGCTTAATGACGCTAGTTGGGAAGCTGACGGGGACTACGATGGAATCGCGGGAGATTGGTGGTCGGTTGCGGACTCGTTGAAGTCCCTGCGCTTTTCCGGCACGCCCGTCCGGCACTTGAGCTTCTGCTCGGATGACATCCAACTGGCGCAGCTCGCCTCTCTATCCGAGTGTCTCATATCGCTCGAGACCCTTGTCATCGCAACGGTTCGCGGGCCCGCCCTCGACGTATGTTCACAGTGCATTTTCCAAGTTAGATCATCTGAACTGAATATCTGGATTCTTCAGTGCGATAGTAGCGTCGAGCATTTGCTCGCGAAGATGCCGCGCCTCCACACTCTTCTATTCTCGGATGCGCCCAGCAGAACGAACAACATGCTGCAGTACTCCCCTGTTGGACGCTCCCGGACGAAGCAGTGCGAAATTGTGACACGATGGAGCCAGCGGGGTGTGTCTCTGCGCCGCATCGCGTTCACGGTAATGATGGAGTGGGTACGGGGTGCAGAAGGCTGGGAGCTGAGAGACTATTCGGACGAGTATGAGATTGTGACGGACAGCGATACGTTTGGCGACGACTCGGGGGACGACGGCTTGGAGTACGACCGTGGCGTGGAAGATGACGGCTCGGAATAGGACTATATCTGATATGGGCCCGAACAATATGTCGGATGTTACAAATACACGCATAGAGTCACGACGTATGGGGAGAGCCCGGCCCGGGAGGCTTCAGATACGTTTTCGGTTTTCGCCAGCCTCTGCTCTACCAAAAGGGTGGGTGCCTCGACTCCCCGGAGTGCGCAGGCTTGTCAGCGCGCGTTTCTGACTTCGAACCACCATCATCGCGTGTACCAGACTAGCCCCTTACAAGGTACGTTTAGTTTTCCAGTTCTGCGTTTGTTACCTGTTCTTGAACCGCTATCTCTAAGAGCCTTATGGATTTCAAGAGGCTGAAGATTGGTGTGCCAGGACATACCAGTCGTACAAGGCCGAGATCGACGACTGAGTCGGAGAACGACTATCTCTGACATTGACGTTGGCATAAACACTGAACATTAAGTACGAGTACATGATTTCGGATGAAACGGAGACGGGACCGTAGAAATGCACCCACACGCCCTGGTCCCGTAAGATCGGTGCGATGATATCGGTTAGAACTCGGACTCCTAGAGGACCTGCTAAAAACCGTAGTAATGGCTTAGATAGGCACGGCTGATTCCCTGTACAGCCCCACCATCATGGGCATCGACGCCTTCGTAGCTTTCCCGACCGTCGGGAAGGTAAGGCCGGATATGTTCCACGTAATTGGTTTGGTCGAGGGTGCGAAGGTGAACCTGGTGAGCAGTTGACATAAGACGACCTCTGGTGTCAGGAGCCGGTGCATAAGTACGACATCGACGCGGAGATCCGCATATCACTCACTCATCTCGAGTTGCGAGAACATGAAGCCACTAATCATATCAACGAATCAGCTCTCAGAGCAGGGAAGTAGCGTGCGACGATACGATAGCAGCGGAACTTACATGCACGCACGACCTCCGCCGGAGAACGTCATTCTGTACGCAACGAGTCAGCCTCCATGATTCCGAAGGTAAACCGCATCTACATACAAGGTTGGTTGGATGCCGGGGATCTTCGCTTCAGTAACGCTCTTCGGGAGAGGATTGAGCCAGCGCTCGGGCTTCCACTCCAGCGCGTCCTCGCCCCAGATGGCCTTGTTGCGGTTGGATGAGAGGATGCCGACGATGATGGTCGTATTCTCGGGGACATGTACTTCGCGAATCTTCGAGCCGTCTACGCCAGTTATGGGCTCGGACAGCGGGAGGACAGTGTCGCTGCGGGTCCTACTGAGGTTTAGTTCCGTACTATGGCGCACGGATGAACGAATAAACGCACTCGCGGAAGACGGTCGTGGCAGGAGAGCGCCTGGAAAGGGATGGTCAAATGAGGTTTAACCACAAACGAGGGTGACTGTCAGGACTCACAGACGCAGAGTCTCGCGGCATACGGCGTCCAGGTACGGCAGCGAAACGAGCTTGTCGTAGTCGAGGTCCTCACCGTTTGATGCCTCGAGAATCTCCTTCCGCAGCTTCGCCTGGACGTCGGGGTGCTCGGCGAGGAGGAGGAGCGTGACACAGAGGGCGTTCGAAGTGGTGTCCATGGCGGCGAAGATGAAGGTCCTGATGCATCGACCAGCACTGGGTAAGAACGGAGGCAGTATAGAGACGACAACACTAATACTGACGCCATTTGTGCGATGAGCTCTTCTTCGGGTAGCTTATCGTCCTCTGCCGCGGCCATATTTGCTCGCACTATTGTCCAGTCAGCGACTAGCACGTATGCAGGCAGGAGTTTGAGGACCTACGCAGGATACTCATCAAGTCTTTCCCCTCGCCGACCTTGCTCTTCAGCGCCTCATCGCCTTGCGTGATCGTTCGCTTCTTCTCTTCGTAGATCTCCACCGCCTTCTCGTGCATCGTACCCACGATACGGCGCAGCTTTTGCACGTTCTTGTTTGGGAACCGTTCGACAAATGTTCGCTTGAGCCAAGGAAACACGTCCGGCAGGTAAGGAATGGCACGACGGAAGAGGGTGAGCTGCATGATCGTGGGCCTATTCGGCGCGACAGAACAAGCGACTTTGAGCATTGGATACTAAGCAGGTGAAACGATCACTTACTGGAAAGCTTTGATCGTCGTCAGGAACTCGTCGGAAGACTCTGCGACGAGAGGGTCGAATGAGTACCCGAGGCCTGACTGGCCTATGAGTTCCAGCGCTGTGCGCCCCATCCAGTTGAGCATGTCGAGCTCGACGGGCTCTTTTTCCCCTCCGAGGCACATCTCTATACCCTTCTGTAGCTGTAGAACGCCGCACGGGGCGGTGAGAGACTGCATGACTCCGTAACTACGCGTGCTGACGTACCTTGTGTGCGACATCGTTGAAGATGGGGATCATGCGCCGCATGTTTGCAATAGAAAAGACGGGGTTAAGGAGCTTGCGCTGCTTCCTGTGGTGATCCCCTAAGCGACCCGAGTAGCCTGTCTGTCAGCATCTTGACGAAAGTGAGCGAAGGCCCTTTTCAAACGCACCGAGCGTCGAGAGCAGGCCGGGGCCAAATTCTATCTGGTTTGACCTAGAAATGTCACCGATCAGCGTGCCTTCGTATCAACACTGCAAGAAGACTTACTGGATGATCCACGCAGCCTGTTCGAAGACGTCCTGGTCCTTAATGATGATATTGTGCATCGCGACAGGGTCGAACACGTAGAGCATACGGGTCTATGCGCGTGAGGTGAGCCACAGTTCAACGCACTGCAATGCAGAGGGAGACGCACTCCGAGCGGACCTGCTAGTTTGGCAATCCCGGGGTATGTCTCGGTGAGACGCTCATACACGGGCCAAGCATGACGCTCGAGCATATGTCGCAAGTTCCCTGGATATGCCTCAGTCACGAAATGACCCGATTGCGTACCCTCGTTAAACTCACCATAGAGGCAGGACTCTCTCGGAGGACCGGGGATATTGTCAAGGGGTGATTTCACGAGAGCCTGCCCAAAGCACTTCCACAGGCACCAGGTGAATCCACCCACGAGACAAGCTTGGGCGAGGGACACAAGCATGACGCTTGATCCTGGAGATGGTTTCGGTGTGGGAATGGGATGGGGTGCGAGGCTGCGTTAGGGTATTGCTGACTCGCCCTTATATCTCATGAGTCCGTTCTGGTGGTGGCCATTCTGCTGCCGTACGAAGCGAGTTACAAATCTACATAGCTAGCGTTACCCGGGTCATGCGGGGGGCTGGAGACATGGATGCTCCAAGGCGTTAGGTCGAAGAGACTCGAGGTGAGGACGTTTCAGGCGCATTGAAGCTAGTACACCTGAAGCAACGATTAACCTCACGCAAATACGTCACATAGTGGGCTATACATACAGAGAAATTCACAAAACAATCGGGTGTAGTCCTGCCAGTCCTATAGGAGATAGCAGATCGTACAGTTGTTAGCAAATGAATGGCACTTGAACACCGCTGAGTCGCCGACTTACGCCGGGCCCGCATCCGTGGCAATGCTGAATGATGACATTGTCAAGTATACGCTTTCGCCGACGCGGATGAGTTTCGCCGATACTTCGGGGTGCATGCAGGACGGGTTTGGAGTCGACCCATTGGTCAGAGGAGAAGTATGAAGCCAACCCCATACGGTGCGGCGCGAGCCGACGACGGCAGTTTACGATGTGGCTGTGTCGCCAAACTTTCAGCGCCCATAGCGACCGCGCGCCGCTTTTGCCTGCCACCACGACAGACCACCACTCAGTCTCAGCTTTCCGCCCTTATATTCCTTGTTAGCCCTGGGTGAAACTTATATCATATCCCGGAGAGCTTGAGTGACTACCAAAGATTTGGGCGGCGTGCGCAAGCTACTCCATAATGCCTGCTCTCCAAATAAGCGACAATTGGCGCGGGTTCGACTCTCTCAGGTTTCTCGTCATTTTGTACGTTACGTCTTATCTCCTTGATTGTCTTATGTGCTAACAGCGGCCCAGTGGGGACTCCTTCTCCTCTGTTGGGTACTCCGCAGGATCTTCGAACCCGTCAGCAGACGAGCCTCTCGGCATCGTCTTCCCCGGCGAGACGTCCTGCGAGCGTCTCGACGAGGTTACTCAGCAGACCGTTCACGATCCTAACTGGGTGGGCCACCTAGTGCGAAGTGTCAACGCGCAACGCCCCGACAAGGCTTTACTCGTATATGACTATGCGATCCCGGGTGACACCGTCGCACGGATGAAGATCAAGCAGGTCGGGAAGGAGTTTCTACCCCACGTTGGCTCGCATCCCGCATGGGCTCCCTGGACAGCATCCGACACGCTCTTCCTTACGTGGATCGGCATCAATGACTGCACCTGGAACCTGCACCTCCAGGCTCCATCTGCGCAGGCCTGTCTCGACGACCTCTTCGCCGCGCAGGAGAAGCTGTACCAGGCAGGCGCGCGGAACTTCTGTTTCGTCGACGTCCCGCCTGCGCATACATTACCGAAAGGTGAGTCAGCCCTTTGGCGGTGTCGGAGCCGTGTGCTGACTGGCCACTGTGCGCCGGCGGTCTAGGTCCAAAGACGCCCCGGGCGAAGGCCGCCTATGAAAGTTGGAACCCTTTGCTGCGCTCGGGTGCCGAAGCATTCAGTGCTGCCCATCCGGACGCCACTGTGCTCCTGTTCTCGTCCTGGGATCTGTTCACGCGCGTTCTTTCGGACCCTTTGGCCGCCGGAGTGGCGCACGAAGCCGCAACACGGGCTGCGCTCTTTGCGGACGGCTTCCTTCCATCCTCTGCGATGCATGCAGTCATCGCCAGGGAAATCCTCGCGTTTTTGAAGAGTCAACCAGCTGCAGGATCGTCCTCACTCTCCAGCCAGGACGCAACGGCGAACAGGTAGACGGGACTCCTCGCGGCACCTGCAATCACTACCATACCAACCAGTGCTCAATCACATTAGAGCTTCTATCGCTCCCTGAGCAGGTAGGGGCAAATACCGATCTCTTATCTCTTCTCTCCCCGGAGTCCTGGTGGGCCGCTCGTCGCCTGGAGAGGCACTACAGTATCCTCCGACTTCGTATGGGCCGCTCGATTACGTAGTCTCTTCTGTGCAGTACCTTCTCCTCCACATTCTTCGGAGACTGATAAACCTGGATATCGCATACATTGATCACCGTCATACCCCACCGGAGTACCAGCAGTTACCATACGATTGCACACATATAGTTTGAGCAGCGTTAGTGTTCTTCATCGCTACCGACATATTTTGACATGAGGCGGTTTATGCATACACCAGACGGCACGGATACATCATCGGTGACGTGTAGCATACAGAGCGCATACATAGGGAGGATACAGCGGCGAAAGCGACAAACGAGCCATAGAGAGAACAGACATAGTTGGTAAGACAGCCACCAGAGTCATCGCACGTAGAAGCACCGGAACTCTTTGCCTTCGTAGATCGCCCCAGGGATGAACTGTGTCGTGCGCTGAACGGAGACGTAGCTGAGAGACTCTAGGGCAGCAGCGACCGAGAGAGCCTGCGAAGGTCGAGGCCCAGGCACAGAGACAAGAACACCAGTTGGCATCTGCAGGTTTTCATGCGTCCTGCGATACGTCAATGATTCGCACTGTGATATCTGTAATTCAGAGCGAATACTCACCGAGGTGATACCACCTGATTGCTCGGCTTTCCGGATGCGCACAGCGCGACCTTCATGCGCCGCGACCTTTTTTTCGTGGATGCCTTGCGTTTCTCTGTCACAGCGCGCAGGTCTACGAAAGGCACCGACTTTCGTTTGCGGTACGAGGAGTCGGCACTGGCGTTCCAGTCAGCTTCGGAATCGGCGTTCGTGTCGTCAATGACGCGGACGGTTTTCCTAGAGATATGAGCGTGGGATGCGACCGAGGTGTCAGATTGGCCGCCACAGTCGTTCGCGACTTGCTGTACGCGCGCGCCTTCAATTTGACGGGAAGGACCGTGGCTATATGCGGGTGCAGGACATTCGCTGAGGTCCAAGACCGTGTGCTCTGTCGATTATGGTAAAACTATAGGCATTACAATCAATTGCGACGAGGCAATCTACGTACCATCGATGGCGTAGGCAGAGATGGACACGCGGAAACGGGCGTTGACTACGGCTGTGACCCACAGCCAGTGGAAAACCTGCATACAGTCAGTGATCTGCATTTTAAAACTGCGAGAAGGCTTTCTTACAGCCATCGATCGTCGATATAGCCTGTTTGCGCGTTCAACAAGAGTCTACCACGGAGCCCAACTCCGCAGCCATGCACGACTTACCTTGGAAACCATGGATCGTCGTTTCCGTCGCAGAAAAGATAGGTAGCTTGCATTCGGTCTCCATGAGACCCCGCATCGGTGCCGCCGTGAGCAGCTTGGGTGTGGTCATTGGAGAAATAATTTCGGCGGGTGAGCAAGCACTTACCCCATGCCTTTCGGACGGATGTCGGTACGCGAGGACTAAACCATGCTACGGCCAATTATCAGTACAAAAATGATCCTCTGGCAATACGCCAGGGTTCATTACGAGTTCTCACCTTGCCCTGTGAATAACGGCATCGTCGCGCCTCACGTTCTGAACTTCCGGTAACTTGCAGAAAGTTTGCAGCAGGGAAGCGGGGCGAGGGTTGGCTGATCGGTCAATTACTTCACGTAGTGGAAGATGGTATGATGGAACGTTATAGAGACCTCTCAGGCCTCAGGTGGGATAACTCGACAAAGGACTCGGACGAGTTGGAGGAGGAGGGCAAGGTGCAAAACGAGGCAAAACCTTCTTTGGGCGCCTGATCAAAGAGCGTCTCTCCGGCAAGCTCCAGCGCTTGTATCCCGTCTCTTTCATCCCTGCCGCTTCGTCGCCACCCTCGACTTTGGTGTCGGTTTTGTTGGCACACGTTGGAGAACAGGTGATATCTGGTCCCTGTTAATGCGTCATGTTTACGTTCTGTCATGGAGTGATGCGGCTCTTCCAAACCACCGGAGAAGCTCTCGGCAAGTCTGGAGTTCAGTCAGCACGCAGTCTGCCACGACGCCGAGAGCCGTCATACCATACCTTAGCGTATGCTATCGCCGTCCGTTGTAAGTATGGCCTCGGGATCCCTGTGAGCTTTCAGAAGTAGAGATTGGTAAGTGCTTCCAGATGGAAATGCTACGGCCGATTTATATGGTTTTAAAACCCCATAGCACTAGACCGGAAGCATCTCACCGCTCACTCGTCGACATCCTCGCGCATTCTTTCAAACCAGATACCAAGCACGTACACCATGACTCCGAAAATGCAATACGGTATGTCGTCTACCGTGACTGGCGGCTTCCTTACCGGTCTGACGGAATTGTACAGTTCGCCTCGGCAACTCTGGCCTGAAGGTTTCCAAGATCATCCTTGGCTGCATGTCCTACGGCTCGCCCGAATGGCAGCAGTGGGTTCTCGGCGAGGAGGAGGGCATCAAGCACATCAAGTTCGCGTAGGTCTACCCAGCCGTTCAATCTCCACCAACACGGGACTCACGCTAAGCGGCCCAGCTATGAGCATGGTATCACTACTTTCGACACCGCAAACGTGAGTAGCACCCATACGCACATACGCCGTGTTGAAAATAACGTGCGTGTGGACAGGTATACTCGAATGGACAGTCAGAGATCATCCTCGGAAAGGCGATCAAGCAGCTCAACCTCCCGCGCGAGGAACTCGTGATCATGACCAAGGTACGCCTTTGTCGCACACGTAGCCCCGATACTTACCTCATCACTCCCTCTCAGCTCCATGCTGCTGTGCATCCTGACCCGGCCGTCTTCACATTCGTCAAGAGTGAAGAACAGCTCGCGGAGCTGGGCATTATCAATCAGCAGGGGCTTGGCAGGAAGGTACGCTGTACACCAGTCTGCGAGAAGCACAATGTTGATTTGTGACGCCTAGCACATCTTCGACAGCGTGAAGGCGAGCTTGAAGCGGCTTCAAGTCGAGTATATCGATCTCCTCCAATGTAGGCGACCAGCCTCGCATTCGGCATGATTGTGACTGACGGCACTTCGTGCAAGGCCACCGCTTCGACTACAACACCCCAATTGCGGAGACCGTGAGCTCTAATGATTGTCTGGCCGCACTTGCGTTTCTTTTCTGACCAGACCCGATTACCTCCGTAGATGCAAGCGCTTCACGACGTCGTCCAGGCAGGCTACGTCCGGTACATCGGGATGAGCTCGTGCTACGCATACCAGTGTGCGTATAACATTGCTGATTTTCTTATGTGGATGATACCTACGGCGCGCGCTAGTCCACCAGATGCAGAGTACGTGGCCCATCTCTTACCACACGCTAATCACGAGGCTAACTTCCTACGCCAGACTACGCAATCACGCACAACCTCACCCCATTCATCTCGATGCAGAACCACTACAGCCTGCTGTACCGCGAGGAGGAGCGCGAGATGTTCCCGACGCTCAAGCTCTTCGGCGTCGGCTCGATCCCCTGGTCCCCGCTCGGGCGCGGGAAGCTCGCTCGACCGCTTGGCGCTGACTCAAAGCGCGCGCAGAGTGACGCGTGCGTGTCCTTCGTTCTGTTTGGATAGCGGGGTGTTTTTTGACTATCCATCCGGGGACTGCAGGTATCTCAAGTACTACGACAACTCCGCAACGGACGACATCGTCAACCGGTACGCCCCTGCTGGATGCGTGTATGCGCGCAGTGTCGCTGATCACGTACATGGCTAGCGTCGAGGAGCTGGCGAAGAAGAAGGGCGCCAGCATGGCGCAGATCTCGCTTGCGTGGATCATGGCTAAGCCCGGCGTGAGCGCGCCCATCATCGGCACGACGAACTTGTCGAACCTGGAAGACGTCCTCGGTCAGTGGGCTTCAGTGACATCATGGCTCGAGTCGTATACTGATGGTTGGTTTGGTATGTGGTAGGCGCTTTGGATGTGGAGCTGACCGAGGAGGAGATGAAGTACCTCGAGGAGCCGTACAAGCCAGTAGCAGTTGCCGGCAACTTGGGTCCGGAGGCGCACAAGACGGGTGTCGTGTAGAGTTCTCAGCGCGTGTTTTGTCATGAAGTGGGGACCCCCTTGGAGGAGCATGAGTGTGTGTTCGATGTAGACTGTGTCTTACATCTATAGCCTATCACGATAGATTTGCTGGTTGTGAAACGGCGGACGTGGGCGTGCGAGTTGCCAGAAACGTGGAATTCAGCCTTGAGCAGCTGGGCGACGTATGCATCCATTATCTCAGAGTATAGAGTACGAATCGGAATCCATATACTTCGCGGGACTTCGTATGGGCAAAACAATGAAGCGATGGGTATGGGGAATGTAAAAAGCGCGAGCGATAGTTGCAGGTAAGATTGGGATGATTGTAGGGGTTTGGGTATCGCTTTGAAAAGTTGAAGCACGATCGGGTCTCATTATGGTTGGTGTAGAATACTGGCGCCGGCGTTGTGGCGCAAGATGAGAAGCTGCACTAGCGGGAGGTAAGCAAAGCGAAGCTGCGTCCGCAATCTGAGATAACGGACCTGGTAGAGCGGACACACCCAGGGGACTAGTTCTCGTTAGCGGGAGCCTCGCCCTCGTCCCCTTCCTGGAAATCGGCCCCATGCTCCTCGATGCTGCCTATGCTATCTCCATCCTCCTCCTCGTCAGGCTCGAGGCTGTCATCGCTATCGTCCGCATCGCTCTCCACAAAATCCACCGGCCTGTCCCTCGGCAGCTCCGTCGGGTACCACGCGCCGTCCGCGCCCCTCTCCCACTCGAACTCCGTCGTGAACGCGACGTGCCGGAGGCGCGACGAGCACCGCGCGAACGCCGCGAGCCAGCGCCGCTGCAGCGCGAGGTCGCGCGCGAAGCGGAACGCGTGGTTCTGCCCGCCGTACTTGTACGCGGCGTCGGAGAGCAGCAGCGTGTGCAGGCGCGGGAGGCGCGTGACGACCGCGTCCCCGAGCGCGAGCACGTCCGCCTGCGTGGGGTGTGGGGTTAGCGGTGAGTCGGGGTCGGGGACAGTGACGGGCTTACGGGCTTCGGGGACGAGGTGAGGATGAGCACGATGCTCTCGATGCTGGGGATGTACGGCAGCAGCTTCTCGAAGCGCTTGATGTTGAGCTTATTGGCCTGAAAGGCGAAGTGCAGGAGCGGCATCGTGGAGTACGTCGCGTACGAGACCGCGTCCAGGTTGTCCCGCCAGTAGGGCGTCATGTCCGGCGAGTAGTCTCCGCCGTTGTGCTTGTAGGCGGCATCGGACAGGCGGAGCGCGCAGATGGGGCGCTGGGTCTCCGCCTCTGGGGGGAGGAACGCAGATACGAGGTCGGGAAAGCATGAGAGTTCCCGGAGCGCGGGCCAGTGCGTAGGCGGGACGACGAAGTCGTCGCGCATCCGCCACATCGTTTGGCGGACGCAGAGCGACTGGACTGTGGAGAGATGGCCGAACTCGGGGATCTGGAGCGCTTGGGCTTGAATCTCGAGGTATTGGAGAGCTGGGAGCGTGGAGAGCGGCGGAACGATGAGCTGGAAGAGGGCCCTTTTCAGCGTCGTGACCGAGAGGCTGCGGAGAGTCCCAGCGCAACACGTGATGACGGCGCGGAAGATGGCGATCATGCTTGGGGTGAGCTCGAGAGGGACGTGCAACTTGAGTTCGGAGAGCCTGGGAACGGGGAAGCGCCTGCTCAGGATCTGGCGGAAGAGCTGCTCCATTCGCGCGGTCCGCGGCGAGTTGGACGACATGATGAGCAAGAGCTCGATAGACCGGAGTGCGGGGCGCGGCTTCAGGAGGAGTTGCGCCCAGATGTGGATTGAGCAGTCTCTGGCTTCCATGCATCGTAGGGTCTGGATGTTTGACATGCGCGAGACGCTTTCGATAAGGAGCGTATCGAAAGTGGGATGTGGTTGTCCAGGGAGAGCCTCGTGGCAGGAGCTCTGAAGCAGGAAGGTGCGAACGAGAGACGCCAGGTTCCGTTTGAGGAAGAGTGCCGATGGGTCGGCGGCGAGGGTCCTGACGCATTTCTGGGCCGTGTCGTATTCGTAGAGGTTGATGGTCCGGTAGAGGAGAGGTGTGCATATCTCGTTACAGGTCTTGTCGGCTAGCGCAAGCGAAGGCAAATCCGACTGACTGGCCAGGGAGCAGACCATATGCAGGAGCTCGTTTGGCAGTCGGAGACGTGGAACAGCAGCCATAGCTATTCCTGGCCTCTAGACACGACCTGTACAATGTCGTGAGCATTGAATGGTCCATGGTGGACCCAGATATGGTGGTAAATGCGAGAAGAAAACATACGCGTGCCCGGAGTGCTCGACCTAAGGAACTGTAGTGGGGATGGGGCCGGTGGGTCTGTAAACCTGCGGGGATCGACTCGGACAGCGGCCTTAAATACGCTGATCAAGCGCTTCCTAGGCGGTCCCCGGCGAGACTCTGGGGCCGTTTTAAGTGACGCCCTGTGTCGTTCCGAGCGACGCTTGCAAAACGTCGTCGATTTTGGGGGAAGTTTGCAAAGCGTCTCCGATTTTGAAGGACGCTTGTATCAACTTGCTATGAGAGACGGACTCCGACGGTTGATCCGATTTGCCGCCAGACGCCGATCACCGTCAAGTCGATTTACGCCTCGGATCCCCACTAGCAATATCAGTGGTGCTCGACGGCGTTGAGAGAGGTGACCATCGTTGCGCTGGCCGCGCTTGCGAGTCCGGAAAAGTCGTCGCGAGTCGCGCTGCGCAGTACGTGTGGAAGAAGCAAGGCCCGGGCCGAACGCCGATTGAACCGCTTGGGGTATCGGCATCCTCCGGAGCTAGCGCCCACGGGAGCGCCACGATTGACGCTGCCCTCCCTTTGACTCTGCACTCGTCGCACTGTTTGAGCCTTGTGCATACCTGCTCCACGCTTTTCGAGCTGTACGGCACCTAGAAATATTCGGGTCTCGGTCGCATGCATCCTCCATAGACATCTGATATCACGGCTTAGATGAGTACCTGCCAGGACCTGCCAGCCGTCCTGATGAAAGTTGGAGTTTGCACGAGTTGAGTTCAAAGTTGAGCTTCCGCGCAGCTAGAGTTGGATGCGGCTTTTAAAAGCCACAAACCTACCGCATAACCCAGTGGACCTTGCCCACCTACCGTGACAATCCCTCAAGGTCACTCTAGGCGGAACCTCACCATGTCAGCCGATCCAGACGCCGCTGCAGAAGCGATTGAGCTCGCTCAAAGCATGTACGTGAGCACGTCACCTGGGATGTGTAAAGTTTAGAGTATAGATTAATGGAAACGCACATAGATTTGTCAACAATTTCTGCGGAGATGTAGCCCTCAGTGCGGCGAATTTGACAGTCAATGGGGTCGCTTGTCTGACAAGGTCCTATCAGCCCTGCTGTTTTTCGAATACGCGACGACTCTCGATCGCGAGGTGAATCTGTTCTGGAAGCGCAAGTTTACGGGCGCGACGACTCTGTTTCTCACAAACAGATACATCCCTTTGCTCTTACACGCTGTGGACATGTGCGGATATGCACCAATGAGCGATAAGGTGAGCATCACGGCACTGCTTTCGAGTAATCTACCAGCTGACTTTCTTTGACGCAGAAGTAAGACTGCGGAGCACCTCATGTTGAGACGCGTAGCTCATATATCTTCGGACAAAGCTGCTCTGCGCTCACGTATATCGCTCAAACGATTCAAGTACTGCAGTATGTCCCATGGGCCGGTACGTTACAGAGTTCCTGTTTACTATAAATGCTTTGCATGCTGATTTCGCACATTGCAGCGTTCTCAGGACTTAGAGCATACGCCCTCAGTGGACCGAGTATCATTCTAGGACTAACAACGTTCTTGCTATCGTCCGTGGCCATTGCCGTCAACCTGGTGCGTCAACTTCTTATTCCTCTGTCTCACCGAGAGCCTCATTGACTTGCAGACACAATACCATTGGCTCATCGGCTTCAATGATCCTACGTATGGATGTTCGAACGTGCTCCTCATCCCAGATTATTTGGTGCATCGGTAAGTCAACTTGTGTGACAGGCACTAACTACTTCATTCTCTAACAACGTTCTTGTGCAGATGTGCGGCACCTCCGGCTTTCTACTTTCTGTGACTTTCTGCTCACTGATCCCCTGACTTAATCTCCAGTGACGATCGTCTCCCGAACGTGTATGATCGCCGCCGATGTGCTCGTCATCATCATCACATGGGCGGCAACGTATCGCATGCGGGGTCTCCGCCTCAACGGCGGCATCGGGCGTACTTTGTCTGCTGTGCTGTTTGAATACGGTCAGTGGCCAACACCTCCTCGTAGTGCGCTCAAGGCTGACCCCCTGATAGGCATAATCTACTTCCTGTGAATTATACTCGTCTCTACACGTCAGCTTCTGCGACTGAGGTGCCCTTGTGATAGCTTCCTCACCATCTTGAACGCTCTCCATCTCTCCTTCACACTTGTGTCGGTATGTGCTTCGCGCGCATTCATCCGATCAATTACTGCTGATGTGCCTTCCTACAGCTCGCAAGCGATAGCATCTCGCCGGTCAGCTACGTCACGGTGTTCACGGAACCGTAAGTCGATGCACACTTCAGCACGCCTATGCCATTTCTAGCTCGCCGAATCATGAATTAATGACGTGCTATGGCCAGGATCACTGCCGTGCTCATCTCACGGTTTCTCTTCGAACTGCAAGAAGCGAATGCAGACGTCACGGCTTCTGATGCGCACAACGATGTCTCCTCTCGCACTACTTCGCTCAACTTTGCGCGTGTCGTTGGAACCCTTGGATCCCCTTTGGTATCTCAAGACGAGCGGTTAGCTAGGCCCGCGATGGATTCGGAGACGTATGAGCTGGAGGATGCGGGCAAGACCGTGCGCACGGTGGAATAAGGTGCGCGCGACCGATTTCAACAAGCATATTTCGTCGTTGACCGGCTTTTCTTAACAGTCTACATATTCCTCTATTATGATAGTGTACGATAATCTCAATTTATGTGGACTACTTACTTGTAGCGTCAGCCTGACAGCAGACTTTCACTGGTCGACTTCGAGCACCCTAGTGGGGACTCGGTACATGCTATGTGGCTTAAAATCCTGATTGTGCACCACATGTCCACGCGTAATACGATATCTCAGGATGATTTCGTATCCTATCGTTCGATCTTCGGGCATGTCGCAGACTTGGTGGCTTGGACACCAGGGCAGCGGCGCAGCGCCACAAAGGCGTCGTCGATCGGGATCTAGCCAGCGCCAATCTACAATAGCTCAAGTGGCTGGAACCGGTGGCTGAGAGAGGTTGTCTCCGCCCGTTTGCTTCCTCCGAACGTTCACTCACCACCGCACGCACGAAACGTCAGCATATCGCTCCGAAGACGCACATATAGGCGAGAAACCAATCATATCCAACAAGAGCACCATGTCAGAGTCCAACGCGCCGGGTTCGACTTCAGGATCGGCTTGCACGTGTGGCGAGTGCTTCGAAGGCTGGCTCTCGCCGCGCATGCGCGAACGTCTCGAATGTGGGTGGCTTTTGTTACCTTAGCCCATACATATGGAAACTTACCTTGAGCCTTATCGTTACAGACTCGACGGAGCTACGTTACGGGCTCGCGAAGGCTTTACTTGACACACAAGATGGTGTCCCAGACGACGTCACGAGCACCCTCCCAATCGACTACGCGCAGATCGACGTCGCGTTCTACTACCTCCCGTCAGAGCTCCGCGCGAAGATTAGCACCTCTCCACCGGAGACTCAGAGCGACGCGGACGCGTCTTCAAACACCGGCGACGCGATCTATCGCGGGTACACCGCTGCCTTCAAGGTGGCGCTGGAACTAGCCACATCTTCTTCAGGCGAAAACGGGAAGGCGCGATGCTTCCCCACCGTCTCCGACCTCACCAAACGCTTCTCCGAGCTCCGCGCTGCCTCAGCAGACACTGCCTCCGACTCGGAGCTCGACGCCACCGCGCGCGAGCACCTCGCTGCGTTCCTCGACGCCGGCGGGTCCGCGGAGTACGCGCTCGACTGCATCGTCGATCGCGCGCGCGAGGAGCTGTCTCCGCTTGGACGGCTGTACGACACGGAGAAGGAGTACATCGACGCGGTGCTGGATGGGAGCGATGGCGAGCCGCGCGGGGCGTGCGCGAACGATCTTGACTTCGCGCGGGTCCGGGAGAAGCTGGGGCTGCCGGCGGAGACGAGGGGCGTCGATGTCCCGCTGGACGATGGGGATCATCTGGACCCGTTGTCTGATGAGGAGTAGGAAGTGCGAAAGGAGGAGTATCTAAGATGAACATGCTGAACGCGAAGGAATCGGTGTATGTTATATCTCTCATATGTTATGACGAACGACATGGCTTGGATTCGACCGCGGCGTGAACCTGATTGAGTGTACAACAGCAAGCGAGTTAGATTCCGTCACGACTGCAGTCTACAGATTTAGATTCAGCCGGGTCGAGACATTCGTCGAGCAATGAGGCATTTATTTGTACTTCAAGTGAGTATGCAGGGTTACTGTCGTACATGATAAGCCGTTGTCGCGCCCTTCCAAGTCAGTTCACAAACGCACAGGTGATGCGGTGCATTTACTTCGATTCCACCTCGGAGGTCCCGCTCCTTTTAATCCTCCACCTGTCGGCATCCACGTTGTCGCGCTGGCCCGCTGGCCCAATATCGACGATGAGGCACATGCCCACGTACATGATGCCCATGGAAGCGTCGTTGCCGTACGCCGCATAGGTATTCTTGATTCGGTTGTTACTCGTGACGTTCGTGAGCATATGCACCGTCGCGGTCTTCTTCGGGAGCGTGTCGTCCGGGTCATACTCCTCACCAGATTCTGGGGTTTCCTCAGCCTTCCGGGTCATGTGCTTCAGCTCGCGGCCCTCTTCCGGCGTCGCAGTCTCGAACGGGTCGACACGATACATGCGCGTCGCGCCGTAGTAGCGCAACAACTGCCGGTCTATCCATTCTCCTTCTCCGGCCCAGTCGACCACCGGCATCCGGTGGAACAGCGTCGAGCGAAGACCACGTCTGTCATCCCATTCCTCCTCGTGCAGAAGCTGCAGTGCCGGGTGCAGGTCATGCGCATGGCATGCGTGCAGCAACGCGGCATCGCTCCCTTTGAGCCAGGCCTTCAGGCTCGTGAGGGGTTCCACGTCACCATCGCTCCAAGTCTTGGGAAACGGATACAGGTGACGAAGACCAAACCCGAGTGTGCCACCGTTTGGCAGGAACGCCGGTTCTGCAAGGATTGCCTGGAGCGCGCTGGAGACCTCGGATGGGTTTTCGCCAACGGGGTGCAGTACGCGCAACGCAGCTGCGGAACTCGTCGCCGTTGCAGACGCGGGCACAGCTCCCGAAGGTGAGAAGTAGAGGTTATAGGTGGCGGACACACGGTGTCCGGATTCAACTAGCGTGACCTCGTGGTCGACGTCGCTGAAGAACGCGGCGTATGCGATGCTGGGGGGAAGGCTGGGGTCTGAGAGCAGCTTGCCAGAGTCGAAGACCCATTCGCGTCCGTCGTGTCGCAGGATGAGTGCGCCCCCGACGTGCGGGGTGGGGAAGACGATGACAAGGGATCCGAACATGTTCTCCGCGCGTGGGGTGTCTTTGTGCGATTTGAAGAAAGCATTCTCTCCTGGGCAAGTGCGATCAGCGCAAGTCAAGGCCTACTCAGAGGCTCGACGTACCGTATACATTCAGCTTGTACAGTTCAACTTGTATCGCCCTGTCATCGGTTCCGGGGAACAGGCCGGAGCGTATGGCATCAAGCATGCTCGTATGAGTGTCGGCGTTGAATGCGAGTACGAAAGAATCGAGGTCCAGCTTGCCAGCTTTGCGATACGACTCGTCGAAGACGTCCTCTTGATTGACGCCAAAGGACGCAGGTTGACACGCCTCGGCGAGTCTATCGAGCTCATCGACTGTACCGTTGGCCAGGTCTATCCGACTGCGAAGAAGGAGTGAGAGCGACGTACTAGCGATAGCTATCAAGATACTGACCCAACTTGTTCAGCTTTGCCGTAGTACAGCAGGAAGTCTCGCGGCTGGCCCACGAAAGTGCCGCTGCAATATGGAACGTTGTCAGTGAGAATCGTGCGAAGACGGTGAGCGGCGTCGGGGATGGTAGTGTTGGAGGGCATCTTGTCTCGCAATGATCAGGCAGAGAACTAAGGCACTGTTGCTCGGGCTCCGATCGTGCTTAACACCGCTTGGGATACAGGGATTCCCTTTGCGAGAACTACGATGTCGTCAATGCTCCGGCAGATCTGTACGCACTGTAATTAGAGATGGGAGTAGCATTCGACACGGTGACCCACACGCCGACAGTTGTACTGTGTAATCTCTCCGGGATGACGTGTTTCCCGGGGAGGTGGCGCCTACTACTCGCGGTGAAGAGGGTGGTGAGCCCGTGAAGTGAATAGCGCGGCAGAAGAGACATTCACTATGGCGTGCAATGCAGTGGCTGCATGCGCAGAAGGCTTATGATGCCGACAGGGTGGGGTGGCAGCGTTGGTAGTAGGAAAGCGAGCTCGATACAATGTTGACAACCTAAGGGTGTTCGCTCACACACCGATAATTTCCTTCAGACCCGAGCTCCCAAGCTCTTCGTTTCCTTGAAAAAGATCCGCCTTCTAGAAGAAAGCGGTACCGGTTGTGCGCCCTCGTACATCTAAGGGTCGCGGACTCCACTGTAAAGGACACAGTGCTTCGAAAGGATATTGAGAAACATACCTGATGAGGACTCCATGACGCTCCGGTCCATCAACAGCGTCAAACAGGACTGCATCTAAGATTACGAGGGGCAGTACGTTCTCAGTCCAGTAGACTTCGTGTCGTTAAGCGAATTATCCTTCGAGGGCAAGTTTTTGTAGATGGCTAGCTCATTAACAGAAATAATGAGAACCCACGAACTATCCAAGGAGCCATTTCACAGAGATACAGCTAGGAGAAAGCAGCAGGTCTAAGCGAGTCAGCGAGCTCACAAACCTAAGAGAAGTCGAGTGCATGTAGGAGAGAGAGGAGGGCCCGGCATGTCGGATATCGAACAGTGCTTATTTGGCCGCTTATGCTAGTTAAATAATGCCACGTGGTGTGAAGGCGCGAGAAACGAGCGCCTTCGAATCATCTCACTGAGTCCGCGCTTGCCAGTGACGGCGACTGGTCGACGATGCTGGTTTGATACTGATGCAGGAAGGTCCTCTGTACTTAATCTGGTCACTGTATTCATACGACTTTATTGATGCAGATCTTTACCTCCGTTTGTTTACCTCTCTTGCAAGTTCTCCTTAACGCCGGCCGTGCCGCGCGAGACATAGTAGGCTGGCCTGATAGGAGTGGGGACCCTGGGTAAGCACTCGACGAACCGCGGGGTGTTGTGCTGATGGGCATGTCACAGCGATCCTAGGTATTACGTCTAAGCTGCGGCAGCGATCCAGATGCGCAGGGGTATGCACGCTCTTCCCTGGATTCCTGAACTCCGATGCGGAGCAGGGAGGAGTCAAACTCACTCAGACAAGCAAGCATTCCACGCCAGGTCCGATTGTTCCGGATAAGAGCCCACGCTCATGTAGTCATCTCCTCCTGAAGTGCATCCGCTCGATCACGAAGCACGACTTTGAGCTGCATTCGACCACGATGACTTGTCCTTCAAACCGGAATGAGCGGATATGAAGATGCATGCTGTGAACGTTTTTGTATCTGGAACCGACTGCCTGCGCATCGTCGGGCATTGGCCAGTCACAAGTGCTGCGAATGACATTTGCGGTGAGAACTTGACCTTCCACGGCCTTATCCTTACGTCCATTTGGGCAGACGAGAGGCTGCCCGATGCCGGGACCCGGGATGGGTACGATGCGCTACCCTATAAACAGGTGCTCACCCCTCCCCGGAGAAAACACTCAACGCCCATTCGCCAACATGGAGTCTACTTCCGTCTCGCCTGACCCGTCTACCCTTCTCACTCGTCTGCGCACGACTTTGCGAGAAGCCCTGCCATTTTGTAACGGCACTCTCCAAGTCGCGAATGACAATCTGGAACTTTACTACGGGAAAAGAAACCATCGGTATGTTTGCGTCTATCGCCGAAGTTCGCTGACGATCTTGTCGTTTACCATGCTGATGACAATCATAAACAGATACCTCCACTTCGCAGAGTCACAGACTCCCCAGGGGCAGGCCGACCTGCAAGAGCTCGAAGAGACGTGCGACGCGGCCACGTTTGGTAGGAACCAAGAGACCGTCTTGGATGAGACGTACCGTAAAGCAGGGAAGATGGATGTTGAGAACTTTGTGATGCGATTCGACGCTGAGCGCTCTGGCCTCATCGACGTCGTTCGTGCAGGCCTGCTGACCGGCTCGCGCGAGAAGAAGGGGATTGATGTCGAGCTGTATAAGTTGAACGTCTACGGTAAGTGCGAAGCTGTTCGAATGTAGACTGACGCTGACACGCGATGATGCAGGCAAAGACGCGTTCTTCAAGCCCCACGTAGACACGCCGCACTCCCAGAAGATGTTCGGCTCCCTCGTGATCGTCTTCCCCACCCCACATGAAGGCGGCGAGCTCATCTTGCGCCACGAGAGCAAGGAGTGGGCGTTCGATGCCGCGCAACTCCTCTCTGGCATCTATGACCGCATTGCGTACATCGCATTCTTCAGCGACGTCGAGCACGAGGTCCGTCCTGTGCTTGCCGGGCATCGCGTGACGATCACCTACAACCTCTTCTTCGCCGACGACCCGCCTGTTCGTCCACCGCCCCCGGGATCCCTGTCCATCTTACGCCCCGTTCATGCGAACGTCGCACCTATCAAGGACGACTTGAGCGCGTTCCTTGCGCAAGTCGCTCCGGGAAGCACGCTCGGGTTTGGGCTGCGCCATGTCTACGCGCTGCCCGTCTCGTGGGACGACCGTAGCGACGACCCCCTCCACATCTTGAAGCGGGCTCTCAAGGGGAGCGACGCTGCGCTGTTCCACGCGTGCGAGGAGCTAGGCTTGCAGCCCAAGCTGCGTCTCGCCACGAAGACCAGGCGCGGCCCGATCCTGCTAAGTTATATGCAGGAGTTTGACTACGTAAGCATGCACGACGACGACGAAGGCTTCCCGGAGTCCCTGGAGGGTACTTTCTACCGGGACACAAAATTCCCCTTCGCTGACGAGGAGAGCGAAGATGAGGCCAAAGACGACGATGGCGGCGCGCATAGCGATGAGTCAGAGGAAGAGGACGACGACGCGGACAACCCTCGGGAGCGAATTTCCGTGCATTGGGTCACTCGGAAGAATAGAGTGAACCGCACGTCTCAACCGTACGCCTTCCACTTTGGCAATGGTGCTTCCGTGGGTTTCCTTTACTTCTCCGTGTGCCTCATCGCCAACGTCGGCAACCCGGAAGAAGACGACTCGGATGAAGAGGAAGACGATGAAGAGGCTGAGGAAGAAGGTGATGACAACGACTCCCATGGAGAATGGCGTGGGGTGTGAAGGAGGTCACGGCGAGTGCGCAGGGTTAGGCGGGCGTAGAACTTTCTCAGGAAGCTACCAGAGATTTATTTGATTAGCAGCAAGCGGATGTGAAGTAGAGCAAATGCGCAATCGGTACAAATCCGAGTCATTCGCACGAAAGCTGAGCTCCGAGTGAGTCACAAGGGTGGCAGGCCGGGGAAGTACATGGATGATGCAGCGCCTGATACAGCACAGCAGATCTTCTGCATCATCTTTACGTCTACATGTTTCGGACCCAATCGCGCGTGCATCCAGGGAGCTCTCGTATTTGAAGGGGGCTCCCGTCGTCGCAGACCCATTCATAACTGGTTGCAGCATGGCTCCCGTCCAATCTAAACCATCCTCCCTCATCGCTCATCTCCGCCAAACACTCTGTGATGAACCTCCATTCTGCAGTGGAACCATCGTGCTCTCGAGCGACATGCTTGAGCTCTACTACGGGAGGGAGAACCCATCGTACGTATCAGCATCGCGTCTCAGCCCTTTGAGCTCGAATGTCATGCTTACGATTTTCATGTCCGCTTGCAGCTTTGTAGACTTTGCCCAGTCAGCCTCGCCCGAGGGGCAGCGCAGCCTGCAAGAGCTCGAGGCCGCGTGCGAAGCTGCGCCTTTTGGCAGAAAGCAAGAGACGATCATCGACGAGACGTACAGGAAGGCAGGGAAGATGGACTCCCGAAACTTCATGACGCGCTTCCATGCAGAGCAGACGGGCATCGTGGACATGATCCGCACTGGGCTCCTGACCGGTTCGAGCGAGGAGGAGGGCATATCTGCGCAGTTGTATAAGCTCAACGTCTACGGTAAGTCGTGTCCGTTCTAGTCGTACCTGTACTCAAACCACGGGGATTAGGGAAGGGCGCATTCTTCAAGCCGCACGTCGACACACCACACTCCCAGAAGATGTTTGGGTCGCTTGTCATCGTCTTCCCCACTCCGCACGAAGGCGGGCAGCTCATTCTCCGCAAAGAGAACAGCGAGTGGACATTCGACGCAGCGCGACTGCTATCAGGAAGTGCTGATCGCATCGCGTACGTCGCATTCTTCAGCGATGTCGAGCATGAAGTCCTTCCTGTGCTCTCTGGACATCGCGTGACGATCACGTACAACCTCTACTTCGACAATGCTCAGTCCCGGCCAAAGGTTCCCAAGGGCCTCGCCGTCACGCAGCCTCTTCACGCGAGCAGCGGAGCTATCAAGGAGTCCTTGCGAGCTTTCCTCCGCTCCCCGAAGATACTACCCGACGGTGGTACAATCGGGTTTGGGCTCCGCCACGTCTACGCGCTGCCCACTGTGTGGGATGATGGCGACCCCGAGCCTCTGCGAGCTATCGGGCAAGGGCTCAAGGGGAGCGACGCGGCGCTCTATCGCGCGTGCAAAGAGCTTGGTCTGGCACCGCGCCTGCGTCTCATAACGGAGAACTTCGATGACCCTATTATGCTCGATCATATCAATTGCCTGGGACACGTGGGAGAGGAGGACGAAACGGCGATCCTACTAGATGCAGGCGGCGTCTTCATCAAAGATGCTGAGTTCCCCGGCGACGATGAAAATGACGAGGGCGAGGGTGTGGGTAAGACCGACAGAGAAGGCGAAAGCGATATCGAACACGAGGGCGAGTCGGTGGACGACTCGGGCAACATTGACACCCAAGACAACGCTTCTGATTATGGCTCAACTGGATTCTCTTACGACAGCGACGAGCCATGGAAAGGTCACCGCAAGCTCCCAGTACACTGGGTTACGGAGCTGAACGGGCTGAATCGGACGTCTCAGGCGTACCTTTCGTACGGAAATGAGGCATCGATGGGCTACATGTACGTCTTTGTTTGCCTTATTGCCGACGTTGGCAAGCACAGCGACAGAATTGTCGGCTTGTCCATGGTGGACGAGGGCGTCGCAGAGGGCGAGGGAGGAGCACAGCCGAGCGGGACAAACGAGGCAGTTCCGGGAGCCTGAGCGGGAGGTTTGGGCGTTGGTAGCCGCATGTGTAAAGTGTTGTAAGGCCAGGCGACTATTACATGGAAGCAGTATCTTGGGCGCGGAGCGTGCTGTGTACGACGGAGTGTCTCTCGAGCGACGAATGGCCTCCGATGGCGAAAGACGAAAGATGAAAGAATGGGAGCGAGTCCGACGCGCTGACCGGTAACAAAGCGGCCCGGTCCGGTTGTTGTGGCATTGTTTGTTCGGGTGGGCGTTAGCGCCCTGAATGCTCTCACGCGTCTCAAACTCCAACCACCTTGACCGCCGCTCCCGTTTATGACCATTTCTTCTGCATTTGCCCAAACCGCAACATAACCCTTCCGCCACCCGCGCGTCTCACAGAACTAAACCTTTGAACAGCATAAAGCATGTCGACAGAGCTGACAGACCGCCAGAAGAATGATCTGTCAGTAATCTCTCACGGCAACTTCTCGCCAACCGTCGGAGACTCGTCGTTACTGACATCTATACAGCCATCGCGCCATGCTAGACTACTTACACTCCGCAGGGCTTCACAGGTCATATGAGCAGCTCAAAGAAGAAAGCGCACAGGTACTCATGATGCCTAGCATTTGCGCCGTATGACGACAACGTGCGGCAGCTCGACTATGAACCAGACCCGAATAGCAAGACGAAGGACCTCCTCGTGAAGAAGTGGACCAGCGTCATTCGCTTACAGAAAAAGGTAGAAGGCAAATGTACTGTCTGTCCTCTACACGTGCTAATACCCCAGCACCTCAGATCATCGATCTCGAGTCGCGACTTGCCCAGGCGCTACAAGATAGTGCAGGCGCCGTCGCAAACCCGGCGAGCTTGAACCAGCGCAGCAATCCGGATTGGCTCCCTACCGTCACCCCGCCAAAACTGACGCTTACAGGGCATAGGGCGAACGTCAACGCGGTCACATTTCACCCGCGCTACTCGGTTCTCGTGTCTGCCAGCGATGACAGCACTATGAAGGTGTGGGATTGGGAAACGGGAGACCTGGAGAGGACTATCCAAGGGCACACGAGGCGTGTTAGCGACTGTGACTATGACTCCAAGGGAAAGTATTTAGGTAAGTCTTCCTCGCGCTTCCTAGGCCGTACTCTCTTAGTTCGGCTGAACATGCTTCTCTCGCAGTTTCATGTTCCCATGACCTATTCATCAAGTTGTGGGATGTTGAAAACGAATACAAGAACGTTTCCACCTTCCGAGGACATGAGCACTCCATTTCAACTGTTCGCTTTCTCCCCGGAGACGATCGCGTCGTCAGTGCAAGCCGCGATCACTCAATCCGTATCTGGGAGGTGGCTACTACGTTCGTGCACCTTTTACTTTCTGCTGTTTTGTATACTGACAACGCCTTCATACAGGCATTGTATCAAAGTTATCAAACCTCACGAAGACTGGATCAGGGCTGCGATACCGAGTCCAGATGGTCGCTTCCTAGTGACGAGTTGTATGGATCACGTACGTTCTACCTTTGTTCTTCAGGGGCTGTACACTAATCTTGAACCGAAGACGGCACGCGTGATCGAAATTGCTACAGGTGCTACGAAAGCCGAGTTCAGAGGGCACAGCAATGTGGTCGAGAACGCCATATTCGTGCCCCGAAATGTTGTACCCGCGATTGCAGAGCTAGTCGGCACGAAGGTACGCCCTCACATTCTCACCTCCATCTGAATTTAAGTTGACCCAAGTCGACGTTGCTCCAGGTGCCACCATCTACACCCGAAGAGCTATCTGTCGCGTTTGTGGTGACCGCATGCCGCGACCAGAAGATTAAGGTTTGGGACGCACGGGCTGGCCAATGCCTGCATACGTTGGTATGTCTCTACCCTCCTTCTGCGCGAACGCGTCACCGATAACACGTATTCTTCGTAGGTCGGGCACGATGGTTGGGTGCACGGACTTGCATTCCACCCCAACGGCCGATACCTGCTATCCGCCGCGGACGACGGCTCCATTCGGATATGGGACATCAAGACCGGGCGTTGTATTCGGAAGATCGAGACTGGCGAGCGCTTCGTGTCCTGTCTGGCTTGGGGTCGCCAAACCACGGGAGGCAGCGCGCCGGCGGATGCGGGCGCAAAGAGCGACCAAGGGGAGGCTCCGAGACGCGTCAATGTGATCGCTTCTGGATGCTGGGACTATGTGTGTTGTTTCTGCCTCCTGTGTTGAGTGACGTTCTGACACATTCGCGTACCTAACACTCAGAGCGTGAAGATTTGGAAGCCTTAGGAGCCGGTTGCATTGCCGGAGGACTTTGTTCTCATAGTGCTCACGTCGTCGGGCGCCCGATCGAGTTCGGTACAGCCACAGCCAGTAATCCTGTCAGCGCATGCTGGACATCTGCGCTCTCTTCCACGTTATCGCATCCTGAAAGTTGTTGCAGGCCCATGTCGCGACGTCAAGACCACCTCGCGACGATACATGCATCAACGTACAGTGTTTCCTGTTACAATGGTCATGTCTGAATAGGGCGCGAGACTCGGAGTCTAGTATGACATCGGCTAATGGTCAGACGGGCGCCGAACCCGGCGACCTTGTTCTTGCTGTGCGGACCATCTCAGGGAAGTCTCGTTATGCTCATCATATAAAGTCAATCGCAAGCACCAGCACGTCGCTTGCGTCATGAGAACATGCGTGCATATCTCCTAGAAGGCCGCTGTTACCGCAGCACAGCGTCCGGAGGCGCCGCAGAAGCCAGCGTGATCGTACTTAATCACTCGAATTGGCTCATGCTCGCCTTCCTCATCGCCGCCATCTGTCGGGCATACCTCCTCCCCCAGTCGTGGATCGGAGGACCACCTTGCTCGTGGAATGCGACAAGAAGGACCATTTAGCCCTCTCACCTCCCCTGCTACGACTCGCGACATGGCCGCCGCGTTGCCCATTCCCGCTGTGGTGCCGCGACGCGACGAGGAATTCTACTGTCGCGATGTCGTCTTCCAGGTGAGTGACCTATCAACGCCATGGATCACATCATTCTGAATCTGTGTAAACCATACTAGGTGGAGGACATCCTGTTCAAGGTCTCCCGCCGTCCTTTCGAAGAAGACTCGGAGGGGTTTGCGAGCATGTTCGCCCTCCCGCCCACCGACCACCCGTCCGGTGTGGAAGGGACCTCTGATGCCAATCCTATTCACCTCCCTGTCACGGAGGACGAGTTTCGAGCACTGTTGCACGTCATATTCCCCACGTAAGTCCTATTTATATTTACCTCGTAAGCCTCTGCAGCTGGCGTCAAACTGATCCTCACTCGTATGCCGCTAGATCCTTCACAACGCGCGCCTTGACGAAGGACAACTGGATGTCCGTCCTCAAGCTCGCGGACATGTGGGGCTTCGACGACGTCCGCGACAAGGCGATAGCTGAGCTCCGCCGGCTCATCCCCGGCAGCGCCGAGCGCGTCCGCATCGCGCGCCGTTTTGGCATCGCGGGCTGGGTCGAGCCCGCGCTCAAGGAACTCGTGCAGCAAGACATGCTGAGTGCGGGAGATTTGGAGGCGCTCGGGTGGGACATGGCCGCCCGCCTGATACAGATCCGCGAGAATGTGCAGTTCAGCGGGAATTGCACCTGCGGGTGCAACTACTGCTCTATCGCGCACGGCCCTCTCCATGTCGGGCACGCGCACCCCGCTGCGGGCTCGCGGTCGGGAGTCGTCACCGCGACGAGCTTGCGCAGGGGAATGGATCCTGTTTCGAGGATCAGGGAGGTGTTCTCGCCGGTCGAGCTCTTCTGAGGGTGTACCAGCTTTGCGTTCATGTTGTAGGCTGTGATAACTCGTTACCGCTAGTTGCATGTCTGTACGATATTAGTGTTGATATGGTACACTCTCCTGTATTTCGAGCTGTCGTCTGTTGTTCTACTCAGCCGTATTATATCTCGGTCAATCTCGTCCCCTTCGGCTTCGTCCGTTGTACTGGAGTGTTGCCGATGCACGCCTAGCGACAGGGCTCTAGCAGGGCGTCCATACATGCACTGCATCCAAACATATCACAGGCACTTCGACCCAGAGTCATCCTCACTGCGATTGCAAGCCGCTTCGACTCGGAATGCTCAACTTCACCGCATAGGTCAACCGTGATCCGACATTCCAGTTCAAAGGTGCTATAGTGACACAATGATCTGCAAACTGCCAAGCAACATGAGCCTTTAGTACGTGAAGGTTGGATGTGCATGTAGCGAGCTCAAGACGTCAAAGGTGTATACATAGCATTGCGTAAAGCTCTAGCCTGCAACTGCGAACTGAAGAACGCCGGCGGAACGAAGTCGTTCGATAGCGTGATTGCGAGCCAGAGGCGTGAGATCGACGGCATGATCTGGGGGGAATTAATGGTAAGGCTGGTGGCCTGAGGCTGGTCCAAGGGCCGCTCCACAGCCAGTCGCAGGATTCGGACCCGACGCGGGCCACCAATTGGGGACTGCTCCAGAGAGAAAGGGACGACGAAATCGGTCTGCGCGAGCAGCCGCTCGGGAAGCCTGACCGCGGGGGGGATAGCTAACGAACAGCGGCCGCCGCTAATGTCCACCAACGGGTACTCCTGAACTTGACAGTGCTGGGGGTTGCAGTAGGAGCAGAGGGGCGCCTCCGTACGTAGGAACGCCTGGGTTACTGCAACATGAGAGTGGATGAAGTTGGAGATAGAGATTTGAGCGCAGATGCCGCCCGTGCAGTGGGAGTGTTGTGGGGATGGAAATACATCTCGCTGCGTAGGGTCTCCTACCGACGGAGTGAGAGTTACAGTAATCTGGATGAGCTGTTTGAATGCTGTGCGTCGACCCAAGGCAGGCGATGACTCCATGTATAGGACGGAAGAGCAAAGTGTTGTCTGAGCGACGAGCTCCATGTTCGAGTCAGAGCGTTCGCACTTCAGAGGATGGACAGTGTATCCCAGCGCAAGGAGTTCCTCTTGACATGATGGTGCAAGGTCTATGGGGACGAGAGGAACGGTGCCGCATTCAGACAGGTAACGATGGTCGTTCGGCCGTATCTCAGTTGCGGGGGTTGAATGCGCCATGTGTCGTCGATCGAAACCTGGAGTGGACGATGCTGTATGGTGGAGGAGAAATAGTTCACTGGTCATCGGTGAAAGACGACCGCCCATAGCAGCAATCGCGGGCCCAGAGATGTAGACGACCCGAGAGAGAGGCCGCCTTAGACAATCGCCGCGACCACACCTCATGTGGGTGGCAATAGGTAAGCCCTTCTCTTCATCCGGACCAGGCGACGGGGGGAACAGCGCCAAAGCGAGAATTCCCGCACCCCGTAGTGTGCAACGTAGAATGGCAAGGGAGTGAGCGCTTCCCAGGGACAAGCAGCGGTGGTGGTCATTCTCGTGATAGTGGCGAAAATAGGTCGAAGTGCCGTTGATCGCCTCAGTGACTTCGGGTAGCTGGGCGAGATTGATGCATGGAAGGCGGAGGCGAACACCTTGGGGAGTGACCACGCAGTGAAGAGGAGGTACCTCGGGAGTCCACCCAGCTAAAATTCGGAAGAAGGACGAATATTGCAGGGGTGTGAGCGGATCGATACCGCCGGCGAGACGAAACTCCCGCGCCGATGGCGCAAGAAGACCAGTGGGCGCGTCGAATTCTGGGAGGTCACTGTAGGGGAGCTCGGCATTGTCGAGGGACCACAGCATACATGGTGGAGGGCCCCAAGCGAAGATAGACTGATCCGGAATGGTCTTCAAGATCTCTTCCTGGAGGCGGAGGAATGCGTTGGACCCTTCACCGTAGATTGGCGACAGATGAACGCCGAAGATCCCTAACAGCGAGTACGCCTCGTCCTCTATGCGCGTCGTTTCCCTGGATGACGCCCACGACATCCTCCGCGCCACGCTGGCGCTCGACAGGGGCGCGCTGCCAAGGAGAATATCGGCGTCGATGCCCGTAGCACGGACGAGAGCAGAGAGAAGGCTGATCTTCGTTCCCAGCAAGGTCCACGAAGAGGTTAGGAAGACTACGCGTTTTGGTGCGAGGAGCTCCTGCAGTGTCCACCCTCGCTTGTGCCACCTGCTCCGTTCGAAATCGGATCCGTAACGCAGGGGGTCATCGACGTGTACGTCCGAGAGGTATACGTAGCACACGTCTGCGAGGCGGTAGAGATCGAACATTGAGTTGATCGCCTCCGCGAGCTCGGCACTGCTCGACTTGTCGATGCACGCCGAATCGATCCAGATGAGCTTGTAGCCGGCTTCACGTGCGACTTTGCAAACGCCCTTGATCTTGTCACAAAGGTCAGGATGGGACAACACAGGCTCCGCGTTGGGCATCATAGCTCTAGACACTTCGCCTAAGGATACGAATTCACAGATCAGTGGACCAGGCGCAGTGGCACCGAGTCGTATTCCAGACTAAACTTACTCGGCGATTCTCCCTTGAATTCGGCGCGAGCTTTCCGCATGCGCCTCCTAAGCTTATTAGTCTCATCGAACGTTTGCTCGCCGCCATCCTCCTCGGGCCTCCATGTATGGGACAATATTGCGTATGTCACCGTCGACGCATCCGCGATCCAGCGAAACTCGCCAGTGGATGTGTCGAGGAAGCGCGGCATGACGACGGTAGCGGCTATCGGGCAGCGGCAGGAGTTAGTACCAAGTATACGCAGCGAAATTTCACGAGCTTACTTCGCGAGGGCCCGCTTTTGAAGAGTGTGCACGAGACAGGCGGGATGAAGAAAGAGGTAAAAGAGAAGGGGATCGACAGGGGGAGGGATCGACAAGACCGCCGCTACTCGATGACAAACTTGAAGTGTACTTATAGCAATGGCTATTTGCTTCCTGGGGACAGCTTCGGCCTCAAGACGCACATTGTGGGCTCTATGCCCCCAGGGGGACCAAGAAGGAAGTGAGTGAATGAGCTACTGCGGTCAAATACTCACCTTAAGCGGTGTACTAGTAGTACAGCCCCTTCCATGGCGCTTTCCTTTCGCAGCGTAAAAGTGCTGAGATATCTCAGATCTCACCAGTAAGCAAGTACCTTCACATGCATGCCGTGCGGACGTCGGTGAAGTGTTGAATGTGTGCTTCCGGAAGCGAGCATTTACGACCTCTCGCCGACTCGATGGAAGTTCAAGTTAGAGTCACTCCAGTCGCCGCGGAACCGTCCTCATTGGGCGCTAACGTAAACCAAGTCGACCATCCTGGGCGCAGTGGGCGGAGCTCCGCGTACGATCCTATATAGCCTGAGTCCCATACACACAAATCAATTACAAATCCACACTAAGACACGAACCCATAGCCTAGCAGCAACACACAGCACACACCACATTATACCTGCAGGAAATCTGTCCGAAGCGAGTCCGCGTCCCCCTTGTGCTTCTTCTGCCGCGTCCACGCAATCGGGCTCGTGCTCAACAACGCCCTCGTCGCGCCCCCACTCCCCCCGCCTGGCGTCCCCGCGCCCTCCCTGCTCCCATACCCATGCACGTCCGTCGACACCGACCGCATCTCCCCCAGGTTGCTCGACAGGCTCCCGTCGCGCGCCGCCACGCTCTCCTCGCGCCGCAGCGGGACCAGGTCCATCATCGTCCCGCCCCCACCGGCGGGCGACGCGAACGCACCCGCGCTCTTCCCGGAGCCCGCGGCGGACTGCGCGTACGCCGCGGCGGTGGCCGTCCCCGCGAGCGACCCGGCCGGGTTCACGGAGGACTGGCCGTAGCGGAAGACGCGCTCGCGTGCGCGCCCGCGGTTGTATACGCGAGTCAGGAGGATGTAGAGTAGGATGAGGACGAGTGCGAGGCCAAGCAGCGCGCCGAAGAGCGCGGCAAGGATCGTCGGGGTCTTGGACGAGGAGCTTGCTGTGGATGCAGAGCTGGTGGCGCGAAGGTGAGCTAATAATGACCGGGCGCGCCGCGGGTACGAGGACATACCTGGATGGAGTGAAGAGCGCGCTGCTGGCGGTTGATAATGACACTGATGTAGATGAGGACCTACGACATACGAGCGCGAAGGTGAGCGTCTGCGTCCCCGGATGCAAGGCACAGAAGTTGGCGCAGTGGAACTGAATGCGGGGCCTCGGCTACGCCGGATCGGGAGAAGCACCTCTGTGCACGTGCATCTGTACTGTGCTCCGGAGATAGAACAGTGCTGTGGCGCGGAACAGACAGAAGACAGATGAGGGCGGCGCAGGAGCTGTACACCCAGTCTGCCTGTATACAAACGTTCCCGCCCGCATGGGAACGCGTACATGTGCGCTGGGAAAACGTACCGCGTCTCGCATGGCGCGACAAGAGGACGGTCTAAAAGAGAACAAGAGCGCGCAGGACTTACCCAGAGAGCCATGGGGGCAGGGAGGTCACCGTTCCAATGGTGCTCACTGTATCGCTGCAGACGGGGGTGGCGAGCACGTTAGCACACGCCCAAATTTGACCATCACGAAGCAAAGACGCACCTCGAGGGGCCAGACGCGAAGGTGATGTAGTCCACGTCCAGCCACTTGCCCTGCAGCCCGTCCCCGCTGAGCACCGCCGTGAGCTTGACGAGATGCGAGGCCGACGCGTTCACGGGCGTGAACGTGTGCGCGAACAGCTCTTGCTGGAACAGATAGGTTGCGGCAGACGCGTCCAGGTTCACGACAGTACTGTCGAACTGCACCTGAAACTTGCCCTGCGCGGCACGGAGGCGTCTGATGAGTGGCGAATGGGCGCGAAAGCGAGGCGTTACGTACATGCTGGGGACCCTTGGATCCGTACAGTGCAAACCCTATCCCTTGGAAAGTGAATGACATCGACGCCCCATCCACCTCCGCCGCGTGGTACGTCTTGTCGAAGAACTGGTCGATATCGGGGTCGGTCGATGTCTGCACTGCCCAGCCATTCGCAGAGTATGAGAGAGTGGTATCCGTATCGTCGAGCGTGAAGTTTGGCATAGCGAATCGCCTATTGAGTCCCTAGTCGCGCGCAGAGTACGCCACAGAAGCAGAAGACGAGAGAGAAAGAGGACTAGTAGCGGGAGTGTCTCGGGGCGGGTGTGGGGTGGGTGCGGGTGTGGACGTGCATTCAGACCGCTTCCGGCGGCGAGGCGGAAGCGAGGAGTGCGACGGAGAGGGATGGAGGAAGAGAGGTAAGCGAGCTGGCACGGGTAAAGACAGGGAAGGGAAATGATAGGCTCAGAGATGCAAGATGCAAGAGATGGCGGCGGTGGGACAGGCAGCGTGTGCGATCGTGAGACTGTGGTCGAAGACTCACAGCGTCAGTGCAGGCGCACAACGTTACAACAACCGTGAGGGACGGGGAACGAGGAGGAGCAGGAGGAAAACGAGCGTGAGCGATCCCAGGCACCGCGTCGGTGTCGGAGCAAAAGAGAGATCCAAATACGGGCACCGACTCGCTACGCGAAATGGTGGTATCGCCAATTGCGGCGGGTGCGCTCTGGCGAGCACTCCCCGCACGTCCAAATTCGGTTTGATACTGTGCTGATGGCGCTTTCTCATGACGCGGCACAATCTGTGATCCCAGCGTACGCGCCTTGTTTCCCCGGGTCGCGCAGCCTGCGTTGCAGATCCTCCTGAGCTACGAGTCTCCTCGGGCTGCGTGTGAGAGTATTGAGTAGAACAGTGCGGTTGCCATGGCGCAGAGCGTAAAACCAGCGATCCTGCCCTTCGTCTTCGCACATGTCGGCTAGGGGGTCCGGCGGGTCCGATGGGTATTCCAACGGGGAGTTGACGGACGCTGACAGGTCCCATCTCCCGCGCTGGAGGTATCAGAACAAGCGAGGGCGTTCCTGGGCTGGAGATTGAGATCCTATCGCATCATTCGATATTGGCTGCGACATGATCTGGTGCGAGCGCTGGCATTGCACAGGGAGTGTGCCACGATGGGAAAGAGAGGCGAGTCGGCGGGAGCACATCGTGGATGAGAGCCAAGCAGTGTGCATGACGCCCGGAGTCCAAGAAGCTTGAGCAGAGGTGCAACTTGGGAGACGAGCGCCCGTCAGCGCCTGCGCGCGCAAGAACGTTCGCGCAGTGGGCCGCTTGGGGACGCGAGTGCATCGGAATCGGAACGCTTCTCCCGCGGCCCGATCCTGGTGGTCGCGCCGGCGCGTCCGGCGGGGAGAGCCTGCACAGCGAACACAGACATCGCGACATCGTCATAGGCATCGCGCGCGATGGATGTTACAAGGCCTTGACAGACGGGATCACCACTGGCACGCTAAGCACTGTATTCTGTCCGTAAGCGAAGGCCCTGCTGTACCTGGACGCGTCGAACGACGATACACAATGCCAAAGACCCCTCTGCAGCCGCCCGGGCCACAGCGTGCAAGCGGGTGCGTTCTGACACCTCCAAGTCTTCCGTTCTGAGTTTCCCTCCGCGCGAAATTCCAGTCGCCTTCACATGGCCGTGTGGTACCCTGTGGACCGATCGCGCGCACCGCACATGGAACATGGAACACACCCACCGAACCGCCGCTCCCCATGGAGGCCTCATGCCACACACCGTGACCCTCACACGACCCACCCACCCTGACCCACCGCACGCCCGCGCCCGCCCGCCGCCGCGCCGCGCGAGCCACAACATTTCCCCGCGCCCGCGCCCGCCTTGCGCGCCCCTATTCCCTCATTCCGTCCTCACGCGCCCGCTGGCCCTCCGCCGATTCCGGGGCACCGGCGAGGCGTCCCGGGCACTCGGCCACCCAACGCCCACGCTACGATAACGTGTGCGTGATCGACGCGGTACGGCCAGCTGGTGCGCGAGGATCGATCGACGCTGGACGCGCGGACCGAGAGAACGTTCGCCGAGGCGTCGCACGTCCACCGCGGCTGAACCCATCGATCGCATCGCCGCGGCGGGGGACGATCGTGGAAGGCCGCGGTGAAAGGACTCGGCGAGACGCTGCACGCAGACGCTGCAGGCGGGCAGGCTCGTGAAACCCGCGCGCGCATGGCGACACCGCTGGGGCCAGAGTCCAGAGCGGGGGCCCAGTCCCGCCGCCGTGCACGCACGCCTAGACTTTAAGCTTAGAGACCGAGACACGCTGTGTGAGACACGCGGAGGAATATTTGAGAGAGACACTGTGATTGGATTGGATTGGATAGTTTACTGGGCGGCGCGGAGCGACATACGAGACGGGATAGAGAGATAGTGAGAGAGAGAGAGCGTACACCGACGGGACCCGGAACACAGCAGCAGCAGAGAGAGACACCGAGACCGACATCTGAAACCGAGACACGGAGCGGCTGCGAGCGGACGGGCGGTGAAGAGCGGGATAAGTGTAAAGGGGGGAACGCGGGGATAGTCCTTGAAGTGTAGGGAGGGGGAAGTGTCCGCAAAGGTGTAAGGGATAAACAGCTCGAACCGTGTCCGGGAGTCAGAAGCAAAGAGGGGAGGGCGAGGCGGGGGCGTAGCAATGGGAGCAGCAAGACGGGCTTGTATGTGATATCCAGCGAAGTACGGGGCACGGAAGGGGACGCCGCGCGCTGGGAAGGAGGAAGGGCGCGCGCGGCCGCACGGGTAACGAGGGAAGGCAAAGAGCAAGGAAAGCATTACAAGTGCGTGTGCGTACAGGTATGTATGGTATGCGTGCAACGCGAAGGATATACAATATATACGTGTAAATCAGGTCGACAGCGAACGGACGACGAAAGAGTCCGCATTCAGGGAAGGGGAAGAAATCGGGAGAGGAGGACGAGCGGGGGCGCGCAGCGAGAAGCAGAAGGAACAGAAGGGCCGCGCACCTGCTCACGCCCTCATTCCAACGGCAGCGGCGAGTCGTACTTGAGAGTCGCCCCCATGGGGCTCCCCTCCAGCAGCCCCTGCACCCCCATCTGGACCCCCGCCATGTCCAGGGGATCCGGGCCCATGCCGTCCTGGAGGGGATAGGCCTGCGGATGAGCCAGGTGATGCGCGAGGTGTGCGGGATGCGAGGGATGGGGATGGTGTCCCGACACTCCCCCCGGACCCGGGTGACGCGGGAGATGCGCGTGCGTAGGATGGCGAGCGTGCACCGACAGCTGCGTATGCGCCCCATCCGGGTAGCTGCTGCTGCTGTTGTCCGGCGACGCCCCCTGGTAGTACATGGGGCTGCCGTCCATATGCGCCGCCTGCTGCTGCGGTTGCGGGGGATGCGGGCTGCCCGAAAGCGGAGGACCCCCATACCTCTCCGCGACGAGCCGCCTCATGTACTCCTCCTCCGCCGAGTTCCGCCTCTCGCGCTCCGCCGTCTCCTCGCGCGCCTGCGCCTGCTGCATACGCTGCTGGAGCTGCTGCTGCTGCTGACGGTGCAGCTCGTGCGAATAGTGCTGCGCTTGCGCCGCCAGGTGCGAGTTGCTGCTGCTGCTGCTGTTGCTTCTGTGCGACAGCTGCGGCTGCGGCTGCTGACGGTGGGGGGCTGGCGCTGGGCCGATCGACGAGTGCGAGTTGCGCGGCGGCGGAAGTGAGGAGTCCTGATGATGTGGTGGGCCGCGAGAGTGCGCCTGCGCCCGCGCCTGAGCTTGCGCTTGCGCCTGAGCCTGAGCCTGCTGCTGAGCCTGCACCTGCGCCTGCTGCTGCTGATAGCGGTACAAATGCTCGAGCTGCTCCTGCATCTGGAGGTGGGTCATTGCAGAGTTCCATGACGGAGAGCCGTCGAGACTGGGGTCGAGAGTCTGTCCCGTACTCGTAGTCCCCGAACCCGCCGCTGCTAACGGGCCGCCCAGCATCTCCCCGTTCGCGTGGCCCGTCATCGTCGTCGTCAGATCCAGAGTACGGTCGCTTCCGGGGATTCCCGGCGGCGAACGACGCTGCTGCGTATGGGCCCGCGGTGGCTGGTGCGTGGAAGGAAAATGGGGAGTCATATCCGCCGGGAGACATCGGTTCGTCTCCGCCTGCTGCTGCATCCTCGTCGCCTCCATAGCCGCCGCCGAGTCGGCGTATGGACTCGAGCTGAGGCCCGCCCCCGCCGAGCCGTCCATGTCCGACGGCAAGCCGTAGGGATAGCTCTGAGCGAGGCGCGCCTGCTGAGCCCAGGCCTGATACTGCTCCAGCTGATCCAGCGTAAGCCCCTGCGCCGCTCCCTGCAGACCCTGGTGGGTAGTAGTATGCGGCGGGAGCTGTCCCTGGGCGATTAGCTGTTGAGGGTCGCCGTCCGTAAGACCCTGCTGATGGTGTGGGTAGAGGTAGTACGTGTGAGTGTGTGAGGGGTTGCTGTTGCTGCGAGGCGGAGAGCGACCCATAGGATGCACCACCTGCTGACCCGGGTGGTGCGAGGGCGCGGACGGATGAGGCGACGACGGCACTGAGCGGCGGGAGAGATCGAGCGGGGTCGGCTGCAGCACCGCTGCTAGATCCTGGCCGAGCGGCGGATGGGAGATCGGAGACACCGAAGTTGAAGGTGGAGGCGGAGGGGACGAGAAAGGACTGGCTCGTGTGGTGCTGGAGCTGTTGGTGGTAGAGAGGGGCGGCGGCGGTGGGAGATGATGCGGATGCTGGGGGGGCACGAAAGGACTGGCCGGGGTCACGAAAGGAATGGTTGTTCGTGGGGCGCATGGAGGGGCGGTCGACGTTGGAGGTCTGAATGTGCCATGTATTACTCCCTGGGGTCTGAAAAATCGCGTTCGCGCCCTCGTAGCCGGTGCTGGTGCCCGGGCGCTGGGCCATGGGGTGGACAGCGTGGGAAAGGTCCTCCTGCTTGACGGCCATGGAGGGGATGGATCCGTTGAGGGAGCCACCGTTGGTGGGGGAGACGCTGGAGTTCGCGCTGCCTGCAGCCTGGCCGCGCTTGCTGCGCGCGGGGCCGCCCTTGGAGGCGGCGGTCATGGACGCGTGGAGGGAGGTGAGCTCGGACATCATGCGCTCGTTTTGGTCCTGCTTGTCGGCGTGGACGGTCTGGGCATGTTGGCGGAGGTTGTCGAGACGGGAGAACTGCTTTCCGCAGTGGCAGGTGAAGGGCCTCTCGCCGGTATGTTTCCTGGGGGGACGCTGATAAGCATCACGTCGAGAGCGGGCGCGCGGGGGGAGAGGAGGACGGGGATAACGCGTCGGGGAGCGGGGGGCGCGACGTCTGACAGGGCGGGGAGACGTACCTGATGTGCCTGGCAAGATGTTCGCTCCTGCTGAAGACCATCCTGCATTCGCCATAGCCTCTGCACTGGAAGGTCTTGGCTGGGGCAGGACGGTAGCGGGTCTTGCCTACGCCTGAGGCGGCGTTGGGGTTTGAGCGCGCATCGGCGGGGGGCGGGGCGAAGGGCTGCTGTGCGACGACGGCGGCCATGGGCGGGACGGAGGGGTCGGCGGGCGGGGGCGATGGGTGGTGTTGAGCGGGGGAGGACGGCGGGGACTTTTGGCTGTCCATTGGCCGTTGGAAGCGGCACTCTCCCAACCTAAAAGGTGCCTGAAATCTCAATTAAGGCACATTTCCAGCGGAGTCCCAAATCGGTTTCCAGACTGCCGGGTCAGGCACTTGAAACCCCGGTACCGAATCTAGAAGCAGGAATCTGCCCCGCCCTCTTTGACGTCAAAACATATCGTCCCGTCCCTCCCAAACACCCGAACTCCACTCGCGCGAGCTACTCGTCGCCGCACCACAACACAGCTGTGCTCCCCACAAGGCCTCCCCCCCGAATGCGACGGACCCCGGCGCCCGGTGAAATGCTGGACAATCTCCACGTGCCGTGCCCCCTTTGGGCGAAACGTTCCCGCATCGTTTTTGCGCGTCTCATCCTTCTCGCTATCCGCATCCACTTTGTCCTCCAGTCCGTCCCCGTCCCGCGCCCTTCCCTTTCTGGCCCCCTTGTCTCCCAAACGTTAACCTTCTCTCGATTCCCCCCTCCGATCCCATACATTCCTCTTGCCCGAGCCCCCTCCTCTCGCACGCCTGTCCCCTGCATCCCTCCGGCTCGGCCTCTGCATTCTCCCTCTTCCCTCTCTGTCTCGGATGCACATCTGCCGCCTGGGCTGTCGACCGGGAGTGGAGAGAGAGAGCGGACGGATGGGCATCTCCGTGCGCGCGTCCATCTATCACCCACAACCGACGCTTCCCACCCGTCCCCGTCTGACAGATCACATTCAAACTCGTCCCTGCCGGCCAATCCGCGCTCTCCGTCGCATTGTCTCGACCAGCCTCTCGCACCTGCCAGTCTCACACCCCGCCCGATGCTGCCAGTGCCACGCCCGGGTGTGCACCTCCGCCGGCACTAGCCTTTCTTGCGGTCTCGCGGGGCCCAGACGCGGCCCATGCTATCGTGCGCGCAGTTTTTTTTCTTCTGGACGAGGAGCAGTGTTGTGGGCTCGGAGGGCGATGGGATGCGCGTGGGCGATTGGCAGGTCCTCTCCCGAGAGCGTTCTCGCCCCTTGGTGGCTGTGTCGCCGCTACCTCCAGCCAATCGCAGCCGTCTTCGCGGGCAGCGCACGTGGGATTTGGCCCATATCGGGAGGTCGCCGGCGGAGACGCCTGGCAGATCGGTTTCTCCAGTCGGCGTTCCCGGGGAAAGGAGGTGTGCCGGGGTCCTCCCGCCAAGTCGGCCAGTGTACGCTGCAGACAGAATGTGCACCATGCCTTCTCTCCGTCTCCGGCTCACCTCGCCCTCTGACAGATCCCGCGCCGTATCTCTCCGTCTCACAGACCGACTCGGACTCAGATCCAGGAATGTACACCCTCAGTCTTGCACCCGCCGCTGGCCGCGCTGCTTACAGCATGATACAGCACTCGCACTCTGCCACTCCTCTGCGCTCACCCCGGCCCTCCATCGTCCGCTCAAGCCGCGCCGCATCAGACAGCACGCCCGCCCACCTGATCCTCCTTTGCCCCCGTCCGGCCAACGCCATCTCGCACTCGCACGGCCAGCCTCGATCCGCGTCCTCCAATCAATCCGTCCACCCGAAACACCTCCCGGGCTCGTTCTCTTTGCCTTTCTTCCTCGCCATCTTCGCTGATGACCCCCCAGCCTAGCCTCGACTCGGCATCGCGCTCTCGTCAGCACGCGCCGAACGCCCCGCGCCCTCTGCTCTGTTCTGCCGCGCCCCAGTCTCGGGCTCGCTCTCGCCTCGGATCCTCGCTCGTCTGCCTGTCCATCCCTGATCTCGCGCGCAGCCCTCTACGCGGCGCAGCGCGCACAGTCGCGTCCGCGCAACACGCATCTCAACCGCACGCGCGATCTCGGACACATCACTGGGCTCGGACTCCCTCTGCTCGGGCCTTCTGCGCGCGCGCCCTGAATCCGAATCGAATCGCGTCTGCCAGACGCGGCGATAGCGCGTCCGTCCCCAGGCGCAGGGCCTCCTCCCTCGGTGCCTGGCCCTTGCACGGCCGCTGCGCTCTGCGTCTGTACGCCGACTTGGGTCCCCGCGCGCGCGGCTGGCGCCGGATCTGCTCCTGCTGTGTCCTGTCTGTCCCCCCCCGCAGGTACAGCAGCTGCTGCCCTGCCTGGCCCTGATCGACAGCCTGTCGGCCGGGTGCACTCTTATTGACGTGTGTCTGTGCACGGCTGCTCCTGCTCCCCCTGCGCTCGCTCTGGTCACCCTCAGCTCCGGCTCTGCACTGGCTCTGGCTTCCTCCATCTGTGCCGCGCTCTGCACCCCGCTCGCTGAGATAGCCAGTCTCTTCGGCATGCGCACTGCACTTCTGCCGCACGTGCGGCTGGCTTCGCTCGCGGTTCTATCGCGTGCCCTGCCGCTGTTCGACGCCCCTCGCTTCCGGCATTCGCCCCCGGTTCCCTGTTCAACGCCCCTCCTGCCCTGCAGGGCGCGCCCAGGGCCCGCGGCACTCAGATCGCGACGCTCGTTCCCGAACTGCGGCTGCGTCCGAGTCCGAGTCCGCCGCCCCATACTGCGTCCGCCCGAGGTGCGCTGCACGCGATCCTCACGCCCGAGATCGCGACTCGCGCGTGGGCTGCTGGGGTTCGCGCCCATATACAGTGGCGGATGTACTCGACGTGGTGCGCGGCCCGGGGCGCGCGCGGGGTGACAAAGCGGCGGCCATGCGGGTGCGCGGGCGGGTCTTTTGGCTGGCGCTTCTGGGTGGGTCTGGATCCCGACTTGTGCGGAACGTCCGGGTAGGCATCTGGCGTGTACGGCCGGCCGCCTACAGGCTGCATATCGGCGGTGTCGTTCAAGGTGCGTGCATACCATCGCGTACGTCCATAGCCCCAGGTCTCGGCCAAGCATGTACCGCACACGCACCCAAAAACACGAATGAAATATGCAAATGCATTATAACCCATGTACTTCTCGCAATGGACTGGCCCCGCCCGCGCTGGCCTTGCGCCGCTGGCATCGATGGCAACTCTATCTGTGTTCGAATCCACCTGGCACCCGCGGACGCTGTACGCAGCGGCGGAGGCGCCGGGCTGCCGTCTGCCGTCTGCCGTCCTCTGCACGTACGCCCCAGGGCATCTCGGACCCGAACAGAACGCGGCTGCAGTCCGGCGACACCGCGCACCGAGCGGCCTCTGTCTCCGCCTCTGCGTCTCTCTGCGAGTGTTTTTGTGTCTGTGGCTTTGTAACGTGAGCACCGCTGGAGTAACTTTGAGGCATCCTACTCAACGCCGCGTCCGACACAGGCACCTGACATGTGCGTGAGGGGGTCGCTCACTCGGGCAGCCACTTCGTTCACACGTCTCCGTGTCTATCGTGGCTTTGTTCCCCTTGCGGCGCCGCACTCTGCTCAGGGTTAGCGTTCGCCGGGAGAGACGCGCACATGCAAAGGGAGAAGCCCCCCGGGCACAATGCCAGGCACGGAACCTGCCACTGTCCCAGTGCGCGCGGGATCTCGCGCGTGCCGGGAACAGGGATCGTCGAGGTGCGTCCGTGGCATTGGCGGGCGTGGCAGGCGAGACGCGTCTGTGCAGACCTAAACAGTAAAATCAAAGGCGTACGGTAGCTTGCCTGCCACTGCCAGCCCGTGACTTTGGCGTGCAGAGTCTGCGCATGCGTTTGTGCATACATTCGGCGCTCGCCCGGGGCGCGCGTACGTACACGTCCCGTCCCAAACGCGATCGCCTGCGACGCGCTCTGCCCCCGCCGCGCCGCATCTCCAGCCCCCACGCCCGTTTCCCGCGCGTGTCAACGTCAACCTGAAGCTCTTCTTCTGTGCTGCGAGTAGGGCTGCTCAATTCTGGCCGGACGTGGTCGCTGGTCACTGCAGAGCTCGTTTGATGGAGCTGATGGACTGAAGCGAGAATAGCCGAAAAGTCCTGCGACCGGTGTAACCCTACCTGACCCTAGTGGGAGAGTCGTAGGGTGGTTTTCCTGTCGTCCGTGCATTGGGGTGTATAGGCCTCTGGACTGCATTGAAGATAGGCGTGAAAGTGCGTGTGGATGTCCACGTCCGTCTGCTTTTTTTCCGTCCTCAACTGGCTCCCCTATCGCCCACAACGCCTCCGTGAGCTGGAGAGGTTTGGGGAGGAGTTCAAATAATTACTGCATTTGGGACGTGCCTAACTCAAGCGACCGGCGGCGACCGCGACAATTCGACGTTCTGCACCTCCTCGCTTACTGTCGCTTAGGTCCATCAAAGCCAAGACACATCCTCTGGAGTGACCAGCGACCACGTCCGGCCAGAATTGAGCAGCCCTAGTGCGAGTGCAGAAATCCGCTTGGGTCCCCGTGCGCACGCGCACGCACACGCGCGCGCGCCCGGGCGATCTCGAGATCAGAGATGCCAGGGGTCCGCGGCCAGGCACCGAACCTTGCCGGACAACGTAAACAAGAGATGCGCATGCAGATGCCACATCAGCCGCCTGCTGCAGGCGCGTGTGCCCAACTTTGCATTCAGTCCTCTCCTGCGCACCGCGGTCCGCTGTGTGCACCCCGGCGGAACGACGCTCGCAGCTGAGAACGCGTCGCGTGCGGACGCACGACCGAGGGAGCGTTCCCGCCGGCTGCCCACCGACGCAAGGCACGCCGCGTACCGCGCTGCTCGCGTGTCGCCCTCCTGCCGCTTGCGGTATCTTATACGCGTCCAGCAGCAGCCACCCGCCGCCCGCCACTCCACCCCGCGGACGCGCGACTGTCGACACATGCACACGGCGGTGGCATCCCCGCGTGCGCAGCGCGTCCGATCGTGCAGACGCGGTGCTGTGCTGGCCTGTCAGGCTGGTTTTTCGATTCGGCGGTTCTGTTTCTGACTGCAGTGTTCTGCGTCCGCCCGAGCCTGCTGAACGGTGCGCCCGGCGGTGCACCACGTCCAGCTGCCGTCGCATGTCCGAGCTGCGTCAGAATGGGTCGCCGGGGCGCCACAATCTCCGAAGAGGCAAAAGCAAACCATCCGCTGCCGATTCATCAGCACGCTTGTAATTGTGCGTATGCACTCGACGCTCGATCCCGCGCCGACGTTCCCCACCATGCCTATACCGAGTCATGATTGTGATAATGGCGCGAGCGAGGACCGGGCCATTATCCACATTATCAGAACGGGCGCAGAGGCTGCAAGAACAGACTGCCGACGCACGTTCCGCCGCCGCGGATATCACAGGTCGCCCGCAGAACTTTGAAGCTTGTTGGAGGCGCGACGTGTGCGAGCGTCGGGCGTGGGCCCGCCACAACGGCTCGCGCTAGCGCAGATCGGTCATCGTCGTACGCCAGCACGCGACGGAGATCGCTGGATCGCCCGACCGACCCGCCGACACCCACCACATCAGCACGCGAGCGAAATCCGCGCACCGATTGGCCCCCGCCCGATGCGCGCACGCTCCGAGTCCGCACCGACGTGCATGTACGTCGAACCACGTCCCAGCCCCACCGCGGTGCCAGCGTCGGGCGCGGCGCAGAGGCGGGATCGGGCGCTGCATCGGCGGGGGGCGCGGTGTCTGTCGTGGGCGGGCGCACCGATCTGCAGTCCCATGTGCAGCGTTCGGAACCGGGGCGGGCTCATCATATCAACCCGGAGGCAAACGTCTGGGGTCGGGAAGCGCGGGGGTGGCGTGGCGCGTGCGACTCAACGCCCGCCTCAGCCTGATCCTCGGGTTCGGGGTCGGCTGGCGGACGGCGGGTGGGGAGCTCGTGCAGGGTGAGGAGAGGACGAATACGAATGATGGCGGATGCGTAATCGCACAGCGGACGGCGTCCGACGCGCAGCAGCTAGCTGCTCTGCACGGAACGTACATGATGGGACTGGCATGCGTCCGATGCTGTTGAAACGGGGTCGGAGGGGGCTCATCAGTACAGAACGCGATCATGCAGTGCGCCGCGGAAAGCCGCGTCCCTGGCGCGTCCCCCGGTGCAAGGCCCGGTGTGGCGAAATGCCACAGTGCGAGAACAGAACGCGAGCAGCGTGCGCAGATGGCCGCTTCTGCCCGCACGCCCGATGCATCCTCTGCGGGCACGATCAGCTCGCGCGGTGGAGCGACGGCTGATCGCGATTCGGGGGCACCCCCGGCGAGGACCTTCCGCAGTGAGAAGGGCGGGGGCGCGTGCGGACGCCCTGCGCTGGCACGATCGCAGTGCGCGTGCGTCATGCGTGCATGGCCGCCATGTGCGCGCCGAGTGGGTCCACAGCCGCAAGCGCACGCCAACACACACGCCGCTCCACTCGTCCGCCCAGGGACGAGGCACGGCCGATCCGCCGGCGGCGGGCGCACGGTCCTGCCGCCGCGCTGGGAGCCCGGAGGCAAGGGACGCAGGGGCGCGCGCGGGCGCGTGCTTCCCGCGATGCACCCTGGTCCTGCGATCCTGCGCCCGATCCCGCGGTGGAGCTGCAGGCTATGCAAGGGGCATGCGCTTGTGGCCTTCTTGCTCCTGCTGGGCGCGGCACGGCGCGGTGCGGGAGATCGACGCTGGGGCGGCGCGCGCGACGTTGGACGGGGCTTCGTGATACATCGGTGGGGGCGCGAAGGGCGGTATGTCCGGGCGGAGGTGCGTTCTGTGCCCGTCGCCGCAGGGGCCTCGTTGAATGCTTGAACCGCGCGCGCCGCTTCGCTGTGGAAAGTCGTAGGGGCGGAGGTACGGTCGGGAGAAGAGTCGGCGCCGGTGGGACGATCGGTGCATTGGAGCTACTCAGGGCGGGCAGGGGGCAGCTGCACATTCTGCATTGTCCCATTCGTGCTTGGGGCGTGCTCTCCGCACAATAAGAAACGCCTCTCTGTGCTATGTGCCTGCTGCAGTGGAGTGGAGTTGCGGTCGGAAGCACGCTCCCGCGAAAAAAGAAGCACTCATCGTCATCGCGGGAGGCACCGCCCTGCGCGCATCCCCTCCTCCTACCCGTGGTAGCGGCTGCCTTCTGCCCAGCGGTTCATGTGAGGTACGGGCGCGTGGGCCACATTTGTATATGATACAGGACGCATGTCGGGAATCAAAGAGGGTAGAGAGGTGAAGAGGAGGTTGGGGGTGACGATTATACACAGCCTCCCGCAGCGGACGCATCTATCAGAAAGACAACTAGCGATCGCTCAGCACGACGTATGTTGAGGAGAGGTAGGACTGAGGTGCTTACCGGTATGTGCGTCCCGAGGGTGCGTGCTCGTTGTCTATTCCAAATTGACGTTTGCAGCGGATGGGCTCTTCCGCACGGTTGAGAGCAAGACGCTACGCGCCGACCCTGCGTCGCGCAAGCGTTCCCCTTCACATTCCGGCCGCCGTGCTCACTGTAGGCATGGCCTTTGCTACAACGGTACCACAGCCGACGTGCCCGCCGAAAATTCGCGCGACGTCGCACTCGCTCGGGGCCCGTTCGGCTCGCACAACATCGGTCACACTGACACCCCGAGCTCGGCTGATACCGAGCTCCTCCCGCGCTCATCCGGAACACCGTCGAAGCATAACGTTAAGGGTTTGCCATTATGAGGCACCCGCGCGCACGGCAGGAGGCTCCCGGGGAGGGGGAGGGACGCGGCCTTGCTGCACATCTCAAGAATAGGTGTGCGGGCCGTGGGAGGACGCCGCGCCCGTCTGCGCCTCCTGGCCCGCGCCGCGATCCCACCCGGCCCACCTATCTGAATCGCGGACGGATCACACCCGTCTTCTGTGCACTGCCGGACACATCGCGCGTCCACATTGCCTGAGGGGGATGCTGCCGAGGCATCGGTACTGGGGCCGGTCGTGCGCCGTGGGCAGCACGTCCCGTGTGTCGACAGCAGACGTCCTCCAGCTCGGGCCACGTTCAGCCGCTTCGCGAATGGTGTGTCCCCGAGACCGAATGGGAGGGCGATTCGCCGATTAATCACGGCCGCTGAGGCTGATGCTTGAGGCAGCCGCATGTGAACGCACCACAGGGATCCGATTTGTGTGCGACATCGCGTCGCCATGATCACATCCGGGTAGGACGGTCCCTCTAACGTGCAGGATGACCTACGTCGCGACGCACGCGGCGTGCGTGCAGGGTCGCGTAGCTGCATGAAGAGAGATGAGGTCAGTGGCGTTCCACGAGCTAATGTGTAAAACGCTCACCCTCGACTACCGGGTGTGATATGCGGGTGGTCGACTTCGCGGCAGGAACCCCCGAGGATGCGAGGCGCGGGTCAGGGCACAGAAGCCAAGCGGGCTTCCGCAGAGGAGTTTGGACGCGATTGAACATTCCAACGTATCCGCGGCTCTCGCCACATGCCGCGCTGCTTTCCGCGCGCGCACGGAGAGGCGCGTGCCGCGAGAGCTGTAGGATAAGCTTCCGATGTCGTGCTCCGACACCGAGCGGCGTCGACCGCGCGTGGACTGGGTTTCCCGCGGCTATTTCGTGCGTGCGCGTGGAAGACGTGACAGACGGTGAGGGTCGGGCGTCGGCATTCCCGCCCCAGGGCAACGTTGCGGTAGACGTCGGCCAAGCCACCCGCACCGTTGCCCAGTGCGCCTGCGCGGAGTCACGGGCCGCGCTAGGAATAGGGCTGACTGGGGAGAAACGTGAGCAAACAGGGACAGTTCTGGAAAGGGGCGCATCTATCCGTACCTGAAGGCGATCGGTTTCGTCCAGCGATGTTCCCACTTTGTGCCACGCGTTTGTGCGCCGTCGAAGCGGCGATGCCACGCACGGAACGGGCTCTGCAGCACCCGAGAAGGAGGGCTCACATGTCCCGGTGGGGACACTGCGCCCGGGGAGAAGTGAATGGGACGTGCACGCGCCGGTGAAGGTTCAGGTAGGGCGCCGCTCGGCGGTATTCGCGAAGGTGGAGTTGAGGACAAAGAGGTCCGGCGGGCCGGAGGGTTCCACGTACGGGTTCTGTCCGCGGCGGAATGCCGTTCGGGTGCATACCGCACGGTGGTGACGGGATCAGACTCCGGATAGATTTGACGGTGCAGATGCCAGCCAGAAACGTCTTGGACAGATTTCGCGAACAGGCGATATCGCACTCTTGGTATGAGTTCGCATCGCAATGTACCTTGGAGGTGATATGTCTGTTTGTTTCGTGCAAGCGTTTGGTAAGTATCATCCGGCAGCGCTGACGATCAGAGACGATCAAACGTACTGAATGTCGAGGAAAGGGGTGATGGGACGTGTCAGAGACGCTTAGTATTCTATCGGTGATGGAGGTTAGTGAAGATGGACGAGGTAAGGAGCGGCGCAGATCTCAACACAGATATTATGAAGCCCTACTACAGGTGCAATGAAAGTATACAAAGGTGGCTAAAAACGACTGACAGTCAGTTCAGGGGTGGCGAGATGTACTACAAGTATAGCGGCAGCAGCCGGCAACGTTGGGCGGCACAGCATCCTTCTTCGACATGGCAGGACGAGCTGCACCGTTCAGGATCTGGATGTCGGTCCAGGCGGCCATCCGGCTTGTATATGTGAGAGGCGAGGCCGCCGGCAGTACCGTTGAGTGGGAGGAGGTGGTCGAAGTGGTTCAAGAAACAACTGGGCCTGGGCCTGCCGAGGCCCTCCGCGGCCCCCCGGACGTTGCCGGTTCCCTCCAGTGGGCGCTAGTGGGCGTCTCTGCCGCCCTCACTCGTCGCGTTGACCTCGATCTGCCCATCCTACAGCTTTGCGTTATACGACATCTATCTGTGGTCTTGCGTATCTTTACCCCAACGCGCTCGTCTCATTTTTCAGAAGTATATAAGTGGTTTGGCGTGCATCCGTACCAATTTGACGGCATAGCATAGGGAGACGCCGGGCCCTTACATTCGTAAGTCCAACATCTTGAATGATTCTTCGGCAGCCCTTCTCAAGGAACCGTATCTCACACATTTTTCCATATCGCACCTTCAACGGGTTTGGATGTACAAGACCTCAAACATTGCCGCGAAGGTACCGTGAAGGTGCCGCGAAGGTGCTGCCGCACATCGGCTGGCGATTTCCATGTGTATGGCCATTCGCCGGGACAGTGCACTGGGCGTCGCTATTCGCATGCTGCTCTTGATGGAGAAACGACAAACACTCTCGTACGAGATGTTGCAGTGTTGACGCAGGTACGTGATTCACAGAAATATCACTGCATATCCGGACAAGTCACCGACATTACGCTCAGCTCCGTATACACCACGTGTCCGTGTTCACGCGTTCACGACGCAGCGGTCTTCTCGCGCGCGTACTGAACTCATCTCGACCCATGGTACGGCACTTGCTAAAGCGGCATCTTGGTACTCCTCCTTTCCGCGAGTGTCTGACGTACCCGGCGTCCCGAACCGCTGCTTAGTTGAACAGTAAACGCCACTGTGGACCTTGGTTATCCACCAGAGACTGCTAAAACCTACTCACGTACACGTCACCGCCGGGCGCGTTGTCGACCACTCACTTGCCTTCGCCTATTCCCTCGTTTTCTCTCTCTTCATCTCCGTGCTTCCGTTTCGTAGCTCGCGATGGCGAAGCGTTCCGTGTTCAACCTCTATGGCTCGCGAGATGTGCTCTGCCTACCTCGTCGCAACTACTTCGACGTCTCGGACGGCGTGCACACGCAGCACGAGAACATGTACCGGGTGAAGGGCGGGTAGTACCAGAAATCCCGTCGTACTCGCCCTCTCACCTCTCGCTCGGACCCGCCCATCTCTACGTATATTCTCCTTCATTTCCATCCGGAAGACAAATACTGTGTGCCGCAGCAATTGGGGATGGTGCCTCCTGCCGCGGGGAACTTTTCAAACGTCTTTCGCCAGCAGTTCAACGGTGCGCAGCCCTTCTGCGGTTCCGAGTCGTGTCCTGTATTCTCATCCATCTGTGGCCTCCAACGCACAACCGGAACGTGTCTGCATGCGAGCACCACCCCGCATCGGTTTTCCGACCCGCGCTCACCCACGAGGAAATTCTGCGGGCGTTCAGGTTCGCAACTTATTCTTACTTACGCGCATCGAACCCCGGTGGACGTCATTGTCGAAATCGCGCTTGTGTCGCGCTCGGTCAAGGTTCTGCCTTGACTCGGTCTCTTTATGCTTCGCGCCGCCGTGCAAAGGGAAGCACCGCTTGCTCGGGCTCGTCACCGCGCCTCTTCTCTGCCGGTGTTCTGTCTCGCGCCTGGAGGTCGTCGTGCAGCTGTCCGTCCTCGCTTCTGGGCACGACATGTTCACGGATCCCGAGGCGCGGCACGAGGCGGGTGCACATCCAAGTTTCTCGCACCTACAGCCCGACCCGACGCCAAGCTGGACCGCCTCTGGCGGTGTGACTTGAAGCCCTTCAAGGCCAGGGAGATGAACGTCAGGACTCGGTTCCAATTTTTGGGGCCCTTCCCGTCGCCGGGGTTGCGGGAGCGAGCGGTGTCGCTTGGGCGGGCTCCAACGCAAGGACTATTCACTGGGCTAGTCTCCGTTGTCGAGGACGCCGTGAGGCTGCCTGCGCGGGTCGAAGCGCGGACAGAGTTCGCCAGCTCGGGATTCTTCTGTAGTGGGCCGTGTCATAGCCCGAGTTTGCGGCTTGCGGTGGAATGTCCCGTCATGCAACGTCTCTCTGGTGCGTGGTCCCCCGACGAGCTTGAACGTGTCATTGACCTATCGGACCCTCCCGACAACGCAGCGTAACTGTCCATCTCCTGTTTTCGACCGTACTGGTCAGTTTCTTGCAATGCACGTGGCCGCCTCCTCGCTAAACTTGTTTTAATTTAAGTTGAGATTTTCACGTCCACACACACGTGATGGAGGCGTCTGGGTCTCGGTACGGCGTCTTGATGCATGATTGTATCTGGGTCTTTCACCCGCTCACTGCGAGTTCTCCAGCACCCCCCGTATTCCCGCTGATCAGGAACTCCGCGTACATGTGAGCCAACGATCTTGTACGGTTGCGTGTGTATCATCCCTAACGGCTACTGCGTTTCAAACACAGCCCTGAAGCATGCCACGTTTCTTGGACACTGGTACGGGCGAATTCGTCTGGATCGAGGATCCTAGCACAATCGGCTACGCCATCCTCTCGCACACGTGGAGATCTAAGCAAGAGGGCGGTGAGCAGTCGTATACGCAGGTCGAGAAGCTGAGGAAGCATATCCGGAAAGCTCGTACTTTCATCTGGTTCAGTACGTCTCATCTCAGTCCCCCAGACACGATGTCCGCCGGTCATCAACTCACATCTATCAAAGATGCGCTCTCGATTCTCTCTCATCCTGACTTGTCCGACAAGATCAAGGGCATCTGCAAGGTCGCCCGCAAGGCCGGGTACCAGTACGTGTGGATCGATTCGTGCTGCATCGACAAGACGAGCAGTGCCGAGCTCGCGGAGGCGATCAACTCCATGTTCGACCTCTACCGCCTCGCCACGGTGTGCTACGTCTACCTCAGCGATGTCTCAGACGGCACACGCGCTCGGAAGAAGGGTTCAAGCTTCGCAAAGAGTAGATGGCACACGCGCGGCTGGACGCTCCAGGAGCTCATCGCACCTGATCGCGTGGTCTTTCTGACATCCGGGTGGGCCCCTCTCGGCACGAAGATTAGCCTCGCGGTGACGCTCCGGAGAATAACGGGGATAGACATTGCCCTCCTAACAGGCAGGGCCTCTCTGGAGTCCTTTAGCGTCGCACGCAGGATGTCGTGGGCTGCAAACCGCCAGACAACTCGCGTCGAAGACGAGGCATATTCGCTGCTGGGTATATTTGGAGTCCACATGTCGCCGATCTATGGCGAGGGTCGCAACGCGTTCCTCCGTCTCCAGGAAGAGATCATCAAAAACATTCCGGACCAGTCAATTTTTGCGTGGGGTTCGAGCATCGCGTTCGAGTCGTCAAACGGGACTCTGAGACCCGAGTGGTATAAGGACCACGAGTCGAGCATGAGTCCCACTGGCCTCTTGGCGCCGTTCCCCGGTGCATTTTCGGACACGGGCGATGTCGAACCGCTGTCTCCAGAGGATTTCGCCTTGTGCCTCTCGGGCGAGGCTAAACCGGCAGGGGATGGCCAGGGGCCAGTCTTCGCAGTACCCTCACTCCATTGCGTGTTCACTCCTCAAGGTGTCCGGCTCGACGTCCTGTGCATCGATCTCGCTGAAATGATCCAGATCTCCGACTTAGCTATCGGGTACTCCAAATATGGCGTTGTCAGATCTAAAGGTGATAACACAAACCGTAGATGGCTGGAAGAAACTCAAGTCAGCCATTGCTTGCAGCGAGGCCGGGCGCGATCACTTGCTGTCCTTCGTTGTAGGGACGGACTGGGCCGTCTCTTAGCACTCCCTCTCTTCTCTACAACATCCAGCTCCGGAGAACAACGGGGAAAATTAGTCACTACCCACATCCGATGCAGTGACTCGTGTCCGGGAAACCCCCCCTACCGTTTCATCCGTTTGGCACCATCTGCGCTCGCAGTCATACGGGGCCGCCACCTCCTGCCACGCCAGCCCGCAGAGGTGTTCTTCCTCCGCAACTCAGGGATGGACAACAACTCGAAGCCAGATAAATTCCTCGTTATTGATCTATGGGATGCAGAATTTGTCCGAGCTGCACTCACCGCATCTCACGGTGCCGCCTCGTCCGGCCGGGATTCGTCCCCTTCGGCTATGTTGCAGCTTGCGCCTACGTGCAAGGAAGAACTACGCCTCCTTGGGTTCGAAGTAATCCCCCCGACTGTGGCGCTGTCTCCGTCTTGGAAGGAGGTTTTCGTAGAGACCGTGCTCGCATCGCCCTTGCTTGCGGGGCAGCGCCGGCAACACATCCAAATCAAACTCGTCGTCGGTCTCCCTCTCCCACGTGACAGCACTTTCAAGCTCCAATTCTCTGTGACGAACAGCCTTCATGTTTCTGAGCTAGGCCCCGTGAATCGGGAAGGAGACGGCCGCAAAGGGTTCCCCACAAATCCGTCGAAGCTCGCGGCCCCCGACACCCAGTGCACATTTTGCCAGCTGCCTGGCTGCATGATCCGGGAGGCACGTAGCGACAGCACTTGGACGACATTCGCCTCCAAACGTGTAACGAAGACGAGCCGAACAATCGCGCGCGCACAGTTTGTCATCTATGCTGGCGTGGCCGATCCGCAATGGGTGCAGGACCGCGATAGGGCTGTCATGCGAGACCTGCGGCTCGCGCTCGAGTGTCCGTGGGATGCTTTCAATGGAACAAGTGTACGCATTCGCAAGCTTTGGCTCTCTGTTGAGCTCTCGGAGGTTTACCGCGGCAGCCCGAGCGATACATATCCGTGCCAGCTGATCTCGCCGTCCCCGCTGCCCATCTAGGAGCTGTCCGGGTACACTTGCTAAGTAATCAGTCTCTCTAAACGGGGTTTCTAGGCCATATAGTATCATTCAAGTTCTACACTTTGTTTTCTGCCATCGCACGGTTGCTCGTTTGTATTTGGTTTGCTCGATCATTCATCTCTTTCTCGCCATATATCAACTCGAACCCCTATCGCTTAGGTCGCTCAGTCCCGCGGACACCTAGTCTGAGCACCCCCGTACTTTGCTTGTCGTTCACTTGCTCGTTACTTACGTGGGCTTGCATCCGTCAGTTTTGCTCTCGTATTCGCAACTGGTTGCTTCGTGTTGTTTGATTGTGATATAGCTGTCTACCTGTCTACACCGCATAAGTGCCTCATTGCCTGTGATAGCGACACTCGAGCGACTAGGATTGTGGTCTTTCCAGCACCCGCGACCAAGATGAGATGTATTAGGGGTCGCCTGGCGACGGCTCACTCCTCCGCTGAGGGCGCACATCTAAACATGCAAAGTCTGCTTGAACCGCCACACCCCAAAGCATGTTCGATCTGAGACTTCGTAACCAAACAAGTTGTAGACCGGCCGCAGGTACCTGAGAATAATACGCGTACGTGTACAATTTCCTCGCATTATAGTAATGCGTCCGCGGTCAAACTCTGGATATCGCGACTATGTGACAGATGTGTAAAGGACGTGAGTAAAGGCCTCCACAAACTAAAACATCCAAAGACAACTCACTGAACTTCGGCCCACCGCCGCCCTCGGGTACAGTCCACGTACTAGTATCCTACGTTAGCACCTCCACGTTGCAGAACTTGCAGTGGATGCAGTTCTGCGCGTTGGTCACGAGCCGCTTGCCACCCCAGCCCGCCTGCTCCGTCTCTGCCACCGCACCTTCCGCGTTGACGTACTCGTGCACTTGCGCCGCGCACCCGCAGCCCAGCAGTCCCGCGTTCGCGTGTACGCGGGCGCGCTAGGCGGAGGTGTCTGCAGTCCAGTGCGTGGTCGTGAGGCCCTTAGAGGGCTCTGAGCCTTCCGCGCCGGCGGCTTTGCTGCCTGGGGGCAGGTAACGGCGCACGCGGAGGTGTACGGGCTGGTATTCGGCGTAATTCGTACCAGTGAGCGCGAGGCTCGTGAGGAGGTCAGTCGAGAGCAGGGGTTGGTCGGACGGGTACTTGATCGGCTGGCACCCGGGTGCGCGCTTCGTGGGCGTGGCGCCGGACAGCTGCAGATTGTTCCGGAACGTCCAGGGGGTGCGGCCGCGCAGGAGGAGCGTGCCGATGCGGGAGTAGACGACGACGCCGAGGATGCTGAGGGAGGTTTTGACCGAGGGGCGGATTTCATACAAACCGTCGTGCAACCGGCTCTCGCGTAACGACGTCTCGTACGCGCTCATGTCCGCGTGCGCATCATCGGAAGTCGCGTCGAACGCGGCTTCGGCGGCGAGCACCCCGCTCTTCATCGCGTTGTGCGTGCCCTTGATTTTTGCGACGTCCACGAAGCCGGCGGAGCAGCCCATGAGCGCGCTCCCGGGGAAGTTGAGCTTGGGGACGGATTAGAGGCCGCCGTCAATGAGGACGCGCGCGCTGTATGCTATTCGCGTCGGCGAGTTCGAGATGAGGTCGTGGAAGTACGGGCGGTGAAATTTCATGCGCTGCGGGGGTGTCAGTACGCATATATGTTAGGCAGGGAAACGGGCGCACCTGGAGCTCGCGGTGTGGGCTGAGATATAGATTTAGGTAGTCGAAGTCTACGATGAAGCCGAGGGCGACCAGTCCGTCCGTCAGATGGTATGCCCACCCGTCGCTGTATGTGTGGAAGTCGAGCGGCTATCCCAGGGAGTGCACGACCTGTTCGTGCTTGCTCGGATCCACACGCCATACCTCCTTGATACCAAGGCTGTACGTCTGGAGATCCCGGCCCTCACGCAGTTCGAAGCGGCGGATGGCCTCCTTCGACAAGGAGCCGTGCGTGCCCTCAGCCAGGAGCGTAGCCCGGAATCGGAGCTCTATACTTGGTTTGAACGCGTCCTTCATCCGCCCTCGCCTGTCGAGGCCGACTTCGTTCGTGCGCACCCCGAGGATAGCCTTGCCGTCTGGACTGTACACGAGACCGGCCCCAGCGAAGCTCGGGTAGACCTCGACGCCCAGTTCTTCTGTGATGGCCGTGACACGGGAGAGGAAGAGGGAGATGACGTAGGTGCCCTAGCGTCTTGGCCATTTGCGGGGGCTGGGGGATGCGGAGGGAGCGGTTCGCGGTGAAGAGACACATTTGGGTGGAAGTTGCGGGCTGGGTGTGCGGATGGTCTGGCCAGTCTTTTTCAGTCGGAAAGGAGCTCGTTGAGTACGTGAGGCTCAATGACTGTGCCAAATACGATATGCGAGCCTAGAGAATGGTCAGCGAGCGAATGCGTAGGAGAGGGTTCAGTACTCAGTACTACTAGAGTGCTTACCGACCTCGGCGCACTTGTCGAGGATGACAACGCGGGTAACGCGACCCTTCTCCTGCTCAAGCTGATTTAATGGATGATGGCGGTCCTGAGGCTTGCGGGGGCAGCGCCGAGAATACAAACTTACTCAAAGCTCTCGCGTCCGAGACGTAGAATCGTGCAGCGGGCGCGAAAGCCGACGAGGAATCGCGACGCACGTGGTTTGCCCCGAAGTGCCGCGCGAGGCGTCATCCGAATCGGGACGCGCGATGGAGTTAAGAGCGGACCGCCACATGAACCTCGTCCACCACTCCCTCTCCGCTCTCTCTCGCCTCGATTGACGACCTAGACCACGACATACAGCGCGCTCACACTCAATTGATGCCCGCATGACTGGCTTTCCATCCATCCCGCTCGCGGAGGAGGGCGGCGAGCGCGAGGGTGCGCACCTCGCCGGGGTCGCGACTCCGACTCGCGAAGATCCTCGGACCCTGCTGGGTGCTGCTACCCGCGACTACAATTGGACTGCTCGGTGTGCGGGGCTTCTGGTCGGTCGGAATGTCCTACGGTCCGTAAGCCCTGCTCTCTACTTGTCCGTCCGACCATGGATGTAATGGAGGCATACCCTATCCGCTTTCCCTCCGCCCTCCGAGGCCGCCGTCTCCCTTGTCTCCCTTACCGAACTCATATCCGACGTCGTTGTGTAACCTCTCATTGGCACGTTAAATCAACTGCGATGACGCCCAACGACTCGCATCAAGCCACCAGGCACGCTTGAACCAAGCCTGTCGACGGACGCCCCGGGTCCTCCCCAGTCTTGACACTCCTGTCCACTTCTCGGCGACATCGACCCTCTGGATACGTGTGCTACTCTGGTGTCGCGCCGCAACAGCATGTTTCAAACATATGGCATGGCGCGCATAGCACCACCGAGATGAATGCCGCCTCGTGGATTGTGGCCGCCTTCGGGGCGGCGCCTGAGCGTCAGACATCGTTGAGTGTGCATAAATACCCCGGAAACGACGCTGTGAGCCCTTCGTTTCCCCCCTCCCCTCTTTCCTGACTACCTTCCAGCTCCCCCTTGTTGGGCCTTTACCACAACGAGACGCGCCGAGGTAACCCTGCGAGTATTTACTGCCCATGTAATCCAGCTCGCTAATACAATCACGTAGATGCCGCGCTTCTTGCACACCTATACGGGAGAGTTTCACTGGGTTGCGGACCCGTCCACGGTCATGTACGCCATTCTGTCGCACACGTGGCAGCCAGAGGAGCTCGGCGGGGAACAGTCGTATGCATCGATTGTTGAATTGCAAACTCGGGTCGGGCATACCACGAACACCCATTCGTACGTTTGTAAAATACCTGATATCGCCGATTAGACTCCCCGTATTCATTGATGCTCCTGGAATTACAGCTTGTATATCGACTGCTCCTCTAAGACAGATGCAGACCGGAGCTCCATCTTCTTTAGCGGCCGTTTGTCCGACAAAATCAAGAACGCTTGCAGGGTAGCACGCAAGGCCGGATACCAGCTCATTTGGATCGATTCTGGCTGCATCAATAAGTCCAGCAGTGCGGAGCTCGCAGAGGCGATCAACTCGATGTTCGAGCTCTACCGACTAGCCAACGTGTGTTTCGTTTACCTAGCGGATGTACCAGATGGCGAGGATCCCCGGAACGAGTTCTCGAAGTTCCGAAGGAGTCGATGGCACGAGCGTGGCTGGACGCTCCAGGAGCTCATCGCACCCAAGAATGTTGTTTTCCTCAGTCGAACCTGGACCTTCCTGGGTACGAAGAATGGGCTCGCCTCGACCCTCGAGCAAGTCACCCGGATCGATGTCGACATCCTCACAGGGAAAGCGCCTGTGGACTCAGCGAGCGTCGCGCGCAGGATGTCGTGGGCCGCGACTCGGGAGACGACGCGTGTCGAGGACGAGGCGTATTCGCTGCTAGGCATCTTTGGCGTTCATCTGTCCCCGATCTACGGCGAGGGGCGCAACGCGTTCCTTCGCCTTCAGGAGGAAATCCTCAAACACATTCCCGACCAGACTATCTTCGCCTGGGGCAACGTTCATATGGAGATGAGATCCCCAGACTCTTCACAATACATCGCCTTTCTCTCTAGAACAGAAGGCCGTTCGATGGAAGTGCGCTACGATTGGGCCTTCCGCACCGTGGAGGATCCGATTCACTGGCACAGCCTCCTCGCACCATCCCCACTGCCTTTTAGAAACGCCCACAACGCCGTCTCGGTCCCCCCTTCTGACTTCGCCTCGCGCCTCGATTTGTCAAATTCGGGCGTCCGAATGCCCCCACTACGCTGCGTTTTCACTCCGCAGGGCGTTGGTCTGACGCTCTTGGCTGTCAGTTGCGCGAAAGGAAGCCCGTTCAGTTGGATCGCTCGCGACTTGGACCGTCCCGTGCTGGGTTGCGCTTTTCATGGTGGTACCGAGACATGTCGGCATACCCAAGGAGCCGTAGAATATCTTGCGCTCCTACAGTGCGAAGCGAAGTCGAGCACTGGTAGGCTCGTTATCGCCCTTGCCCTCCTCCGTCCAACATCAGAGGTGGAACAGAACATGGGTCTACACGTTGCCACCCGGCCGTGTCATTGCGGTGGCTCCAAATCCTGTCGGCTCGTGTATATCTCACCAGCTGCGCTGGACACCATTCGACGCCATCTCGTTCCCACTGAGTTGAACCTTCGGCGTACCTTGTCACCCCCCGCGTCGTGGCTTCAAGAGGTTGCAGGCGACGTCGACAGTTTTCTGGCCAGGATCAGCTTATGGCCGGAGCTCTGCACCAGGTTCTGCGTCGCTCCGTGGTGCGAAGAACAACTGGGCGCCCTCGGATTTGCTGTCTCACCCCTCCAAATTTGGGTCGAGAAGAAGGATCAAGTCCAGACTCGAATTGTTCTGACGAGCTCTCTGACCTTCCACCAGTCAGCGCAGGCCCAGGGCACGGCTAAGGCTATCGAGATCACGCTTTCCCTCACCCAAGACCTATCGAGGTTCCGCAAGCAAGACACAATCTGTCGTTTTTCCATCAAGAACAGCTTCTGCGATACTGTACAAAGTAGAAAACTGCGCGACTCTCCGGAGGTCAAGTTTGACACTCGTTATATACCATTGACGATGCGTGAACGCGCGATACATGTGGCTGTATTCGACGTCTTCGAGGACCTTGTTGGTACCGACTCGGAGGAGCAATACCAGGACCAGCGACAAAACCGGAGACTTTTACGACTATCCCTCGAGTGTCCCCTGCGTTCCTCGTACCCTCCTACCGGGAGCACCGGGCGATACGTCATCGACGTCCCATGCCTGTGGATTTTGATCGAGCTCTCCGATGTCATCCAGTCCGTGCGGCTTCAAAACGTCTCTGAAGACCACTCGGACATCATGAGCTCTCCCACTGGTAGTACTCTCCATAAGGAGCCTGACGCGCCCACCACAACGTATTCCACAGAACTGACGGAGCACTCCCTGAAATTCAAGAGGATGGTAGGTCCGCAAGGTATGTGTTTACGCTTCAAGCATCTTCGTCGCGGCTAATCGACTTAGGTATTTCGCCCATGCACCCCCTGCCTTTGCACATCCCAACATCTATGGGGCTCCGAGGTCGCCTTACTCCTTTCAAGCGGTTTTTGGGAAACGCCGGTCTCCAGGCTCTCCGTCAGCCGAAGAAATTCGTGGAGTACATACGTGGGCGCGGACGCAAAGCCGAAGGCTCGCCGCCGCGATCGTAGTCGTTGTAGTGGCTCGCGGACCTCCTAGCGAAGGTGTGCAGGTCGAGGTCGATATGTGATGTTCCCGTAGTCTTGCTTTGATTCCACGCCCACGTTTGTCGTTCTTGATACTTTTCGAACGTATGTACTTGTCGCGACGGTCTACTCATTGACTCGGCCTTTTCTTACGATTCTGTTGCATTTCGATACCGCTATACGGCCAGTATGTACATGATTACATGCGCTCGTTCGTTCGTTACCGCCGGTTACCGTATGTGTACATGTAGTACCGCCATCCTCGCCTCACCTGGTCGTCCGTTGTATTTATGTCTATAGAACACGACACACACCACACCTTCGCCCGCATACCAAGTTTGGGGGCAGCAGCAAGCTATGAGGCGCATGAACGGGCATGCGCCGTGGCAGCCAACCCGGCCCCGCAGCCGGCGGGAAGTCGACCTTGTTCTCGATCTGCAACATCGTGCAAAACGCCGCTGTCTGCGGATTCGGGTAGTACGGCGCTACATCACGCACAGAAAAGTCGTCAGCACGTACGAACTTGGTACGAACACCCAACATTTCGCGATATGGGCGACTCACGCGGTGCGCGCGGCTCGTCCGCCGCCGGTCCGGGCGCGACCATCACGAACTGCTGCACGTCCTCGACACGCCGCGCGCCGCCCGCGGGGACGTGTGCGCGCGAAGGTGCACGGGCTGACTCTCAGCGTGGTTCGTGCCGGTGAGCGCGACACTCGTGAGGAAGTCTGTGGAAAGAGGGGGTTGGAAGGACGGGTATTCAGTTGGCTTGCATTCCGACGCGCGTTTCGTGTGCGCGGCGTCGGAGAGCCGCAGCTTGTCCCGGGACGTCGACAGCGTGCGGCCGCGCAGGAGCAGGGTGTCGATGTCGGAGTAGACGACGCCACCGAGGATGCCGAGCGGGATGTTAGACGAGGGCCGGACGTTGCGGACCTCGTGCAGGTCGCCGTGCACCCAGCTCTTGTGCAGCGACGTCTCATGTCTGCGGGCGCGTATTCGGCAGAGGGTATGCCGCGCTTGATCGCGTTGTGCGTGCCTTTGATCTTCGCGACGTCCACGAAGCCGGCGGAGCATCCGAAGAGCGCGTCCCCGTGAGAGTTGAGCCTGGGGACGGATCGGAGATGTCCTTCGTTGAGGACGCGCGCGCCGTATGCTATTCGTGTCGACGAGCCCGGGAGGAGGTCGCGGAAGTACGGGTGGTGTTTCGTGCGCTGTGGCGGTATCAGCACGCATAGATGTCAAGCGGGGAAACGAACGCACCTGGAGTTCGCGGTACGGGCTGAGGTGTGGATTTGGATGGTCGAAGGCTACGACGAGGCCGAGCGTGACTTGAAGGCCGTCCGCCATGTGATATGCCTGCTCGCCGCCGTATGCGTGCAGGTCGAGTGGCCAGCCCATGGAGTGGACGACCGGTCGGGGCTCGTGATTGCTCGGGTCGACACGCCATACTTCCTTGATACCCGGTCCGTACGTCTGGGTGTCCCGGCCCTCACGCCGCTTGAAACGACGAATGGCCTCCTTCGACAAGGAGCCGTGCGCGCCCTCAGCAAAGAGAGTGACGCGCGATTGGAACTGCATACCCGATTCGAACGCGTCGTGTATCCTAGTCCGACTTCGTTCGTGCGCACCCTGAAGATAGACGTGCCGTCTGGGCTGTGCACGAGACCGGCGCGTGAGTAGCCCGGGAAGACCTCGACGCCCATTTGTTCTGCGATGGCGCCGTGATGCGAAGGGGGAGACCACGTAGGTGCCCGTCTTGGCCATTTGTAGGGGGTGGGGGATGCAGAAGGAGCGGTTCGCGGTGGAGAGGCGCATCTGGGTGGACGATGTGGGCTGGGTGAGCGTGCGGTCCGGCCGGTCCTTCCAGCCTGGAAGGAGCTCATTGAGCGCGCGCGGCTCAATGACGGCGCCGGAGAGGATGTGCGAGCCTGGAGGAGGGTGAGCGGACGAATGCGCAGGAGAGGGAAAGGTGCGCACCGACTTCGGTGCCATTCTCGAGGACGACGACGCGGAGTTCGCGGCCCTTCTCCAGCTCGAGCTGCTTTAGTCAGATGGTGACGCTGAGGCCTGCGGGCGTGCCCCGACAATGCAGACGTCAAATTTATCGCTGGGCCGGTCGACATTGGCGGGGTCGAAAAGTTCTCGTCTCCGAGACGAAGAGGCATGTAGCGAGCGTGTAAGCTTGCAGAAAGCCGGGTAGGCTCGACAGCGAGAGTGCATGCTTAGGCGTCTAAACCGAGTGAGCGGAAAATAAGAAAGAGACTGAGGAGGACATGAAGAGGAAGAGCTGTTCTGCGGTGGGCGGGTGCGGACATGGTGGGTTCGAGAGCAGAGAGCGACGCGACCCTCCCGACTCACACGGAGACGCGCAGGACTTGCCGTTGACGTCATCGAGCCCACGGCACGGCGGACCGCGACTTCGCGACGCGAAGTGACGCGCGCGACATAAACTTCGTCCACCTCCTCTACGTTCTCGTTTGCCTCGACTAACGACTACTGTACTATTCCACGTCACCCAGCGCGCACAGGCTAAGCTGATGCTCACACATGCCAGCTTCTCATCTAGCCCGCCCACGGAGAAGGACGGCGTGCTGACCTTGCCGCGGGGAGTCGCGAAGATCCTCGGGCCTCCCTGTGCCCGCTGCCCCCCTCGGTCAGGATGTATCACGGTCTATCCTTCTCGCTTTCTGCTCTTGGCGACTGAACACGAAAGTACCGCAAGCACACAGTACTAGTTATCTGCTCTCCCCCTCCTTCGAGTAACAGCTTTCCGCTGTCTCCCTCTTCTTTTTCCGCAGGTGCCATCTCCGACCTTGGAGCATTGCTTACTACTTAGTAAGCGACCGTGATGTTGGCTTCCTCATCGACAACTCTGAACCTCGCTTTGAACGCCGGAAACCGTACCTAGTCGTCGATACCGCTTTGTATGCAGCCGCCGCGCTCCTTCTGGGCTTTACTCGCCTAATTGCCTCCGTCTTCCCCCACAACTCGTCGAACGCCGGATGTCAACGTCTCCTTTCTTCCGCTGCGGTGACTGGAACCGGCACAACTCCGCCACACGAACACCTCTGCGTTGTCGTTTGCCTCGACTAACGGCATCGGCTACACTAGCGTCTATCTCGCCCGCGGAGAAGGGCGACGCATGCTGTCCTTGCCAGAACCCCCCGCTGCGCCATCGGTCGGGGTGCATCACGGTCTGTCCTTCTCGCTTTCTGCTCTTCGTCCGACTGACCACTGATGTACTAGTACAGGCACACCATGCCTGCTCTCCCTCGGCCTCTCCAAGACCATTGTGTCCTTCCTCGTCGGTCACATCTCCGGCCTTGTTGTTTAGCCGCTGATTGGTCAGTGTCGCCGGCTGGAGCGTTGCGTACATTCTGATAGTGATGTAGGCGTACTCGCTGACAACTCCAAATCTGGCTTTGACCGCCGGAGACCGTGCGCGGTCGCCAGTACCAGCCTGTATCTTTACCCGCCCAGTTGCTTCTGGTGACAATCTCTCTTTTTACCCGCCTGCGACACCTCCGCAGAGACCAGGGTGCGAATCAACGACCTAACTATCCTTGCTAGGTTGTCCCGAGCCTACCTGACTTCTCGGAGTGTAAGCGATGTTTCACACGAAGCCGGGGGCGATGCCATCCGTATCGACTCGTTGAGTATTGTCGAGCTCGCGGAGGCGAGCAGTACTTTCCGGGACGGATCGCGGCGGAGTGGTTCGCCAACTCTCGATCGGCGCGCACGCGCGAAGAACACATACCTCACGAAGGCGGTACCGCGCGAAGAGCGAGTGGTATATATGCCGGCACATTCATCGTACTCGCCCGCTCACATCTCCTTCAGATAGGACGTATCTATCGGCACCCATGTGCTCAACAGCTCACACCTGGGTCCTCCCGGCTCCGCTCGCGACCACCTGAGGAGTCCCGCACGTCGCAGCAATTCGGAATTGGCGCCTCCTGCCGCGCGAATCTTCTGAGTTGTCTCTGCCGCAATACGACGGTGTGTAGCCCTTGTGCATCCATAACCTCCGGCGGACAGTCGGGTCGTGTCAGGATACAAACGCGAGGGCCAGTCCGTAGCGGTCTTCCGACTCACGCCGACGTGTGAGGCTTGCGTCGCCCTCGCTGGGGGACCAGTCTGGTAAGCGATTGCAGCAGCACATCCCGAGTTCGATTTCATCGTGGTGAGCGACCTCCTCGTTTCAGTCGTTATAAATATTCAAAATACCTATATAGTCTCACTCCGCTCGCATGCGCGTACTGTAATATCGCCCGCTGCACGGCTTCGAGCGCGCCCCCGGCCGAAGACAGCTGCAACGGCTGGGACGGCTGGCGTTCCCACCACCGCGAGGGAGCCACATCGGACCGTCGCGCACGCACAGTTTGCCGTGACACCCGGGCACGCCAACTAGGGCGCATAGGGATGCGATTTTGCGGACCCTGCGGCTCACCCTGGAGCCCCCGTGGAGTGCGATTGAGTGGGGCGCGGACTATGCGCGCAAATTCTGACGCATATTCAAGCTCTCTGCTTGTGTTGGTCGAACTAGCTTCTCGGGTAGGTGGGGGACAGTCACAAGTTACATCCCTCAGGCTGTGCCTGTATGCGTTCCTAATCCTTGTATACGGAATACTGATTGGGTTAAGGGACGTTCTGAACGAAGCGTATATTTCGGCGCCTGCTTCAATCCGCACTGGACGCCCGCAGCCGCGGCGAAGCTTAGGGCCTAGCATCAAGCAACTGTGCGCCTTTGATTACAAATCGTCAGCAAACCCGCGACTCTTACCAGGCTTTCTGAGATTCGTCCTGGGCCTCTCGACCCGCCCCGGACATTTATTATCTCGCTCCCGTCCGCTTCTTCTCAGCCCGCACAGCAACTGCGTGTGTCAGCATAGTTGGCATGGAACGACGAAGCTGGATATTATCTCGTGCATCGTGACAGCACTGCCTGCGCGCCAGAAACATCGAGTCTACATACATACCCAAGGCGACGGCTCTTCTCTCCCCTCCCTTCTCCCCTTCCTCCTCTCCCCTCCCCTCTTTCACGACCCCCTTCCGATTTCCTCGCCCCTTGTTGAATATCCGCCACTAGCACACCGAGGTGACCCTGCGAACATTTAACTCCCGTATATATCGTTTGCTAACGCGATCACGTAGCCATGCCGCGCTTCTTGCACACCTATACGGGAGAGTTCCACTGGGTTGCGGACCCGTCCAAGGTCGTGTATGCCATCTTATCGCATACATGGCAACCAGAGGAGCTCGGCGGGGAACAGTCGTATGCCTCAATCCAGGAAGTGCAAGCTCAGGTCGGGCATACCACGAAAAACCATCCGTGCGTACCTGAGATGTACGATATTCAATTGGAATCCGCATGACCATTGGCGCTCCCGAATAATAGTAGCTTGCATATCAACCAGCCCCATAGCACAAATGCGGACCCGGGCACCATCTTCTTCAGCGACGGTCTCTCCGACAAAATCAAGGACGCCTGCAGGGTAGCCCGAAACGCCGGATACCAGCTCATATGGATCGATTCGGGATGCATCGACAAGTCCAGCAGTGCGGAGCTCGCGGAGGCAATAAACTCGATGTTCGAGTTGTATAGGCTAGCCGATGTATGCTACGTCTACCTCGCGGACGTTCCGGATGGCGACGACCCTCGAGGCGTAGACTCTCAGTTCCAGCAGAGTCGATGGCACGCGCGTGGATGGACGCTCCAGGAGCTCATCGCGCCCAAGAACGTCGTTTTCCTCACTCAAAACTGGGCTTTCCTGGGTACCAAGGCTGGGCTCGCTTCAATCCTGGAGCAAGTCACCCGGGTCGACGTCGACATCCTCGTGGGGAGAGCACCTGTGCATTCCGCGAGCGTCGCCCGCAGGATGTCGTGGGCAGCAACTCGAGAGACGACGCGTGTTGAGGATGAGGCATATTCGCTGCTAGGCATCTTCGATGTTCATCTGTCCCCGATCTACGGCGAGGGTCGCAACGCATTCCTCCGCCTTCAAGAGGAAATCATCAAGTCCATTCCCGATCAGAGTATCTTCGCGTGGGGTAACACGCATATGGAGATGGGACCTCTGAGAGACCTAAGGCTTTTTCCAGGAGACGGATACTCTCCCTCTAGACGAAAACGTCGTTCAGTGGAAGTGCGTTATGGTTGCTTGACGGCCGGACTCGACATGGACCCGATGCACTGGCACAGCCTCCTCGCACCATCTCCAGTGCCTTTTCGAAACGCCCACAATGTCGTCTCCCTCACCCCTCCTGACTTCGCAGAGCGCCTCCATTTGTCGAATTCGGGCGTTCAGATGCCGCCACTACGCTGTCTTTTCACTCCGCAGGGTGTTGGCCTGACACTCCTGACTATTGGCTGCGCGGAAGGAAGCCCCTCTGACTGGATTTCCCGCGACTTGACTCGCAGCTCCTGCAGCGGCCCTCGTGGTCCCGGCGCCATGGACAATGGCCTATCCGGCCGCCGTGCAGAGATATGTGAACACAACCAAGGAGTCTTGGAACATCTCGCACTGCTGCAGTGTGAAGCGACATCGTGCACATCGGGCAAGTATGTCATCGCCCTTGCTCTTCTCCGTCCAACATCAAAGCAGGAGCAGAATATGGGTCTCCGCGTCGCAGCCCGGCCATGTGAGTGCTGGGGCGGATCCTGTCGCCTCGTGTATATCTCACGGAATGCGCTACGCGCCATTCGACGCCATCTCGTTCCTACGGAATTGAACCTTCGACGCACCTTGCCGGCCCCTTCCCCTGGTCCCAGCCTTCCATGGACGTGGTCACAAACTTCGGGCGACGATTTGTCTGTCAGGTTCAATCTGTGGTCAGACTCTTTGGATCTGCGCAATGCTTTCTGCGTCGCCCCGTGGTGCAAAGAAAGATTGGACGCCCTTGGGATTGCTTTCTCACCCCTCCAAGTTCAAGTCGAGAAGGGGGATCGTCTTCGGATCGCTCTGGCGAGTTCTCTGACCTCTCACACACCTCCCGAATCAGGGCAGGCCGAGGGCGCCGTTGGGGTCATCGAGATCATGCTTTCTCTCACTCAAGTGCAAGGGTATCCTATACCGACTCACAACACGATGTGTCGTTTTTCAATCAAGACTAGCTTCCGCGGCACTCCACGAACTTGCATGAACCTCCACACCTTTCCGAGCATCAAATTCCACACTGGTCGTATCCAAGCGACGCTACACAAACGTGCAATACATGAAGCTGTATTTGACGTTACCGGAGACCTTTACGATGTCGACTCGGAGGAGGAATGTCGGGATCAGCAACAAAACCGGAGGCTTTTACGACTCGCTCTCGAATGTCCGTCTGATTACCTCTACTCCGCATCGAGGTGGCCGGACGGCATCGACATCCCGTGCCTTTGGGTGTCAATCGAGCTGTCCGATGTCTTCCAATTCACGCAATCTCCAAACGCCTCTGAAGTTTCCATCTCTCCCACTGGCAGCGTCCATTCGAATCAGGCCAAAGGATTCAAAGCAGCCATTTGCCGTGTACTTGAGCACTACTTGGGATCCCCTGAGAACGTTCCGCAAGGTACGTGCTTATGCCCTAGATATCTCGATCGTTAGCTAACCGACCCCTGCCCAAACACACCCCCACATCTATAGGACTCCGAGCTCGCATTGGTCCTGTCAAGCAGTTCCTGGGAAACACCGGTCTTCAGATTCTCCGTCAGCCGAAGAAACTCGTGGAGAGCATACGGAGTGCGCGCCGACGCATTGTGGAAGGCCCGCCACCGCGGTCGTGGTCGTAGTTCTTCGCGGCCCTCCTAGCAAGGTGGTAAGGACATAGAGTTCTAGGAGAATATCACTCCGATCCCGATCGGACATTGGTCGCCGTTCGCATCGCATCTCGAACTTGTATTCGAGCCGACATTTGATGTGCCCCGTACTCCAGTGGTTTGGTTCTACGACGACGTCTACCATTCTGGGCTCCTTTATAATTGTACATACGGACCTATCGCGATCGTCTGCTCCTCGACTCGGTCTTTCTTTACGATTCTGTCGCATTTCGATACCGATACACGGCCAGGATGTACATGATTGCATGCGCTCGTTCGTTCGCTACCGCCGCTTACCGTATGTGTACATGTAGTACCGCCGCCCTTGCCTCGCCTGGTCTTCCTTTGTGTTTATGTCTGGAGAACGCGACAATCACCATATCTTCGCCCGCATACATAGTCTGAGGGCAGCAGCAAGCTACGAGGCACATGAACAGGCGTGGGCCGCAGCAGCTAACTCGACCCCACAGCCGGCGGGAAGTCGACCTTGTTCTCGATCTGCAACATCGCGCAGAACGCCGCCGTCTGCGGGTTCGGGTAGTACGGCGCTGCACCACACAAACACCATCCGTCAGCACGCACGAACACACATTCCGCCATACAGACGACTCACGCGGTGCGCGCGGCTCGTCCGCCGCCGGCCCAGGCGCGACCATCACGAACTGCTGCACGTCCTCGACGCGCGGCGCCCCGCCCGCGGGGACGTGTGCGCGCACCCACTCGAGCGCGTCGGCGACCGCGGCGCGCGCGGGGCTCTCGTCGGGGTACCCCTTTTGGTGGCGCTCGGTGGACATGTGCGGGTTGAAGGCGCGCGTGATGGCGAGCCATTCGGGGTCGTAGGTGAGTAAGGGCGGGCCGGGGGAGGGGGAGGGCGCGTCGACGTCGATTACCTGGGGGGGTGGATGTTAGTGTGAGTGGTATGAGGGAATGAGAGGTGGAGGAGGCGGACCTCGAGGAATTTTCGTCGGGGGAGGCATTTGTCGAGTGCGAGGAAGCGGGTTGTTACTGGTGGTGGTGGAGGTGGCGGCGGAGCCTCCACCTCGTCCTCTTCGTCAGACATCGTGATCTCGTCCGGATTCCGCGGGACCTCTGGGGCTTTCTCGACTACCGTGCTCGCAATCGCCGGAGCCACGACGGCGACAGCTGGCGCATCCTCATCCTCATCGTCGATATTAATCTCGTCCGGGTTCGTCTTCTCCGCACTCGCCGCAGCCTGCTGGGCCTGCGCGGCACCAGGCGACCTGTGCTCCACCGTCGCCTCGAACCTGCAGTGCAGGTGGGCGGCGAACCACCAGGCGGGGTGCAGCGTGTGTAGGAGGTCCATCATGGGCGGGGAGCCGAGCACGCCCTTGTTGATGTCGTCGCGGAAGTAGGGCTTGCGGCGGAGGAGGTCGCGCAGGTCGCCGTGGTGCGCGATGCCTTGCGGCCAGTCGTGCGAGAGGAAGATGGTGAGGGGGGAGAGCTGTGTAAGGTCCGAGGTTAGTGCGGGGAAGGGGGCGTAGTGGCGGGGGAAGGCGAGGGAACGTACGAGGGAGAGGCGGCGGATATTGTATTCGCGGATGTGGTATATGCTGCGCATGGAGCCGTGATTGTATGGTGGACGTTCGTAGTGCCCTTCAGGTACACATCAGCCATCGTGCCTGCCGCATATAACGGAAGACTGACCTAGGTGAAAGTCTCCTGGCTTGAAAATGCCGGACGCGCCGCCTATGCGAACACCGTTGACCTGCACGCAGTTGGCGTGTCCGAGGTAGTAGATGTTGTGTGCGATCCAACCGCCGTGGTATCTGCGTAGAGGGTCGGGTGTCAACAGGACGGTGTGAATATGAAGGCTGGGACGTACAGTTCCCAGAAGTAGTTGGACGCTTCGTGGTTTCCCCCGATCACGAGAGTCAGTATGGGTGCCTTCGCATCTCCAGTGTAATACCTAGCATACACCAGCCCATTAGTACCCGGTGAGCTACTTCACGCGTCGCTTCGCCACCAATCGTGCACACGCGAACCGAGAGAACAGAGAGGCGGCCCACCTACTTCGCGAACCCGCCGAGCTTCTTGTACTTGTCCGGGACGGCCATGCACGCGAGGTCGCGGTGGTTGCGAATGGCCTGGAAGTCGCCGCAGATGAGGAGGAGGTCGACGCTGTAGCCGTTCTGCTGCTCGAGGCGCGCGAGCTCGGCGTAGATGGCGTCGAGCTCGCCGTGGCAGCAGCCCTCGATCGCGATCTGCGGGAGGCGTTGAGGGGAGGTATGTGGTTTGTAAGCGTTTACGCACTTTCATGGTCGGTTGTGGGTCAGTATATGCTACCAGAACGAGTAGAGGGAGGGAGGAGATGAGCGGAGGGTGCAAGAGAGCGAAAGCCGATCCGGGCGGAATGCGTGGAGAGAGGCGCCCGTGAAGAGCGCGATCGACGGGCGTCTGCAGACCTGTTCTGCTCCTCCTCATCCAAAATTTCGATCTAGTCCTCCGCGGCCCTCATCATGTTGCGCACAGTGTGAGTATACACGTGCCGTCTGGCTGAATGCTTCTGACACTTGGCGGCGCAGAAAACCGAAGAATGCGCGGTCGAAGCGGGTTATGCAGGCGCGGGAGTCGAAGGAGGTCGAGGACCCGCGCACGGCTATCTTCGTGAAGGGCACACACCCGGGAGAGAAGGCTGGCGGTGTCATGAAGGAGCTCGTACGTGCATTCCATCCCCCCCTGTGTACGCTTTCTGACCGCTGTTTGTTGTAGATGGCATTGAAGAGGCCGAATGCGATCTCCTTCTCCAAGAAAAACACCGTCCGGCCGTTCGAGGATGCGTCCTCGCTCGAGTTCTGGGCGCAGAAGAACGACGCAAGTATGTTCGTCCTCGGACAGAGCACGAAGAAACGGCCGGACGGGCTCACGTTTGTCCGCATGTTCGACTACCGCGTGCTTGACATGTGCGAAGTCGGTGTGGACTCGTTTAAGAGCATGGTCGAGTTCAAGGTGCGTCGCCCGCTCACTCTTTCTGTAATTGCATGCCAACGAATAAAGACAGACACGGAAAGCGACCCCCGGACACAAGCCGCTCCTACACTTTGCGTCGGAGCTGTTCGACAGTCATCCGCGCTTTGTGCAGCTCAAGTCGATGCTCATTGACTTTTTCAACGGCGAGGTGATCGACTCGATATGCCTTGCGGGCATCGAGCACGTCATCAGTATCTCCCTCGGACCCACACCTCCCTCCTTGAACGCTGCGACCACGACCCTGCAGGCGTCGACCTCGACAGATCCCGCGCCGGCGGAGGTTCTACCAAAAGTACACATCCGTGCCTACACAATCCGGCTGCTCGCGTCAGGGACTCGCGTACCGCGCGTCGAGCTGACGCCGATGGGGCCGTTCGTCGACCTCACCATGCGGAGACACCAAGAGGCGGACGCGGAGCTGCTGAAGCAGGCGCTGCGGCGGCCGAAGGTGCGCAAGCAGGACGTGGAGAAGGGCCTGGGGAAGAAGCGGAAGAACCTGGAGGTGGACGAGCTGGGCGACCTGCGCGGGAGGATTCACGTCGGGAAGCAGAACCTGGACAAGCTGCAGACGCGGAAGATGAAGGGCCTGAAGGCGTCGCGGGACGATATGCTGGTCGATGTAGATGCCGGCGAGGACATGGGCGTCGACGAGGGCGGCAGCGGGGAGAGCGGGCCGGAGGAGTCGGGCGGCGAGCGGCGGAAACGGCGACGGGCAGAGTAGGCCGGCGCCGAGTGCAGAGGGGTCGGCGCCGGGTGCGGGGAGGGAGGCCGGAGGGCGGGGGTCAGATGTCCGGGTTGTGCTTACGTAACTGTTATGGGAGCAATGGGGACTTGTTCTTTTCGTTCCTTCATCGTCCTCCTCGATCTGCCCTGCTCTGCTTGTCCCGCGCCGAGCTTGCTGTCGTCGCCGACTTCATCTGTCCCCCACGCCAACTCACCTCGACGTCGGCCACCTCCGAGTCGTTGGGCTCGACACCGCCTCCAGCCTCGTCTGGCACTGGTCCGCTCCTCTGAGGGACCGCCTCACGCTCCTTTCCCCGCCTTTTCCTTGTCCTCTTGAGACTTTTCCCTTTTCTTTCTCCTCATCATGTCCCTCTCCAGTTAGGTCCGCTCTGCTCTCTCGTTGGTCTATGCTTACCGTCTCCCGTAGCCGTCTTCTCCACCGATTTCCTGGGCTTCCCCCATGCGGTGTCCACCGTGACCGTGGCGTAAGTCTCCATCTCCTCATCCCCCTGCGGACGCTCACCTTCTTAAAGCGCTGCCGATCCCACTAGCTCCTCTACTGGAGCCGACGCCACGACTACGAACACAACCCCTACCGATACGGCATCCGCCACGGTCACCACCCCGTCCGCTACCGCCACTGACACCTCCACCGATACCACCACTAATACCGACACAAACACCAATACCGCCACAAACACCGACACGAACACAAACACCGCGACCAACACCGCGACCGACACTAATACCGCGACCAACACCGACACTGTGACGAACACGAACACCGCGACTGACACTAACACTGCGAGCGTCTCCAACACCGCGACCTCATCCACCGCTACCTCGACCAGCACGTCCGCGACTGGTACCTCCACCTCCGCCACTGCCTCAGCTGCTGGCTCTACCGTCTTTGCCACCAGCACCGATGCCGGAGGACAGGTCGTCACTCATACCTCGGTCGTCTTCGCGACACCCACCGTGAGCTCCTCCGCCGCGGCGTCCGGTTCACACACATCGAAATCGTGAGTCCACAACTGCTTCCTCCCCCTTCTTGCTGTCTGCACGCGTGCGTTCCGGACGCATGCCGCGTGTTGTGCGCCATCAGCCGTATCACGCTCTATAGCGGCCGGCATCCCGCCATCTCTCACGTGCCCGAGCTGACCTGCTTCGCAGCTTCTTCCAAAACACTGGCGCCGTCGCCGGCGTGTTCACCGTCGTCGGCCTCGCGGTCGTTGTTATTATTGTCGCCGTCGTCACCAATGCCCTCCGCCGCCGTCGCGCCAAGCGCCTCGACCGCGAGATCGCAGAGGCTGCGGCTGAGGCTGCCCACGCTCCCGCCTTCACTGACGACGACTACTACCCCGATGACCGCCTTGGCGGCGGTAAGGGCGGTAGCCCTGGTACAGGTGGAGGCGACCTCCGCTCTCTCACCACCGGCTACTCGGACACCACGCACGGCACGTACGCTCAACCTCCGCTATCGAACGCGGAGAGCTACAACATGGCAGAGCTCCAGCCTTACGACTACGCCGCGGGCGCAGTGGCAACGGGTGGAGCGGCGGGCATCGGTGCGGCGGGCGTGAACCGCGCGCGTAGCCTGGGCCCGAACGCGTCCACGCCCTACAACGCTTTCGCAGGACCCCCGCCCGGCTCGAACCCGTACGAACACCCGACATACGGCCAGCAGAACATGTACGGCGCCCAGCGCGGTGGGACCGAGATGGACCTCCTCGACGCAGCGGGCCTCGCTGCTGGCGCCTCAGCCGGCTACGCCGCCTCCCAGCAACCGTACGGCGGACAACAGCAGCAGCAGAACCTGGCGCGCAACCCGAGCCTCGGGCCGTCCGCAGCCACGTCGCCCTCGGAGCACAGCGCGTACAGCTCGCCGTACTCGGGCCAGGGCGGGTACGGGCAGCCGGAGTACAACCCGTATGCGCAACCTCAGAACACGCAGGGCTACAACCCGTACGCGCAGCAGCAACCGGGAGCGTATGCCCCGCCACAGGCATACCCCGCGCCCGCCCCCAGCCCGCCACGCCCGACGTCCGTCGTGGACCCGTATGGCGGGTATGTGGACGAGCCGGCGCACCAGCCGAGCCCGTCCCCTCCCGCGGGTGGCCAGCAGATCGAGCCGCGCGTGCCGTCGCCGGGTCCCGGGAGGTTGCTGAGCGGAAACTTCGCGTCGCCGCCGGCGAGCTCGGAGGGCCACGACCACGATGACACCGGGCGGATGAGTATCCAGGACGATGATGACTATGGGTACGAGCCGCGGCGTGTGCTCAAGGTGCGTACTTGGCGTGGATCGACAGGTGTGATGCGTTGACTGACGGATGTCGCGTGCAGGTCGCCAACGAGTGATGAACTCGTCCCGCTTGCTGCTGTTGTTGCTGTCGCTGTGGGCGGCGTGTAGTGCGACGTAACGACTCTTGCGGAGGCCGGCTCGCCGACAAGAGAGACTCTGTGCCGCTGTGCTGTGTTACGTGTAGCTGTACGCCGCCCGCGTCCTGTCGTTGACTCGATCGCGCTTCCCCCTTCTGTGTTTATGTCTTTACTGCTATTTATGCGCCTCTTCGCGAACACTTCGCCGCCGATAGTTTACCCCTTTTCGTTAGTTAGTTGTCCGGGGGCGCCGCTGGTGTGTGCGAGCAGCTGCGCGGGCTGGCGTCCGCGGGCGGGACTTTGATGCAATTTTGTTTCCGCCGTGCGGTGTGCGAGTCTGGGCGTGTTGTGTCTATGCTGTATGTTTACTTCCTTGCTGTATCATGAATTTCTCTCGAGTGTTTGAGTGGTAGAGTCGAGATACCGATCGTACCGAGCGGCGGGCAGCCGGGGCCGGAGCCCGGGATGGATGTGGCGGAGGTGTGGCGTCCATGCGCCGTGCGTGCGCAGGATAACCCTATCGCTTCCTCTCCACCGACGACCACGATAGGGTACCGTGAAGAAGTGTTCCCTTTTTAACAGCTGTTTATTAACCGTGTTAATAACATGTTAATAACTGTTAAAAAGGGACGGGAATGAAGAGGCCTGTTAAAAAGCCTTAATAAACCTTGGTGTATACACGCCTTTGCGGAAGGTTGGGACAGTCTGTCGGAGTGGTCAAATGCTTTCATGACTTAACGGCGCCGAGGACAACACGGCTGAGTAGACTCATCCGTCGCGAGCGCCATTCATGAAGGGGACGTGGGTTATCGACAAGCTCTCCTTCGACGGGAAGTGGCTTGATGTGGAATCGGAATCATTGAGAGCCTCATCCGTCTCACCGAACTGTTCGGTGTGCTCCTCGCGGGTTAAAAACCTTCGTTGTGAGCCGCTTTTCACGGTTTTTGTCGGTTGTTAACAATCTGTTAAAAACGGTTAATAACCCTGGTTAAGAAGGGCCCAGGAAGGCCATCAGTTATTAACTGTTAGTTAAAAAGTCCCGGGACTTTTTCACGGTACCCTAGACCACGACCAGCTCGAGGTATATAAACACGCGACGATCAGCGACTACGACACGACACAGACAGCGACGATGAACCCGATCGCATTCGACTCGCCCGCGCAGACCGCTGCGTACCTCCGCACGCTCCCCGCCATCCGCGAGCGGTGCGGGCGCGTGCACGCACTTGCGCAGAAGGGCGAACTGGAGTACTTTGAGTACCATCCGGAGAAGGAGAGCGACGCGGCTGCGTTCTGCGTCAACATCATCAAGGTGCGCGCAGATATGTACTCTCTAGGCAGGCTCGTAGCTGATCTGGGATGCACGGAGCATAGCGCGATTTCGGGACCAACTTCACCTCGGTAGGTACTCCCGCCCCGCGCAGTCTTGCGCGACGTCTCTCACCGTCCCCCTCTGCCCCGCCATAGATCCCCCCACACGGCCGCTGGCAGCACCTCGACGCGGGCCGCCCGCGCGTGCGCCCGCTCATCGCGCAATGGCGCGCGGGCGCGAACCCGCCAGACGACAGGGAGGTGACGCGCCGCCTCGTCGACCTCTTCCTCGTGTCCGTCCTGCTCGACGCGGGCGCGGGCGCGGCGTGGAAGTATACGGAGGGGGGCGCGGCGTTTGGGCGCTCGGAGGGGCTGGGCGTTGCCAGCTTTGTGATGTTCGAGCAGGGGTTCTTTTCGGCGGTCGAGGGGCAGCCGCACCGCGTCGATGGTGGGTGTTTTGTTGTGTGCTGGGGATGTGTGCTGACAAGGGGGTGTGCATAGCGGAGGCGTTGGAGAAGATCACTCCGGCGAAGGTCGCGGCGGCGATGCAGGTGTCGGAGGCGAACCCGCTCGTGGGCCTCGAGGGACGCACGTCGCTGCTCGTGAACCTCGGAAAGGCACTCAAGGCGAATGCGACCTACTTCGGCGCGTCCGCGCGCCCGGGAAACCTCATCGGTGCGCTTTCGCTCCGTCGCCTGCTCCCCCGCGCGCTACGTCTGACCGACCCATTATGTATAGACTTCCTGGAGACGGGTGCGGTCGACAAGACGGTGCACATATTCGCGCTGTGGACCGCGCTCATCGACGGGCTCGCGCCCATCTGGCCCGCGACGCGCTCGACGCTCGGCGGAGTCTCCCTCGGTGACGTCTGGCCGTGCGCGGCGCTGAAGAAACACGCAGCTCCCGGGGCACCGGAGGGCGACGACCTCGTGCCGTTCCATAAGCTGACGGGATGGCTTACGTATAGTCTGGTCGTGCCGATCAAGGAGGTGCTTGGGTGGAAGTTTGAGGGGCTCGAGCATATGGTCGGGCTGCCCGAGTACAGGAATGGTACGCCCTCTGTATCTGCGACGGTGCAGTACGAACGCTGACTATTGTGTGCAGGCGGCTTGTTGCTCGACCTCGGTGTGCTATCGCTGCGTCCTGGCGCGATCGAGGCGTCCTTCTTCCCCGACGCCAGCACTGGCATCCCGAAGTTGCCGCCGTCGCACCCCGCCATCATCGAGTGGCGCGCGATGACCGTCATCGAGCTGTAAGTCCCTATTTCACGCGCGTGAAGAGTCCGCTGATTGACGGATGGACCATAGGGACAGGATCGCGGACGAGATCCGGAAACAGCTCGGAGGACTTACGCGTGAGCAGCTCAGCCTCGCGCAGGTGCTCGAGAGCGCGACGTGGCAGGGTGGCCGCGAGATCGCGAAGGCGAAGCGGCCTGCGACGGGTGGCCCGCCAATCGAAAGCGACAGCGACGGCACCGTGTTCTGAACGAGACAAAAAGACGTCGCGAGGAGGATGAAGTGGACGGTGTACAGATAATAACAAGATGTATTGGATACCAGTATGAAAGCGAAGCGATTAGTACATAGGAAGGTCCGGTAGAGTATGATATCCAGAGCGAGATGGTATGTATGTAGGACAAACGGCGGGACCGCACCTAATGATGTCGGAGCTCGCGAGCCAGTCGCAACGTCAGTACGAACGCGACCGCGGCAGAGAGTCCTCCGAACCTATCAAGAGACACCACCATTAGCTCCCGACATAGACAGTTCGCCATAGAGGGTACCCACCGGTATATCACCGCATACGAGTTGGGGCCGCCGTCGCTTGCGAGTGCTTCCGCACGCTCAATGACGTCTGGGGAGACGAGAGGCTCTAATGGCTCCTGGACCTCTGCGGCGCCGATTGCTGCCTTGGATGGGTCGAGGAAGAAGAACACCACCGAGGCGACGCCGGTCATGATAAACTGCGGAATGACCACGAAGATATTATGGATGCCCTGCCGTATTTCATGCTTAGCGTCTGAGTGGGTATATCCTGACAATGAGATGCTCACGATGATGATCCCCGCCTTGGCAGCAAGTCCGCTCCGCGGCTTTGCACCGTCCGCCTCCCCATCCATATCTTGTTCGTCGGCAAGCGAGTGCACGTTCAAATGGCTCGTCCGCGCGCCGAGGTTGCGGAGCGGATGGCGCGCCCGCTCGCGCTCGCGATCCACCGAGGTCGACCTGCTCCGTGCCGGTCGCTCCTCCTCCATCGACGCGTCTGATGAGAACGACTGGACGTCCTCTTCGCGCGCTGTATGCATCACGGCACCGTCTTGGTCTTCGTCGTCGGAGCCCACGAGGTATTGTCGCTCGCCGTCGTCTACGGCGAGCGCGAAGTCCCCGGACCGCTGGCGCGTGCGGGTGTCCTCGAGCACAATGGAGCCTGCGTCCTCGTTCCCGGGCCCATCCTCAGTGAGGATCGCCTCGGCGAGCTAGGCAGGTGTTAGTATGAAGGCTGATTTCTATGCTCTCAGCGTGTGCACGTACGAGGGAGAACGGAGCCCATTGTGTGATAGACCATGAGAAACCAGTGAGCGTGGTAAAGAACGTCGCGCCGGCCACAGTCGAGTAAAAGCTATACCATGAGTGAATATCTGCTAAATGGCGTAACCTACCGGGCACTCACAATGTCGCAAACATGCATACAGCAAACAACAGATGTCCCGCCGCCCACATCGTGGGTAGCCCCACCTTGATACGTTCATACATGCGCACCCATGTGCTCTTGTGCGCCTGAACGAGCTTGCGCTCGAGTAGGCGGCGACTGCGCGCGGACTCGGCGACGACGAACGGGAGGAGAATATTCGCGGTGAGACTGAGAAGCGCGGAGTAGAAGAGCGCACGCGTCCCGAGTCGCGTCGCCTCCGCGTTAAGTGTAGGGTCGTCATCGGGGAGCGGGGAAGCGCGCTTGTGGAGGTCGCCGATGAAGGCACTCGTGTAGAAGAGGACGGGAAACCATCCGATCCAGGAGCTATGTATGGTCAACGAAGTGAGCGGGCGGATTTCGGAGGACGGGCTTACAAGAATTGGATCATGCACTGCATGTGGAGCGTTAGACGATATGTAGCGCAGTGGCGGCTAGACGTACTATTTGTCTGATCACTGGGGGCAGCGTGCGCGCGTTATCCCAGATATCTCGGAGCTCCTTGGAAAAGCTCTTCTTCGCGCCTCTAGGGTGTATGAGTAAGAGAATGATGGGAACGGAGCGCGCAGACATACTTCGTAGCAACGACGACCTTTTCTTTTGTGCAGAACGCTGTGATGCCGTGGGCGGCGAGTAGTAGGAAAGAGCCGACAACGGCAAGGACTTCGAGTTCGGTGTCGCCGAGGAAGGGAAATACAGCGGTCATGTCGATGTTGCCACTGCAAGGCAGTCAGCACGCAGCGCACGGGAGGAGCAGGGAATAAAGTGCACGAACATGAAGTAGCCGGCAACGCTACCGACGCCGAGCATGCGTGCGGCCCAGGCGTTGGCGTCTGCCTGGTCGGATGAGGGGAGGGTGTCCACGATGAGGGCGCGGTCAACTGCTTGGACTATATGTGGCAAATTAGTGAGGCTAACGAGCACAGTGGTACAAGAGGCGCACCAGCGTTGATAGAGAAGTCGATGGTAAATAGGGCGAGGATCGCTAACCATATGGTGAGGATATCGTTCTGCAACAAGCGCGTTAGGTGGCGTGATAGTGAGCGTAGTTGAGAGACGTACTGCGCTTGATGGATTGGGGAGGAATATGGAGGCAACTGGACGGGTGAAGCCCAGAAGGAGCATGGCAGCCGTACACAATACGGTACCGACGACCATGTACGGTCTCCGGCGGCCAAAGCGAGACTTGGAGTTGTCGGCGAGGACGCCTACATAGCGGTCAGTATGCTCGCAAAGATCCCGCAGGAGACACTCACCGATTAGTGGCTGCACGACGAGGCCGGAGATGGGACCCGCGAGGAAGACAAGAGAGACGGCGGCCTTCGATAGGCCGAGGGAGAGCAGGTACGGCGTGCCTGCAGAATATATCCATGGTCAGTCGGACGAGCGGAGAGAGGGTTGTAGACGGACCGTAGGACATCTCGACCGACCAGAAGACCTGCACACCGAGCAGCCCGATCGTAATCGCGGGCAGCTGCGCCCACCGAGGTCCCAGGATCTTCGCGACCCCGGCGAGGTGCGCACCCTCGCGCTCGCCCCCCTCCTCCGCGAGCGGGATGGATGAGAAGCCAGTCATGCGGGCATCAACTAAGTCTGCGCGCGCTGTATGTCGTGGTCTATGTCGTTAATCGAAGCGAGAGGGAGCGGAGAGGGAGTGGTGGACGAGGTTCGTGTGGTGGTCATCGCTCTCAGTCGCGCGCGTTGCGTGCCAGTCACTGCGCGTCGCGGTCCGCCCGGCCCTGCCCACGATGACGGCAAACGTCTCTGGGGTCTCACATACTGGCCCTCGGACACTGCGGGGTAAAACCACGTGCGCCGGGGTCGGGAGGATAGAAGAGCGGCAGCGAATGGCATCCTGCCCATTGCTCTCCCCGCTCTCCTCGCTTTCTTTCTCGACCGCCACTGACTCGGAGTCGACCTCTAGGCATGCTATCTCGCTGTCGAGCCCGCTCTGCTCCGCTCAAGCTCGCGCGCTCACTACATGCCTCTACGTCTCGGAAACGAGAACTTTTCGACCCGAGTAATGTCGACCGGCCAAGCGATGAGGTCGACGTCTGCATCGTCGGCGCTGGTCCCGCAGGCCTCAGCGCCGCCATCCGACTGAAGCAGCTCGAACAGGAGAAGGGTCGCGAAATCCGCGTTGTTGTCCTCGAGAAGGGCGCTGAAGTCGGTGCGTCCATATCCCTCTCCTGCGCATGCGTCCGCTTACCTCCTACAGGCTCGCACATTCTCTCCGGCGCAGTCATTGAGCCCCGCGCGCTCAATGAGCTCCTTCCCGACTGGAAGGAACGGCCAGACCACCCACTCTCCCAACCTACGACGTCCACCCAGATGCGCCTCTTCACCAAGAACCGCTCCTTCCGCATCCCCCAGCCCCCGCAAATGGCGAAGATGGGCACCTACGTCGTCTCCCTCTCTCGTGTCACGGCGTGGCTCGGCTCTATTGCGGAGGAGATGGGTGTGGAGGTCTACCCGGGCTTCGCCGGCGCCGGTCTCGTGTACAGCGCAGACGGCAAGGCCATCCTCGGGGTGCGCACGAACGAAGTCGGGCTCGACCGGCAAGGGCGGATGAAGGACGCGTTCGAACCGGGTATGGAGTTCCGATCCCGCGTCACTCTCCTTGCTGAGGGCGCGCACGGCTCACTGTCGAAGGAGGCCATTCGCCGCTTCAAGCTCCGTGAGGGCCGGGATCCCCAGACGTACGGTCTCGGAATCAAGGAAGTGTGGCGCGTGGATCCGAGCAAGCACGAACCCGGGAAGGTTGTGCATTCTATGGGCTGGCCACTCGACCTGCACACGTACGGTGGCGGGTGGGCATACCACATGGCGGACGGACTGGTTACGCTCGGCCTGGTCGTAGGCCTCGACTACCCAAATCCGTACCTTAGCCCGTACCGCGAACTACAAGTGCGCTCGTTTCTTTTTCTTAACATGCATGCGTACTGATGCCCCTGCAGCGTATGAAACACCACCCGTACTTCCGCGACCTGCTTTCAGGCGAGTCGACGCGAATAGCATACGGCGCGCGCGTTCTTAACGAGGGTGGCCTCCAATCCGTGCCCAAGCTCAACTTCCCCGGCGGCGCGCTCATCGGCTGCTCCGCCGGCTTCGTGAACGTCGCAAAGATCAAGGGCACGCACAACGCGATGAAGAGCGGGATGCTCGCCGCTGAAGCCGCGTTCGACGTTGTCGCATCCGACGCGACATCCGAAGACGAGCCCGCGGACATGAGCGCGTACGAGACGTCTCTGCACAAGAGCTGGGTGCACGACGACCTGTACGAGGTCCGCAATGTGCGGCCCTCGTTTAACACCTCGCTCGGCATCCTCGGCGGCGTCGTCTACTCGGGCATCGACACGCTCCTTTTGCGCGGCCGCACGCCGTGGACGTTCCGGAACAAACTCCAGCTTTCCGACGCCGCACACACCAAGCGCGCTTCCGAATGCAAGCCCATCGAGTACCCGCCGTTCCAACCCCCGCTTTCGACCGACCTCCTCACGAGTGTCGCGCTCACCGGGACCAACCACGCAGAGGACCAGCCCGTGCACCTCCGCGTGCGTCGGTACCTTCCCCAAAGCGGCGGCGAGGACGCGGGCGTCGAAGGCTCAGAGCCTGAGAAGGGCCTCGCGACGGAGCGCTGGACCGAGGACGCGTCCGTCCGGCGCGCCCACGTGCACGCGAACGTCGAGGAGTACGCGGGGCTGCTGGGTCGCGGGTGCCCGGCGCAGGTGTACGAGTATGTCGACGCGGACGGCGCGGAGGCGGAGACGACGGAGGTCGCGGAGCAGGCAGGCTGGGGCGGGAAGCGGCTCGTGATCAACTCGCAGAACTGCATCCACTGCAAGTTCTGCGACGTCAAGGTGCCGACGCAGGACATCACATGGACCGTGCCCGAGGGCGGCGGAGGCCCGAAGTATAGTGAGTGCTTCCACGTCTGTCTGTGTGGTGATTAGCTAACATCGCATGCAGCGGTCACATAGCGCGCTGTCTCATACAACAACGGTGATAATTCCGTCGCTTTAGTATCCTTGTAGCATACAACATCAATCTGAAGATGTAGTTGACGGTGGCGGGCTTGGGTCAGACAATGCTATCGGAGTGAATCTTGGTGGCCTAATGTTTAACTGTGGCTGCGAACAAACAGCGCCAAATTTCATGTATACGGGTGTTGCCGCCACGACCTCTTGCTCACGCCTCTTACCTCCTCACGCACACGTCCGCCACGCGACCACACACACGCTGCACCCATGCCTCCTTCTTACCGCCGCCGCGTTCACTGCGCTTACGCAGAGCCCGCGAAGCCCGCGCGCAAACCCGCGAAGAAGCGCTCTGAGATGTCCGAGCTCGAGAAGATGGAAGTCGACGCGAAGCGCATCGCGCGCAAGCAGATCAAGGATGCAAAGGATGAATGGGAGAAGACCCTCCCGAAGCCCTGGAATGGGCCGAGCCACTTCAGCTGGCCCGCCGGTACTGCCGTACGTGTCCATCGCTGTTTGTGTCCGACGCTTGGCCGAATGTGCCGTCTTCGCACTCGCAGGGGATATACAAGAGCGACGCGAAGAAGTCCTTTGGGCTCACCGACAAGGACATGGAGACGCTCCCGCACGAGGCCATCCAGTGCTCGCCCAAGACGTTCTACGCGCTCTCCGGCGTGAGCAAACTCGCGGCCGCAAAGTTCGCGGCGAACGCCCTCCCGGCCGATTTCGTTGCACCCGGAGCACCCAAGGGCGGGATGGTGCGCTTTTTCAAGAAGGGGGACGCGAATCCGAACCGGCGTGTGCGCACAAACTGGCGCGACCACGGCGAGTCGCTGTGGCTCGTCGTCAAGGATCATTACCTCGGGGACGGCGCTGCGTGAGCTGTGGATGTGGATGTACACACGTCGCGAGCTCCCGGCCCCCTGTCCGTCACTTAACCTATGTCCTGTGTGTTGGAACATGTGTTTTGGGAGGGCGGGTCAGCGGCGGTTTCAAGCCGGTGCGCGCGCCGTGCTCATCGATTACATGATTATCGTAGAGTACATAGACACTCCCGAGCGCTATTGAAGTCCCCGCGCGTTTGCGACGCGGGCTCCCTACTCCCCGGAACGACTCGACGACCCCTTGCTCCAACACAAATGCGCTGTATAGCCCTCTGTTCACGCCTACGCTTCGCGACATTCACTGCTCGGGCTACGAGACAGCTCCCGTGCTGGGTCTTATCACGACGAAACTATTCGACGACAAGCTACGCGACGATCCCTCCCGATTCCCTTCCCACGATGACCGAGCACACCAGCAACCACTCGAGCTTCGCGAAGCTCAATGACGTCAACTATCCCGAATGGACGATGCGGATGGAGGCTCACCTGATCCGCAAGAAGCTGTGGGATGGGGTTATGGAGATCACCGTTGAGACGATGGGCCGAGGTGTCGATGTGGTCGAAGAAGAGTACGAGAAGAAGAAACAGAAGAGGTCCACGCAGAAGATGGCGGAGGCGAGGGCGGAGCTGGTGATGAGTGTTGACGACGGTCAGTTGGCACACATGCAATCCCGCGACCCGATGGAGATCT